ATGTGACCAGCAAAAATGTTATTCATGAAACTATCGTACATACTCATCTAGAGTCTAAGTGATTTATCTTGTAACTTAACCGACCATATGCTATTCTCAACTGGAATCGTTAGCTCAGCTTCTATGTATCATCAACCTGAAACGTATAATCACTAACATTCCCATCGGGATGCCGCTAGTCCCATTTGGGAGAAGCTTCTCCAGGCTTGGGAACCTCATCGTAGGTACGCCCGCTCAATAGGCCCTACGCCATCAGGTCCCTTGCCAAGCCCGGGGCAAAAGACGCGAGTCTTATGCCATACAGATCTCGGATCAGGTTGAGCCTGGCCTGACACTCCTTAACTTGCCCTGGGCTACTATGTGGACTTTCGATGGCAATAGCGAGTGGCCAGACCAGATGGTACATGACGACGCTCTGACGTTGCGGTACGGGAAGTGGCATACCCTGCTCGTTGACTTCTCCCATAAGATAGGGTAAGACACTGCAGAGCCTTTGAGTCATCGAAACAACTTGCTTTTCAGCGATGATGGCGGTGGTCTGAGCGAGCTGAACCTGTGGACTGCTCTTTGAGTCCACAAGCCGCAGGAGGGTTGTCGCACATACGTGCAGCCTCCCAAAGAACAATATGAGGTACATATTGAAGAAGACCCACGTGCACGCCGTCCATCGCGATTGAAAGCTGACCAAGGGCTTATTATTCGGAGTGGCGGGTCGTTTGTCCGTTGTTTGCTGCGGTTTTAGTCTTGCTGGCATGGCCTCCTTTTCGATCATAGCCAACTCAGCGCCGATTGCCAAGGCTTCTTGAATAACCGGAACGAGTAATTCCCGTTGCTTATTCGATGTCGCTGTCGAACCTGCACTCGTGATTCGCCTAGCTGCCCTGTAAAACTGTCCAATGCGAGTGACGACCAGGGCCAATCGGATGACTGGGTTCGATGTGTCGAACTGTGAGTCGGGAATGGCCAGACAGTCCATATCGTCCTTGGACATGAGTGAGGGGATTTGCTTATTTTGTGTCTCAGCATCCATGCTATAAGGTTCCTGTTAAGGTCTACTAACCATTTGTGTAAATATCCAGCTTTGGAGATTCGATCCCTCTTCAACGCCGCTCAAGACGCGATGCCCGACTACCTCGAATAACTTGGAAATACCGGCCATGTGCACGGCCTTGGTCGTTTGGCCTTGGCACTCAATATCCTCGAGGGTTCGTCAGCGAGTTACAGATCATTGCAGCACATGACTTACCTCGATCATGCCCAGCAGCATCAGGGATGCCAATGTTTCATCTTTCAGGGGCCGCTTAGATGCAGACAGATCTCTGTTGACAGTCCTTAAAGCAGCCCCGTAGTGGTATCGTGCGGTGACATAGAGCGTGGACGACTTGTAGTGTCTAGAAAGCGACATGTGAGCTGCAGCTAGGAGGGCCGGGCGTATGCATGATGCCCGGCTAGAGCTCCTATACATGCCCTCCAGGAAATCGAGGTGGCCTCTAATGACACTTGGCGCCGGGAAGACGCAGTACTCGTGCAGGAAATACGAGATGGACTCATCCTCGAACGAGGGTTGGGGTTGTCGACAAACCCCTGAGCCTTTGGACCTCGCTTTTTCGTAGCCGAGCCCCATGTCCAAGACGAGGGTCTGCGCGGAAGAGCTGCCGGGCTCACCACGAACAAGGCTGTGGCCAGGCTCTCCGTGGAACCGGAACGCTAGTGGTCGATCATAGCCAGGGCATGGAGCCTTGTACAGCTCGCAGCGTCGACATCCTGGGCGTCTGCCATCGCACTGGTAGAAACAGGTTAGGATGGGGGCTGGACCGTTGACCTGTCAGATTCAGATTGATTGACCAGGAAACTTACTTTAATCTTTCGCTTCCTGCAGCGGCTGCAGCCCCGGCTGAGGGTTCCGGGGAAGACCATGTCGTGTCTTGGGGCTTAGCTCGGCTCAGGATATTGCTCAAGCCACTCACTCTCTGTTGGTTGTTGGTTGGGCTGAAATGTTGTTCTCGGGTATGTGAGTTTCTCAGTGGAGCTTTGAGCATCAACTCTTGTAAATTATATCCTATGGGAGAAGTTTCTGGCCGTTGCTTATCTAGAAAAGACCAATCAAGCTTGGCATGTCTCAAATGGCTGCCTGAGTAAGCATTTATGTCATTTGTCCAGGATCACATTGGTGGATTTACGGCATCCCATGGTTAGTATCGGTCCTTAAAACGTCAAAGCGTCGCAACCTAGGCTTGTTGTAGCATAGGCCTGGTCTTGGGATACAGCCCTGACTACTAAAATTACAAGCTTTGGCGTCTTGGAGTTATCGTTGTATCAACTCTTTGATGTGCGCCACAGGAAGGGCTCCGGATGAACCGCACCTATTGGAGCCTACGAGGCGTTCCACGCTTACCCTCATGCAGCTGAGAATAATTGCTTAAGCCTCCGGGAGCGTCAGCTTTCATGCCGCGACTGTTATCCTAGGCCGATTTTGCAAGGCAACTGTCTTGTCTTATTGACTACGGGGTAGCCGTTCTCTCGAATACTACGTTGTAAACTATCTGTCATTTAGCTAGGACCGTTGTCACAGCCATCGAGGATCGCTTGACCCACAGCACTGGGCCTCCAATACCATAACGCTACCAACCTTCCCCGGAAAGATAATCTTAGACTATGGAGTCACTCTGCAGTATCTGATCAACTTGTTAGCCGGCGTTTTAAATACAGGGTCAGAAATAGGTTTCAACGGTCTCTTTCCATCCGATTCCTCCGGACCCCCTGTCATGATCGCCTTGACTACTTAACCAATAATAGTGTTGACTGATAATAACTGCCGCGACATTTGTATGCCGCCAAGACACGTCCTCACCCAAATTGAAATGTTTTACCTTGTCGTGCAGTGACTATTCCTTGACGATACGCCAACGGCTTCTCATAGTATCTCCGTTCTAGACTTAGCACTTTGGCGTCAGGGAGCCAGGGCTAGACCCAATCTGTATCATTCCCCAACGTCTTAGCGCGAGGGTATTTAAAGAGAAGCATAGAGCCGTTTTTGTTCCCACGTGTTTAATTCCCCGCCTTTATCTCTATCTCCGGTGACTGATTGTGAGCAGAGCCTCTCAAAGACGCCTGTTCAGCACGCCGTGACCCGTTCTACACCTGAATCATGCCATCTAAGACGCACAGTCAAGCCAGAAATGGGAACCGTAGGAGGTACGAGTCTGAGGCCTCGTCCCTTTGCCCTGCCGAACCTTAAAACTGACCGAGCTGACCTTACGCAGCCATACAAAGTCACGCATGGGCTGTTTGACGTGGTGTGTGGGACTTTAAAGGCTCTCGATACTAGTCGAACATACTAATCAGTATTTGTCTGGTCCAGTAAGCGCCGTCATATCCGCTGCGACGAGAATTATCCCCAGTGGTAGGTGGGCCATGCCTCTATACTAAGACGATCATCAGCTCATGGCCCCCCAGCCAGAACTGCACTAAGCATAAGGTCAAATGCTCCTTTCACGATACACCGTCACAAGAAGAGTTGCTGTTTCAACCCTCACCCGAAAATACTCCATCAAAGTCTTGTTCAAACTCGAAACCTCGTCGACCGTGGTCAGCCAAGGCCAGGGCAGAGGTAAGGCAGTGGAGAAGGACAGGGTCAATGCCCATACCGGATGATCGTATCAGAATAACCCTGCAACCGACCATTTACTCCGAAGATGACTTATGCTTCGTTTACCAAGCAGCAAGTAACCAACACAGACTTACGACGATGGGAGTGAGTAAGCTCACTGTTATATCCTCATACTTACCGAGGTTTGTTTGTCCAATAGTTTTCTTTCTCACCATGTTGACTCTCCAGCTTTTTTCGTATCATCTCGTCGTCTCGGCTGGCGATGAATGGAGTCCTCGCGCTTTCAGCATACCAGGTTGCGTCAGTTACTCACTGCCAACATGCCCGTCGTAAAGAGTATCAGTATCAGATGCTAGCCATCCAGGATCTCAGAAGATGTCTGTCCAACTTTAGACCAGAACATGCTGACGGAGCCCTCGTTGCCTCGATGGCACTGCTATGGCTCTGTGAAGACATGTAAGTGCGCCTCCCCTACGTGACGACGGAAATATTGACATGACCAGGTCGAGTCGAAGACAGATCACGGAAGGAATCTCAGCCGTAAGTAGTATCCTTTTGTCACGCCATATACCAAAGCTCATAAAATCTCAGATTCTACAAACATGCCATCGGTTAGGTCACCAATCCGGATTTTATCACATGATAGCAAAAGCATGGCGTCAAACTGCTCATCTGCACACAACACTCAAAACGGAATGCGGGAAGCCGAACGGACTACAGCGTATAATTGCCGAGATGCAGAAATTTAAAGCCCTCTTGAAAGAGCAGGAACCGGACGACGACACCTGGAGACAGCTGCGGCTACTCATCGCCCTGGCGGAGGACTTGACGAAACTGGAGCCGTCGACACCCGCCGACAAGCAATTCGAACGGATCCGGCTGCTGCGAGACTACAAGCTCTGGCTTCCTCTTAATGACCTCTTGACCGGCAAGAACCTGTCGAGCACGCTGATGGTCAATGCCTACTTATACACGATAGCTTTATACGCCCAGCGCCAAACATCACAGGCTTACATGATTGACCTGGGAGTCGACCTGCCTAGTTTGCTGGACGAGACGTTCCAGCAAATCACACCTGTAAAATCGTACATTGGGCCGCTCAATAACCTGAAGGCCCTGGTATCGTCATTGTCATAATACTAGTAATATTGAGTTACAGCAAGTTCAGATTGTGGCATCGGAATGGAACGAAAGCCACCAAGAAACAGGCGAATAATAATAGTAATAATAACCAATTGAGCTACAGTACCAGACATCAACTATGCCTTGTTTCAAGTGAATGTAACGAGCAAAAACTGGGCCTTGAACGGTCTTTTGCTTACCAAAACTCCCTCTCAGCTCATTAGCCAATAGAAGCTTACGCATATTCCACTGATAGACAAAACTGCATCCTGAATCCTATTCCTTACATTAAACATCTCACCGCCGTTTTGTATCGAGATGACTGCACAAAAAAGCCTCAGGCTTGAAGAAGTAGCCCTGGAAGACGTACCCCGTCTCACAGAGGTATGGTTCGCAGCTTTTACCGATCCTGGAATCCGACGCATTTGGCCTGATACACCAGCCGTACGCAACTGGTGGACCGAGGCGAACCGTCACGATCTGACTCATAAGCCGTTTCAACGCTACGTCAAAGTTGTCGATCCAGACTCCAAAGATGCTAATGACCGTCCGCGAATCGCGGCTTTCGCCAAGTGGGATACGTCGATGCCACGTGAGCGGGGTCGACGATATCTACCATGGGTTGAGGATCAGCCTGGTCAAGTCTGCGACGAGTTCATTGCCAAGGAGGAAGCGGAAAGACTCCGCGTCATGGGAGACCAGAAGCACTACTGTAAGGAGTTACTCGGACCTTGTACACCGGATCTGCTAACCACAATTCATCTAGATCTTGATACTCTGGTCACTCATCCTGACTATCAACGCTGTGGAGCTGGCTCAATGCTTATGAAATTTGGCTGTGATCTAGCAGACAAGGACGGGGTTGCAGCGTATGTGGATGCAAGCAAGTCTGGGGCCGGACTATACAAACGTTTTGGGTTTGTGGATGAGAGCTTACCCGATTCTGGTGACGTTGCTTCTATGGTTCGACGATAAGGCCCGACGGTCTTTTCAAATTTGACTGTGCCGCTGCAACGTCGTAAAGCTCAAAATTTATTAAACTAAGCGTACACTAGCCGTATACTGAAGTTGAAGCTATTCAGACATGCCCTTTGATATAGGTCTTGTATCGACCGGCAGAAAAACGATACATAATGTTGAGAACTACATAAAACTTCTGTATCTTGAGAGATCGGCAGTAGGCTGAAGTGCCGGCTAACATTTGCCATGCATGGTAGCTTTACCGGAGATAATCGGGGAAATACCATACCACGTTTTCTCCCGCGATCTCGTGTCGCACAAGCGAAGAGTACAGGGTCCATCCCAGCAAGCGTTTATCCTGCGACTGCAAGACATGTCAACTGCCTTGACGTTTCCAATCACCGATAATAGGTGAAGATACGGCCTGTGCCGCATGGAAATATTTTGTAACAGCTGTTTCTAGCCCTTCTCATGATAGACGAATATACGATAATTGCTTTCTTAGTCCTTTTCCTTACTAGCAAACGGATGTACATGAGGAAGCATTACAATTGTTATGCCTCATTGATCATTTCTCAATCTCTTTGTACTGAGATGCCTCTCCTTCGAGGCACAGTTTTGAGAGACTGAGGCTAAGCAATGGTTTAAAAAGCAGCGCCACTATTACTAGCAGGATGGCTGGAAGCGGATTATGTATAGCTGAAGAGGCCGGGTCAGCATAGCACTGGGGTCTCCTGATAAGCCTTGCACGTTCGAGTATATTAGGACCTGAATAGAGTGATTGAGAACAAGAGGTTTCCAAACGCCTTGAGCGAATAACAATGTAGTAGCCAACTTACTCATAAAACAGCATATAATATTGGCATAGTTATCGACAAGTTTATTTGATACAGGCAAGCATCTACTTTAAACTTACCGCAAAAAAAGAAAGAAAAGATCATAGTGTTATTTGATGCGTTACTTTGGCGCCACTCGCTGAGATATCTAACAAGGCTTACAGAAACTTCATACCTACTCATCAATATGTTCTAATTCCGTGGCGTACTATGAGAGTCAAATTAGGTATATATCGTCCAAGGCAGTACCAGTTTTGTATCATTATGAGCTACTATGTTATCTTACAGTAATCATGAAAATATATTATAAAACTCGATGAAAGTTACTCTCAAGAACCTTGTTGAGGTTCTTGGAACGCAAGTTCTTTAACAGAACATGTTACCTCTGTTGTAGTCTTTTCTCTATTTCACCAGCACTTTCTTCGTTCCACCATCTAGCACGAGGGCGGACTCTCTCATCCTTCAATTACGTATGAGTTGGAAGGTGACACGGGCAAATACATTTTCATTCTCTGACTGCCCTTCATCTATCGAAAGTTAGCGTCTAGGTCGCTCTCACCTAGCAACCTTTCCCTGTCCCATCCCATAACCCCGACCCTGGTGGGATGTCTTAGATTGCTAGATCTTCATACATACTCACTACTCGCACTCTAGCCCAACTCTTCATAGAATTTCGTAAAGAGCCTCAGCCCCATGTCATGTTACGCCGCGTAACCAATCATCCACCAGAACATCCAATTGCTGACATCTGTACGTCGGTTCCTCAATAATCCGAACCGAGGTCACGTCAATCACGAGGCATTCCCCTCTTCAAAGTACATTCTCATACAAAGTCATCATGTGCTCTATGCTGGGTGGAGTCTCAGGACATCATCGCCTTCGTACTCAATGCGGCATCTGCGGCCAGGTATTGTTGGCTGGCGTTAGCTTTGTGGCTTGTGAGTTTTGACGACACTCTTCTCATCTTCGTTCATCCGCTAACATCAAGTTTTGTAGTGCTAGGTAACGGTCTTGAACCCGAATCAGGACTTTGTCTTGATCGTGGAGTATTCCCAGACTCTCGGAGCATTAGAATTGGCAGAAATGTCCTATGCTGGGCACCGAGCTGCCGGCGATGCATAGATGCTACTGATGCAGTAGGCTTGCATTCTACCTGCCTGGACCTGTTCCGAGAACACTGCAAAATCGAAAATGCGGTTGAAAGATTGTGGATAACGATTGGCAAGAGAAACCTCTGGCAACGGGCTCCAATTCTTCAGCTAGATCGTGAAACGGGACTTGACATTGAGATTGTCCGCGAGAAGGCAGAAGCTTATGGTATTCGAATACTGAAGCTTCTACCACCAGAGCTCATCCACATGATACGAGAGTACAGCGATTCAGCAACGTTTTGGCGCTACATACATGTTCTCAGCCTAGCTCGGGAGCTGTCCTGCTTGCAGCCCGACGTTGTTCCACGGATTGCTTGGATACCTTTGTGTAATATCCTATCTTGGACACGAGGAGATTACGCTGCTGTGTTATCAAGCAACTGCCCGCCATTAGTACGTTTGACTCTCGATTACAGGGGGATACGTAAGATCGAGAGGCTGTCGAAATCATCATACGAGCCCAGACGGTCGGACAGGGAGGCATTTGTCATTTCGCCTGCGATATGCTTTCAGGATGTTGTCGCTGTGCTAAAGGTGATGAGGTTGCTCTGAATATTGGAATGATCTGAACTAACCCAGTACACCTAGTTTCACGTGTTGCGGCTTGAACTCCCTTCATCTCTGTTGGGGTTTCATATCTGGGATACCCCCAACCCCCCTGATATTGAGGATTGTGACTTTTACGGCCGCGTGACACCGGCCATGCAATTCAAGACCACCAACCTACGCAGTGTAACGGGCCTCACTTTCTTCTTCTCTTTTAGTAAGCTCTACGCAATACACGCGCATACACATGCGAGACCTTGTGCAACGAAAACATTCAACCGCCTTCCTGCGAAGCGACAGGAAAGTGTCGTATGGATATATTTACCGATGCCGAGAGATGAAGAAATCACCGCGATCGCGATGCGGTTGAAGGTCGAAGGAGGAGGGGCTACAACGCAGAAGCCTTTTTTCATGGTATTGATTCCCCTCTTGTGATTGACTGTCACAATGCTAATGAAGATAGATTCGTACAAAGCTAGCTGGGGATGTATATGTTGGCCCATGCCACCTTAGGCAGCACAGAGACATCGTTCTCAGCCAGTCAAGTCCAGAACTGCTCATTCATAGTGTTGCAGATGTCGGACCAGCTACTGTATTCGGAACATATCCGCGCAAGCAGCACCGGGATACTTTCTCGCCGTTTGACAGCCGCTGGCCGAATATGGATCCTCTTCTTCATCTAATGTTCGAGCATATGTATCTTTCAGTGGCGCCGTTAAAGGACGTGACTGGTATTCAGGTTCTCGAAGACGAGGACTTTGAATGCAAAGGCATGATATTCGACTATAGCAACGGTGCTCAGAGAGCCTTGGGGGACTGTAGATTTGGTCTTTATCGTGCCAAAGCGTATGTGAGGCCACGGCGGTTGTGCTACTGTCATGTCCAACCTACACCGGCAATAGTGCGAGGCGTTCACGTCGAGATCGGAAATGAGTCGAGCCATGCACACAGTGGCGATGACTGGAAGTGTTCGGAAATGGAAGGGAATATCATGTTTTGGTTTTCTAAGGAACATTCAGTCATCGTCCGCCACCCCGTCGAGAACACAACAGCGCAGTAAGGGGTCCGTGATGCTTGGCAGCTCTTTTGTTTCCTTGGCGGTTATTCCAGTTTCGTCTTGATCAACTGATATGCAGAGGCAGAGCTCCTGAGTCCACTACAGGTATACGTCAGTGTAATTGATGATCCCCAAGCGCGAAATCGTGATCCAGCTGGGGTCATAGCATCTCAAGATCGCCCACAGCAATTGCCGTGACAAGATATGAACGCCAAGAAATCGTTGATCAAAGGTTGCACCAAAGCTCGGCTTTATAGAGAATTCCCTGGTCGACAAACGCGGCTCGTTGCGTATGATGTGATATTTGCAAAACACAGATTGAACAGTGATCGTCCGATGAGCTGATCTAAACGGTCTAGTACGACTCCAGACTGCTTGGACACTTTTCTACATTGGGCTTTGTGATCTTCATTCCCGGACGTAAAGTCCGGCTAGTCCAGAGATTGTCCAATAAAGAAGTGGTCATAATCAGCCCCGTTGACATTGGCAATTCAATAGTCTGAGACTTGACAGGCGCCAAGCGGATGGGCTTGATGTCACCTGTGGAATCGCCAACGCCGTTGCAATCCTGGCGTTGTCATTGTCGCATTTTCGCAGCGTAGTAGTCTCACAGAGGCCAGCTTTGTGCGCGTCATACCTGCAGCCACGCCAATATGAAGGAATTGAAAAGTGATGAGCATTTTATCTAAGGAGGAGACCATGGTTACTACGTCAGCCGTTGAGCATTCTCCGGGTTTACACCATTACCTACACCATCCCCGTTACTTTTGAGTTCCCTGTTTTCCACTCACACCAAATTTCTTCTTTTTGCATAATCTTTCCTTTCAGGGTCCAGGCGTCGAAGAAAACTAACCAGTCATCACGCGCGAAATTTCACGACGTTGCGAAAATGGCATCCGGTGCAGAAGTTCATGGTGCGAATGGCTTCAATGGTCACCACCACCACCAAAAACAGCAGAGGACTCACCTGAGCGAATTCGGCACTCATATGGTAGCGGCATCTGGTGAATTTGTCGGTACCTTTTTCTTCTTATACTTTGGCTATGCTGGCAACGTTATCGCTGTTCTTCAAGAGCCTGCCGCTGCACCCAATGGCGCATTGGCCAATAACACCATCATCTGGATCGCAATGGCATACGGCTTCTCCCTCTTGGTCAACGTTTGGGCCTTTTACCGAATCAGCGGTGGATTGTTTAACCCTGCGGTAAGCTATTATACTCGTGGGCAAGCTCGATGTGCTGACTGCCATGCTCGTAGGTCACCTTTGGCCTCTGTCTTGCTGGCCAACTGCCATGGATGAGAGCGCTGTACCTGTTCCCAGCTCAGCTCATCGCTTCAATGTGCGCAGGTGGTCTAGTCGAAGCCATGTTTCCCGGAAGTGCCTCGCAGGCAAATACCACGCTCGGTCCCAATACTTCGATAGTGCAGGGCGTCTTTCTTGAGATGTTCTTTACAGCCCAGTTGGTCTTCGTCGTCTTGATGCTTGCTGCGGAGAAATCCCGTGATACGTTTCTCGCGCCAATTGGCATTGGTCTCTCTGTTTTTGTGGCCCTCATTCCAGGTAAGTAGCCTCCCTTCTCATTACTTCTTCGAGGTTGACGATGAAATCGCATCATAGGTGTCTATGTTACAGGCGGATCGTTAAACCCTGTACGGTCTTTTGGCTGCGCTGTTGGTGGTAGAGACTTCCCTGGCTATCACTGGCTTTACTGGGTAGGACCTCTTCTTGGTGGTGCTCTTGCTGCTGGCTACTTCAGGCTTGTCAAGATGATGCACTACGAGGAAGCAAACCCGGGGCAGGACAGTCCAGTCGACGTCTAAGCGGCGGCCACAGCGCATCAGCATGTTTGAGAAATACTAGTGGCTCGGGAATGTGTCTTGGAAAGCAATCTGCCCCTTGTCATTTACATCAAGGGCAACTTCATAAAAGGTTATACACTATAATAATGTGACGGCACGGCGGAGTTGGTCATCAAGCGTAATAACATATTAATCACTAAATGCTAAACGAAAGACTCGTATCTCGCTCAAACCCAAGAATTGCCATGATTAATCCTTTCTAAACATTTAATATACAGCAAATAACCCATTTAACGACCTAAATCACGCTTTGAGTACCAATGGTCCCTGGTCATCTTGGAACACTACATCCCACCAATTCTGCTTCTCCTTCTTCGCCCAACTTGACGTGCAAACGGTGTCAAAGTCCGTCTTGACCATACCACGCTGAGCAGGCATGAACCGTCTGATAGTTCGGTATGCCTCAAGACCCCAGTAGATAGCCCTGCCTTCGGGGATATCGACCCTACCCAAAGGCTGCTGTCGGCGCTGAGTGAGCTGCGCGTTGACAAGCTGGCGAAGGTAGGGGAAGAACCACATGCGGTCCCACCACAAGACTCGTCGGGTCTTCAGGTTGTTGATATGGGCGTTGTGATGGATGTTGATGGGGATGGCGGTGGTGAAGAAGTCGGCGTACAGGGTCATGTCACCCCAGTTCAGTGTGCGTCGGTCCTCTTCTGAGAGAATGCGCTCCAGAGGATTTGTCGCGTTGGCAATTTCCTCGGGAACAGCTGTAAGACGAACAGGCTCAATCTCGAGCTCTCGAGATCGCTCGGCAATATATGTCTGGTTGTTGAGCGTCAAGATATCACCGTCATCTTCCTCGAAGACAGTTGGGATGGAGATGGTCTGGTTGTAGTCGAGGCCAACGTGGAACTCGAATTGATCGCGGACCATGGCGGAAACATTGTGAGAGGGATCAATAGCATCGCCAAGCTCGCGTCGCCACGTGCGCCACATCTCTTGCTCTCCCCAGATCTCGCCGAAGAAACCCTGGTCGCTGTAGAAGTGATCTCCCTGCTCAGCCTTGCCAAGCTCGTAACGCTCTTGGGCGCGACGGAAGTACTTTCGCATGTCACCGACAGGTCCGATGAAGGCACCACTGTTGATGTACTTGGGTCGGACATCGACCATGCGCAAGTTGGGATCTTGGTCTGTCTCAGGTCCGTAGAGATCCTCACGAAGAGGAGACTCTGGGAGAGCATCGCAATGCAGGTTGGAACCAGACTTGGCTCGGGGCCAGCATCTCTTCTGGGCGGACACCATGATGGTCTGCTTCATGGGCATCTCAGACTTGTGTGGCCATTGCTTGCGAAGACGTTCGTTGGCCTCTTCGTTGAGAGCATGGTAGCGCCAGAGGAGTACACTTGGAGGAAGCTGGAACCATGAGTCTGCGCTGTCGGCGACCATGATAAGATCATCCTCGTTTAAGTGGTCCTTGCTTGAACTGCCTTGACGGGAGCTCCAGTCAAGATAATCGAGGACACCAGCGATCTTGGCAAGATGTGAACCACTCTTGCCCCAGTTCAGGATGACGGGGGCGGGATAACCAAGGGCAACTGCTGTTACAATGGCTTTGCAGACGTTGACGCCGGGGGCGTTGGCTGGGAGGAGGATGACGAGACGGCGGTTGAAGATGTTGCCCACCTTCTTGGGAGGCTTGACCATGACGGGGATGCCAGCGGGCGAAACGGGCGAAGCGGGTGAAGCGACAGGTGGAGAGACTGCATCTTGAGTTTCGCCCATCTCGAATACGTCGGCGGTTCCATCGGAGAGGTATTGTCGACCCTGCAATTGTCAGTCAATTGAAGATCCCATCAGTGATTGCGATGTCGCTTACCTCTAGAGCCGCAAGAGCCAAAAACGTAGGAATGAGAAGAATAGCCGCCAACATAAGCAAAAAGCCTCTCGTTGACAATCGCAGGAACCTCCTCGGCATTATCTGAGTATTCTCAGCCTTATCCTTGACATTGGTCGTCGGCAATTCTTGGTATCCGCCGCTGAACATTTGGCGGAACCAGCCAGCACCCTCATGAGTGCCCGTCATAGCTGAGAGAGAGGAAGCAGAATGAACCAGACCAGTAACAAAACTGACCAAGCTTAACCTGCGCTTTCAAAAGAGTGTTTAAATGAATGAATGAGCGATCGAAGGACGTCGAGGGACATGCTGAGGGGTTCCGCTGTGACATGACTATATACCAGGGAGTTCAACGGTGCTAGATGCGCAGAAAAGGAGAAAAAAAGCCACTGGAATTTCCAGGCCCTCCCTTGCACGCAGTCCATTCCCTAACCAATTGGGCATTATTGGACTGATTAAAATCACTGGCATATCGCCACAAACAGGTACATCCATCCGCTTGTTAAGGAAAAAGGGACTAAGTGGCTTGCCAAGATCTTGGTGTGCTGAATTATCGATTCAAGGGAGGGAAAAAAAGAATACCAGAAGGAAAACTGACTCCACCTGTGCATGGCGCTATCGCCGACCTAAACCCGCCTAGAATTAATTACTGTTGGGCGTTGTCTCAGCCCCGGAGGCTAAAATCAGGGGTTGACCTCAGCGCAGATTTAGCGTGACGAGCGCTGCACAACAGCAGTCTAATGGACAAGCTTGATTTTACAGCGCCAAAGCATCGCTGCCGCCAAAGGATCATGATGAGAACGACACAGGGTCTGCCAAGCAGACGATTCTTGATCTCGTGAAACAAATCTCCAGTCTTGAAGATTAAGTCTGAGCACAAGATGGATGGATGCTAGAAAGATGGATCGCGGGCGATTGCTATAAAGTTGCCAGCCCCAACCTGGAGTTTAATCAGTTCGCGATGCGATTATCGATGTGAGCATTCTTCCCTTGCCTCGGTCAACTCTAGCCAAATATTGACATGAAGCCTACTTTCTGCTCTTTGGTGTCATATCAACGCATTTCGGGCCGTTCTTCTTGCAGTAGACAGTCAAAAATTCCACGGCATGTCTACACGACCTTCAATCGCACATTTCTGCAATTTCTTGGACAGCATTGTGATCAAGTTGAGAACCCGTCTCGCTTCTACAAACTGCGAACCTCTAGGCACCCCCGAGTTTTTCTTCTGTCACTGGCCCCTGTCTTCAGGTGCGCCATCTTCCCCAAGCTATTGGCATTAGTTCCCCGGCCGGCCTTCGCAACACATGCAGGAACAGGAAAACGTCGGAGACCTTATGATGATCCTTATCAAGCAATAAGAAATGTCAAATGAGTCTAACCAGAGTTAAAAAAAAAATTCATCGCTACTCTATCGCTGTGACTATCGCTAATGAGACCACAATTTAAGGCTGAAATGCATCCAGGTTATTCGCCCCGATCTGAACTCCTTGCATTCTTGGTACCGTATCAGAAATTCCTCAGGATGCGAGGGAGGACAAAAAGTGTCTGATCTCTGAGACCTCACCAATCATGACTCCCTCGGACGTCTCCCGTTAGACATGATTTAAGCATGTATCGGGATCGCGCGATGCTCAAATCGTGAGAAGGAAGATTCCGATCTTATCGTGTTTCGGGCAGCGCCCACATCCCGGGCTTGTGACTGTCTCCAGTACAGGGCCATGGGAAATGGACGATCCGCCTGCGTCCAGAACCCCTCCCCACTAACTGCGCGCCGACGATATTCGCGTGCCCCCTGAATTAACCCCTCCACGTCTTTTCGCTCCGTCGTGCGCTTGTCCCATTTTAATCTCAGCGCGTTGAAGTCGTCGCTGACCAATATTGGTGCTCTGACTGTTCCCTCTGAGGATTGCGATGAAGATAACAGGAGTTTGTATGTCTCAAGCGTGAGGAATGGGCTGTAGACAAGTGTCTCCTCGTCCATCATTCGTCCAGCCTCACCCAGATTCGCAATTGATGGTGTTTTTAGTACAGATATATCGAGACTCTGGAGAAAGGTCTCGTCGGCAGCTGTGAATGTTGGGTCTTGTGCGTAAATTCTCAATTTGCTGTTATCGCTCGTTGATAACGTTAGATGAGATGCGATCGCCATCAGCACAACCAACTGTTTGATGCGTCGTTGTTGGTCCTTAGTGTCCAACAAGCTGCCCAGGCCCAGCGAAACAATCTTGGTAATGCGCGGTCGGTTTTTTGTTCGCAGCATATCTTCAATTGCCTTAGCTAGGGCGGATTGGTTGTAAATTTCCATGGCATCTTCATATAGTCTGTATAATTGTTGGAGTTGTTTGCCAGATGATCCGTTGCCTTTTCTTGAAGTTTGTGACTTTTTGCTGGGCGTGTAATGATCTGCACCTGTTAACAGTCTGGACCCAGGGCCCTTGGTTGAGAGGCTCACCATCGCCATCGGCAACCTGCATCTTCTTGGAGTGTCGCATCTTTACTGAAGCACTGATTGAAATATCTTGTGTTTGTTGGACTAGAATTTTGACGTTTTAGACAATTCAAGAGATGATCCTGGCTCTTTGGAAGTGGTCGATGCTTGTTTATTGTACTCAAACTGAGGGTAAGACTGCTTCTATTTAACATGACCACCGCGCATTTATCTTCTGATATATCCATCCGCGACATGCCTATTCTGTATCTTCTATTGCGTGCTCGGTGTTCGGTCTCTTGCTGCGCATGTCAGCAAGGCCTTTGTAATCCTCTCGGACAACGATGCCGTCCGCATAAGCAGTTGACAGCAGTAAGCCCAATTTCTAAGCTAACGGCCGCTAATCTATTTTCGGATCAACGTTACAAATCGAACAAGATGACAAAAGCTTCAATGACGACAAATCTGGGCTTGAGCTGGATCTATTACATGAGGTATCCGGAAGTAAACTAGAAGAAAATCTGGTCGTATCAAATTCATTGATTCTCTTCACATATATCCATCAATAATTCCCGCTGTTTGAGATGGTAGATTCAGCAGTGTCTCTGTCTGTCGCACGGAGCGGACGATAAATTATCCACGATAACAGATCAGTAATACGGCTACCGGCTCTCATCTGCAGCATCAATCATGGCTATTCGGCAAGTGACTCACTTTCAATCATGAAGATATCATTCCTATAATCTCTTTTCGTATTAAATGTGACTCACGCGATAAAGTCGACTTCAATCCTTCGAGCCATTGCAGATTGCGCAACTCGGACACTTTGAAGTCCGACGTTTCACTCGAATCTGAACCAATCTTGGCGTCTTCCCTCACTCGCTTCCCCAAGAGCTCGCATTCAATTCCCCGGTAATACTATTTCTTACAACTACAGGGCCGACTTCCACACTGGGATCCTTCTCGTCTTCCATCTTTTCTAAACGGTTTAATGAGTTTGGGAATGCCAAAAGAGCTGATAACACGAGCCCTGTTGAACCAGAGGTGGTAGATACCCTACTAACAGACTGTAGTGTGAAAGACAGAGGTAGATGTTAGTGTCGCATCAGCACAAATCTTCACACTACGGGCGATTAAACTCTTCAGAAGAGCAATAGCAAGGGAAGTTCCACTGCAATGTTCTAGCAACTAACCATACATCGTTTCCCAGCAGTTCAATCTCTATACATTGTTTCTAGCTAAACCGGTTATCCGCCCATGGAACCTTCATACCCATAAATGACGATCGCGACGACTTTCTCACCGGCTCTTGATTCGGCTGCCCATAGTTCGCAGGTCCAGGCGGCGCATAGGGCACGAAGCCAGGCTCAGGCGTAGTCTGACTCGGCGGCGTGTAAGTCTCCGGAGGCGACAGCGAAGCAAGATTCTCTGGCGGAGGAGTCTGTTGCTGCATCGGCTGATACGCCTGGAATGCGTTCGCCAACGATCCAGGAGGGGTCGAGTGTCGCACATTCTCTCCAGCTCCGCCAGGCTGGTATGGTCTGTACATGGGAGTCTTAGCACCCGTGATGGGTTTCCTTCTGATAGGTCCTTTTGACTGTTCGTTTGTTGGGGTGATCAGCTCAGACTGACGTTTGTACAGTGGGTTTGGACTAAAGTCGAGGATATCCTGAGCAGGACTATATAAGTCTGCGACGGAGTTGAAAGAAGGGCCCGATGGCGTGATAGATGGTCTCGTTATGGGTGAAGCGATACGGTGACTCGGAATATCATCCACCACGATCTTCTCAGAAGCAAAGCTAACGGACGGCCCAGCTCCCTGAGTTTGAGCCTCAGGCGATGTTGGTTCATATATTGAACTTCTCCTGCTCTCCTCGTGCACCGGTTTGGGGTCATCGTAGTCGAGTTCCTGCTTCTTGTTCTGCACGCCTCGAATCACCGCAGTGATGGAAGCATCGCCAGAAACCATCGCGACCCGGATTGCCTCCATGATGACTGAGATATGGTTGGACAGGATCTTCACGCACTCATCTCTGCCTTCCCCAAGGGCTTTCTGCAATGCATTGAGACCTTGCTTGTTCCTGATCAAAACATCTGCGCCACGATCAAGCAGGAACTGAACAGACTCATGATCACCACCCCAGGCTGTGACGATAAGCGCTGTGTCTCCTTCGTTATCAGCATAGTTAATGTCTGCACCAGCATCCAATAACAGGCTAATCGAGTCTCGCGGAAGATAAATCGCCGCGTATGTCAGAGGAGTCGAGTTATACTCTCCTCCAACGACAGTCACATCTGCTTTGGCTTCCAAAAGCTTCTTGAAGATGGCTTCTTCACCCTTGCTTGCCGCAGCGATGATGGGATGAGTAAACTCGCCTCCTCCAAGGTTAGGATCAGCGCCATGCTCGAGCAGGATATCGACAATATCTCCTCTGCCGGACTCAACGGCCGCTTGCAAAGCGGTACACTTGGGCATGTGGGTATTGGTCGTGGTTGCGTTGACGTTAGCACCACGCTCCAAGAGAAGGTTGACAACATCGACATGACCTTGGTCTGCAGCAGTTTGGAGGGCCCATCCGTCAGCGGAGTTGATGTCGGCACCAGAGTCGAGAAGCAGCTTGATCATCTCGATGGTGCCGTCAAAGGCAGCTGCTGTTAAGGCATTCCCGTATCTTTGTTCTGCGGTTAGCTCATTGTGCGTCTCAACTATCTCACTAAAGACTTACTCTTCACCAGTTGCATTCGCGTTAGCTCCATATCTCAGTAGCAACTCCACAGTTCTCTGGTTCTCAAAGTCCGTAGCTTCATACAAGGACTCATCCAGCGCCTCAGGTGAGATATTGCCCTGGGAATACTCCCACATGGCTTCCAAGATACGAATCTCGTCATCGCCGTCTTCTCCCTGTGCGGTCTGCAGGAAGGTTTTGTCACAGTTCAAGTCGGGGCAGTGATCGAGGATCAATGAGACGATCGCCCAGTGATTTTCGAAAGATGCTCCATCAAGGGCATCCTGTTTGAACTGCTGACTGTGCTCAAAGTCATGGAACAGCCGCGAGAAAGCTTCGAATCGACCGTATTCTGCTGCTTTGACGAGGGCGATGCCGAACTCTTCTGGAGGTAGTTTGTCAGAGTATTCCTTGATGAGAAACTCGAACACTGCAAGGTCAGCTCTCATAGCTGCTAGAGCCAAAGGTGATGTGATAACCTCCTCCTCTTCATCATCCGAGTCAGAGTCGGAATCTGAACCTGACTCTGAACTTTCGCCCTTATCACTCTCCTCATCCGCATCACTGGCTTTGGCTTCCTCGTCTTTATCCTCTCCCTCACCATTCTCAGCCTCAGCCGCATCATCTTCATCATCCTCGTCCTGGGTGACGAGCGAGACATTATGAGTTACCAGAAGCTTCACGGCGTCAGTGTTTCCAGACTGAATAGCCGCACAAATTACACCTCCGTAAGCACCACAGCTAGCATTGGGGTTCGCTCCCCGTTGCAGTAGCTTACTCATAACCTTGACGTTTCCTTCAGCTGCTGCTCTGTGCAAAGGAGTGATAAGATTGCCCTTGATGCCTTCGTCGATGTTGGCACCTCTGTCAAGAAGCTCCTCGGCAATTTCATCATGCCCGAAAGCGGCTGCGTAATGGAGCTATATCATGTCAGCTCGTGCCCTTTACAGCTCAAAATCTCATCGGATCATGTTTCTAATGAATGCCCTCACTTACCGGAGTATTGTAGTCAGTATCCATCGCGAACTTATCGTCATCGTAGCCATGATCCATCAAAGCAGCAACTAGATCTCGAAATCCGATCGAAGCAGCAACATGAAGTCCAGTTAGCTTCTCTCGAGAATAATAAGCAAAAGAGCTAGTAAGTCGATTGTGTTCAGTCAACCAGCGGCGTCGAATGGTGGAATCCGTCTGCCAGAACTTTTCCTCAAGGCTCAGTGCCTCTGCGATATCAGCAGTCGCTTGGCTGGCGTGAGGCAGCCAATGTGTAACTGCATAGGCCAGAGCTATGTCTTTGAGGTATGGAGCTTCGGGATCTTCATCAATCTCATCATCTCCATCTTCCTCATCGTTTGACTCTTCCGAGGCAACGGAGGCGTTGTCGTTCTGAGATTCATCGTCATGATGTGATGCATTGTCGGATTCTTCTTCAGCCTCTTTCTCGGTGACTTCCTGATCGTTTCCTGCTGCTTCGCCAGAGTTTGCTTTCCCTGAGGCAACACTCTCCCCATCGTCTGGGCTTGCTTCTATAGTACCAGCAACCTCGCCCATCGCTCCGTCTATTTGATGAGGGACATCAGAAAGCGGGAAGTCGAAGATCTCTAGGATGTGACTGAACGCACGGAAACCCAAAATACCATGCTGTAGCTTGATGTCTTCGCTGGTGAGACCAAGCAACATGTGTGCATGTTCAAGAAGATGGGTCTTGACCACCGGCTCGGTGAAGCACACGGTCTTCTCTTGGAGGGCGTTGTCCTTCAGTACGATCAAGGGTCTACACTTCTGAATCAGATCATGCAGCTCTGACACTTCGGCTGGTGAAGAGTCTAGACCAGCAAGAAGACCAAGCTCAGCCTCGGTTGGATCTTGATAAGTAAGGACCAAAACACGAAGCATTTCCTTGATCTCCCCAGCCTTGCTTCGGTTGTTATCAAACACTTGCTTCCATGCAGAACTGAGCAAATCATCTAATTCTTGTGGAATGACTTCGAGAAGACGGCGGACTTGGAGGTCGTTTTGATGCTGAGGAAGCTCCTCGAGGTGATCACAGGTGATGTCAATCCACTGCGTGTTTTGAGCTCGCTTACCGATAACACTGCTAGCAAAGTATGCAAGAGCTCTGCTATACTTCTTATGCTCGATCAGCTCCAAAACCTTGTTCTGTGCGTGTCTACGGAGCTCGAGCTGGACTTGGTCTCCATATTTCGCGTCCTCAAGATCAACTAGTCGGACAGTATCCCTTCTCAAGGCCCGATCAATGTCCCAAGATTGGCCACTGGTGAACATCCATCGAACCAGTGGACGTCTCCCGGTACCGTCATGTTCAACTTCCGAGCTGAGCAGGGTCAAGAGAGTGTTTGTAGACACGGCGTCTTGTGCGAGGGTTTCGATATTGTTGATGACAAAGTATACCCTGGCCCCAACAAATACATCGTCTGCTAGAATATCCTGAAGAACCTGCCATAAATTCTCGACTGTCAAAAGAGGCTGCGTTTCTCGACCTTTCTTCTTAAGCAGAAACTTGGCGTGCGTGGCCAGAAGCCCTTGCTTCTCAATAAGTTGGCGTACAAGAGCCTTCAACAAACTCTCGGCTGAACCATAATCTGGCGTCTTGTCGCAGAAGAAGTAAGAAAGATAGTTCCGCGATGAGCCTGTGTATGGTTCATCTGTAATTTCCTCTTCGTAAACCTCCTCGTCCTTGGTCAACTCTTCAATCTTTTCGATAGCCGATAAGGCAGCGCTTGTTTTGCCACGACCATCACGACCACGGACCCAAAGACAATCCTCTTTCTTGACAAGCGAAGTATCTTCGCCCTCATTAGGTTTGGCCAACCAGCCCAGAAACTCTGGTTCTTTTGAGAACCATGGGGAAGTGGTTGTATTCTGAGCAATGCTTTCCCTTTTGCTTTGCACTGGTGCACCTTCTAGAGTTCGTAATGCAAGGTTCACTGTCGCTGGATCGGTGCGTCGTGTTGCATTGTGTCGATTCTTGACTCGTAGATGTGAACCGTTGATAAGTCGTTTCAAAGGCCCTCGGACTAGTGTGTATCGTTCATCCTTGGAGCTATCAAACTTGACCAAATCTCGATGATTCGCAGCTAAGCCCATCGTCTCCATCACACCATCCAAAATCGAGGAATCTCTTGTGACAAACTCTGCATACTTCTTGGGCATCGGAATGCTAAGCGCCGATAAGAACTGAGGCATGCCAGAGAGATCCTTGATTGTCGTAGGGTGTTCTTCATAGAAACCACATAGCTCGATTTTGGGGTTTGTCTTGATTACTAGTCTGACAAACTCCTTCCGAAGCTCGGCCAAGCTTTCGTCGTCTGGTCTCATCAGCTCAAGGAGTTTAGAAGCTGTTGCATGGCCAAGCTTCTCTCCAACTGAGGAAAGCATGCATGCCAAAGAAGCTGCCTCAGCGCCCTTGAACGGTGTCCCGAAGAATGCGCAACCGGCTATGTCTTCGAACATGTTTGGGAAGAGATCTTGTCTCGTTGCAGCAATGCAAATGGCCTGGTTATATCAGAACAAGTCGACAACGTAAGAGCAATGATTCTTACCTTGGCAATGACAAGTCCGCCCATACTGTGACCAATAAATGTGATTGGCCGAGGAAAGGCCATATTCTGAATTCCTTGTTAGACCAAGCTCTTTGACTCATGCAGATAAACGATGCAACCTACCTCTCTGTTCATCTTCAATCCTTCGAGCAGAGTCTGGGCCAGATTACCGAGAAACTGCTTCACCTTGATGGAACCAGTCCATGAGGATTCACTGTGATACAGAAGAATTCTAGCATTTGGAAAGTCGCGAGCTATACCCTCCTCACTAGCCCAATTAAAATCGCTCGTAGTCGATTTGAAGCTCAGCAAAGGATGAGCTCCCAGACCCGGCACAAAAACAATACTGTTGGCGTTTTGGTGAGTCAATTACTTCGATAACCATGTCTTGAGTCGATGCTTACTCCATGTCCGTCTTTCTTGTCGAGTCTGGCTCGGGATAGAGCTGCTTAATCCCCTGCTCAACATTCTCATAACCCTTCTTCTGCTTAGGAGCAGCCCCAGGAGGGCCGCGTCGCGTTGCTGTTCGACGAAGCGACATCTTGGCCGATTAACTCAAAATAGTCTTCGAACGTACGTTGGTGTTGATCTGACAACGTTCACGTCTCCTAATTCTCGTCTTACGGGGGAGTAGTGGCCACTACAGCTCCCGTTTCATTCTTGGCCCCCACATCTTGGCTTACTGGGGGTCTATGTCAGCATCTGCTGAGCTTTTTAGTCCGCGTTATGCGCTTAACATTCGTTCTCCAGAGTAAGCACTTACACAGCCGATGCCTCGTTAGTGTCTCATCGATCGTACATGGTGCCACTGCCCGGTCTGGTTGCTCCTTTGGGCTGAGACGCATGGTGCGCCTAATAAAAGAAATTGGACTGTCAGCACGGCGCAGCGGGCTGTCCCCTTTTCCCGAGGTGCAATCCGTGGGCGCATTGTGATCTATTGCATGCAAGTGAATGGGGATAGCGCTTCTTAGAGCCCAATCATGGATGGTCTTATCGGCCTTAAGAGCAGGGTTTGCTTACCAGCCTTATGACCCTTGCTTGGTAATGGGTCAGCTTTAATTTCCACTCTTTTCTTTTCTGTTTACGCGAGCTTTCGAACAAACTCGCCGTCGTTGGGGCACTCGCTCTATTTATGCTCTTCGATAGACTTAAATATCTTACGCCGAATTGCTGAATCTTATATCTCACTATGGCTAGCCCACCGCCGCCATTTACGGTCCGCGTCTTACAGAAGGACTTTCTCAGCGACGGCTTGGAGTCCAAGGATGAGTTTAATAGCCTTCTCCCTGCCAGCAACCGCTTCAACGATGACATCGTCGTTCCTACATCAGACCCCAACTTCCTAGAGCGGGAATTATCGGTTTCGCGCCTCAATGACGTGCAAGAATGGCTCTGGGCTTGCGGTCGCCCAATGCCGCCTCGGCCACTTCATCACCAACGACTCATCTCACGGGAGATCGTTATCAGCGAGCTCTCTGAGCTGCACATGATCTGGTGGAGAAATCGCATTTTCCTCAAGCCTATACCGGCTTATCTACTTGATCCCGACTTCTGGGTCAGCAACATCAGCGACACGGCGCATCTTGAAGTGACCGAGGGGAACATTGATGCCTCGGCACGGGGTTTTCTTTTCTCGTACGCTGCGCTCATCGCATACAAAAGTGACTTTCGCATCGCAAAGGAGCATGGATTACTGCCTGAGGAAGTGACATGGGAGGGCTGGAAGGCATTGACTGCCCAGGTTCTCGAGAGCCACCGCTACGATCGTGTCAATCCGCGCTACTGGTACGGAGAACTGCGATTGAGTAGACTCAACAAAGTCTACGCGCTTCGAAAAGGATATCTACTACGCGGTTACTCCCGAGTCGCGTCGCACACGGTCTATGGCGATCTCATTCGCGACAATTTCTCGGTGCTGGCTGCTGTTCTCGGTTACGTCGTGATAGCGCTCACGGCAATGCAAGTTGGATTGGGTGTTGATCGGTTGGTTGAGAATCAGGCGTTCCAGGATGTAAGTTACGGATTGACGGTTTTTACATTAATCGTGCCGCTCATAGGAGCGCTCTTCATTTTCTTGTTTGTGTTTGTCATGATTGTCAGCAATTGGAGGGTCACCAAGGCGTTTGAGAGTCGGCGCCTGAAGAAGATGAAGGTAAAACTCTTACGGAAGAAGTAGGCAGACGAACAGGCGAATCTAATATTATTATTATTAATAAATTGCAAGAGCATGCAGAAACTTCCTGGATGATATACGGCTGGCAAAAAGAGAAACTACCCTCTGTTGAGACAAAAGGTTTGATTGTCTCTAACCTCTCATATCAAGTTTCCATTTATCTCCTGAAAGATTGCTTGTTATGGGATGCCACAGAACTACTCGGGTAGGGTCTAGAGACCGACCCCCCGTGCTTTCCTTTCCACCGTAGGTGCCCGTGCGTCAAGCACGGGGGGTAGGCTGACTAGGGAAAGGGGCGGGTGACTGGGGAATAAATTAGATACCTCATTTTTGTATGTAGCCCCACCAAAAAAATAAGTCACTCCTTTAGTTGAATTGTCCCTCTTTACTGCACTGATGATGCCCGCGATATGTCATTACCCCTCACAAACATCGCAACGAAATCACCACTCAACGTCCTCAACACCAACAAGGTAATTACTTTATTCAGTCATGATAATTGCAATTTCTATTCAATTGAGACGATGGATACATCAATCAAAAGCCCTGAACCGGCTCTTACTGCAGTACAAAAATATATCAATTCTGACACCGGAAACCCTAATGTCTTGCGATATACAGCTCATAACCTTGAGACGCGTACTGTCGCGGCTGTCGAGCTTCTAAGGGAAGGATATTACTCCTCAGCTGTTAAAGCTGCTAAGGCATGGAGGGTACCATATAAAAGGTTGCTTTCTCGACAAAAAGGAAAACATCCTGTCTCTCAAAATGGCGGCAACTTCACGCTTTTTTCGCCGGAAGAAGAGAAGGCGATCCTCGCTTGGTGCTGGCGCCGCGTCACTCAGGGACATCATATACAGATGCGTACTCTTCGACAGTATGCTAATTCAATTCTAAAAGCAACTGACCGACTTCCAACGGCTTCTAGATACTGGGCAAGACGTTTTCTAAGAAGATATTCCTCTATTCTTCATAGAAAGAAGAGTTCAACCATCGCAGTGCAAAGAAAGGCGATGGCAGACCGAGCCAACGTCGAAGAGTGGTTTCGCAAGTGGCATGATTACGCGGAAAAAGGCATAGATTACGAGGATGTGTGGAACATCGATGAGACAGGCTTCCAGATCGGTTATCTTAAAAATGGGATGTTCCTGTGGACTTTTGGGGAAATCGACAAGCCTATCTTGACTGATGCACACGAGACAATAAGCGTCACGATCATTGAGTCTATATCAGCAAAAGGACGGGTTATTCCATCGTTTATCATCATGCCGGGCGTACAGCTGCCGTCTCGGTGGGTTGACAACCGCCTTGAACCGGGCACAACGATCGTTACAACACCAAACGGCTATATCGATGATATCTCCGCGCTAGAATTCTTCGACCACTTTGAACGGCTTTCCCGGACTTCTTTGAGTCCGGGAAAAAGAACACTATTACTAGACGGTTGTGAGAATCATTTTACCAAAGAGCTTTTCCAAAAAGCCCAAGATGCAGGCGTGGTGTTGTTCCCTTTCCCGCCTCACTTGACACATATCCTTCAACCGCTAGATGTAGGGCTATTCTGTGTATACAAGCATTGGCATCAGGAAATCCTTCTTCGTGAGATTGCAGATGGCGCTACAGACTTCAATAAAGCTGACTTTTTGTTCCATTTACAGGAGGTACGCGCCCGTACTACTAAGAGAAGCACTATCATCTCATCTTGGCAAAAGACCGGCATCTATCCCTTCGATCCTGAGGTTGTACTAGCCCGTATGATAAATCCCTTATCATCACTATCTTTGGAGGTAGCTGAAGAGTCGTTACCCGGCTATATCTCACGAGGGTCCTCTTCCACCCACAGCAGCGATAGCAACTCCGAAATGAGTGAGGAAGACGGCGTTACGCCGCCTCATGAGATACACCATTCGAATCGTCACGACCAGGAGATTCGATTGATGTCAACGCCACCCCCGTGCGTCAACTGGATCGAAATGAACACGCCGGAGCTCAAGTTACGGCAGATCCGTCAGTACGAGGAATATGTGGCCCTCAGGATCGAATGCTCAATAACCTCGGGCACGCCTCTGACTCCCTCAGTGTCACATGTCAATGAGAAGCTGCAGAAAGCACATACAACTCTCGCAGTCAATGGGATTACTGCGACTCAGGAAATGCGCCGTCTCAAGGAGAAGAACCTTAGAAGGTCTGCCCGGGATCAGGGGACCACCATACTGGCAAATTACGGGCCAATTACTATATATGATGCCAGACTTCGCGTCGCAAAGGATCAGCACAACCGGCTGGCCGGTCAGGCGGCCGAGGAAGCTCGTATGCACACTAAAGAAGTTAGGGTTGAAGTCGGGTATTTACGACGATGGATTGCAGCGGTCAGGAAGATGCTCAGGGCTTCTTTAAAGGATCTACGGGTTGCTGATCTATACAGCAGCCAGCCGACTTATTCTCAGAAAAGGAAGCTATTCACAGCGGCCGAATTTTATATAAAAAAACAACACCAAGATTGTATACGGTCGACGGCGGTGATAGGGTCAAGATACCGGCTTCACCGCGAGCTTCTGGCTAAAAGCAAAGATTCCAAGGTGAAAGCGACTAATGCAAAGAAATCAGAAAGTCGGGAAGCCCCTAGAGTATTTATCTTTCACTGGAATCCCCAATTCCTTCTTCCATTTGACTATGACTTCAATATCGTGAAGGAGGCGTTGGAATTTATTGTCAGTGACGAGGAAAAACGCCGCTCTAATCGGAAGAAGATGTCGTTGGAAGCTGACGGCTTAGAAATCGTTGAAGATGATGAGGAAATGGATGAAGATGATGAATATGATGATGATAATGAAGAAATAGTCATTGGGGATACTATTGAAGTCAGTTAGGGCGAGTTCGTTATCCCAAAGGATGAAGAAAATACCGAATAGTCGTGATGGTTGCTTGGTGTTTTGGCAATATGCATTTTTGGTGGGGGTTGCAAATGGAGGGGTTGGTCCGGTCACAATCATGTAGTTATCCGTGGCAAAGGAAGTACATCTAATTTGGTGGGGCGCACATATAAAAATGAGGTAGCTTAATTTCCCTAGTCAACCGACCCTTTTCCTAGTCACCGTACCCCCCGTGCCTGACCCTCAGGCTCCACGTGTGGAATGGGTTAGGCTAAGGGGGGCCGGTCTCAAGGCCCTACCCGAGTAGTTGTAAGGATGATCACGCTGGGGATCGAACCCAGAATCTTCTGATTCGTAGTCAGACGCCTTGCCATTGGGCCACGCGACCTGTTTCCTTCATCATGGCCGCTCAAATGAGGAGCTAGATCGCTGCGACATCCAGATTCGCGCATTGAAGCATCCCCTTCGGCACTGCTCAAAGGACAACTCTTTCAACTTGTTGAAAACACTTCAGCAGGCTTCAATAGCGTGAGTTTACAATGGTGTAGCGGTTGCGGTCCCAATGCCAGACCGACAGGCTGCTATATCATTCTAGCAAGACTGTCGTCGTGGACAGATAAAGTCACGCAAGAGCCGACAAGTAGGACGGAAAATATTAAAAGAGTCAAACGCTAAGAATTCGTATTATAATCTTTCAGATCAACATCGTGACCCGGTTTATGAGGGCTGAGAACTAAAATCGCCTTGTTGCTGCTGTATTGTAGGGTAGAAGGTTGATCAAGTGCGGAGCTTTTCCGCGGCCTTCCGCTGTTGGAAACATCTGGCCATCATTGAACAACGGTAGAAGACTATCGTTTGCCACCACAGAACGTCAAATTGCCTTCAGTCTCTCATTGAGTGCACTATTTATTCCGAGGCACTAAAAGACTCGACTTCAGTCAGTTGTTGGCCGTCTCAGAGTCACCAGGCCGTTGTGATGTACTAAATACCCTTATACTAGAAGAAAGTAGCAAACTGAAGCGTGCAGCTACTTCTGAAGTTTGTCTGACCTCTTGTTGAGACGTACTTCGGTTGGCAGAGTTCCAAAGCTAAAGACCCCTCATTGCGGAGCTACGTGTTTTACGAGTTAGAGGCAGAGGCAGAGGCAGAGGTCATGCCCATGGCGGACGGTAATACGACCTTGGCCAGTTCTAGGAAGCTAAGAGCCTATGCCTTCAAGAGGAAGAGGGACTAAAACGAGTGATATAAGGTATTTATCTTATCTTACACGGCTGTACGTCAATACCTCCAAAGCGTATCCTCTTTCGCAGCCTTGATCAACCACTCACGGCAGACATAATCCACCCGTTTCGCATGCATCGGTATCTCAACGGGCGACACATCAAGAAGGCCATCGGGGTCGTGAATGTTTCCATCTTCCGTATCGATGATGGGCGAGCTAAACTCATGGTTGACAATGACGATCTTCAAAGGCCGAGCATAGGTCGAGTCACCTCCAAACTCCGAGTTCCAAAGTTCGCCACCGATAGATTGCTTGATATTCCATTTCTGAAGGCGAAGTAAATAAGGTCTTGTGATCACCAGATGCTCAATGTTTCGATGTCTGGCAACGTTGTACCAAAGTCCCTCGTCACTCAAGTTGATGCTGAAACCAGCGACTTTTCGTAGTTTGGGCCAAATTTGGCTGACGTTGAGCTCACTCCTCCAGAACTCCAATGAAGGCAAGCCGCCCAAGGTAATATATTCTTCAAGGTTGGTCAACGCTTGTAATCCCCGAGAGAAGACTTGATCGATATGCGCGTCAATGCTGTGTTGCATAGCGATTCTGCGAAACGGCAAGTCAATGATCAGTCGGCGGACTGAGCCACCGAGTTCCAGAAATACATCCCGAACCAGTGCACCGGTACGTATCGACTGGATCTCCTCGAGATTGAGTCCCAGATAGATGGACGAGACTGCAGAAAGTGGGATGGTTTTGCATAGAGATGTACGGCTGCCCGCTTCCAAAGTCTTGGAGTAGGTTAGGCAGCGCAAGAATTTCTGGAGTCGAGGTATCGAGTCAAGATGTACACAGTGCTGCCGTAGAAACCTTGTCGCTGGCTCATATGTAGCGCGGCATACCCTGGTCCAGGTGACCAACTGTTGAATTTCTGGGGTTGCAACGTCAATAATCCGATTGGGTTCGCCGGGCGGGACAGACGTTTCAAGGATCTGAAGGACGATCTCGAGAGGGATATAAAGGCTACGCGTCATATTGTAAGAAGTATAAGAGATTTGGGGTGTTTTTGGGGGCTGTGTTTACGTATGTTTGTCTTGTTGAGGCCGAAACGAATATTAAAGAGGCTGTCGTTTGGTCGTTGCCTGCCAGGCTACAATTTAAGCGTCAACAAACAAACACGGCCCCATTCCGAGCGAAAAAAAAAAAAAAAGACCAATTGATCTAGGCACCAGAATTAATTGTGTCGGCTACAACCCGGCCATTGTCTTTGGTACAATTCGTACAGAGATTGACCCAGAGCTGAACAAGTCAGGCTGTTTGCTTGTTGATGTAATGATCAATTGGTTTCAGCGGCACGTGCGAGCGGAGAAAAGATGTGAAACCGGGAGCTAACGGGGCCTCGGAGCGCAACAACAGCCCGCAGTTCACACGATATAACTACTATGTGGATCTCTTTTTTTAATTATTTATTTTATTTTTGGAAACTGAAGTGCCTAGATTACCTATGCTGAGGAAAATTGAGCGCCTGAAAGAAGTTGAGATGTATCAAGTTAATTTTCGGATTTGTAACCGTTCCCTCGAATTGCAGAGGTTCCAGTCTGTCAGGTTTGATGTAACGACAGAGCCTCCAGAACGGACTGTACGCATTGCAGCAGGGCCAATAAGATTTCGATGTATCGATAGCTACAAAAGAAACCCTCACATGTTACAATAGCCGGCGGAGTTGTTGCGGACTTTGATCAAGGCGGGCATGGATGTTCATGCGACAGACTTTATAAGAAGATCTTCTTGAGACCTTTTTTTACTTATTGAATAACTCAACTGAATTAAACCATTCACACCTCTTTCAATAAATAACTCGAAACAATCATGGGCTCTAAACCGCCTACAAGCAGAGCGTTATATGTCGACGAGAACCGCAAAATTGTCGTTCGCGATGTTCCCTTCCCCGAGCCCCAAGATGGAGAACTTCTCATCAAGGTTCTATACTCGGGCACCAATCCCGCCGATACCAAGATCATCGATGCCCTTGGTTTGAAGGACTACATCGTAGGAGCAGACTTCTGTGGCGAAGTCCTTGAGTCTGAAACTCTTGCTTCCACGCCCTTCAAAGAAGGCGACATTGTATCTGGACTGCTCCCTGCAGGCCAGAAGCTGCCATTGCGTTGGGGTGCTCATCAAGGATTTATGACCGTTGTTGCAGATTGGGTTTACAAGGTTCCTGATAACTTGCCGCATCAAGCTGCTGCTGGTCTTCCCACCGTTGGCTTAACAGCAAGCTGTTCTGTTTTTGTTTACCTCGGCCTTCCGCTGCCACCAAGTGTTGCGAAGGGTACGCCTGACGAAGGCGTCCCTGCTCCAGAGGGAACTTTGGTTATTTGGGGCGGTGCGACGAGTGTTGGCATGGCTGCTATACAATTCGCGCGGGCAGCGCGAGTGCCTTCAATCATAGCCATCGCCTCTACCAAGCGACACGAATTTCTTACGAAACTTGGTGCAAATCAATGTTTCGATTACAATGATGCAGATGTAATCGAAAAGGTCAAATCAGCCTTGCAATCAACCAATGGAACAATTTGGGGTCTTGACGCGCTTGGATCTGCCGAGTCGCAAGCCCTACTTAAGAAGGCGGTTCCTAAACAAGATAAAACCGTTCTAGCTTCAGTGCTGCTGGGTGGTGACCCGGACTATGAGGCCGTCATGGGTGCTCGTCACTTTGATATCGAGTTCGAGTTTCCTGGGGGTCAAAAAGTCGTCTGGCCAAAGGACATGGCTGCTGCTGATCGACATTGGCGGGGCTTTCGCTGGGCTGTTGAGAATTACGGTGCTGAATACGTGCCGACGCCTGTTAGAGTGTTCGAAGGGTCGGGTGAAGATGCCATCAAGGAGCTGTACAACCTGAAGAACATGAACACTTTTGGCAAGTTGGTACTCAAGCATCCTTTGAAATGATTATCCTATTTAGTCTAGATTACTATTATAAAAATAGACAAATTCCACAGTCAGCCTCGGATCGTCCTCGAAGATGGACGATGATCGCTAAGTGATATCGTTCAGTGGTTGAACGACCTATAAGTTAGCACAAAACACAAGGCGCAGTGGCCATCTTCAGTGGCCATGCTGATCAGCCATGGTGATCAACACCTGAAGCCAATCAAGCCAGCCAGATGGGTGGAATGTGGAGAAACGAAGCCATCTTCCAGGCAGCCGTTTAAACAGAAGCTTTCATAAAAGAATAATCCCTCCCTCTCCCTCAATTCAATCTGCAATGCATCTCAAGTCATTCTCTCATTGCATGCACCAATCACTAAAATGACTGCCAAGCCCTGCCCTTCTTATGAATCTTGGTGGTACTCAGACTCTGCCCGATATGAGTACCTCAAGAGCGACCTCTTCTGGACATTGGCCATCCTCATCATAGCCAATTGCTGGTGGTCAGCCAAGCAGGTCGATTCATTCCCAAATGAGGACGACAACGAAAACGACACTGCCGTCGCCAAATCTAATACTACAACCCAACAGCGGCGCCCCGGCTTCTGGCTCAAGGACCGCATCACATCACGCCTCCGCCAATATCTCGCCCTCTTGGTCTGCACTTCTGCATTCCCTCTCCAGCTCCTCCACGGTTCCTGGGTTATCAAGTCTATGTGGAGAATCTCTCTCGGGCTTTTTAAACGCACATATCCTGATTCCCTCAAACCACGACTGCTGGGCATCGTTCTCTACTCTCCCGTTGCTGCCATCGTATTGTTGGCCTGGGCTGCTGTCGTGGGTGCTGGCGTCTTCATCGTTGCCACGCAGATTCTGCTTTGGATCAAGCTCTGGGAAATGGATCCTAGTGCGCAACCTAGTCTCCCTTCTCCCAAGGATGTTAAGAAAAAGATCGATGGTGATGGAGACTGGGATGAGATCAAGGAGGATGAACAGGAAGGGGTCAAGAAGAATTAGTCTCTGTTGCACAATCTATCTCAGTAATATAGCCCTTCTCGCCCCATCACTGACTTCTCACCTGGCATCGTTGTGAGAGGGGAGAATTTATCCAGATTGACGAAGAATCCAAAGGCTATTACCTTGTCTCGTAACATAAATGGCCCCTGCTAACATGCAAACACGTCTCGTCTCCTTCCAGGTCGCCCAAGAAACGTTTCATGTAAGAATTTATATGAATTTCGATTTTACAAATTGGCCGCCCATCCGAAGTTCAATTGCACTTGAGTAGTTTGCCAAACTTGCTGGGAAGAAGAAGAGTGCCAAAAACCAATTAGTCAATAGGCTAATGTAGTGCCGACTGGATTATGCGATGTAGGGGAGTTCCATATTAGGGGAAGCTGGCTGAGATAAAACACCAATTCAAATGAAACACTGTTCAGAGCTGATCGAAGCTTTAGCAACAAGACATGAATAGGAACAATAGCGCTTACGCGTTACCTTTGTCAGGGAAAGATGTGCGTGGCAGTGCCAGCAGCTGGCTGCCACCGCACGAGAAGTTAGATAGTTCTTATGTTGGGCAAGTTCTTCAACTTGTCACGTGGATCCTTGCAGAAACTCTGACACAGCAACAAAATAAACAAAATCAAATATTTCACAACCCCAATCTCAACTACAATCACATCACATCACAACCCCAGCCGCAAACGCAAACGCAAGAGCAACAGCAACGGAAACCGAATGGACAGAATATAGAGAAGCTCAAGTGCAACAAGACGACTGACTCCGCTTCGTCCTGTTTGATGAATGGAAAGCGGCTTGCGCGTGACTTGTACGCCGCGTAGAGTAGCAGCAACCGGTGTAGCAAGTCATGTTGTCCAGGAGATGGATGCACCTTTGGGCAGCATTGTCGGATAAGGTTCAAAGCGCGGTTACATAACAAAAGTTCGAAAGAGACGCGTCTTGGATTCCTGTCAGACAGCCTTGTACTCCAACAGTCAAAGACTACGTATGTTCCACTGTTGTCTCATGTGACTTGTTTCTAACATCACTAGGCTTGCATTATGATCGGTGAAGCTCACGAGAGAAGATTGCGGGCTGCAGAAACAAGCTGGTTACAACTACCGAGTCGGAATGACTACGCTCTTGACGGCTCCTATCTCGCAAGCCTCTGCACGACAGCGAGCTGGACGTGCTGGACGAACCGAACGAATGCTACCGCCTTTACACCAAGGAGTTCCACGACCATGGAATGAGTGCAAATACGCCACCTGGTATTCGCATGAACGAGGTGTCGGGTGAAATCCTTCGTCTCAAATCACTGGGCTTCGAGGATATCCTTAAGGCCGATGGGATTGATCCACCTCACCCCGAAGCATATTCCCGGGATATTGGCGATCTCAGAGACGTGTGAGGACAACTCTAGCACCGTTATGTGACTACATCAATAGGCCAACATTTGCTAATTATGAAAATAGGGGCTATATCGATGATTATTGTCGTATCATTGCAGGCGGCGAAAAGGCGGTAACTCTTCCAGTTCACTGCATATGGTATAATTGCTTTCGCAAAGCACATGACCTTGACTGTCTCGGTCAATTGATTACCATCGCTGCCCTTATGAGTAGTCAAGATGACATCTTGACCAGGCCTTACCAAGTAAGTTATGCGACAGACCTAGTTCAAGAAAACATCGGACCGGGAATCAAGGTGCCAAGAAGACTAGTCTAAAGGTCCACTAATATACTAAAATTGCCTAAGTTTATGACAATTTACCTGAGTCTTTTCATCACTTAGGATAGAAGTCAGAAGATTTTTTTTTTACCTGCCCCATGATCCTTTCTGACTTTAACATCAAGTCTCTCATCCTCAAGAAGAATATTGAGGGCGATGGAAATTGGAATTGAATCAAGAAGGATGAACAGGAAAATGTCAAGAATATTCAGTCGTTGATGCTCGATCAGAGTCGTTCTATAGGTTTCGGTGGCCTTATCAAACTTGACATCATTCTATTCATAAAACTTTTTGATCACATATATTATTTCTCTCCCAATCCCTATGATATCCCCCTACAAGGAATCACAATTGCTTGCGAGTCTTCTTGAAGAATCTTGACGTATCCCCGCAAGGCAGCTCAAATGGAAGTGCATCCGCACACATAGCGGCAGCACAGCTGTAATATCCCAAAAGACCGGAGACAAAACCAAAGGCACCGGCAGCCTTCATGAGGTTCTTTGCAACCTCGACCTTTCCATCAGCATGGGCGAAGTTGGAGGCCGCGTCAAGGGTGAAGCAGAAGAAGATAGTGGTAAAGATGCCAAAGGAGACAAGATTACTAAAGTTTGTCAGCGCCGTGGAGATCAGAAAATGGCAGAGTCCTTACATAGGAGCTGATCCAAGCATGAAAAACAGTGTCAAGACTGCCCAAACTACATGAAGGTTAGCTGTTGGATCGTTACGAGCACCAATCGAGACCTACTCAGAACGTAGAATCCCAGAGCGTTGTGATACTCGGGCGTCGGCCCGCCATACGACTCAAGAACACCAAGCGATGGGCACAGGATGACGCCGTAACCACCATAGAAAACAGCTAGAGAAGTGATCAGCCTCAGATCACAGCTTCTACGACGAGAATCGTGTCAGTCACTCACCATAGGCGCTCAACGCAGAGTAACCGAAGGTGTTACCGCGGGCCATCTCCCACTGAGCAGAGACAAACATGCAAAGGCCAGCGGCGAAGCAAAGGTTGCCAATGAAGATGGTCTGAGTCTCAACTCCACGGAAGCCCATCATAGACAAAGACAAAGTGAGAAGCGTAGTTGCGAAGGTACCCATGGCCAATGGGGACTATTCAGTCACAATTTGTTAGCTACAGTTTTGGTAGGAAACAGGGCGGTTGACATACAGGATTGCCGATGCGTTGACCCAAGCCCGAAGCCGAAGGGCTCGGTGAGTGAGAGCGGATCTCTTCAATGCTTTTGGCGGCCATGATGTTTTCTGTACAGCTTTTCGATAATTCTCAGGCTTTCGAATTTTATTAAGTCGTCCTAAAAAAAAGATTGAGCCTCAAGACTTGGCATAGCGGCCTTTTATAGATACAGTCTCTCTGCATTCTGCAGAATTTTCTTCCCTTTGCATCTCTCGAGCCGCGTCTCAACATTTAGGTAATAGTTAACCCATCATTACCACCATATTGTTTCCCATATGCAGTGGCGTCGAAGTGCAGGAGTTAAAACTCAGACTTTATTGATTGTGGAGGAAACCGTTAGCTAATAGGTGTGCATCGGCCCGGACTAGTGCCCCGAATTTCCCCGGATCATGGAGCAGTTTTGCGGGGTTGTTGTTTTCATGGGGTAATAGGGTATCACGGGATGTTAAAAAGAACGGAAGAAAATGAAAAGCAAAGACATTGGTGAAATATGAGATTAGGGCTAAGCCGCGACTAGCCCGTTGTTGGTGGCCGACAGTGAAGAATCGAGATCATGTCTCGGCCGGTGGCTCTACCTCACATATCAGTAGACACTAGGAGCATAAAGCAATAAATTTACTATTAAACAGCTTCAAGCTTCTTCACATAAGTAGGAACTCCACCTTAGCCTGCATAAGTCCAAAAACCCCTGTACAAACAGTCCATGCGCCTTGTGAAAGCCTTATTCCAGGAGGCTTCACCAAACATCTCCAAAGCATCAAACAAAGCGATACTTTATATAAGGAATGACATGCTTGATGAACGGAACCTTTGCAGGACCGAACTCACAAGCTAGGACTTGTTGATAGGTATAATCCTTCGAAAAGCCTCCAAGCGAATACGATTTCGTGGCCTCCTTCTTGCACGGCACAGGCATTCGAGCGTTGGTCCAGCGGTTGTAAGAAACACCACCAGAGGCAAATTCAAGCCTCTTCTTCCGAAGGGGTAGCTGAACTAGAATGTCTTCTACCGCTTTGTTGGCCTTGATGAGGTTATCGAGAGGGCCTTTGAGGTCGTTCCTGAAGCTCTTCTGAATGTTGATAAGACCATCGCGGACTTTGCGGCCTGATGCAGTTTTAGACAGCTCAGAGTTTCTGACCCAGTTGACAGATATAATCTGGTTAATGGAAGTAGCGCCAGCTTTTGCGGCGCCCGCGTGGTTGCTGATGAGGTTGAAGGTCCCAGTGAGCTTCTTCAAATCTTCTGCTGCCTGGGGGAGATATTGAGTCACCCTGAAAGCTTTGATAACATCTCGAAGAGAGTTGATATGATATTCATTCATCAAATTTAGATAATAGGTTTCATCCGCTGGGGTTGTGGTGTACTTGATAGCATTCCGAGTAATCTGCGTCATCTTGGGGATGTTCGCAAGTGACTTGCCAGCAGCATTAGGGACACCCTGTAGACTCTTGACTGTCGCGATCGTGCTTGAGTCTATGGAAAGTTAGTTGGCTTTTCAAGTGCCAAGGCGCTATCTCTTACACTTCTTGAACGCGTTCGCTGGGGTCGAGCCCTTGCAGGCATTGTTCTTGCAGACGTTTGCCTTGATTGAGTTGACCTTGGAGGAAACAGTCTTCAGACGTGCTTGAACTTGCTTCGCATATGTCTGAACATCTGTAGTCCTTTTCTTGAGAGTTGCGAATAAGACAGTCCATTTGTTGAGCATTCGGACAAAGTCACTGTCGATGACACTGTCTGCGTTTTCAACGTAACTGGCGAAAAAGGCACGAACTTTTGGTCCATCACATGTCCCTGTATAACAAGACATCACTGCTTTGGCAAGCCTCTTATATGTTGCTACATCAACCTGAAACTTTATTAGTGTCTTCTTAATACACAATATGGTATCTAGTGGGCCGACATACCTCGGGAGCTCGAACGAACGTCCAGCCATTTGTAGCTGCAAGCTGGTTCTTGACCACCGATGCTCTGTCTGTTATTATGGTGTAATCATTGTTGGAAAGGCACTTTGGAAGATTAGTCAATGACGGATAGAAGACCAACAAGTTAACATACAGTTTCATCTTTGTGTATCCAGTCAAGATATGGTCCTGTTATATGCGCATTGATCTGACCATCGAAACTTGGCTTAGCATTTGAACTGGTACCCCAGTAAACGGCATTTGAAAGACAACTGCAGTATGTTTCGGCGTTATTTACGAAGTCGTCACTGCCAAGTGCGTTTCGGACAGCGTCACAGATATTGACTTCTTCAGTCATGATCTTTATATCTGTCTGGGTACCGGTATTGTCTGCATCATAGAGATTAGCCGTGAAAGAGCTGAAAACTGTAGTATCTTACCATAAATGCCTACTGCATCGTAAGGATAGGTAACACTGCTGTCACAGTTGATGACGCCCCAAACATCGCTGCAGGCCTCATCGATATGTTTCTGCTCCGCAGCATTTGTACGAGAGAGAAGGGCACTGATGAGGATGGATAATGAGAAGGTCTTCATTGCAGAACCTTACTTGGTGAGTCTTAATGTACGTATGAAAAGTTATGTGTTAAATACAGGATGTAACAGTGCATTAAATATTCAACAATGGCCGTCGTCTGCAAACTCATGGTTTAACGCCAAGGGCCCAGAACATCGTCGCAGCCAGCCACTTCTAGTGTAATTCGCCTTCTGAAACCTTTCAGCTCTTCAGCCTCACTGCTTTTGTGCGAGTCCTTCCCGGCGGACATTTCCATACTGCGCATTACCAGCCCGTTTCTGGCCGCCGGATGTAGCATAGTAAGGCCCTGAGACAAAGACAATTGATGTTAGGGCTGAAGTTGCAGAGCGTTGGTAACTCGTAAATGGCTTAGCAGCATACCGTCTTCTGTGAGGCTGAAGCCTTAATTTTATGGTTATTGAACGCCATGGATTTAGCTGTACAGTTACTCGTTCATTTGTGAGGAACGCAAGCCACAGAGATTCTGCCCTGAAAGACCGGCCTTGGCAGGCTGATTGCAGATCTAGATTGTTAACCAATGTTACTTTTCCGCACGGGTGTCTTATTGTTCTGTTTGCAGACAAGTCTCGCCAATTGGTTGGTATGGGCGCGGCAGATGTTGGTGGAAGGTGTCTCAAGCCACGGCTGTCCAGCTTATTCTTTTATACAGCAGCGCGGGCATTCAATGCAAAATATGCCTTGCCGCTTTATCCTGGATCTTAAGCTCCTGGCAAAGTATATGTCCTACTGGGTAAAACCTCCCAACATCCGAGGCAAAGATACGTATCAAGTCAATCAAGATAGGGCAAAAAAACGTGGTTCCGCCCGGGATCGAACCGGGGACCTTCTCGGTGTTAACGAGATGCCATAACCAACTAGACCACGGAACCGTGTTAATTGGATGCTAGACAAACTTGGAGTTGGGGGTCAAGTTGTCTGTGTGTCGCTCACCGTCTCTACTGCCAATTGGCACCAGCACAATAGCGCTCGCAGTGAAAGACGGACCTTGCAAGGTTTGTTACTCACCTTTGGTATATGACCATATATCGTCCTTCTTCCTGGCTATATAGGCTGATTGAGATTGCTTCCGTACGCCTGCTTTCAGGGCTGGGGCTGCTAGGGATGCGTCCCGGGTAGGCATAACAGGAGTTTTTGGAAGCAAGTGAAATATTTTATTCTTCCCATCTTACGTATACATAGTTATTAAGCAACTGAATTATTAATTGATACTGAAATGATATGAGTTGTAGTTATATGCTGTGATAAGTTCTGTGACGGATTGCAACTCAGCTCGGCGAGTTCAGAGCCCAGACCAGAACCCCCGAATGCTTGTCGTCGCATTCCTCTGAACCTCCTCCTTCGGCCATATACTTCTGGTACTCTCCAGAATCTCGGTCCACTCATTGATCAACTTATCCCTTCCACCCCGACCCGCAAAATGTAATAGGAAGTCCCCTCGTCTTGCATGATAGTCCTTCAAGCCATCGTCGTCCGCCTTCTCAACGAAGTCGGTGGCCGACCCTTTAGGATAAGTGTTGAACCATTCTTGAGGAACAACTCGAACGTTGGCTTTGAACTTTGGTTCGTTCATTATGATCTCCATGGCACTTTGCTCAGTGAATGGAAGTGAAACGTTGGGTCTGTAGTATCGGAATGCAGCGATGTCGCTGAACAGCTCGATTGCCCACTGGTTAACCCGGACGAAGAAGACGCCATTGTTAAGGCCGTTCCAGTCGTTCGTCACCAGGAGATGTATGTCGTCGTACTTCGTTTCGTTTCTTCGCTCAGGTTCTGATTCGTCTGTGTCTTCGGCTTCGTCAGACTCATCAACGTCGCCAGGTGAGAGAAAGCTTGATAAAGGGCGGCATTGGTCGAGGATCAGGGTATCGCGGTCCACCCAGAATAGCCATTCCAAGCGTTCTTGGGCAGGCTTCACTATCTCATCCAAGAGGAGAGACAGGATGAAGGCAGGTTTGTTCCAGAGTGAATCAACAACTGGGGTGCACATAACCTCCAAGGCGTTATCATGGATCATGCTATGCAACACATGGGTACGCAATGCCTTCTGGTAGTGTTCTTGAACAGAGCCAAAGTGTGCAGTGACTCTTCCGATTCGTACGTCTGAGGATGGGTATGGAGGCATGTGCCGGCATGCGTTCCGTATGGTCTTTGCTTCTTGTAGGAGGGAGGCGTTCAACGACGGTAAACATTGGCTTCCACCATGAGGATGAACAAGAGAAGTTGGATCGTGGCTGGTGCCAAACCTGAGAGATTTCGGCCAGCTCCAGTCGCCGTAGAATGTATAGACTTGATAGCAAAGAAGGATGGTAAAAAAAACAAGAAATGCTTTTAGAGCCACCGCCGCTGTTGACCATGGTAGTCTCTTGAGTTGAAGCATGATAATTGTTGATTTGCCATTCTGGTTCGTCAGCAAGATCCGACTATTTATAAAAATTGTACAGTGGTTCTACGAAACCTGGGAGAACTCGCAAAGGGCCCCCATAGTTTGGCCATTAAGAAGTTGTGACGATAGCTCTACAACTGTCGTAACAAATCCAAATGAAGACTAGTTCGAAGCATATTTCCAAGCATATTTTTAACTTGCAGGGATAGCGACTTAGGTAAGCGGTGCGCACTTCACAATGCTGGTTCATCATGGGACGAAGTGAAGTTCCGTGTTAGCGGGGATGCCCAATGAGCATCACGCGCCTCATTTCCGCAGTGACATAATCGTGGTGGCAGTGATGTTGGCTAGCCCTGTAGGCCGGATATCGAGGACTAGCATGGGGATAAATTAAGACGAGACTGTCACTTAAAACACGCTTTAGTGCAGATACGGTAAGTAGTCTCTTGACACATGCTGATACGAGCTAGATCCCTCGGGAATACGAAATACCCATCATCAAAAAAGGAAAAGTCGCTTAAACCCATCTCGCTTCTCGGCTGAGTCGGCGACATGAAACAACGGCCCACGGTGGGCCGAGTTACGGCAGTACCAATGAGCTGACGGGCTACGGTGGCCCGCGGGCAGGGGGGATGCAGCAAACGCTTGGACGAGTCAACTATGACGAGCTAGCACAGCCTATTCATACTGGTGATGTTATAAGTCAATCCAGGCTCCCAAGTATGTAGCTCTGGTTAGCTGTCTCGTAACAAATGGATCACCATGGCCACCACTCAACCTCAAGATCAACCACGGAAGAAGCGAACTAGAGCCAAGGTTCCCAAGGTCAGAACAGGTTGCAAAACTTGGTAAGTCTCCGAGACCTCGGGTCGGCAGAAGAAACTCGGGCTGATTTGTAATCTAGCAAGTCAGTCACTCGGATAATAGCGAATGGCACAAGCTGTAATACTAATCTAGTGTTGCAGACGTCGCCACTTGAAATGCGACGAAGCAAAGCCGTCCTGCCTTCGTTGCTTGAGAGACAAATGGACATGCGATGGTTATTCGCAGTCCAGCCCTGAACCGCTTTATGGAAGTGCCAGTTCTTCCTACGAACTACCTCTGCATCTGAAACCTGACCAAGTCGACTGTCAACCCAGTACATCATTACGCCCAGCTCTTGCGGACGGTATTCTGGTCAATGCAGCCGACAATGCTCTCTATTACCATACGAGAGAGTGGGTGATTCCCGATCTCGAGATGATTGATGGCTCAAGAGAGTTCTGGCACGACATCATATTACCACTGTCATACTCAAACACTGCCATCAAGCATGCGCTATGTGCACTGGGGGCTTCTCATCAGCGGTTCCTCGCATCGTACCCAGGGAACCTAACCAACTTGGACCATTCCATCGACTACGACTATCAAGCGAATCTCAAATACAGCGAAGCTATTGCCCTAATACGACCAGTTATGGCAGAGAATTCTGCTTCCAACATACAAACCGCATTACTATGTTGTACCATATTTATATGCATCGAGAACTTGCACCGTCGTTACGCTGACTCGGTGCGCCACCTTCGCGCCGGTTATCAACTTCTAGAATCACTACGCGCTACTCGATCGCCGGAAGCATCACCGAACGGAACGAGCTGCCCACTAGAAGACCATAACACCAGAGTTTTTAAGACATTAGCCGCAATGTTCTCCTCTCTGGGAAAGAGTGTCGGTGCTTTCACTGGGGACACCTCTTTCTCCAATGTGACTCGGTGCGCTCCAGAGATAGATATGGGCAATACCAAAACGCCCTTCTTAACTATTACTGAGGCTGAAGACTCTCTATCAGCCATGAACGCATTCTTCGACGACTGCCTATTTGGCAGAGACACTCTGAACCACACCGATCAGAAGGTTGGCTGCAAGAGCCTTGCACAATCCGCAACCGAATCTTTAACCCATGCTCTAGATCTAATAAGACCCGTCTTCCTTTCATGGAGTACAAAGATGCAGCTCTTCGTCATGTCTGTCCAAATAACACCATTTGGAGCCCAAGAGAAACGCCGCTTGGCAGTGTTATCACTGTATCAGACAACATGGTCAGCTTTCCTCAACACGGACTCTCACGACGCAGGCTTCAGCAAGAGCGACTACGAAAGTATACTCAATAAGATTGAGCAGATTGTTACGCTGGAGAACTCCCAGACCCGGCCGGTCTTTGCTTTTGACGGCCATCTAGTTCGCGAGCTTTCTACGATCTGCGCTTCATGTACGGATGCCGAGATTCGGAATAGATCGATCATGATCTTACGGTCCATGAATAGACGTGAGGGAGTGTGGGATAGTTGGGAGGTAGCGAACATCTACGAGAAAGTCTTTAGAGGACTTGAAGACAATACTTTGTCACTTGACGACCTGCCATGGGGTTTAACACAGCTGTTGAAAGAGCTCTCCAATTAAAACTTAATGCCCATCCAAAATACACGATATGATGACTTTTGTGCTTTGTTGAATCCTGTGATGACATTGCATCCAAGTCTGCAAGGTTGGGCCCTGCACTTGTTGAGCAGGCCAAGGTGTGACGTCTCTGGGCGGCCACTAAGCCCTATGAGCAGCGAGAGGCGGGGATATGACTCGGCGTAAGACGGAGGGAGTGCCAAAAACAAGGAAGAGAGAACTGGCTAGGGGCCGAAACACCTGATTGGCGAAAGTCATCCAAGATGTCAGCATCCGATTCGCACTCACGAGATCGATGTCTAAGCCCTTCACCACTTATCGCATAACGGCATCTGTCACTTATGGCATATATAGCAAAGTCTATCTAATTGCGTAACCGCATCTGATAGCACTAATATGTACTATTCTGGTAAATAAGATTGCTAAAAGGTATTTAAAATAAAAGAGCTTATATTAGTTTAGGCTTACTAGTAAATATAAAAAAGGCAGGAGATAACTTTAATATTATAATTTAAAATAACTTACGCTTATTTTTATTAAATTAAATATTTTTATTTATATATTATTGTTTTTGTTTTCTTATTTATTTATTAATATTATTATTTAATTATATATTTTAAGTATATAATATTCTTATTTATATCCTTATAATCTTAGAATTATATCTTATTTTAGTTTTATCTTTATATTCCTAGTAAAATAAGCAGGTTAATTATATATAACTAGTTTATACCAGTCTATAGTAGAAGTCAAGAATTCATACACACCAACTAATTTGCGATAACAGGGAGGAAGGCAAAACAAGCTGTATCATGTGGATCCGTGTGTACACACGATGCAATGCGTTACAACAATTTTGTTATGACCGATCTTTCGCCATCTTGCGACTCAATATTCCCGAACCTTCACCAGTCTAACTTTTCCTCCTCCGCAGACAACAACACAACCGCCGTAGACGTGTTTTCTTCGAAACCTTCGTTTAACCTTTCCTCCGCAGCCACTTCCTCCCTGAGTCACCTAGTGACTCGTCCAAACCTTCCAAGCAGCCTCAAAGCTGCAGCCACAGACTGAGAAGTGATGCCATCCAAGTATTCTTGTTGGAGTCTGCATCTTGTATGGAAATGTAGTGGATTTTGAAGAGTTTTTGCTGTTGAGTTGGAGCAATGATGGGGGGACTAGGGCCTTTTTATCACTTTAGGAAATCAGAATTCTCTTGTATACGTTAGATCTGATTAGATAATAAGCTGAAAAGCTTATTTTAGGCTATTGTTTGGATTGCTGCCTGGAGTGTGTTTTTGAGAGTGTTATTATGAGTCGATGGACCTGATAGCTGATGCTTGCATCGCGCGCCTTACCCCGTGTACCCTCGATGTTGCAGATGACTGGAGAAACTGACAGGTTGCCAGTTGATGCGGTGCGCGCCCCGAGGCCCATTGAGCTAACCATGAGTCTCTTTTTGCAGGGCGGCTGCTCCGTTATGAATGAACCGCTTGCGAATAGCTGGGCATGCAACAGCAATTCTGATCATGGCAGCTGTCTGGTCCGAATTATACTAGCTTTTCCAGCATCAATCAGTGGGAGGTGCGATAGTCTCAGGGTCACATTGTTCTCCTTTCTTAGTAGTCATAGACTAAGACGTCTTCCGCGCTCGCGCAGTCGCAGTCGCAGTCGCAGTCGCAGTCGCAGTCGCAGTCGCAGTCGCAGTCGCAGTCGCAGTCGCAGTCGCAGTCGCAGTCGCAGTCGCAGTCGCAGTCGCAGTCGCAGTCGCAGTCGCAGTCGCAGTCGCAGTCGCAGTCTCAGTCGCAGTCGCAGTCGCAGTCGCAGTCTCAGGTTGGCGGTTGGCTTGGGCTTGTGACTGCTGGGTACGCTCGCTGGGTACGCTCGCTGTGCATGGAGGTGACTGGTAAATGCATATTGAAAAGGAAGTCATCCAAGTTGTCAGCAGCCTGACAACTGTTGACGAAGATGATGGTACGAATACCATGCATCTCCTTGAGCAGCGTGACCAGTAGCTCTTTTTGCCTATCGCCATCGCCATCGCAATTATTGCAGTTGCCGTTAGCCGTTGGCTGATTGCAGTCGCCAGCCGCAGTCGCTGGTCACTATTGGCTGGTTGCCGGTTGCCCTTCGGCAGATAACTGGTGACGAAGACGATGGTGCGAATCCCGTGCATCTCCTCGAGTAGCTTGACTATTTGCTCTATTTTCTTTTGGGCTTCTGTCTGGAGAACAATCTGCTTGAGATTGGCTGTAGTGCATCCTGCATAGCTAACGTAGAATCGGACATGAGAAGCAGCGAGATAGTTCTTGGCAAGGTCGCAGGCGGCCTTGGGGAACGTTGCAGTGAAAAGGCTGAATCCAATATCGCCCTTTTTATGCTTTGTTGAATAATTAGTTTCTTATTGCCTGTGTGTACACATTGTTGTACTTACTACCACTAGCCAAGATATGATAAAGCTCTTCAGACCAGCTATCATTAAGAAGCGATGCGTCTAGGTGTCCCGATCAGGATATTATATTCTTTCTCATGCAGAGCCGTCTGCTCATGAGCATCGCCATTAGAGTGGCCACTAGCCAATGCGGTCGTGATATTGTTATGGTTGTCGATCTCGATGTATCGCTCTGAGTAGTCCTTCTCTGGAAAGAAAGGCTTCATCTTGCTGTGCTTGATACCGGAGGCATTTGACGCACTTGTCCTGTTGCGCTTGGGCTTCTCTATGATCGCAGTTTTGTCGTCGCTGTTGCTGGGGTATTTGCGGTTGGGTTGCGGCTGGGTGTGGAATATTTGTTTTGTTTTGTTCTTGTGTGAGATTTGTGAGGAGCAAGCTTAGTGAGCATTTATCGCGACTAACGATTTAGCCGGCCGTAACCCGACGCCGGGCTCGTGACGCCCAGAGAACGGGAAGCATAAAATAAAAGAGTGAACAGCCTGCACCAATCAGCGATATACAGAGAAATGTGAAGCTAGGAGGAGAGCAGCACATCGAGATCGTGGCTCTTGAATCAGTGTAGATGGCGAAAGCAGAAGCTCCGTCACGTACACACGACTGACTGACTTGTGTAAATGATATCTCTCAATTGTTTGATTAAGCCCAACACTGCACTGACACTGACTGACAACCTGACAACAGCCACACTGGAGCCATTCCGATACAGCCAGCTAGCACCTACAATTTAGGCCTGCTCTCTCGCACGTTAGAGAGCTTCTCATCGCCTGGCGGGGTTTATTCCGTTCATCATTCAGTAGCCCCCAATCCGCTGCAAAAGCCTCTCAACAACGCAACACAACAAAAAACAGAAACCCCCGATAGACTCACGAAGTCACGTCCTTCATCACTCGTTTTGCGACGAGTTGATCAGCAGCGATGGCGAACCAGAGAGAAATGGATGAGATTCCCCTCTCGTTTGACGAAGGCCGGCTCGCCTTTTTAGGTGATATCCCCCTCGACGCCGAAAAGCAGGATATTGCATCCTTTATTCACGATCAAGGCTTCAAGAGTGTGGTGTTATATTGGCTATCCGAGCGGTTTGAACCCATGGAATTGAAGCATCAGGGCTACTGCATGGCCGAGTTCCTGTTGCGAAACGAAGCACAGGAGGTAATCAAGGAATTGCCTGATGGCATTTTCAAGGGCAGGCATCTGAAGGCAACCGTCCCGGGTCATAAGGTAAGTATTTACTGCTCATCACGGCAGATTGGCCTAACAGTTCCTAGCAACCAAGTTCAAACCCAAATCTTCCTGCCGAGGCGAAAGCCATCCCCACTGAGGCCGATGCCATCACCAGCGCCGTAGAACTCCGCAAAGTCTTGCAAAAGCTGAAGTGCCCCGACGCGTACGTTTACTCCGAACGCTGGTCCAATAACGACGTCGAGGGTGCGGTCATGGGAAGGATGATGGAGCGTGAGAAGGAGTCACAGTCCCCAGGCTCTCTTGTGGTGGGAAATGGTGACCGTGTTCGCTCACAACCTACGCCATCCACTGCTCGTGGCGACAGCATGCATTGTTCCACTATCTGGATCTACGTCACAAGGTTTGAGTCGGACGAAAGAAAGATAAAAGGATCACTCTACCCGAGCTTCCTCTTTATCAGGGAAACGGATGGAACGAGTGGTTCAAGGGCGAGGTGCAGGCAGAAGAGGGCACCGACAGGGATAAGCGGAATATCTTGATGGTTGAGGATGTCAACGCCTCGGATGATCCCAAGGAGGATACTCTCAAGATGTTTAGGACTGCAATCAACATTTATCAAAAGGCTGACGCCATCCACTGGAAACCCGGTCATGTACTGGCAGCGACCAACGGCACACGGGAAGCTCCCATGTCAACTTCAAAAGCATTTATCCCACCTAATGTTTCTGGTAACGACCTGCCTTCTGCTACCTCACGAGGCCATCACCATCGGTACAGGCGACCGGCAAAAATCGGCGTCGGCTGGGGTGACTACGACCATTTCCGAGAATGGCAGTTGCATGGGCGAAGATTGGACGTGGATATGGTCGAGGGAAAACCATGGTGTCCCAGGATCAAGGACCAGGCTCAGTTCCGCGTCTTAGGAGAGGGCGCTGAGACTCAAGGTGATAGTGTTACTGCTGACTCTTGTTGGTTTCGGCCAACGCTCAGCGAGCCGACAAACCTGCCTGTATCACTTCGTGTGAAGTTGGAAACGGCTAAGGCGGTGCGAGTTGCGCGAGGAGGTATTGGGCGAGGTGTTGGGCGAGGCGGTGCTTTACGAGGTGGTCCTGCACTAGCTCGGTGGTGATCAGTCATGTTTGATGGGAAAGCAATGCCGAAAGGCTTCCCGAATGCTGAAAAGCATCTGTTTCTGATCTTTTATGCCAATATCTGTACTGAGTACTGAAGTATATGTTTTTGATGTATCACGGCGAAAGCCATCGGTCATGCAATAGCAACCCGCCTGTTTCACAGGGAATAAGAGACAGAATTGGAATACGGTATGATTCGGGGATTATAACGATATGAACAAGAATGCTACATACGCAGAACATAAAATCAGACGAAAGTATCAAGCAACCTAAACGAGAGAAGAAAGCAACAGCGCACAGATAAATTCATTCGGTCTCGGGGGCATGGGTCTAAACTGTTCCGAATTGCAACACTAAAGTCATCTCTCCTGCCACTCTCACGTTTATCACTCAGCCGAAACTAACATCATCTCTTCCGTTTCGGATGCCTTACGGCAATCTTCCATACCAAAATAGCGCACATTAGTGGTATCGGATGCGGTTACGCACTTAGGGCTTGCTGTATATGTCACAAGTGACGGATGCCGTTGGGCGATAAGCAGTGAAGGGCTTGGACGTCGATCTCATGAGTGGGAAATGCGTGCTGACATTTTGGAAGGCTTTCGCCAATCAGGGGTGTTGACCTGTGGGTTGGTCGGGATGGCCGAGTTTGTCAAAGATTTCTCGAATCTTTTTGTTTCGCACCCTGCCGTTGTAGTCCTTGGGAAGGTTCGCGGGGTAGAAGTGGTCGGTATCCTGAAGTCATAAGTTAGTTCATTATATGTAATCAATGAATCAAACTTACTAGGAGCCATTCGAGCTCAACCGCTGTGCATCGATCCATGTACCCAGAAACAGTAAAGCCTACTTTGTGGTAGACTACCCATTTCCAACCCATTCCGACCAGAGAGCTGTCGGGATCGATGCCGGCAGGGAAGTTGTCAAGCGTTCGGTACTGATCTTTGGTAGGATCATCAATGGTAGCAGCATGGTGATAGAAGCCACGAGTGATGATGAGGAGGACGGATCGCTCTGGTATGCGGCAATGTGAGTTCTGAAAGAATTGAAAGCAGTATACCGCATTGTGCTGGTTGCCGTAAGGCTCAAAAATGTCAATGTCCCATAGCTCGCAGAAGCTAATCCATGAAAGCCGTGTCGCAATCAAGAAGGAGGTGCCATCAAAGATTAAGGAGTGTCTCTTCGATGAATTGGAAGCCGTTAGGCAGTCGAAAGGACGAGTTGCTGACAGGAAACGACACGAAACGTTGAATTGGTGAATGTGCCCAGATGTGGATGCCGTCTGGCGATGGTGTTGGCGAGAAGATGAAGCCAAAATTCGAGTAGATAGGATTGACAAATGTCGTCGCCTATCACCAGAAACTGGTAGTCCCTCTGCCTCCGCGTCCACCTCTGCGTCCACGAACACTGCCATGGCCTCCACAAGCTCCTTGTTTCCTCACAGTTTAATTGGTCTCGCCAGTATCTTCGCCCCAGAGTTTCTCATGCAACGTTCTGAGCTCGGAGGTCGTCTCCTGGGGTGTGGCTGACTTCAGCATCACGGTAATGCACGACCTCAACCTCCCCGTCTTCATCTTCGAGCGTGAGTGGTGCGGTCTTCGTGTTTCGCCAATCAGGGTCACCCTGCTTGACCCAATCCTTATTGATAGCTCGACCGTTGGCTTGCCATTCGTAAAACTCATCATAACCACCCCATCCAGCACCAATTTCCTCTGGCCGACAATGGCTGATCTGATGACCTTAAGAGTTTGAAGAGCGAGCGTTGGTATGATCGCCAGGAAAGATGAACTCTTGCGTTACGGAAATGGGGGCCTTTGTCCCCTTGTCTGCCTCGCCTAGCATTTGACCTTCTACCCAAGCCGTGTTATCGCCGGCACGAGAGAGCTCTATCGCACGAGAAAGGATATTCGCAGTATCTTTGTAGGGTGCATCGGCCGTGAAGACGTCGTTGATCTCCTCGACCACCCGGGGGTCCCTGTCGATTGGCGGATCTCTGGGCCTTGGCCTCGGGTACCATGGCACCTAGCCATCGGATTCATAGGCAGGTAGGTCTTCAACGTCAATATTCTTGAACTGCCATTCCTTTTCGACTCGGCGTTCCACGAGAATTCTGACCCTTGGGCGGTCGGCATCGAGGTTGTCTATTCCAGGAAATTGCTGGGCACGAACCAGGATTTCTCCATTGTCCCCCTCTGCAGCAAAGGAAGCGAACTTGGCACCTCTCTCTTTCAAATCCTTATCGCGTCTCAATAGATGATAACGAACCTTTTTGAGCGACATCGACATCTGTATGTGAGTCGTTTGCATACCAGCCCTCGGGCCATCCTTCCTTTCGGAATGGGATGCTCATCGCACGATCGGGAGAGCTTGTTGACATAGGGACAGCGTCAGCAGCAGCACTAGCTTGGGAGGGGCTCTCGAGCGACGCGTTTTGTAAGGCCTACCGAGGCGTTAGACGTGATTGTGATTTCATTTGCTGGAACACTGACCTGCGCGACCTGCGCGACCTCCTCGTCATTGCCATCGCCGGAGAACAACATTTCTCATAAATTCTCAGCATAAGCCAGGCTTTGATGGCTCGAGCAATACTCACCACTTATTTGGAGACTGAACTAAATAACGTCGAAAAAGAATTTGTTAAGCAGATGTTTTTCTGTGTTGGGAAATCTGTGATGCGAAAGATGCAAGTTGTGCGAGAGCAAGTGTGGGTAAAAAATTGGTGGAAGACGGCAAAAGCAATGCAGAATTGCAGTGAACCCGGCTTCAGATAATGGAAATCGCGCCAAGATAAACACCGACGTGGTCCGGGCCATTGATTTCCCGACATGTTTCCATGCTGGGTGAAAGCCAGTGACAGGCACCGATGGTCATCGGATTGCATCGTCAACACAAATGGCATCGGTGATCGAACCACCATTAGTAAAGACAGAGCTGCACACACACAAATCAGTTATATTGATTTACGCTACTCTGCTTTCTTCTCCCTGTCTCATTATTTGGCATAGGCTATTCACAAACATTACTCCAGTTGAGGTCCATGACAACGGACGACACCAAGCTGGCACGACAAGTTACGGACCTATGTTGCGAGGCTACAGAAACACTTTCTGTTCTGAGAACAAGCGAGCCAAACTCTTACCACCTCTGCCGAAGTCCTGCCTCTTCCCGCCGATGTAGTCTGGTATTACTGCTGCGCCCACTATAACAGACAATAAGTACACTCTCGACTCTACTCGTAGTGTCGTCCTCGCCAAGTCCTTTCGAGCACCTGTGTGCAAGCGCAAGGTCTTAGGCAACATAGCGAGGAAGATGCTGGTCCAGTACGACATTTCGTTTTTTCATGACGACGCAGCCTCAGGCTCGTGATCACTGCCGTCTCATCGTCGTCGATCAGGAGTTTATCTCCATAAATGATCTTGTATGCCATTGATCGTAGTTATAAGCTTAAAACTATTTTGCCATATTATCAACGGGACGAGTCTTCCCTGCTCTATGTCTACCGCTCTCTGTTGACATGAAAGTGAGTTATCTCTTCAGAAATACCTTTCATACGCCTTTGCAGACTCCAAAACCATCTGGTCAAAAGGGATCCAACCTTGGCCTGTTGCTTCAACCGCCTTACTAGCATCGACCTTGAACCCACCATTGGGAATACTGTAGTCTTGCAGATATCCCTTTCCTGGTTCGCCTTTCCCAATGACTCCCTGTCTATCAGGATAAGCCTTTCGCAATAAGTCGCGATAAGCTTGGATGTTTGCAAAGTTGCCGTTTCCTCCAGCGATGTATCGTTGCCCGTCGGCCACTTCTTTCTTATCAACTGCAAACACGATGAGTCGTGCAACATCGCGCACGTCAACATGTGTTCCGTTACCAGGTCCAGCAGACGACATGTTCTCACCGTTCATGATGCGATAAGGAACGATGGCTGTCTCACTCAACTTCTCCGGGTCTTCAGGCAAAATCAGTGGTGGTCCAGCCACCCAGACCGGGTTGACAGCTGTCATGGTGAAGCCGATGCGATCTGCGTTCTTTCGTCGAAACTCCCAGAATGCGCGCTCTGCTTTGACCTTGCTTGCGACGTAAATCTGATGACCTGTCACTTCCGAGCCAGCCTTCGCGATCACATCCTCAATTTGGTCATTCCAGTCTTCTTCTGTGTAACCCTTCTCTGGATACTTGGGTTTGCAGCCTCTTACAGCCACGATAGAAGACATGTACACAAATGACTTCAAAGCAGGCTCTTTAGCAGCGGACTCCAAAATTCCGAGAGTCCCTTGCAGCGAAGAACCGATGACGTAGTCGATATTGGTGTTTTGGAAGTCAACTGGCGCCGCGAGATGAGCGACTGCCGTTACGCCTTTTACTGCGTCGTCAAAAGCTCCCCTAGCCATAAGGTCGGGAACCAAGATTCTCGTGAGTTGGCCGGAGGAAGCGTATGAGGGGAGTGCTGAGAGAAGGCTAGAGGCTGAGGATTGACTTCGTACTGCAGCGCGGACGGAATAGTTGGCGGAAAGGAAAGCTTCAACAGTACGTGCGCCGATGAAGCCATTGGCGCCTGTGACAAGAACGAGGCCTTTTGTCGGCGACATGTTGAGCATCAACGGTTCAGTGTGATTTTTTGGGATAAATTCGTCGAGGATAGAATGGAAAGATGAGGTGAGGTTGGTTGCTGCCCGTCTTTAACCAAGGTATTGACTCTTATCTTAAGTGAACTTTAGTTTGGCGACCTCGCCCCGGGCTTAGAAATTATCTGCGATGTAGGTGTAAACCAACTGGAGATTAGTGCTATCGCCGACTCTTAGTTAGTGCCACAGTGACATTTCAAGCTGTTGGCCACTAATTTGAGGGACATTTGTCGATCGTGGATCCACTTGTAGGGCAGAGTTGCCGCAGATATGGAAAGAATGATGGCTATGTCCGGGCCGGTAAAATTGTCCAAGATACCAAAAGATGCCTCGATGTTGAGAGCGAATGGACCACAGGGAGGGTCCCAGCTTTACCAAGAAGGTGATCCAATGGAAGGCCAACTGAGGCTGGGTGAGGCCATCCGGGCCTAGTACCTGGATTGCTTCAGAGGGCTCACTCACTGTAGCATCCGCGACAGACAAACGCGACTACCATACAATCTCACATACTCCCAGAACCAATCACAAATTTGTTTCTCTGGCAATCTCATAATGTGAGCCTTGCGAAAAGTCGTCCAGCTCCGTTTACTGTAGGCAGCAATGCACGGATCCGACTCAAGGCTGACAGACTCAGCCCCAGCTCAGCCCCCGATGTTTGGCTCTTCAATACGATATGAACCATCAAATCGCCAGCAAACAAACAAACACAAGCAACAAATATGTCTTCACCTCGAAACGAGTCTGGACTTTCGCCGCGCGAGTCCCGTGTTATCGGGGCGCTGCTGGGTGTCCATGCCGGTGATTCTCTGGGCGCAACGCTCGAGTTCAAGACTCATACGGATATTGCCCGTGAATACCCTCTTGGTCTCCGAGAGATCGTAGGCGGAGGCCCGTTTCGATGGTCGCAAGGTCATGCAACAGACGATACTGATATGACTCGGGGCGTACTCCTTGCATATCACGACTACAAGGCTGGCGACGACGTCGCGCGCCTCGCTGGCGATTACTTCATCAATTGGCTTCGCGGCGACTGGCCAGGCAGACGACCAGGAAGTCGACCGGAGGACATTGGCGGAGCTACGTTCGACGGATTGACCAAATATAAGAGAACGAGGGATCCCGATCGTGCGGGAGCTGGCGAGGGAAGTGCTGGAAATGGAAGCTTGATGCGCTGCATTCCGACCGGCTTGTTCCAACCTGATCCCCAGAAGTTGGTCGAGGAAAGCGTGCGTATCAGCAAGATCACCCACGACGATAAGAGATGCACGGTCGCATGTGCAGCCTACAACATGATTGTGTCAAAGCTCATCGACCAAATCGCCCCGCCAGAGGCCATTGAGGCAGGCCTCAAAGTCGCAGAAAGTCTTGAAGGAGCCTCTGGTCCAGTATATGAAGCGATTGAACTCGGCAAATCTCTCAACGTGGCAACAATGGCAGAGAAAGGGCCTGCACCTGAACTGGGAGGGAGATGCAGCGGATACGTCCTTGAGTCACTGAGCCTCGCGATCGCTGCGGTCCTTGACACTCGTGGATTGGAGGATATTGTGGTGGATGTGGTTCGCATTGGCTGGGATACAGACACAAATGGAGCGATCGCGGGAGGAATACTGGGAGCTCGAGATGGAACAACGGCTATTCCTCCCCAGTGGAGATCAGTCTTGCAATTTGGTCGTGAGTTTGAGAAGACGGCTTTGAGTATCCTCAAGGGGAATGCAGCGTAAGGGCTTTTCCGAGTACATTGGTTGCCATGAACGTCCCAGTTCAGCATAGGTTCAACAGACAATAGAAGGTTGAGGACTCATGAATAAATTAATGTGATGCCCTGAATATGCTCTTTGTGCTACGAAGAAGTGCAGTGAATTGATCATGACCTTGAATGGCTGGCATCTGAGAAAGAGACTGCTTTCGAGTCGCCGGACCGGAAGTCCTAAAAAGGCAAGCCTTATCACCCCACAGATACCACAAGACGATATTTATATTTCGTCACTTTTGCAGTAGCTCCGTGACTCCATCAAGGCATAAACAAGGATTGACGCCGCGGAAGTAGGCAGCCGGTACTAGCCTCGGGAATGTTAGCGATGAGGGATACACGTGACACAGATTGCGGGGTTAAGCTCATCAGGACAATTATCCATGTCTCATCCCCGGATTCGCTTTTCCGTCCAATCTTGCCCAGTTTCATCCTCTCTTTTCCGTTCCCTACAGCCTCAGCTTCACCGCACAAACAAAAACATCTCTGCACGAGTGGATAGACGTGGCTCCAATGACTTCAGAGCGTTCCATACTCCCAACACCGTCAGAAGATACCAGCAGCATACATGTAGCGAAGAAACGGAAAAAGAACGCTGAGAGAGTCAGAGTGACAAGGGCGTGCGATGGATGCAAGAAGTAACGCAACCCTAGGCATTTTTCGCCTAGATCGACCGTGAGCTAATCTGTGTAGGCGGAAGATCAAATGCAATGGCATGCAGCCGTGCAAGTTCTGTACCCGGACAAGGGTCTCTTGCACATTTGACTCGGCTTATGCGAGAGGTCGTTTGCCGGTGATACCCTCAGCGGACGAGGTGGGAGACGAGAGCATAACCGTTTCGGCTCAGGATACAATGCCTCGGAGCGAGAATACCAGCCCTACGGATCTGACACAACAGTACATGGTAAACACAGCCAACCAGAGTGTAGAGTTGCAGGACTATGGCATGCCATCTCATCTCATGGTGCAGAGCGGCACGGGCTCACGGGCTGTAACGTCGGTGCAACAGTCCCCTGAGCCGTCTCAAGAGGATCTTCAGGGTCATTACATCGGTCCAGCCTCTGGCGTGTCGTTCCTTCTCAGGGTTCAGAAGCGGATGCACCAAGCCATATCGTTCTCTGGGCCTGGAAGCATCTTTACCTTTGGTGATGCACCTCTTCACAACCCTGACTATGATCCGAACTTTTGTATGATGCTTCCCAAAGAGGATGCTCAGCGCTTGGTCGATCGTTACTTCGACTTTGCTATGCCAACATATCGCTTTCTTCACCGACCTACGATTCAGGAATGGTTCTCGGAGTTTTATGAGACGTTAGGCACTATGCGTGATCCCAACAATTCTGCCGCCAAAGTTGCGTTGCTCTTCATGATCTTGGCTCATGCTAGGGTTTATATGCCTGAGAATGACAGACCCGGACCATCTGATCTGAGGTTAGGCACTCGTCCATAACTACCTTCTATGCTAATAATTACCCAGTTCTCGGTATTACTTGGCAGCTGAGCATCAGCTCTCGAAAGAGAGTGGTTCAATACGACTCACTAGCGTACAAGCTCGCCTTCTGCAGTGCTACTATCTTGGGACCCAGTCTCGAGTCAACCATTGCTGGAGCCAATTTGGTATCGTCACAAACCTGGCACTTGCTATTGGCCTCAACCGAAACAAGAGACCAGGTGTTATTAGCGGGCTGAATCATATCGAAGTCGAAAGTCGTCGAAGAACTTTCTGGTGCGCGTATACTCTCGATGCATATCTAAGCGTATCCCTGGGTCGACCTCGTAACTTCCATGACGATGATATCGATACAGAGCTGCCAGCTTGTGTTGACGATGGTGACATAACCAAGGATCACATAAACCTTGCTGGGTCAACCAAGGGCTACTCAGTTATGCTTGCTCCTCTTGGACATATGAAGTAATAATTCCGCCTCACCCGCAATATACATACTGACTCCTTATCTAGGCTCGCTCGCATCATCGGCCATATCCTGCGGGGCCTTTACTCAGTCAAGCCTATCTCGATATCCAGGCGGCTAGAAGAAACACAGCTTGTCTCGAAAGACCTCGCAGATTGGCGAGCTGAGTTCTCCCAGTTTCTCGATGCCGACTACTTCAGTACATCATTCCTCGTTCCCATTGTTCAGCGGCAACGGAACGTTCTCAACTTGACCTACTGGCATGCTATAATACTTACGCATCGTCAAGCTGTGTTGAACAATTTTGCGCGAATTTCACGGCAGAATAGAAGGGGCAGTGAGAACGATGCCGCAACTCAAGACAGTGTTCAAAAGTGCCTTCAAGCTGCTATGGATACTGTTGGTCTGATCGACGAGGTAAGGCGCGCGATTGTCCGCTATATCAACTCTGAATAACACTTCCAAGATGACAGATAACGGACAAATGTTTCGGGCTTTCTGGGTGAGTGCAGCCCAGTCTTCTGGAGATGTCAACATTAACTGGTGTTAGGTTACTGCATACTTTGCTTTCACTGCAGCTATGGTTCTTTATATCTACGTGATCCAGAAATGGGCATCACCCCCCGAAACATACAGCGAGTACTTCACAGCCGCAACACGATGTCAATCTCACATGTCAACCATGGTGGAAAAGGGCTCCTTATCAGAGCGATACTGTTTTCTCTTGGAAGAATTACGAGTCGAAGCCTTGCGCCAGGTGAATCGGATGCATCCTCATGTGTTTGCTGGTCTGGAGGGACATGCACAAGACAACGCTTTCCAGTCCAATGTTATACCGATGGATACGCCGAGCGACAAGACTTCTTATACAGACTTAATGGGTGAGAATGGGATGGATTTTAATGGCATGTCTGGTGTTGATTTCTCAGGCTGGGGTCAATTCGCGTCCATGGTTTCGTCGGGCTTGGGTAACTTAGATGCTTTCCTTGATGATGAGGTGTTTAGGCTTTAGGAGCAATTGTCAAACAGAAGCTTGGCAGTCGGGCTCTGATACACCGAGAAATGTTACTCTCAGAACACAATCTTAAACCTGTCCACCTTTTCTAATCGCGGAATCTTGCCAATCAGCGGGCTTAACGGATATGACCATACCTTTTCCAGCCATCGGATCTAAAGCCGAAACCGCACCGGAAAACCCAATCAGTGGAACCATGTCGGTGACAAATCCGCTACAGATCTTGGTTGGAGCGGATGAGGGGTACCTAATGTTAGCTTCCACGTCTATCTTTACCATTCCCTGGGTCGCATAAAGTCCACTTGGTGAACCTGCCAGAGGTACTTATCATCGGGAGTTAACAAACATTGAATCAGCATTACTCTTTTCTCCCAAGACATTCGCAACATAGCCCACTTCCCAAAATGGCATCCGCAGTCTCAAAGCGCCTTGAAGGCAAGACCATTCTCATCACCGGAGCATCTTCCGGCATCGGAAAGGCCACAGCCTTTGAGTTCGCCCGCACCAGCCCCAAGAACCTCAAATTGGTCTTGACGGCGCGGCGAATCGACAGTCTTCGTCAAATCGCTGAAGACATTGTCAAGGAAGTTGGCGATGGCGTCAAAGTGCATCCCGTCCAGCTCGATGTCAGCAAGCCTGAGGAGGTGCGCTCTTTCGTGAGTAAGCTTCCTGCAGAGTTCAGTGAGATCGATGTCTTGGTGAATAATGCGTAAGTTCCCCCAAGACCCAGATCGGTAAAGCGATTAGCTGACATATTACTCGCAGCGGTCTTGTCAAGGGCGTGGATAAAGCTCCTGAGATCAAGGAAGAAGACATCAACGTCATGTTCGCTACCAACGTCACAGGCTTGATCAACATGACACAAGCTATCCTCCCCATGATGCTGAAGCGCAATAATGGCGAGGGAGCTGGTGACATCATCAACATTGGCTCTATCGCAGGTCGTGAGCCTTATGTCGGCGGCAGCATTTACTGTGCAACCAAGGCTGCTATCCACTCGTTCACCGAGAGTCTACGCAAGGAACTCATTTCAAAGCGCATTCGTGTCATCCGAATAGACCCTGGTCAAGTCGAGACTGAGTTCTCAGTTGTGAGATTCTACGGCGACAAGTCAAAGGCTGACGCTGTATATGCGTAAGTTTACCCTATGCTATCAAAGGGCACAGAGCTAATCAATGATAGTGGCTGCGAGCCCTTGACACCGGATGATATTGCTGAGGCGATTGTCTTCGCCGCTGGCAGAAGAGAAAACGTGGTCATTGCGGATACCTTGATATTCCCTAACCACCAGGCTGCGGCTACCATCATGCACAGGAAGACTTAGAATAGCCTTATCTTAATTAGAACAAGACACTAACACAACTAGACATTTTTCAACAATAAATGCCTGGGTGATTCATGAGAACGACAGGTTGGCGTTGTTCAAGATTTGTAAGAGAATATTCGTTGCCTCAGTCACCTTTACGGAAACTGATACTGTAGTCATTCGATTCCAAGGGGCTAGTCCGATATGGTGACATGCCGTAGGCTGTAGCCTGTCAGGCACTCCAGTGGTAGGATCATGCAGGGTAGCCGACTACCTTGTCTAGGGGAGACAAGAAAACTTAAGACGTCTATCCTCAATGACAAAAAGACTTGGGTAAATTTAAAATAGACTTAGTATAGACCTGGTGGGCCTTAGACTAGATATTTTTGCCACCTTGCCTGAAGGTCAGAGGTTTTCTTGCTCTGCATTCAAATCTGGGGCCATCAGGCGCGCGCGCTCTCAAACCTTTTCGGCACAGGGAATTCTCGGCTTCGGATATTTTCTCCGTAGAACCAAGCCCAGACCGAGTCAAGTGCAGTCGAGTAGCGTCGTATTGGCTTTGCGGGGGATCGGCAATGCTCACTCTCGCTTGTCGGAAAAGCGACATTCCCAACCACATCGTTCTTCGCTTTTCCGTGACAGTTCCCAAGCCCCATGACTTGAGACGGAGTAGCAGGTGCATATTGCATTCCCGTCGCTAATTATCCAGCGTGGGATCTGGATAAACGGGCATGATCCGCTGACCATTGCACTTGTTCAACAATCCACCGTTCATCTGGCGAATGGAAGCTGATGAGTGCTGTCGTCTCTCATCCGTGAGTGGAGACCACGGATTCATATCACGGTCGCCCCCAGAGAAAAAGGACTCGGAAGAAAGATATTGAGGCAAATTTCCACCCAAGCCACAGGCCAGAGACCTTAAGTACCTGGACTCTTCCTAGAACATCGCTCTAGTCTACTTTATCCATACACAATACGCAACACTTGAACTCCTTTCGTGAAGTTGATTCGGCAGTTATCATGTCTTTCTATAGAGCTCCACCAAGCGGCGTCTGGGCACCAGCAATTACCTTTTTCGACCATGACACAGATACACTCGACACAGACTCTCAAGCAAAATATTACTCTTATCTATCCAAAACAGGTCTCGCAGGCCTTGTCGTGCTAGGAACAAATGCCGAGACCTTTCTCTTAACGCGCGAAGAGCGCAAGGCACTATTACAGACAGCACGTCAAGCATGCGGGCCATCGTTTCCTATCATGGCTGGCGTTGGTGGACACTCAACGAAGCAAGTGTTGGAGTTCATCAACGACGCAGCTGATGCCGGAGCCAACTACGTCTTGCTCCTCCCTCCTGCTTATTTTGGGAAGCAGACAACACCAGAGGTCATCAACAACTTCTTTGACGACGTTGCAAAGAACAGTCAACTACCTATCGTCATTTACAATTTCCCGGTTGTCTGCAATGGCATCGACCTGGATTCCGCCACCATTGCCGCTTTGGCAAAGAAACACAGCAACATCGTTGGTGTTAAGCTGACTTGCGGAGCTGTTGCCAAGATAACACGACTTTCTGCAGAGCTTCCCGAGGAGCGGTTCGCTATCTATGGTGGGCAGTCAGACTTCTTAATAGGAGGCCTGGCTGCTGGCTCCCACGGTACAATTGCTGGTTTCGCCAACGTTGTCCCCAAGACCATCGTGCATATCTATAACCTCTACCAAGAGGGCAAGTTTCAGGAAGCCATGGCTCTGCACAAGAAGGCGGCACTGGCTGAGCAACCTTGCAAGGCTGGAATTGCATCAGTCAAGTATGCAGCAACTCTGAGCACAGCCAAGGCCGCCGGAATCAAGGGCGCTGCAGATAAGCTGAAGCCCCGAAGGCCATACGTGGAACCTACGGATTCTGCGAAGAAGAGTATTGAGTCGCAGATTTCTGACATGTTGGACTTTGAAGCCACGCTCAAGTTACCAGCTGAGAAGGGCAAGTCAAACGGCGTAACGAATGGTGTATCGAATGGGATCATGAATGGAACATCAAACGGGGTGGTGGTGCATTAAAGGTACTATATATGGGACCAATAGTATATATACTCTGCAGTAAAACATTGAGTTAATAAAGTCGGTAACATTTAAGCAATGTGCATGTTTCCTCGTTATCTCAAAGCCAGTGGTAGTGCAGCTGCTCACGTTCATCAGTGCTCTACACAAGTTACAAGTCATATTTCCCACGAAATGTTGTTCCACCAATATACCAACGACATTCAATCAATCTTCACGTACTCCAAAATCCAAACTACAGATTATAGTCGCGAGATTGATATTGGTTGACTTGAAAATAAATATTCCATCGTAGATGGACCCCTGTATTTTCGTATTAATCTAAGCTATTGGCATTAGTGCGTGCTGAGCGGAAAACTATCAGTGGCTTCAGCGCCTCGATATTAACTCACAGGGGTGTAGGTTCACTACATGACGGGGCAAATTCAGTCGCAACACAGTTCCAGTTGTGAAGAATGCCGGGCGCTGAAGCGAATTGGCATTTTTAAATCGCAGCAAAATTACGAAAAGAATATGTCCTGCACATTTAATAAGCCAATGCCTCAAATGCTTCACTATTTCTGCGATACAGAGTAAAGAGATGCGAATGACGGCCCACGTTCTAGGCTTAACGATCAGCGCCAAAGCCCTGCTAACGTCCGCTAGAGTATAAGCTTACAGCGCCACCAATTTATCGACAAAAAGAAAACAAGAGTTTCGAAAAGGGGACCATGGAAAACTCCAGTAATTCCCGTTTTTCTTCCCTCAGTTGTATCGTAAGTTGTCAGTCGTTCTGCATCTCACCAAAGTCATTCATTTTCCCAACATGGTTTCGTCCACTTTTCTTGCCGGCGCGTTGGCGATTTTCGCCATCAGCGGCGTTAATGCTGGGCCATGCCGTCCCTCATCTGTCTCGACCACCGAGACACTGACCGCGATTGAGTCTACAGCCACCGAGAGCTCTCTGGCAACCAGCGAAGAGACCACGCTTACACTGTCCACCACCGCTGAGCTTTCTGTCACTACAACTCAAACCACAGCTATTTCTGATGTTGTCTCGTCGTCTGAGACTTTGGTCGATGCCACTACGACTACCCAAGCAACAGCCTTGGAGACTACAACCGCCACAGGGCTAGCCGTCACCACAACTGAAGCGACCACTGTTTCGGAGGATATCTCATCCTCTGTGACTTTGAGCGATGATACCACGACCTTACTTATGATCACCACGACTACACAAGCTTTCGTAGACACTGCAACAACAGCCGCAGCGACTACAACCACCACTGCAGCTGCTGAACAGGGCGAGTGCACCCTAAACTCCGAATGCGAGGCACTCAACGGCGGAGCCAACCCCATCTGCGATGCCGGCACTTGCGTTCCCGACGACAGTCAAGGCGACCCATGCTCCGATGAGAGCGACTTTACTACCCCCGGCCAAAGCTGCTCGGCCGAAGGTTTCTGTCGCGTCTCTTAAGAGACACCAGAATCTTGCTCTGACGCAAACGAATGCCTTTTGTCTACCAATCGTATTTGTACTCTAGGACTCTGCGAGTGTCCCGAGCCGACACGTCAATGCACTCCACGATCGGATCTGCAACTCTGTCAGTCAACAGGGGAGTGTTCAGCTGGCGCTACTTGCCAGCAGGGTATCTGTGTCGATCAGGTTGCATGCACTGGTGAATCAAGTTGTCTGGCTAATCTAGATCTGTGCGTTCTTCCTGGCGCTTGTGTCTGCCGGAATGGTGTATGTGCCCTCGGTGGTTAAGCATCATCTTGGTCGACGAGAACTCTATTCTTTCGTTATGAGGACATTCCTTGGTAGGTAGGATAATGGACACTGTTTAACTCTATTGTTCCATCGCTATCTGGGCATGTTACACACTTGATACTTGTAGGCTTGCTTCATTCTGAACCGGGTATTATGCTCAAGTATATTCTTCATAATATCATAATCCAACTAAATTTCCTGCCACTAGTTCTGAACCGCTCACAACACGCGAGTGGCTCAAATTGTCATCACCAGTACTCCGTATCCGCTCAGCAATCCATCTTGATAGTCCAAAGTCTAGAGCACATGCTTGAACAGCGGCGACCTGTCTCCCATGTCGAACAGCTCCTCCTCAGTGTACTTCCTCTTAGCCTCCTCAGCAATCTTTGCCTTCCGGGCGTTGGCGATCTTGTAGCTCCACTCAAGGAGAAAAGCAACGATCAGACCAGTGCCTCCGAACGCCAAAGACAGGCCGAAACCTGTATAATACTTAGGCTTTTCCTTCTCAAGGTACATAAAACTACCGACGATACCACCGACGTTGCCGACACAGTTCATTAGAGCGATACCGATAGCACGCCGAGATGAGGGGGCGATGTTGTTGGCGTTCCATGAGGCAGCGGCGGCTTGGATGGGATAAATACCGATAACAGCAAGAACGACGGCGAAGTAGGCAACTCCCTTCTTGGCCTCGAGTTGACCGTTGAGAGAAATCATGATCGAGTAGGCGACTGTGACAATCACCATGGGGATAGCGACGAAAGGCATACGCCAGAAGAATCGATCAGAGATCTTGGCGAAAACAATGGCGGAAATGGCAGCAGCGACGTAAGGAGGAGCGGAAGTGAGCTGAGCGTTGGTGTTGCTGAAGCCCATCGCTTTGGTAATGCTTGGCAGCGTGAATTTTGTACCTGAAACCGGTTAGTGAAGTTATTCATGCCATTGAGTACCGTGTGAACATACCATAAGACAGAGCGGACTGGCACAGGAGGAAGTAAGCCTGAACATAGACTCTCCAGTTGGTGAGCACCATTCTGATATCCTTCCATCGGACAGTTGTCTCCTCCTGGAAACCTCCGCCTTGCTTGATGAACATGGAAAGCTCAAGGAATCGGATCTCCTCAGGGTTCAACCATCGTGTAGATAGAGCAGGAGTGTCGATGAGGAGGAAGAGGCAGGCAACGCCGAGAACGACTGTAGCCATACCTTCGAGAAGGAAAATCCATCTCCAGCCCTCAAGACCAGCGACTCCGTCCATCTCAGCGATACCAGCGGCGAGAAGACCAGAGAAGGCACCTGACAAGGCACTGGCGCAGTAGAAGTAGGAGATTCGTACAGACAGATCCTTGGGCATGTACCAGTAACTATCAAATTGTTAGGAGATGAACAAAAGTCGAAAGCTCCTTTCTGAGCTTACCTGCACAAGTAGATAGCACCTGGGAAGAAACCAGCCCTGAGTTGTCATGTTAGCCCCAATCTTCAAGGTGGGAGTCAAGAGTCAACGGATATGGACTTACTCAAAGATACCAAGAAGAACACGAGTAGCCATGAGGCCACCGAAGTTTTGCACAAGTCCAGTGCAAGTCATGACGATACCCCAGCAGACACAGAGGATACCAAGGTACATCGATGGGCGCTTGAACTTCTTGAGAAGAATGTTGCTAGGGACTTCGAGAAGGACGTATGGAACGAAGACTGGATCTATGTCAGCTCACAGAGAGCTATCAGTGATTTCGGTATAACTTACAGATGGACAGAATGGTGTTGTATTGAACACCAGTCATGCCCAAGTCCTCGACCATGCCCTCGATCTTTGCATTACCAATATTGGCGCGATCGATATGGCAGATCAAATACAGCAGCGCAAGCATTGGCACAAGCCGAACATCAACCTTGCGGAAAACCTTCTTTCGCTGCTCCTCAGTATAACTGTTGTAGAAGTCGGCATCGTCAGGGTCCAAACCAAAGACGCGGAAACCGCCAATCTCGATGGCTTCGGAGGTGTTTTCGAGATGGTCCGGCTTATGGTCGCCGACCTCAACGTCGCTCTTGGAGATTGAACTTCGAGGAGCCATGATGAACTTGTTGCTGATCAAGAGCTTGGGACTTGAAGCTCAAGAGTTGTGATGTTGAGAGACCCAAGCCTTGGAAGTGCTGAACCAAGCTGGGTATTATAGTCGACACAACGATCTGGAAAAGCAAAAGAGGTCATTGCGCAGATTAGCTCAAGAGGATGCCCCCCATTTCCCCAGACGAAAGCCAGTGTAACCCCAGACTTGGCGACATCCAAAGCGGAGTGTCCTTGTTTGCCAAGTGCGGGGTAGGAATTCTGATGGTCTCATTGTACGGAAAATATCACCCCCAATGCTATCTCCTGGGGGATCGACGGAAGTGTTGATGGACGGAAAAGCACCCAATCAAATGGTTATCCGTGGCGGATCTGTCCCCAGCCACATCAATCTTTCAAGGAAACATGTCCGATGTGTCTTTTCCCTCTTGATACGGATATGGAAACAACTCCATGGAATACTACACCAAGTAATCATGCGTGATACCCGCGATGGTTACTCAAAGGAAATGATGTTTACCCCGCAAACTGTACTGACATGACAGCTCAACCATGCACAAGCCCGGGATAAATAGTCCACCACTCAAACAATACAGTTCCAATCAGTAGACTCAACAATCACGACACACTGAATCGCAATCATGTCTCAACGAAGCATCATCAAAGACATTGTCATCACCCCTGTGGCCTTCCATGATATGCCCCTGCTAAACAGCGTGGGTGTACATGAGCCATACGCTTTACGCAGCATTGTCGAGATCATCACAGAAGACTCATATGGTCTTGGTGAATCATATGGAGATTCAGCACATCTAGACCGTTTGCAAAAAGCAGCGGATAAGATCAAAGGCCTTTCTATTTACAGCACAAATATTATCTACCAAAGATGCGTTGAGTCACTCAAGACCGACACCAATACTGGTGGAGACGGCATGGGAGGCATGGTGACTACCGCTTCAGTCGCTGATAAGGTCTTCTCACCATTCGAAGTTGCATGTCTTGACTTACAAGGCAAACTAGCTGGGATATCCGTCAGTGATCTCCTAGGCGGACGGGTGAGAGACCAAGTTCAATACTCAGCCTATCTCTTCTACAAATGGGGCGGGCACCCCGGTCACGAAGATGACGAATACGGACCTGCGCTAGACCCTCAAGGAGTGGTGAAGCAAGCCAAGAAGATCATTGACGAGTATGGCTTCCAAGCCATCAAGCTCAAGGGAGGCGTGTTCCCTCCTGCAGAGGAAGTTGCCGCGATCAAAGCTCTCCATGAAGCTTTCCCTGACCTGCCACTGAGACTTGACCCAAACGCGGCTTGGACTGTTGAGACTTCAAAGTGGGTCGCTAAGGAGCTTGATGGTATTGTTGAGTACTTGGAAGATCCGGCTGGTGAGATTGAAGGAATGGCTGCTGTTGCCAAGGAGGCATCGATGCCCCTGGCTACCAACATGGCCGTCGTTGCTTTCGACCATCTTCCACCATCTATTCTTCAAAACGCTGTACAAGTAATCTTGTCTGATCATCACTTCTGGGGCGGTCTCCGCAAGTCACAAACACTAGCATCTATTTGTGCAACTTGGGGTTTACGCCTTTCGATGCATTCAAACAGCCACTTGGGCATCTCACTCGCTGCGATGACCCATCTCGCCTCGGCAACACCTAACCTGGATTATGCTTGTGACACGCACTGGCCTTGGAAGCGCCGGGACGAGGACGTTGTTGTTGACGGCGCGCTGAAGTGGAAGGATGGCGGTGTTGTCGTGCCGACAGTGCCTGGTCTAGGTGTCGAGCTTGACAGAGACAGGTTAGCAAAGCTTCATCAACAGTACCTTGACTGTGGGCTGAAGAAGCGTGATGATACTACGTATATGAAGAGGTTTCAACCAGACTTCTCGGAGAAGATCCCTCGATGGTAAATCCTGGGCATCTTTAGCCAATTTTGAACTGGCCAGTCAAACCAGAACTTCTATGTATCCAATAGTCTATCAAATTACTTTAATCACTTGACGTCCTATCTTTAATGTAGCTAACATGATCAGGCAGCTGGTTTTCCAGAAAAGGACTTCACTTAGCAAGCTCTTCCCGTAGCACTCTAGCTGAGCTCGATTATTATCCAATACTAATTTCGGCACGATAACTTCTTGACTTACCCTGGCCTTCTTGACTGAAAAAAAAAACTATAAAGAGATTTGCGTGCGAGCGACAGAAGTATCCCCCAAAAAGAAGTCAAGAGGAGGGTTAGTCTTTCTTAATCTGCCCGATGGTCTGCAACTTCTCCTTCAAATCCTTCGGCTCCTCTTTGAAGGCTGTCACCTTCATCCTGGCCCCTTCGTCATCCCACCCATAGTTTGGCGTGCCATCAGCCCTTTTCCCGTAAATCCATTCGAGGCCATCTAGAAACGTCTCCTTGGTGATGATCAGGTCTCTAGAGATATAGTGCGTCCACGTGGGAACGTTGTTTGGGTTGAAAGCGCCCATGGTGAAAAGGATCTTGGGATTAGTTGATAAATATCTTAACTTGATTCTTCAGGCAGGATTAGATTGGCCTGGTATGCTTTCTTCGTTCTTAGTCTTGCAAGTTGTATAAAAAAAAGAAAAGGAGATTTGAGTTCGATCAGACCTTTTGATCTTTATATATTCGAAGAATGTCTCTGATTCAGAACACGCTTTGTTTTCTCGATAAAATATATATAGACCACTGAAACGGCATTCGAGTCACCTTTCAATCATGAGCATCTACGGCATTCGTGAAAGATGTTCGACGGTCGCTAGCGAGATTGATGGAACTCCACACGATCAAGCATCCATATCGTCAAATCATCACAGACTATATTAATATACGTCTACCGGTTTGCTTGGGGGGTTGGCGAAGCTGACATTCCTCGCGAATTGGGACTTGGATGGGCAGGTAAACGATTTTTGTGAACGTAATGACAGGACAACACCGATTCAGAGTCGACTGTTCTGAGCGTCATCAACAGACAACTTCAACTTCAAACAGAGTGTACATCCATTGCAACACATACATGCCTAATCAGGCGTACGAAAGTATGTGAATGCAAAACATTAAGAACTCAAAGGCGATCAAACAGGACGAATCAGCAATTCAGCATTGAACTTCACGTGGCAAACCCTGAGACCGGAATTACCCTATACGTGAGACCCCAAGGCCAGTTGATTAATCGAACAGAGGTTTCAATGGTACAATATGCTTTTAGCCCATGAATCGATATTTATTCAGTTCTATAAGTTTACGTACATGTCGTAGGGGCAAAAAAGAGTGCATTGTTCTCGATTGCCTATTGCTTTGCTAATCTCAGGACTTCGGCACGACCACCTGAAATTCAACACGCTGGAAATTGTTGTTCCATCATGACAGCGCTTACTGTAGGTCTGCAGCATATTTCACGTTACTCTCTTTTTTAGCTGAATAACAACCGCGCGGCTCGGGAAATGTTTGCTAAGTAGAATCCAACATTCGTCTGACCACCAAGGTCAGCTTATGTGAGCAACAAGAAGTAATATATCTGAGTAGCAGCGACTGGATTCCCTACTCTTTCTGACTAGATATCTTTTCTTTTCACCGCTTGTGCATTGACTAAAGCTTCTAAACCTTATGGTCGCAATGTCTGCCAACTCAGAACTTAGGAAGCAAATTGAAACTACGGTGAATAGCTTTCTCGCAAGCTATGAAGACGGAAGAAAAGCGAATGACCCGTCCATCATCAACCGCGATGTGACTCCAGACTGCATTCGCCAACTCCTTCCCGCCTCAATGTGCAAGACGCTCGGCCTTCCGGAAGAGTTTCTTATACCCAATGATGTCTATGAGAAGCTCTTCGCCGACGATCTTGCTCTTGGCGGGATGCACAATACCGTGTCAAAGCACTTGACGATCGACGTTGAGGCCCTGCGCGCGGCAGTTAAAAGTAGTGGAGATATGATCTACCATCATGGCGAGACTCTGCATCTAGAATTTTCCTGGATATTCTATCTTACTGGAGATGGTACGAAGATAAGCAGGGTTATTGAGTTTGCTGATAGCACCTCTGTCTTGAGGATGGTGGCCATCATGAAAGAGCATGGCGCCGAAAGTGGCCAGGGCCAAGAGGTTGATTTTGACGCTACTGGATAGTGCGGCGGTTGAAGGCGATGTCCAGAGCCATTGAATAGTTATTATCTCGTGAAAATGATATTTTGTCTTCCATTTATAATGTATTGTTTTATCACAGACAAAAATTCCGTGACGCTTCCGGTATGATTGGTGGATTCGCGGTCAAACAAATCGTGGTCTTGGCGATCAAACAAGTCGAAACAGCACTACAAATAACATGGCAGAAACGTGTTCTCGATGCAAAAGTTCCGGAGTTTTCCGTTGTTGCGAAACACTTTATGTTGATATTCGGTGGAGAACCTCAATTTGATACATGGTGACTCCGAAGCGCCCAAGCACCTGCTGAATTTAGTCCGCGGGTCTTTATTTATTTAAACTTAAATATAGAGATACTGGAGACCGGGGAAGGTCTGAACGCTGGACGTGAAACCCGGTAAATTCCCAATTAACATATGCCGGGGGTTGTTTATCTCCGACTCCATGGAGTTTTCTGCAATATGTTCGCAACATGTGAAAGAGTTTTACGTCCGTGGAATATTCTATTGATCTGCCCGGTACGCCCGAAACTCAAAAAATGCCCAGCGTGGCTTAAAAGGCTTGGAATTTTGAGCCGCCAGCGACGTGGCATTGCAGGGATCTAAGACGCCTCTGCCGTGTCCCAAGCCACCATCGACAACAACAAATGCCATCATTTATGACGATCTGTTGTCCAAGACGGCAGTTAACTTATCTCGCATACGAAATGAAACGCGACAGATCGCAGGTGAACACGATTCGTAAGAGCCGCAACCAATACCACAGCCCCCTATCGAAACAAGTTTGAGGAAGATCTTCAAACGCGACCTCAAACCCTTCAATACTAATTTAGGCCGCAATCTACACTCCCTGTTCACGTCCAAGTGTTCGATATCTACACCCAATGGGATCCAGCGGCTCTCATTCGACCTTCTCCACCGACAAGGTAAGCTTAAGCCTCAAAGTAACATGGGCACGAGTCAGGTGACGAGTACGACGACCAAAGCGGGACGTGCAGGGCATATCCATTGGCTCACCGTTGATCTTCAAGACGATCGCACTGATATACAACAAGGGAGAGCTCAGGAGCTATTCCAATGTTTTGGGTCTCATATCTTATACACGAGACTTCGTTGGCCAGCAGCCTTGCACCGCGGTGCGGCTCAGGCGTTACCCGTTGTCGCGCCCGTCGCTAAAATTAGTCTAGTTTGCGTGTCATGTCCAAGAAACGTGTAATGAAGATCTGGTATCCAGTAAAGACAGGCATGTGAGATTCGTAATGAAATTTGCAAAAGTGCCGAGACGATGGCGATAGTGATTGGGCTCTTATCGCCGTTGGCGAATATTTATATCTAGTGCCAAGCCCCTGAATATCTGCCTTCTGGCCGCATCAACAGCAGAACGCCTAGACTCTAGTCTGGAACTCTCACGTAGGAGTCCGGCGGCCACATACATCAGTGGAACTCTCTTCGCTTTTTCTTCGACCTCTCCTTATCATCTTAGTTTACACAAAATATTTCTGCATTATCATGGCGCATCACGACACGAGGATGCATGATCCCAACATGGATCGCGACAGTTACAACCTCGACAACCTATCTACCGAACGCAACCATCATGAGTCTCATCGACCAAACTCACCATCAGACCTTATGTCTGGAGCCTCGACAGATATCGAGTCTGGCACATCAACACCGACGCACATCAAGGATGCAAACCAACATCCTTCATTCGACATTTACGACCCGAACCGACCCAAACTTGGCTTGCGTCAACGGTTAAAGCACTTCACTTGGGCTTGGTATACATTGCCTATGAGTACTGGTGGTCTATCACTTCTCTTCTTTGCTCAACCGAACCAATTTCCTGGTCTCAAGACCATTGGTCTGGTCATTTACATCATCAACCTCATAATATTTACCTGTGTGACAACGGCGATGGCATCACGGTTCTTCCTTCACCCAGGAACATTTGCCAAGTCCATGACACATCCACGAGAAGGCTTTTTCTTGCCTACCTTTTTCTTATCTATAGCCACAATCATTACCAGCACCGATCGGTATGCGATACCGAAGGACGACTCAAACCTGGTCTGGGCTGTTCAGACAACCTTCTGGGGCTACCTTGTTGTCACCCTCATCTTATCTATAGGACAGTACAGTTATGTCTTTGCAGCTCATAGCTTTTCTCTTAGCACTATGATGCCCACTTGGATCTTACCCATCTTCCCTATCATGCTTTCGGGCACCATCGCATCTGTCATCGCTGAGACTCAGCCTCATGTTGCTGCTGTACCCATCATTGTTGCAGGACTAACCTGCCAGGGCCTTGGACTCAGCGTTGCCGTCATGATGTATGCTCATATGATTGGACGTTTGATGCAAGCAGGCCTGCCCAACCGAGAACACCGTCCAGGTCTTTTCATGTGCGTTGGTCCACCTGCATTCACTGCCCTAGCCTTGATAGGCATGGCTGAAGGTCTGCCTGAAGACATCGACTTCATCCAAGATGGAACATTTATCAATGTCGGAATGGTTCGACTAATGGCTACCATGAGTGCCGTTTTCCTTTGGGCTTTGAGTTTGTGGTGGTTTGGCATCGCCGCCGTTGCCGTTATTCAGTCTCCCCCCAAGTACTTTCACCTCGGATGGTGGGCTATGGTTTTCCCCAACACTGGTTTCACTCTCGCTACTATCTCTATCGCGAGATCCCTTGGCAGTAAAGCCATAGGATGGTTCGCTACTGGAATGAGCATCGTCATTCTCTCCGCTTTCGCTTTCATTTTCTACAGCCATGTCAGAGCTGTCATCTCTCAAGACATCATGTACCCAGGACGGGATGAGGATGTCGAGGATCACTGAGTCGAGCATTTCAGCGCAGCATAACTAGACTTCAAAATTGCATAAAGGAACATAAAAATGTTATACAATACTACTCGCATATACTGTCGTTTTCCATTCGTTAACCCCGTGCGCCGCAACCAAACTTCTTTCATAGTAAGGCTTTAATATTCACTCGCTAGTTAGTTTCACCTTTGAATTGATACCATATTTAAAATTGACTCACTCGGTTTTCTACTTAAGAATTTTCCTATCTATGCTAGTCCATTTCCGCTGTTTCGACCGTTTCATATATCTACGATAAGATCAACGGATCTGAAACCGCATCTGGAGCTCCGAGTCGCATCCCCTTGTCACTGTCGCTGGAATATACTGCTGCAACGGAATATTTATTTCTCAAGATTAGATTCCCTAAAAATAGTTGCCCTTCCACTGATGCACTTGAGACGTTGGTAAATCTGAGCTTTTCAGTAGCTGTCACCTCATTGGATGCGTAGTGAATCTCCTTGGCTCATCATGGGTCGCAGCCCGCGTGCAATCCACTCCTGATGCCACTCTGCAAAAGACCCCAAGCCTGAGAGAGCCAGTTATTGGTTTAACACCGAATTTATCGGGCTTAGCATCATTCGTAACAATGTAGAGTTGTTTCGTTGCACTCTCTGACTTCCATTCCCAGACGGTCTAACCGTGGTCAGGACACCTATCCAGTCAAGCCTCTTGGCAAGATAATTTCCCCATCTATTTCTCTTGTTAGGCAATAATAACTCATTCCTCAGTAAGCACTTGGTAAAAGCGGATGCATGTACGTAATCAATGCTGACACCCCTCACTTGGCTGATTATCCGGATAAACGAGGATGAAGGAGTGAGTGCCAGATGCTAAGTGTCTTATAAACCAGCACCCATACAAAACAGGCAGTGAATGTAAGGAACTGGAAACGCTTGCAATTATGTCTGAAGCAACAACTGAGCAACTCCCCACCCTCCCCTCTGATCTAACCCCCCAGTGGTTCAGTGCCAAACTCGGGCGTGAGATCAAATCAGCGGAGAAAACACGCAACATCTGGGGAACCGCGAGTAAACTATTCTACACGTTGACCTACGAAAATGAAAGCGAAGAAGAAAGGCCGGTCAATATCTGCGTCAAGGGAGTGTTTGATCCCAAGATGATCGAAGCTCAGCCATGGACCGTCAGTCTGGCTCAACGAGAAGCAGAGTTCTTCTCCAAGGTTGCGCCAAACGTCAGTCATATGATCTTTCCAAGAGGCTGGTGGAGTGGAACGGACGAGAAGCAGGGGATTGCTATCATGAATGATCTTGTCAGTGAAGGTTGCACTTTCCCAGCTGAAGTTGCTTCATATTCGGTTGATAAAGTCAAGAATGGTGTCGAGCAGCTGGCAGGTCTGCATGCTCAGTACTGGGGTCAGAGCCAGGAGGACCATCCATGTAAGAACCTTTGTAAATAATTCCTGTCCCAACGTCTCACAAACTTACAGGGATATGGAACAACTACGACCCTGCCATGACTTTCATGTGTAGATCGTGGGACGAAGTTGTTAGGAGACCCGGCCGCCCCCAGCTTCCGGAGTATCTGATGGACGGGGCTCGATGTAACGAAGCCTTAGATCGCTACTACGCTGAGCGAAACCCGCGTTTCCGCACCTTGTTGCATGGAGATACTCATATCGGAAACATCTACTTCACATCTGATGACCGCATTGGTTTCCTGGACTGGTCTGCTTTCCACTTCGGTTCATGCTTTCACGATGTCGTGTATCACATGACGGCTATGCTTAGCGTGGAGGATCGCAGGGCTCATGAGATGGAGATCTTGGACCACTATCTGGAGACACTTCATAGACTTGGAGGTCCCAAGTTTGACCGACATAATGACCCGGAGGTTATGATCGAGTATAAGAGATCATTCATGACCAATGTTATCTGGCTTATTTGCCCGGATGGTCTACAAAGTAAGGAGCGGGTCGCTGCTTTGTGTGAGCGAACTGTTGCGACTTATGACGACCACAAGGTTATTGACGCGATCTTGGGCCAACCGAAGGCAGCGACATGAGTCGGACTACTTATGGAACGAAGTTGCTAATCAGACGACTTCTACGATTCCGTGCTGAAGTTGAAAGAATAAATGTGAGATCTCTGATAGTAATGGACATACATGTATTGCTGTTTGCCAACCATATTTGGACCCCGTCCATGATTGTGCGGTACTGCGTGATCATTACGTGCTTAATTCAGGATGTAGCGCATAGTTTTGATGAGATATGACCTTTATGACATAATCTAGAGACGGTGAATGAATCGCAGATGAATTATGACGTTAATGACTTTCAAATACTCAATGTATATGAATATTCATTGCAGTTGTTCATTTGGACCGTGCATCCTTTATCACACAACAAATATGCGCAACACTCGATCTATCCTCAACCTTGTCCGTATTCAGTCACTGGCACCTAGGCAATTCTCTACTATGCCTGCATTCAATCAGATCGAGCGAGTACAGGTTGACGAAGGATCGCATGCCACCGGCGAATCCAAGGTCCCCAAAAGTGCACAAGTCACCGTCCCTAAAGGAGTAGAGGAGAGCCTTCCAGACTCGGTATGTCTGTCGCAACCTCGTCAGGGAAAAGAGACTAACGATCACAAAGTTCACCCTACTGGCTTCAACCCTGGTCAATCGACCAATAAGACACACGCCAAAAATGATGGAGAGGAGTTCATAGTGCCTAAGAAGGTCCAAGAGAAACTTCCCGAGGCTGTTGAGAGGGCTGTACCAAACGCTATTCACGACACTGGAGATACGCCGGTCACGGGAGACAAGAAGTATAATATAGATTATTAGTATTAATTGATGGTTGCATTCATAATGACGAAGCAAGTCCTTATTGAAGCACTAGACTATGGGGCTAGCAGCCAAATCATGATATCATTATCCATTCTTGCACTTAAAAACCTCGCTTCTTCTTCTGCTTCTTGAAGCACTCATCGCATATGGTTTCGATCTCCTTCCTGTCGATTAACGCTGGATTCCCGCAGGCGCCCATGGCACCACCCTTCTCCCTTGCCTTTGCACAAGGTATTTCTTCCCACTCATCCTTGAGCAGAAGGTAGCACTTTCGGCAGGAATACTTCCTCTGGACCTTAGTGCACATGATCGCCGGGTCTAATCTCGTTTTCTTTGCTAAATTATCATATAGGTCAAGTTTGAAAGAGATATCTTGATCTTTGATGTGCTTGGTTGAGATGTGAAATGTTTTAGGGACGATGAATCTGATATTTATACTTTTTATCAGTATTTGATTCACTGTTCAAGATCTATGGAAAATTCGAATCACTGAAAAGGGTCTGGATATCTGTCTTCGTAATTTCATCAATTATTTCTACTCAAGATCATGAAACATTGTAAATGTTCAGAGTGGTCGGGTCCGATATGTCTTTCTTCACTCAATGTCGTTGATCTCAGTGCAGAGATGAGATTAACGTTCCAGACTTACGCATCATCCGTGTTTGTGGTCCTTCTAAATCTCGGCTCAAACATATTTAGCCAGGGTCTCTCTTGCCGCAAAGACGCCTCAGCCATCTGTTCCAAGAAGTCTCGAAGCCGATTATACGGATAAACAGTAAATTCCCATGCGGTCCAACTAACCAGCCCCCACTCGAGATTTCGGAAGTCCTCCATGCTGCCGTATGTCTCCTGAACGAGGCGGTCAAGTTCACGACGCTGAGCCTCGTCTCTTTGCTCGTATGTTTTGAAGAAGTAATCTTTGGCTGGATGGAGAAGGTCTTGACCGACGAGAAAGAAATGGCCAGCCTTTTCTTGATGGTTGATATCGCCCGAGAGACAGATACATCGAGGCTTTTCCATCTTTGGCCATTCTAGGATGTTTTTCGTCCATGCTAGTGGCTCGCCATCATTCAACAGGGGAAGTTCATTACCTTCGAGGAAGTCGAGTTCTTGCCAATTGACTTCCTGAGCACCAGCTAGATAATCTACGAGATTCTGGCCATCCCACATGGAGTCAAGACCATTAGTGATACTGAGGAACTCTTTGTAGTCTTCGGGAAGAGTCACGCCTAGTCGATCTTCCAAAGCCCGTATCCCTGCAACGTAGCATCTCCGTCGAATCAGGCCATTGGAACTCTGGGGTCGAGCTCGGAGGTTGCCACGAGGTCGATAAGCATCCAGCCGGTCATAAGGGCAGTTCTTGAAAGTGTTCTCACTGATTATGTGCACCAACTTTTCGATAGTTTGACCGGCATATCGGCGTCTCGGACCAGCTTGCAAACGGCTCTCAGCCATTTGACAGGCACGAGAAACGGCTGGCCTGAGCTTGGCCGCATGAATGTTGAGAAAGTCCAGGAGGGGTCGCTCAGGAACAGCAAGAATTTGCTTCCACGCCGCTCGAGAGCATACGAGCTGCTCAATTTGTTCTTCCGTGTGAAAACGATCGCACACTTTCTTGAACAACTCTTGAGCCTCTTCTTCTTTGTCCAGGCGCAGATATATATCCAAGGCAATCATCAAACCAGAGGTGCGGTATAGTTGAACAAAAGGATAAGGGAAAATGCCTTGACGCCACCACATGGCTTTCTTCATGTATCTGATAGCCATCGGTCCATTCGGACTCGCTGAGTATGAGAAGTCACCATTCGCGGTCATGACTTCTGCCTGTATGACTTGTCCGGCGAGTGTTCCATTGTAGTCAGGCAGGTTCGTAGTTAAGCCGTTATACGCCATGTCCAAAGCCTTTTGGGCAATTTCTTCTGTGACATCCCATTCCTGACTGAATCTCTCCAGCCAGTGCTTTCTTCCTTCAAGTTCAAGCTCTTGAAGCTTTTCTTCGGTGCGTTCCTCCTCTGGAACCCAAGAAGGCCATGACGAAGTTGCTTCCCAGGCGAAAAACATGCAAGGCTTCAAGAATAGATATTCAAAATCAGAGTACTGAAACGGATCAATACCTCTGGTTGTAAGTGTTTCAAGAAGCTTGGTGGCACCATCAACTTCACCGACCACCGCGAAATTCACGGCGGTCTGGATGATTCTTCGGATAGCTTCGGTGAGGGACCGTGTATCAGCAATCGAAGGTTCATCGTCGACATGACGAAGAAGGAACTCAAATCTGAGATGCTCGGCTCAACATCCTCAGATCTTGAAGTCGCCATCTTTTAGGGCCTTGAAATGTTATTGAACGCTTGTGTGAGGGTTGTTAGAGGCAAGTTTACAGCGCGAAGGGCTCTAGTTACCTTGGTCAATACCTTGGTTAAGACCTGTGACGTCACAAATAAGCTGACATTGTAACGCCAGTTCACGGTAAAACCAGTTAATAGTACTACGTATCGTCTGTTCTTTAGTAGAGCTTCATAACACAGGAATAATACGAGTTTACTAAAAGGTGAAGGCGCTGCAAAATGTCGAATCCTTCAGCGCCTTACAGATCGGGCATGTGTTCATGTGACGGATCTTATGGCATCTCCGCTAGATATGTTAAGCTAAGCTTATGAGAAACACGAGTTGTCGTTGATAATTTGCATTTACCTTGAACTGTCCCCATAATCTTCTATCATCGCAGCTGGGTACTGTGATGTCTTATCATGGACGCGAAGGTTTGATGTTGAGCCCCATAATCTGCCGATGGACACCCTAGTTCATCACCAATTAATTCCCAATCATGGAATCTACTGTTAAGATTCTCAATACGCCCCCAGTATACTCAACAAGTAACAGATTTGGTTGAGATCGAAGACCGGAGAATTCGGAGCGTTGCTGGGTTCCTGATCTGGCCATCACAACCCCTGATATCGTCAGCGCGAAACGAACTGCACGTCGTGCAACGGCATGTACGAATCTCAGATGTCAGCATGGAGATTTGATACTGCAATCAATTTAGAGTTGCGTCTTGTTGCTACTACACTCTCTGTGGTGAAAAGAGTGGGCAACTCCTTGTCAAAGCATTGAAGCAAAGACGGTAAGGCATTTTTGCATCAAGCACCTTGTAAGTGCTTAGAGTTACTATGTCTCAGTTATGAGCAATGATAAATTCAGCACTTCCTCTTACGACCTGAATTACCCTGAGATGAATGGGGGTCTAGTTCTCGATAATAGGCCGATGAAAGAACTTTGTCCATGGCCGAAGCGCCATGTTTGATCGAAAACTTCAAGATGGGACCGTATTAGTCACACGAAGTGGTTCTACGAACGCCCTTGGGTAGATAGAGCCAACTCTCCGCTTTGTGAGGGCATAGCGGGTCTCACTTTCTCTCCAACTCACGATGTCAAAAAGCATCCCTGGCGAGGAAGGCGATAGCGTGTTCGCCATTCTCCTGGCCTGGCACTTTCATGAATTTATGGCCTTTACGATGTCTTTATCTTGAGCAAAGCTTGGGAATGACTACAGCTGTAGAAGGGGAAGACAACCGAGTCAAAGCGCATCAGGTTAGCAATAACTAAAGTTAATAAAGATGCCACTGAGTCACACAAGCAAGTGCACTTTTGCCTGCCGAGGCCGTACCTTCAACTTCACTTCTCCCCCTCTTTCCTGCACCTAATGCCATCACGAGACTTGTATGCCACATGGAACTTCCTTCTCTTTTTAATTGCATTCGTGCCAACTTTGTTGAGCCCCTCGTTCCCAGAAACTCTTCATGATTTCATCTTTTTGCCATCATCGATTTACTTCATGCTTCTTTCATATACTTGTCCATCCGCCGATCAATAACTTCATCACATATCTTCCAGCCTCGAATTCCCCCGTCGCTCCTCCACGCTCCCTATTCAACCCCGCCCGCCTTCTACACCACTGTGTAGACGTCCATGACTCCCTGTGGTATCTGGATGTAAAAACTGCGACGTGTATCCGCTCAGGCCTTGCTAAAGCGCGAGTGAATTACCGGGAAATTTGACAAGACGAACGGCACAGCTACAAAATTCGCGTTGGAGGCTCATACCACAAGATACATCTTGGCACTGTATGTTCACTTGGAAAGAAACAAGACAATGTATGTGGAATTTATTCTCAGAAGGCGGCACCTTTACTAAATCTAGGCTAATTATATCATAGACACGCATTATTTCCCGATAAAAGATCGGCGACAACTCTTCCATCATGAAGCGCACACTTTCAACCGAGATCACACAGCCAAAGCGATGTTGCAACACTACGGACGTCACAGAGGTGGCGACAAAGACCGACTCAGCGCCAGAGTCCAAGTCGGAAGTCGAAGCTGCTGTACGTAGGATGGGTTCGTTGAGAGAAGTGAAATATGCAGCTGACTTTTGATCCTCAATTCTCGCAGACACCACTTCTGAATGACGAGCAGTCGCTCAATATCCAGCGCAGCGGTGATGTTCTCAAGTCTCGAGTCCGCTTCATGAAGCTCATGCTTCACAGCAGAGAGGAGACTATGCAACGTTGCAACCCTGAGAATACTAAGCTTGCCATGGAAAACTTTGCCAAAGCTCGATGCGGTGTTGTGAGGTCTTTATCAATGACCTCTTCTATGATCTTGACCATGTCAGGAGCCATCATCAATGAGGCTAATGATCTAGCTGTGCTGCACGCAATGCTTGACATGTGCAAACACCATCAAACCCAGCTGCGAAAAGAAGAACAGAGATTCGAGACGCTGATGTCGCAGTACTTGGTGCAAATAAAAGAAGATCAGGTTTCATATGATATGGCAAGACAAGAAGCTGAGGCGTTGCGGCCTCTAATCGCTTTATTGGAACATGAAATACACGAGGGAAACAGATCATCCTTCAACCAACGCAAACTTGAGATTCTCTTTGATCTCATATCCTCCAATCTTACAAGCGACGGCCTGCTTGAGCTTTACGAAGCCATTGAGAGGGCCGGCTCGCCACCAGCGGAAGCGAGGGGTCATATGGAACCTCTCTGAAAATGTCTCAAGAATGGAAACGTCAGTATTTTTGATAGAAGGCTATCGTACAGTATCCACAACTAGAGAATAAAAATTTCCAATCTCAAACTAAGATACCAAGATTAACTGATCTAAAGGCCCACTAAGCTATGATAAGCTTACCTAAATCTTCTTATTTAGAATAGAGGTCCTATGTTTCCTTGCCTCCCCTGGGCACGTTATTCCATCCTTGTTCTGGTATCCAGATAAAGAAGCGGCTTACCTGGGAAGAAGCTTTGCGGCAGATTCTCCAGTGATCAGACGATACGATACTCGACGAAGTCAATCTTGTCTTTGATTGCTTTAGCAACGGCCTCTCCGTCCATGATCCCATGTATGTAGCTTTAGTACGTTAGTAGCTGAGAATGAAATAGGACAGAAGAATGACAGATACCATTCGCCAACGTAGATCCAGGTCTCATCTGCACTCCTCCTCAAGGCGTAAGCCACGCATCCGCCCAACAGGACGCAGATTGCGTCACCAGGTTGGATATCTGGTGGACCCAGTCCCATGTAGCCCTTTTCTGTCCTGAAGAAGCGTCGGTTGAATTGCTCAATCAACCGAAGTTGCCGGTATATGGGTCGAAGACATGACTGCCATGTATCTAAGAGATCCTCCAAGCCTTCTGGGGTATCGAGTTGCGACAGCTTCTCCAGATCATTCTTGTCAAGCCGTCTGGGCCCTATCCCTTTTGCGGGCGTGGGATGCTGACCCTGTCTCAAATCAACAAGTACTGTTCTCCAGAAAGCTACGCCCTGTGATTCCTTGTCGAGGTATTGGTCTTTTGGTGAGATTAATGTTTGCCAGTCGTTCAAAGTATCCTTGATAAACTTCCTCCAGTTTGCAAAGCCTGGCTCGCTCTTGTTCTGGAAATGGGGACCTGGAGCTTGGGCGCCAACCTTGGAAGCGGTATCTACATGTAGACCTTTCAGGACCAGTACAGTGTCGTCTTTCTCCGTCCGTATGGTCGGTGCAATACCTGCTTGACTCAAACAAATATCGTAAATAGGCCTTTTTGCGAGTACTTTGGACAACGAAGTGATGTAGTCTTTGAATGGCTCAGAATGAAGTGCAAAGTCAGGAACCCAAGACGCCAGCTTCTTGTTCCGAGACTCTTTTTTCTCGGAGATCAAGCCAAGGCATATGAGGTTACTTTCTTCGACGAGTGCAGCACGCATCGCGGCTCTGTAGACCTTCTCCACTGGCCACGAATACTGAGGCTGGAGATCATCCCGTGGCCCAACAATACCCAAGAGGCCAATAACCTTATCTCGAGGATCTGATGCGGCACGATTCCATGTTGAGTAGAGCGCCATAGCTAGCCCGATTCTTTTGTAAGCCACCATGTCCTTGCGCAAATCCTCAACGCGTCTCAGGACGCCAAGAGTCATTTCTGGTGGGATAAGTGCCTCTTTCCAGACGTTATGATTGATGAGATAGTACAGAAAGTATGAGAAGTATAAAATATTCTCGAAGGGGAACGTTTTAGGACCGGACCAGCAGATGACGTTAGAGCACAGTACACTCTCTTGCAAAGTCCATATCCTCCTCCACCAGCTGTTTGCCAGAAATGCTACAGCGTGGCTCATGTCTGCTGCAAATGTGGGGTCATCGAGAAGTCCGAGTATAGGCGCGTAGAAGTCTTCAAACGATTTCATCGACTCGGGATAAATAGAGATCGCGCGCTTATCCAAAGGCGCAGAAGCGGGCAACAGTTGTTGATAGTTCACGTCGTGATATACAAGTGAATAAAACTTGTTCAGAAAGGCGACACCTGTGTCAGAGGACTTGTTTGCGCTTCCGAACCAGACATCGACTGCTTGTGCTTGCGAATAAATTTTGTTCATCTGCAAGACTTGGTGATTTCTCTCCACTTCATCTTGCTGGTTGATGCAAATGGCATCAGCCCAGATGACAATTGGTTCATCAGACTTTCTGAAAGCCTTTAGAGCTGCATATAAGTTTGGACGTAGTTTGAAGATTTTGCCGTCGACTAGCATTCGCTCTGATGCATCTTCATTGCCCCACGTATACGATATGGCTTCATACCGAGGGCACTTGGCTAACTCGTGATGATGCAGCTCGCATGAGATCTCGGATGTGTCATCATGCGACGGGAGGACAGTCAGAAGTCTAAACCATCCCGTTGATGGAAGTGAAGCATAGGTGAAGAAGTGATCCATCATTTAGACTCTTGATGGGATGGGCGTTGTCAAGTCTTCGTAACGGTGACGGAAAATGACGCATCCAATTGAGTGAGAATACTCCGCTTTCACAGATATTTACGTTCACCAATTTGTCGCATAGTGACATAAAGCCACACAGACAGCGATTGACGATCAGAGAACAATTCAACAAGCAGATGCTGTTGAGGCTCCTAGTGGCGCGTCGTGTTTGTTGGTGTCGCGCAGCACAGGCGGTTCCACTTCTGACACCATCCTGCCGTGCTGACAATCGCAGATGCAGGCTGACCAAGCCATAAATGCAAGAGCACAATCGATTACATTTAGAGAGGTGAATGAAATACAAAGAAAACAAGTACGAATGACACGCCATCACAAAACGGATTGTCGAGAGAAACCTGGGAGAAGCGATCACAACAGCTGACCGCGCGAGCACTTTCTAGCCGGCTTTTTGTTTTAGACACAAACTGGTTCAGTACGCGAGCCAAGGCTCTCCATAACTGATCCCGTTTATCCCTACGAGGGATCTAATAGCAACAATAAGATACTTTCCCAGCCTTGCGAAAGGAATATCGGTTGATCTGACAAGGTTACCACTACAAAAAGGTTGTTGGTGAGGCTTCTGAACTCAATCTCCCCCTCGATCTACCCTGCATCTTAGCTGGCAGACTGGCTCGATCGTCGGCGTGGCGACCAAAGATTAATGCGGGGTTGAATGGATTTCTTCGACAAGTCGATTGTCCCTGAGCAAGCGATTGTTTGCTGACTCAAGTCACGGGAATTCCACACCCCGAGCGGAGACACGATTGATGGAATTAACAGAATCTTCATCAATTAGCTTCATTTTGCCACGCGACTTGGACAGGCAGAGGCAGAGGCAGAGTGCCGTCCCGGTAGTCTCAAGAGGGAGCCAGAGGTTTGCCTCAACAAGATCGAGTCAGTTGAGTCTCCAGCTTGAGCACAGACAGACTTGTCTACTTTAAGCAGGTCATCCATCAGGGATGGTCGATTGGTGGTGATGACTAGCCAGATCAGGTATGATCTACTCAGATCCATCTATTGGACATCCAGACTTGCGGGAGATTGGCGGATTGCAACGCTGAGCTTCAAACCTCCGATTCATGGAGTAATCACTACTGCAGGATATTCAGTGGTCTTTTGCCCGAAACCATTCACAATCAATTAGGCCCACTCTAATGCGAAACCGTCAATGAAGTATCGGAGAGTCTGATGTCTGCTCGTATCCCCCCTCAGAGTCAACTCTATCAACTCAATTGCCAAGCTCCACCTCGTAAAGAAAGTAAATGACATCAAAACTCCAAAGAAATTACCATCCACAACCCTCATCCAACTTGGCACGGCAAAGACCCCCTACTAGCAAAACCGAAACCCAAACTAAGCCTGCAGTAATGACTCGAACATCCACGTGCTGCCCACGGGAACAGGCGGTTAGCCATACAAAAACGAGCCCCTATCCATTAGCACGGAATAATCTTGTACGCCATCTACTCCAGAAAAGACTAGCGAACGGCGGTCCGCCACTGCGCGCACTTCTCATTTGCTCATCTGGTAGATCTATGGATTCACCATCCCAGTCTATTCACCAGACTGCCGGGGCTTCTGGAGCCTCTAAAAAAACCCATCATGCAAGATTCCGATCTACTTCGGGGGGCTTGGCAGGGATTTCCATTCTTTTTCTTGCTTAAAGACTGTGTTCCTGTCGCAACCCTGTTTTTTTTCTTTCTTGGCTATTTGCTTGTTTCTCTTTGTTTCATTTAATCTCCCCAATCGGACCCTCACAATGGCGGGATTCTTGATACCGGATCATTACGTGAACGTAAAGCCTAGTACCACCGATCAATTGGTCGCCAGTATCATTTGGGGCTTCACCCTCGCTGTAGGAATCTTCACAGGCCAGAAAGCGGGAAGGCAAACATGGGATCAGTGGAAGCGCACAGGACGGGCCAAGGCCTATGTCTGGATGATTTGGGCTGAATGGTTGGCTTCAATGCTGATTGGAGTCTTGTCGTGGTGTTTTATTCGTGGTTATATTGCTCCCAGGTATGTTATCTCCAATTGCACTGACTCCAAGGACTCATCACTGATCGGTATTCTCTAGCTTCTGGATCTATTTTGTTCTCCGTACGATATATGCCTCGAACGTATTCCAGTCACGAAACTAACTGGTATTATAGTTTGCGCCTGGGTTGTCCAAATTCAATGCATTTGCGGCATCATCATCAACCGAATTTCACTTCTTATGGTCGACAGACGAAACGCCATCAAGATCCGATGGGTAACAGCTATCATTCTCGGCCTTATCAACATCAGTGTCTTTTGCATTTGGATTCCCGCTCAGCTCCAAATCTCTCAGCGATTTCACGACATCAACTACATTTGGGATCGCATTGAGAAGGGTCTCTTCCTGGTCATCGACGCAACCCTGCACGGCTACTTCGTCTACCTTATTCGCATCAAGCTCATCGCGAATGGTCTCACCAAGTACAAGCCATTGATGCGATACAACCTGATTATGATTGTCATATCCATGAGTTTGGATGTCATTCTCATTGGTAGCATGTCCATAGGCAATGGTTTCATGTAAGCCGCAGCTCCAAAAGGCCGATGCCGAACCTCAATAACTGACTCGCATAGTTACGTGCAATTCCACCCTCTCGTCTACATGCTCAAGCTTCACATTGAGATGAACATTTCCGCGCTTATCGTGCGAGTTGTTCGTGCAACCGGAGATCACAGCTCATACCCCGACGGTACCGATCTGCGCTCCAAAGTCAGAGCTGCAGTCTCGAACAAAAAGACGGGCAACTCCAATCGCACAGGCGGTACAGGAAAGGGCGCCATGTTTTCGTCTACAGGGAGAAACTTGGAAGTGCGCATTGACGCAGGCGGTCAAGTAACCGACAGCGAGAACAGACCCCAGCCACCGGGTATCACAAAGGTCACACAGACGCATGTCACAGTCATGCCCAAGCACGACGAGGATGATGCCAGCTCACAGTCCTCGACGCGGCACCTGAAGGATCCTTACTCGTATCCCTGATGCACTAGGGCTGACGGAGGGGAGTTGAAAGATGGAGACGGCATTTCGGTGACATTCTCAGCTTGCCAAACATAGCGAACGAACTACGCCACAAAACGTGGCTCGGAGATTATAGAATTAGAAGCGTCTAGAGTCATAGAAACGATCACTAGCATAACGTACTTAATTAATAATGGATATCTCGACTCCGAAGCGCGACGTGAAGGAGAAACGGACCCAGCAGCTAAGGTTTTTTCGCCGACATGATCTGCGACCGGGTTGCCCTAGCTCGGCACAGGCTCGGTGAGCTACGTGGAGCAGCTCCGGTGAGACACTTTGCACAACGGGGCTGGTAGCACAGAAGAAATTGTTAGTGCAAGGAGCTAGATATGGTTAGCTGTGCGATGGTATGGCTCAAGTGGCAAACAATGACTAGCTACAAGTCAATTGAGTCGTCATGTGTCTTCAATTGATCGTTTTCCAGAGCTGAACCGTCGATGCAAAGAGTAACCGAGCAACCGAGGTAGGGATCAAATCAGGGCTAGCTACAGCTTGTTCCCTTTCCAATTCCAGACCTGGGCTGCATCCAAAGAACAACCAAGCACTTTTCCGTGTCTAGACCGCTCAAGTGACCCATAGGCTTGAGCTAACAACCCCCGAGGTGCACAGCCAGTGGAGTCTCGAGAGCCTTCATGAGCCACTCACTGCTCACTTCTCAACACGGCCCGGTGCCCGGAGTTCATTCCCTCTATCCACCAGCCTTATTCCAGTTAGAGATATGGGGAACTCACCTTACCATTCTCAGATTGCCCCAGATGGGTGCAACGTACCCCGACTAGGTCAGCGTCTGAACAACCCCAGTTGAAACGTTCTACGTCAAGTAAAGTCTGCTCCTAAGGGTCCTGAGATGGGTTGCTGAGATATTGAAGGACCTGCAGGTGACTCGCGCGGGGTTAACCTGCGGCTGATTGCCCGCAGGGAACAACCATGGTAACACCGAGCTGCAGGTATATATATATATAACTTCCCCTCACGAGGGACATTCTCTTTCTTAATCATTAAGCACGGCTCGCTCAATACCCTCTTCCAATCCCATTTCCGACCTTCTAACCCCGTTGCCGAAGGATCGTCCAGTTTTAACCATGGGTTTATATACTAAACTCGCTAGCGACATTGCCGAAGTCGACGTTATCATCGCTGGAGGTACGCTTGTCGAAACTAACCCACCAACACTGCTAATTATGTCAATTAGGCGGAACAGCAGCATGTGTCGTTGCCGGGCGTCTAGCAGAGGCTGACCCAAATCTTTCTATCCTCCTCATTGAGGGCGGACAGGATAACCGTGGGGTCGACAGCATCGAGAACCCTGTCTTTTTCCTGGATCACTTGCTGCCAACCTCCACCACGACCTTGTTCTACAAGGCTAACAAGTCAGAACGCCTGGCTGGACGTGAGTCCATCGTTCCCTGCGGTGGAACACTTGGTGGAGGCTCATCGATCAATTTTATGATGTACACTCGTGCTCAGCGAGCGGATTTCGACTCTTGGAAGTCGCCTGGGTGGTCTGCTGATGAGATCTATCCATTTCTGAAGAAGGTATGCATATTGCGATATTCTGGGGTAATCCAAAATTTTGGCTAATTCCGTTTAGCTTGAGACATACCATGGCCGAGGTAACCCGGAACATCACGGCTTTAACGGCCCGGTCCATATCTCTGACGGCACATACCGTTCCAAGAACCCAGAGAGTGACTTCATCAACGCTGTGTCTCAGGTCGGCTGGCCCGAGATTCATGACTTGCAAACTCTCAACGCCAACAATGGTGTTGAGCGCTGGCTCCGATATGTTTCCAAAGATGGTCGTCGACAAGATACCGCCACGGCTTATCTTCACAACAAGATCGACGACAAGAAGTATCCGAACCTTCATGTTCTTGTTGAGTCCAAGGTTGTACGTGTTCTTCTCGATGACGACAAGCGAGCTGTTGGCGTCGAGTATACACCCAACCCTGCCTTCCAAGCTCAGATCACACCAACTCAACATCCCAAGTTGAGTGTCAAGGCTCGAAAACTAGTCGTGGTTTCATGCGGTGCTCTCGGTACACCACCTGTGCTTGAGAGATCTGGTATCGGTGCTCCCGAGGTCCTCAAGAAAGCTGGCGTCGACGTAAAGGTTGACCTACCTGGAGTTGGTCACGAGTATCAGGATCACAACCTCATCCTCTATCCTTATAGAACTAATCTCCAACCCCACGAAACAGCCGACAGAATTCTCAGAAATCCCGACAAGCGTCAAGAGTTTATTGACTCTAAGGACTCCATGTTAGGATGGAATGCAATTGACATTTCTTCCAAGCTCCGACCTACAGAAGCTGATGTTGCATCACTTGGGCCTGAGTTCCAGAAGGCTTGGGACCGGGATTTCAAGGACCACCCCAACCGACCTTTGATGTTGATGGGGATGATATCATGGTAAAGTCATTCATGCATCTTATAGGTGGATAAACTAACGTATATCAAGCTTCCTTGGAGATCCCTCAACTGTTCCAGAGGAGCAATATGTTACCGTTGGCAACTACACTGCTTACCCATACTCTCGCGGCCACGTCCACATTACCGGCCCTGGACTTGACGACCCTCTTGACTTTGACGTTGGATTCCTCAGCGACAAGGATGACCTTGACTTGAAGAAGCAAATTTGGGCTTACAAGAAATCCCGAGAGATCATGCGTCGAACAAAGATGTACCGTGGTGAGATCGCAGCTGGTCACCCAGCATGGCCAGCAGGATCGAAGGCCGCTTCGGTGGAGGTCAACGAGGCTCTCAGCAATGTCACAGATCTCGATTATTCAGCGGAAGATGACAAGGCCATTGAGGATTGGGTTCGACAGAACGTTGCCACGACATGGCACTCCATCTCTACATGCAGGATGGCACCTCGTGAGGAGAATGGTGTTGTCGATGAGAGACTGAATGTGCATGGTACCAAGGGCCTCAAGTTGGCTGATTTGAGTATTCCCCCAGAGAATGTCGGTGCCAACACGAACAACACTGCGATCGTTGTCGGTGAGAAGGCTGCGGATATCATCATGAAGGATCTAGGCCTTGGCCCCTCGGCTAAATTGTGAGCTTGATGTTAAGCTCTCAGACTAGGGGCCCAGGGGGCTGTCTTCGAAACTTGACCTAGACTTGAGCGGTGTTTGTCGGGATGCTAAGAACATGAGTTTGGCTTGATATTCGGTAGTAGCACAGCGATCAGAAACAAATAGAGACAGATTTCCTAGATTTTGAGCCATATGCCCCTCAGCAGACATACTTGCACGATCAAAAGGCCCCCAGTGACCTACGAGACGAAAGTCCACCGAGTCAGGATCACGATGATTACTTGCATATCAAAAGCAACAAGACGGCCTGGCCGCCATAGCTGTTCTCCGCTCGCTTCTCCTTGAGATGAGCAAGTCCCCTCGGATTAAGGTGCCACTTTTACCAAAGTTTAACAATAAAGGTCGCAAGTAGAGTGGCATTACGCACCGCAGCCCAGCCAGCGTCCCTCACCAGGCTCTCGAAGGCTTCCAAGAAGCCATACACGATTCGTCCACTGCAACAGCAAAAAGGTAGCTCTAGAAGACGGCAAAAAACATACAACAGCAGGGATTCGCTGGTCGTCACCGACCCAACTACTGATCTGCCGGTTAGTGGCTTGACTATGGGAGAGCAGACGGGATCCCGTATTTTCCACTACCTATGGTCGTATGTATCAGTGGTGCTGTCGTCAAAGGCTATAACCTAAGCATTGTGGCGTGCCAGAGAATGTCTAGCTCAGCGACGCGCGGGCCAACGCCGCAAGTCCGGCTTCGCCTCACAAGACAAAATCCTCACCTCAATACCTCGAGGAGCTCTCTTATGCAATGCTAAAAGTGTTGAAATGTCAGGGAATGGCGTTTGGTCTGGTTTGTAGGTGGCCTGCTCGTCTTCATTGACGCTCCGAACCTTTGTCAGCCTCGACGGTACTGGGCTGACGTCCTGTGGCGGATATGCAAAGACGACTTGGCTTCTATTTATCTCAAAGAAGTATTCCGCTTGATTTCTCGATCTTAAACTTTGTCTCTCTTCATGAGAGTCTGACGCAATGCTCTGAACATCCAGCACTATTAAACGTGGCGCCGTATACACTGTTGCAAAAGGCTGCCAAGACCCTGTCTATAGAGATAACAGCTAGGGGAGGCAAGAAAACTTTACGACCTCTATCCTAAGTGACAAAAAGACTTAGGTAGGATTAGTATATCTTAGCAGGTCTTTAGACCAGTTAATTTTGGCATCCTGATTTAACGTCAGAAGTTTTCTTGCTCCCTGGGGAACAGCAATCACTGCATAATGTGTGTCAATCGCATGTGAAATTTGCCAGGATCGCATCGAGTGATGAGGGCTAAAAGGCCTTCCCTTTATGGTTATAAATACCGAGCAGGTTGCAGTGCATTCGTGTAAAACTGGGTTTTGGTGCGACCAACAACTTCATGAGACAGGGTTGCGACGATCTCCACATCATACATGCATGCAGATGCATACGAGCTATCAAGAAGCGCTCGGATGGTCTAAGTATTAGAAAAGCTCTTCGTCAATCATTCAAGGCCATATTAGTAGCCACAGCGCTCCATCGCCGTTATGCCGTTAGTCAAGGCAGTCTAGGTAGCTTATGTGAAGAATGACAAGCGGCGGACCGCTCGGGAAACAAGGGCGATCGACAAGGATATAGCCCCAGAAGCCGAAGGCGGAAACGGTGGCCATCCCAATTGGCCTCATGATATCCATCCTGAATATTAACCGAGCGGGGATACAGCATATGATACCACTTGAGTTGCACACAAGCATGAACATGTCATAAAGAGGGGCGTATCCCAGTGTTGAGTTGCAGTTTTTCTGCAGCGCATTTGTATTGTCAACAAAATGGCTTCCTCAGCTGCTCAACTTACGGCTGAACGTGCTCAAACTGCTCCTGATGTACCTAGAGTACTAGAAGCAGAGGTACCATACCCAATACTACCGGTCAAATGGCGTACTAATACGGGGTAGGATGATGGCGGAGAAACGGACTCCACGTTAGAGCTCGGGTCAGTCATGATGAGGGAGCCTTGTAATTTGTGTTACTGACAGTTGGTTGTAGAGAAGGTTCTTCCAGTTATATGACGTCTCTCAAATCGAGCATCTTTAGCTATAGGTGAGATGTCATACTTCATAACAGACAGTGATTCTTGTTAACATCATGCAGATATGAGGTAGGCCAAGTGAGATCCATGGGTACTCAGTAGTCTAACAGCTCAACAGCACGGCCGTCGATATCATGCATTCCACGAAGGTGCATACTTAGTGGTTGGTTTGCTTGCCTATCGAAAGTTCAAGTGCAAGTCGACTAATCATTCAATGTAGCCAAACGATGATGAAGAGCAGAACCGTATGGATCTGGTTCATCATATCTACAGTCTTCTTCTTGGCGGAAAGCTTCATACTGCACCAATTGGTGACAGTCCTCAACGTGTCCTAGATCTAGGCACAGGTACTGGCATCTGGGCTATAGATTTCGCAGAGTCAGTCAAAGCTTTTGGCAACTACTTGAAGCTCCATCGCTGACCTTAGGAAGCGAACACCCTTCTGCAGAAGTAGTCGGGACAGATTTGAGCCCTATTCAGCCTGACTGGTGAGATATCAAGTGCCATACCCCGTGCTTCGACTAGGCTCATATTTCATGCAGGGTTCCTGCCAACTGCGTTTTTGAAGTCGATGACTTTGAAGATCCATGGGTTTACAAGAAGCCGTTTGACTACATCCATGCCCGAGAACTTGAAGGATGCATCGGCAATGAGCAGCAGTTCTTTGATCGTGCGTTCGAGAACCTCAACAGTGGCGGTTATCTCGAACTTCAAGCCCAGCGTGGGTTCTTCATGTCAGACGATGACTCGATCAAGAAGGCCGTGAACGCAGAGGTCTGGGCCGAAGCGGTACGCGAGAGTAGCACTAAATTTGGAAAGCCTATCGACTGCGCCATGGACTGGAAAGAAAAGGTGATCAAGGCGGGTTTCGTGGATGTTCATGAAGAGGTTCGCAAGGTAAAGTTGTTTCTCGATTAAAAAGAGGTTATTGTTAGCTGATGGTAAGACAGATCCCAATTGGTGCATGGCCTAAAGACCCTGTTCTGAAGGAGGTCGGCAAATGCCAGGTCGTTCAATCATGTGCAGCCATTGACTCATACACGCCAATGCTTCTGGAAAAGGTCCTTGGATGGGGCAAGGAGGAAACTCAGGTGCTCATGGCGAAGGCTAAAGGGGAGCTTCGTAATCCCTCTATTCATTTGTATCTTCCTGTCTACTTCATCTGGGGGAGAAAGCCATAGAAGTCTGATCTCTGGTTGTCAGTAATACAGAGGAGATAAATTCGAATGGTACGGGTGATACGAAAAGCAAATAACAAGATAAATGGTCAAACAGAACCGTATAACTTGTGTCATTGAGATACGATAGGGCTGACGGAGACGTTGGAGTGGACCCCGCAACCAAATGAAAAAGCCCGTTGGGAAGCGACATCGAAACGTTTGAAGAAGCGCGCATCAATCAGTGGCACTCTATTCAATGCCCAAGGTACTCTCAAATCATTTGTTGGTTGCCGCCTGTTTGCCCTGGCTAGCCTCTAATGGTAAGCATCATCACCGCGGGGGATTATCCGCTAAAATCCACGGGACGTTTGTACCCACTGAAGCGTTGGGCTTTATTTAGCAACTACACAACCAACAGCCAAACGCTGCCTACAGATTCTTCGCTTGTGGACGTGCAAACGCAGCCTCGTTTGCCTGAAACTCTACAAGGGTTTATCCTTTTGTCCCTTTTCCCTCTGCAGTTTAGTCTTGTCACACAGAGCGGAGATGAATCGGAGCTCGGCTGCAGTTTTCCCGAAAGATGGCTCTCAGCAAACGGAACCAACAGATGTTTGCTTTTGCCATGAGCCAACAGGCCCAGAGCCTGATTCATATTTTTCCCTCCTTCATCGCGCCCCTCACTACTCTCTTCGCGTCAAAGGGGCGCGCCTATATCTTCCAGACATTTCTCCACCGTTGCCGCCGACTCCTCTCGACCTCTGACACGAACCTCGCACCTTATATGCCATGAATCCCAACCCCTGCGAGGCACCAGCCCTCTACGATGACGTTGGGGTCAGTGACGCACATCCAGAGGTGCAAAAATGCGTCGATCGAATCTACAAGGCATGTGGGAAATATCCCTGGGACTGGCTGCCACGCGATTACGTCCCCAAGGTCGCCGCTTGGGGGACCAACGCCGCGCTGAACCTTGCCCTTGCCGTTGAAACTGTTCACACCGAGGGATCAAGGGTTACCATGGACGAATTGCGCGATTTCCTGGTTCAAAAGGCCAAGGAGCGCCAGGAATCGAGCAAGAATGGCAAGCCAGCCAGACTTACCATGAACTTGGATTGCGCGAAGGCTAGAAAGTGGATTGAAAGCAAGACGTCCAACTCCCAAAACACATTGAAACAGAACAAGCCAAACCCGGTGAAACGCGATGCCGTCGTTCGGCAAGCGAGAGCGATGACAGGGCGCTGGCTCAGTACAGCTTACAAGAGGCAACCCCAGGACAAGCTTGACGACGATGATGGCGACGAATCACCACCAGAGATTGACTACGATAGAGAAATGAGTGTTCTCAGCGATATCAGCAACGTAAGCAGTGCAATCGGTCCATCCGATCGGCGCCAGCCTTCCCTTCCTCCACCGCCCGATAGGACTTCGACTCTTAAGCGGCACATGCTTCCTCGTATGTTTCTATATATTGCATCCGCGACCTCAACCCATCACTGACGTCATCTTAGCACCCTCGCCGCTCCCCAGAAAACGCTCGCGACAGGTCGAACAATTCGTATCGAACAATAACGACAACTCCAAGGAAACCTCCACCTCATTTGATGCTGATGATGAATCTGGTCTCAGTCAAACTGTCAGTACCGCTGCGCAACTATTCACATGAGTGGTGGAGCTAATGTTAGATCGCTACACACAGGAAGCTGCCCATTTATTTGCCATCAATAGCAGTCTTCGAACATCAAGCGAAAGGACCCAAACTGCTGAATTCTGGAGCAAAGTATACGAACAGGAGATACACAATATCCGAAAGAATTTGCCTTCAATCAACGCGGAAGAAGTCAAGCACGTCCTGCAAAAAGCCGCCAGAGAGCGAGACGAAAAACAGGACGAGCTCAGACAATTAGAGGAGGTATTCAACAGCCTCGCCACGATAATTGAGAGCAAGGGGGGAAATTGTTCAGAAAAGCTACTTGCTTTTTACAACGGCTGTATCCTGGAATGCGAAAACGCAAAAGCGGTGCTTAAAGGCGCTGAAGACACTTTGAAAGCGATGGAAGAGGAAACCCAGAAGACCAGCAAGACACATCAACATGAACAAGAAAAGATCATGACTTTAGAGAAGGACATATCCAAACAGGAAGAGATCATCAAGGCGGAGACGAGAAGAAGTAAAGTACTCCAGACGAGCCGGTTTTATCTGCATTTCATCGAGAAACTTCACTCTGCATCGGACGAAGTGGTGGATCAAGAGTACAATGCGACGGTGGGAAAGCAAGAGAATATGTTGTAGAGCGACATTGGTTGTTACAGCACCTGGTGAAGTCTGGAGTATTGGTTTTTGGTCTTGTTGCTGTTCGGTTGTGACAGCAACTAAGGAAGTCTGGAGTATGCTCAAGCATTATTACTGGGTTCGGGTTCTTTTTTCGAGAGCGATTACGTTGTCAAACTCTTTATGTGGCGAATGATTGGTACTGGTACAGGGACTTGGTAACTCATTTCGAGATGGAGAACAGCTTGAATTATAGCTAGAATCAAGTGCAAACGTGGGTATCTACTTCATAATAACAAGGAAACATCAAACCCTTGCCTTCCTGTGGCCTTCTTGTCTCACCATTGATGCTAGATGGTTTCTCGTGAGACCTGAGTTCCTCATGGAGGGATAACAGCCTCGAATCCATCTTGGATAACCTCTCCTTCAAAATTCTCTCGATGACTCGCTCCTCGAACACTGCGACGACGTCAAACGAATCAGTCTCTTCCTCGTCGAGGTCCCCGTCGCGTCGTCTGTGAGTGGCGAAGCGTAACGGTGTTTGCTTTGGCTTGACCTTCCGAACAAAATCTCGCCGTCGTGTGTTGTACCTCTCGGACCTTGCGCTCCAGAAGTCTTTAGCCATCTCACCGAGTTCAAGAGTCTTTGCTGCTGTAAGCCCGACATGACTCACATCGACCTTGGACTTCCACTTGCCGGGCTTGTAAGTCATGAAGCTCATCTCTTTGATGTGATGTCGTATCCTCATGTCAAGGAAGTGTCCCGAAGCTGGGAGGACCTTATCTACAAGGCCCGTGTCTCTTGCTTGAGAAGCGGATATGGGTAACATACCACGCAAGATATACTTTGCGCGCTCTGGTCCACAGCGACCTACGTAGGACAGGGAGTGATACTCAGAGCCGTAGAGTCCGAGAGCTCGATATGCGGGGTTGAGGACGACTTCGGAGCCTGCGATGACCACGTCGCAAGCCGCTGCCAGGGCCACGCCGCCGGCTGCGCAGTTCCCTCTCAGCGCGGCGATGGTAGCGACGTTCTTCCGAGGGAATACGTCGAGTAGCATGTGCACCACGTCATCTATGCGATTGATGTTCCTCCAAGACTCTGCCGCAGGATCGTCACTGGCCTCGATGACATTGAGAGCGATACCGTTGCTGAAATAGGAGTCACCACCCATAAGCACGACAGCATCAAGAGCTCCATGTGAAGCGACGAATTCAAGAGCTTCAATGAGTCGTGAACATTGAGAGGTGCTCATGGCACCGTTGTAGAACTCGAAGTAGACAAAGGCGACTTGACGCTTGCCTGCACTCGCAGCAAACTCTACCCAAATCTCTTGATAGGTCGAGTATGTTGCCTTGGACCAGCCAAACAGAGGACGTAGCGATACTGATCTATACAAGGTGTTTTGGTCAATCAAGCCGAGGTCGAGAAGGCCCGAGACAGCCGGGACTTTGGGCCAGAGCATTGGATCAACCTTGCGCTTCACTCGTCGGATATGAGTGATCCAGATGCCTCGTCCATCGCAAGTGGCGACGCAAACAGCATCGTCTCTGCAACCAACGATCTGTCCAGGTCCGCGCTTGCATTTCGCATCTCTCCCAGCCTCAATCGTACCTCCGTAGACGTAGAGGCCGACTCCTCCAAACAGTTTTGTGAGGCAGCCAGGTTGCGAATCAGCAGACCTGATCTTTCGTGAAATTGTCCAAGCGGGTTCGCATTGGATGTCGAAGTTGCGGTCTGCTGCCTTAAGAAGGGGTCGGCGACGTGTCGGTCCGCCGAGGAAGGGCTTCCGCAGTGTCACTGATAGGCTTTTGTAACTGCGATTGGGGACAAGATCAACTGAGATGCCACGAATATCCTGTTTCTGTAACAGTGACAGTTGCGACAGAGCTGCTGCAATGCCTGAATCGGAGAAGCCGTTAGCTGCCGAGACAATGCGATGCAGAGCAGTGGCGGTGGCAGTAATCGCTGCTTGGGTGACCTCTTTGCGGTAAAGTGTTGACTTGGTGACTCCGGGCGCATCGATGTCGACCTTGAACTGCTCAAATGCCCAGACTGGACCAGCGTCCATCTCATCAACAGCTTGTAAGACTGTAACACCCCAATGCGACCGGCCTCTCTGGCTCCAGGTCTGAGATTTGAGAAGTTCGTCGGAGTCTGCTACGTTGCCATCGTCGCCCATGAGCATCCAGTCGAGGGCACTGGGACCTGCGTCACCTGGCGGTCCGGGGTGGATGATGAGAGTGAGATACTTTGAGAAGATCTCACTTGGGACTCGTGTAGTCAAGAACGGGCAGACAATGACATTTGGTTGAAATATGTTCGCAGCTTCAATCATGGCTTTATCGGACAAAGCATACTCAATCGTGACATCGTGTTTTTGACTGAGGATAAGATACAGCTGCTGAGAGAGCGAGTTATGCGCCGTGCAGAGGAAGAGAATCTTCATTGCCGGCGTCGTGGGCAGTCGATGCTCACCTGCATCGCTCGCGCGACTGGTCTCGCTAGTACCTCGTGATAGTTTCAGTGAACCCATTGTGAGATGTTACGGTCAGTACTCGTGGTTTGATCAGACGCGCAGATCAGCTGGAGGTGTCGTAGGTTTAAGTAACAGTCTCCACAGGTCAGTGAATAACAAAGGGTTGCGACATAATGACTGATAGTGTAACGACACCATCACACTAGGCAGCTCAGCTGTGGACAAACTCGCATTATCACTCAATCAAACCCATTGAAGAGCAGCGCTTCATTGGCGGATTCAATTTCGGTGGCTGACGATCTATCGAAACTCTCGCGACTAAACCAGAGTCGGCAAACAACTTCCAGCACGGACGCAGCCATCACAATCGAAGATGAAACTTTCACGATAGACTTTGTGTTTCATTGGATCGAATTCTCACTTTTGGTCAATTATTTCGGGTGATGGGTGCCCCTTGCAGTTGCTTTGGCTTCAAGGGAGATTACATTTGGCTTTGGGGCTTTGCCAGTAGTGTGAATGATCGTCATGGCCGAGTGATTAGCGGAGCTGAACTTTGCTTCTTGTTGATCACAGGTACCCGGTTTCTGGGTCGAAATCCATCGCAGCAAATCACTGAGTGAGGACTTAAATCACTCATGTTGATCAAACTTGCTGATTTTAAAGGGAGCATCACAAACGCATTCCCTGCAGTGAATGGAGTTCGGTGCAGCGACCAGCCAAAATTGAGGGACTGAGCGGGCCTTATCTTATCAGGCTCTCGCTCAGACACGCCAAACACCAAATAATGATGTCAGAAAGATTCCATATCACAAAGCCATGCGCCCTGTTATGACTACCACAAAAAGCCGTGTGGCCCAAACTCAGCAATCAGACTCAAGTTAGAGCCCAAGGGATAAATTGGTCCAGCCGTTGGGTTCTGTGGGCTTCGTGCTCTGAGCAGTGATATGCGTCGCCGAAAGAATACGGAAATTGGTAATTCCGGGGATCAGCCCAAGTGGGTGGGGAGAGCGAAGGGTTAGCGGAGCGGAGCGAGCGGCACCAAAGTCAAAACAACCCTTCGCGATGCAGGGTAAGTTGATCAGCATTCTCGACTTTTGAAGTGCAGACTGTGTTGATCTGATGACTGTTGTCACAGAAAGGGGAAATTTGGAGAAATGGCTTTGCTAGATTTGGGTTTCGCTTGCAGGGATGGAATCGTTTTCCTGCAGCCTCATGGCAGTGGAACATTTGCCGACTCAAGGAATGGTGGTTGATTGACAATGGTTGCGGCCAGTAGTGTCAACAGAGAGAGAGTAAGTATTCTCGCTGAAGTGATAGAATTACTAGTGTATTATGACAGTAAATTGTCGCCCAAGTCAATGCATTATACCATTGCTTCCACATTTCTTCAGCTCTTGCTGGTGTTTCTTGATTGACGTCTTCGTTATTGCTCATGATTGTAAAGTTTATCGACAATCGCCAAAATGACCTGCGGGCAATTGTGGAGACTGAAAATGGAAAGCGGAGACCTTCCGCATCTGTTCCGTGATTATGTGATTGGTCAAGACTACTGTCATCTCTAAAAATAACGGCATGAACACTGATGGCATTCATAAATGATACAAGTTGGCTTGAATTCGGCATGGAAGCTGTAGCCATGCTCTGAGTATACAATTGGAGATGATTTTCGCTTCTCTGATGTGCCAGCTTGACATGGCTATCATCATATCACGCGCTACCAAAAACACATAAGATTGACTGGACGAGAGCTCTGACAGCACATAACCCGATACCTCGTCACTCAGTATTGGCTACTTGGGCTCGGAGTGAGCATCTAGCAATGCTACAACGCAGTTCATATGATCTAAAATACCATTGTGCAAACTTCATGCCCTGATAGCAACGAGATCTTGCGATCCCAGTTGAGACTCAACAATAACTCATTATCTTCTATGCAAACAGAGAACCGGTTATGGCGTCACATCATAGAGTCGCGGTCTAAAGGTCCAAAGTGAGGCGAAGAAACCACAGCAGAAGTGATATGACAAGATTTGATCATCGAGTTGTGTCTTTCCTTGACTGCGTACATAATAGATCTCTGTGCTATCGCTATCAATGCGTAGTAGGGAAATAAATCAGTCTAGAAGAATGGGTAGAGCATCAAGTTTGCAGTTCCCAAGAAGAGCTGTTGTAGGAGTCAAAATGCCGGACAAGTTTCCCTCCCTACCGTTTTAAAACTAAGTTCTGTGTGGTGATTATAAGCTTCTCAGTCACAGGTCTCAAATACAAACAACACATCGAGCTCACAATTTAGACATTATACCAGAGTAACTGACCAATTGCTGTAGCATAAATTCTCTCCCTAACGTTCTATCTCATCATTTCTTATGGTTGTTGGAAGTACTTTTGGGAAAAAGGAGATGATCACCTCTCTCGTCATTGTGTTGTATTGGCGATAGCGGCACAAATATTTCATACCCGGCCATTGCAACAGTAAGCTCCTCCATTCACCAACGAGAAACGGGGCATGCTTGATGCAACTTCATGACAGACCTTGAGACAGCATCAATTTGCCGCCTTAATCTACCTCCTTCCCAAGTTCCCAACTCGTAGGCAAACGTTTAATGTCCGTCGGACTTTATGACGGCATCTGCGACTTAGCATATCAAAAGTTCATCGTTTAGCCTAGCAAGTCATGGGTAGAGCATGAGCCCCACGAAACGGAGCTGAGACCATCATGGGATCTTTCTACAGCGCGGAAAGGGCGCGAGATAATAATAGAGCACATATACAAGAGCGGGGATCTAGAGATAATTCTGGCCTAGCGACTGGCGGAAAGTTTGTATGGATTCCCGAAGTGTCGGAATCCCTAGATCCTCTAGGCCCTGGGACCCATGACGGGACGGCTGCCCCTAGCAGGCCTACCCTGACCACTCTTGACCGTCAATCGTGAACTTCCAGGTTCACAAGTCAGATAGCTAGTAAGATCATCAGCTTTCATGGGTATTGGTTGTCGGGGATAGAATACTGGCATTTTCTAGCTTATGTTTTGCCCCATTGAAAGGCGATAGAGGATCGAGCCTGGCGATTCTCAGCTCTCGGCTGTCGGCGGTCGCAAACTCGTCCCTGTAAGGGTTTAGCGCCTCAACGCCTCAAGTTTGAGATTTGCTCAGCTCATCTTTAGGTAATCGGACAACGCGCCAAGGAACTTTAACGTTGACAGAAACATGGTATTGAGATGACATTTGAACTTTGACGTATCAGTTTAATGAATTGATCCCGTACCGTAATTAAATTCATAGAGATATTATCATCCAATCTCAACCATATCTTGAACTAATGCATGGAAACAGATGTGCTGTTCAGCGATAAGCTTATTTGTGGCCCCTGCCAAGATCGCGAGCCCCTAAAGTTGACAGCGAACTGTAAGGCTCTAAGCAAGACAACCACAATTTGAGCATTTGCCATGCGCTTATTGCATCCAACGTCATTCGATGGAAGTTTACAGGCTGTTTTACAGGCTGTTTGTTCACATCATCTGTCATTGGCCGATGCGTATTGCTGAAACCGTAGCTGCGTCGGATAGAGCAGGGTCGCATAGGAAGCGATACGAGAATTGTGATGATTCAACATTATGAATCAAGGCAGTTGCCGCGGGAAGATGTCTGCGGGGTCTCATATCGTCTAAATGGCCTAGTAAGGGTTCAAGTTTCGCAATGTAAAGTCTTGCTAGTCTCCGTTGCGCCTGGACCTGATCGTGCTCCCAGTGATTCGGGACACAGCCAGAATCCCTCAGCCTTAGTAAACGCAGGAGTTACTGTTTTGGTATCGACCCATACTAAAGTTTTAGGTGCTATGGTCCATCCCGTGGTGGGGAGCCGCCAAGGCCGCTTAGTTATACAAAAAAACATGTTGGTCGAGCAAAACAAAGGAGTTTTGGGCAACTTGGCGTTTACAATCGTTCTGAGGATCAGTTCATGTGGTTCGATAACATGCAGTGAGTCGTTATGGCAGCGCTTTACATGTACAAGCTGAAGCATCTCGACGAAACATGTTAAAAATGTTTGAACCCACCCTCGTACCACGACAAATCATGGATTTTGCAAATTCGATGACCACGCTGAATAGATTTCAGGGTAGTTTAAGGTTAACAATAATAGGTTGTTCAGCGGTCAGCTTAATCTGGTGAAGCTATGATCACCAGCCAGGCCCCCACTACCCAGACCCCTACCGCCAGAAGTCTTGACCCCCCTGACTGAAATGAGCGTTTCATGGTCTCGCCTTACTTGAATCAGCGCCGCAAGAATCGCCGCGAGGACTGATTTGGGCTGGATCCACGACCGGCTCATTGCTCGCCAGAGATCCATGGGATGATTAGAGGTACTGCAAATGGAAAGATAGTTCCTCTAGTTTGCTTTTAGTTGATTTATCATAGCTTAGAGTCAATCTATCCGTCTTGAAGCATATTTTTTAGGTTGTTTAATAGTGGTTGTGAGCGAACCTAATCCAGCTGTCAGTAATAACCTTAGTTAGATTAAACAGCATACTTGATTGGTGCATTAACATTCTGTCCACTGAAACAGCCCCTAGAAATGCGGCTGCCGCCCGCCGTACTCTGTAACATCAAAACATGAAGCGAAGACCACCAACATGACCAGGTACTTTTGCCTATGGGGAAGAAATGGTTTTTCCTTCTTGGCGTTTGGAATTGAATGAACTGGGGGTCAGGCAGTCCAAGGACCAAGGATATTCTTCCACCGGATGAAAAGTGGCTCTAGTGTAACCTTTGAGTGCGCAACGTGCAGAATATCCCTGTGCGGCGCCAAAGATTCAAGGTCGAGAGAGTCGAGATTCAGAATCTATAAAGATATCTCGTATCGTCTGTCCTTCTCGACTTTTTCTTTCTCCTCACCATCAACAGATCTTCATCTTCTTTCATTCACTTCAGTCTTTCTTTCGAAGAGCTAGTCTCTCGTTCCTTTCGTTCCAAATTCACCGAGCCAGTCTCCAGCACTACCAATCAATTTTACTATCCCTTAAACCAACCAACTCTTTTTCAAAATGAAGTTCTCCGCTCTCGCCCTCGTTGCCCTCTCGCAGGTCGCCTCTGCCCATTACTTCTTCGACGTCAGCGCTCTCAACGGTGCCGAGTCCAAGTCCTTCCAGTACATCCGTGACTTCACTCGTCCCACCAAGTACAACCCCATCAAGTTCTCCTCCAACCCTCCCGCCGACATCCGCGACAACTCTTTCGCTGATGGCGAGGACATCATCTGCAACCAGGGTGCCACCGGAACCGGCGGCAACACTGAGGTTCTTGAGGTCAAGGGCGGCGATGTCATGACCTTCAAGCTCGCTGTCGGTGCCAAGATGGGTCACCCCGGACCTACTCTGGCTTACATGTCCGCTGCTGGTAGTGACGTCAAGTCCTACAAGGGAGATGGCGACTGGTTCAAGATCATGGAGGAGGGTGTCTGCAACGCCGGTGGTGACTTCACCAAGGACGCCTGGTGCAACTACGACGCCGCCTCTTTCGACGTCAAGATCCCCCAGGGTACCCCCAACGGCGAGTACCTCCTCCGAGTTGAGCACATCGGTATCCACCGATCTCACGTCAACCAGCCCGAGCACTACGTCTCTTGCGCTCAGGTCAAGGTTACCGGCGGCTCCGACGGCAAGGTCGACGCCGAGATGGTCAAGTTCCCCGGTGCCTACAAGGAGACCGATGAGTACGCCAACTTCTCCATCTACGGCGGTGCTAAGGCCTTCCCCATGCCCGGCCCCAAGGTCTGGGACGGCGCCGCTTCCGCTGGTGGCTCTACCGGTGGCAACACCGAGGCCCCTGCCGCCGGCAACACTGAGGCTCCCGCTTCTACCCCCGCTCCTGAGGCCGGTAACGGTCAGCAGAACGGTGGTGAGCAGGCCGCCCCCTCTCCCGCTCCCGCTCCTGAGGCTGGCAACAACAACGGCCAGAACGGCGGTTTCCAGGGTGGCAACCAGGGTGGCTTCCCCGGTGCTGCCAACCAGCAGTTCCAAGGACAGACTGGTTCCAACGGCTCTCCCTGCTCCGCTTAAGCGAGCAACTTTTTTCTCGGAGACGCCGTAGTGTTTTATTTTACTGAAAGGAGGAAACTGAAGCGAAGATGGAAGAGTTGAAGTGGTGGCTGGTCAACCTTCATGTATAAAAGAGTCCTGTTGATCGTTTCAAAACACCTAGATGAAGAGGGGATAGTCTGGTACTGTGCTCATAGTTTTAGCTTTGTCTGTTTAATACGAAGCCGTCTTAGGACAACTCATCGTTCCACGCATTCATAAGTGACTTGTTCCGATGCTAATTCACCAATAAACCCGACTCTAACTGTCTTGCTGATTACCTGGTCTGTTTAATGGCTGCCTCTTACTCTTCAGCTTACCTGTTTCTGTGCTCATTAGTCCATGACTTGGATACAAGCTCTGCTACCAGGGACATGCTTGTCTTGTTTCGTTTCGTGGCCTGAACCTTGCCAGTAGTGTGCCCACTCGGTAGTTGATGTCGGAACTCGCCTGTTACTCAGGACTGTCATCTCCCGACAGGGCTGTCAACTCAAAACGAAGCGTGTCAGAAAATGAAGAAACAGCAAAAGCAGATCATTACCAGGAAGAGTGAGAACCTTTATGTTGAGCTATTGCGGTTTATGTCCCGAAAATTCTTCATTGCGTTTTCTCACTAGCCAAGCTTATCACCATCTGCCGAGCTGATGAAGTCTGTGATGTGAAAGGGCAGCCAATCATCCTCCTGTGATATAGGAGGCTGAACATGTCGTATCGTACTGAGCAATCCTGACCCGATTGAACGATACTATTTATGTAAGTGGAAGATTGATCTAGACTCCATCAAGAAGTGCCCGAGCCGCATGACGTCAAGAATAAGCAGGCCGAGACATCCAGAATAGGTCGGTATCATAACCTCAACAACGTGAATCGTCCTGCATCTTCACATTAATTGCAATGGCTCAACCAAACAAATTTGATCGCGAAGCGATCTTAACAAACACTTCTCTTCCGGAGGTTTACAACAAGCTGGTCGAATTGGCCGAAGAGTTCTCTGTACTTGGTGAAGTCAATACCGCCAAAGGCTTAGTATCACTGCTCCTCCAGGATACTACCTCGGATTGGCAACGCAATCAGCTTCACCATTTTGAGCCATACTTCGCGGCTGCCAACATCTGGCCTGACGAAATCCCGGAGAAGGACAGGAGTGAAGCAGCATCTGATGAGACTGCGACCAAGCATGCCCTTGACACTGACGAGGGCGAGGAACAAGATGACGAAGGAAATTTCCAAGAGCAGATAAATAAGGCCTATGAATTTGGCGTGGACGCTTCAATCTTTGCTGGTGCTCTATATAATGCCTTCAGGTTGGCCTCAAGGCAGACCTCCGACCTGGAAGAAGTCCAGAACGACTCCAGAGTTCAAGAAGTTCTTAAACTCCTCGCCCAGAACTTATACAAAGAAGGGATCATTTCGCGCCTTGCTGGACGACATGAGCTCAGTGGACTTCTCGCTACAGGTGTATTGGCTCGAAAGATCCCAGTTGACAAGAAGAAGATTGAGGCCCTTGGCAAAGACGTGCTTGAGACATTCGCTGAGCGTTTTACCAACGGTCGAAAACCACTGGAGATAGAGTCAAAACCTATGAAAGACGTGCTCTTGGAGCTGGAACGGAACACGAAGCCCAAGTCCGTCGGCTTCTGGGAAGAGATGGAGCAAGAGCCTCCGGCAACACTTTTCAATCTGCCACCAGCTACAGACGAGCAGATCTCATCGCTTGAGGAGAGGCTCAAAGTTACACTACCAGATGACTACAAGGAGTTTCTGAAGATTACCAATGGTTTTGGAGGCACATGGAACGGCTTTCATCTTGATCCTCTTCTCCATGACGTCGACGACGTCCAGTGGTCTGAACCATTATTTGAAGTCCCTTTTGTCCAATTCCACGAGAATATCAGCGGAGTGCTTGAGCTGGATCTACCAAAGAGGGAAGACTGGCCATATTCCGGCCCAACCATTGAAATCGGTCGCGAAGATGTTCTCGGCACTCTTTTAATCACGCCCGATTGCACAAAGGCAGTTTTGGAGGCATATGACACAGCATTCAAAGGGTCGGATACTTCGGAAGACAACAAGAAACAGAACATGAAGGTCATTGAAGCACGATACGGAAGCTATGAAGAGATGAAGAAGTTGGAATGGGCTACAGTTGAGTTTCATGATTCGGAGGACATTCCATGCGGGACGTTTCGGCAGTTTCTTGAGAACAGATTGCGCAGAACAACTACTGTGGGGTACCCGGATGAAAACTCAAAGGAGTCTGGAAGTCTGGCTTATAGCTGCTTGGCTGATAATTCTTAAGCGACAAGGAAGATATCAACATCCATGCCAGGCAACAGGGTTACAAAGATTTGTCACGACACGTGTCAGTTACGGAGGCTCATAAGTAACAAAGTATCAATTCGCGAATGGTGTACTTTATCCTATGCTGCAAACAAAATTCCGTCCCGTGATATATGCAATTTGGCTTCAAAAGATACTGCCGTCCATGTCCCAATTTTATCCGTACCAGCGACACCCTGAAAATCCATTTTATCCTTAAGCAAAATCCGTGCCACCCATGTTTTCATTCCTTCATGATCCGTTGCTTCCATAAACCGTAAATACCCAAATTTTGTAAGTAGTACTAGCTACTGCTTCTCAATTAGATGTAGCCAGCTACATAACAGCGCATCCACCAGAGGGTGAAGGTGAACGGCTCCTCTTCCCTCGCTGAGAATGACTCTTTGACTGCTTGGGCCTCGACGATCGCTGATCAGTCTTCCCCGTGCGTGTAGAGTATTGATCATAAGGCTTGCTAGCGGTTGAGCGTTGGCCATATGTCTTACTTGTATGACTATGTGTTGCTGAGCGTTTATCATATGTCTTGGTTGGACGTTGAAGCCTGAGCCACCAGCAGACTTCTTCCTCGATACCAGACAATATGGCGGTGAGTCTTTGTTGCCATGGGGCGAATGTGAAAGATTTGCCAAGGCTGGGCTTCGTTGTCTTGGCTTTCGACAGGGGATACAATAACTGACCCCGGATTTCGTCTCGGTAGAGCGGCAAGTTCTTTGCTGTGATAAGGTTAGATGGATTTGCTGATTGCAGGGGTTGAGATTGACTCACGGGCTGGATCAGTGTACTTGGTCTGGCCCTTTGCCGAATTGAACAGGGCTGTCAACGTGTTTGCACCTCTGACAGCAGTATCGCACATTCTCTTCTTATCATTCTTCAACTTGGTACGATCTTTGTGCTGTTTGGGCAGCTTGATATCTTCAATTGCATCGACGACATCAGCAAGGTAGTTGATGATGGATATCAAGACGGCCCTCCCCAGCAAATCGCTGTATCCACTGACACCATCTGAGCGACGTGGAATGCGATGAGCATGATGGGGGAAATGAATATGATCGCTTGTTCGGTCTTTCATTATGGCTATTAAGAAGATGTAAGTAGAGATGAATAGATAGATTAATTAAGCATTATACTAGTAAGAATAAGGATAGAATGAGATGATCCAAATGAGAAACCGTTTGGTGAACAGGCAGCCGCCCGCTTTTATACCCAGATGGACGTTGTTTACGGAGGACCATCCTGGGGCCTTGTCAAGTCTCTCGATGTGGTGGTTTATACATGGAGAAGCCTAGAGCAAGGATGCCAATTAGAGAGAGGTCATTTCTCAACATTGTACGGTTACTAACATAGTGGAGGTCTGTAACACATTCAATGGGGCTCATGCACCAAAATAGTGGTCTGCAGCCTCATGTAGCCAACAACGATGAACTCTTACGCGGCCAACATGCCATGAAGAACGGGTCAATCGACCAAACCAGACTTTTGCATGCCTTAGTATGTGGATTTTGGGTAAGAAGGCATGCGAGTTCGAGCTGATTTGGCCATGCATGCAACGTAAAGCGGCTGTATAGTTTGCCAGGGGCTTGCACGATTATGCTTGTCTATGATCAAGGCGATCCCATTGCTTTTGTGGCCCAAGTCAAAAAAGCTTGACATCCGAACCCACTATACGCCTAATAGTGGAGATGACACTGGAGGGCCTCGATTTTGGGTCTCCATGTGCCGGGCTAGCTCAGTGTCGTGCTGTGCTGGCAAAGTGTTCCGGTCAAATCAGATCATGAATAGTTGCACAAATCGCCACAATTTGCATGACAATCGTTGTGCAGAAAATTCTGATCAAAAATTCGCTGTTACACAAGTCACTAGCCACATGTTTTTATATGGATCAGGTGACCGTTTCGTTGCTGTGAGTGAGTCAAGCTGCCAAGAATAGACAGCAAGTCATCCCAAGTCGAAAATTTTAAGGGATCCAAGCTCTACCAACACATGTCAATTCGAATTAGTTAGCTCTGACTCAGAATTTACGTTTCAGAAAAAACAGTTGTGTTGTCAATTTGTGCGCTGTGCGACTGTTACACTCGCTAAAGCACTGCGGGCGCCCTTATACCTGTCCTTCGGCCCTGACGGCAAGGAAACAATTGTCTGTTCTGTTCAAAATGGATTTCTCTGCATTTCTCTGCATAGCATATGCATAGCACATCATCCATGTTATACATGAGTTGTGCAGATCCCTTCATACCATGTCCCCCTTGCATGGAGCGGCATAACTGATCGCCGACATCGTTTTTGCCTAAATACATAAACTTCAGCTTGTACGCTTCAGTACAAAGATCAACATTGGCTATAGAATTTCGGAGAGATTGCCGAAGTCATTTCGCGGGGAAGTAAAGTTACGCACTGTTCCGTTATATTGCCAAATTGATCTACGATTGACAGAAGTAAAAAATCACGATGGTGATTGTAGAGTTTAGAGTAGATTATAACAGTTTAGAATAGCTCACCATAAATTATAATACTTTAGGTAACCTTAGGCTTCAGACTTTACAAGGTTATTTACATCCGCGCGGAACATCACAGTATGGCCCCAGTCCACCTGAGTCCTCAAGATCAGCCAAATCCCGGCCCAAGACCGGACGAACAGTGAAGCTCGGTCCATTTACCCCAAAGTGAACCTGGATGCCGATTGATGGACTAACTAATACAGCATCATCGGCTGTCGATCACAGCCGTAGCCATACCCCAAGGCTAATTCAAATAGCCTGAATGAATATACCAGTAATTACTCCGCATATAATCGTGAGACATGCTCTGATATAAGACAATAGCTTCGCTTCAATCACACGGAGTGTCACAGACTATCACCGTCGCAGCCATAGCACATCATGTGGCTTTCGACTTTACTCTTCGCTTTGTTCACCTGCGTTATCGCAGAGGATGGCATTGATGGTTGGCTGAGATATGCTCGCTTGCCATCAAGTGTCTCCATCAATGCCAAGTCGCTTCCTCGAAAGATCCATGTCATTGGTGGTTCCAAGAAGAGTCCCCTCGGCAGTGCTGCCTCGGAACTCCAGAAGGGCTTCAGCGGTATTCTCAACATTGACTTGAAGACTGAGAGCGACTCGAAGTCTTGCGACTTCTCACAGACCATTGTCGTCACCACTGAGGAGAATCTCAAGAAGGCATGCAAGGGCAAGCTGTCTCATCCCAAGCTTGAGGCAGACGGCTTCTGGCTCAGCACCTCCGGCAATTCTGTCCAGATCATCGGTCAGAATGAGCGGGGTGCCCTTTATGGCGCCTTTGAATACCTTTCCATGCTCGGCCAGGGCAACTTGAAGAAAGTTGAGTATGCATCGAACCCCAGTGCGCCCATTCGATGGGCCAACCAGTGGGACAACCTCAACGCAAGCTCAACTCATGGCTCAATCGAGAGAGGCTACGGAGGTCCCTCCATCTTTTTCGACGGCGTCAAGAACGTGAGGAAAGATCTCTCGCGTGTTCCTCTTTTTGGACGTCTCCTCGCCTCTATCGGTATCAACGCTGTCGTCATCAACAACGTCAACGCCGATGTCCGACTCTTCAACTCGGAGAACCGCAAGGGCCTTATCGAGATTGCCGATCTCCTTCGCCCTTGGGGTGTTCAAGTCGGTCTCTCTCTCAATTTTGCGTCACCCCAGTTGCTCGGAGGCCTGGATACCTTTGATCCTCTTGACGAGAAGGTGATCAAGTGGTGGCATGACTTGACTGACGGTCTTTACGACGGTATTCCTGATATGGCTGGTTACCTGGTCAAGGCGAACTCTGAGGGACAGCCTGGCCCTATCACGTATAACCGCACCTTGGCTGATGGCGCCAACATGTTTGCCAAAGCCCTTGAGCCCCACGGTGGTGTTGTTATGTTCCGAGCTTTCGTTTATGACAAACTTGACTGGAATGACTGGAAGGCTGACCGTGCCAACGCTGCCGTTGAGTTCTTCAAAGAACTGGACGGGAAGTTTGACGACAACGTAGTTGTTCAGATCAAATATGGCCCTATCGACTTCCAGGTGCGGGAGCCTGTTTCACCTTTGTTCTCTCATCTTCGAAACACCAATAGTGCTATTGAGTTGCAAATAAGTCAAGAATACCTGGGCCAACAGTGCCATCTTGTCTATCTGCCTCCGCTGTGGAAGACGATCCTTGATTTTGATATGCGAATCGACGGCAAAAAGTCTCAAGTTCGCGATATCGTGTCCGGAAAGGTTTTCAAGCGCCGCCTGGGAGGATATGCTGGTGTCACAAACGTTGGTTTGGATAAGACGTGGCTTGGCAGTCACCTCTCGATGTCAAACCTGTATGCCTTTGGACGCCTCGCTTGGGACCCCACTGCGGATTCCCAGGAAATTCTCGAGGACTGGACGCGTCTGACCTTTGGACTCGACAACAAGGTCCGAAAAGCCATTACCGATATGTCCATGGCTTCTTGGCCGGCCTATGAGAATTATTCCGGCAATCTGGGCATCCAGACCTTGACCGATATCCTCTACGCCCACTATGGACCCAACCCCGCATCACAGGACAACAATGGCTGGGGTCAATGGACCAGGGCAACCCGCGATCACATTGGTATGGACCGTACAGTCAAGAACGGCACAGGGAATGCTGGACAGTACCCTTCTGAAGTTGCGAAGCGATTCGAGAGTACAGAGACGACACCTGATGACCTCATGCTCTGGTTCCACCATGTTCCCTACACTTTCAAGCTTCACTCTGGCAAGACTGTAATTCAGCATTTCTACGATGCTCATTATAAGGGCGCTGCTACTGCTCAGACATTTCAGAAGACCTGGGCGTCGCTGAAGGGCAAGATCGACGACGACAGACTTGACCATGACCTGTTTAGATTAAAGTACCAGGCTGGCCACTCGATAGTCTGGAGAGACGCCATCAACGAGTTCTACCGCAACCTGTCAGGCATTCCTGACAAGCAGAACCGTGTTCGCAATCACCCTTACAGAATTGAGGCTGAGAAGATGGAACTCGATGGATATCAACCAGTCAATGTCACCCCTACTGAGACTGCTTCCAAGTATGTCGCTATCTACACGAACAGCACTGGTACAGCCAGTACCACTCTCAAGTTCCCCAAGGGCACATACAACCTTGCTGTCAACTACTATGATATCGTTGGTGGCAAGTCCACTTGGTCTGTATACCTAAACAAGCGATTGATTGGCAAGTGGGTTGGAGACAACGAAGAGCGACTTGGTCATTGGCCAAGCGAGTTTCTCGACGGTCACTCTGCCACAAGAATCACCTTTGAGGGTGTTAAGATCCAGCCAGGTGATAAGCTCGTGATCATTGGAAAGGCCGATGGAAAAGAGACGGCCGCGTTGGATTATATTTCAGTTTTGCCTCAGGGCATTGTTGACTAGTTAGTCAATCTTTCTTGTACTTTTATCACATTTTAGCATTCGAAAACAAGAAGTATTGCTCCAATGTTTAAATGTCAATTTTGATGTACTCGTAACTAGCTACAATTCAGATAAAACATTCTAGGTCCAAAACATGACAAGTAATCTGATCCAACTTCAAACTTTTCATTTTGTTGAGATCAGTCATTCGTGTACATTTACAGGAATGAGGGGTTGGCGTTGTCGAGGAGCTGCTCGAAGTAAGCCTGGAACCAGGTTCCGGCCTCAGGAGCGGGCCTGAAGATGAAATGTTAGCACGAGATTCAGTGAGAAGACTGGATGGAGTAACTTACTTGAGAGCATCATCAAGACCACAGTGGTAGTCGTAGCGAGCAGCAGAGGTATCAGAAGTACCATCAGACTCACCGCCAGGCTTGACCCAGACGAAAGCATCGGCGAGAGCGTCACCAGTGTTGGTGGAAGGTCGGAGTCCAAAACCAGTACCCTTGGCGTTACACCAATCTCCCTGAGCCTTCTGGCCAGTAGGCTGCTTACCAGATCGACCCTGGTCGACGATGAACTTGACACCAGTCCAGCCCTCCTGCGCGAGAAGAGGAGCGAAGGCGTTAATGTATCGCTGCTCATCGTAGTTGGGGTTGCTCTCGGTGTAGTCAGGCTTGGTGGTAAGCTTCCAGCCGTTGTAGTTGGCGACGTTGGTGACGAGACCGCGAACGCGAGAAGGCTTGCCGGCGTCCTTGTAGATTTGAGCGTAGAGCTTAGCAGCAGGGCCAATGTTGGCGGGCCAGCCGAGCCAGCCACCGTGACCAGCATCGAGGTACATGGAGACGTTGGGAAGGTTGAGTTCCTTGATGGCGTAGACGGTGAGTTCCTTGTAAGCACTCTCGGCCTTGGCGCACTTGTCGACGTTCAAGTTGGTGACCAGGTTAGCAAGGGAGTCAGGCTCTGCAATCGGATTAACAAATGCAATGTCAAGAGTGATGCTTTACACACCAATAACAAGGATGACCTTGGTGTCGGAGTAGTCCTGGAGAATGCCCTTGATCTTGGCAATGTAGGCCTTGTACTTGTTGGCACCATCCTTGTCGAGGGAGTACTCTCCGTTCGAGGCAGCAGCAGCGCAGTCACGGTTGGGAAGATCGTAGACAACGAACTGGCCGGCATACTTGCCACCAGCCTTGTTAGCCTTACGGATATCAGCAAGGGTATCCTCCATGAGAGAAATGTGGTCGTAGGTGTCCCTGAACTTTGTCAATATGCGAGACCATATTAAATCTGGGCTTGACTTACATCCACTGGAAGGAGGGAACATCAGCAACCTTGGCAGCAGCAGTGGCCTTGGCACCGCTAAGCTTAGGAACAGCCAAGTTCATAACCTCAGAACGGTAGTAGCTGTTGGCCCAGAGGTCGACACCAGAGTAAGGGTTGTTGCTGGCCGCAGGAGGAGCAGAAGTGACAGAACCTCCAGCAGTAGTAGAGCTTCCACCAGTGGCGGTAGTCTTGGTGGCGGTGGTGGAGCTGGGCCCAGCAGCGGTCGAAGAAGGCTCAGCAGAGCCGGGCTGGCACTGGGAGTAGAAGTCGTTGAGCTTGACACACTTGTTTCCACTGGTGCAGCATGGAGTGCCGCTCCAGTTCTGGCCACCACACTGAGACCTGTTTCTTTGTGAGTAGATGTTGTGATGATTGAGATTTCAGGACTTACCAAACTCCGTTGCTGCAAGACTGGCGCTCTTCAACAGGAGCAGCAAGAGCTGTAGCCGCAAAGGCGGCGAGGATAAGCTTGTAGGCCATAGCTGTCGAAGTTGAAGATTGACTGATGATGCTTGACTATTGACTGTGGATGAGTAGAGTAGAATCGACAATTGAGGTCCCTGATAGACATTATATACATTTTGAAGGCATGTAGTTGCATCGTTGAAGTTTAAACGTCCCGGAACGACGGGATCTCAAACGTTAGTGCAAGGCCACCGTCTCTATCGGCAAAGAGATCCGGACAAGAACCCACCGTCAGATAATTCCCGGATGAGATCCAAAAACATCCGAAGAGCCTTTCACGATGTGGAAACTTTCGGAGCGTCTGTATCGAGGCCGACCCCTCACTCATCACGTTTATTCAGCCATTATTGAAGTGCCATCGCCACAAAAGACTATCCCGGAACAGACAGCCGATGCGATCATGTGTCCGAAAGAACCTAAACTGGATATTAAAATGATGTAACACTGAAACTGCTCATCTCGGAGGGGTTCCTCCTTGCAGTTCCTATTTGGGAAGTCCGGAGGTTTGACGCTTATATATCGAGCCATGATCCACGGAAACGTCGTCCTGTGATCCGAAAAAGTTTATGGAATGGAGATGTTGCTCAAAAATTCTCAGAGGGATAGATGATTGATCATTGGGGTCCGGCTAGGTTGGGAAATGGCTAGGATGTTGAACCATAGTTTTCGGGGATGTCGGCTTGGGACTAACGCACAGAAGGCAAGGATTTCTTGAAAGGAATCCAAACTTCAAAGACGACCAATAAAAAAGCTCAGTCTTGTTAATGTTGAGTTTACCCGTATCGTACTCGTTATTTACCCCTCGTTTCAAGTAAACTACTCTTCATTAGATACCCTAGGAGTTACATTGCTGTAACCCCTTCAAGTTAGTCTTTCTTCGATTTCCTCATCCTCCTCGAGGCCCTACAATAGCCTTTACCAGAAATGTGGCAACTCTATGTAAGAAGCTTTACCTGTCCATAGCCGTCTGTTCTCGTCTATCTCCCTCTTAGTACAAATATCTTTGACTCTGCTTCAACAAACCGCCAACTAGAAAGTCGTCTCAGTCCCTTATATGTTGAGATTCTATAATCTGTCGATAACTTATTTACTTTGGCTTGCTTAAACACCTTTATTCTACCAATAGTGCTGCAAATCGCCAGCCAGAAATGCCCAACCTGCATCTAGGAGCTCCGCTCTGAGACTTCGGTTTGACTGAACGTTGGTGCTGATCAACATGACTCATCTTGTTCCGCCAAACAGACATTCATGGCATCTCTCCGTTTAAACAATTTTTAGAATTTCGACTACAAAACTCGAACCAAAGAAGAAGTCCAGTAGGGCTAATGATGAGGAGTTTAGCCTCTTTATGATGACCTATTTCTTAAAGCATCACAAATACTCTAAAAAAACTCACAACATACCATAAGTCTGAAAAGCTGGTCATATCTTTCCTCCTAAGCTTAGGGTATTTTATGATTACTTCTTGAGCTGGATGATGGCGCATTTCTTATAGCAACAGCCATGTAATTCAGCTACGGAGAATGCCGTTCGCACTAAATCCAGCCATCTTAAACTTGCATAACAGCACTTCAGCTTCTGCTTATGTCTGCAAAAAGAGCTGAGCTTTACTGACGCAAGGCATGAGATGATAAGTCCTAGCATCTCAGCCGCACAGTAGTCAAACATTCGGCACATCAACTATCCGAGCGGCAGTACGCCTCTTGGGGTGGACCAATTGTTCACATGCGGTGACATCGTGGCGGGTGGCGCCAGCCTATGGGGTAGGACTGTGGCGTTGAGATTACATTGATCGGTAGCCTCTCTACTCAAGATTATACGAGTGACTTGCATTGACTTCCAGATGTTTGATTAGGCCGTTGTGTAATATGTTTATACCAACTTCCCCGCCTTTTGACGGATCAATTTGTGAACCAGTCTTCCATACTTTCTTGAATCACTCAAAGGTAGTCTTTTTATCATTGTACTTTTTATAAAATGGCAAGCCAAGCAGGTATCATCATCGAAGGGGCCAACCAGCCTCACAAAGCCGTCGACAACATCCCCCGTCCATCCCCAGAAGGCAGGCAGGTGCTTGTGAAATGCCTCGCCGTAGGTCTCAATCCCATGTATGATCTTGAATACCCAATTTACTCGGAGCTCAAGACTAACAGCAACGATAAAGTGAAGCTCTCCAGCATCACACTGGGATGATGGTAAACGAGTGGCCTGCAATCCTAGGCAGTGATGGCGCTGGAGTCGTCATTGAAGTTGGACCCGACGTTACCAGGCTGAAGGTCGGCGACTACGTCTACAGCTGTGCTCCAGTTGGCCAGAATCGATTCACGCCATTTCAAGATGCTTATCTAGCTCGGGAAGATCTGCTGTTCAAAAGGGGCACCAACATATCCCTTGAAGATAGCTGCACAATTGGGACATGTCTTCTGGTAACTATGAGACCTCACAAATCAATAACTGAAAATGCCAGGCTGACAGCTCAACAAGACTTCAAGCCTATGTCTCCTCGGTGGAGCAGGACTCGAGCTTCCTGAAGATGGCAACAAAGCTCCGGAGAAAGATGAATGGATCGTCGTTTTGGGCGGCAGTGGAAACGTTGGACAATTTGCAATACAGGTAACACCCCGAGTCTGGCCAATCTTTTATCTCTAACAGTTTTAGCTGGGTAAAGTTTGTGGATACAAGGTCCTGGCGTCCTGCTCTCCGTCTAAGCAATCTGTGAGTCCTCTCCTATAAATTCTAACACGGCGGTGCTGATCTTGCCTAGGTTGCCAGACAAAACGGAGCCTCAGCGATCTTTGACAGACACGGGACTATTGATGAACAAGTGGCAGAAATTAAGAAGGTCACAGACGGAAACTTTGGCAAAATCATGGATGCAAGCACTTATGGTTATAAAGTGATGGTGAAAGCCCTTGAAAGCGCTTCGAATGCGAAAGAGAAGTACCTTACATCAGTTGACTCTTGGTAAGTTCTCTAAGAACATCGATCGGTCCTCAAACACCACTCATGTAAGAATAGGTCCCCATTCTCTACGCCATCCTCGATCAACGAGTACAGGGCAGATCTTGGCCATCTTTGCCGCCCCAACGAGCGGGATGGAGCCCAGATTACATCCAATATTGCCAGCTGGATTCCATTGCTTGAAAAGCACGTTGCTGCTGGGACTCTGAAGCCACTCGAGTATCATGTTGTTGACGGGGTCGGATGGGAGAAGGTCATCCAGGGCATTCAAGACATGGAAGGTGGAAAGATTGGGAAGAAAATTGTTGTGAGAACCCAGGAAGAATAAGCAGGGCTTTGTGGTTTTTCCACTTTGTATTTCGCGATTGCAGATCTGCGCTGTTTGGAACAAATATGGAATGGCTTGCTGTATGAGAAGCCAATCACGAGATCCTGGGCGGCGCGTAAAATGCGACACAGCCCAGCCCAGCCCAGTGCGGCTGAGACATCAGGCGCTTCACAATGCTTTCCCTTCTGTTCTGCCTCAACAAGTTTGCTGTCTTTAACAAAAACATCCATCATCTTTGCTATGTGATATGTGTCGGTTCAAGCTTAGCATTTGCGGCCTCGGCATATCGAAACCACCATGGAAGCAATCGGCGCGGGTGCCAGCACGCTGGCCTTTGTCCTCTTAGCCCTCAAGTCAGCCAAGATCATCAATGAGTCACTCTCGTCCATCAAAGATGCGCCAAGGATAGTCTCCGAGTTGTTAAAAGACATAGAATACTTGCAGTCCGTTCTCGGGCGTATATCTGGTAGCTCGCTGCGACACGCGCCGACAAGCACAATTGAGTCATTAAATGACATTCTTCAGGCGTGCACAGCAGAGCTGTCAAGCATAGAATGCCGACTCGCCAAATTCTCTACAAGCTCTGGCAGCAGACGTTCAAGTCGCATGTACAAGGGCGTTCTCGCATATGTTAAAAAAGAGGACTTGGAGAATGCGCGAGGGAGGATCAGAGACAAGTCGACGCAAATAAACCTTTACCTCAGCCTTCTTCAGGCGCAATCGCTTTTGCAAGTATCATCAAGGATAGATACCCACGCAACAGCGACGGCCAATATTCTGGAACAGATACTTGGAGAGGTGTCTAAACTTCATACAAGACTTGATCAGGATGCTGCAGCCGGTGAGGCTGAGAAGCTTCCGGCAACCGCAGACGATGGAGATACTATAGATATCGCAATAGCTGGTCGTCTGGGTGCCATGGCACTTTGTTCTGAGCTGGAATCTAGCATATCTCGCCTTTCTACGCTCATAGACCATGACGGCCTGACTTTGGACGCCGACGATGCTGAGCAGATCATTGACGACTTGCGGAAATTTGTTGTTATTGCCAAGGAGAGGTCGGTTGAAAAATCTAAACTTAGTAGCAACTCCACTAGCTACAATGCCGTCACAGAAGATGATTCGATGGCGTTAGGTAGAGATCTGAAGCTGATAGAGGGACTGATTCTTTCTGCCCCTATCATTGCAATCAATCAATCTGGTAAATATACTCTCCATTAGTTCTCATTACCCGTAACTGATCCCAAATACTAGTCTCTGGTTCCCGAAGGCTTCGTTCTCAGCTACCGCATGGCACCATCATCAAGCAAAAGCGGATAAGAGAGGAGATCGATGTTGACCATGGCTATCTCACGATCTCAACTAACAAGAGGAGAAGGATATGTACTGGAGGTTCCGACTCATCTGGAAGTGTCAACACCTTTCGAGATGTCGTTGCTAACATCGTGTTCCGCCCGTCGAATTCTCCCTGGATGTTTTCCGTCTCGCTTTCCCAAGGGCAACTTTTCGATCGGAGCATCCAAAGTATCCCGCGAATTTCTGTCTGTCGCATAGTCCCGAACGACTCGCTTGTCTTTACTCTGGTGAAAGAGGGCTCCCTCAAGGAGTTCATGACCATGCTGCAGGAGGGTAAAGCAAGCCTACGCGATCACGACGAGCAGGGTATGCCGCTTCTGCATGTAAGCGAGTCACCTAGGGGTCCCTGAAACTTGTACTAACCCTTCTGAAGTATGCAGCTACGGCGAGTGTGGAGATGTGTAAATTCTTGATCGAATCTGGAGCAGATGTGGATGAGATGGGCGAACATACGGGAACCGCCCTCTCGCGTATAGCAGGGCTGGACCGGCATGATACAACACTAGTACTACTCGAGAACATGGCTGATCCCACGTTGTCATACCCGGGATGGGATAACCCATTATCCACGGCTTGTAATCTGGATCTTGTAAGTATTCGGACGATAGCAAAGCTTCGTATACTGACACAGTTTAGCCATCTGCAGAGCTCTTCCTCAAACATGGGGGGCACTTCACGATGCATGATCTAGAAAGCTTCGACCTGAATGGAAGGACGAGACTTCACCAAGTTTGTATGGCAGAAAGCAGAGCAACGAGCAAGAAGAAAGCAGTTGCTATGCTGGCAGCGGCTGGGGCCAACCTTGTCGCTCGTGTGGCAAAGTCATGGTCTCCAGACGATCACCAGACGTTAGGGTTCACGTGCCTGCACAGTCTTGTTTACAAAGCTCATCGAAGCAGGGACCGAGACGAGCTGGAAGCCCTGGTCTTCTTGATTCAAAAAGGAGCAGACATCCTTGAGATTGATCACCATCAGCACAGCGTTTCAATGCGTGCATATCTACCTAATGATGGCGATAATCAGTATTCGTCAAAAGGATCTTACAGAGGTGATCTTTGGGATGCTGCTCTTACGATATGCGGCTATGATATTAGCCCACATCGAGATGCATATCCTAGAGTGCCCAGGTATAACAGGAGCTACAGAAGGAAAGACTTTGAGAGGTTATGGGAGGGTCATGAAGCTCTTTGTCCGTATTGGAACGACGAGCGATATCCGGAAACAGGCGGTGCCGATGACTACTGGAAACAACCTGTGAGACGCTGCGAGCATATCGCATGTTTAGATTGTGAAGAACTTCCGTCACAGACTGATGAGCATGAGGTGGAGCCGAAAAAAAGAGACGCCGATGTCCCAGGCTACGCCCAAGCTATATATCGTGAATGGTTCTTAGCTCGCAGTCCGGAGTCTAACCCTACCCATATGCCTTATATAGATCACATTTCGGACCATGAGGAATTTGATGACTATGCAGAGGGGGAGAGTTCATACCCTGATATTTTTGAGGAGGAAGAGAGGGAATCGGATGAGGATATTGACTCTGATGGTGGTGTTCGGTTTTACGATGAGATGAACGCTCTTTCACCGCCCAGCAGTGAAGACGGGGAAGCAGCTTATGAGAGACTAGTTGCTCCATATCAGCTTGAAGAGAGGGAGATTGACGACTACCCTGATTTTGTCGATAGATGGCTTGAGCACTATATCCGAGCGGCTGAAGAAGAATATGAAGAAGAGGATGAGGAGATGTTGAATTGATCGAATGGATTACTGAATTAGGTCAAGCCCCAATATACTGCTTTGGTGATGAACAACACACTAGATGTGAGATACTGGCCCAACTCTAAATCTCAGTGTTTACCAAGTGACTTCAACCTCTGACATCGTATTTTAAGAACAATTAACGATATGCCGATCGGAATATGACAGAGTGCATCATAAAAAGGGCCTTTGCGGCACCGCTTATGTCGATAATTGCTCACAGTTCTTGGCAAGCTGATCAACGAGTGGCTGCTTACTGACCCCCAACTTGCTTACCATACCCACAAATTCAGATACCCGAGCCGCGCGTGAGACAGCCGTATAATGCAGTGCCGCAGAGCCAAGCATCAGGCCTACGCTGTATCGGCGATTCATCATCCACCGAAACGCGCGGGTAGAAGTCGGGATTTGTAAGAAAACAGAACAGCTCATATGCTTTGCAGGGCGTTTGAAATTATTAATCTCACAAGAGGAGCAGGAGTGTCTGGAGTTAATCGTGTATAAATAGTTTGGTCACTGGATAAGGTTTAACAAATATCTCCTCATTCAACACATAGACTCATCCCTTAGAAGACTTCCCTTTATCTCATTAAATCACAATTTGGAAAAGCAAATACACAACATGGCTGCCATCAAGAACATCGCTCTCATCACAACAAGCACTCGTAAATCTCGAGTCGGCCCTCAGGTCACCAGTGTCATCAACGACATCCTCACTGGCGATGCAGACGCCAGCAAGAACACCAAAGTCTCCCTGGTAGACGTCGCAGACTTCAACCTCCCTGTCTTCGATGAAGAAATTATGCCCGCTATGGTACCCGACAAGGGTAGCTTCAAGCATGCCCACTCCATTGCCTGGAGCAATGAGATCAAGAAGCACGACGGCTACATCTTTGTCATTCCCGAGTATAACTTTGGTCTTGCCGGAGGTACCAAGAACGCTATCGATTACTTGTACAATGAGTGGATTGGCAAGGGTGTTCTGATTATCAGCTACGGTATCTTTGGGGGAAAGTCCGCAAGCGAGTCACTTGATAAAACCCTGAAAGGCATGAAGCTCAATGTGGTTGACACTCGACCTGCTCTGGGATTTCATGGTGGTGTTGGTGATGATCTCTGGCTTGCGGGTGCTGGACAGCTGGGTGACGAGACCAAGAAGGATATCATTGCTGAGACGCCTACTATCCTGAAGGCTTTTGGTGAATTGAAGGATCTGATGGACAAGCAGGTACCTAAGGACACAGCCAAGAATGGTGCATAGATCATGAGGAGTTGTCATTGCTTCTTAGTTATAGAGTCGGGATATATGAATTCGTGGACAGTTTATTCTTGTATCTCGGAGCGATACAAGTATTGAGGTTCTGTTTAGATACACGACGTCCCAGGTGCAAGGTTAAAAAGTTGCAAGACATATGACGCTTCTTTCTCACAAACATGCCAAGATGGATCCCCCGATCAGCAGAGACTAGGCTAGTGCCATCAGTCTTCATCGTTATGTCAGTTGACACGCATCGGTCCGCTGAAGATTATTGGCTGCCCTGATGTCAAATGGCTGAAACCTTTCTCGGGCGCGGGTATGCGGCGTTAAGTGTAGAGGACTGGACCATTCTATCCGAAAATAAGCTCGAGGTCTAGAAAGCTGCAGACCGACCCTCTACGCAGAGTTGAAGTTACTGGGCAAGAGTCGAGAAATGCGTCGCCCACTTGAATCCGGGGATTGCGTTACGTGTATCGCCAGCCTTTAAGTTGAACGCGTGGGATTGACGTGATTATTACCGAAAGTCTCGACGGGAACAGTGATAGACGGCGTTCTGGACCAGAATGTGGCTTGGCGAGTCTCAGATTAAACTTAGCAGATCACCCGGTTTCTTCTGCCCTGTATCCGGGAGGAATGCAAATGCAAACTAGCGCTGTTGCTTAGGCATGTGTGACTATTACAACTGCAGATCTCCCTTTTCCTCCGGAGATCCCCTTCAACGTTCATGTTGCATCATCTTCTCTCGAGTGGTAATGCTATCGACGAGGACTTCAACATCAAGGCGCGGTCCTGTTCTCGCCATCTGACGCCGTACAAGATTCGGCAGTCTTCAAGATGCCAATAGACCCGAGCGGCCCAACAGTCATCGTAGAAACCCCTTCTCTTCCTTAACACGCGACATTGCTGAACCACTCCCAGGCTACTGAATGGGCCCTTATTTCCATCGCGACTGCAGTAATTTTAGCACGACTATACCTCCGACTCATTCTACAGCAACGAAGTCTACTCGCGAGCGATGTGTTCATGTGCGCCGCATGGGCTTCGGCCGTTGCGACAGCAAGCTTCGATATCTACTTCTATCGCATAGGCATTTTTAAACCTGGTACCACGTTCGACCTGGCTGGATTTGAAGGTACAGCTGAAGAGGCTGAGAGTTTCTACAAGGTATGTGTGCCCAGACCGGACGGAAAACATCACCCACTGAGATAATGCGAACAGCTCAACTATTTTGCCAACTACCCATTCTACATAACTTTCTACTTATCTAAGGCAGCTCTACTGGCTGTGTACTTACAGATTTTCCCCGTCTTTATGGTAAAGCGACGTCGTTTCCTATGGGCTGTTATCGTCTACGTTGCTGTGGGTTTCGTCATCACAATCCTACTACTCAGTCTTTCATGTCTACCTGTATGGAGAAATTGGTGAGTTTATTCAACAACAAGTTAGCCTTGTGAATTATACTAACTTCTCTTCAAGGACCTTATCGGACCAAAGATGCACCGTTAAAAGCATCAAAATCAACTTTGAGATTTCTTGGGTTTTGAACATCAGCGGAGACCTCCTGAGTATGTATTGACCTCGTAACACGTGCATGGCTCTTGCTAACCAAGATTGATATATAGTCTTCGTTCTTCCATGGCTAGTTATCCCGGAGCTTACACTGAGGAGAAGACTTAGATATAGTCTTTACGCCACGTTCCTCCTTGGTCTTATCAATATCATCTTCTGTGTAGTCCGCTTTGCTCAGATTGAGCAATATGGTGGGGACCTGGTCATTACAATCAGCCTTGTCGGTAAGTATTTCTAAATGCAGAACTTACTCCTCGCGAAAGAAGGAAACTAATAAAGGCCATCCGTCTCGTACACAGAATTATGGAGTTTTATCGATGCTTGCATTGGCCTGATTATCGCATGCCTTCCATCACTACGACCTTTCTTCAACTGGCGAGAAAAGGTTCAGTACTATGGCCAGAGCAGCGGTCAAGATAGTAAGGGAGAATCAAGTCACAACTCACGGAGACCGATGATATCGTCAGACCCAGAGATGTTGAGTCAGCCGTCCAACGTTCATCTAAGTGAAGATATGCAACGGAGGTTCTCAGTAGTATGAAGACGAGGGACGAGAAGGAAACTTGGCCATTGAGGAAAGAATGCTTGTATGAATTACCATGATATACCCTTCTGTTTAGTTGGTTTTTTCTTATGCTTCAAGGTTTTGGAACTCTGAGCTGCGGGCGTTCAAGCGACTCAGAATTTAAATCTTCTTATATCACTCCTACGAGAACCAGTCTGCAATTCATCAGGCTGTCAATATTGAATGTCACTATATATTGTCCAAAACAAATAGATGTATGCAAAAAAGCCGGACAAGACGGCTATCGTTATATGTTCAGTTAGGTGCTAAGCTATGTACAATGAAGTAAAGACCGGTCCTGAGTGAAGTCCAGTCACAAGTCCGGACTCATAAATACGTAATCCCATCTGAAGCTTCCGAAGATACAGGGAATGACTATCTTCAAGAGACTGCCATATCATCCTAGCCTCCAGAACTCCTAGTCATAATGCCTCTTTACTGGGAGACAGTCATGCTGGCAGAGCCAGAGCTGTAGTAACCCTCAACAGCAAGAATCTGGTAGTCGTGGTTGCCAAGGTTAAGGCCAACGTTCTTCCAAGCCTGGAAGTGAGCACCGGTGTTGACGGAACCGCTGGATCGCTTGTTGCGTCGGACAGACCAGAACTGCTGGAAGGTCTTTCCGTTACCCTCGATAGAGGGGGCGTTGACACGGGTGCTGACGAGGATGTCATAGATGGATCCGTCAACGTTGATCTCACCCTTCTTCTGAGCACCGGAAGAGGGGTTGTAGGTGCCGAAGCTCTCAACGATGTAGTACTCAATGAGAGGGTTGCGGGTCCAGCCGTAGACGGCGAGGTAGCTGTTGCCGTTGGGGTTGTAGGAACCAGAGTACTTGATGGTGCTGCATATGAAGTTAGTATGAGGCTCGGAGAGGCAGTTTTGTAGTAACTTACCGAGAAGTACCGGGCATCCAACCCTTTCCACCGACGTGGTTACCGTTTCCGCTCCACTGCATGCTGAACTGGCCACCATTACCGTTGGTGTAGGTGACAGCGTTGGGTGTATCAGTCCAGAAAGAGAAGTAGTAACCACCGCTTGTGCCGGTCGTGGGCTGAGTACGCTTATCGAGGACGTTTGTGGGGGGGCCACGCTCGACGACGCTGAAGCCATCAACGGGCTGGGCGGATGGGAGGGCCATGACGCCAGTGACGGCCGAGACGGCGGCGAGGAGAGAGGTGAAGGAAACCATTCTGATGATGCTGGCTTGAAGACTGTTGTAGACTGAAGCGGTTGGTTGATGGGATGAAGAGTCGGATTGATGAGGACTCTTGTCGTATTTATATTGCCAAATGGTAGCACTTAGGCGATCCTTAATTGCTTTACATCATCCGAATCTGGCCCAAGTTCGCGAGACTTGTGGGGAAAAGGAATTGCCTAACATGGATGTGAAAGTGCCCGAGATCGATCTGAGTCTGTATGAAGTGTATACCCAATTTTGCCGGCGAGATAACCACTGGGAAAGTAAGGATCGATGGAAATGCTTGTTTGACCAGTTGACAGCAGTCATCCCGATGTGATTAGTGGGTCGATGATATCCCGGAAACTCAACCAAGTCAGTACTCATCTCCGTACTATGAAACATGCTAACCGTAGGGGTTTGGTTTATCCGGCCTTTGTGCAATTTCGGAGGAACAATGCCCGGATCGTCCGATTTAGGACAAGACATGATCTCGAATGGGGAAAGCAAAAGTCGGCATTCGTAACATGGAGCCACATGGCATCGATGCAAGAATTGCCATAGAGCCACCTTGAATGGGGCGGAGGTTGCATTGACTGCCGAAGACCCCAGACACGTCCGCGAGCTAGGAGCTGGGCCGAGAGCTAACGTCTTTGATTAGGAAGGGGAGAACGAGGATCGGTCATTCAGCCTAATAACCAAGGTTGCGTTTCAGAAGATCAGCGTGAGGGCGCATGATGTATAGCTGAGGTCTATTAAGATGTAAAACAAAGAACCTAGTCGAGAACTTGCTCATGACTCAAGGATAACACGAGAATGCACACTTGTTTAGCAACCCTTAGCCTTGGTAATTGGTGCATTTATTCGGGAAGGATCTGTGCTCAGTGCACACACGGTTAAAACCGAACGACCATGGTGTCTTTGACAGAACAGATGTGACATTGGCTAGGTAGGCATTGGATAGCGGTCTGACATACAATTTGGCCTCGGCTAAATTTAAGAATCCATACATAGTGACAAGAGGATCCGCCAAGCCGCGTTTTAGTGGCGATGTAACTCCAACACTTTAAATCCAAGGCACATATCAATGCATTGTGAGCTTGCGAGGAACACGAAAATGATAGAATCAGGGTATCACATCGTAGCCATAACCAAGGTATCGGACCTCTGCGTTGTCATGAATATTTGGACAACCCATTCAGGCAAAATGCCAATGCCGAACTTTCATCCAGCCAAGACTGTTCCTGCGCCGTGATTAACCGCCAAGATGAACCTTCAGCTCGGCACAATAGCACCTCCATAGACCCTCACGACAGCCTCATCAAGCACATACGACCAAAGCTCGTAGAAAATACGGGATCCCGTCTGCTCTCCCATAGTCAAGCTGCGAAGCGCTGGATTAGTAGTTGGGTCGGTGACGACCAGCGAATCCCCGGTGTTGTATGTAATTTTTGCCACTGTAGACAAGTGGAGGAACTTGTCGGTCCGGCTTCTTTTTTACTCTGTGATGATATTCATGGGTTGCTTCGTATAACCATTGTTGGGCTGTGTAGCCGGTGAGCCGCATTATCCAGGCGCCGCGGTAAATCCGTATCATGCAGACTTCGCAATCGCCGAAACTCAGTATATGATCATCTTAGCAATCTTGCCCTCATTTGTTACAAATATCATATCAGGCTGTTGTAAAATGTGAGGATGGAGGCCAGGCTGAAACGATATTATCCAGAATCTTGCAAACCGTATGTTGTTGTTCGCGTTCGTTCCGAATGTCCAAAGTAGGAATTACTTCATGGCTTCCGGACCATGGTTCATTCGAATTGAGCAGTAGATGCTCTGCCTCTTTAGGTTTTCTGCATTTACTGATGGTATGGCTGCAGCAATGACACGCCATTTTTCTGTGTAAGAAATGACAGCGTGCAAGGCGAGTGAAGAGATTGGGCAGACTGGGTCGTTGTAAAAGTGCTTTGAGAGTATTCTCTGTCTACCTCATCAGCTCGACGGTATTGCCCTCACTGGCAACGTGGTGCAGTTCGTGAATCGCAAGCAGTAGCAATAAGTCAAGCAGAGTAGTGTTAGATCGGGCATAAATCAAGGCATCCCCTGTCTTGATAAAGAACCTAAACTTTCCAAATGCAGGAGTGGCATCTGTGTATCAATATGTTGATTGCCTGGTTCAAGTTACAACAACCTCAAAAATGGATATTTAATGGGTGGTATGTAGTTATTTTCAGTAAACTAGGGTTAAAAAAATGTTGATGCGACTGATGAGATATTCTATTTGAGATCTTATACTTGACAGAGATTAAAGCTATTATTAACCCTAAAACCAATTTGTTGATATTTAAGTTTTTTCTCAAGTTTCGGGTAAGTTGTCGTAGCGACTAAAGCGATGATACACTAGGGGGGAGGTGGAGTCTTTTTTGATCTCACACTAACTGAACATCGGTGAAGATGCGCATACTAGCGCTATTACACTATTACCAGATACAGCCTAAGCCGATTAGTCAGATCAACCGCGATAGAAGTTGACTGATGAAATTTCCGTCTAGTATCAGCTGATTGATCTGAGAGTTAATCTCTATATTTAAATATAATTTTGCATCAATTCAGCTACGCATATCTCTGTAGTTTGATTGGTGATACTTGCTGCAAAGCACTGCCAACTGCTTGGACCTAGAGTTAGAAATTCGGGACTCGAACTACGTGGCAGTTTGAGGCAACATGTCTGAAGGGACTAATCACCGAAAGAACTCATTACTGGATGATAACAGACTGTTCAAACAGAGTGTCTTTCCACATGTAAATGGTAACCTTATCGTGAAGGTTCTGACGCACAATTACTTTTGAACATACTTGAATCATCACAATCGATTGGGTGAACTTTCAGGCTTCAAGGATTAGTTCCATGGCCCGAAGATCAGAGATGTTCCTGTCGTTTGTTGTCGAAGATCATGATGGTCAGAAGTGTTAGACTGAAGAGTTCGGCGCGCACAAGGAACATCTACCGAATATTGATGAACATGCAATTCGCGTTGCGATCACTGCCGGGAAGTGCGAACGAGCAGGAAAGCAGGGCACTTTCATTATAGGCTTGAATAAAGAACTTTCTTATCTGAGTTTCCCTTCATACCTGCTGTTCAATTTGAACTTGCCAACTCTAAATTGCATCACTGGGAGTTTTATTTGCCGTCCTTAAATACGCACGCCTTCCCCGACTTCAAAAGTTTCATCGAGTCTATCCTCCCGTTATCCAAGCGTCGTAAACCGGACCCACCAGAGTATCTCCTAACCACAACATTCATCATGGACGACTTTCCATCAAGCGCGGCACAGCTACTTGAACGAAAGATGGCGGGAAAGCAAACACAGGACCCGTGGCTGGCCACGAATAACCCTTCGTCAATTCCAGCAAAAAGCCCAACACCCAGGACTTACGCTGCGGTACTCAAGGGGCCATTACCGGCTCCTAGATCAACACCGCTTACAACCGGAGCTTTGTCACGCCTCAACTGTGCAAACTTGGAACAAGAGTGGCGGAGTCAAAAGTCTTGGAACAGTGACGAATCCACATCTCAAATCAAGGAATGGGTTTGCCGGATTAGAGCCATGCAGAAAGGAAAGGAATTGCTGCGTCCTGAGAAGCCATTCGAGTCGTCGAAATAAGGGGATCAGTCCAGAGGTTACCTTTGATCAAGGAACTGAGTAAAGCGAATCGGATATTCAGCCTAGCGCAACTTTCACTTTCGACAAGACGGTACGAGCACACACAGAGTCACAATGAGGGAATTGGCAGGAGCGTATGACGGAGTGTATTTCAACGACGAACAACAATTTTATAATTAAGTATTACTGCTCAGGCTGGGAATGCCTCCTTTCAGACTCAATATATGATGGCAATGAACTGGAACATCTCGCACTGCTTTCCGGAAGCCCAATGTCCTCAGCGTCGGGCTGCACATCCCCTTTCTGCTCCTCCATTGTGAACTGTACTGGCAGGACCAGTTTCAGGGTTGTTGATGCAACATTAATAGTTAGATGTAGTTGATATGTCCTGGCAACCAGGCAAGAATAAAAAGTAGGCAAAAACATTTTCTTATCGCTCGCAAAACTCGTAATGGGTATTTCGATATGACTGCTGAAAGTCTCAGCAGTCTCGGTGACATCATTATCTGTTTGTTTTGGGGAATTCTTCTCCCAGCTCAAGCTAACTTCCGCCTTCTTAAGCAGAGTCTCGGAACCGTTGTAACAGTCCCTTGCGTTGACGATATGGGGAAGCTGTTGCATGGGCTCATCTTGTGACCATGTTTCCGACTCAATCTTTGCAGAAACACTGCATGTTTGCGGCAAGCTAGTCTTTTGGTCGCACAGCTTTAGTCTAAGAGATGTTGCCACCGTCGTAGGATGAAACGTCTTTCCGCTGGAATCGAGAACGACCGCGTTGGGTTGATCAGCATATAACGTGACCTCACCCGAAGAGCGACAAAAGACACTGGATTTGAGTTGTTTCGATGACCCGAACTTGAAAGTTCGATTTGCTGTCGGGATCTTCAAAGGCGGATGTTCAACATGGCCGGGCAAGAACTGAACGGTTTCTTTGGCTTCCATCTTGGCATACTCTGGGTTGGCCGAGTCCCAAACCTGAGCAATGACACCGTAGTCAACGCGCACGCCTCTTGGAATCATCGCATCACTCTCCCAGCCCGTGATGCTTGGCGGTAGATGTGAATGCATCTGTCGTGTTTCTTGCCATATGACGTTATGTGAGCAAGCCTCTGTACCGAGGCCATTGGGAAGTACAAAGTAAAATGGAACCGTGTACGTCTCATTCGCTTGTAGAATCCTAGTAGCTGGTACTGTCGTTTGCTCAATTGGCATTTCCAGATCAAGTAATCGATGCCATGTCTCAAATGATAAATTTGCATTAGGGCGCTCAACGCTTGAGTCGCAAACAAATTTTATTGAGATCTTGGTGAAAGGAGTTTGCTTCTTAGGTTTGATGTTGACCGTGCCCATAACTATGGAACCAGGGCGATACCGCTTTGAAGCATAATGGTCATGGATAGTAATGGTCAATCCATTTTTCTTAGGGGGTAAAATAGAATTAAGGCTCTGTAGGGCTGACGGGTTGAACGGACTAAGCACCGGGCGTGTCTGAAGAGGGACGCCGGATCTTTGCGTGTAAGGAGGCTCCATATTGATGATACTGAAGAAAATTGATCCGACATCTTGGCGATATTTGGCCTTGTTGTTATACAATTTCTGCCTGACTAGGCATCTGCACTTTTCTTGATGAGTCGCGTCAATTGACCAAGGCAAGTGACTCACTGATTCTGCGTAATACATGTCATCGGCTTAATCTGACCCGACTGTGACGCCTGGGAATAATATGCGCGTTGCTACAGACCGCGTAATTGAGTCACTGGGTGTCGCAAGCACAGTCATCAGCTAAATTATTGATCCGTTAGCCAATCAAAAGTCTAGTAAGATAGATTAAAATTCACGTTTAAGGCTTTTCTTATGCACAATGTTAGTGCAGTACGGCACGTATGATCCGAATTAAGGTAGTGCTCCGCCCGGGCTGATTAATACGCAACGACGACGCTAAACGCCATAGATGAAATTGATGTGATTGGAGGGAAATGGCATCGTGAAGTGACTGTTAGCGTGAATGACAGAAGCATCCACGACAGCGGAATTCATAAGTGCTCACGCAATCCTCTTGAATTACAAAGCCAATGGCCTGATGGTTTGGACCAAACGTTCAATATCACTTACGAATCTTGAACTGGTCTCATTGCACCATCGATATCACCATATATGGACGACAGCCTACACGAAATGCAGAACCTTCGATGCGAAGCGATATAGTGAGCGACAGTCGCAATTGGTCTACCTAGACCGATGGTTTTGGCAGATTTAGAGATGCAATTGGTCGTCATGCGTCAGCCTGCGTCTTCATCTGGTGCTTCTGGGCGTATAATCTAGGAGCCTAACCATGACCATTCACGTAGCTCCGCAAGGAATATCTCTCTACTTCATCTGCCCACGCATTATATGCAGAACATACGCAAGACTTAACGAGGGATATTGCAACGGAGACGCCATGATAATGGCAGGCATATATCAATGCCTTGCTGATTCGAACTAAGCAGATGATAGGGGTACAGCTAGTAAGCTTTAGCGATCTTCAATATAGGCTGCAATGAGACTGAACTCAAGTACATACGACCATACCTATCAGAGAACTCGGGATCCCGTCCGCTCTCCCATAGATAAGCTGATAAGGGGCGGATTAGTAGTTGGGTCGGTGACGACCAGCGAATCCCCGCTGTTGTATGTTTTTGCCGATCTTGATAAGAGGTACTCCTTTTTGGAGGTCAGGTTGTTGTCATATTGGAGAGAAGACGGTAAGTGTGGAGGTTCTGGCCCTGTTATAACTTCCTAAGATGTTGTGATCAGCTTTTGATCTTGATGGCTATCATCATCGAAGCTCCGTAGTACGCTTTCACTGAGCAGTTAGCTGCAGCCATAAGATATCGGGCAAATCTTGTATTACCTTGGCTCCCCAGTTCCAAATCGCTTGTAGAAACTCACTCGGAGCCAACGCCGTACAAAGTAGCCTTGAGAGTAGCATGCCTAGAGCAATAGACTTGTGCACCGACAGACTCACAAAGCGTGCTATTGAGATTACTGGTCATGGAAAACGAACGCTTTGAATGAACCTGGACACGTCCAAGCAACATATGCAAACATGGCCTAACATAACATGTGGTAATGACCAATGTTCACATTTCTTCCGCTAAGAAAATCTCAGGAACCAGGATATCGACTTTCGAATTGGACATATATTTACTGCAAATGGCTGTTTTAATGCCATGGCGGGGATTTATACGGCCAGTAATTGCAGAAGCTACTAACTCTCTGTCGAGGCAAGGGGCGCGATGCAAGCGTCAGCTGTCAGCTGTATCAAGCTTCGTGGTTCGGATGCTTTGGGTTGACATCTCCCCCTGTCAAAATCTGTAGGCTGTGTGAGTGGTTAAAGTGTATTTACAGAGTGGGTGTTAGCGTAGGCGATCACCAAGGCTAAACGTCTTCGCACCAGGCCATGGCGGCGAAATCTAATTCCGCAGCTGTTTTGAAAGGGGCAGACCATATTCGTTCAAAAAGAAAAGAGTTTAAAAAGCTTAAAATACAGTCTTCGCGAAATACAGGGCAGAATGCTAGGTTGAGTGTTGGGGAGTGAAGGACAGCAATGCCTCAAAGCTGAAAACCCCTGGTCGTTCCCCGTGAGAACGTCCAATTGCTGATGCCACTGGTGAAGCGCTTGAGTCTTGGCAGCGCACTTGAGTGGCCACCTTTCACGGAACGATATCAACCATCGGCGGCTATGCAACAGGGCGGATTCATTCCGTGATGCTTCAGACCTCGATAAGGCCTCCTTTTACGTGAATCAGCCTTGGAATGACTAAAACAATGTAACTGTCTGCATGTGAATGCTGTCGACCGTGCTGTTTTATGGACATCCCTGATTACTTGAGTATTGCGCACAGATATCGCCAACATGTACAAGTCACACGTCCTCACGACGCCAACATCAATCCGTCTTCTGGACATCATTGAGTCCCGGGACGGCATAGTTCGTTGCTCCATGCGGGTAGTCGACCTGAGCGATGAGAGCCTCGAGTTTGCCGCCGTCTCATACACCTGGGGCAACCCTACAACAGTCCACGAAGAACCCATGCCCGATATCGATGGTTTGACATTCGAAGAGCACGCCAATCAACTACCCTTCGCCTATTACAGTCCAGAACTGGGACCCGATGGCGACAAACTGGTAATGGTTGATAGGGCCAAGCTTCTATACTACGATATGCACCGCAATGTCCCTCGTGAAGAGGTGCTTTGGCAAAAGCGCACGCATCACGAAATCGAAGTCGATGGGATTCGAGTACCCATAGAGGAGAATCTCTTGTCGTTCTTCCAATCGGTACTGAAACTACGAGCTGCGATTGTTCCAAACCCAGGCGAGCCGGAGAGTTCAACCTACCGCTCAATCAACCTGCCCATCTGGGCTGATGCACTCTGTATCAATCAAGCAGACCTGGACGAACGAGCTGCCCAAGTCAAGCTCATGGGGCGTTTATACAAATCAGCGAGTATAGTGCTTGCGTGGGTCGGTAAATACGACAGGCTTTCAGAACTCGCGATAGAAGCAATGGGAATGATTCTTGATTTCGACGCGACTCGCCTTCACGCACAAGACTCACATTACGCAGAACAAGAGGAAGTGACCATGTCCTCGGTCCCGGGGATGACAGTGGTGCACTGGTTCGCCCTCTTTTCCCTCTTCCAAAGACTCTGGTTTCGTAGAGCTTGGGTTGTTCAGGAGGTTGTCTTTGCCCGAGACATTTTAATGGTTTGTGGCGCGACACTGCAGAGCATGGACTTCATCTTGGCGGTCGCTGCATTTCTGGAACAGACGGGGCTGGATATTGAGCTATGTAAGTTTGGGCACAACTTCCTCACCAATCGAGCTGTGTCGGACCAGGCTCAACATTGGGAGAAACTGTCATGTCTCTCTGGACACCTAGCGAGGACGACAAACGAGTTGAAGGTCACTCCGCGGGATGCTCTTTCTTTTATCCTCGGTTATCATCATACTCGCTCGCGTCTTGGGCTCTGTAACGCTGGCTTGCCCATGGTCACTCTAGTTCCAGATGAGGGAAACAACAGACCATCTGATACAGGTCGATGGGCCCTAGAACTTCCCGAAGTTACCCACCTCGCCGATCACGATATAGTGGAGTCTTTCAGCGAGGAGCTGGGTATACCTGGTTTCAGATTTGAACGCCGAAAGCTACACTTACTCTCCGTCCTCTCCGACTTCAGAGAACTCGAGGCTACCGATCCTCGAGACAAGATTTTCGCCTTTCTTAACCTTGCTGAGGACGGGCTCGGATTACAGCCAGACTACAATGCCGACGTCAAAGAGGTCTTCATCCGAGCCACCAAGACCATGATACAGAAACGTATTGGTTCGCACCTTGCGGTTCTATCGCATGTGCAAGACTTTTCAGACACTAGGATCCAAGGCCTTCCCAGCTGGGTGCCCGACTTTAGCGCTAGGTTGGGACGGGTTCCGTTCGACCAAGGCGGGCATGATGACCGTTTCTGCGCCGGAACTCACCATGATGTCGATTTCGACGACTGGATCATCCACATTGACCCCGGCAATAACCTCAGCGTCAAGGGCATCAAAGTGGATAATGTCTCCATATCCACAGAGCTGAACCAAGATCCAGTCATCCAAGCTCTACGACTGGCATTGCATAGTCCAGCCAAATATCCTGTCCAGGCCAGAGCGTGGTGTGTGGAGGACACCACGGGCCATAGCTCAAGACGCTACATCCGCCCATCACAAGCGATGACTCGGGTTGAAGCCCTATGGCGTACGCTCGTCATTGATAAACTGACCGAGATGGAAGACGACTTCAGCAGTATGGACTCAAGAGAGAACCTAGGGGAAGGTTTCAGCAACTGGATTTTGACGGACATGCTAGAGGCTCGCGACTTGATTGTTGAGTGGTCTGGGGTGATGTCGGAATCGTGGGCATGGGAACTGATCCAGAAGTCGTTCACTACCCGCTTGGCTCTCTGGTCGGCTATGTATGACGGACGGCAACTGTCCGATGAACTACAGGTGTTAGATCTTGGGGAAGCCCTAGGTGATCTTACTGAAAAGATGGGAAAGGAAATGGGAAAGTCGAGCAAAGAAGGAGAAGAGGGGGAGGAAGGAAGTGAGGAGAGCGAAAAGGTAACACAAGAAGAGGATGAGCAGGAGGGGGAGAAAGACGGAGAAACAGAAGAGAAATTACCTGGCAAAGGGAAACGTGACAGCGAAGGCAAGCATGGAGCCAATACTTCCTGGGAAACGGGGTTCCTTCCTTCGGCGCGCCGCATCCGAGAAAGCTTTCCAGCTCCTCCAGTCGAAGAAGACGAACAAGACAAGGACCCTTTGGGAGGCAAATATAAGCGGCCTTCTATGAAACGGCTCACTCCGCTGGGACGGAGAAAGCTCCGCAACTTTGAGAAACACGTGCGCAATGCTACCCAGGGTCGGAAACTCTTCATGACAGAATCGGGGCTGCTCGGCCTGGGACCCAAGACTCTCGGCCAGGGGGCCAGCAAGGATGAAGTATGGATCTTGATCGGTGCTCGAGTGCCCTTTATTCTACATCATATCGAAGATTGCAAGTATCGGGTTGTAGGTGAGACATATGTTCATGGAGTGATGTATGGGGAGGGGTATGATCGCTATACGGGCTGGGACGAGTACGGGTGTAGTGGCGTGGATACGATAAAGTTGGTCTAGAAATAGGCCTAGTTCAGCCTCGATAAAAAGCTTGTTAACCTGCTGCATCTTAGTCGGCAATCTTCAAACGATGGGGCTTTACTATAAACGACGACAAACTTACATTTTCAGGCCGGTAGTATACATTAGTAGAAGCTGCGAAGAGATGTTGCTCTATAAAAGATCTAACTGGTAATTCAATGTATAGGAGGCTTAAAAAATAATCTCTCCAACAAAAGTCCAGCTAAGTCGCAGGTATAAGTATTCTCAACACGGCAAGAAAACTTATTCTAACAGTTGCCATCTTTCTATACACCTTCCATCAGCCTGTCATCATGAAATTACCCAATCAGTGTCAACGAAGATCCAGATCTTTCCGCTTTCCTCAAGAGCAATGGCAACACCGCTGCGTAAATGACATAAAATCAAGCCCCCCTCTCTGCCTATAGGAGGAGCAATACCGGCATATTGTAGTTTCGTAACTGCAAACCTCAGACCAATCCGGCTGCCATAAGGGGCAAGGTTACGTGATGTTTAGTTCTCAACTCATAGCTCTTCCTCTTGGTCCTCCCCAGTTGGCCAGTCGGGCTGATGCACCATCGCCATGACCAGTCCAGGCTTATCGGAAGTGATACCAAGGTGTGTCTCCAGGCCCATACGCCAAGTAGCAGGATAGAACTTGCAATTCTGAAACATGAACATGGATCCGATGAGATGGAACTTGTTGGGTTTTGGTCCATCATCTGTTGGAACTCCATGCCGAACCACGTCATACCAGTTATGATCTACCAGCCTTTGGATGACAGCTGCATCATCATGAGGTCGAAGAACGTCTGGGTTGGCGAGCTTCTCTAGACGTTCGAGCCAGGCCTCTTGCGTCAGGTTCTTGCCCAGTTCTATACCATGACCCATGCCATCTCGGCAAGGCTTGTATATGTAGTCGTTCCTGAGGTTCGGGTCGGATTTTGACTCACGTAACAGATTTTGAAGTTCTTCTGAACCCGGGTTAATCGTTTGGATGATCCCATTAGCAACGATGCTGGCCTCTTCAGCCGTCAGAACACCACGCGAAACCATCTTAGGTAGCTCTTCAGGTATGATGCCAAGGAGTCGCTTGTCATGCACGATGAACACAGTTCGAAGGTCATTGAGAGGAGTAAGGGATAGTTGGCGAGCGACAGCTGGTTCCAGACCGGCATACTCTTCCTGCAACATCTCCACAAACCACTGTTCCAAGAGCGTGTTCGTGGCCTTATCCCAGAGAGTGAATCCAGTTGAAGAAGTTTCATCGGAGCGAACTTCCAGATCCTGGGGACGAACTGCCTCGACTGGCCGGCTTCCACGTGCAACACTGACAGCGGAAAGAATTCTCGAGTCAGCACCAGGCCACTTATCTCTGATAGAGAAAAGTGGCTTGTTGGGGTCGAATAGTGCCATAAGGTTGTTGTAAGATGTCTAAATGGTTGACAGAGCGTCAGCTTCGAGATTGAGGCGTGGGAGATAGTTGTAGTACTCACATCCATGCTATTCACAGGTTCAAGTCCCCCTGTACTCGCGCCAAGTTCCCGAAGACCATTTTCACCGAGAGCGATGCCCATGACCGCATTGAGAGGCAACCTTCCGTTGATTTCGCATATATAAGGTGACTCATCACGCAGACCATCTGGACTGCGGCCAAACAACAAATCACTTCGCCAGCAACCGGCATGTTCGGTGTAGTCTGGAACACAGCCACTAGAAGATACCCATCGAAGAAGCTCCTCTTCTGATGGGTCCAATGGCATACGATCCGGAAAGCAGGCATTCTCATCGGTAAACCACCGATCCACGATATCGATAAAAACACGACCGAGAAGAAGATGAAGCTGCTCAAGTCGTGAGAATAAAGGATCCGACACCGCAACAGCATGTGGCGAGATGCGCTCCATGATTCCAAAAGATAATTCACCACCTTTGGCATCGGCGTAAAGATGCTTACGAAAAGTCTCAAGCTCTTTAGCGCGACGGGCAAGGTTGCTGCAGTATGCAGGGATTAATCGTTTCTCTTCCGCACTTCGAGAGACCGAGACTTGCATGAGTCCCGGCCGTTTGGCAACCGTGGCGGGCATTTTGTTTCAAGATAAGACGTCCCTGCTCAAAATAACAGCATATAATTAGGAGAGATTTTGAGTATTGAAATGCCGTCCATGGCGCTTATATCTTAGACAGGCCCCTGTCCATCTTGATGTGACAAGGAAGGGCGCGTGCGACACCACCTACCTATTCTAGCCTTTTTCTGTCTCCGCGATAAGCAGCGTATTACACTGAGACTGGTTGTTCTGAGAAGGATGACTGTAGTCAGAATTTAGAGCGTAAGCGATTACGCTGGCCGGAACTCCTTCGCATTTGTCAAGCAGCATGATTTGATGACGGCGACGACGGCAACTCCTTGTAGCACATCTTGTTCCCGGAAATGCTCTCGTAAAATGATCATCCCACTTTTGGTGAAGGGAACTGGTAACTTCCAAGCTTGTAGTGCCTACTCTTGATTCCTCATATATCATTGTCTTACCCAAGATCTAGCCAGTGTAAGCCCTAAACGCTCACGTCAAATTCTATATCCAGTATATCGCCTGTAAGCAGTCAATCCTGGTCGCTTATCATTTCTCTTCAATCTCAGTTAGGGTGATTTCAATGGGGAGGTAGTCATCCCAAGGACATAAAGCCTCAACCAAGAAATTCCGTACTGCATCTCTGTACATAATCTGCATTCCCTTCACCATATGTCATGTTTAAAATGCGCCAACGCCCTCAAAAGCACTCACGTCAATGATACTTATTACTGATGATGTTTTTACGTCGCCCATAGAGTTTGAGCAGCTAGAAACTCTGATGAAGAGTTAGTACCTTGAGACGTTTTGTACCATTTGCTCGAAACCATATTTGTCGGCATCGGTTATAAAGACCTATCAATTTCTCTAGGTTTGGGATTTTTCAATATGTTGGCTTGATATATCTCAAAGAGATATCATAAGCTTTAACTATCAATCAATGTTCTTGCTGCGTCGAACCTCTCTGCCAAAGCTGATATGCCTCTCCCAAAGGCCACAGGAAGAGTCTATATCTGCCTCCATGGACATCAACACTCCATTTGCAGACGTATTTCAGCCGTCTGATTCAAAGAGAAAAATGGCAATGTTTGACAGGATCGCATGAATGTGGAGGAGATTTTGAGTATCTTGCATGATGAGATATCCCACCAATCGGACCTTGCATTCCGTGGCATACGACATCCGGTTAATGTCTTTGCTCGGAAGTATGGAGCATTTTCCCGGCAAGGAAAAGTCTATATAAAGTGAATGCGATATTATTTTATCTTCAAGCTGTTCTGGTGGTACTCCTCCGCTTCATTTGTAGGACCAAGGTACTCTGAGATGAAGTCCTTCTCCCAATACCTCCTTCTGGCAGCTGGCCTGTCTACAGCCTCTGCGAGTCCAATAACCTCGATGGCTGTGCAGACTACCAAGAACTTCATTGTATTGTATGCGAAACCAGCGTTTTGATGCGTTTCAATCTGATTGGTGATAGCGGTGATTCATACTCGACCGTCGGTTTCTGGCCTGGGGGACAACTACCGTCAGCCTCCAACCCCATAGGAAATCCCGGACTGCCTGGGCAGACGACTTCTGCTGGTCTCAACTGGGTTGGACATGTCACGTCAACTCTCAACACATCATTGATCCTCACATACGACTTTGCTTACAGTGGAGCGACTGTCGACAAGAAGATCGTCAACTCATGGGCCCAGTATTCGATGTCGGAACAGGTAGACCTCTATAAACAATATGTTGCGCCTGAGATTACAAAAGCCGATACACTCATCGCATTCTGGATTGGTATCAACGACGTGGGTGAGGCGTTTTGGAGCAAGAAGAGTGCTCTTGTTACCGAATGCGTAAACAGATATTTTGAGCTCCTGCAGACTCTTGTCAATGATGGCTACAGCAAATTCGTTTTGCTGAGTATTCCTGGTAAGCCCCTTTGATCTAAATAATATTCATGGCGGTCTGACTTTTTATGAAGCATACGCGGATCAGTTCCCCAAGATGATAGGTCAACCGGATGTTGATCTAGCACGGCTTAGATCCGACATCATTTCTTACAACAACGCTGTCAAAGCCAAAGCAGCTAGCTTCACATCCTCTCATCCAAATGTCAAAATTCATGTATTCGATACCAAGCCCTCGTTCGATCAGGTTGTCAATAATTATGCGGCTTACGGAGCCAAAGATGCTACTTGCTTCGGCGCTAGTAACTGTCTTTGGGCAGATGACTACCATGCCAGTGGCGCCATCCATAAGCTGCTGGCCCAGAACTTGGTGAAAGCAGTGAAGGGAATTTTTGTCTTCTAGACAAAAATGATGGCGAACTCTTTGCCAGGTGCACAGGATCATATATGTGAATTTGACTCTGTTCTATCGTCTAGAATACATGTGTTTTGATATGAGGGTACTCGGAAATTCCTTCAATCTTCTTGCGTATCTGCAGCCGTCATAATAGTGAAGGCCTTTTCGGTCTCCAGTGCTGCCATATTATGAAATTCATCTCAGTACTCATAGGTAGATAGGTACTTAGGATTGTAGTCCGGAAGATGAGACAAACATAGCTGGGGAGTATACCTGTTGAACTGTTTCCGCAGTACCAGCGTGAAATCCCGGATCTGCTCTTCTGCATTGTCTATATCGTTCAATATATGTAGTGCTTCCAAGGGGGATAGCCAGAATCCAAATGCCGGCGTCGCATTTTGTTCGAGTATTTTCTTGGCGGCCACACCAACGTTCTTGCGTCCTTTGGAAGATCGACTTAGCTCCGATGCCTTTGCCTCCATTTCAGCCTCCAGCCATGCAACTGCATCCTCTCTATCAATGATGACTGGATCACCCTCAGAATAGCTCACCATGAACTGGTAAAGGACTTCAGGATTAATCTCCAGGTCCCATCTTTCAAGATGTTCGAACCAATCCTCAACAACGTCCCGTAGCTTTACCAACTCGACGGGATTCATACCGTCAAGGAATTCGCCCATAGCCCTGGGATCCTGGGCCATAGTCTGAAATATAGGTACATGTGTCTTGACAGGGACGGAAGGGTTGATATACCACGCAAGGCCCTCTCTGTCACCCGTGTCTCTGCTATTGCGCGTTCCAGGATCACTCACGCCACGAAATACGAAGATGACTCTCTTCAACCGCTTGATTGCCCCCTGAAGTTCAGACAGGTCACTGGGCGCGGGGTCCGTGTACCAGCTGTCATCGTCTATGTCGTCGTCCTCGTCGTCCTCGTCGCCGTTATAGGTCTGCTGAGCCAAGTTGACAATGCCAACGTGAAGTGGATCAAGTTTCCAGACATCATGCGCGAGTTCTGGGAAATACCACCATTCAAAAATATGTATGATGTCGAGCTCCGGGTTGAAGTAGAGGATTCCCTCGCGGCGGGAGGTCATATGGACATATCTGCAGGGAATGTGAACGCGGTAGAACCTCTTGGCGACGCTACGAGATTCGCGGTTGATAATAAAGAGCTTACTCATGACGAAGCGCTCTCTCAGTTCGAGGCGGTTTTGCCGGACATGGACTTTAAGGATTCTTTCGTGGGTTAGGGCTTGTGTCCAGATCCTTTCACGAAGCTCGGGAGGAAGCTTGCTAAATTGTGGGAAGCTGGAGGTGCCTAGCATTGCCGGATTGAGAATATTGTCCTCTTGATGAGAACTGGATGAGACTGCATCTTCCGTGTCTGTTCCTACGGGAGTAGCCATCTTGCTTTGGCTATTCAGGCGGGGCTGCCATGAATGGGGTGAGCTAGACGTGCCAGGTCTGGGGGTGTCTTTTATGTAACGACGACGTGAAAAGGCCGATTAAATCTGACTTTGGTGGCTTCAAAGATCCAGCCGGTGACATTCTGTATATTAAGGTTGAAGGTTGAAGATAAGCTATCAGTCACGGGCCCCGAAGTTGTGAATACTTCCTGATTGAACACGTTTTCCTTCGTGCTCTATAGGCTTTACATAAACTATATAATCGAAAGATGACCGACTGACACGACGGGGACTGTGCATGACATCGGAGAATTAAATTGTTCTATGAGCTGTGATTAAAAGTTGAAAACATGCTATATCCCTTCTTCTATAACCTTAAACCTTCTTATTATTATTCCTTTTTTACCACCCATTTTCCCAGCTATTTCTGACTGACAAAAGCACTTGTCTTAATCCACTGTTCCATCGTCTTCGCCGCGGGGTTTAGCTGTCGAACCTTGGCCAAATCAGCACCATAACCTTCATCTCTGAACCAATTAACCATGGTGCCGAGCTCGGCAACACCATACTTTAAAGCCTTTCCGAGCAAACCAAATGTCGTGCCAGCAGGTCCACCAATGGCGTGCTCAAAAGCTTCGTTGAGCTGTGCGAATGTGAGTTCATCGCCAGCCAAACTGATAGCTTGCTTGCCCCAGGTTTGTGGGTCTGTGAAAGCTTCAGCAGCGAAGAAGCCGATGTCTTCTGTTGCCGTCCACTGGAGAGGCTTGTCCTTGAGAGTGTCGCGAATCATGGTGAGGAAGACTTTTGTGGCGAAACCGGGTTCTAGGTTCTCCATGAATGCTGTTGGGCGCAAGATGGTCCAGTTCATTGGGCTCTTCCCGTCGGCGGTCGAATCTCGGAGATAATGCTCGATCTCATGCTTGGTCTTGAAGTGGGGGACAACAGTGGCGTCCTTCCAAGACTTCTCATCACCACCCCGGTCAACGCTTGAGTAAACAAAGTGCTTGATGCCAGCCTTGATCGATTCGTCAATGAGACCCTTTCCTTGCCGGACCTCGCCCTCGAGGGTAACATCCTTCCCCATGGAGAGTTGGACTGAGTAGACGCCCCAAAGAGGCACAGTTCCAGCAGCTTGCTTAGCGGCCTTGAAGAGAGCGGGGATTGAGTCGAGGTCACCCTGAATCAGCTTGATGTTGGAAGACTTGGAGGCTAGCTTCTTTGCTGTTGGTGACTCCTTATTGCGAGTGGCGGCAAGAAGAAGGAAGTCTGTTTTCTTTGCGAGAAGGGCATTGATGACAGAGCTGCCTTGCTTGCCAGTAGCGCCAGTGATGAGAAGAGCACGAGACATTGTTGTTATGTTGGGGTGGGTAGTGACGATGTCAGGGTAATTTATGTTCAAATTGAAGTTGATTGGGGTTATGTTAGAGATGGTCGATGAATTTGTCGGTATGCTGATGTGTTTGTGTTTGTATTGTGATGTATTGATGTTGGTGTTAATGGAATTGATTGATGAGGCCATGATGGCTTCAATTTGTATTCCATTCTCTACAATAGCCAAAGCCAATCGTGAAACAAGGCCCAAATCTCCAACTAACTCCATCGACAATTTCTAACATGCTTGATAAGAATGGACTGTGGATTTCCATGTCTTGACGAGCGAAGTGGATGGAAAAGGTAATGGACATCTCGGTGATGCGACAGATGCCGATGGAGACCATAGTGGGCCAGCTAAGCCATATTAGGTCTGGCTCTTCGGTGTCGGTTACTGGCCAATTATTCGGCTTCGCGTATTCTCCGTGCAGCTCTTCCTCACTTTATCGGTAGCTACTTAGCTTTCAACCATCTTGTGGTCATTTCTTGAAGTTCTTTTTGTTAGTGTGACGAACTACCCCGCCCGACCATGATTATCAATCTCTCCTCGCAGGACCAACCGAACACCGAGTCGAGCGAAGCGCCGCGCCCGGTCAATGCCAAGACCACCGAAGAGCCAATGATTTGCAACATGGAATTCCGCATCTTTTTGTTGTCGCAAGCAACCTACCCTATGAGGTTGGCGATACTGTATGTCAGCAACTAGCTTGTCGTGAATCCTTCAGATTGTAAAGCAATTGCACCATAGACAGATTAAGATCCATTAGATGCAATATCATCTTGAAGTAGAATGAACTATTTAATAAACCAATGTTCCGACTATCTTGGGTCTATCATTCCAGCAATTCACAATCTACTTACATCTCGAATATCAAGCAACTTTAACCACTGCTAAAACTCCTTCTTCATCAACCATCTAAGACAAAATCTGCCCTATCTCCATTGAAAACTTTCCCAATCAACAATATCATCTACATCATGCCTCATCTCGCTGTACAAGTCCCCGCCGCCAAGGCCCCTCTCGAAATCCGAGAAATCGAGACTCCCCAGCCTGGACCCAATGAACTCCTGGTCAAGAACCAGATCATCGCCATCCAACCCATCGATGCTAAGATCGCCAAGGTCGCTATGCTTCCCCTTCCGTACCCAGCTATTCTCGGCAGTTCCTTCGCTGGCACTGTTGAGAAAGTTGGTTCAGATGTCAAAGACTTCAAGGTCGGTGACAAAGTTGTTGGACAGAAGACTGCTGGAGCTAGTGATAGCAAGTACAGCGCTTTCCAAGAGTACTCTATCTCATCCGAGGTTACCACTACAAAGGTTGATGATGATGAGACCATGGATCTTGCTGTTCGTCTTGTCGGTAACCTGCCTACCATTCCCGCCATCTTCAACTATACCCTGAGCCTGGAGCGACCGGTCCCTGGCGAGGAGCCCAAGTCTCAGGGCAAGCGTATCTTGATCTACGGTGGTACCTCCAGCATCGGAAGTATGACTGTGCAATATCTTACTCAGGCTGGATACGAAGTCATCACTACCACTTCCCCCAAGCACAAGGACTTTGTGTCCAAGCTTGGTGCTTCCAAGATTATCGACCACTCTCAAGAACCCGAGGCCCTCACTAAGGAACTCACCGCCGCTGGCCCCTACGATATCGTTCTCGACACAATCTCAACCGGAGCTACAGTCAAGCTTCTCGCAGACATTGTCGCGGCTCAAGGTGGTGACTCAGTCTACGCTCTCCAGCCACCTTTTGGTCCCGAGACTCTCCCTACTGGTGTCACACGCAAGTTCGAGGGCTGGTCTCTAGTACTCGGTAAGGAGGAGAACGCAGAGCTGTTGAAGTGGATTTTTGGCACATACCTCCCCAAGGCTCTTGCTACGAAGAGTTTGGCCTCTGTGCCTGCGAGAAAGATTCCCGGAGGGCTTGGTGGAATTAATGATGCTTTGGACCTTCTGTTCTTCAAGGGTGTCAGCAGTGAAAAGGTCGTAATTGACCTTCGGGATTAATTCATGGTTCACCTTTATATTTCATTTAGTCACAGAAGATGTATATATTAATACTATAGACCGCGATGGATTTAATGCAGAGAAGTTCGTTTAATCACTCATACCAAAAATGCCTCTGATCGTCTGAATGGAAGCGGCACACTTTCGGAAAGTCGTCCCGGCATCCAGTCCTTTGAATAATATTGTGCAGATCCTTCAGTTGGGAGAACCACACTAGATGCATATATCTACTGATCTAGCTAAGTTCATTGCTCTGATCACGGCTTCTGCCATCCGTTTCCAGAATGACGCCAACTTTGCAATGCAGAGAATGCTACGCAACAGATTCCAAATCGTCCACTCTCGGCGACACAAAATGTTCAATACTCATATTGGCCAAGGTAAATCTCGTTCCATGTCCCAAGTTTGGCATGTCCGGAGCGATTTGCCGAAGTTGCTACTTCAGGCCAGGGGTCCGAGCTTGGCATTGCCTGATACAATTAGGACTCAGTAACTCCGATTCGTCTTGCTATAAGTCCCTCGGCCTGCACATGATACGCGATAGGAGTCCTGTAGATTTCGCCATTTTGCAAATATGAAGTTGTCCCCGCTTGCTGCTTGGGCGACCTCTTTGACACCAGCACTTGCTGGCTTGGTCGGATACCCCCGTGCCACTACGTTCAATAATCCAATCATCTACTCTGATTTTCCAGACAACGATGTCTTCCTCGGGCCTGATAACTACTACTACTTCTCGGCTTCCAACTTCCATTTCAGCCCCGGAGCTCCCATTTTAAAGTCCAAAGATCTGCTCAACTGGGACCTCATCGGCCATTCAATCCCTCGTCTGAACTTTGGCGACGGCTATGATCTTCCTCCCAACTCGCGCTCCTACCGTGGAGGTACTTGGGCGTCATCTCTTCGATACAGGAAAAGCAATGGACAGTGGTACTGGATCGGATGCATCAACTTCTGGCAGACCTGGGTATATACCGCCTCTTCGCCCGAAGGTCCTTGGTACAACAAGGGGAATTTTGGTGATAACAACTGCTACTACGACAATGGTATACTAATCGATGATGATGATGCCATGTATGTCGTATACGGCTCCGGTGAAGTTCGAGTGGCTCAGCTGTCCCAGGACGGATTTAGCCAAGTCAAATCCCAAGTGGTTCTCAAGAACACTGATATTGGTGTCCAAGATTTGGAAGGCAACCGTATGTACAAGATCAACGGGATCTACTACATCCTCAATGATAGCCCTAGCGGCAGTCAGACTTGGATATGGAAATCGAAGTCGCCCTGGGGCCCTTATGAGTCCAAGATCCTTGCCGACAAGGTCACCCCTCCTATCTCAGGTGGTAACTCACCTCATCAGGGTAGTCTGATTAAGACTCCAAGTGGTGACTGGTACTTCATGTCTTTCACCTGGGCTTATCCTGCCGGTCGTCTTCCTGTCCTTGCACCAATTACGTGGGGCAACGATGGCTTTCCAATTCTTGTCAAGGGCGCTAATGGCGGCTGGGGATCGTCTTACCCAACCCTTCCTGGCACAAACGGCGTGACAAAGAACTGGACAAGAACCGATACGTTCCTTGGAACTTCACTTGCACAGTCATGGGAGTGGAATCACAACCCGGACGTCAACTCTTTCACCGTCAACAACGGCCTGACTCTTCGCACTGCCAGCGTCACAAAGGACATCTACCAGGCCAGGAATACGCTCTCTCACCGAACCCATGGTGATCACCCAACCGGCATAGTAAAGATTGACTTCTCTCAGATGAAGGATGGTGATAGAGCAGGACTTTCAGCCTTCCGTGACCAGAGTGCTTATATCGGCATTCACCGAGATAACGGAAAGTTCACAATCGCTACGAAGCATGGAATGACTCAAGATGAATGGAACGGAGAGACGAAAGACTTGGGACAAGTCAAGGCCACTGCTGCTGTGCCTTCTGGGAAGACCAAGATCTGGCTTAGACTTCAGCTTGACACCAACCCTGCTGGAACTGGCAACACTGTGTTCTCATACAGCTGGGATGGTGTCAAGTATGAAACACTTGGACCGAACTTCAAGCTTTACAATGGCTGGGCATTCTTTATTGCCTACCGTTTCGGTATCTTCAACTATGCTGAGACCGCTTTAGGCGGCTCGATCAAGGTTGAGTCTTTCACGGCTGCATAAAGAGATGGCATGATTTGAGTGAGGATGTAACTTTGTGCTGGGGCCTAAAGCTTCTTTTAACGCCTCAACCTTATACATACAGTAGTAGTAGTCTTGGAGAGTAACTGACATAGTACAAACTGGGTTTTAGACTCCTTGACTCCGTGCTATGACATTCTATCCTTGACAAAACTCATTTTCTCTAATGCTCCTTGAAAGTAGAAGAAGGAATCACTTAAGACAGCCCGATGACAATATGAAAGACGACCATGTGAACCTTGAGAACTCCAACTTCAGTGACATAAGACGATGGTCAAGGCTTTGGGTTGACCATGGGGTATAGAACAGATAGAAATTATTTAAGCTATGAATCGAAGTTAGCCGCGTTTATTGGAATATGCGAAGAAATGCCAACCTTTTCTCGCGTATCTCCAGTGTTTTATATGTATTTTCTCCCGACCAGCTATTTGCCTTTGGGTGGGTTTTCTTGTGCATATATTGCCATATATTGAGCCAACCGATCGTTAACGGGACGTTCTTGCGTATTGTAGACATATCGGTTAATGTTGTAGGAGTTTGGTTGATTCGCGCCACTTCGTGTCTGTGTTCTTGTTCCATTGTTAACAATTTGGGATAGAAAAAGACTAAGGTCGACAACTCACGAGTTAGGAAAGCTACCAGCCACTGAGACGGTAGAGACGTTGGTGGCGGAAGCGTCTGATGGAGTAGATCCAGAAGGGGTAGACATTTTGGAGATGTGATTGGAGTTTTTTTTTTTTTTTTTTTTTTTTTTTTTTGAGCTTTCGCGCCAGATTCCAAAGTCGGAAGAATTGGGAAGTTGGTTGCATATTGGTGATTGTATGGGATTAAATACGCGCAGAACCAGGGGGATCACCGAGAGCGACATGATTCAGAATCCCGGATCAGTACTTCTTTCAATCGGACGCACATACATAGCCGCACAGGAGTACCAAAGCTCGCAGCAATGTGGTGGGTAGGTTGATGCCTCATACTTCTATAGGTCAACAATGTATTGTTTTCTTTGTAGTGTGCGTCGAGTGGTGTCTCCACGGATATGAAGGAGGTCTGGATTTCCAGGACTTTGTCACAATTGTGATGATGGGGGAGCAGAGCCGCGTGGCAGTAGACCCAAAATCACATCTGTGACAATCACAGCAATAGCAGCAGACTGTGCATTGCATATGATCTGTAGGTTCTGTGCCCAAGTGTAAAATCCCCGCTCTGAAATGTCAGGTTACAGGCGTGAGATTGGTCGCCACGTCACCATTTTGAGGCCATCTTACAGGGATTAGTCTCACTCGAAATCACAAACGTGATAATTTCTGTCCAGTGATAAGTCTTGTTGTTATCACGCGACTGGTGGCTTTGTGATAGAGGGTTGGATTCGCTGACAGTGTCATCATCGCGCATTCACTTTCAACCATTGCCTCCGAGGCTGCCACCAACTGCTTTTCAACCCAACATCATACGATTTGCGGCTCATCAGTCCGAAACACTTTCCTGTATCGTCTGACTTTCACTGATCGTACGGAAACGCCCGTTGTCTGTTCCCTTCTTTCCTCCGACGTCATAAACGCCCCGATCAATTAGCGAGGCAACTGTCAAACTCGCGACAGTATCAGGCAACTAGCCGCCTTACCAAGGACTTTCTATTTTCGTCCGTTGTGACTTTTCAAAAATCGCAAACAAGACTGTGTGACTCTTAGACTTCATTTAAAAGAGCCTCCAAGTACGGCGTTATTCACCGGCATACGTCCAAGCGCATCACCATGGTCAGAAGTCTCAGTGATGAGAGTGAACACGAATTCATTGGAAGATGGTTTGACAACCATGACGAGACAGTTCAATCGCCGCAGCCAATTTCCATGGAAGAAGACCAAGACCCAAAGGAAATGCCATTTGATGTTGGCTCACCGAAAGAGATGATAGCCTACCTGACTGACCTCCAACAAAAGACTGAGGAGATTCGATTGTTACACCCTGTCACAGATGTGCCATCAGTGTCGTCTGTGCCTTCACTCAACCGATCAGAAGAGACCATGAGCTGCAGCACCCGCTCCGTTCTCGAAACTGCTGGATCGTCTACTGATGATGAGCCAGCAACTCTGAGCCAACGGAGTCTCGAGACCATAACGTATGGTTACGATGAATATGCCCCAAATGCTGATTCAGACTCTTCGTCAGACATATCTGGGCGTTTGTCTCCGGTCTCCTACCTGTCACCAAGTAACACAAATATCACATCACCTAGCTCAGATGGGTATGACCAAGAATCCGTTTCATCAATGGATGACATGGATGAGAGTGCCTATGACCTTGATTCTCCCAACACAGCTCTCGTGGCCATACAAGAATCCTACTGGCCCTATGAGGGTGACCGGGAGACGTGTTATTCAGGTCAAAACTCTCAAGCCTGTGATGCAGATGACGAAAACAACGGTGAAGCACACGAAACCACGAGCAGGAAGGCGTCTACAGCCTATGAAGTCGGTTCATGTAATGGGGCCACAGAAACCAATGGTCTAGTACAGCACAAAGACCAGCGACCTAAACGTGTGTCTGACGATGACGAAAACGAGCATCAACAAGTCTCACGGGCGAAAAAGTCTAAAAGGCAAGACGACTCGCACCTTAGACTAGCTTGCCCTTTCTACAAGCACGACCCAATCCGATATCGCCGTTGTCACGCCCACGTCCTCAAGCGAAATAGCTACGTCAAGCAACATCTCTTCCGCTGCCATATGCAGCCCATCCACTGCGACATATGCCTCAGCATATGGCCGAACGTCGAAAAGCTTCGAGAGCATCGCCGCGCTCAAACATGCGAGAAGCGAGAGTACATTGCACCTGATGGCATTACCCCCGAACAAGAGCGTAAACTTCGATCAAGACTTGGGAGCCAAAACAAGACAGAGAGCGATCAGTGGTTTGAGCTATATGGTATCCTCTTTCCAGATGCTCAAAGACCAAAGTCAGCGTATCTGAACGGCGAGTTGTCTGAGGATGCAGAGAGTCTACGGGAGTTTATTGAAGGTCACGGTACAAATGTAATGATGGAACAGCTAAAAGGGTCAGGTTTTATTTTGGATGAAGGAATAGTTAGCCAAGAATTTCAAAAGGGCCTGCAGAACGCTCTGAGTACCATGTTTGAGGGATGGCAGAATCAGAGAAGGGGGGTTAGTGCGGATGATGGAGGTCGGCAGACCAAGAGACTTAAACCACTACCCGGAGAGTTCCCATCCATCAAGGCCCAGGGACCTGCGAGGACTGACACTGGAAGCACGAATACAACTGCCACAATGTTGGATGATCAAATTGAGGGGGAACAAACAATACCAACTACTTCATCGTCCCAACAAAATGGAGAGATTGTCCTTGGGCTATGGAAGTCACTTTCTTAGTGTTCTCAAGACTTCACGTTTTCTTTTCTTTTCTTTTCTTTTTATGATCTTAGAATATTTCTTTCCCACTTATTCTTCTGTCGAAATTGCACTATGGAGTTACCTATGACAAAACTCCATGTTCTCTACCTTTTTGTATGCCCCCCTTGGACCTTCAAGTCCTGGGATATGGCGCCCATCTGCCTCAGCTCTTCGACAGGCCTTTTGCCAGTCGAGGTTACCAAATTGACGTGATTTCCCGTGGTCTTCAGCTCATAGTTGCCTTTTCCATAGATCTTGTCAAGGGCTTCCGAGAGCTTTAGCATATTCGGGATTTCAGTCTTTGAAAAGCGGTGTACGTGGTTCATATCGCCGATCTTGTGGTAGGAGGTCATTGCGTCAGATTTACGACCTGGATGATGTGTGGACTGGGATGTTGGATAAATTGCGAATTTGATAGCGATTTGGAAGGTCGAGATGCGTTGAGTATTATCTTTGGTAAAGAGATATTTCCAAGGTAGGCTACTGTGAGAATTTATACTAAAATATTGCACTTAACATATGATTGTACAACATTGCACATGTTGGACTCTTCCTGAAGTGAAGCTTTTATAATTCACATAAAATCGTCTGCGGATTTCGATTTATGCCGCGATCATAAGCTCTACCTGTGAACTTGGAGAATCACCAGGTACGTTTTCTTGGGTCACCAGTTTCAAAAACACAAACATTACACGTCGCCCGTAGTTCAAAATCTATTCCTCTGGTGAATCACTGAGAATAGCAGCAATATTTCCCAGGACCAGATGCAAGTAAAGAGACGATCAGTACCTTTTTTTTACTTCCGCAAGCAAAAGCGACGACAAGATGTAGGACAAGATCAGATTACTGCGATTTCCGCCCAATAGTCCACCGAACCTCAAATCCCATCACAGAAACACCGTCATCTACCTCCTGTTGCAGCTTGTCGCAATGCTTCTCCACGTCTTCGTGAGAGTGAATCCACTCAAACTCTCCTCGGGCGGCGATGCCATTCAAGGCCTGTCGCGCGTAGTTGACAAGTGTATCTCCAGCTCTCTTTCGGACTTCAGGGCCCTCACTGAAGCTACTAAAGTCGATATGTGAACATTCGACGTAACCCGCCTTTCTGAAGTGCCCCTCCAGTGGCATGGGGCTTCTGTTCGAAGTCAGCGGATCCTTGATGAGGACTGAAGGGGGTGCTTACGTGACATCGCGTCCGACTGATAGTCCGTACCGGACATCCGTACTGATCCATTTCTGATAGGCTTCCGTGATTGGCGTGGCATTGAATTTGGTGAATCCTGTTTCATCCCACAAGATGTAACCCCCTGGTCGCAATAGTGATTGGAGGTTCCTAGCTACTGGTACCCAATCTCCCGCTTTCAGAGCGACCATCAAAAGGCGAACGTGAACGAGGTCATATTGTCCGACAAGGCCTTCAGGAACTGGCTCGAAGACATTCCAGAGGGACAACTTGACATTTGATGGAAGGTCATCAGTGGAGAAGAACTTTGAACCGTCCATGTCGAACCCATCAAGACGAGAGTCTTGGTGGGCTTCCGGTGCGAAATCCCGTAGCCAAACCCCAGTGCCTGTTCCAACATCAGCTACTGCTGGTGGTCGGCCAAGAGAGTTGAGATATGACTTGATATTATCAGGGATCAAGGTCTTCGTAAGCAGTAACCATGTGATGTGCTGGTAATCGAGGCGATGTTCCTCAACGCCCTTTTTGCCACTATTGAGGGTATAAATATGGGCTCTAGTCATGTTCTTATATGTGCTTGATACAATTCGAGCAATATGAGGTTAGGTTGTTGAACATGAAGGTGAACGGGGAGACCTGTTCCAACATATAGTCAGAGATATAACAAGAGATACGCTACAGCGCTCCAAATGAATGACCAGACCCGTGAAGTGGTGCCGTTAGCCGAGCGATGATGTTAGACTATCGATATGATTGGCTCATGCCACCTACTAAGGATTCTGGTGATAGACCAGACGTGACAACATGATCGAATCTTACTCAGCACCATGATCGGACACGGTAAAGCGTCCATGATATAGCGTATATCTTTCACCCTAAGACAAAAGTGCTCGGAGGGGCATTTGCGATACTGATAGTCCTGGTGCAGTCAGAGTTGAATTGACGTGATCGCCAAACGCTTGCTTAATTTGGGAGTCGGGGCGATGACTAAAAGCCGGCTTATGTGCGACGAAATGTTGGGGCTTCGGCCAAGACTGGCTCTAATAGAAGTGCTTCGGACGAAGAGACATAGTCGCGGAGCATATGACTTGATACTCTCAAGATTTACTCTTCCATAAAGATGTGTCGATAAGGTATCTCGTAATATGATTGGGAGGGAAGAACTTCGTTTTATGTAGAGCTCGAGAACACTGATTTATCGTCGAAAACACAGTGCCAGGCTGAAAAGCTGACGAAAGATTCTGGTCTGCTCCGTTTGCTAAATTTTCAGGCTGAAAATATGCCTTAAGATAATTCTCAACCTCGGCGCTTGGTAGCTTAATTTTACTAGGCTTGGTTCAGACTTCAGAGTAAGATTGTTGATTCCTGGAAGGCTTCATGTGTCTCTGGAGAGTGTTGTTATGAGTTGTATAAAGAATTATCATGGGAGTAACTTTGTCTGCACATACCTGCAGTGATAAAGGAAATCTATATCACCACCAACAATGACCAACAGAAGCTTTGGCTAGAGCGAGGGTTATAGCGTAAACCGCAACTCAGCGGCCAAAACTGATCCTCAAATACGATTATCGCTAGAGCACAGATGAATGCTCCATCAACCAAATTGGAGTTGGCAAATGGACTGCGAATACCCCGGAATATACATTGCATCACGTTATTGTTAATATCGAGGCTATGTCGTTGCTAAGGTGCCAAGCTGGGCTGAACACCCTGATTGTAAAGTCTTGACCTTGGGTGCTGAGATAAGATGACAAGCTTAATATGCTAGCCATTTCCCATTCTAAAATTAATTAATTTTGGTGATATCGCAGTATTTCTACATAAGTAATGAGGCTGAGTGGTCAACTAACGCTGTTATTCGTCCAGCTACTATCAGAGGCAGGGATGATAAGCTGCCAAGGCAAGAGGATCGGGACTACGCCCACGTCACAGTAGCCCCAAACCCACTTTGCTCTGAATATGGAAACTATCTCACTTGAAATAGCTTCAGAGACTTTGCTATGTGGGTGATGCACCGCTAACAACCTGGTTCGGTCGGCGAAGTTCGTCATTGCAGTAAGGATTGCGTCTCGTGATTCATCTCAAAATATCCTCCAGGTGAGGAGAAGATTTTCTATAAGACGATGATTATGCGCCATCAAAGCAGGAGTTCCAAAGCATCTCCACACTAAAACACTTGCAACCAACACTTCCGAGCTTTATCGCGTGTTCACAACTCTTCACTCACCGACCTCCACATCATCAGAGTTGCACGCCAAACTCACACCGCAAAAATGCCTTCCATTTCCCACATGATCACAATGCTGGCTTATCTCGCTTCTGCTGCGAGTGCCCTGCCCGCTAATATCGCTCGCCAACATACCAGTGAATGCGCAACTGGTACGTGGTACTACTCTTGTGACACCAACGTCGGCTGTTTCGACCACGATCCTTGTGTCAAACCCACTCCCGTTTCTGGCAAAACTCCCGACAAGACGAAGGACAAACCCACGACTACAACCTCCTCTTCTTCGATCAAGACCATTGTCCCCGCTGCCCTGTACGACATCTACCCTGAGCATCCTGGTGAATCTAGTGGTCCGGTCAACGGCATTCATCTCGAGACGTGGAAGGACAAGTCTCAGGTTGAGCAAGTGATCGTTTTTGAGGGCATCCCCTCAGGTGCAAAGAACTGTGACCTGTCCTGGCGTCAGGGACCTCGCTACTCTCGAAGGTTCCTTGTCAAGAACAGTGATGCACAAGCTGATGCACGACCCCTGTCTGGTTTGCCCGACAGAGGTGGGGATGTAACATACAACTCAATCAAGCCCTTCGATGATCAGAAGTCAATCGGCGGCCCCAACTTCTCCTTCTGGGATGACCGTGAGGAAGACAACCACATTGTCGGGGGTGTCGACTGCGCTGAAACTCTTTCATTCATCATTGGGCTCCGAAATCCTAAGGGTGACTCACAGGTCTACCTTGAGCAAGATGGACACGAGAATGGCTGGACTCTTACCTACCACTAACTGCTTCAGCTGGAATTTGAGGAATAGCAGGGCAAAGATGGATCTGCTTGTTGTATGGTTTTATTATCCTTTAAGAAGGTAGTTTTAATGTTGTTTGCAGTCAAACTTAGCGTCATGCGATTTATTTCTTGGCTTTCTTACGTACTTTAATTAGTTATTGCTTTATAATTACCAACAGGCATTCTTCATGCCACTTTTGTCATGATAACTTCAATCTTTAGCCATTCAATCGTGATATGCTCGTCATCTGCCTCGATCTTTACTTCGGTCATGTTGTGCTACTTCATATGCAAGGAACCATTGATCGGAGCTATTCTCGTTAAGACCTCGGTTCTATGTTTCGAATACCGCAATAATTACCACAAATGGAAGTCGCAGCATACTTGATGTGAGTGCACAACTCGGTCGACAACTTAGCTTCGCCGCCAGTCTCAGTCTATCTGGGGTGCCACCTTCTTCTTTCACTCTTGACTCGTCACGCTTCATTCCAATCAGGACTGTATCTTCTTGCCTTCACGTTGTTCTCCGTCGCCAACATTTGACATCATGACCACAGGATTCGAAGTTGTCGGCACGGTTTGCGCGCTGTATCAGCTCATCAAAGCTTCAACCGAGTCCATATCTGAATTCAAGACAGTATACGATGGCGAAGCCACCGTTGAAAGCGACGTGGAGAAGCACGCCCAAAACTTAGCTCAGGCCTGTGACTTGACTTGGGCGCGCTAGCAGACAATGAGCTCCTCTGGCAAGCTATCTGATGCTGAAAGACAAGTTCAGAAAACTGCATATAGATGTCACACTTCTGGTCACTCGCTGCTGAGCGAACTGCGTTGTGTGACGGAAAAGCAAAAAAGCCACGACTGCATGGGTGTCGTTGCTTATGTGGTCAAATCCAAGTTGCACCGCAAGAAGATCGAACGGATGGAGACTAAGTTCAAAAATGACCGGGAGGAGTTGCAGATGGATTTGCAATTAAATATTTTGTATGTACAGTGATCTTTGTGCTATTCATTGCTGACAGAGGCTCTAGGTCACAGAATCAGGTTAAAGAGTATCTCGAGATGGAGGGATTCGAGAATTTGGAGATGGACATACAAATCTTGATCAATCAGGTATCCAAAGGATTTTTCGGACTGGAAAGATTTATCGCCGCTCAGCAAGAGGCAACAAACGAGCTCATCGAAGCTCGGTTCGATGTAACAGACGAGCTTATCGCTCAGGAATCCGCCAAAACACAGTAAGTGATCAAAGATCACCTCACAACCGAAGCCCAACGTAACGAACTTCTTCATAGCCTCAGATACACCGAGATGCGACAACAATATAATGACGTCTTGGATTCGAGTGAGGCCAGCTTCGATCGAGTCTTCGCATCTTACAAAAGGATCTCCAATAATGACAACGACTCCCAAATCTCCAAAGATGACAGTGGCCACTCAAGCACAAATACTCGCCACAAAAATGAGGATGATTCACAGCTTAGCGGTGGGTATCATGGAGAAAGCGAAGAAAATGAGATGATTGACCGAGCCTGGTTCAACTTCCTTGAATGGCTGAGATTAAGCCATTCCTGGATCGGGAAAGAGTACTGTGATGAAATTTATCCTTGACAATGAGAATGCGCACATTCTTCTACGCCATCTGAATTCCGGAACCATTATTTTGTCTCATTTCTTTTAGAAGATTGGGACTTCTGCCCAGAACAGCATCAAACGCCTGTTGTGTTCGTTGGTGCACCAATTATTGAGAGATAGCCAGAAATTACTGGAACTCGCAATAAGCCGCCATGGTGCTGGGCGGTACAGAAGTCGCCATGACTGGTCTGCAAAGGACCTTAAGGATATGCTCCATTTCTTACTAGAAACTCGAAGTCGCCCTCTTTGTGTATTCGTTGATGGCCTTGACGAAGTTGCTAATGCAGACGGCCTCGATATACTTACTAAGCTGATCGAAGAAATGATTGAGTTTCCCGAAATCAAAGTTTGCGTTTCCAGCCGGCCGGAAGCCTGGGTAATACATTTGCTCAAGGAGCGCAATGGCCCCTGCCTTAGAAGAGCTTACCAGACCAGAGATGATCAGCATTGTCCACAAAGCTCTGGCCCCGTCTCTCCTCTCGAAAAAGATCACTATTGCAACTTACCAGCATGTTGCCGACACTCTAGTGCGTAAGGCGTAAGGGGTGTTCCTGTGAATCTCCTTGGTCCTGAGAAGTCTAAAAGAAGGCATCATGGATGGGGATACCGGGCAGTCTCTTATCGAAAGGGTTGACCAACTGCCGAGCGAGGTACAAGACCGCTATGCCGACATATGGAGCAGGCTGAATGAAAGGAATCCTACATACAGAAAGTACGCGGTCAGATACTTTCTCTATGTCATTCATTGCCACGGGAGTGCAAAGTTCTTTGACCAAAACAAGCCTTTAGCTCTATGGTCTGCTTCTCTCAGAATGCCGGCCCTGGCACAAATTGCCTTCGCGGAGTGGTCAGGCAAAGAAACCTACCTCCTGGAATATAGAGGGACTATGGACTTGATAGACCTTGAGAAACTGTGCATCAATACAAAACATAAGATTGAAAGCAGATGTGGCGGCCTCTTACAGATCCGGAAAGTAGATCTCAGACGAGGTTTAAGGATGCCAGAAATAATAGACATGCTAAATTATGCTCCAAAAGTCTGTAAACGCTGCCCCGCCAACAGGGTTATCCACCACATAAATGCAAACTGGTCCAACTTCTTCAATCATACATAACTTCGACAAAATATATCGCAAAAGAACGGGATTTTGTCTATTATATACGCCAGGCGCCAAAGTAACCAGGAGCTAAGCGAGGTGGCTAGAGCTCTTATTGTTCAAGCTGTAGAGGGCAGGAGGTCATACCGAGATATCGCGGAGGAGGCAGGATATTCAGCCGCCGCAGTCTTCAAGATCTTTTAACGCTAGAAAACTCACTAAACCTTAGATAAAAAACGTTATTCTAGATGTCTTAGGAAACTTACAGTTCAGCAGATTCAGTATATATTAATAACTCTTAAACGCAACCGCAGGATTACATATAAATCGCTAGTTAATTATCTAGGTAGCTAAATCTTACGAATAATAATACGCTGAGTTATCTGACTCTATTATGGTTGCAAATAGAGGGCTATGTAACAGATACTGCTATCTAGAGAAACCGCTTATTAGCGGCTTTCTTAGTATTAAGCTTAGAAGGAAGATATTAAAGAATTACTAGAAGTATATTATTTTAAAGTTTACAGATAGATGCCGGTCGGGAATCTCTTATCTGACTTTTAGCACCTTTAGACTATTTTTAGCAATAAATCATCAGTTTAATCGCAACCTAATTATAAATAAGGTTAGGTATTCTAGAAGCCTTATAAGAAGTTCATAAAGGAATTAGTTAATATAATAGTTCATAGAAAGTCATGATTATCGATCATGGTCTGGGGAGCTATCTAGAGAGGCAGCAAGTCTAATATCATCATCATAATCCGCAATCAGACTGCATAAAGGAAAGGATATACTTCTATAAGTTATATATAGGCTTTAGAAGAAGGTTTACTTCCTATTTAGACCAGGTTTCGCCATTTTTAATAAGATAATGCTCATATATATATATCAGAAGCTATAATAAACTGGCTATTAGAAAATGGCATTTCCTAGATTGATTAGCCTGCTTATAGTCCTGATCTTAACCTAATTAAGCATATTTAGAAGCAATTAAAGTTGAACATTCGCAAAATGTTTCCTTAATTAAATCTCTTAAAAATAACGAAGTCGATAAGGCAAAGTTGATTAAATGTATCAAGTTGGCGTAGGCAGCAATTACACCAGAGCAGATTAACCGTCTGATTGACTTACTTCCCCGCCGACTTGACGCTTGCATTCGCGCAAGGGGGTGGTATATAAAATATTAAAGAGAAAAATCAGGGCTTTAAAATAATATAACTTTTATTATTGTTAGAATTTAATTGAATTAATTATATTTATGTGAAGTTATCGCGGTTGAAGTAGTTGAGTTGCTACAAGGTGGGGTGTTTACAGACTTTTGGAGCATAATTTGTAGACTTTATCCACCGTACAGCCTACGACTTCTTAGTTGAGACAGAAACAGGGCAAAAGATCCTCAGTACCCACAACACACCAACCTCCGATGGCATAATCGCGTAGGGTATCAAGGGCATTCTATGTATTTATCATACCGTCTTTTCGAAGTATGATTTGAAGGCTTACATGCCCGATCTTCTTGATGAGACTGTGGCCTTGGGCGCCAGATGCCACAGCGCCACAGGCCAATCTACAGCGATTGAAATACTTCAAATCCTCCAAAGATTCTGGGCTGAGAATATCATTGGAGACGACGATTCATGGAAGCCCAAGTACCATTTCCTGACGTAGTTAGCGCCCTACCCCTATTGCCACAATTTTATCCTATCGGCATTGAGACGGACGCCCACAACAACACTTGCCACTGAGGTTCTACGCGATTCATTTTCTCGTGGCTTTCTACCATGGCATGGGGAAAAACTCTCGCTAGTCAAAATTGTTGAGCTTTTGATGTCTCTGGGTGCTGACCCGCATAAGTATGGCGTAGCCTTGACGCCTCTACTGGGTCCACGTCATGGTATACAGCCGTTGTTGCGGAGTGCAAGCGCCTTTACAGAGTTTCTCAGGTTTGCGGTATCGGCAGTACTTGATAACGCCTATAATGATGAAGAAGCTGCCATGTTGGTTCTGGAAGCAGTTTCACGCATGGCAAAATGTTGCCCCGACCAAGATAAAACGACTCTGGTTATATTTAGAGTCTGGGATACCGGCCTAGTCACACTGGAAGAGAGTGTAAGATGTAGGCAGGACATTCGGAATTCCAGGTTTTTCTGCGTCTTTCTTGAAGCTAAGTTGAGTTACCTTATGGCATACCTTTTCTCGAGCCTAAAACCTCTTCTCGATAAACGCACGACAGGCTCCCGTATCAAGCGCTCATTCCCCAAACTAGAGGAATCGTTGCCGAAAGTTCGATTCATTTTCGCGATGGAAAGCAAGTCAAGAATCTGGACCTGTGAGCGTGTTACAGCTCAAGAGGGATCCAAGCAACTTGTAGACAATCTCTTTGCACAGGGGGGTTCTCAGCTACAAACAAACGCGTTCATCGAGAAGAATACGAGAAAGAAGAAAAAGGTTTCGGGCTTTATATGGTCCTTGACGAGGCGTTTGGGTGTCGTGGTATATGATGTTGAGTCGGCAATGCTTTCTCTAGCTGCCGAACAGCTCAATGTTTGCACGTGCCACGAGGCCGGATTCCTACCACCGCCTGCACTTTTAAGAGGGCTTGAACACATGGAAGAGTGGCCTTGTCCGAGAATCACGGAGGAGCTGATGGCGCTTTGAGATATATGACGGGATTTTCATGACTTTGGTGGGTATCCTTCCATTATTCCACACCAACCAATGATTCATGATTTCGGGAGTGATATTCATAGGCCTCTCAAGAATGGACTTCCATTTCTTACCACCCGCGATGCCAATAACTAAAAAGCCTCCAATCAGTTCGTTACTTATTCTAATCGATGCCATAGGCCTAACATGACCTCATAAAGACCTCCCAATCAAGCTTTTACATTCATATTCGTTCATGCTACTTCCTTAGGGCACTCCAGTACTGACGAACCTGTACCACGAACCTAATAAGCCCCTTTTCTCTTCCGGACATCTTATCCTTACTTCCTCAAAGACATCGTTTTCCAAGGACCAAATACAAGCTTTGGGAAAGCTACTCTCATGAGTTCCGCAGTGATATCCAAATCGACTTTCCTTCAGATCATTGCACTTATACCCAACGTCGTTCGAGAAGAGTTTTATCAGCTTCAGCCATCTTTGGCCAGTTCCAGTGCCACAGCCAGGTTGATCGCACCACAAAACGTGTTTCGTCCTGTCCGTGAAGACAGGATTCTCGGCATCTCCAAAATCCATGCTCTGCAGCCATCCGAAACTCAATGGGTTCCAGTATTCCCATCTGTGCTTGATATGTAATCGAAAGCAGTTCTCGTTGACCAAATCTCTCTTCTTCCAACACCACTTGGATATGCTGCTTGGACGTTCCTAGACGTACCTTATGTTGCACTCTGGACGCTCGTAACAAGGACTGGAACAGCCAACGTCACTCGATGAAACTTTTGCAACATAGGAGCAGCAGCAAAGAGTATTCTCCAAGTTGTCTAGCAAGCATTCTATAGCGTCTGGCGAATGTGGACAAAGGTGACCGCAATCTCTAAGTATACCTCTCATGATATCTCGGGTCATTGATTTCCTTTCGCTTTCGACCGTTTGCGGGAAAAAAGATCCCGGGGTGGTTTTTATTGCAACCGCTACACCGCCTCGGTTCACATGAAGATAACAGCCTTTCTCTTAGTTCCTCTATGCTTAGGGCCCGGCACTCCTTGCACAGAGCCCTGCGGCCAAGAGAAGCAGAAATGTCGCGACTGTCCCGAACAGCCTCCGGTGCTAGTCTGTGCCAGCGGCTGATGCGTTGAAATTTGAGAAAGACAGGATCGCTGTCTATATACTGGCGGAAACCTCGTGATGTTTGGCGGAGTATATACAGCGAGCTGTGAGGGAAAAATCCGAGAATGGCGTCGAATATTTCATTGGGTAATTTGACCGTATTGACTTTTGTTGGTAGGATAACCATCCCTCGTGATGTTTCCTCGTTGTCTACTGCCGCATTTGAAGATGACCTGACAACAGCACGACTCTTGGATTCTGGATGGCTCTTTTTGTAGTAGTGGTTCCAGTTAGTAACAGTGGCGCATTTGTTCGCAGCGCGTCGAAACCCTCGAATCATTTTCTTCATCCGTGCAAAGCGACCTCCACGTTTTCCAACATGGACGTGACACATTGAAAATCGCACCATATCGGAAGACCACTAGCGCTACAAATGGTTTGGAACGAACGAAGAAAAGATAGTTATTTAGACCAGGGCGGAAAAGAGTTATTCGAAGGGCCCATGCTCGTTATAAAAAGGTGTGGGGAGAAACCAAAGGCAAAGATATTCTCCTTCCATGTCAAACTAAGATGAAAACTTTTTCCGCTAAACCCTGATTTCCAAGGTGTAAATGGTGCAGTCTTTGTAAATCTAAGTCTAATATTGTGGAACCTATCATGTCGGTTTTCTCTTAACTCGAACAGAAAGATGATCGGGGATGGCTTCATTCTCTAAGAATTGAATAGCGATAAAATAAAATTTACATACTGATATCTCAACAATTAATAACCGAAGGTTGACAAGCAATGTCATATAGCTAACATTTGCCTATCAACGAGACTCCATAACACTTGTGACCACTTGAATGAGGAGCTACAGTGATCTTTCATATTCCATCAAAGTCAAATTAAACCTTCAGTCTCATAGTGACCAAGAGAACACACCATACACAGGACGCGCCTTCCAAACCTTATGGTCCAGCTACCTTTGTGGTGGCCTGAGCTTTAATGTACAAAAACGTGATATATCACGGGTATAATTCTCAGCTCTCTCTAAGCTTTTCCAAGTTTTCCCGTGTTATGATTCGTTCACAGGCACGGAACCTGAGCCATCGGCCTATGAAATCATCTCACTCGATTAAGGGACCACCCAATACCTAGTCGGGTGTTTTGAAATTTAAATCACTGGAAATTTCACTGATTAGACATTCAAATAGAGATGACACTGGCAACCCTTAGTAGACTGAGACTATAGTATTGATAGTGCCTGACCTAGAGATAACCTGTTGAGCATATAGGGCGCCTCAACATCTCTAAGAAGAGTACTATAGCTCCGCAATTTCTTCATATCATGTGTTCCAAGAGAATGACTGTTTTAAGAGTGCCTTCGTAACGAAGACAGAAGATAAACTAAGCGAGTGACGTACAGGGAGCTCTCCAAAGCCAAAAGTTCGGCCTGTACTATGGAAAGGCAGGAGTACCACAAGGCGTTGCTTTGAAACCACCCAATAGGGATCTCAATGGATTTAGTTCAGGGCCCTGCAGCAAGTCCAGCACTCGCCCTGTGATTCAAGTTAATCAGTCAGTTTTAGGGCCAGTTAGGTGATCTTACCTTCTCAGAGGAGAACTATCACTATGTTAGTGAAATGGAACAGTTGTGAAAAGAAGTACAGATAGCTTACCCATCCCTCAGGGCATTTAATAGCACTCGAGGCGCACAGCAACCAGCAGATTTCTTCCTGCTGCTGGTGATGTTCCGCTCTCTGCAGAGGTACCTGCGAAAGCTTGATAGAAAGACTATGATTTTATATCAGCAAAGGAACACTACTATTTTATGCTGACCGACAGGAACAGCGGGTGGTAGTAGGAGGCTTCGTGGGATTAGTTGCAGTGGAGTCACTAACGATATGTCCTGATCAGTGGTCAGAACCTTTGACTGGCTCTGCTTGATCTGCCCCAAGAGAGACGGAACAGCGACGATGCCTTGGGCAAGGGTAAGAAGAGCGACGGCTGAGTACTTCATGATGAACTAAGAGCTGAAGGTATATTGCACTGGTTGTGCTGCTTTGTCCAAGGCGGTGTATTGTGAAAGAGAACTTGAGATGTCGAGATGAGTCTTGTCTTTATAGCCGAAAGGATGTCTCTTTCCAAGACTACATTCCATGAGAAGCTGCGCGTATGAACGTACCACTAGATACAAGATTCTCTTCATAGCTCATGATTTGAAGGATATTGATGGTAATCGGTCCGTCATATACAATTAGCAACACCCTGTCCAGTAATGTTAGACTAGTGTTGGCGTACGAGGTTACGCCAAGTGTTCAAACGGTACGTGTTACCGTAATGTGAGACTCCAGGTTTCTCACTCAATTATGAGAGTGCGTAGTTCTCTCGGTCGGTTTTCGTTGACGCGCCTTAAGAACCCTGGTAAAACAGTGTACTTGAGACGTGTCAATCCACCTATTAGACGGATCCTCCGCTGTGTGATGAGAAATGAACCCCGGACTTCTGCTCTGACCTCACTCAGGTACCATCGGCAGCTCGCCAACGGGACATCGCGCTTGAGAGTCTGGGTCCGAAGATATGGGTCGGAGATCCATGTATCAGAGGGTTGTTGGTATCAGAGATTCTGTTCACAGGGATGGATGAGCGAGCCAAATGGATAAAATTTGATGGTCATTATTTGCCATCATCTATTATTACTAATATTCGCTCCGGGGCTTTTATTGCCTGATTTAAGCAAGTTCAACCTGGTCGACCTTCTTGTCCTTCTTGGCATCCTGATCCAGTCGTCCGCCCTCAACGTCATCAAGCTTGCCAGCATGAAGTGCTCCGTGCGAAGTTCCCTCAAAGATGGCCTGAATCTCCTCCAGAGTGTGACCCTTGGTCTCAGGGAAAAGGAACCAGATGACCACAATAAGACAAGCCAAGATGCAGCAGAAGACAATGTAGTACTTCCATCCGATGTTCTTCATGGCAATGGGGTTGACCTGGTTTCCAACGACAAGACCGACGAATGTGCTGACGTACATGACGGAGACACCACGGCTGCGAAGAGTGTATGGGAAGATCTCAACGGTATACGCTTGAAGAAGAGGGGCCCAAGCAATAGCGTAGAAGAAGAACGTGATGAACACAAAGCCGACAATGGCCTTTCCGGTAGATGGACTTCGAGTACTGTCGAACGAAGCACTGAGAGCGGTCCAGATAATGTACGACACGAACATGCCACAAGTCGAGAGAAGGAACAGAGTGCGACGTCCGAGTCTGTCGACTAACATAGCACCAACAAAGATCGCAGCAAGCCAGTTTGAGATCTGCAAAAGACCATTGATGAGAGTCTGTTCCTTGGCAGCTGTAATGCCGATTGTGTTGAGGACAAGAACAAGGTAGTAGCTACAGATAACGTTAGACAGATACACAAGTGAGGGGGCGATGTGAGACAACATACCTGACGAGGTTGATACCGTTCCACTGAGCAAACCATCCGACAATAACGGCAATGAGAGTTCTCTTCCTGTTCGCGGGAGTTCTGACAAGTTCGAGCCAAGAGTTCTGTGACATGGAATCGGCTTCGTGCGTCAAAGCACCCTCGATCTCCGCCATCTCAAAGTTGACGAGTGGAGCATTTGCGTCACCACCGGCGTGATACGTGGCAAGAATTTTGCGGGCTTCTTCGCGTCGGCCGTGGGCGACGAGCCATCGGGGTGATTCGGGGAGGAAGTAAACGGCGAGGAGTTGGATGAAGGGTAGGGCTCCCTGGAGAAGAGAAGGGATTCTCCAGCTCCATGTTGAGTCGATCTTGAAGGTTCCGTATGTGCACCAGGCGGCGATGATACCTCCGAGGTACTGTCAAGTCAGTGGATTTCTTCGACTATGATGAGCGGGTACTTACGAAAGATGTGTTGTACAAAGCGGTAAGCTTGCCTCGATGTGTAGGATAGGCAAGCTCAGTGATTAGAATAGGACTAGGCTGGGCCAGGAAACTCGTGAAGAAACCAAGGATAGCTCTCGCCGCGATAAAAGTCTCCAAGTTCTGTGATACAGCCTGCATGATGGCGAAGGCGACGCAAGTCAAAGCTCCGACCATCATGGCTGTCTTTCTCCCGAATCGATCGCATACGTAGGTGACGAAGAAAAGCGCGATGACCTTTCCGGCTGGGTAAACGGAGTTGAGGGCACCGAGCATGGCGCCTTCAGGGTGTCCGAAGTAGCCTCTCCATTGAGGGAGGGTCTGAAGACCGTTCATCATCGATCCTATGCATGTTAGTCATGGTTGATGAGACTGTCGCGCTGTCAACATACCATCATAGCCAATTGCACCCGACGACACGAGAGGGATAAGGAGTAGAAGATTAAGCTTCAGGAGATGCGGCACGCGATACCAAGGTCGAGCATCATCGGGAAGTACCTGACAAAGATTTTAGCATCCAATGGCTATCATTCGCATCTGGAGGAAACTTACTGCTGCAAGGTCAGTGCCGGCAGCCGCAGCGGCACCTTTCTTCTCTGTTGGTGAGAAACCCATGACTCTTAGAGATGGTCGATGTCTTGTCAGATGTCCAAACGTCAATCAGGGACTGATGATGAGTCTTCAGAAACCCAAAACACCAGGGTCATTGAGGTTAATTATATCTGAACCAACGAAAACAGAAAAAGATTATGCAGATCCAATGCTACCCCACGCGGTGGTAAACTGACACCCCATGGGGAAACTTGGAGCGTTCGTCGACGCTTGAAGAAATTGACAAGTTGTTTGATGGGGTCTTGGCTTGACGCGTTTGGTCTGCATCCGACGCTATTCCCAGCCGTTCCGAAGTTTCGGACCGGGCTATCATTGGTGAGCTGCCATGTCTTCCGAAAGTGCTTGTAGCCGATTCGTCTAAATCTCGCTCATGACTCGAGCCTTGACCAGTTTTCTAGTCTCCGTTGTCGCTTTGCCGATGCTCGTTAAAGTCCGGTGGATGGTTCATTGCCAATTGAGCCAGTCCTAAGCTGAAGATATTCCCCCTAAGGACCTCCACAAAATTAGCGATCCAGTTCCCCGACGTTGACCCGCTCGCAAGTCAGAGAGGAAGAGATCCGGGCTTGCTTATTACTCGCGAGTATCAGCATCAGTCCCGACCCCAGTAGTTTCAAGGCATACAACGGCAAAATGGCAAACACGGATATTGATGTGATCATACAGTCACTGACGCTGGAGGAGAAGGTACGCTACATCATGAACCACCAGAAGAGGGGTTAAGCTAACTCTTATCAGATCGCCCTCTTAGCAGGTCGAAACTTCTCAGAAACAGTCGGTTATCCTGAAAAGGGAGTTCCTTCAATTAAAGTGCGTTCCATCCCTCAGCTCCTCCAAGCATTTACTAACAAATCCAAGACCGCCGACGGACCAAATGGAATCCGTTCAGCAGCAACAGATCTTGACATCAAGTCGGCCTGTTTTCCAGCAGCATGCAACCTCGCAGCTACATTCGACCTAGACCTTGCCGAGAGATTCGGCAAGGCTCTAGGTGCTGAAGCGAGAGGCAAACGAGTAAACTGCATGCTCGGTCCAACAGTCTGTATGCATCGCCATCCCCTCGGTGGTCGTAATTTTGAAAGCTACAGTGAGGATCCGTTTCTTACCGGTAAAATGTCCTCAAAGGTGATCCAAGGTCTTCAAAGTCTTGGTATCTCTGCTACTATAAAGCATTTCGTTGCGAATGAGCAAGAAACAGCTCGTACGACTGTTGATGAGACCATCGATGAACGTGCATTGCGTGAGATTTATCTCAGGCCGTTTGAGATTGCTGTTAAAGAAGCGAATCCTTGGGCGATTATGACAGCTTATAACCACGTTAATGGAGTTCATTGCGATGAGCATAAGTGGCTTCTGCAGGAGGTCTTGCGTGGTGAATGGGGCTGGAAAGGCCTTGTCATGAGTGATTGGGGCGGTACAAATTCCGTCGCTGCAGCACTCAATGCTGGTTTGGACCTGGAGATGCCTGGTCCTCCGCGCCTACGAAAGGAAGACGCTGTCAAGGAGGCGCTTCAGCGAGGAGAACTCAGCGAGAGCACCGTCAATGAGCGGGCCAAGTCCGTTGTTGAGTGGGCGTTGAAGCTCAAGGCTCGTGAAGCAGATCCTCATTCAGTTGCTCTTGGCCAAGATACAAATACGGCGGAGCTGCGCAGCATGATTCGCGAGGCCGGAGCTCGAGGCATTGTCTTGCTGAAGAATCAGGGAGACCTCCTTCCGCTGACCAAAAAAAAGGTTGAGAAGAAGAAGATCGCTCTTATCGGATTTTCCAAAGACGCTATGGCTCACGGAGGAGGTAGCGCGGCTGTCAATGCGTACCGCAAGATCACTCCCTGGCAAGGTCTTCACGAAGCACTGGGTGATGATGTCGAGTTCACATACGCTCGAGGCGCTCATCGCGAGCGTCTACTTCCTGCCATTCATCCCGATGGTCTGTGCGGTAAAGTCGTTGGCCTTGATGGAAAGCCCGGCTTTAGTCGTCAGCTGTTCAAGGAGGGTGAAGCTGAGCCAGTGTCTACTATTGGACAACCAACTTCTGCATACTCGCCTCTAGGATCACAAGAGTCACTGTGGCGGAGACTCGAGATCGTCGGTGACTTTACGCCGGCTGAGACAGGAAATCATTACATCGCTTGCTCTGGCTTAGGACCTACAAGGGTTTACGTGGATGGCGAGATTATCTACGAGCAGACTGCCAACTGCACTGACCCCATGGGCTCGCTCTTCCTTGCTGCTCCAGAGCCTGAGTTCCGCCACAAATTCGAAGGCGGCAAGACTTATCGATTGCGTATCTGCAGTGATCCACCTACCAAGATCGGACTGACCATTCTTGAGGGTCGCAGTGGCGTCCGTGTCGGCTTCTCACTTGAATCCGACCACGATGCTGATCTTGTCGGAGAAGCCGCTGAAGTTGCTAAGGCTGCTGATTACGCGATCGTATTTACCGGACATGATCCGCAATGGGAAACCGAAGGTCGAGACCAAGACGGTTTCAATCTTCCTCGAAAGGGCACGCAAGATGCTCTTGTGTCTGTAGTGGCATCGGTAAACCCCAACACTGTGGTTGTGAACTCAACTGGTGTTGCTATCGCTATGCCTTGGCTAGAGCAAGTCCCCGCTGTAGTGCAAGCTTGGTTCCCAGGCCAAGAATGCGGTTACTCAATTGCAGATGTTCTCACCGGAGCTGTTAACCCTGAGGGTCGACTACCAGTGAGCTTTCCCAAAAGCATTGAGGATTGCCCGGCACATGGCAATTTCCCTGGTGAATATGTAGATGGACAGCTCAAAGTGACTTATGCAGAGGGTGTTTTCATCGGATATCGTCACTTTGATCGACTTCCTAGGGAGAAGGTCAACTTCCCTTTCGGTCATGGCCTCTCTTACACGACTTTTACATATGAGCTAGGCAACGTGTCTCACGAGGGTGAAGACTGGTCTGTTTCCGCCCAGGTATCTAATACTGGAAAGCAAGCTGGCGGCGCATTGTTACAGATTTATGCGGGTCCAGCTGATCAATCTCCTGATCATCCGATCAAGGCTCTTGTGGCTTTCCAGAAGGTCCGATTGGAGCCTGGTGAGACAAAGTCTGTCAAGCTTATGGTGAAGCAGAGAGACCTTGCGCATTTCGATACTAGCCTGAAGAAGTGGGTGATCGATGAGGGCGAGTATCGCTTCTCATTGGGAACCTCCTCGGCGGATATTGTTGGGGATACTTTGGTGAAGGTGCAAAAGGCTATTTTCAATCCATAGATTTAGAGTGGTAAATTTTACTATAATTATGATACTCCCTTTCCTTTTGTGCTAACAGATTCCATAATGTGAGAGGTGAAAATTGTCGCGTACCGTAGTCGCGCTTACAAAATGATCCAAATAATTATCATCAATAGGCTAGATTCACTAAAAGGCCTAATAGGCTAATTTGCCAAATATGCCATGAGAGTCTCGGTCCCCCCGCCATCCATCATACAGCTTTTACTCCTTGAGCTCTCCGCTACTAACTCGGACAAGCAACTTTCTACTGCTAGACTAGCTCCGGGGCCGAACATAACCAGCACACCGGTAGACTAAAAAGCCGGAATCTAGCACGTACGTAATGATTAGAGAGTCAGCAGTTCCTCGGATCGGGTCCGAAGCTTAGATCAATACTTCTGTCTCGGATGGAATCCGGAAGAGGTCACGAAAGCAATCTCTTCCGAGCACTTGTGTAAGTGAGTATGTCAACACCATTTCTAGACACTAGAATGGTATAATACAGTTAGAGTATTGAAAGGATGTGAGGAATAATTGAATTGAGGTAGCCTTCACATAGCGTGTCTCTGGAACTCAACGTCAACCCAAAACATGCCATCACCTTATTCGGGACAATGCCTTTGCGGCAACGTGAATTTCACGATCTCTTCAGAACCAGTTACAGTATTATCATGTTACTGTGAACACTGCTGCAAAGGAGCTGGTGGCACCCATCAGCTGGTAAATATCCACTGGAGCAAATGTTGGTTGGGCGCTAACCTATACCCGACAGATTGGAAAATTCGCGACTCAAGATGTCGATATCTCCACTACTGTTGAAGACACTGTTACGAAGTACTCACTCTCCGACACATCAAGCGGAAGCTCCAAAGAGAAAGCATTTTGCCGTACATGTGGATGCACGCTCTGGACTATTCCGGCAGCAGCAAAGGGTAAATTCTACATGATCCGACTCCCATTGCTGGACGGAGGGTAAGTAAGCTACCCTATGCTCATTTCGCCCAAGCTAAAATGAGATTTAGCCTATACATAACATAACATAACATAATGAGATTTAGCCTCAAGTTCCGACCAGCGAATGAGATCTTTGTTAAAAATCGGCCAACTTGGGTGGAGCCAGTCAAAGACACGGGTCAATGGGAGGAGATGCGAAAGTGACGCGTAGAGGGAGACGAGGCACTGAAGATGCGGAGAAAGAGGGGAACCTTGTTTCTCAGTGGATTTGAACAAGGGTCACCGATTGGTATAGAAGGGTCAAAGTCCGTTGAATCCACAAGCCTCGGCTGGAGTTATTGAGCCAAAAGGAGATACGATCAATATTGCAATTCAGTCACGAGTGTAGTAAAGCATTCTCAACGGTTACTTGGTTTGTAAACAGGCAGTGTTGCTTCAGCTCAGTATATCCCCTCTGCCCGTATACCTACCACTTACCGACGAGCTCCGAGTGAGATAAATAATGCAGAGATTCTGTCCCCGCTAATATTCCCCGGATTTTAGCCGTATGTGATCCCAGGGCTCCAGCTTCATAATCTTATCTCTTAATTCTGGGGTTCCCCGTTCCGAACCAATTCATGTCCATTCCGAAAATCCATCCTCACCCGACCCAACAACGAACGACATTCCCTTCGGATACGGAACTGAACTACACATGGAGCCTCCACGACGATTAGATGACGCTGCCTCTGCTAATCGCCAGAGTGGGGCCAAACGCCTCAAGATTGATGTCGCTTGCGATAACTGCAGAGCCAAGAAGGTCAAGTGTGACGGTGTACGACCAGGTGAGACAACTGTTCAGCCCCAGGAGGGGACAAAGGCTAAGAGGCTGTAGTTTGTGGCTCTTGCAGTAGGAAGCTGGCTCTGAGGGATAGGTGCAACTTTAGCGCTAGTTCGACTGCCTTCATACAGCATCGCCCGCCAATAGCAGCGCCTTTCACTGCAGCCCAGAATGGACGTCCTATTGCTCCTCCAGCACCAGCTTTGCCAGTGCAAAGACAGGGTAGTTCTCCCTCTATGGCAAGCCCACATATTCCAATTCTACCAGCGGTAAACACATACGAGCCTCAGCCGCGACGGTCTATGCCTCTGCCGCTGCCGCCACCACCGCCACAACATCACTCCCCAGTGACATCTACCCCCGGCAGCGGCACTAGGCCGGACTCACACAGCGGCCAACGCAATGTCGGAGCTTCAGTCTGTTCAAACAGTCCTTCTGCTGTTGACTCCATGACGGCGGTCATCGATGAGGGAACAAGCACTGAAGAGTTCTTTGGGAAGAGTAGCGCGGGCTCTTTCACAGCTCAGATCAAGAAAGCCATCGATGTGAGGCTGGGGAAGCCTGCAAGCTCAAGTGAAAATGCGTCAAACACATCTCGGTCAGCTGGTGTTATGGGCCCTGCGTCAGTTACATCACCAGACTTCTCATACGTCCTACCTCCTCGCAGGCAAGCAGACCACCTGACAGAGCTTTACTGGTTCTATGTCGACCCGCTGTATCCGTTTTTGGATAGAAACCGATGGACTCGTGCTTACAATGCTGTATTTTCTGGGACGACGATGGATTTGAACGAGCGCGTCTTTGTCGCTACACTGAACGTCATCTTGGCCCTTTCCACCCAACTTGTCGAATCTCATTCCTTAGAACAGCGAGAGCAGTCGAGTGAGACATACTTCCAGAGGGCGCAGGAGCTGTTGCCTATGAGTCCCTGGGAACCTGGATCCCTCGAGTTGGTGCAGTGTCTACTGGTAACGAGCCAATACCTCCAGAGTACATATAATCCGCATCAGACATGGATGGTTATTGGCTCTGCCATCAGAATGGCCCAGGGGTTAGGACTTCACCTGCCCGAGACCTCAGCAAATCGTTCAGATCCTGCCGAGCGAGAGCTATTGCGCAGGATATGGTATGGATGCGTTCTAATGGATCGGTGAGTGAACTTGGCTACATCTTGACACCCATTCAGCTAACTCAGCCAGCATGGTTTCTGTGACCCATGGTCGCCCTGCTATGATCTCTCAGCATCCTTCAAAAGATGTACCATTACCAGCCGAAACTTCAAACGCTCAGAATGGAATGCAAAACCTGGAATATTATAGCTTCTTTGTGAGATCAGTGCGACTTTATGAGATCATCCATAAGACCATGATCGCGTTCTATGATGGTTCGCAGGGCAACCGGCCAAAAGAGAAGGAATCACATTTTGACCTTGAGGGCTTGGATGGCGAGGATGAAGACCTCGACAGAGTGGTGCAATTGGATCGCTGTATCAGCAGATGGCAGTCAAAGCTGCCAGATCATCTAAGATGGGATTTGTTGGAATCGAATCAGGATGAGATAGCACGTCGACAAGCCGTGATCCTTCGCATGAGGTTTGTCTCACCCGTGTCCACTATGGATTAATATGGCTAACTCATGAACAGATTCCTCCATGCACGCATCCTTCTCTTGAGACCAGTCCTCTCCAGGTTCTGTCTCACCCAATCTCCCCAGGATAAGAAACCCATGGACGACAACTTGCAAGCTCGGGTTGTTCAGCAAGGCGCGATGTTTTGCGTCACGACAGCTCAAAACATGATCAACACTCTGGTAAAGCACCAGACACTAGATAGCACCGTCGGCCTCCTTCCGGCATGGTGGTATCGAGTATACTACATCTACTCCGCTGCTACAGTACTTATCGCCGCCAAACTTCGACCAGATGTTTTCTCCGCTGTGGAAATCGGAAGATCTTGGGGTCAAGCTATCTCAGTGCTCAAGGCTCATGAACAGTTCGGCCAATCTCCCCGTAGATGCGTGGCAGCTTTACATATCCTCTCATCAAAGATCTTGCTAGCGACACCTCGTGGCTCACCCGGACGTGAGACGGGGAACAACAACAGACCCGGCGAAGGGAATAATCCAGCTGTACCTCAACAGACGATAGCCAACATGGAAGTTCCTGATCTGGTTCAGCAACTTGCTGAAGAGTTTCAAACCCCAATACCGGACTTCAATCCTCAGGAACTTGCCGCTTTCAACCTAGATGTAAATGATATGTCATGGTTGAACGATATCCAGGGAGTTTGGGAGCTTTTGAACGAATAGCGTAAAGAAAAGGTTGCTTCTATGTCTAATTTACCAAATACCATGTTTTAATCTACCTATTACTCGAACACCATCTTGTTCTTGACACTTCCTAACTCAGTGATGCTAACCTCCACGACGTCACCGTCATTAAGATACTTAGGTTCCTTCATTCCCATTGCTACACCACACGGTGTCCCTGTGAGAACAACAGTTCCAGCCTCAAGTGTTGTGCCTTGGCTGATAAAGCTGACAATATCCTCAACACCGAAAAGAAGATCATTCGTGCCTTCGCTCTGTCTCTCATCGCCGTTGACAGTTGTCCTCAGGTGCAGCTTGGAAGCGTTACCGACAACAGCAGGAGAGACGAGAAGAGGTCCAATGGGAGCGAACTTGTCGAAACCCTTGCTGAAGCACCATTGGGGAACGCCACCGGCCTTCTTGGGGTCTCGTTGCCATGCTCGAGCGGAGACGTCGTTGGAGACGACGTAGCCTGCTACGTAGGAGAGAGCGTCTTCTTTGGTGATGTTCTTGCCAGACTTGCCGATCACAATGCCCTGAAATACTTGTTAGATCTCTTTGTAGGTGAAAAGGCATGTGGAACTTACTAGCTCTCCCTCGTAGTCTATTGTGCCATCTTGGGCGATCTTGGGGATGGGTACATCCTCATTGAAGCCAGCGATGGAAGTAGAGGGCTTGATGAACAATGAGGGATAAGGCGGCGGTGTTCGGCCACCTTCCTTGACTAATCACAGAAGTCAGCATATTCCCAGTAGATAGGTACTGTTTACTTACTGTGCTTGATGTAGTTAAGTCCAATGCATCGGATGATTGGCACATCAGCCGGTCGCAGCAACTCCCGCACAGCCTTGACATGCACCTTCTCACCCTTGGTGAGTTGCGCCACAGGACTCTGACCCTTGTACTCAACAGCCCATAAGTCATTCCTGGCTAACTTTTCAGAAAAGTCCTTGTCACTCTCAATTACAGGGTCTCCGAAAGTCTCGTTTCCGTTGTCATCGACAAAGCGGATGAGGCGGTTCCAAGTTGCTGAAGACATTTTGCGAGAGAATGAAGATGTGATGTTTCTGCGATACAATGTTGATGTGATATTGGCTATTCTCATTGTTGTATTATGTCCAAGGTTGTATACTACCTGTTATAGTTGTTTCTAACAGGCGTGATGATTGTCGGAGAGCGTTGGTGGTGATATCCACTATTGTGGCCAGTCATAGCGCGGTCCGGTCGGAAGGACAGAGCCCGGATTCCACCGGAGTGAACCCGGAGGACGGATATTGACTTCGGCTGTTGTGGATGCTTGAGTAGACGCGGTTCAATGTTACCGTTGGACGAATTCTGTCACCTATCGATGCTATTTCCCCAGCTTTCCTCTTGTCTGGGGATCTTACGATTGTTATCCACTCCAAGACCATATCAATCCGCTATTTATCTCCAAAAAACTTCAACGACACTTGCGAGTCAAAACCAAGCAAAGATAATCTCAACGTCATTTTTTACTCTTTACAGAAGTCACACAAACAATGGGAAATTATACTAGCACAGTGGCCTCGGGCCCCTCGGATGGCGACTCGCCAGAGATGAAGCAGTATCTCAGTGAACTACCATCAAAGAACTTGGAGCCTCTTTGGTCACAGATGAGCATGATGGTGCCGCCAACACCAAACCCCACAGCGAAGCCTCATATGTGGACATACAGAGAAGCCTTGCCTCATTTGGAGACAGCAGCCAAGTTGGTACCAGAGGAGAAAGCTGAGCGACGAGTCCTGATGCTAGTGAACCCCAGCATGCGTGAGTACATCAGTCTGTTATTGGACTTTTCTGACTGACATTTTTAGAATCACCATACACAACAGATACTATTTATGGAGGTCTTCAGATCGTCAACCCTGGTGAAACAGCCCCAGCACATAGACATCTTGCCTTCGCTGCTCGCTTCATCATAGATGGTGAAGGTTTCACAGCAGTCGAAGGCAAGAAGATGCCTCTTGTCAGAGGTGATGTTGTCATTACACCTATCTGGCACTGGCATGACCATGGCAATGAGAGTGATAAGCCAGTAGTCTGGTTGGATATGCTGAACTTGCCTTTGTTCCGCTTCGCCCCAGTTCACTTTGCTGAGGGTTACTCTGACCCACGATATCCCAGCGAGTGAGTATCTTTCTCCCGTTCAATCTGAAGTTGATCTTGCTAACGCCGTCAGACATTGTGACCCTTGCGAGTTCCGTTTCCCATGGGCTCCTGTTGAGAAAGAACTCAATGCTGACAAGAGCGACTACTCCATCTATCATTATAAGCTCTCCAACGGAAAGCCTCTATCAACATTCCTCGGCGTTCAGGCCGAGAGACTTAGTCCTGGTGCCATGGTGGATTCACAAGAAAGCCAGTCATATCTTTACCACTGCTATGAAGGAAAAGGTCGCACTGAACTCGTGACGCCGACGGGAGAGACGATGACGTTCAAGTGGGAGGCACGCGATACCTTTGCTGTGCCTTCATGGTGCAAGGTCAAGCATATCAATGAGTCTACAACAGAGCAAGCATACCTGGTGGCTTGTCATGATGGACCATTTCTTGAATGTCTAGGTATTCAACGAAGAAAGGAATAGGCTATGGTAGCCAACATATAGCATAATGATATCTTTTTGGGCATATTTATCACAAGCTAGCTTTGAATTTAACAGATGATTAAAGTTCAATATTTCAGAGGCCAGGAAGGAATCAGAATTCTTCTATAGCCATCAAGTGCATGACTTGAAGCTTTTAGAGGAGGAACAGCGATTTCACATGGAGAGGAGGCAAGTTGGAGATTAAAATGGTAGATTGGTAGATACGAAGCTGACATAGATTCTATCTGATGTAGTGGGTGGGTACAAGAGTCGAGGTGCACACCAAAAGCGTTACAAAATCTTCATACTAGGCTATAACCAGACTTAACGGCGGTCAGGCAGCTGAGCACTGGTGCGCTGTCGCTCAATGGTAATGAAGAAAATGCTGGTATCAGCATCGCCACCACCCGGGTTCTCAACAACAAAGCCACCGCTCACCGCGTCCTTATCCCACTTGTCTTCGAACAGATCCTCCTCGGGAACAGTCTCAGCAGCCTCAGTGTAGTGGTGATCCTTGGGCTCGCTTCCAATAAGGTCCGTGAGGAACTTCTTGTACTCGTTGTACAGATTTCCGTCAACAAGCTCACCATTCTCATAGTAGACGGCAGAGTAAAGATGGGCAGCAGCACCTCCAACCTTGTCGTTGTGCTTGCTGTAAAGATCGGGGATCTCCTTCTTGGCGGTGTCCAAACCAGCCTGGTCGAGGTTGTAATGGCCGACAATGGTACCTTGCTTGGTCGCGAGGATGACACCGAAGCATCCAGCGAAACCTGAGCTTCCAACTACGTGATCATCACCAGTAGTGAAGTCTACAAACTGGGTCTCTCCTTGGCCAACGTATGTGTTGGCAGCTTCACTGGCGTCGAGCTTTTGTTTGTAGGCATCTAGCTCAGGAGTGATGACTCTAGAGTAGAGGTGTTGATCATCTCGAACAGCGAGCCTTGGAGTATTAGCTTGATCAGCCGAAGAGGAGATGATGAACTCACTGAGTGGTGTAAGGTGCAGCAATGCAGAGCTGAGAAGCAGCGAGGAGAAGGAACAGCGAAGCCAACAACTTGGCCCAGCCGTTTTGGAAACTCTTGAAGCCCAACATGATGATGAGCCAGATAGGTCTAAAAGAGTGACGGTTGAAACGAGTGTATAAAACAAAAGGCGGTTGGAAACGACTGTATTGCTCGAGGTAATGAGCTAAGTGACGAGAGACGACTTCAGAGTCTTTGTGCTACATATATGCCGGATGGAGCTGGGAAATCGGTGTAAGCTGACAAGAGTAATGCGACACTAGGATTTCTCAGCGTTAACGGTCAAGGCTTGAATCAGGACGAAATTACAGTACATGCGGTCCATAGAAAGGATCGCAGAAAAGCGGGTTTGTTGTTCATTCTTGGCATGATCTGTCTGTGCGCGATTGGACTCGGAAGGTGGGACAAAGTTACGATCGTCAGCCAAGACATGGAAACTCCTAAAATACTGTCCTTTCCGTCTTACCCGCCATTCCTTGACAGCTTGTCGGCCGAAAGTAATAGACAAGGGGTTCTGAATAACGTTGCAAAGGTTGGCGCAGTTGACTAAGACTTCAACATTATCGTCTAGTCTGCTGCTGATCAACCCTAAAAAATTGGATCAAAGTCGCATCTGCTTATTCTAATGTCATGGACATCCGTTGAGAAAACGACTCTTTTCTGGCTCAAGGTTTCACTGGGCGCTTATGGATGTTCATCATAATCTCGTGTTCTTGCATAGCCTCGAATGTTTGGCAATGTCGAGAGCCTTGCCGTGAAAGGGATGGTTAGATTGCGATCCATAGATAAGCGTGAAGGACTCACTTGATGTGACAGTCAGCCACCATTACAAGGCTGAGATTGAGAATGTCACGGCCCCAAAGGATCGAACGTTGTAACATATCTGGCCCAGTAGGGCTCTTAGCTATGGAGATCTTTCACGAATGGAGCATGTGTTGGTCCAAGGGTCCAACTTTCTATGTGTCATTATCCACTTGTTCGGTTTAACTGTTATTTCATAGGCCAATTCTACGAACGCGGATCGAACGGCTGCAACGGCGATTGATAGGATGACGCGTAACAAAACGTCTAAGATTAAGCATGTTTCTTGATCAACGCTTTGTTTTGGCGAGCGTATTTGGAAGTGAGATGATGGTCTGGTAGTTGAAGTTTGAGCGAACCCAGAAATTCACATTGAGCTATTGGTTTGTCCTGACAGACCGAAGTAATATTCAAGCTTTACTACAAGACGCATTTGTTGTTAATCGGAAAACTCCGTCTTGTACCAAAGGATTCGAAGCCGAAAGAATGATAGGCGACGGTACCTTCGCTACTGGGTCGCAAACTGTGACAGCGACAGACGTAAATGGAAATGCCCGAGCCAGGGCGAAGCCAACAACGGCGACTCATGCCGAGCAAAATAAAGAGATTGAAACTGGAGATTCATTAATCACGCGAGTCCCTCAATGGTCTTTGCAAGGCTGTCCAACGTCATCGATGCAACCTTACCAGTTCAGCTCCGCATCGAAAAGGAAGCGATCCACAGGGGTAAGCGAGGCGCCAAGAAACATTGTTGAGACGGAAAAGGGAATCCGACGAGAGGTGGCTTGGAACGGCACGGGCCGATATTATAACAGGGCGATGAACCTTCAATGTAACGAGGATTCGATCCTTCTGAACCGTTTCAGTTACATGTCCACTCTGTGGAACTAGCAAGATTAGGTTGGCCATAGCGTCTTGTCACCAGCGGATGGTCTACGGGTCGTGGAACTTTAGGTCAGATGTAAGACTGAGTTAGTGTCCAGGTTATATACCTATCTGTTGTGTCTCTACAGTCTGTCGTGTAGGCCTAGCCCGACATAGTCACCCTGAGTTCTTTCATTCGTTATACACCAACTTAGTCATTCTTTTTTACTTTGAGGCCTAGACAATCACTCGTTATGCGTCTGGCCGGTCTTGTTGTGGCTCTCGCCGCTTTGGCGGAGGCTCAACTCCCAGAGACTCCTGGAGCCATTGGTGAATCCACCACCACGACTCTTCACCCTCTTCCCTTTGAGACTACTACATCTGAGATTCCTGTGCTTGATAAGACAACTTCTGCAGATGCTGCACTTCCCGAGACCGGTACAGGTGTTCAGGTTCCTGATTCTGCATTTACTTCCACCGGTGTCTTGCCCGAGCTCCCTGATTCCAAGAGCACCGACGTTGCGGTTGAAGGTACTACTACTGCCAATGGCGAGGCACCTCTCGACCAGGCAACTTCAGTTGAAGTCCCTATTGAACAGCAAACGACTGGGACGGAGCAGCCCCCTGGTCCTGAGACGACAATCCAACAGCCTCCAGCTATTGGCACTACAACGTCCCAGGCGCCTCCCGTGGCAGAGACCACCACTCAGCAGCCGCCTGCTCTTGATACCGCCACGACTGATCAGATACCCGGTGTTGAGACCACTACCCAACAACCCCCAGTAGTTGACACTACAACGCAACAGCCTCCTGCACCTCAATCAACTACTGAGCAACCCCCTGCTGTTGACACAACCACTACACAGCAAGGTCCTCTCCCTGAGATAACCACTCAGCAGCCTCCTCAGGATTCCACAACTGAGCAACTGGCACCTCAGGATACCACTTCTCAGCCCCTTGGTGAGGAGACCACCAGTACCCAGGCACCCGTCGTGGAGACCACCTCCTCAGAACAGCCTGTTGATGAGATGCCATCGACTACCGAGAAGCCTGAGGACCCCAAACCTACTACTACCAAGCAGGAGGATGCTGAACCTACTAGCAAGGACGAAGGGTCTGATCCCAAGTCCGAAGATGCAGACAATGAGGACCCCAAGACCAAGGATGAGGCTGACCCTGAGCCTACCACCAAGAAGGACGAGGCTCCTGTTACGGTCCCTCCTGCTGCTGTCACAGCTGAGCCTCAGGAGACCATCTCTGGCGTCACTGAGAACACTCTGCACAGCACCAAGGACAGCGATGGCAATGACGTCGTTGTCCCTGTTCTATTTGGCCCTTCATGCTTGATTTTCTGTGAGCATGCTGGTAAGGACAATGGTCCTGGCGGCATCGTTCTTTGGGGTATTGGTAAGTTCACTGACTTCTTCCATCAAAATTCCATACTGATATGAGATTAGGACCCGCGCCCGGAAGCTACGTCCTCCCTCCTCTCCCTGGTATCACTCCTGCTCCTTCAGCCGTCGTCATCAACGGAGGTGTGCCAACTCCCGTCGGAACTCAAACACCTCAGGATCCTGATGATGATGACGATGACGATGACGATGACGATGACAAGAGCACTGTTGAGGAAGAGACCAAGACCGAGGCAAAGACTACCGAAGCCAAGTCTACGGCCGAGTCTTCAGCAACATATACTACTGAGGCTAGCACCACTGAGCTACCTCAGCTAACGATGGGCATTGAGACTGTCGTCGTAAACGTTGATGCTACTCCTACCACCGGAGCTACTTCCAGTGAAGCTTCGACGGAGGCCACCAGCACTGAAGCATCTACCCAGACTACCGAGCTTCCTCAACTGACGATGGGCGTGGATACGGTAGTCGTAGACGTCGATGCGACTCCGACGACTGGAGGAACTACTGAGACTTCTGCTGCTACTTCTACTGAGACCACCGAGGCTACTACTCAGACAACCAAGCTTCCTCAGCTAAGCATGGGAGTCGATACAGTCGTTGTGGATGTCGATGCTACCCCTACTACAGGAGGCACGACTGAAACCTCCGCTGAGTCTGCCACCACTGAAGAGTCTAGTACTGGGGCTTCCGAGACCACAAAGACCCTGGATACCACTACCGCCGAGACAACCTCAGCCGAGGCCACGACTGCTGAATCTACCGAGCAGTCAACAACAATAGGACCCACATCTACTGAGACCTCTGTTCAGTCTACTACTTTCGCTACTACCACGACCACAGAAGGCCCTGAGCGCGAGTATCCTTGCATCATTCACGCCAATCCCGGCATTGATCCTTACTGCGCCTGTGAGACTACAGTCAGCGGCAAGGGCTACTATATCTCCACTGATTTGATCTCGTCGTCTTGTGCCGACTACACGACTTTCCCTTCCTCTATTCCCACCGATGCTCCTGAGCCTAAGGTCACCGAGAAGCCCGATCCCGAGCCTTTCGTCAAGACAGATGATGGCACAGTCGTCTCTTACCCCGACCGCACAGTGATGGTTGGAAACTATCCTGGTGGAAAGTATACTTACACGCAGGGTATCGGAGACGCCGTTACGCTTGAGACGCCTTTGCCCACGCAGACTGATGCGAACAACAAGGGTTCAAGTCAATGCGGCAGCATCGATGATGCATGTGACCGTGCCTTGAAGGATGGTTTCGATGATGAGACAGTTTACAATGACTACGTCTCGCGATATGCTAGAATCAAGAGTGGTATGGTCATGCTCGCGACTTTTGGTCAAGCTGGTTGCACAGCCCAGTTCAAATGCGATGACTATGGTCTTGGAATGAAGGGCAAGGATATCAAGGATGCGTAAGTCAACCCTCGTATGATAGATGATGAGTTTGTGCTAACTATTCAGCAGTGTCCAGCACATGAAGGATAACGATGGAGTGAGCAAATGTGGAACAGCGTACCTATCCAACAGTTGTCAGATCACGCTGAACTACTGCACTAACTGTCACCATGATGGTTAATTAGCTAGAACTCTGAGACCGTGTAATTTCAGTAGACTTTTAAGTTATATAGGAATATAGATTTATTTTTGGAATATTGATACAGATCTGATGCTGGGTTGGACAACTCACGAACCTGACGCTTCAGCGTGTTGATTGTCGCAAAAAAACAATTAAACTCTATCCCTGAACGCGCATGTTTCATTTTCACGTGCTATACACCGCAATAATACACCAATGAGCAGCTGTTTCTAGCTTCCGAGTACTCTGTGGCTTGTCCAGGAATCGGGTTTCTTTTTTCCAGTTCCAGTGGGGTAAGGTAGTTATTTGTCCCGTCGTCGTGCATCCCGAAATACCTAACCTTCAAATATCTTCAATTGAACAATAGTTGTTTTAAATTAGGCCGCCTTCATACCCACGTGCCACAATGCGTTCTGACTATGATATCTCTAACACATCATGTACGGGGCCGAGACGGCTGCTGAAATGACTTTTATCGGGGTGAGCCGAAGCCCTGCCTTGAACCCCTGCTTCTTGATACTGTGATGCAAGGTCGGCCTCTTGCGTCCAAGTGCCCGTTGCTTCAGATGCCGAGCGAAATCCTGGCCAAGATCGTCCGCTTCGTCGCCGAGGACAAAAAAGCCTTGCAACAGCTTGCTCTCGTTAATTCTGACTGCTGTGGGCTTTCCCGTGCTTGCCAATTCTCCGAGTTCACATTCAACTACAGTCGGAACAAGATTAGGCCTCTGCTCGAACTCGTCAAAGACATGGCTGCTGGTCGCACTGGTCCCGGTATCAGGGACTGCATACGGGAATTTACCTTCAAACCCGACCCATACCAGGCTCGCGCTATTCACAACGATGTCTTGCGGATATTCCGAGGCGATCCATACGGTGATAATGAGTACCAAGGAGCTACTCGAATCAAAGAAGAAGCTGCAGCGATCTTCGATCAAATCCAACGTGCTGTGGTCCTAAATTTTAAAGCCATGCGCAACCTCGAGACCTTGGTTTGGTCTTGCATTTTCCCAGTAGAGAAAGACACTTTCTCGCTCTTTGCCTCCTCCACAGCCCATAACCTTATTATCAACAGAGCCATCATCGCTGAGGAGTTCTCTCTTGGGCCTCCTCTGACCCCGCTGTCCTGGCCTTTGCGATCTCTCTCTCTGATGAGCGTTAGGTTAGCAGGCTCCTGGGACCAAGAGAACGATATTCTTCGAGGTGGGGAACAACGGCGACCTAATCCCTCCAACGACTTCTTCAGAACTCTTTTCCAGCTTTGCTCCCCGACTCTTGAATCACTGCACTGAGAGACATGGAATCCCAGAGCTTGGAAGCCTCTCTCTCTCTTGGAACCGATTCGAAGTCCTTCCCTAAACTACGACAGCTCCGAATCAAGCCCGGTCCGGACGCAATAGATGAAGCAAGGATGGCTTCTTTCCTCTCTGCGCCACTCAAGTCTCTCCAGTTGCATCATTCTGCTGTTCGGGACTTTGGGGATCACATCCGTTCTCATGCCGAAGAGCCATACCGGGATCTTGAGGAGCTTGTCGTTGGTTCTGATGTTAATTCGCAGCTTATCACAAAATTAATTCACAAGAATAATAACCTGAAAAAGCTTTGGGTCACTCAAGGTTATTATATGTCGGGTCGTGATAATTATTTCGATCGAGCCTTAATCCCTGGCCTTGGAAAGGGTCAATTCAATAACCTTCGCTCCTTATATATTCAATGGGGAGGTCAAAATAAGGATTCCGGCCGCGAAAACGACCATTTTGACATTATGCCGGAGCGTCTAGCCGCCATCTGCGACTTTACGTTTCTGGAGCAATTAGGTCTCTGTTGCGCTGAGGGGATACCCGAGTTCACATCATACGAGGACTACACAGAAGACACCTTTCCCATCTGGCTCATCGACCATGAAAACCTGCAAGCTCATCTACAAAATCTCAAGAACCTCAAATTGCTGGTCATTTGAGGAGCCCTGTCTCAGGGTTGAATTTCTTACGAAGCCCATCGTGAATATTGACCAATAGAGGGTTTATCCGGGAACTCATGGTCGCCGGGATATATATGCAATTTGTTGATGTTAGAAAAAGGTTGGTCAAGGAAGCCTGACGTGGAGAACAAAGTCGACCGCGAAGAGCAATAGAAACTAACTGAAGAGAGGGTTGCTGAAGCTACTTCGGGTGACTGAGACATGGCCCTGGTCTGGCCAAGGCAGCTTGCGAGCTGCATAGCCCCCTCACACTAGCACTGGGGAAGTCGCCATAAATAATCATTTATTGGTTGGAATTAGACCTTTTTAAGCAAGGTAAAATTTGCAGATCCATCAAAAGGCACAAGGATGCAGATGCGCAACCAACAGACCAGTAGCGTAAACGGGAGGTGGCCATCGCAGACGAAGGCTGATATATTAAAACAAATTTATTCAACAATTGGTACTGCGTGAAATCAGGATGAAAGGCATATAATAATGCAAATACGTAATTAACCTCGTCGCCGGATGATACATCTGGCAGACCTTTTGGCCCTTTTTGCACGATGCTGTTAGGCTGCCACGATTCGAATGTACCTTGTGTATCTTCATATGCGTGTTGGTTGCTGTTGTCACACGAAACCCTGTTCTTTGGCAGAACCAACAGAAACATGCCCCTGTATTCTCTGAAACCTTCCAGTGGTGTGATTGCTGCAGATAATAAATTAGATTGCTGTTGAAGCGCGCGTTAACGTCCCCCTTTTTAAAATTTAAGCCTAGGACTTTCGTGCAGGCTCAGTACATAAAGGAGGGTTAGGTGAGTCTCAGGTTTCCAATGGATTGAATGAACAATATTTCTTACTATCTGCGTACATAACAATTGATCTTTTATGACATTTACAATGGATGTTTCTCTGGACGCCAACATTCTCGACCAGCTCAATACTACTGAGACTAAAGCCCTACACGATATAAGCGATAGTCTGAGTGCTTGCGGCGTCGGTCGTATCGTCAACCTTCCGCAAATCATTGTTGTTGGCGATCAGTCAGCTGGCAAATCATCCGTTCTTGAGGCTATATCCCATGTTCGCTTTCCCGTTCAAGGAAATCTCTGCACAAGATTTGCAACGGAGTTGATTTTCAGGCGCGCTAATGAGACTCGAATCGATGTCAGCGTCAGATTTGCAGACAGATCGAAACCAGCAAAGAAATTTCAGAGAACTGGGTTTCGCGAGGATGATTTGGGCGACATCATCACGGAAGCCAAGGAGTGCATGGGCTTTAGCAAGGCTGGGATGGAGTTTTCCAAGGACGTGCTCCGTCTCGAAATTGAAGGGCCAAAGATGTACCCACTGAGTCTCGTTGACCTTCCAGGATTCTTTCAAGTGGACACCGAAAACCAGTCATTCAGTGGTAAAGAAACGGTCGACCAACTTGTTGAGAGCTACATGCGTCAGAAGAATAGCATTATTCTAGTGGTTATCACTGCGAATAATAACCTTGCCAACCATTTAGCCCTCCAGAAAGCTAAGAGCATCGATCCGGAACGACGACGAACCATTGGTGTCATCACCAAGCCTGATCTGACTCGTCCTGGTTTTGATGCTGAAAAGGAATACATCAAGCTGGCCAAGAATCAGGAGGCTGCGCATAAGCTACAGCTTGGGTGGCACGTCCTGCGCAACAGGGCTGAAGATGAGGACAGCTTGGAAGGTCGAGATCAAATCGAAGATGCATTCTTCCAGAAGGGTGCTTGGGCAAGCATTCCCTCCGAAAACCGCGGCATCGCGAGTTTGCGAAAGAAGCTCAGTCATGTGCTGTACAGTCACATTCGCAACAGTCTGCCTGGAGTTATCAAAGATATCGAAACGACGCTCAGAGAGCGACAAGAAGAACTTGATCGCCTTGGAAAATCTCGATCCACCCAAGAGGACCTCAGATCCTTCCTCCTCGGCATTGCCAGTGACTTTCAACGCCTTGCCAGAGATGGCATATATGGCCGATACAATGACGAATTCTTCGGTGGTTTACAAGATGATCACCGGAAGTTACGGGCACAACTGCGGAACTTCAGCCGAGCTTTTGACCATATCCTTCAGACTAAAGGGTCGACAAAGGTCATCATCTCGGACGATGACAGTGATTCAGATGTTGACGACATTCCTGGGTACCTGGAAGAGTTTCTCAAACGCTATCCTTATAACCCTCCTCAGCCAAAGAAAATCACTACAGTGAAGCTCGGTGAGCAACTTGAAAAACAGGCCGCTGCCAACCAAGGGCTGGAATTTTCAGGAACGCCGAATAAGGATCTTGCGATGCAGCTCTTCAAACAACAGGCAGCACCATGGAGAGGCATTGCTGAGTCGCATGTCAAGCTTGTGACAACCGTTGCAAAGGCTTTTGTGGATCAGGTCTTTGAGTATGTTGTTGGATCTCCGCGGACGAATCGAACAACAGAGGCAATCCTGTCAACCTGCGTCGACCCATTCTTCGATGAAAAGGAAAAGGTGCTTCAGGAGAAGATCAACGAGCTGCTGAGACCTTATGTTCAGGGTTATGCACTTCCCCTTGACTTGGAGTTCTATGGAATGCTGTCGCAAACCTCAAACAAAAAGCTGGAGAGACAAATCTCTGCTGTTCTACAGGAGAAGTATCCGCACTTATACGAGAATACCACAGCGAAGACAGGCGAGATGAGTAAAAAACTTGACTCTAAAACAATTGCTCAAGACATAGATGAGGAAGATGGCCTCGAAGACAGTGAGTTTGGAATCAACAAAGTCATAGACATGATGTTGGCATATTATACAGTAAGATAACCCCATAGCCTCATAATGGCTGGATACTGACTTTTGAAGATGTCTCTGCGCACTTTCACCGACAATGTCATTAACTTGGCGATTGAAAGTTGCCTTGTGTATGATATACCAGATATCCTCACACCCACAAAGGTAGATCGAATGAGTAAGGAAAGGCTTGAGGAGCTGGCCGGAGAATCGGACGATACATCGTCTCGAAGAAAGAGCCTGCAAGAGGAGGTCGAGATCCTGAGAGAGGGTTTGGCTCAATGCCGGCGATATAAGCCAAGAGCAGTAACACGTGAGTCACACGGCTCAGAACCTGTATCGATATGATACTAACTGACAAGCGCTGCCTTCCACGACAAATCCGTCTCTAGGCGGGGTTCCAGTTACATCTACCATGGCTCCCGCGGTGACCGGCAAGAAGGGGAGCCCACCAACCGTGATCAACGCTCCTAAAGCTCAATTCAATGGCTGGACGCCGATTCCCAATACGCCCAAGGCTGAGAATCCCTTCAAAAAGTTCTTGACTACTCCAGAGAAACCATCAAGTCCAGCGCCATCAGCGGCAAAACCTGCCTCGACCTTCGGAAGCGGCTCTGGGCTCTTTGGCTCGGGAGTCGCAACTTCGAAGCAGCCAAGCCCCTTCCAGTTCAACAGTTTCGGTGACAACAAGAAGTAATTTTTTCAGCAGCTTTGGTTGTATTTCATTCTTGATACTTGTAGCTAAACTGTGCATTGAGAGAAGGAAGGCAGGAGTGCGGGAGCGTTGAGCAGAGGCTATAACGTTAGATAATAGTACAGCGCGATATTCAAGCCTTAGTTCAGTGATAATGTTTTGTTACTTCGAAGTCAAATGACATTTTGTATCATACATTTCTCAACTTGACAGACGTTGAGCGTGTGAAGCCAGCCTTTCTTCCACGAAGCTCGGCATTTCCCGGCAAACAAGGCAAACTCACCTCGCAAGCTCTAGGCCCCATACAAAGTGAGAATATGACGATTTTGCTCAACCAATGGGGCGCTGGCGCAACTGGTAGCGCGTCAGATTCCAGTTAGTTTCAAGGGGTCCCTTGAAAAGATACTTGATTCCTGAAGGTTATCCGTTCGAGTCGGGTGTGCCTCATGCTTTTTGTCTTCGTTTCTAAAAACAATCTCATGTTCGCGGAAGGGTTGTGACTTTTTGCAGTGTTGCTTGTTCACCTCGATGCGCGATTTTCTCCCAACACAGAGATTAATTCATGAACAACCCTCTGGTAATAGCTACTATAAAGAAAAAGGGCTTTTAATTGATAAACATCTTCATCTTCTATATTCCCTGGTATCTCCGCGCTTCGTTTGACCATAGCGGCGATGAGGGAGTAATCTTGGTCAGCCCCTCTTTAGCTGCAGCAATCTCGTCTTCATCCACTGGCTTCCCCTCCAAGCGATCATGCATCGCATTTATAAGGAACAAGTTATCTTTGACCTCGGGCCAGTCAATAGAGTCAAGAACACACGTCTTCCTCTTTGTGGAGCTGACTTTATGCTCAAATTTGTCACGATAGATATTGTAGTGCGTCATTGCCTCCCAAGGATCCCAGCGCCAACGGTTCTGCGATGTCGCTAGGATAGGGAAAGGATGGGCCGAGACTGTATCATGACCGTCACTGTCGTCAATAAGAAAGTGAATCATTTGTTCGAATTGCTGGTCTGTTGGAGGATATATCGTTCGTGGTCCCTTTCTGCGGCATCCATGGAAGTATATTTGTCGACTCTGCATGTTTCATTAACAGCAAGTTGCTTTAAACTGAGGGTATTTCTTACCGCGGTGCCATCTTCACCTCTGTCGAACACAACGACGCTACCAAATGTTCTGGCTTCAACCCAGTATCCTACACTATCTGCAGCCCCGTTTGGATATTGATCAACTGCAATGTAAGGTCCATGCGAAAAAGCCGTTGGGTCTCGGAATGAGTCCCATTTCGTCATATCTCGCGGAGAATCTCTCCAAGCATCGTAGATTTTATGTCTTTGGGTAACATCGTCGAGCTGAAAGATCTCAACCGCGAACTTATGGCAGCTAACTGCAAGGAGCTCCAGAAGCCTCAAATAAAATTCTTTAGACTGAGGTGACGTTTTCCTGAATGCTTCAAGCAACTTGGAGCATGTCAGCTGCAATATCCACAGAGGTGATCGAGCGTTACCTACCGCAGCCTCAAACAAGAGAGATGAGATATCAAATTTTGATCGAAATTCACAGACTCTTTCCTAAACGCCCTCCGAAAGTTCCTCGTGTTCAAGTGCAGGATGCCCGTCTTGCGGAAACTGGAAATCCAAATATGAGGCTTTCAATGGTAAGCCATCAACCACTTCTGCATATATTTGCTCTGCTACATCAGTCTCCAATGTGCGTCGCAGAGCACGCTCGAATGCACTGTAATGTTCGATGTCTAAGTCTTTCGGGCTGCTAACCCCACCTTGATTTCGAGACAGCATAGCAGCTGTTGTAAAAAAAGAAGCAAGAGTATAAACCAAGTTGGAAAAGAAACCACCGAATATTGATGTTGGGGTGAATCTTTTCGGTGTTATGCAACTTGGGAGCTTATAATCACCACATAGAACATGGAACTTAGAAATGGTGAAGACTGACAAATCTATTCTGCTTCAATGTGCGACCTAGCAGCCTAGTGGCTGCACGTGAAAATAGCGGAGATCCAATAATGTTTCTCAAACTCTTTCAGCGAGGCAAGTCGTGAGCGGCCGGTATCACTGCATAAATTGTCACCTCAGGACCTCAATCTCGTTCCTTTCGGGATGTCAAATGCGACCTCAGCTACGGGTGGATTATTATAAATATGGGAGAGACCCCGGATCAATTTTGTTTTGCACCAGAGTGCGGTAATGTCATTACTAAAAGTCTCTTTGTTTGCCTGACTTCTATCCATGTACCATCCAATCCTCTTATAAAATTCCCTTTGGAGGTCTTGCAGATTCTGGTTCGATCACCCGGTGATGCTTTACTAAGCGTATTCTTAATCTCCGTCTACTTCTTCTTCTTGGGCTTCGTCTTATCCACAACATCCACCCACTTCGCATCAATGCCCTTCCTCGCCAAAATCTCCTTGGCGAGAATCTTCCTCTGATCACCCTGAACAACAACCTCCATCAATCCAGGTTTCGCACCAGCAACTTGGCCTACACTCGCAGAACCCGCGCACTTCTTCTGTAATTCCGGTGCAAGGACCTGAGGGTCGATGAAGAAGGGCTCCAGGTTGGAAATCTTGGTGACGACCTTTGTACCTGTTCGTTTCTCGATTGTTATCAAGATCCGAGGTGGTGAGCCGGATTTTGGCTTTTGGTCGGGTGAGGGAGCGCCTTGGGAGATGATGTGGAAGGGTTGGCAGAGATGAGTATCCTCGATCACTCGCTTTTGGAGGGTACTTCGGGGGATGCGTCCTGCGGCGAGAAAGCTGACGTCTTCGTCGGATGGTTTGTTGCCCAGGATGTCATTGGCGAGGAATGGGTCGAGTTTGACGCTGGAGTTCCCTTGGCCGCCTAGTTCAGGATGTTGGTCGATGTATGACTTGATAGCTGCTGAGATCTCCTGCGCGGTGTAGAAATCGGTCTTGGAGGGCACAAGAGTCGGTACGAGTTTTGAAGATACGCGGTAGACCATCTGGATGTTGACCTTCTGCCCCGCAGATGAGCCCGTTCCTGTGGCTTGCCCGGCATCTGACGCTGAAGCATCTCCACTGGTAGTCTTCAGGGTCGGCAATCGATAAGGCCGGAAGCCCAACACCTGCCGATCATCAAAGTCAATGTCCAAAATGACGGTTTCTCCACCATTTCTGTCTTTAGACTTTACGATCTGCTCTTTGTCGAGATGCTTGATGAACTTTTTGGCGTTCTTCCATGACGTCTTCTTGATGTTGTAGTACTTTGGGTTCTGGTATCGGAGGTTGGGCTGGACCATGTTTGCGATGATGAAAGAGGGCTGGAGAGGGAACGGCAGGCCAAAATGTGGCGGGCTGCCAGATTCTTTGGCTTTGTGGACTGCGAAGAGGAAGGCTTGATGGAACGCATCGTCGATTTCTTTTGTCGTCGGTTCGTGCTCCTCGTCTGCCTCATCACCTTCTTGGACCTCGTTGGCTTGAGATTCTTGGTCAGCTGGCGCTGACTCTGTTGATTGAGCCTCTTCTTCCAGAGACATTTTGTTAGCTTGGGTAGCCAGCCCTGCTGCAAGTCCTTCCCAACCTTCCAAGTTCGAAGGCGGGTCAATTCCTCCACTGCCAAGTTGCTTCCAACTCCAGCACTCATCACCAACCCAGTGAAGAGCCTTGATAGCCGCACCCTTCTGCCCCCGCACATCATCTGGCAGGTTTCGCACATCTATTTGACATGTCCCAACCCAAACAGGCACTGTGTCATTTTGCATCCCCGCGACAGCCACAACAGCGCCAGTGCTCGCTCGTGTATCCCAGCTGGTGCCTCTGGCTTTTACCAGCCCAGGAACCATCAAGTCGGCGCCATGCTTCAACTTCTCCTCAACCACAAAATCGGGCGTATGCAGAAGTGGGATGAGGTTAGGGTTACGCCACAAAGTGTACACGGTTGGTATTAAGCGGGGGTTCTTTCCAGTCTGAAACCAGAGGACTCTCTCATCTTGATCCGGATGTGCGCCTATGTACACCGTTCCTTGTTCCGTTGGTGTGATGAAACGAGCTGATGAAGTTGACTCTGGTAGAAGTGAGTTGCGCAATATCGTCTGTGATTGTGTCCCTGATGACGCATCGTCGCTGGACTCTGGGATAGAGACTTGATAGTCGCGGATGATTTGATCGGCGAGCTTTCGCCGATCTGAGGAGCGCAAAGGCGCCAGATTTCTGATGTCGGGTTTTCGTTTGAACATGATGACGAGATGTGGCTCGGTCTCGGAAAGTGGTGATTGTTGGAGTAAGTTCGTGGTTGGTTGTCGAGGTGAGTATTTTAGTAGAGCGGGGCAGAGGATAAAATCGCTGAGTAATCATAAGCTTTCGTCATATCCAATCACCCCGCCACCAAATGTGAATGAAGCCTTCATGAGTCACCCACTGAAATGATTCACTTCGACTCATGTTACACAACTTTATGCAGCCTGTTGCCTACCTTAGCTTTTGCGAATACTCAAATGATTTCTCGTTTTTGAACTTGTGTCATTTTGACTACATTTATTGGGTTTGGCATTAGATATTCACCCATCACGGCCAGTCATTGTCTTTTCTGACTACTCTCCTTGTTTGAATCGAGATAATGCCGCTTCCAGACAAAATCCAAAGGCCGATCATGAAGCGTCTCGCAGAGGTTAACCTTTTATCGACTTTGGGTGGTCGCTGTTTAAAAGCTACGTGTTCGATATCAGCACTCCCTGGCCAGTTCCTCTAGGCAGCCATTTGAGAACTCATATAAGCCTCTTGCATCGTGAGTCATATTCGGGCAAACTCAACCCGTTTATTTGCTACAATCATGCCAAGCCCAATTACCTACGTTCGTGATTTTCTCGCCTCATTTGGTTTCATGAGACCATCCTCAGGCATGCCAATCACAAGTTTATTCAGTACCCTTCCAGGCCACCACCGCATCCTCATCAGCGGGCTTGACGAGGCTGGCAAGTCCACTCTCTTACGCTCCCATTTGGCTACCAGTGAGAAAGATATATCAATCGTCGTAGGGACTATTGCGCATCAGGTTGAAGTTTATAGATGTGGCAACGTCACTTTCCATACCATTGATCTCGGTGGATGCAGGCCTGAGCCATACTGGAGGATGGAAAGATCATTCATCAAGCATTGCGATGCACTTGTATGGGTCGACGACTCGGCGGATCACGATCGCCTCATCGAAGCAAGAGAGGAGCTTTTTCGAGCTATACGCCACCAAGACGGATTGCGCAAGGACATTCCTGTGTTGATTCTAGCCAACAAGCAAGATAATAGCGTATGTGGCTTGACCTTCCAACTGAAATCTATACTGAGACGGTTCACAGAATGCTCGCACAGCAGAGCAGATAAAAGGGGTTTATGTCGACCATCCCTCTTCCCCTTTAGTAAATACACCACATGTGAGTGACTTATAGGGTCAGTGCTGCACACTAACGATACTGCAGGCAGTGTTTGGGTCGAGTATCAAGACTGGCGAAGGGTTGTTCGAGGCTTTCAGATGGCTCAGCGAGACTGTTGAGAGCAGGATGAAATATGACACTGGCATCAATGAAAAGGTTCCACTATATGACAAGGAAGAAGAAGCGAATAGAATCATTATGGAAGGACTACAGCCAACCAACAAGGAGGAGATCAGTGAAAAGACAGGGTAACAGGCCCATTGACTTTGAAGGCTTTCATTATTGGCTTATGTGAGGAAACTTTGAACCTTTGACTCCACAACGTTAAGCAGACCTCACTTGGGTCCATTAAACCTTTTCTGTTCAAGACGTAATTTAAACTTTTAACAGATTCCTATATCTCCATGAAGCCTTCAGCGATCTCCCAACTGCCATAGAGGTCCGTAGGTTTTAGATTGTTTCCAAAATTTCTCCTTTCGACAATTGCTCGGCAACGCGGAAACGTTCCAAATCATATTTTGTTTCACGTCATGAGGCTCTTCTATCTCGCGTATGCGCTATTCGCTTTGATATCCCACGCTACAGCTAAACCTGTTCCCCCAGTCCCTAAAAACAAACCGAAATGGTACCCGATGTTCCAAAATAATCTTGTACCATATCCACAGCTGTGGTGGCACGAAGATAATCCATGGAAAGCCGTCAGCAGGGGCGCAGAGATTATATACCATGAGGACGAACATGACCGCAGGCTGCTAGTCGGACCTTACACAGCGTACCTATCCTCAAGTATCATTCGTTGCATAAAAGCTAACAATCTTGAAGTGAATTCTTTCTATTTGAAGCTGGTCTCAGACCGACTATCCATATCAACCAGGTCAATTTGACAGCCGACACGCCGTACTTTATAGCCGGCTACTGGCGGCTTGACATGGGAACAATTCTCCCACAGTTTTATTGTACAATGCGTTTCATATTTCCTGGTGGAAATTACTCAGTTTGGGTCTTTCAGAAGTCCCAGGATCATAAAAGGTTGCAGGAGTTTATCGTGAATATTCCGGGATTGACAAAAGACAGTCATGAGCTGGAAATGATGTTATGGTGCAACAAAGTATTTACAAATGAGACCAAGGTCTTGGTCAAATTTAACGGGCTCCATATTGGGGAGGGTCAGATGGATGGACCAGCCTTGATTCCGTGACACCGAAGATACTACGGAATTGTTGATGACTTTTGTCAGCAAAATCCTTGACTCAATTAAAAATAATCAGACTATACAGTCAAAAATTGCAGCACGTGATAGGGTCTTTTATTTCGTTTAAGTTTAGAGAAGGATGTAGCTTTCCAGTCAATTGTAACTTGTCCCAAATCTCAAAAAAGGACAGACTGTTTGATGTTTCTATACTCCTATAATTCAACGCGCTATTCTACAGGCCGGTCTTCTTCAAGTCTATAACACTCAGGCTAACCTGGTTGGTGCTGCTAGGAGGCAACCAGCCACCTCCAATAATAGCCAAGAAGTTATCATTCTCCTTGAACACCATAAGTCCACGAGTATACGCATTAGGCTGAGGCGTAGCAAACTCGACCCAAGAGTTCTCAGCACCAAGGTTCTTGTTGACGAAGATCTGAGACTGGCTTCCAGCACTGACAATGATACTTCCGTTGGCTCCTCCAACTGAACTCCAGACAACAGTAGGTGAGCTGACGGGGCGAGTGCCCTTGTTGCTAACAAGGGCGTATTCCTTGGCAGCAAGGATGTTAAGAGGGTTGGAGGTAAGACGGTAGAAGATTCTGCAGCCTTGAGTACCGCAAGTCTCGTATACAAAGATGTATTGGCCGTTGGGGAGGAGGGTGATTCCTGGCATACCGGGACGAGCGTTGTAGTTGCTGTCGGCGACATCGTTGACGAGGGAAGACCAGCTGACGAGATCGGTAGTGGTCTGGTGAGAAAGCTTCTGGCCGTGCTTGGGATCACGCTGATCGGCGTAGTAGCAAACGAGCTTGTCCTGGTAGACCCTATTTTCAAGTTAGTGATGATGGTTTGGGTTTGTGGAAGGAGGTCGTACATCATATGAGGCTCCCATACTGGTGTGAGGCCGTTGTTAGGACGAGCTTCACCGCCTGAGGCGATGCTGCTAGCGAATTTCCATGTCTTACCACCATCAGTGCTGGCATAGACATCAATCTTGGTCTTGCTCAGATCTGTAGGAATGCTGTTTCCTGTGCATAGGATGGTTCCCTTGGGATACTTTCCGATCGCCCTGGGAAGCTCATAAAGATCTGGCTGATATCGTAGTCCCCAATTGTTAACTGTATCCTGAACCTTTCCGATCTGAGTCCACTTTACACCACCATCTGTAGAACGGTAGATGGGGAAGTAAACCAGCGGAGGCTCCGGGGAGTAGTTCTCCCAAGTTGCAAGCAGAGAACCGTCTGAGAGCTGGATGGAGCGGGCGTAGAGAACGCGAGGGTCTGTCCAGCCAGCGTTGGAAGGAGGAGAAAAGATTACATTGTTGGAGAATGTTGAAGTAGGGACAGCACGCTTGGCGGGTGTAGGAGGCTCTTGGTTTGCAGTAGGAGCAGCGAGGACTGCAGAGAGACTCAAGAGTCCTCCCCAAAGAAGAGATTGGAAGCGCATGATTGCAGTGAGATGCAGATAAGGATACTACTGTCTCTACTCTCATTCCTGGCGATCCTCAGCACTTCTTATAGCAATTCACATACTCACATTCCTGCCTCGGCAGCTTCCTCAGCTCGTCACCCATAGTCTTGGCGATCAACTTCGGGATATCTACCGACCATGCAGGCTGCGATGTCACGAAGTTTCTCTCCAGCGCCGGCATCTCAGTGGCGCGGTAAATCTTGCATGGTGTCATGACCTCCTATTCTGGGATAATAAGCCGTTGATCCCCCTGCTCGTCGCGGTTTGTGGGGTCCCCGCGTGAACATGTTTTTGTGTGGGGAAGAAATTGACGCGCTTTTGCTTGATTGGGTCGACGGAGAGGGTAGCTCCGAAAATGGCTTAGACCTTGGTTTGGGAGAGAGAAATACGGATTTTGAGGTGATCTTTTGCCTGTTTGTGACGTACCTTCAGGTATATCAAGTTTGCGGAATGATACCGTGGGAAAGGTGAAGTTATCTCATTGGGTTAGCCCCTGGCAGGCTTAATTGTAAGCTTAAAAACTTGATGCGCTCCAATGGCGAGGTTTTTCGTAACATCGTGAACTTGGCTCTTGTTTATCATCAACCTGGAGTGAAATGATGTCCTGGCATAGTGCCACCCGCAGCTAAGAGTATAAAATATTGTCCTTATTGCGTTAATGTATTTTTTTTAGAATTTAAACATTATAGACATCATCGGCTACTCAAATTCTTTTATGTAACTAAATGTTGAGATTTGTTGGTATTGAATATAAAAAGCAAACAACAAAACCATACTCACAACCACGACGCGTGCATAGTTTTCAGGCAAGACAACAGCTTCAAATAGAAAATCACTATTATCTTCAAAAAAAAAAAAAAAAAAAAAAAAAAAAAAAAAAGTCTATATTTACGGATTGGCAAAATGTAAAAAGAAGCGGATAACAGTGGGATTAAACCACATATTTTGGACGAACAGGGAATCGAACCCTGGACCACTCCCAGATTATTCGGATGAATTATGCTAAGGGAGTATTATACCACTAAACCATTCGCCCGCAACGACTTATGATTGGTTGCAAGTGGAACTGTAATTGTGCTCTATATTGTGGAGAAGCTTGCTAAGCACTTCGATGCAATGCATCGCTTAAGGTTACGTGACTTACCGAAGACGAACTGTTATGTTTGAGAAACTTGCACCTACAATCACTAAACCTCCATTGCCAGCTTGTTAAGTCCCAGGAGCTCATCTCCTGCATTGTATGGAAATGCCTGAAGATGCAACATGACTGCGATATCTCAACGTGGTCAAGCATGCATCAAGGCTCCCTCTGAGCTGGATGGCCTTCAAGCCACTTCAGTAAGGTCGGTCTAGCCATGAGCAGCACCGCGATCAAGGATTATGTCCCGGCTCAGACCCCAGCCCGCGTGAGATGCTGGTCGACATTCGTGTCCGTGAGCAAGCCGTCTTTTATGCAAAGACGCTGATGAGGCCAATAAGCGCAAATCATTCCCAATCTGCCCACATGCCGTCGATACTTAGCTCCTGTAGGCGTCTTATTAGCTGGGACTTGTCTCATTTTACCCATGTTGTGAAGAACTGATGTTAGGCCAACAGAGCAACATTCATCTTAAGCAATCATGGCATGCTGAGTCGCATGTCAACGGTTCCTTGTTTCAACGTATATAGAGTATGTAGCTTGTGTTAACTGAAATAATACTGTCATCTTTAGGAGCTGGCAGGTCGTGCGGCTTCCACGAATTATTTGTACTTCAGCGCACACTCTTCAACTTCCAGGTACTACCAGTATCAGTCTCAGAGTCGCAGAGGTTCCGAATATCGGCATCAATCCAGCCCCTGAACAGGAGCTAAATTGATCCCATTGACTACAGCTAACTATGTGTCAAGAAGGCAGATTGCAATAACAATTAGGTCTTTCCAGAGTAGCACAGGTCTGCTCGTCATGGCCTCACGCGCGAAACGTGTCGGCCACGTGGAAATTGGAACTAACAATTAGCTAGCTCAGCTATCCGGCCAGAGACTGTCAGGGGTTCATGAGTCAGTGCGTGCCAATAAGCAGTCTTATGAAGGTTCTAGCAACTGCCGATTTGTGACTTGTTTAGCTTGCATAATCAATGCAGATTATGAGTTGATGGCGGCGTTACGGTTTCGTATCTGGGCTGCTGTCTCATTGGTGGTGTATGTGCCAGGCTGGGGAATACGCGGTTGGCATCTACCCGGGACCTATGATAATGCAATTCATGCGATCAAAGAGATAACAGCCTGAGCCGCATTATGCATGGATTCATGGTGATCATGTATGATAAGATCGACCGTCGGCAATCGGGAATTTTAGGAGCCGCAATTACGCCCCTGGTTAGATAACAGGATCGAGTGAAACTATCGCGACATTCTGGGAGAATGCAAATGCCATTGCAAAAACCCAACGAGAGCCGCCACGGACTTTCGGGTTCCCACGTGGATGAATTCTCCTGAACAAGATTACCAGGGTATTTTCAGCCCTGAGCACAGACAAGCGGAACCTAAACCCACTGCATCTCATCTCCCGCCCATTGATCATTTGTGATAGTGACATTGTAGCGCTATTTGTCGCAAAACGGTGTATCGGGGTTGAGGCCGTTGTCCCGCCGTTCCAAACTAGTGAAGCGGATATCTGGGGCATACGCAGAGGATCGGCATGCATTTGATTCAGAGTACGAAGGACAATGAGAGCTAGTGCGAACAAAAGTGCAAAATGACCCGAGTTGTTGGTTTCTGGAACTAGTCGAAGGATCCATTGTCTGTGGACATTGTTGACTGAAGCTCAATAAGCATAAGCGAGACAAAATACAGAAGGGGAGAGATTGGCATGATGTGTTTAGGTGAAACCGTACCACGTCAAAAGTCAAGTCAAGGGTCTTTCTAGAAACAGTCGATTTCTCGGCATCAACAAGCTTTCATTCAATTCATGCATGTATCATGAAGAATCGGTCGAAGGGAGATCTCGGAATTCCCGCGAGCCATTCCCCCAGATGGACGAATCATCTTGACCCCCGTTGGCTCTTCAACCCAAGTGGAACCACTTTTTGGCGCCATGGAATCGTAATTTGCGTTATCTCGTTTAGCGTCCTCCTTGAGCCTCAAATGGTTCACTGAGTCGTTGGGTGAGGGGAACGAATCTCACGGCCGAGTCGGTTGGCGCCACAGTAGATCTGGTCCGTTGAGGTTCGGATCATGTCCATGTCCATTTCCATGGGGGCTTGATCATGTCACGCAGCGGAACCGCAGGCGCAATTTGCTTCAATGTCAGCCCAAGTGGGTGAGCGGAGCCGGCGGTGTCGCTTCATTGTTGCATGTCGATCGTCGGTGAAGATCACCAACAGACAAGTCAATTGACAAGGGCATTTCAGCTTACGAAAAGACAGCAAAGAAGCAAGTCCGATTTGCCGGGCGATTTGTTCCATATTTATCTTGATCGAAAGGGTAACCTTTCCCGTGTCTCGAGAATTTTCCTAGATTGATGGAGCTGTTTTAGGCTCCAAAAAATACATGATTGGTGGAAAACACGCTCCCAAGGCTCTAGACAGATGATGCTAGACTTGACTTGTCCTAGAAGCAAACCTTGTTCCTTCGGCGAAAGGGGTCATGGCCACAAAGGTTGGTCCTTGACAAAGCAGAATCGAAGCTCAAGCGGCTTATGCCTTACAGTAAACACAACAATAACATGCGAGGCTGGGTTACCTTGAGCTGAGTTATCAGGGCACACCAGAGGAGGAGTGCTTGGCGGGTGGTCACTGCTCCACGGACTAAAGGAAACGCCAGCCTCTGCTGTATCTTGCAGCAACATCGTATGCACGTGGATTAATCAACAGTCTAATCTCCATCTAGATCTAGTCAGTCGCGTGGCCGGCGGCTCGCCATGTGGTTCTCCGCTTTCCACGAGGAAAAGACTCTGCATCCGCTCGCTCAAAGAGGAATCGTTCGGCGGCCGCACGAGTAATGTAGGTCCCCTTTCCAATCCTTTATCATCTCCGGCTCCGCCATCGCATCGTCGCCCGGACCTGCTATAGTCGCTCGGCTGTGCTTGCTTTTTGCTTTTTCAGACCTGAAGTGATGCTTGACCTAGGAGGTTCTACTACTCTGCAGAGGCGGTCTTCTACGCAGGTATCCAACATGTCAAAGGGAACAATTACACAGTCGTCGTCGCGTTTGCTATGTGCGTCAAACGATGACCGACCGCAATCAAAGGTTGGTACTCGACTCCGGACATAATCGGCTATAACAACTTTTGCTTTTTTTGTTCAACACCACTAACAGCTTCAAACAGGACCTTCAAGATCTCTTTTCCGCCCTCCTCGCCAGTCTTCTCCCTCTCGTCCCTCATCGCGTCCGCTTCATCAAGATTGAACACACATTCCTCGCCGAAGATGCTATCCACAACCTCGGCAATCTCAAACTTACCCAGTCAAATCGTATGCCTGATCCTAGCAACCCATCGGGCACCGTCGTCTCCACCTCCACGACAACCTTCTCCATGAACAAGAACACAGCCCGAAATTTGTGTCAGCAATTCGTCGATGCTCGATATATCGAGTCTGCCGATGGAAAGCCTGATCAAGTATTCCAACAAAGAGGCGGAGTATGGAGACCAACGTCCAAGGGTATCATGATCTTTGACTGGTTCTGTCAATCGAATGGCCTTTACCAGGATCAACTGAGCGAGCTGCATTGCCTCATCACAGGACCCTTATTGCATCTGGAGCGAGATGTCAAGACAGATACGTGCCATGTCGATCGAGCCACCACTGAGGTTGTCTTCTGTCGATTGATCGGTGTTGACGGACGAGGCAAGAAGGGGCCTTACTCAGAGGGTGCAGCAGGTATCCGACTTCAGCCAGAACGCAAGGTAAATGGCAAGACATACCATGATACTTGCACTGGCCAAGTCATCGCTGAGTGGCTACGAGACAACACGACATGCGTCGATCTGCGAGAAGCCGTCAACCTAGCAACTCACTTCGTGCACTACAACCTCATCGAGTCAGTTACAACAGACATGGCCTACATGAATCAATTCGCCCCCTGCAAACTCTTCCAACCTACCCCCATCGCCATCTATCAACTCTCCCAACGCGGTCAAGACCTTGTTGAGACTAGCTCATCGAGTCGCTGCTCATCACAAGGCAAGACAGACTCATCATCAGCAAAGGGCGGTGTCAACGAGAGCAATCGACACAAGCTTGAGAAAATCCTCCTCGACCCTACGCTGCGATTGTTGTTCCGTGAGAACCTTCGAGAGACTTATTGTGAAGAGAGTCTCGCATTCTACGAGCAGGCTGACGAGATCATTCGGGACTCTAAGGCCATGCTTGAGACGATGCTAAAGGATAAGAAGGGCGATGACGCGGCGAACGAGCTTCTTTCTCAAGCGCATGTTGTTTTCAACACCTTTCTCGCACCTGGGTCACCGCGAGAGGTCAACGTTAACCATAAGATCCGATCAAGTCTTGCTCAACGAATGACCAAGGCTCAGGCTCTTGATGCCACGGTAGCAGATACCTTGAAAGAGGTGACATCGCTATTGGAGACTGCACAGGATGCCGTCTTCAAACTCATGGCCACTGTAAGTTATTCCCATAACAGCTCTCCAACATCATACTAACAGATTCCAGGACTCTGTGCCCAAGTTTCTCAACAACCCAGCAGCCGAAAGCCGACTTGTTCAGGCTGGCGTGCGATGATACCCTCAAAACTTTTCGGAGATGGATGTTCGATATAATACAGCGAGCGAGCAAAGCTACACCAACCACATTACCATTATTCTAATGTTTTTATTTCCTTTGTCGCATAGCAATTGTACGATGGCCGGAAATGATTCCCCCCATAGATTAAGATAGACGGAGGTTTTAGGCAGAGCTGACTGTATGTCATACTGCCGGGGACTGTTGAAGGGCTGTGTTACTTGGCATAACGCATACTACATAAATTTAGATAAGGCTGTGAGCATCAATGCAAGATTTTTGAGCCCCTCCATTTTCAATACCTTTCGTGAGATCATCTGAATCGCCTTCGAAATGAGCCATCGCAAAGTCGTTTGTCGCCTTATATAAAGAGTCATCATAGAGCTGGGAGCTCTATTGTGTCTTCGGATCAGATTGAGTTTCTGTCGCCTCACGAATCTTTTAGAAACAGCAAGCCTCAGACCCCAGACTTCACTGGAGGGGTAGCGCAAACAGAACAGTAAATTCATGTCTTCCACGACAGACGGAAATTTCGCGCAAAAATGGAGCACATACACTCTACAACCGTGGAACTTGTGTCTCCTGACCGTTCTTGGTACTGCGTTGCAAGCGGCCATCATCGCTTCTATCTAAGCCTCGATGGACAAGAACCTACCAACCAATCTCTCATGCTCCGATATGGTACAATAATCGCCTTTTGCGCTAAAGCAAGCCTGCGAACTGCTGTCGCTATGGCATTTCAGCAACGTGCATGGCTAATCGCCCGCCACAAGATGGCGCGTTTCGAAACAGTCGATGCCATTCTCACAGCCAATGACGACATATTTTTCCTCTTGACATGGTCCTCCATCAAGAACTCTAAGATCCGAACCCTGCTAGCTCTTTATTGTTGGGTTACACCGTTGGTTGTAGTTCTCACAGCTGAGACACTGGCTGTCGTGGCCGGAGTCACGGAGGAGCTAGTATCGTGTCCATCTGTCCGAACGCTAAACTTTGACAATGAGGCCAACTATGACTGGAGTGAGAGACCAGTTATGGATGGTCGGGCACTCCGATCTGTGGCGCATTTTAATACTACTAGCAGGGAGACAAAGCCTCAAGACTTTAATTCGACGCATTTTGACTATTGGAATGCGGCGAGTACTATGTACACGTCTGTTGTGTCGAACAGGGCGGTCTTCATGCCTGAGCCTCTTGTGAGGGATGAGTCGGCTGCTGAGGTCTGCTCTGATGGCTGGAATTGCACTTATGTTGTTAACTTCCTCGCGCCAGGGTACAAATGTGAAGAGCTGGCTTCTGGCGTTGGGTCGAAGGTGAAGAAGCTTGGTGACGCTGAGGCGCCGTCCAATACTTCAATTTTTGCGCCAGAACTTAACTACACTTACATGTATATGGCCGCTAGAGAGAATTATACCACCTATAGTTGGCCACGGCCCAAGGATTTGGGCGTATTCAAGAATGAGCCCATCATTTGGGTTGGCTATGTCACCGTCAAAGACATGAACGAACAACAGCCGAAGAACAAGGAAGACAAAGGCTGGGATAAAGCTTATACACCTGCTATCTTTGGCTGTGACCATTATGAAATCAACTACACTGTCCTATTCGACTACGTGAGAGGTGCACAGTCATACAAGATTAAGAAACGTGAGTATGTCAGGAAGGTAGTCAACACAACGCTCATCTCAGAAAACACCTCCGGAAAGATGTCAAAGAAGAAGGCGATCCCAGAAAGTAACTGGGTTCATCCTCAAGACTTTAAAAAGTATCGCCGAACAGCTGCTTATCACGTTATCGGCAGTGGACTCCGACGATATCCCGGAGGAAGTGTCAACGCAGGAACCAACAGAACAACAACATATGTCCTCACATACTTAGGCGCCAAGATAAACCCCCTTCCAATCACGGATCTTCGTCAAGGTATTCAGAAGCTTTACGAGGACCTTTTAATGTCGTTCTTCGCTGAGCCATCCTTCATTGCGGTTTCTTGGGCTCCAAATGGCAAGCCATCGGGGACTGGGAAGGGAGACGCATCAACAGGCTATCCATGTCGGCGGCAGCGACAGACTACGCTATTCATTTACAAGCAGGTTCAGCTATTGTGTGTTTACGCGGCGAGTATCTTGTTATCAGTTATTGGTGTCTTGGTCGATATACAGGCATATCGTGAAGAAGGCGTGATGCTTGATATGAAGCCTTCCTCGATTATCGGTGACTCAAAGAATGGGACGTTGAGTGCACAAAGGGGTGATGCTAGGACGGGATATGGTCTCGTAGAAGGTGGGACTGAGACGAACCTCAGACCTCCTGGAATGGAAGGAAACATGACACAACAGCAGAGGCTATAGGCATCGGAAGGGGGGCTTACTTTATGATACACGACGTTGATGATAGGAAACAGGATGGACTCTTTGCTTATTGTCATATTTTCCCTTTTGGAGCTCATTTTGGTTTGACCTCCTCGCCTTTGACCAAGAATGCCACCATAGCGCCTTCGCCCATCCGAAACTCGGGCGCCCCAATGACTTCGAGGATAGTTGATATGGTGAATGAGTGAGTGGTCAAGGAAATACATGGTCCTGAATTATGCCTCCAAATATCCTCAAGTACTCCTTGTGTCCGGGAGACGTGTTCTGCATTCGACTCTGATTGATCAGCATGCCATAACACATCTTCCTCGGCGAAGCCAGATTCTAACTCATAGTCAGGATAAGAGGCTTGAATCCACTGTCTCGCCCTCCGCTTATCGCATGTATGATTGGTAAGTCGTTCTCGAAGATTCTCTTTCACTATAGGTCTGAACTCAGACCCTTTTTCTGCGATAATGTCTCTGAAAATCAGGCTCGTTGTCTTGAGACCTCGAGCAAGCGGGCTGGTATAGATAGTGTCTGGGACGGGGAAGCCTGTACGCTTGATGCCCTCGGCATATATCATCCCGAGGCTTTTAGCTTGCTCAACTCCTTTTTCAACAAGCTCGGCGTCAAGCCAAGTTCTATTTGCGTCCCCGGGTAGCTTTGACCAATGTTTCTGAGGAGTATCAGCTTGTTGCAGTCATGCCCGATACATTAGGAAAGGCATACCTTCCATTCTTCTGATCCAACCTCCTCCATCACATCGTTGTGAACACCGTGACCATGTCGCGCGACCAGCAATATTTTATGTGAGATACCCGGATCGCTCCGGCGGTTTAATTGTTCGACGTGGTCGGTAAGCCTAGCCCATTCGCGACGATCGAGCAGACCAAGGTTTGGCTGAGTGGTGAGCTTCGATCCAGGATATGAGTGAGAAATTACTGGATAGTCCACAAACCAACCAGGTTCAAAGCTGAACTGATATTGACAGACTGAATATGACATTGAGATAGATGACAAAAGTGGTGATAGCCAGAAACCTGGATGCATAGAAGGGGGTTGGCCGCAGGTGTATCAGAGGTCACCTTGCCAAGACAGACAGGCAAATGCAGTGATACCAAACTTAATAAAGCAACATGGAAAGTCAAGGCTATAAGACTCATGACTCCATAGTGGCATGGCTGACCTCGTGAGGCAGTGAGACGGAGGCCCCTCATTCGGCAGCCAATGATGCAATGCCAACAAATCCCGCGTCTTGCAGTCTAGACCAGCGTCTCAAAACATATGACAATATCACTGGTGACACAAAGAGGAGACATATCAGCCGCATTGCCAGGGCTGAATCATAAGAGCCAGTCAATGGCTAAATCTTTTATCGCAGGCTTTCCTCTGTCGTTCATTCGCTTCTTGTTCCGCTAGTCCAGAGCATCATTTTTGCCAACACTTTTCTGTCTTTTTCTTCCACTGTGGGGCTCCATGGCTCTAGACTATTCGAAGGTCCCTGTCAAAGCTGGCGATTTGCGTCTAGTGTCACTTGACAGCTCGGCTGAAGATATCACCAAAGCAAAATGGAAGCTAAGAGTCGTAAGCTTGCATGATCCATTGACGCGCTACTACGCCCTTTCTTACAGATGGGGAGCGCCTATCAACGAGGAGCCCTTCAAATCATATACAAACGAGCGTGTTGAGTCTATCAAAATTGGCGACGGAGAACTTAAAGTTGCCAGAAACCTGCTGGATTTTCTAATCCAGGTCAAGGAAGACGAAGAGTTGAAAGACAAGGAGTTCTGGATCGACGCGATATGCATAAACCAGGATGATGACGATGAGAGGAGCTATCAAGTCAGCAACATGATGGCTGAGATCTATCGAAGAGCAAATTCTGTCATTGCGTGGCTTGGGGACTCGGATGCGCACACGAAGCGAGCTTTTGATCACATCTCTAAGGTAGCTGACCGGAATATTGTCACATCGGTGGGTATACCAACCGGGCGAAGAAGTTCTGAGCATTCTGATGGAGACGAGGCTTGTTGGGAGGCCATTGGAAAGATCTTTGATCGGACCTACTGGAACAGATCATGGATCATTCAAGAACTCGTACTCCCGCAGCATGTTACTCTCCGCTGCGGGGTGTATTCAACAGACTGGGATGTTTTCGTGAAGGCCTCACATAACATAGCAACAAGCCATTTGAAGCAGTTACGACAGTCGATCTACCGAGGGAACGACATCTTCCGCCACAACCTTGAAGGCGTCGCGTAACTACGGAGTGCCGGCGATTCTCAAAGCAACAAAATCATCAATGGTCACAGAGCACTGGACTACTGTGCTCTTATATACGCTGATACGATCCCGTGACTGCGAGGCTACAGATCTTGGGGACAAAGCATACGCTCTGCTGGGACTTATTCAGGGTCGTCAGGATATTAAACAGTTACCGCCGTTGCTGTGCCCCACATATGGAAGCGACTGCAGTCCTGGAAAGACATACCTCGACATCGCCACCCAGCTTCTCAGGGACTGTGAGGATCTGCTCGTTCTCTCTTGTGTAGAGGGTTTTCGCAACGTAAAGTTGAATGGCGCGGACCTTCCCTCCTGGGTTCCTGACTGGAGTGTTAGATACCCTCTTGGTCTCAGAGTCACCGGATATAAAAGATATCAAGCAGATTCGTTCTTCTTTTCACCAGACACGTATCTCTCACGAGAAAAGAAGCTCGGTCTTTGGCCTGCTGTAGTGGACGAAAGTGAGCTTGCGGTTACTATCCACGGAATGCAAGTCGACAAGATCTCCTTCGTTGCAGAGTCAAAGCTCGATATCTTGAATTGCAAGCCGTTTCCTAGACTCTTGGAGATGTTACTGATGCTGCCTGAAAAGTATGAAGTCACTGGTGAAGGCCGAATGGAGGCCTTCTGGCGAACGTTGACGCGGAACACTTCTGGAGAGGTCAGGCTTCCTCAGCCAAAAGGATCATCAATGGGGCCTAGTTTCACAAAATGGATACAAGAGAGAATCCGCTCTGTGGTGACGTCCCCGAAAGACGAAAATCAATGGAAGAAGCTCATGGAAACATTCAATCAATTCTGCCTCCGCGATGTAGAATGGGTTACCACCACCAAAAGATCGGAGCTTGATGTCTCATCGATGGAGTTTGGCTCGCAATTCGCATATGGGGAGTACCTTCGACCGTTCATAACAGAGAAAGGGTACGTTGGACTAGGGTCACAGAATTTGCAGGAGGGAGATACAGTCTGGGTGGTGCCACGATCACGGGTGCCTTTAATATTCAGGCAGAATGGAGAGTTTGATCAACAAGGTGATCACCATTGCCAGTTGATAGGAGGGGCATATCTCCACGGATTCATGGATGGTAGGTGGTTGGGACAGAGGGTAACGAAGGATGATATGCTGCTGCGAACAATTATCATTCACTGATCACAAAACTCCGACCCTATTCATTGTATATCATGTACATAATTATACATATCATACTAATTGCCACGGATTAAACATGTTGACTAATTGAATGGTACTTGACTACTTGCTGGCCATAAGATTAAACTTTAGGCTGCTAACACATATGATGAGGACACGATATTCTTTTTCACAATATAAGCTTCTACACAAAAAGCTTCCACGATGTTGGATGGTACACACCCTCCGCAACATCCGAGATAAGCCCCAATACTCTCTCACGAATGGGCAATCTGGCCCACAGCACCCACGTCCTCGTCAGTTTAAGATAAATTACCCATCCATCTGGTACTCGTTTGATCGCCAGCTGACTAGGGTAAATAAGCAGCAGGGGTTTACACGAGCGCTCAACCTTAGATTCCCGCACCTGGTTGCTCAGCCAAAGATTCACCTTCTAAGTGGCGACATGGAATCAGAAATTGTGCCGCACAAGTCGATCGCTTTTGTTAACACTGCAATCACCGCTCTACCTGTATTTTTCTTTCGTTTGTGTGAAGTTGATGAAGATCCCCATATACGCGTCTGTTAGTGGTTTCAGGATATATTGTTCCCCGCCTCGAGAAATAACGGGATTGTATTCGAGCTGTAGCGTGGTTTCAGGTCGCGTAGTTAAATGACCACCTCTTATCAAGGCCAGGATTGATTGGAGCGGCTTCGAGCTTTCACATTAGACTTTCGGCCTGAGACTTGCGAACAGGCGCTTAATGTTGATGAATGGGGTTATACAAAAGTTATCAATCCTTTATAGGAAGCTTGCCTTTTGTTATTGTCTTTTGTACCTTGATATCTTCATTCTATCGTTTGCTAGGAGCCACGCTCGTTAACATTTCTTTTCATTATGACACTCATTTATACCATCTTGTTTTCTTTTCTTCTTCCTCTTTCCTACGCTTTCACTCACCCTGGTCTGCTGGTCACCGACACAGATATTAGTCGCATCAAGACCAAGCTCGCTGACAAGAAAGAGCCTTGGACTGCGTCATGGAATAAGCTGACAAGCATTCCATTTGCTAGTGCCGACTACAAGAACAATGCAGTCAAAGAAGTCAACCGAGGCCAAAATGGGGAGGCCCTATGGCATGATGCAGCTGCTGCGTTCAACCTCGCTCTGCGCTGGAAAATCAGCGGAGAAGACCGGTATGCAGAAACCGCATCGGAAATCCTAATTGCTTGGGCAGACACTCTGGAGATTCTCAGTGGAGGCGACGACGCCTATCTTACAGCAGGATTGCAGGGGTACGAGCTTGCTAACGCTGCAGAGCTTCTCCGCGACTTCGAGCCATTTGCAAAGAATGGACTATCCAAAGTTATTAGCATGTTTAGCAAAATATTCTTGCCGATGAATCTCGATTTCCTCAATCACGTTCTGGGGTCAGAGCACAATGTCAAGCACTTCTTTGCCAATTGGGAACAGTGCAACATTGCTTCTACTATGGCTATCGCAGTCCTCACGGACAATCAAACCACCTGGGACTTTGCTGTTGACTACTTCAAGCATGGTGAGGGCAATGGGGCTATCAACAACGGTATCTCGAACATTGTTGAAGAGCCAGGTACCGGAAGAGCACTCGGCCAAGGGCAAGAATCTGGTCGGGACCAAGGCCATTCGGCGATGAACTTCCAGGTGCTGGGTGCCATTGGACAGCAGGCATGGAATCAAGGGGAAGATCTCTTTGCTTACAATGACAGCCGCATTCTTCTCGGGTTCGTGGACCACATTCCTATTTTAACTAGCTGTGACAAGGTCTGCTCAACTAACATCTGCATACAGAGCCGAGTACTTCGCTCGATACAATCTCGGAAATGATGTTCCATTCGAGCCTTACACAAACGGCATCGTCTCCTTCGATGTTATCAGCGAAGCCTCCCGTGGTGCGGTTCGACCGGCTTGGGAGCTACTTTATAATCATTATGTTAACATCAAAGGCCTTGATGCGCCTTGGACAACAGCATACCTGAACAACTCCTTGGAGTTTTTCGGTGGATTTGAGGGCGGGGCTGGATCTTGGGGTGAAGGCTCAGGCCACTATGATGGACTTGGCTGGGGTTCTCTCCTGCATCATCTGGATAAATCTGATATCCAGGCTGAGAAGTCCTCCGTTGCCGGCCCAGGACCAAGCACAGCCACGTTAGAGAGTCAGCCAACGTCAACAACTCTAGCGACAGTCCGTACTACCTCTAGATCAAAGACGGCAATCGCTGATGAAGGCGCCGAGAGCTTTACGGTGAAGCCATCTGCCGTAAACGCCCATCATTCTTCTACGACAACTGCCACGGCAATTCCACAAATTACGGAAAAGCCAGGAAAAGGATGTCGTGCAAGGAGGCCGAAGAGTAACCGGCATCGCTCAGTTGTAAACTAGGAAGTTGAGTCGGAAGAACTTTTATCAAATAGCTGAGCCCCTATCGGATGAGTATTGGAAATAACCCGAGGGTGGTTGTCTTGGTAGCGCTCCCTCAAGGCGATGACTATTCGTTCGCGTTTCTGCTTTCGAATGAGAATCAAGGGGTCTTCTTTCTTGTGTATATTAGAATTCTCGTAGCTGGTCTACAAGGGCAAAACAAGTGATGTGAAGCTGAAGCTGGGTCACTATTGTTGAATATGATCTAGCCTACAGTATATCAGTTCTTAGGCAGCTCACGTGTCGCTTCACAAATTCCACTTCATATTCGCCAACACCACTCGATACCCATCAGCGTCCTCAAACGTCTTTCCGCACTGATCCCAATACGGATTAAAGCTCGCGACAGAAACAATGCCAGCTTTCTCCATCCGCCCAACTGCATCATCGAATTTCTCTTTCTCTGGCAAGTAGAAAATCATGAGATTGTCCTGCGTAGGTGATCTACCCGCGTCATGTCCACGCTTCGCCGTGAACTCAAGATGATAGCCTGCACCCTCATGGCCGAGCATTAGACCATCGAAGCCGTCATGGTCACGAAATTCGCCGATCTTCTTGAATCCTAGACCGTCGACGTAGAAGGGCAGAAGGGCGTCGATATTGTTTGTTGGGCGGGCCACGCGAAGGTGAGCGGATGCGATGGGAGCTGACATTATCGCGTTAGGGAATTTGATTGAAGCGAGAGTCCGTATCTAAACCTAGATTTTAGGTCAGGCCTGGGCTTTCTTATACTGCAATCGAGACCCACTTGACGTTTTTACGGCGTTTCCGGTGACTCACATCTGTAGTCTAACATATTTTACAAAGTGAATTTAAGCAATAATCAACGTCGTCAGACTAAATTTATCAGAAATAGAGTTGAACAAAAATATTTACTTAACCCGAGTCAAGATTAACTTCTGCCTCCCAGTACTTGGGGCTTGGAACGGCTTTTACCCCGCAGACCCCAGGTATAAGAGGCCAGATGTTCCAGAATACAATCAGGCCTTCTTTTCTCAAGTTACGCCATCATGAACCCCTCCAAAGCTTCCGAAACGATTCCTCCAGAGCGACTGCGTGTCTTACTTCAATCAATCACGCATCACGTGCCTGGCAAATACTATGGGGAAAAGATGTCATTCACAAAAAACATCATTTGCCAACGTCTCTGGAACCGCGACTTCGATCCGTTGCAAGAACGGTGGTATCCATTCAACCCCTTGTTTGGCCTACGAGACCGTAAATGCTTCTTCTTGATAGATCATTTTGGTTTTGATCATGCCATTCACGAGGAGCTGGAGACCGCCCCAGTTTTCTGATACAAATGGAATGGAGAAACTCTAAGTCATATCCATGCGGCATTCTTGTTTAATCAAGCTAATGAATACGCCGAGCAGCGTGCAAATCACTACAGATCTCCCAGCCACAATACAACAAGAGCTTAAGAAATGGCCTTTTACTTGGCAGGGAAGGACATTTCACCGCATTCCCAAGAATCCTGATGGAACCTACAGTCCAACTGTGTATCGACGTGTTGTACAGTCCTTTCTACGCCTTGGAATCCCTCTCTCATATGATCATATCAAGTTCGTAGAGCAGTATCCCGAGCATGCAAGATGGCTGAAGGATAACTTGGAAGAACATCTTTGGCTTCAGCTTGAGCCATTTAGCAGGATCCGAAATGAAGAATTAACTATGTAACTTAGTAGTCTTGCTCTATTTAACTAATAAAATATTAAACAGATAAATGTTAATTATATTATACTTCTTAGAATATCTATAACTTAACGGGCTTTATCTTCTTCTTTTATAACTTCTGGCCTTGAGGTAATGTGATAAAAATAACTAATTCACGGTCCATTAAATTTATACTAACCTTACCAAAGTCCTTTTACTATTTAGAATATACCTCTTATGTTTTCCCTCCTTCCTTAGACTGAGATCTTTTTCACAAGGGTAAAGTGCACATAATCACACAAAAAGGCATTCTACTCCTTTTTCGACCAAATCTTGGTTGCCAGGAATCAGATTTCAGCATTAAGTAGTCTTTCAGTTAATCTATGAGCTTCAGCGCATCAATGATCCAGCTGCACAGTTGGCACTGAACGAGTATAAGGAGTCGAGGGCAGTATGTGAGTATACGCAGGTGAAGACCAGCAAGGTGTAGTGTCAAGGTATCTTACAGGATGCAGAGAAATAGTAACACAGTATTAAATTATGGAAACTTATATTAACACCCATACTTCTTTCCTATGCCACGTAACAGTTACTGTTTTGTAACATCGCGCACAGCAGCGACAGCAAATGGGTTGGCCGTGAAAGTTCCATTCGGGTCAGCCTTAGCCCTCGCCTTGCCAAGCCTCTTATACTTGTCCGCATCCTCGTAGTATGCTTGCCAAATCTCAGGCTTGCTCATATCCCAGTCTCCCCATGAACCCCAAAGCACACGACGATCCTGCTTACTGAAGGGACTCTTGGCTCCAATCATAATAGTATCATTAGTCTTCTGCCAGTTAAGAGCATACTCTCTGTACTTGGCACCGGGGTCGTGGAAGCAGTCCAGTGTTTGGACAACAGTTGAGTCTCGCCAGCTGTAGGACGTTCCGTTGTCCTTGTTGAGCAAGAAGCGCGAGTTCTTACCACCGAAGCATTGGATCTGCACTGAGAGCTTGCAGTGATCGTATACTTCTCCTTCCTTGTCGCTCTTGTCGTTGTCGAGTTTCTGATGAGGGTTGTAGATCAAGTCCAAACGCTTAACTACAGCATCAACCCAACCGTCCTTCTGGAGAGTCTGCGACTTTGTAGCGTAGGTACGCTTGACATAAGGAAGCTCAAACTCTCGTCGCTTAGGGAAGATCCACTTTCCAGTCATGGTGTCCATACCCTCATCAAATTCATTGATCAAAAGAGTGTGGTTGCTCCAGTCATTTTGAAGATCTCTGAACTGCTTGAACCAGTTGTCCACGGTAGAGTCGTACTTGTCTGTCTTGTTGGTAGGGCACCACTGGGCGTAGAGGACAATGATGGCAGGGAAGCTACCATTAAGCAAATCAAGAACATCCTTAGCTAAAGCTGTCTTGATCTTCTGCTGGATCTTCTTCCAGAGGTTGTCATCTCGGAGTGAAGGAAACAGCATAGTGACGGGAAAGTCTGTGCTGAGAACACTGCAGCAAAGGTCGTAGCCTCGTGGGGCAGTACCTTCATCAGACATCTTGGCGATGAAGCCTAGCAGACGACTGAGGACCTTGGGCTCGTAGATCCACAGACCCTTCAAACCGTGAGGTCCCTAAGACTTTTAGCATGCTATTACTTGTAGCTGGCAGTTTCTCCCTTACCTTGAAACCGTTGGGACCTGCAACGGTTCCCATGTAGCTGGAGGCACGATAAACCTCAACGGTGTAATGGGTAATGATACCGAAGTTACCCGGGCTGCCACCGAGGATGGCGTAAAAAAGCTCAGAGTCACTCTGCTTGGTGACGTTCTGAATGGAGCCGTTGTGATCAATCAGACGGATCTTGATAATGTGATCGCCAAAGAGACCAAAACTGCGACCGAGTTGGCCGTAGCCACCAGTTTGGCCGTGACCACCAGTGCAGACGCTGGGGGGAATTAGCCTCGTTAGTTTGCGGGTAGCTTGTAGGACTCACTAGGCACATTGTCCATGCGGCACGAATAGGTTGACCGAGCGAAGGTAGTCGTTAAAGTCTTGAAGTCTGTTGCTCACACCAGCTAACACCAGAGCTCTGTCATCAGGAACTCCGTCTTCTTCCAGGACCATCATGTCCTTGTAAGTGTTGGTGAGATCAATCTGGATGTTCTTGCCACCGGTGGAAGAGGCACCAGAGTACTGATGTCCACCCGACCTGACAGCGACGCTGACCTTGTTGTCCCTCGCCCATTGAACAGCCTTGATGACATCTTCATCTTCCTTGGGCTGCACAATGAGAGCTGGGTTCATGTCATGCTCTGCCTGGTAAGATGTGGTAGCATATTGCTGATTAAAAAACTGATAATCTTTTTTGCCAAATGAAGAAGAAGTGTCTCGGGAGTATTGCATCCCCTGGAAATCTTTGATCTTGAACATGGTGAATGTGATGAACGTTGAGTTTGTGATGATTGGCAGAACAATTGTGGCTTCAACCGTACCTTATATTCATCCTGTCCGCCAAGATCCCAAGAGGGGCGATACTGGTCCTCGGACGAAACAGTGGCTTTCAAACTATTGAGCACATGTGCGGACGGTTCGCACTAGAGATTAGCGGCCTATGATTCCTAACAAGCTGAGACATGCGTAGTGGCTGCAATGGTTGGGGATGCGGCTGAGGCTAGTACCAGGGATCATTTCTGAATAGGCAACCAATGGAGCTATTGAACTGATGTCACAAGTGAATCCTCAACCTGGTTTCCGTCTCTCGATAGAGTGAGATTGTGAGACACTGGCACTTGAAATGTGAGGATCATGTGAATTCTGACTGTAATGTCACATATACGAAGTAGGTACACGTAAGACTTACTGTACTGCAAATGCGTGTAAGATTGGTTGGTAGTACAAACACCTTTCTTGACCAATCAGCCACAGCCTTTCAGAGCAGAACCGTATTCAGCCAGCCACTTTTTACGCATGTTTCAACCTACCACGGGGTCCGACTTCCGACATTTTACGGACAGCTCTGCTTAAGTGCGGGGGAAAGAGACACCTCGAGACTGTTTGCGGAGGTGATGGCTTGCATGAGACATAAGCTCAGTCGCACTGTTGGCGCAAAGGTTGTGACAGTGGGACGGAGATCGCGAGAGTTATACGCGCGTACGGTACCGTTTGCAGCACGGTAGTCAGCATGCACTGCATGAGGCTGAATGAGAGGAGGGGAAACAAGAACATGGCGTTGATATGGTGATTGAGTGGCCAAAAGAAAGGTGAGACAGTAACGGTAAATGGCAAATTCTGAGACTATCCCTTGAAGGTGCGATTAAAGTTCAAGGGATTGCTCTTTGAAGAATAACGTTCAACTGCTCTGTAATAAGCGGCTTCTAAATACGGTGGTTCACCAAAAATGCAGTAACAAGCTAATCACACTAAACGGTGCCCACGCACGGCAGAACTGTGCCGCTCCAAGTGGCTTACGCAAGGGAGAGCAAACGGTCTAAAAACCACCGTATTTCAGGAATAGTCGGTCAATAGCTTCAGCCACAGAGTTCAGCTTTTCTCAAAGTATGCATTTGTTGAGGTTTAGGGCTGCCGCATGTCCCGGTCTAGACCACGCGCATTCCATTCAAGGTAGTGAGATTGAGTTTGCAGCTAAAATGCTCTAGTTTCCATTGGTTAGTTCACAGATGGGCTTTGAAGGCTAGGTACGGCCCGGTACTTGGGAATGGAGGACGAGGAATGCGACGTCCGCCAAGAGACGGATGGATGGCTTTGAGATTATCCCATGTGATGGAGTCGCCATGTTTGCTATTTGCAAGAAGGATGGTTGGGAACCAATCATACTGAAGTTCTTTTGGATGATAATGGCTGTTTTATTACTGGTCAGCAAAGGGTAAGCTCCAGACCGTTTCAATCTCAGCCGCTCGTGAATGGAGGGAAGCCACTTAGTTAGGGCTGATGGTGATTAAAGCTCATAATATATATAGTAGATATATATACAAGACCATCGAGAATGCGCTTCCAAAGTCGGCAAACTCTGTCAACCCAAATCTCTTGCAACACAATACCAGCACAATGGTGCTCCCTACTGCTCCCGTTGTCCCCATGGATTTGGGTGACGACTTCAAGTTCGGCCCTACCGTACTTGACCCCATCCAGCCAGAGGACCAAGATAACCTGGTCCCCATCAATGGCTTCCCCAGCGTTGACCCCGCAGGCGGTGACATTGCCATGTCCCAGCTTGATGTTCTGGCACATTTCTTCGGAACCTACAGCGGATTCGGCTTCAACACTATTTTCCGTCCCAATGGGTGAGTAGACCATCCGAGAAAACTAGTCATATTGAAAACTAAGTGAGAAAAAGAACAACTACTCCTACGCCTCTCCCTATTCTTCCTCCTTCTGAGGATCCCAATGACAACATCCTTCAGCTCAACCTTACATCTGAGTCCCTAGCTTTCGCTAAAGGACGGCTTGATGATGTACCCAACCGTGGTCTTGACACTCAGGCTGATATCATGCTCAACGGTGTGCCATACACCCAGACAATTGCTGATATTACGGAGATGGTAAAGCACCCCAAGAAGCAGCCCGTCATTCACTTTGAGCCTGGTCTGTGGATGCACGTTCCCGCCAGTGAGCAGATGCCTGTTCTTGCAGCTTCTCTGTCTCGCATGGCCTCTATTCCTCACGGAACTTCCATCAACGCGCAGTCCTTCACGGCAACCATCACTGCCAAGGGCGCACCTGTCTTCTCGCCAGTTGACATCACCCCTACTGTTGTCGGCGGCACTCAGAAGATTCCTTTCAGAAGTCAGACCCTCACCAACAATAACACTCACCGTCTCCCTCAGGATCTCACAAGCTTTAACAAGGCCGGCACCATCACACAGGCTATTCTGACCGACCCCAACACAGTTCTCCGCAACGCCAATGTCGGAAAGAACATCATTGAGAACACCACCTTTGAAGTATCCTCAGAGGCTCAGAACCCCAACCTCGGCGGTGGAACCAGCAACATTGGTTTCCTCATCGGCGCTGACGCTGGTGCTAGCGCTGCCTCAGTTCAAGCACGAAGTGGCAACGCCAACGCCGTCAGAGTCACAGCTCAGTACTGGCTCTCCAGAGTTCGAACCCAGGTGAACCTTCCTGTTTGCTATAGCGCAGACAAGAGGACTGTTTCTCCTACTTCTCACGGTCCTCGTGATGCCGTTCCCAAGTTCTTGGTCGACATTGACGTTCCGGCTGCCAAGACAGTCAACATTGAGTACATCCAGATTCAGTATTCACAGAATGTTGCCCTTGACTTCAATGGCCTTTCGTGGCCTCATGTGACAGTTGGAACTTTGGCACCAACTATCCGTCACAAGCTATCTCAGGTTCTTGTGTCTCATTAGATAGTGTTTTGACCCACGTAGCTAGGGTTATGAAGGAAAAGTCCGTCACTTAATGGCATATGCATACTACGGATGTTTAGCTCAATAGGTAGCAACTTTTATCTCGAGCTCTAATAAAACGCTACCTGACTTAACTGGTTTCCTTCATCTTGACCTGATAGCATGAGTAACTCCATAAGTTTGCATTTATCATGCACGTGGCAAAAGGAGAGCCTTCTAGCAGCCTTCATTTGATGCGCACTTACTACATCGCCGGGAATACAAGGTTGCATGTCGGTTTAGGTCTCCTAGCTTGTCCTTTCAAATCTGCATGAGACAAAATGAGGCCAGACTCTTGCATGGCCTTAGCTCAAACAAGAGGGAAAAACGTCCTGCCCAACCGCCACCGAATTGATCCACGACTGGGAATTCCAATTCCAAGTCACATTCCCATCAGTGATCGTCATTTACCCGTTTCATTCAGTGTCTTTCATGGTTTATGGCTTGTGCCACCCCCGCCTTTTCCATTTCTCCCGTTGCTCCAACATGGGCCGGATGTCACATTCCTAACCCCGGACGGGACTTCAGCTAAAAGAGAGCAGCCAGACTTGAACTCAATGGGATATATTGCATTGGATTACGCAGATGTGACTTGAAGCTTGGTTAAATTTTCCGACCGCTCAACAGTCATTGGAGGATCACGTAGTGGGTGTCGCCTGGTGCCGTTGTCAGCGTTGCAGTATTGCTTTTCTGCGTCAAGCTGAATACGGCACCGCATGTGATGGTTGCGCCTCATAGGTGAATCTGTGTCATTGAAATCTCCCATTCGTAGACATCATTGCGTGGACAGCTGAAGTTCCAGGAATGGAGGCTGATGCTGTATTCAGAGAGAAATGGAAGTTGAATCACATTTCCCTCCTCCTAGTCATGCTATATATCTCATGGGCCTCTGATCTCCATAGTCCTCGTGTAAGTTCTCAGTGCAGAATTTGTCCAAAATAATCCCTCAAATCATATTTAACGGTCTGCAATTATCATCATGTCTGTTCTTGATCTGAACTCAGACTTGTCCATCAGAAACCAGTGGGCTCGCCAGCACATCAACAGAGCCATTCGGCAGGATTGGAACGCAATTCTTCAGCACAGCAATGATTCATCCGAGTTAGGTTCTCTTCCTTTTATCCCAAAGGCTTCTGAGCTTCCTCGTGCCCCTGCCCCCCAAAAGTCCTCTGCTCCTCATGATCATGGAGCTCAGGAGCCTCGTGTCATCAAGATCGGTGTCATTGGTGCCGGAGCAGCTGGCTTATTCACGGGAATGGTCTTGGACTATCTCAACTGTGAATTGAAGAAGGGGTCCATCCCTCTCGCTTTTGAGTATGACATCCACGAGGCTGCTGGGCCAGAACGAGTTGGAGGTCGCTTGTTCACTTACAACTTTGGTGGCCAACGCGACACTCATGACTACTATGATGTTGGCGCGATGCGATTCCCCGACAACCCAGTCATGAAGCGGTAAGTCAGTTCCTTCTGTTAGATGTCACTTGATAGCTTATGCTCGTCAGCACATTCGAGCTTTTTGGTAGGCTTGGCATGGATAAGACAGACCTAAAGACGAACCCCAAGGCGCCTGATGGTTCTCTCATTCCATACTACATGGCACCCAGCCCTTCCAACACAAACCCTTGGTGCTACAACGACATAACCATTTGGGGCGCTACATATCAGAGTGTTCAGACGTCTGCTGGCACTGTTGATCCGTTCCAAGTTGACACCGACAAGAGCATCAACCCTGAGTAAGTTCCCTCTGAATGGTAGGTATCGCAACCAACTCTGACTCCTTCTCAGGCTTCTCAAAGTCGGGCCAGATGAGGTTGTGAAGGCCAACATCGAGCCCCTTCGCCAAGCTCTGAAGGAAGATGCTGAGCAGACTCCCCCTGGTGACAAAGGCTGGAAGATGATGATGGAGTACGATACATACAGTACCCGACAATTCTTGGGCACGTGAGTACTTTCTGATGCTGCTTGTTTCCCTCAAAAGCTGATCCATCTAGTGCAAACCCGAATGTGAAACTCCCCAAGAACATTCCTCCACCCCCATACAACTATGAGACCATCGAGTGGCTCGAGACCTTCAACGGGTAAGTCACCATGACTATGATTCCGGGTTGATACTAACAACCTGGCAGAGGAACGGACTGGTATGACCAAGCTCACAGCGAGACTGTTCTTGAGTCTCTTGACTTTGAGTTCAGTCCTGACACCAAGTGGTTCTGTGTTCTTGGTGGCGCTCAACAGCTCGCGAAGAAGATGCAAGAGAGGATCGCCCACAAACCCAAGTATCACTCCCCCGTCGCTGCTATTCGCGCCCTGGACAAGATGAAGGTGGAGCTCGATGTTAGAACTGAGCAAAAGACTGAGGTTCTATCCTACGATGCCGTTATGGCTACTACCACTCTTGGATGCCTGGGTCGTATGGACACTCGCCACGCTGGTCTGAGATACCCCGTCAAGCAAGCCATCCGCTCTTTGGGCTATGGCACATCATGCAAGGTTGCTATCAAGTTCGATCACGCATGGTGGATCCACGATCTCAAGGACTTCAACATTCGTGAAGCAGGTCTAGGCCACTCCGACCTTGCCCTTCGAACTTGCGTCTATCCTTCTTACAACATCTACGACGATAAGTCCAAGACAGCCGTTCTTCTGTGCTCTTACACTTGGCAGCAGGACTCTGATCGCCTTGGATGTCTTATGTCGACTAACAAAGACCACAAGCAGAAGGTCGCTGATGAACAAGTCCTCAAAGAACTTCTACTCCGTGATCTGGCTATCTTACATAGAAACAGTCAGATCAGTGAAGAGGATCTATACAAGCTCATCAGCAAGAGCTATGTTGACCACCACGCCTATAGTTGGACTGAGGATGCCAACACCGCAGGAGCCTTTGCTTTCTTCAGACCTCAACAGTTCAGCTCTATGTGGAACAGAGTGATTCAGCCATCCGGCGATGTCATCATTGCCGGTGAAGCTTCCAGTCCACATCACGCCTGGGTTGTTGGTGCCCTTGAGAGTGTAGTCCATGGACTTCACTCCTGGATGGGTACCAATATCACCTTAGTTCCTGAGCTGAAGCATGCCAGAGACATCCTGGAGAAGGCTGAGCCTGGAAACCCCTTCGTTGGTCTCCCTCCTTATATGGATGTTAACATCTCGAACTGGCACGCTGTTATGGGTGTCGTCAGCCGCGACAAGCATTTAGAAAAGATGGGAACGTCTGACAATAGCAACTTGCTATCTACTGTGCTTTCGCACTTCGATGTTGAGGTCTTGAAGAAGGATATTGCCGCTCGGTAAATGGCTTGAGCCGACTCCTGGTTGTTCTTTTTGGGGTTTATAAGGTACTCAGATTGAGTGGTCAGATCAATACGATGGTTCACCATATGTTCTTTAGCACTTCGAAATCATTGAATATTTTATCCTTTTATTTAGTATTTTGTCTTTCCATGAACCACAGCATCCATCTGATTGCAGCTTCTCAAGATCTTTTAGCAAGCTTGGTAAATGCATGATACGCCTTGACCCAGTCTGATCTTACTGGTCGGTTGCCATCGGAACTCTGGCCATATCCCGCATGTCGGCCTTCTACTCAGTGTTTTGCTGTTACCCTCACGTTAGCAAAATTCTTGTTCCCCAGTCTTTCATTATTAGCTTACGCATCGAAAAGACGCAATGTACTCCCAAGAATCAACGTCGGGGTTGAAGGCAAGCAACTCTCTTGTGTTAAGGCACTCTCCATTCTCCCTCTGGGTTCCGTAGTCTCTGCAGTCGGTGTATGCATAGAACTTGCAATTAGAGTTTTCCTTTGTCCAGACCGATGTAGCCTTGAACATTCCGGAACAGCCCTTGTTCTCGATACCGCCGCGAATGTAATGGCCGCAGCTTACGCCGGGCATGCTTGAGTCGAAGGTATAACAATCACCTTGGTTGCCCTCAAGGATCTGATATTCGGTGTCGTCGTTGACATCACAGTTATCAACGTTGTTGTAGAAGGTTACTGAAAGATTAGGAATGGTAGGGTGCAAGTAGATGGAGAGTACCTACAGCCCCATGCTGATACCTTGGAAATGGCAGCGAGGATGGTAAGAGAAGTTGCGACTGGGAAATGCATGTTGAAGGGACGGAGGCGAGGCTGCGTGGTAAGGTATGTTGAAACCAAACCGAAGACTTTGTGGCTCGTTGATAAAACAGGTCTTGATGGGCTCTAAACTTATATATTCTTCAAATACTCCAGATCCTTACTTCAAGCAACTCATCTCCACAAAAGCCGCACCACGTGAATACTCGCACCGCCAAGCCAAACATCTCGTGCCGTCATTTCTCTTTCGAATACATGGACACTACATCAGGTTCATCATCTCCAGCTTGGAGAGCACGTTGGTCAAAGCGTGATCCTTGGGGTATTGTAGTTCCACATTCGGGATCTCGGGTTTGCACGAAAGATGGGAGACACGACTTATGAAGCTGATAATCTGGTCATAAACTGCCGATCTTGTCACTTAGCAACATTCAAGGCAGGACCATTCTGCCAATTTGGGTGGGAGGCCAAGTATGAGCCGGCTAGTCATCGCATCGCGGAAAAAGGTACCCATAGCTAAATGCCTTAAGTCTGGTCCCAGAATGAGGAGCCCGAGAGGCTGAGTCGGTAGGCAATTGTTTCATCATCTAATTGCCGGATCACAAGGATCACTACCGCTGCCAAGCATAAGATTTTAGCGCATCCTTTCATCACTTAAGACAGTGAGGAGACTGCGAGAGCAGCTCGCGCTCAATGTGAATAACCTCAGTCTAAAACGAAGATCATTATGTAATTTCTGAAACACACTTGCTCAGCCTCGAAGGCTATGATCTTGGCGGCATTCAGGACTTGCAACCTCATCAAGATCCACAAACACGGAATTCCGTTCCGTGGTCAAGCGATCAATAGAGCTCAAACAGCGATGTTTGCAAAATACCATATTGAAATCTCGTGAACTGGGCGACAGTCTGACCTGGTTAGCATTGCCCGTAACTGCTCACTCATAAATTCAAACAAACTTGAATATGCAATGCACGCCTCACGCTAATAAACCGCGAAATATGTCGGGTCAGCATTACCGCCGTCTTCGGCACGTGTGTCGATCCTGTCCGTAAAAAGAATGAGTTCGCCCAAGTTGGCCCGATCGTAGGTTTCTCAACACCGACGCGATGGTTACATTTTTACCGCGACCGCATTGTTGCCAGTTGTTCTCGGTCGCGATCAAACGCGCCATCAGCAAACCAGTTCCCTCAACTGCAAAGTGGGTACCCAGGAGGCCCATGTCGACAGCAGTAGGCAAGGGTGTCGACCTACCTGACGGTAGGCGTCTCGGTTACCATGAGTTTGGTGAACCTACAGGAACTCCAGTAATTTACATTCACGGAACACCAGATTCGGGAGTCACGCTCGCTGGGTTCGAAGATCCTCTTGCGAAACGGCTGGGCGTCCGCTGGATTGCCCCTGATCGTCCGGGTATTGGCCATTCCACATTTTATCCGCACCGTAAAGTCTTGGACTATCCAGCCGATCTGAAAGCCTTGATCCAGCATCTCGGGCTTCCCAACTATCGCATCATTGGAACGAGTGGAGGTACTGGTTATACCCTTGCATGTGCACAAGCATTGCCTAGAGAGGAGTTACTGGCGGTCGGCATATGCGCTGGCGTCGGGCCTTGGGAAGCAGGTCAGGCTGGTCAGAGTGAGATTATTCAGAAACTCGTCATAGTATGGAAAGACCAGAACGAAGAGTTCGTAAAGTACATGGAAGGCATATTTCTCGCCGCAGCACAAGATCCCAACCCGACCAAAATGGAAGCTGTCTGGAGAGAACAGATCAAAGGTTTTAAACCAGAGGATCGAGAAGTTCTAGAGAAACAAAGCGCCTTCCAGTCCGCTGTCAGGGTTTTCAGACAAGCTTATGCCCGAGGAGGGGCGGGCCATGGCCTGGAGATGAAGCTCAACACTGAACCTTGGGGTTTCAACATAGAAGACATCGACTACAAGGGTATCAGACTGTGGTATGGGTCTGCAGACGAGAATACTTCACCAGGTATGGGACAATACATGGCAAAGAGACTACCGAAGGCGGTCTACAAGGAGTATCCGGGGGAAACGCACTACAGTATCTGGAGGGAAGAGCTTTTGACGGAATTTCTCAAGGACCTGATAGATTGAAAGAACAAACGCATTCGTGACGTTTTCTGGTAGCGGTGTTTTACAGCAATCATATGTTTTTGGTAGCAAGTCTTCAAAGGAAACGAAATTGGAACAAAGAAGGCATGGATTTGTAATGTAAACACCTCTGGCCTGATGCTCCAAGGCTTGTAGTGGAGGTCACAAACCGGCAATGCTGATATGCATGTTAAGATAGGACGTGATAAGATTAGATAATGATGATTTAGAGAAATGACTTACTACATAGTATACAAGACCAAAGCATTGTGCTACCCTAGACATGCATTTTGGCCTATACTCTGGCTTAACATTCGCTAACAGGAATCGTTGGGAAATGTACCTGATGATAAAAATGATTTAAGTGTCTATGAAACCATGTTTAACTCAAATAAAGTGGGTGCGCTTTGATCAGCTTGGTTGCTAACTGACAGCTCTGTTTGATCAGTTTCCCAACCCATATGCAACAAAGTATTTAGTTAACCTCGCTTTGATATTCAACAGATGAGCAAACTAAAAATAGCTCAACCTGTAAGACGCACTGGAGACGCGACGCGAACGCGGCAAGATAGCACACGTGTCAAGATTACCTTCCCCGACTTTTCCCCGCATTGTTATCGTATTGCTCCAAGACTCACACGTTGCACTGTGCCTTAAGCAAGCCAACATCAACAAAGCACAGCACTTCACAAGATGGCGCCTTTACCCGGAGCGTCACATCGCCATTCATGCTGTTTGACTGTAGGCAACAAGCAAGCAAGCGCACACAAACTCTGATTTCGGCACAAGCTGAGTTGCTCCTTTATCCTGCAGTAAAGCCTCAGGCTTGTGCAGTGTTCCAAGAGCTTATGCAGTGGCCACCTTTCATCAAAATGCATAACTCCATGCACGATTATGCAATCTTCACAAACCGAAGTAGTGCACAGTCTCTCATCCAATAAGAGCCACGCCCGGTTAGCTCAATCGGTAGAGCGTGAGACTCTTACGAGTACGCGATCTCAAGGTTGCGGGTTCGACCCCCGCATCGGGCTGTTCCTATATATATTCGATTGCGAGCGTTTGCGAGGCCATCTTTTTTATTAGTCTTCTATTCTCACAAGTGGTTGTTTGCATCTATGTGACCTACTGGAAACTTGCGCATGCTGTCTTTTTGTTCAAGGATCGAATCTCTTATTCAAGAAGATGCACTCGATCAGCCATAGGCAACATGTGGCTGCTACCGATAGCTTCATCCTTCATAAGTTCCATTTGCCCATTCAATCGAGCATTAGTAATAGATTCAGCAATTACCTGGTCAGACAGCCATTTAAGAGCAGCTTTAATATCTAGATAATCGCTCAAAGCCTTAACAATGTCAATATAGATGTTATTTTAGGCGCAAGTTTCAATCTTTTGTATAATCTCGCTGACTATCTTATTATCCAGTTGACCCGCATCACCGAGGTATTTAGGCACGCTCTGCTAGATTCTCTCATCAACCCATTCACCATAATCCTTTTTGAGTTATTCTGAGATGCAGAGTGTAAGTTAAGCGTCATCAACGGGGCTAACCGGAATCTCAAGGGCTGATTCTCGAACCTATCTTTCAACAAGAGGCTCATACTCTTCATAAAAGAGTTACTTTATATAAGCGCTAAACCACTTAGTCAGAACGTTTTAGGCCTTAAGGAGAATATCATCATTCTTGTTAAAGTAAGACATCACAACCTCATATATAAGCTTCTCATCCATTCTCTAGGCGAGCTCCTCAGGCTTAAATGTTTGCATCACTCCTTCGACATCTTTAATAGCTTATATTAGTTGGCCCATCACCGATTCTGATGGTTTTTGCCGGGTATTGGCTACCAGAGTCCAGTAATAAACGCCACGTTCTGGCTTTAAACCCCGAAGTTCTTTCTTAACCGCATCAATAATAGATCTAATCCAATTGGCAACAAAGTGCCGGATAGTAGCTTCAAAGGTAGGCTCTTTTGGAAGCTCACCATAGGCCATGCTCTTAAGTTATTCAAGGACATCAGTACCTTTAAGGACTACCATATTATCCCCGATCTGCTGGCAGATGTGCAGCAGAAGATCTGAGAATCACGTCCTGCTTCTCGACCAGATCTGTATCCTCTTGGCCACCGGGATCAGACCGTTTGTCTTCAATCTGCTTATAACATGTTGAGAGAAAGTTTGGGCGTCCTTTGTCGAAGTCGTGTTGCGCATGACTTCTTGTTGTTGAGTTGAACAAAGACATCATGAAGTTGAGCTACGGTCTCGTAGATCTCACCACCTTCGATCAGGGTCTGATAGGCTTGGGAAAATCGTTCGGCGTTCTCATCCGGCATTCTGAGGTGAACGGAATCACCCGCATCGCTGCTAGCACCGGTAGATGACATGCTGCTTCGTCGACTTTGGGACCTACGAGCTTATTAGAGTTGAGGATGAAAGAGAGAAAGCAGTGAGACTAACTTAGAAATAGCAGAGTATAGGTTCTGGACCATACCCATCAATGCCTGGTTCTGGCGTGCTACAAACCGAAGTTGGCCAGAAAGAACTACCTCACCGACGGATGCGAGCTCTGGGTTCTGGAAATCGGGCCACTCAAGTCCAGATTCCGGTTCGATGTGACTAATTATCGATTAGCATGTATATTATATATACATCTATCAACTCACGGTGCAGCTGTTAGCCCAAAGCCTCCGTGGTCTCGGCCACCGTGATCGTAATCATGATCATTGTCGGACATCTTTACAACAGCGAGAGATGTTGAGAGTAATTGTGAAGGAAAGAACCTCAAGATCGACACTCAAAGTTGAAGATTACAACTAACAAGTTGGTGTTGAGTAAAGAAGTTGGTAATGCGTCGAGTAAAAGCTTTTTCATGGTGGTATCACGTGAAGAGGAATGCTATTGCCTTTGATCCTGATACTTCATGACACTTGCAGGTTATGTCTGGCACTTCCTGGCACTGTCAGGTTATGTCGATTTCAAGGCAAAGTGAAGGGTATCGCCCATCTTCACCGCCCTACTTCTTGAGTCTTACCTCTCAGCCCATCTTGGTATTTCCCATCACCAGGCTACTAACAATCAACAATACGATGGATGGTCCTTCTCGACTGACTGTCCCTGGGAGAGTCCCCGACAAAAGATATTCTCTCTTTGATATCATCAACCGTATCGATGTGAACGACGAAGATGAGATCTTCCAGCTGGTGACAAACCTCGACGAGCATGCCGAAGATTCACATAACTTTCGTTGGCAATCCGTTGGGACACAGAAATCCCAGGATAGGGTTCGATTCAACTACCGCCATTTTCTTCAAACCATCAAACTCATCAGTGAGGACATAACTGAAGAGGATATTGACAAAGAGATGTTCCTTGGGGACAAGGAAAAGATCACCAAGCAACTGAAGATGTAAGGAATCGGAACTCCCTCTTGGAAGCTCACTCAATAACACCCTATGCAGCTTCATCATGTTTGTTGCCAAGTACGGTTGTGGTCGCGCCCAAGGATCAAGAATCAGTTACCACGGCTTGGTTGTTTACTGTAATGCTCTCATTTTTTGGCACAACAGAATGGCAAAGACATATAACGAGAGTCCTCTCCCCCGCAGTACTTTATTTGCTATCACCACTGAGGCGATGAGGTATGCCACCCAGGTCTTCCAGCTGCCGGGTACTGCGAAGATGGACATGTCCAAGGTACGTTTAGTGGTATGGGTCACCGGCTATCTCGCAACTAATGATATGTCCCACGTGTAACAGGTAGGGCTTCCAGAACTCCGCCAACTGATAGATTTCGACATGATCTCTGCGCCCAATATTGAGGTTGCCGAGTGTCACCACCTCGCTTGGTGCATTGGAAGAATCTGCGCTGTTCGCCCTGGGTCACTCGCCAGAAGTGATAACAAACCAGCGGATTCGCCCCAAAAGCCGTTCTTGATATGAGGCGATATTGAACTGTCTCGGGATGAACCAAATGGCAAGTTCAGCGCGAGGCTACATTTCCGAAACCTGAAAACCAACTACGAGGACTCGGAGAAGTCCAAGGCCAAAACAGTACAGGCTTCTACGTTGACTAAGTTCTGTGTGGTGATTATAAGCTCTCAGCCACAGGTCTCAACTGCAAATAACACATCTAGCTCACTATCTTCTACGTTGACATGCATCATCAGGTCGCCTCGAAACACTGAAAACATGGTCTTCTCAGTCCCTCACCGGCTCTTGGCTATTGCTATTCGCCGCGGAATTTTTGATGGCATCGGAACACTTGACCAATTGTTCAGTTCCAAAGCCAAATATGTCTCGGTGAGGGATACCACCTATCTAGAAGACAGGTGATAGCTAACACTCAACATAGATCAAGCCAGAGTTCCTCGATAAACCTGTGTTCCTTGCCGCTGGCCCTCGAGGCCTGAAAATCACCCAGGAGCCGATGAGAGCGACTGCCCTCACCACCTACGTCTCTCTTCGAGGCCAGAAGATTGGGTACTCCCAAGGTCTTACATTCTACTCTTTCCGCCGGCGTGCAGCTACCGATCTCACTCGCAAGATTGGAAATGATGCTGCACGGTCCCTTATGAACCACGATCCTGATTTCCGTACGCTCGAAAAGTTCTACCTATGGTTGGAAGACACCCTAGATGTCAGCGGTCTGGCTTTAGATGAGGTTGACGGTGATACGGGCGGCCATACCGAGGAAATGCTCAAAAGTGGCAATGACCTGGCTATCCACGTCCTTACCGATGAGAGAGCCAGAAAGATTCACGGGCCAGCCCTCAACGCGCTGATGAGCCAAATGATGCTCGGTGATGAGAACTACCCGGTTCTCGCATCCCCTAAAGAGCTTCGAAACTACAAGCGAGTGGTCCGTTGAGCTGCAATCAAGGCTCTTCTTGCTCAGGAGGTCCAGGATCAACGCCGCGAAATGAGTCAAACCGACTATAACGAGCGCGTACGCCGCCTGGAAAGATCACGCCATGGTGAGCTTGTTCTGAAGAAGGCCCGACGGAACTTAGCAGCTCCCGAGCCTATGGATGAAGGTGAAAGCCCAAGTGATGAGACTCCTACTGTGGTGGATCAGACCACTGGTTTATTCATCCACGATGTTGAAGAACTTCCCGAGCAGGACCTGGATAATCAGATCGACAACATTGGTGATAATGATGTGATCCACCGAGAGCTTGATGAAGGCGAACCGGAAGCCAACGAAGATATCCCATACATTGAGGCTGCCAAGGCACTTATGCAACTCATTCTGGATAACACAATGAGCGAATACCGAAATTTGAGAAAGAATGGTGTTCCTTGCCCTCAATGCCGCAATAATAAGACAATTAGCCAGGAACTTAAGATATGTAATACTGCTACGCCTAGCTAATTCTACTAATACCTAGTTAAAGTAAAAGATACTATGATACTACTTACCTTTATAATTACAAAAGATCTAAGCTCTATCTGCCGAAGTAAAAATGGGTAAGACGGATTACCCAGGCCTTCGAGGCTTCCGGCGAAAAGCGCATAACCTGTTCATACTGAAAACAACCCGGTAAAGAGTCCTTATTCTTCTATGTCAAGGCTCTGGTAAAACATATCACCTACGGAAACTTTGGTGCTAAATATGACCGGTTAAAGCGTGCAGATGGCTAGTATAATGATAGCTAGGAAAAGCACCCTAAGTCAAAATCAAAGACATTTTATAAGAACTAAGAAAGGCAGCGCCAGGTAAAGATGGCGGCTCTTAACATCAGATTCAGCTAGTATAAGCCAGCACCCGCACCTATCCCTCACCCAACCAGGGCTGGAATTATCTTTGCACCTGGCCCACGCCTAATTACTTATCCTGGAGTAAAGATAGTATTAATAGAAGAGATATCTAAGCCTGCTCCTATCCTAGATTGCTATAAGTTATCTGTTAAGTTTGGCGGTATTAACAAGCCATTTAAGGTTGCCAGAGATCTTAAAGCTCTTATTAAAACTACTAAGATAAAGTTCCCTACTACTGCTAGACCAATGTCAGGACCTGCAGGTAGTGAGCAGTCTAATAAGGGGGGCAATAAAGAGTAAGGGTAGTTATATAAGAGCTTTATTACCCTGTAAGTACTACTAGGTTATTGCAGATAACTGGTAATTACTGGTAATTGCTAGTAATCACTAGTAATTATATTAACTAGTGCTAGTGGGCATTATATTAGTTAGTGGATTGCTAGGGTTAGGTGCTACTTGCCTTTACTTATATAAGAGTATTATAACTTTAGGCTTATAGAAGGAGAAGAATAGGAGTCTCTGTAGATACCTGTATTTTATTCTATATAATTACTGAAGTATAAAAGCTTAAAGTGAGGTTCTTGCCCCTAACGGGGCATAAACCTCACTTTTCGCTTCGGCTTCCAACGCATTCGGACGGCTTCCGTAGCTCAGTTGGTTAGAGCGTCGTACTAATACTTCAATCCCGAGTATCCGGTAATGCGAAGGTCTCAGGTTCAAGCCCTGGCGGGAGCAATCCCATCGCCTTCCGAATGTTCTTTTTGCTGTTTCTGAAACCATCGCGATATGCTTTTGTTGGCGGACTCGGTGTGGCGTTGGTGTTGAGGCTTCGGTGGCTGCTTTGTCCCGTACCTGCCAGCACCACCTCAGGCGCTGAGAAATTCGGTATCAATGATAAGCTTAAGAAGTGGGCCATTCCAGCTACGATCTGATTGGTCGCGACGCAGACCTCATCATCCCAAAGAAAGGCTTCAATTTAGACTACATTTTTCATAAGTTTAGGATGAGAATTGATGACTTTAGGATGTAATGATGAGTTTGGGATGATTCGTGTAAGAAGAAAACAACCCTACGTATAAAACAAGTGTCCCTATTTGAACATAAAGTCGCGAATCGGGTAGTTAGTTCCACAGAAAAACATTAAACAATAGTCTACAACTCAAACACCTCCTCTTGTACAAAGAAGAGTCCTTCTCTATCGGAAACACCACATGCAACCGCTCTAGCTTGCTTGAGAAGTTGTCTTGGACCACACAAGTTCACAGCTGCATCCATTCCGAGACGCCTGGACTTGAGCTCCCTGAACCATTGCTTTAGATCTGGTCGCCCCAGATAAATAGACCAAGGGTGCGGAGAGCTGATGTCCTGCAGTTCGCGAGATGCTTCGCTCATGTGAACCGCACGGTGAGCTCCACTAGTAATAAAGATAGATATGTCTAGCGTTACTGGTGACTCCGACTTCTCGCATGCAGTAGCAAGTTCAGTGAGTTCATCTGCAAACCACTGAATATGTTGAGCATCTTTGACGACCCAGAGAAGATGAATGTGAGACTCAGAACCACTGCCTGAAGTGAAGCCTGCTTGTCTGACTAAATGAGACGTAATGCTGACACCTGGGGTGATTCCAATGCCTCCAGCGACGAGAACAGTTACAGGCAGCAAGCCCCAAGATACCGACCCAACACCGTATGGGCCGTCGAGACGCATCTTGAGCGGATGAGACATCATGCTGTTCGAGTCCAAGGAAGCACATCCACGCTGATTCACATCACCGTTGCAATCAGCATATTGTACAGCCTTTGTGAAACCCCCAAGACCACGAACAGCGATCGTCGCAGCCTTATCAGGCCCACTGGGTGTACTTGCGACAGTGAATGGATGCCAGTTCACAAAGGAAACCATTGGGATCTGAAGCCAGACAACTTGTCCAGGAGTACAGGTCCTCAGACCCTTGACTTTGAACTTCGTTACGTCGCCTTCAAATGTCTCAACACTCTGAACTTGAATACGGCGGAAATTGTACGCAAATCGGATGGCTCGATCTACGCCCCAGAGTACAAGCCCAGGTAGCATGAATTCCGGCCCATGCGATGCATGGATCAAAGCTCCGACGACGAAAACGAAGAACAGCGCGTGAGTGTAGTAGAACACTTCGAAGAAGAGGCGTCGTACAATTGGCAGGGCCGTAAAAAAGAGAATGATGAGAGCGATCCAGGCCATCAAGCCTATCTGGACTCGATGGTTTCTGAAGCTGGTGGTAACCTGTTTCGTTTCGATGTAATGCTGAATATTGAACGATACATGGGCTGTTGCGTGTGCAACGGTTGCAAGGCCTATCCAACGATGGTACTGAAGAATGACTGGGCTGGGGATACGTAGAAGGGACGCGAACAAGTTGTTTCGGGAGGCCATCAGCATCGCGAGACCAGCATTGGCAATTGCTAGCCAACCGTACAGGGTGTAATCCGCTGTGAACTCGTTGGACTGTATGCTGAAGATCAAATTGAGTGCGAGAAACGCTGTGAAACGAGCAGCATCTGTGACATGCCAATCCAAGTACGGAAGAGGGAGCGGGAAGCTGTGTAGTTTCTGAAGCCAGACAGTGATACTCCAGTGCAACACATTTCGGTCCTGCCGTCGATCTTAACGAATTAGCGGAAGCCAAACAAGGGGCAAAGGAGCTCTCACATTTTTTATATCTTTGGAAAGTGTAGACACTAAAAGGGATGAGTGATTCCAATAATATTGAGCCAACAACGCTGCCAAAGTAAACTCTTGCAGCAGTATAGCGATCGATGATCACTGGATCAGTCATTTTCGGGTGGTAAGAATGCTCAGAAAGTGTAATAAAAGAGGAACAATGGATGGTTCAATACTGCACATCGACATGGAGAAGATAAACACTAAATACTTGATAGACAATCCTACATCGTCAAAAGCATGACAGTGCATAGGTACTGTGCAACTGATGATTGATCAGACTTACCATTCACATCGTGTGGCTGACTGGATTCCAAAAAGTGAATGCCAGAGCTGTGGCTGAGACATTAGCACTTCAATACGGTAACTGAGAAACATTGTTGATTGATCAATGCTCTGATGCTATCCCTGACGTGGCGTCGAGGCTATGCTTGGAGGTGCGGGCGTTGGCTGGTTTAACCACCATCGCTAATCAGAATTTCCTTTTTGGGCAATGCGGATGGGAACAAGCTTAATTTTACGGTAAAATTGGGTAAAGGCCTATAGTGAAGCAATTAGCCTTAAGTGCCAAGGCGGATAATTGTTTCTGGGTTTATTTGTTGTATCATCTGAATTGCCTCTTATAGAATTGAGGTAAAGAAGTACAGCAGTATAAGAAGATTCAGACAGTCTGACGAAATCAGCTTCATCAGCAATTGAACGCAGTTTCCAATCCCCTTTCATCTATCTGAACTCGCTTGGAAATTCAACACTTACCTCAACCCTCGATTTATCCACTTGTTTGCACAATGGCCCTCAAGCTCACTACTCTTCTCTTTGCCTCCGCTGCCATTGCCGCAAAGAAGGGCGACTCTGGTGCCCTATCTTCACTCGACGCTGGCCTCGGCGGCACGGTCAAAGTTGTCAGCAATACCGAACTCAAGATCACCGACTACGAACTCAAAGACGCGTCCGCACCTGCTCTCTACTGGTGGGGATCCAAGACTGAAGATCTCTCATCCGGCTTCCGTATCAACAAAGAGCGCATCAGTGATACCTCATCCAAGATGGGCATCATGGTCAAGCTCGATGCTGGCCATACTGCGAAAGATTTCTCTTATGTTGGCCTCTGGTGTGAGAAGTTTGCCGCCAACTTTGGCCAGGCAAAATTGACTTCTGATGGCGGGTCGATGAATTCGACTGATGATGAGATGGATATGAAGAAGGATGACACGAAAAAGGATGAAATGAATGGCGTATCTGGATGCCATACTGGTCAGCCTGCGATGGTCGTGGCTATCTTGAGTCTGCTTGCTTTCTCGGCCTATTTCGCATGAACTTATTGGGGATGGAGACTCAGTGAAGGGAGCGGGTATATAACAGTTAGCATGTATTTATTTCACCTTGGTAGCGATAGTATCAGTCCTTTCCATCTTAAATTATGGACAACTGCGTCTACTTGTACGGGCTTTGAGCGAGGGCCGGTGTTCGGTTTCATTTGGGATTTTTGAGTCCATCAACAGAAGCGCTGGGGGGCTCTCTAGCTGGTTAAATGTCGCTCCAGGACCTAAGCGCTGTAGATCATCGTCAACAACGGGAAGTCATTAGTCGTGACAGGAGCCTGGCTGTACACGGCTGTACTTCAAGTCAATTTCTGTTTGAGCCAGAAGGCAACTGCTGGTCTCGAACTCGCCATACAGCATTTACCAAATACGCTTTTTCGTTCAGCTCGTTGATCCTTCAGGCACAGAAGATCCCTGTGCTGCTAAGCAGGCTACTCGATTAGGCAATCCTGATTATGAAACTTGAAACTAGCAAATCAAAACAAGTCTCACTGTCAGCGCTAAGATTTTCAGCCCTGCAAGAACCAAGGTCATCAACTTAACTGCATTCAGTAATTCTGATTATCTGGCGGACAAAGCTTCAATTAAACATTGACGATATATTTTTGGTCTGAACCCAGGCTGTGATTGCCATTTGGTAGCTTCATCTTCTACATCTCAAAACGCTGATGAAAATGGCGTCGCTCCGCCTCGCGACAGGGCTATGTAAGCTTTGGAGCATCTCTCTGAGGAAAATTGATGAAAGCATCAGTGTTGAGGCTCAGGGCAATTGTGTATATAAGTGATTGACTTTGGCATCTGTCTTCTCAATTCATCAAAACAACACCACTCTCAAACTTCAACTCAGTCCCATTCCTCTAGATTCTTTGCAACATCTATCTCCAACATGAACAACTTGGACTCAACCCGCGACACAGCGACATATGACATGACTCCAAATATGACAAGCTTTGAACCCACGCCCAATATGTCGGCCTTTGACATGGCGTCACATACAGAAAACACGGACGGTCGACATACACCCGACGACGAACACGAGCCATGCATCAGGGCCAATGCAGGATCTGGAGGACATAACTTGTCACCCACTGATCCCGATAGTCCCATGAGTTGGTCAGTTCTCAAGAAGCTCTACGTGTCGGCTTGTTCATTCTTCTTTGTGTTTGTCATGTGAGTTACCCGTTGCACGAAATGTCCCATAGATATTGACTTGAGTAGCATGTACGGAACCACGACATACACAGCAGCCATTGGCGCCATCCCAGAAGCATTTGGAGTCTCACAGCGCGTGGCAGTTCTCGGTTTTACCATGCCCTTCTTTGGCGTGTTCTTTGCGCCTATCTACACTCCGCATCTCTCTGAGCGATACGGCCGACGACCGATCTACTTTACTAGCTTTCCTCTCTTTTGCCTTTGTGTAATAGTTATTGGTCTCGCGACGAACATTTCGACATTGCTGGCTTTCCGGTTCCTGGCTGGACTTTTCGGTGGTCCATGCGTCGTTTTGATCGAAGGCACTTTCGCTGATGTCTGGCCTGCCAATAAGACGGTGACATATTATTCCTTCTTGACTCTTGCTTCTTATCTTGGGGCCGCTGCCGGTATGTCTTGAGCTTTTTCCTGATCCTTGACAGACGACTGACATTTTGTAACTGTAGGCCCTATCATCGGCGGCTTTGTCTTCGCAGCCAAAGGACCAGCCTGGCTCTCCTGGGTTACCCTCATCTTCGGCACCGCAGCCCTTGCATTTGGCTCCTTCATGCCTGAAACATACGGACGAGAGATCCTACGAACCCGCATTCGCTACAACAAGAGCGGCATCAGACTGCCATGCGCTCAAAGCGGAGTGACACTTTCTGAAATGACGCATATCACCGTTCTTACACCAGTCAAGATGCTCTTCACAGAACCTCTGGTTATCTTGGTTTCTCTCTACCTCGGCCTGAACTTTGCAGTTGTGTTCCAGTGGTTCGTTTCTGTACCAGCTGCGTTGGGTGCTACATATGGCTTCGGAGTTACACAGTCTGGTTTGGCATTCGTCTCAGCCATAGTCGGAGTGATACTTGCTCTTGGTACCTCTTCCTTGATCGCGGCTCTACTCTCCAGTCGAGCTAAGAAGAATATGGAAGATATTGAGAAGCGTCTTGTCCCAGCCATGTTCGGAGCTTTCTTGGTAGCTGGTTCTTTGTTCTGGGTTGCCTTCACCGCCACTCCCAGCATTCATTATCTTGCTCCGATTTCTGGAACAGCAGTCTATGTCTGGGGCAATGCGATGGTTCTCATCTCGTTCATTTCTTACCTGTTTGATGCATATCCACCGGCGGGAACTTTATCTGCCCTTACCACTGCGGCGTGTTTTCGACTGGCCTGCGCAGGCATTGTGCCAGTCTTCCTTCTCGACATGCTTACCAATTTGGGTGGAGCTTGGACTTTCAGCCTTTTTGGTATAATCTCTGGTGTCATGACTGCATTTCCCTTTGTTCTCTACTGGTTTGGATCTCACTGGCGCACCAAGAGCGGGTATAGTGCTCGCTGGACCGCGATTCCGGAGGTGCACACGATGGAATAGATGTATTTAATTTGGGATATTGCATTGTCTGTTTCTGGGCTGATCATAGTGTTGCGTTTCTGTTAAGGCCAAGCGCTTGTTATGGAACATAGACTTAAATCTAAGAGTAAACTCTATCATTCGATGCTGAAGTTCCTTCGATCTGTCAATGCACTGAGATATTACTTCCAATCTTTATGTCCGCAATCTTAACCCTGAACCCTCGGTGAGACTTATCACTGCAAATTTCTATGCTTCATATCTCGTGGCATACTCAGATAATAGCATCAGAACTTCGCTGCCCTATCATTTAACAGTAAAGGATTCATCCAATCTTAAACATTCGAACTGTCACCTTCCTTGAAAGACTGGCCTTCTCGCTTAGACTGCCGAGATAACCGTGGTGAGCACTTTCAATGGTACCATAGCGTTTGAAGCTATACGCTTCTGAGTGTAGAGCAATCCTTCGTCCTGCATTTGAAAAAGGGTGACGGGGACCCTGTTTGCAATCAGTGGCCTGGTATGGACCATAGCGCTTGTGGTTACGGCACTTGTCATGCCAGTGGTGACGGTGGTAACAACGCGGCGGGCGATGACTTCACCCATGTTACCTGTACTAACCCTGGGGTCACTGATGCTTCCAAAGATGCAAAGTTCCGCTGGGGTTCTGTTTATGCAGACCAGGCTTGGAAGTGGGGTGTTGATCAGTGGAATGCTAATCCGTTCCCTGGCGGCTTGAACTTTACAGAGCAGGTTCGTCGTTTCCGTCGGGAACTAACGGGGACACACGACTAACAGTCCTTGATAATTCAGCAACCTTTTACACGGCCCAGAGGGTATCGACTGCGGTACCATCGAGAATGACAACCCCTGCGGCTCCAATGTGGTGCAATGTAACGACGTTACATATCCAGGAGCTTACTTCGGCATCAACTCCATGGAGTCCATCTACCGTGTATGTACACTTCATGTACTCACCAAGCTGTACGAGCTTTACTAAAAATTCTACAGGTTCACTTCAACTTTTGGGATGCACTTGACAGGGCTCAGAACGACATCAATGCCCAAGTTGGTGAGCTCTCTAGTACCTTTGCGCCCATCAAGTCAAACGATTTCTCTGTCAAGCTTCTTCTCGACATCATTGGTCTTGGCTTTTCCCTCGCGGTGTCCCCGATGTGGAACTCAGCTTAGCACTGGTCGAGTAAAGGAAGGGTTTTGTGGTGGGCTAACCCAATCCAGCTCTTAAGGGCATGCCTTACTTCAAAGCCAATTCCAACACATTGGGTACTGTCAAGGACTGGGTCAACCCAATGGTAACAAACAGTATCACTATTGCTAAAGACTCCCTGAAAGAGTAAGTGATTTTGTTGGAGACCAGTACTTCAAGGGCAAATTGTCTAAAATCTTGCAGTGATAGCGCCCTCAGTGCCGAGAACTCCATTTCGACTAGGCTTAACGGTAGGCGGTCCATGTGATTCTTCTCAACATGCTTTTAATACTGACGTTTCACTCTTTGACAGCCATTGTTACGATCTAGCAAGCTGAGATTGTCTAGATGAACGAGCAGCTTTTCAACGGTTCGAAGGAAAATACCGATCTACTTTTCACCGCCATTACGGACGGCCAGATGCTTGAGACGAAGCACCAAGATCTCGGCGTTGATGCGATTCAAGCGCTTGTTTCGAAAGCTCTCTTCGCGGAGCTGGTCCCACTCGCTTGGCAGCTGTCATATTCTGAACTTGGCCCTGTGTAAGTTGTTACTCAGTGATATCATGACCTGTCACTAACCTCGCTTTCAGTGTTATCGATTCAGAGCAAGACTGCGGAGACAAGGCTGGCGTGAAGCACATGAACTCCAAGAACTACGAGTCATCTGGTGTCTGTGTCGGTTCCAAGATGTACTACTTGATTGGATGCACAGGCGAAGCTCGAACCTCCGATGAGTCCCATGGAAGCTTCAATGCTGGATGCACCGATAACTTCTTCAGTAGACTGCCAGGACTCGATGATCTGACCGGATCAGAAACAGCCTTCGGTGGTTTGACCAAGGAAGATATCGTGAACGGGTAAGCAGAAACCCTATCCCAAGCTTTTAGATTCATGTTGAACCACGGACTAACATCCGGTAATAGAGCCGTCAACAGCTTCATCGGTAACGGGAATGCCAACGAATGGTCTATGCTCGATCCTGCCAGCACAGTTGATGGCATGGACCTAGTCTCCGAGTAAAACGTCACAGCCCCAGGAGTTGTTATGTTGCCGGTCTGCACGGCATCTGAGGCCTTTTCGAATTGGTTCTCCTTTACTAATGGCAAGGCGAAGTCGACCAACTACCCATGCAATTGAGCCGGAGAAATAGAATGGCGATAGCCTAGATCCACAAAGTCGATGAGCCATGTACCATTTGTCCTTCATTTCACTTATAGATTACTCAGATATGAGACTTTATATTTATAGATTTACATATTTGTTATTTGGCTGCATAATAGCGTTCTAGCATAGACATCTCGAGCCTAGGATGTTGAATAAACCCTGTCGTTGTATGTCACAATGCTCATCATATTCAACTTAACTTCACCGCAACTGACTCTATAATAATGTTTCTCAAAAGACGGCCTGTATACGAAACATAATTGGATATTTGTAGTGTCCAGTTATTATGTAGCTTATGAACATGGGGAATGTTTCCAATGTTCCTGTTGGTCGCATATCATCTAACAGCAAGTATCCGTACAATGGAGAATTTCTAAATAGCGCCAGAAGCGAAAAGCAAGTATAGGCGTGTCCAACTATAAGAAGAATATATCATAAAACGGCACTAGAAGCTCAGCGATTGCATACCAACATGAAGGTTGCGTTGAGTTGCGTAAACCCAATATCCTCGTCAGAATCTATGCTCCCTCCCTCTATCAATAGGTTCAGATATGTCGCCAAAATGTTGTCACATCCCTATTACCTGATCGGTCAAACAAACGTGGAATGGAAGCCTGATCATTCTCTCTAAATGTATACTCCTGCCCTTCGTTTTGGGTGTCCTTGAAGCCCACTTCTCTTCGATACTGGCAAAGTTGTAAAAGTCGCAGTCGTTCCCTCTCTTGGACTTCAAACATGTAATCAAGTTTATTGGCAGTGGTTTGTTGCTTGTAAAGATCTTCGATTAGCGGGAAGTGGTCAGGATCCTTTTGGCTGAGTCGTGTATCATCCAGAAAAACCCACGCTCGTTGTCTGAATATTCTGCGCTGCAAACACAATGCTCGAAGCCGGAATGGTATTAAGGAGAAACGGGCGGATTCCAAGTAGTGAGTAGGAGACAACCTCCGCACCAAGAAAGATCTCAGCGAGTCATCTAGATGGCGATCCAAGTTCATCGAAAGCCCGCCGAGGAGGGGGAAGCGATGATTGCGAGGGGGGGGAAGCGTTGACCTCGTCCATTCGGAAAATATCGTATAGAACCAGCTTCGCACATCTTCGGGCTGTGTCTTGTTTGCAAAGAGGACTAGATTTCTGAGTAGATCAAAGCCAAGGTCTGGCAAATCGTAAACAAATCCTAACAATGCAGGAATACATTCTTTTGGTAGCTTCATATCACGATAGGCTACCATTGGATTGAAATAAAGGTTATCTGGGTACATCAGGCGTACCAAGCCGTCAGGGTTGCCTCTCGAACCACTGGAAGCATGTCTCGTCGAGCAACGTGTAGATGCTGTGTAAAGAGCCCCGTAGACTCCCTTGACATACTCGAGAACGCAATAGATTGCCTCGTGCTCGTAGTCAGCGAGCTGGTAGAGTATCTTCTCAGTAATAGCACTGTGCTCGTTCTTGTCTATCAACAATGCTGCCCCAGGACCGTGAGTCTTGCAGAGCATGTCAAATCTCATAAAAGCCCATACAAGAAACTGACATTCTGATGAAGTGAGCTCATCTAAAGTGACATACTTTGGACTAAAGCTGTGTTCGTTGTAGTAGAGCCCTCTGATTGGAATGGAGATCTGCGGAAGACAGAGGTAAGCCTGAGGTGGGTTTAAGGCAGTGGCTTTGCTGATGTATTCTTCCACAAACATACTCATGTGGGAGAATAGTTTATAGAGCTTGGCAATGGTAGCTTGATCCTTTTCTTCAAGAGGATTGGGTAACGCTTTTGACGTCCACTGCCTGATGATGTATTTCATGACATGATTGTCAGGTCGATTGTCGGCCAGGTCCAGATAAAGCAGGCCCAAGGCGTCTTGTAGGAGCTCTTCATGTCGATCACCAGTGAGTAGATTGACCACATAATGGCGTCTTATAGTTGCTTTGGATGCCCTGTACTGAGCAAACATGATTGGAGATGCTCGGATGAGTCGGAAAATTGTAGTTGTGGACGAGAACTGAGAAAGGATTTGGATCCTGAGCTCAGGAGGGAGTTTAGAAAAGCAGTCCATTTTTTCTATTGTTTTTGGCCTGACGTAGGGGGTTCTAGTGGTGACGGTGACATTGACAGGTTCAGGAAAAGAATTTTGACAAGACAGAAATAGAAGCCTTTTTATTGAGCATGTAATTATGCTTTGTGTGGCTGATTCACCCTCATGGGTTCGATTTATCTCTTGTGTGAAGCTTAACTTTGCCACGGAACCTTGATAATATGAGACCACAGGAATGGGTTGAGTTTAGTCAGAGTTAACTCATAGTCGCAACCAAGATTAGCTGTTATAGCGAAAGTATACTTGCGTTCTTGCTGGTTTGGATCGAATGAAAGTGGCAGATAGGGTTGGCAGAACAGGCATGCAGTCGGTGGCAAGGCCGGACCTCAAGTAATATGTGATTCACGGATAAACATTCGTTCACAAAACCTTAATCGTGAATGAGAACTATATGTACGAGCTGAACCCGCTAGGAATCAAAGTTCAGATGTGAAACTTATTTAAACGCTTTATCATACAATGCAGGTGAGGTTTCATACCCCTTGAAAATGTAAGAAAAATAAGGTGTTATTCTTGCTGCGTTGCCTAGATCGATGTTGCTAATGTATTGATAGGGTTTACACAAACTCATACAAGCCCCTGTGGCCCTGACCTACATTAGGTTCTTCCTGTAACTATTGTATCACGGACCAGAAATCAGAGATCATTGGGAAAGGATCTTCCTTAAGAACCTATCTTTTATAAGACAGTATCAAAGTATCTCAATCAGACACCCATTCCTTCCTATCCCTCTTGGTATCCCCTTTCTTCTTCCGTGGCAATGGATTAGACTCTGGCTTTTCTTTCTGCCGTGCAGAAACAGGCGGTGCAGACGGAAGAGGCATCTCCAGCCTCGAAGCGGAATCTTGAGTGTGAAATTGCTCAACGCGACGCTGAGAAAGCTTCCTATAGTCCTTGAACCATCCAGGAGCATCCCTATTGGTGCCACTGCGAGGAGGTGATGACTGGCTCTTTCTTCCTGACTTTTTACCCACGGTTGCAATACGCGGGGAGCCCACCCGTTCCCTGATACGTTGCCTCTGAGCTTCCTCGTCCTCGGATTCCATTTGTGGACTCTTTCCGCGACGCCGGGGCCGTTCATTCTCTATCTCAACCCTTCCACGAAGTGGTGATTGTGATGGATCCATAAAGACAGGTTTATCTGTATCCATTATCGCGTCGGGCCTTTTCCCTGCGCTTGGTTCATCTTCTGAGGCTTCGAAAGCATCATTGAGCACCTGAATGCCCCTGCGAATTTGGTTCGACGATCTCTCAACCACCTCCGTGGCTTCGGCCAACTTTCCTTCTTCCTCATTACCCTGAGCTAGTACAGAAAACCGAGATCCGGCCGTCATAGGAGCGTTCGCGTCGTTCATCTGGAACTTCAAGCCTTCTTCTTGCTGACCGTCTGCTCCAGGAAGCTGTTCAGGTCGCCACTTATCTCCTTTGAAGAACCATCCATTGTATGCGTCTTTCTCTATATTTCTGCTAGTCTTTCTGGTTGGTGTTTCCTTGATGGAATCATCTTCCACTTTGAAGCGGACTCGACTAGAACTGTAGTCTTGGTCCAAGAACATCTCATCAAAAGACTTCAGAGATTCCTTTGGCATTTCTGTGACTGTCAAAGGATCAGAAACGCTAACATACTCCTCAGGCTGTTCCCCTTCTCGGCGTTGACATTCATCGTAAGAGATGATGGAGCCATTTATCTGATAGCCCGTGCCATCGTAGCCACTGTATCTTCGAGAAGATCCCTCATTGTCGACCTCGAAGCCAGCAGCACGGCTGGAGTTATGCTGTGGAGTCGGTGCAGAATAGTTTACACGACCTTTATCTTTCAGATCTCCAAGCCTTGTCAAGACTTCTGGATCAGCTTTTACTGAGGAAGCTGGAGGTTCGCCAACAGATGGCGCTTTATGTCCTTCCGAAGCTTCGTCCTGGATATTAGGAGAAAACGAAAGTGGCTCTGAGAGCTTACTCAAGTCGCTGTGGTCAGAATCTTGTGTCTTCTTGCTGGATATTCTTGGATCCGTAAGCTGCCACGAAAGGTCGAAGGAAATTTCTGCAGTTGTTCGAAAATTAACTAGACTTTCAGTTTCCCGTCTCAGTATCCGGCGAACATCGCTGTAGGTATACTTAGTCGATATGATGTGTCGGACGTTTATCTCAGTCGTGCCAAAGGGTCCATTCAAGGCCATGTGGGGAGCGCGTCGATTTGTCATGGAAACTGAGGATAGTGATACTGTTAGCGACTTCGGAATGTCGTATGGAACATGTAGTATGATTGGTTTATCCCTTAAGAATGGAATTAGCGTCCTTTTTAATCTCCTTTTTTGAACTGTAAAACTCACCAAACTTGTTCCTCGGCCCGAAATGCGACTTGTGAGACCTCACCTCCGTAGCTTACGTCGCAGACTAGTTGATCAGGGGAGCCAATTTGCATCAAGAAAAAGTTCGAGCACTTTATATTCTTGATAGAGAGGATCAGATAACCGCTCTCCTCAAGCGAGATACTTTCTTGTTGTGAATCAATTCCCTTCTTTTCGACTATCGGATTTGTCTCAATCTGCTCTCCGGTCTGGGGTTTTTCTGTCTCATAAATGTTCCTGTCTGAGGGGTCTTCCTCGTCTGCAAGAGTGCTTAAAGCGGAGGCTAGTGTTTCTTCCTCTCTGAGATCAGTCTTCATTTTTGCAAGCATTTCTTTCAGCGTTCCCTTCTCACGAAATGGAGATTTCACGGCGCGACGCCAGAGTTCTTGTTTCGAAATTTCGTTGTCGGGTTCTTGATGATAAGCACCCATCATCTTTTGGCTCAACATGGACTGAAGGATAGGATCCTGCTCTGAGCTTTCAGCGTGATCTCTGGATGAATAGGTATCGAAAAACAGAGTGGCTTGTTCGATATCGTGGCTACTTAAATCAAGTTCAGTATGAGCATCTCCCATGAAGTTTACACCAGCATCTTGGGGCACTTCTGGATTCCAGAGGGACCAAAATTCGTCAGAGCATAGTATGTCCAATGGGAACTCGTCCTCTGCCTGTCTCATCTCCAGTACCGTGCTTCGACTCTGAGGTCGTGGTATGTTGATACTATCGTTGTCGTTGTTGGCCTCTTCTGGCAGCTCATCTTCATAGCTGGGTAGTGACTTAAGGGCTAGAGAACGCAAATGTCCAGCCAGGTGGTCCTCAAGACGCCCATCCACCTCAGCTTCATCCTTGCCACACAGAGGACATGATGGAAACAGCTTTGGCATTTTTCGACTGTTCCTGCTTGCCATGGCCCGAAGCTGGTTGTCGCTGAGCTTGCTGTTGTGAACGTCTCGCATGTGAGCGGTATACTCGGCACTGGATGTAAACGGATCAAGATCCCGATGAGAGGCGCAGCGCCAGAACCGACGATGTTGTTGTAAGTGGGCTAGCCACTCGTCGCTATGGTTATACAGGATATCTGGCTGATCGCAATCTTCAAAAAGACATACGTAGGCATCCAAGTCGCTTACCACGTGGTTTCTAGAATTCAGATTAGACAGTAAACTCCTACAATGATCTAAAGATAAGGGAACTTACTCCCACTTTCGATCGTCAAAGAATTGTTGGGTTGGAAGAGCATAAAGACAATATGGACAGGTAATTTCTATAAGTCCTACCAGTTCTTCTTCTGGAAAGCCCTCTAAAGGTGATTTTGTCCCATTTTCTGTAAAATCATTTTGCTTTTTGAGTCTCTCATAGCGCTTTTTGAGAGCAAATCCTGGGGCGGGAGGGAATACTAGAGCTTCATGGGAACCCAGAGCAACTGTCTTGCTTGCTGATGCAACTGATGGGCTTGCAGCTGCTTTTTGAAACTTTTCTAGCGCCAGAGTTGTTGCGCTTTTGACTTGGGATGGTGCTGCCAAGGCTGATTTGGAGACCGCGCTATGCCCCTTGGGCTTGCTCTCTTGCGTCTTGGAATGCTCAGATGATATAGCTTGCTGAGCACTTGGGAGCTCGACTAGTTTCTCGGCCTCCGTTTTCTGAGGCTTTATTGTTGTACTCTCCTGGCGATACCTTCTGTATAAGATGCGCTTCCTTCGAAGAAGCATCGTCCGAGCCAGTCTCTCCTGGAGAACTTCGCCCAAGCCGGGGAATCTGTCGCAAATGTGATGTTTAAAGTGTTCCCGTAGTATGTCTTCCACATCGTTTCCTTCGTCATCTTTTATCTGGAAGTTACTTGCTTTGAGAGCCTGAGTATCTTTGCTTGCACGGCGGATCGTGTTAGAAATCTTGTTGAGTCGGCTGATCTCTGATGCTGCATCCAAAAGAGACTTTTGGAAGCCTTGGTTCACGTCTTCCCAACCTGGAGGCTCTATCATGGAATTCAGAACCTTGAGTACTACTGAGAGTTAGTCTTTATAGTCAGAGAAAAGCTCGACTTGTCCTACAACTCTGGCATCGATAGTTCAGTGATTCCAACAGGCCAATAACAACACCCTTAACCGCAGGGGCATATCTCAACCTATGATCCATAGATGCTGAATCAGGCGCAAAAACACCTATCCCGTTTGTCCAGCTTGAGAATCTTGCAAACTGGTCCTCTACCATCGACAACTCCCGGGGATGGATCGAGGCTGCGGAAAAGAGACATTTTTGGAAAGACTCGAGGCACTCGTTGGCTGAAGCAGAGATTTTGGGCCCCTTTTGCTCAGCGCCATCGACCGGTTCGGCCATCATGGCCAGCCTGCGCTAAGAGGATTCGGATCTGACGAGGACGGGTGATGAGGTGATAAAATACTTGGGCGTCTTGAGTGAGGCAGTCGAGATGTTTCCCAACCTGGTATGGAGTCTTCTGATTGGTGGTTTGATACAGTGGTATAACAGATAAGCCGACGCATCTAACACGTCAACTTGTGTATTGATCTTGTATCAACCGTAAAATAGTTCATAGATCTTGATTATGAGACCAATACATCTCAAATTATGCCTTTGTCATATTTAACGACATTTCGCCGTTACATATCGTCCAATTGGGATGGGGTCTGGCATCTCATTACCCAGGCCAGTTATGAGATAAGGGGTTTCTGCTATCATCTCAGCTTTACCCCGCCTCATCTCAGCCGCACGCATGCAACATTTACCGCCTACTGAAATCACCCGAGAACTTGTCAGCAGAAGTAATCTTGCAGCTCAGGTGTATTTCCAAGCCCAAAAATGTCATGGCCATATCACCTAGTCCGAATACTGACTCAGGCCGTCAAAGTCTTCTTTTGGACACGGTCGGGACGATCCTAGAAGTCGCGGCACTCGCTCGCCTGCACGAAGTCAGTCCTGAGGTAAAGGTCTTCTACAGTCATTTGAGCTACCACTGCTTCCGGCTACAAGAAAGCCTCACGAAAGCGCGACAAAACTCATCATGCCTCAATAACGATTACCTCGACCAAGCCATCTCTCACTTAGGGCTGTTGATACCAGAAAGCGGCTTAGACGAGTTTCCGGCTTACTCTGTGACTCTTGAGTTTCGACTTAAGATGTTGAGCCTTTTATGGAATGAGACACGAATACAAGCAGATGACACGAAGTTGGGCTTCATTCATCGCTGGTTGAGGCAAGACATTACGGAAGAAGACATGTCACAGGTGGATCAAGGGCTTGAGAAATGCGCTGATGGCCTGGAGAAGCAGCAGCCCGAGTTATCAGTCCAGAAGGCGTCCAGTGATTTCGCGGCTCTAAACATTGTCGAACCACCCTTTGCAGTTTGGAAAGCCGCAAAGTCCATTTTCGATGCTCTTCTAGAGTGCAGAAGCTGCTCGTGTCCTTCACAACACGACTTCAAGGCCAAGCTCGAGTTAGGGACATATCGTTCGCCTGAGAAGAAGCCAGTTCTGAAATCCAGTCGAAGACCTAATCGGAGGCACGATGTGGATGGTGAGACAGGCGATCTTGAGATGGATATGTTCTTATCTATGGAGCATGACTGGCACGAGTTCAGAATTCAGGCGGCCAGGGAAAGAATTGTCCGCTTCAGTGGCCACGAAGAGACGAGCTCATGCCGAGAGAAAAAGCATTATAGTAGCAGCAAAAGAATAGAGAGGCTATGTAAGCCAATCATCGAGATACGGACACGACCTTTGCAGCGTCTTCTTGTACGGCTCAAGAGCGGTCAGCTGTTTGAAGTACGACCGGAGAAGAGCAATTTCCAGATCGACAAAACCACAGAGCCTATATCACTGTCGGGATGTTTTGATGAGAAGAAAGACTTTTTTACGGAGAAAACGAAGCGGATTCTCTCTCTTATCATTGGCTATACGGTACTGCATCTTTACGGTACGTCATGGCTACAGCCTGGTTGGGGCTCTTCGAACATCAAGTTCTTCCAGACTACAGCATGCAAAACACCGCTGAGGCCATTCATCGAAGCCCAGTTACGTAAGACACAGAGTCCCCATGAATATGACGGTGAATCGGCTGGAGAGCTCGATTCGGGTCACAGCTGTCCCGAAATGGTCGCTCTGGCAGTCGTCTTGATGGAAGTATACTTTGTCAAACCCTTTAAACAACTTGCCGAAATGCATGATATTCCTCTCATCGAGACTGACAGTGGTCGTGTCACCCTCATGGACGTGGATCAGGTCTTCTGGGGCGATGAAGAAGGAGAGGAGGGCTGGCGATCTCAGATCCCGGAGGACTCCCCTTTACTGGAGGCTATCGACAACTGTCTAGATGGAGAGCTATGGGAGGACACCGAAGGAGGACTCTTGGGTGCTGAGGAGCTCAGAACTCGGATATACCAGAAGGTTGTTCGACCACTGGAACTGCACCTGACGCATGGCTTCAGTCAGATCCAGCTTGATGGAGTCGACCAATATGCTAAGAGTCTGGACTTTGGAAAATGGGGCCAGGTCATTACCACAAAAGAGACAGACCAATCACTTCTTTTATCCCCGGGGCAAACAACGAGCCGCATTCCATCTCCAGCCTTTTTACTGGCACAAAGCCAGTTTGATATCAACGCCAAAGCTCACCAATCGATACAACAATTCTCACAGCTTCAGTCACTGATTCCCTATTCGCTACCCAATATTGGCTACGCGGCGAGTCTCAGTGGCCAAAATGAAGCGTCTCAGTTCTTTGATGATCAGGTCAATGATGGAGGCATTTCTAGAACAGAGTAGGTATTCCAGCCTAAGCTGGCCACTCTTCAACTGACCCCTATCACAGGACTGAAAAGTATAGGACGTGGCGATCGCAGTATGAAAATGTCTACAAGAAGTTTGTCGGCGACTATATTGATCAAAGACCACCACACCCCGTCAAAATCGCCATCCTCGACACAGGCATCGACAGAGACCATCCCTACTTGGAAGTATATGAGGATAACATCAAGGGCAAGAAGAACTTCCATAATGCTGCTCAGAAGAATGTGCCGGATACGAATGGGCACGGGACATTCGCTGCAAACCTGATTCTTGACTATGCAAGAGATTCGCATTTGTATATCGTCAAGATCGCGGATAAGAAGAACGCGACGCCTAATGCCGCTATTGTGGCGAACGTAAGTATCATAGTCGAGCTTGTGATGAAGAATGGACTAGGCTGAGATCATTAGGCGATATACCATGCCGTTGACAAGTGGGAAGTAGACATCATCTCGATGTCATTCGGCTGGCCCTCCTCCGATGTGGATGGCTACGATGCTCTCCAAGATGCTATTGATCATGCGTACTCTAAGAAAATCCTCATGTTCGCTGCTGCCTCCAATAGCGGCGCTCGACTAGGAAGAGCATATCCAGCGAGTAACCCGCATGTTATTTGCGTACATTCAACAGATACGAACGGCGAAGCGTCAGGCTTTAGTCCAACGGCCGAGCCAAACTCTATCAACCTCGCAACAGTAGGCGAGTCCATCGAGTCAGCATGGCCAACACTTCTATGTGAAGATTCAAACAGCCTCAAATCTCGATCAGGAACATCATACGCCACGCCTATCATGGCAGGCATTGCAGCATTTCTATTGCAATATGCTCGTCTTCATCTGCCAAAGAATCAGGCTCTGGCTTTGAAGAGGAGAGAGAAGATGGAGGCTTTGTTGAGGAGATGCGCGATTAGAGGACCGAACTATAAACCACGGGATGACTACTTTTATGTTCATCTTAGTTTGCATAAGCATAATCTGTTCGGAGGGGACTTGGAATGGGTGAATTATGAGATTTCAAGAACATTGAAAACGTGATAGCGTAGCAATACATGATACCATTTGAACTGCAGACCTTCGACCATAGCTTGTGTATCATTACCATTCATCATCTGAGTCCTCGTCCTTGGGGATGGCACAGAAAACCTCCTCATCTCCCTCCTTCACCTTCTCCTCTTCAAACCCTTCATCCTGGGCGCTGAGCTCTTCAACCGCACTGATCTCGAGGCTGCCTTGCTTGCGCTCTTCATCCTGGGGGTCAAGCATAGCTCCTTTGGTGTATTGGTCTTCGCTTTTAACCTCACCAGTCTTCCTCACTCGTACCTTGCTGGCGCGAAAGGCGAAGACAAAGTTGCCTCCCTCCCACTTGGTGCCTTGACTTGTAGCAGCCTTGCTCTCAATACCAGGGCCGCCGCCAATAGGTACGGTACCGCCACTCAAGATTGTACCATCGACCTCCACAGAAAGGTTTCCACCGACGGTACGCGATTTTAGAGTATTTGCAGCAGCCCCGGTGACAACTTTCAGTCCAGTGATAATGTAGATTGGCTTAGAATAGCCAGATCTCTCCAGCCATCTACGAACAGCTTCAGAATCGACACAGTGATTTAGATACTCTGATGTTGGAATAAATTCAGTGGTCTCCAACGTTTCAAAGACAAATGTTTCTTCGTCGCTGGCATTGTCAGCTTGTCAGATCGCCTATAAAAGTGCTATACCGACCTTCTTTCAATCTCAGCACCAACGTCCACGCCAAACCCAAGGACACTCAGAAATTTGGTCAAGATTGAGAACTTTCCGCTTCGTAGTTTCTCCGTCGTATATTGGACTTTCTTCTTCTCCGTTTTGAAGACGCCTGTGCCTTCAGTGGGTGGAGAATTGATGAGGGGTATGTGAGGTTTCTTGACTGAGCTGATGACATTGCCGAGTTTGATAGGGCCTTCCGGGGGATAGTCCCATGTTGGAGCGTAGAAGTAGAAGAACTCTCGATTAGCCATTATTTGGAATTGACGATATCACTCTGGGAAGTAGTGAGGATACTTTCACGATATATAAGAACGTGGAAGGGTGAGTTAGGCATCAGTAAAGCGCTAGTGTTTTGACGCCATTCATTGGTGGCAACTGTCAGCATAGCCTCATGAGGCCGCCAGAGCCCAGTGTTGGCGATGGAGTCAAACGTCGACAGATTCATGACGGTCAAACAGGTTTCACAAGGCTAATGGTACTGATATCCAATTTCTGTATTTATCTATCGTATTGTATATGGAAATGCAACCGTCAGCTTTTGGACTTTTTGTACTAGAAAGCAACAACCTATTCTCATCTTCAGTGCCATGCAATGCGATATCTGAAAGGAATATAGACCATCCTAATCCTTCCTCTTCTCAATCTTTGGAAGACCAAGCCAGATTACAAACAACACAGCGAGGATAGCGAGAATAATTGGCTGCAGAACCTGCACACCCTTCGCCTGCGCAATCGCACCAACCGCAAAAGGCAGCACAGCCGCACCGCTTCCGCCAAACGCAGCAGCGAAGCCAATTGCACTGACGTGTAGATGTCGCGGAAGAAGCATCGTTAGTGCAACAATGACACAAGGGAACATGGGCCCCAGGAAGAAGCCTTGCAGTGAAACTGCTACGGCTGAGACGTGGAATTGCGGCACGAGCCAGAAAATGAGCTGCAGGCCCATTGTAATAGGGATGAAGATGATGAGTGACAGCTTGACACCGATCTTGGGGATCACCATGCCCAGAACCAGACGTCCAATGGTAATACCGAGCCAGAAACCGACGGCTGTCATTCCAGCATCGAAAGGGTTTGCGTTACGAACGCGCAACATGAATTGCACGACCCAGCCGCCGAGAGCAACTTCAGTACCGACGTAGCCGAGAAGGAAAAATGCGCAAAGCCAGACAACGCGAGCATGAGGCTTGACGAAAAGAGCGGCGCGTGTTCCTTCGTTACGGGTGCCTTCTGTATGGACTGTCTCACGGTACTTCTGAGCTGTCTTGGGCCAGAAGGAATAGGTGAGAGTTGCGGTCTCAAGAACAGCCATGCCCAACTAAAATACCCATTAGCAATTGAATCGAGTAGATCGGTGTCAAGAGAGCTTACAAGAACGTAATAAAAGTCATACCAGCCAAGATTGGCCTGAGTGATCATACTGGTCGCAATAAGAGGGCTTACAGTTCCTCCAAGTCCATAGCTGGCATGCATAAAACCCAACAACTCATTAGATCTCGCCAAATTGCCGATATAAGAGTTCCAAGCAGCAAGCCCGATGCCATTACCGAGACCTGCAAGGACGTAGGCCAAGACCAGAACAGGATAAGGCGGATGCTGCGATAAGATGAGATATGTCACGGCGTGGCATCCTCCGCACATGAAGGCGATCCATCGCTGACCGATATTCATGTGAAGATAATTGTTGACAGCTGCTGAGACGATGAATCCGACGAAGGGTGAGAGGAAGATTAGTGAGACCACGAGGTAAGAGAGCTCGTAGTAGGTCTCCAGATAAGGGATCAGAGCTCCATATGCTGCATCGTTGGCGCCTGAGACAAAAAGACTCCAGTAGACAGCGCCGACTCGAAAGGCATTGCCAATCGGTTCATTCCACTTCTCTACAACGAGAGTGGCCCTTGGAGGTGCGGCTTCATCGCCTGAGCCAGCAAAATGGTCATCGTCGCGCTCATGGTCATTATGCGATCCGAGCCGACGCCCCGTCGTCGATAAAACTGGGTTTGGCTGCTTCGGCGTTGCACCGGTCTCATGAGTGAGGCTGAGAGTCTCGAGCTCCAGAGCCTGTGTCGGGTAAGACCTAGACGTCGACATGGCGAATTGAATTAATGCCTCAATGTTTTTGAGGTTGGACAATTGAAAGGATCAATTGAAGGGCCAAGAATTTGCTCATAGGGCGCATAAAAAAATTCTTTCTTGACTCATCGGCTGGAAATGGCGGGGGATAGCGCTAACTCGCTGGGGTGCTTATCGGAGCCAAAATGTGGCGAACTCGGGATCTACAGCACCGAGGGCCACTAAAGGCAATAAAAAGTCGCTCTATTCAATCAACAATGCCATGCGACAGCGTTCTATGTATATATAAATCCCGTAAGAACTCCATTCATGCCCCAAAAATAGATCCGAATTAGCAAAATGCTCTTCATAATACAATCCTGTCCGCTATTTAGTAAGGAATTTCCTGCGGGGCTTTTGGCGCCTCAAGCACTGAATGTCCACCATCAAAGGCTGCCGGGATCTCATGTCCTGGACTCATCAGATTGAGCAGCCACATAACTAATAAAATGCACATAACCCGGATTTTAGGCATTGAGAGGTCTGAGAAGCCTGGAATCTTTTCCAGCCAAGCCCAGAAAGGAAGTCTGCCTGGTTTCTCATCTTCGGTGCCTTGATGCATAATCATCTTGACGATGTAGCCTGTTGAGCCAGCGACTGCGTGGCTGACCCAGAGGAATATTGGCAGGATGATCGCGAGAGTCCTCCATCGATCTCCCATGAGTGATCCGTCGCCGAAGAGACCATCAACAATGAGAACACCGTCAGTATCGGCTGCGAGAAGGATGTGAAACTGGAGGATGTAGGTCTCCAAAGAGCAACGACCTAGCCAAGCCATCGCTTTGGAGTGATAATTGCGAACGGGACCTGAGACGTTCCGCATGGCGATAAACCCCAACACTGGTACAAAAGATACATACGGATGCCATTTCGCGTATGCAACCATACGAAGACCTGAAGTCGCATAGAAGTAATGTATCGTGGCGAAGAAGCCAGCCAGAGCAAGCGTTACACGAAGCCCCAGATGGATAGCTATCTTCATGTGCCGGTTGGCAACGGCTGCCAGCATACCGACGTAAACAATGAACATGTCGAGCGTTACGCGAAAGTGCCATTGCTTGTAACTCCATTGGATCTTGAAGACCGTGTTAAGAATCTCAAAGACCCAACGCGTAAGAGGCGTACCCATGAAGATCATTGACACAAGGACACACGATATGCAGATCTTAGCCAGCAAGACCTGCAGATTACTATTGTACTTTGAGCCAATTGCCATGGTCGCGTAAACGATGAGGAACCAGAACGACACGAGAGGGGAGAAGTAGTAAAACATGTAGTCTGTATCCATAAAGTAGGCCAAACAGCAGCTGAGTATGTTGAGACGAAGCAGCGTAGCTGCGACACGATTGAATGAGAAGTCGTTCTTATTCAGGAAGTAAAGTGTATGTCCATAGCCAGTTTGGAAAAGATATGCCGCGACACAGACACGGATGAAAACGTAAATCGAACCACCGCGGGCGCCTGTCCAATGGTAAATGAGGATGAAGAACTGCATCCATCCTTTCCACTCATCAGTCTGATCTCGTGAGAGGAATGGTTGATCTGATTCTTGAATGTCTACTGACAGGTCCTCTGGAACAGGGGACTTGGCGCGTCGAATAGTAGCCAACATGGTTGAAATGCAGGGAATGCAAAGCGCGACAAAGTCCTTCAGTTGCCAAAGCTTACTACCCTTGGCCATCATCTGCGTCCTATCAGCGTAGTAGCACATCAGAAGCGCTAGTACGAGACACCCGGCTTGCATGTTGAGGAGCTTGAATCGAGGCTGACTGGGACTTCGATCGGCGAACATGTCCAAAACTTCGCAAATGATGCAAACAGCCAGGTACACGATGCCAAACGCCACGACGGAGAGCTGCACAAATGGCTTGACTCCATAGTCGGTACAACACGTTCTTGAATAAGGATACGGCTTCATGCGGTCCAACTTTGCATTGCATCTCATGTTGAGAAGAATATTGGCTCGGAGCTCGGCAACGTGAAACTTGACATGAAAGCCGGTTCGGAGGGGATCGCGCCAGATCTTATCTTGACCTTCGACAAGATTTGCGATGGACCAGACGAACGGGATGTTGAAGTCATCCTCCTTTTCAAGAAGCCAGCCTTGCATTTCGATCACTTCTTGTGCTCGCCGACCTCTATCAATCTTCCTCTCGGTATCATTCCCCAAGTATCGCGGTCCAGCGGGTGGGGCGTAGAAGATCTGGTTTCCAATACCATCTCGTGGGTCCATCGGTGCGTTGAACCAATCTTGATGTGGTGTATTATCGCCAATAAATTTGTCAAGTTTTGATAGATGATCCTTGTATGCCGGGAAACGATCATCCCAGGGATCAAGGGCGGTAGAGTTGATACCTCCAACGTGAGGATGGGTATACCATACACCTGCAGATATGTAGATCAATGCAGGGCCCTTTTGGTCTTCAATGGTTGGAGGACTGGTCTTTTCATCTGCGTAGGTTTCGAGGTGGCTGACGAACTGTTCTCGACCTGGAACACCATGTGATGAGATATAGACGTTTGTGACGCGTTCTATGCTTTGACCGTGATATGTCATGTTGAAGGATGTCATCTTGGTGTACAACTTGGCTGCTTTATCTTTCTTGTACTGTCTACTATCGAGCTATAATCTTGTCAGTCCACATCATTTTCAACGTTTCTTGCAATGCCTTACCATGCGAGCCATGGCAAGACCGAGGTTCTTAGACGTCGAGTCGCCAACGATCACAATTGGACGACCCTCGGTGCATCTGCGGATATCTTGTGAGTCATAGTGGTTGAGGATACATCCATCAGGCTGCCATTGCTTAAATGGATCCCGATTCCCATGTTCATCACGAATCGGGTCAATCCATCGGCCTGTTTTCTGAACCGCGCGACAGCGATAAGGATCATCTCCAGGGAAAAGAGTTTTAAATGCCACTACGGCTAAGAAAAGAGTTGCAAAAACGACAGGTATTAATCTGCACCATGATTTGTCCATCTTGTCGTACTGTTTGCAACAAAATGTCTTTGTTGGTTGCTAATAAGCAGAACCATCAACCACGTTTTAAAGATTGTTTGTGGATGATGGAGTTGAAGAGGCCGCGTTGCGCCAAGTGAAAAGGGGATTTAAGTGAATTCCTGCAAAGCCTCCCTTGCTCCAACCTTATTGTGGCCTCGTGCGTAGATCGGAGATAATCGCTCATTGAATTGGTCCCTGGCCTAGGGCGCCACAGACCCTCATTGCTCTAGAATGTTTGCTGACAAGCGCCTGAATATTGAAAGATGCAGAGTGTTTACTGGCCAACGTCGGAGCCTTCCCCTGGAGCTTAACGTTAAAAGTATTAGCCTAACGCTAGCTAAAAGTCCCTTCCAGGGCTACCATAAGGACATCCTCACCCCTGTCTTGGCGTAGGCTCAGGCGATCTTGGAGGTTCAGGCCAGAAAGAGGCATATAAGGGCCTTGGACGCCGCTAATTTCTTTGTTGCTAAACTTTAAAACTCTATGTTTGTTTACAATAAAGCCGGTATGTGATTAGGCCAAAGCCAAGCGAAACTATTACTTGGCAGTGACAACCTAAACTCCCTGCTTCCAGTCTCGCCTGTAAAGTGGACTAGCCGTGCCAAATGTCCAGTAAATAAACGGTCACTTGGACCACCAAGACCAGAGTTCAAGCGGAACAGCATTATAATCTTTCTTGGCGTTGAAGATGATATCGGCATGACGACTCAGAGACACCCTTGACTCTCGTCCTCTGACTCAAGTTTCTGGTCTTGGCATTAACAATGCGAGTATGGCCTGCGACCGTTACATATTTGGAGTATCAAGTGGGACCTGATTTGCGTGGCAGGGCATAGTCGTCTTTCTGCGTGCTTGTCACGTAGCATGCACAGGCTGTAGAGGCGCGTTCAATGAACTGTTTGCCGTTGTTGGGGGCAGATCGTCCTTTACAGAGAGATTTCCATTAAGGCCCCTCCCCGGCCGTAAAGTGACTCTTTAATTATCTGTCAATGGGGTCTGAACCGCCCCATATCTGCTTCGGGACAGTGTTCTGATCTCGAACTGTTTACCATAAGTTGATCTCTTCAGTGACAGACAATCTTCTTCTCCCAGAGCCCTATATTTTTGTTTAATGGCGCACGAGTGAGACATTCAATTTCGATTAGCCGTCGTGTGATTATGTGTAAGACATGGTCAGCGCAGAAATTCGGATTGTGACGTCGCGTCAAAACAGGGAGATCAATAAGGGTATTCAATGTTATTCTTGATCTATCTCGCGGAGATATTGATAAGGTTCATACAGACTTAAGTGCTTAATTCTGCAGGCTAGAGAGAAAACAGGAAGGTAAGATGAGGGAGGCTGTGATGAGCTTATTTTGAAGGGTGACATTTGAGACATCAACGGTTCGTGACACGTAAGCCCTGGTTCACTGTTTACTAGTACGATAAGCCTGTTCGATGCTGCAAGCAAACTTTAAAGTCTCATACAGATACCAATATCCACAAAGAGAGGTTTCGCTCGTGATTAAGGTTTGGATGTCTAGAGAGGTGAGCTCCTTCTTTGACGTCACCAGCATCAAGACAGGGCATTCATCACATAGCTCTCTGAAAATTCATTAAATGAAGAATTTGGAGTTTGATGGCTAAGCATACTCTGGACGTACAAGAATTCCGTAGTCTTATTGTGTATACGCAGTATGAAGAACAATCCAAGGCAAAAACGCTTGATGAATATCAGTCGTGGCAGGCCACTTCCATGGAATCATCAACCAGAATATTCGTGCCTCCATTGAAGTTGCCGCAGGACGCATTTATCTCGATTGTAGTAGAGGAAAGAGTGCCAGCCGATACATAAAACCGTCGCTTGGTGTATAAAAACTTGGGGCTCGTTGAGACGATGGGGTTCGTATCCAGGAGGGCGGCGCCCGCTTTGACAGTGATAACGCAGTCAGTGCTATCGAAGAATTCTCCACGAGTGTAATAGTACGAGAATTGATAAGCTTTGGAAAGGTCTAAGTTAGGGATGTCTTGCTGGATGGGTCCGTTGCCAATCTCGGCGGCGAAGAAGCTATAGAATGGATCAGTTTCGATTTGTTTTTGGCGGTGATAATGAATCTGCTTACATATGGTTGGGGGACGATCGTGGGTCGGATGTGCTAACAAAAGTGTAACCGCTGAGTGCCCATGGACTGCCGTTGGCGGGGCTGTCAAAGCCAGAATTTTGGATGACGTTGGTTGCAACGCATGCTGCTTCAGTGGTAGTCGTAGGCGCTTCTGTAGTGGTGCTGCCGACAAACGTAGCAAGTGCTTCAGTAGTTGTACCAGCACCCTCAGTGATGGTGGTTTCAAATGGCGGCGGTCTCCGTTGCAGAACTTCCAACAGTGACAGTGACAGTGACAGACGCTGTCGCACTGCCTGACTCAGTTGAAACAGTGGAATGAATCTCGCTGCTGGAAAGGCTTGGCTTGCATGGTCCCGCACTAACTTCAACCAGCCACAAACTGGCAATGAAGCCCAAAGGAAGAATTCTGGCCGTCAACATGATGCTAAACGAGTGACAAGGGGAACGAGTGTATAGATTTGAAGAAAGATGGTTGAAAATTTCTCAGTACCAATTTACTAATTATTCTGATAAGTTTAGTATAAACTTTCAGGAACATGTCGGCCCTATCATAAGGCTTTCATCGGATCGTGTTTTGTATTCTTGGTTCTGGGGCTTGTAAGCCGTCGAATCAGTGGGCCATAAACCCCTGTAGTTTGATGAAGTCGTGGTCCTTTACGGGCTCTATACAAATAAATCGGATCTACATTATGTCAAACTACTGCGAGTGGTGGTTTTAACAGATTGGTACTTGTTCTCGCTTTACGAATTATGTCCTCTCGCCTTGACTTGCCCAACTAACTTCAACGAAAATACATCAAGCTGGACCTCATGAGATGGGTTGTAAGTTAGTGTTAACGACGACAACATTACAAGCCGACAAAGCCTTCATTTTGTCTCAACCTACATTTTCTCTCATATTAGTGAGACCTAGCCACAATTTTCGTATACCCAGTCCAGTTCATTGCTCTTTTATGGATAAAAGCTCTCATCCTCCACTTTGACTCACCCTACCCTAGACACAGCGGTTCGGATCTGTCTGTTTCCTGGGAGGTGGGGTAGAAACAATCATGATACGCGACTTGAGCTTTGACAGCTTTTCTGAGTCGCGTAAAAACAATTATGGAATGTTTACGCGCCACAGAAAGTGAAACAGTTCCTACCGCACGAGAAAAACCTGTGCTTCTTAAAGGAATGCCATGATTATCTCACTCAAAAAAGAGACTCTTCGTACTCGCATTACCGTATTATATCCAGAGCCTCGGCAAACACTCTCCCATCGGCGAACGGCAAGATCTTTCCCGACGTCATTAAATCTCGGGGCACATTTTTTCCGGATATTCCATGGCACAATGCTGGCACCGGGTGAGCCATGCCAATTCAAGATCTTGCGTAGCATTTTCCCCGCAAATTTCAATACCGCTTCCCCAGATTCCGAAGACTTGACCAAATACAGTAATCTCAACGTCGGTCGTTGAAAGCTCGTGAGGATTAGCCTGTTTATTTTAACGGCTTCAAGCATGGTAGATATAAAAGGGCCGGTGATACGCCGAACGGGGTCAACTTCTGGTTCCCGAGGATACTATATGGAGTCATGTAATTGACGCTGAAGTTCAATGGATAGATGATGTGATAAGTATTCACAATGGAGTTGTTATATCGTATGTTGCTGTTAGCAGCACTGCTGCCTTTCTCCGTTGCCGTAAACCCTATGGTTGATCTTGGGTATAGCAAGTACAAAGGCAACGTACTTGACAATGGCGTCTCGGAATGGCTTGGTGTTCGCTATGCTGCCGCGCCAGTCAAGGACTTGAGATTTAAGCTTCCTCAAGATCCCATCCGCATGAGAGCTGTCCAGGACGCCACCAAGGTAGGCCATGCCACCTCTTCGTCGGCCAAATGACCCCTGCTAACACGCTACAGCGGGGAACAGTATGCATCGGAACAGATGCTGATCCCAAGATCATTGGCGATACTCAATCTGAAGACTGCCTCTTCCTCAACATTTGGGCACCTACGAAAGCCTCAGCGAAGGACAAGCTTCCAGTCTATGTCTACATCCAAGGTGGTGGATTCAACGGCAACTCAAATGCCAACGCAAACGGCACGTCTCTGGTCGTTGCAGGCGACCTGGACATGATCGTTGTGTCCATTAACTATCGCGTCGGCGTATACGGCTTTCTTAATGACGCTGACCAAATCACACCAAACGTCGGACTTCACGATCAGCGAAAGGCTTTCCAATGGGTCCAGAAGCATGTTTCCAAGTTCGGCGGCAACCCTGATCATGTTGTCATTGGTGGCGAGTCGGCCGGTGCTGCGAGTGTCAGTTTACATCTCAGTGCATATGGAGGCAAGGATGAAGGACTTTTCCACGGTGCTATCGCTCAGTCTATCTCTTTCGGATCTCTCCTTACCGAGAAGGAATCTGTGTATCAGTTCAACACTTTGGCGGTGCGACTAGGCTGCGTTGGTGCGAAGAAGGATATTCTCCCCTGTATTCGTTCCAAGTCACCTCAAGAGATCCAGAAGATCAACAAGAACCTCCCGAACCTCGGTAGTACCATGTCGCCGCAGTTCATGTGGACTCCCAGCATTGATGGCAAGCTTGTTCCAGATGTCACCTATCGGGTTTATGAGGAGGGAAAGTTCGTCAAGGTTCCTTTGATGACTGGCGATGACACCAATGGCGGCACTAACTTTACGCCTGTCAACACATCTTCTCTGGTGGAGAGCAACGAGTTTATGAAGGCCAACTTCCCCTTCCTCACTCTAGAGCAGTTGGGTCAGATCAACAAACTCTACCCCAACAAGAACGAGTCTTGCCCCAACCCTGGATGCTGGTGGCGTCAAGTCAGTGACGTCTACGGAGACATGAGATACATGTGCTCATCAATGTATATCTCAAACGCACTGACCCTCCATGGCGTTCCCAACTCTTGGAACTACTGGTATGACGTGGAAGACCCGGCTCAGATGGCCGCGGGGTATGGTGTCCCTCACGTCGTAGAGAATCAAGCTGTGTTTGGACCTGGCCCAGGCTCGCCAGCCAGCTACCTCAACGGCGGGAAGAACGTCCCAGTGGTCCCCGTGATTCAAGCCTATTGGACAAGCTTCATTCGTACCCTTGATCCCAACACGCATCGTCATAAGAGTGCCGTCAAGTGGGAGCAATGGACTGAGGAGGGCCGCAAGCGTATCAAGTTTGAGACAGGTGGCAAGACCAAGATCGAGAAGCCCAGCAAGGACTTGCAGAAGAAGTGTGATTACTGGGCTGAGATTGGTCCAGATATTCGGCAGTGAATTTATAGTTAGGGTTGCAAGGCGCGAGATCTGATGATATGTCTCTCTGAGCAATCAACACTTCAATATCAAATTTAAGCTTTTGAAAGGTCATGGTGACCGGGACTAATGCTTGCCTCTGCGGAGGTGCAACGCCTCCTTGTACGACTAGATTATTCTGGTGGCTCTCTCAGTTAAGGTTAGGGTTTCCGACATCAGACTCGAGTCTCTGGGCACAATATATGAGCGATCGTCCCCTTAGCCTGCCATTTGAACTTCCTTTTCTTCGAACCTTGCTCATATCAGCTACAGAGAACCCATTACTTACATCCCCTTGGTCTACAAAACGCCACCATGGCTTCCATACAGGAGCTGCCTAATGAGCTCATCGTAATGGCGGTAGCTGACATGCCGCTATCCACCTTCGCTGCTCTACGACAGACATGCAAACGATTCAACGAAGTCACGATTGTAATCTTTGGGAGGAGATTCTTTCGCACCCGCAATATCATGCTCCATGAGAGAAGTGTCCAGAATCTCGCCTCCATCGCGAAACATCCCGTCTCTGCACCCTGTGTTCGCAAGGTCGGCTTTGCACTCACCCGCATGAAAAGTGACTGGGATGGGTTTGAGGAAGAATGCGAGGCCCGCCGGCACTATGGAGGTAAACGACATTGAGCTCCAGGTATAAGGATGAAGAAGTACTAAAATCGCATCAGTAGAAGAAATGACATTTGAACGCATGCACGATATACCCCAACGATTGCCGGCGACAGCCTTTATACTCGTCTTAGAACATGCCTTTACGAGACTCCCAAATTGCAAAACAATCTCGCTCACCCATATCCAACGACCCTGGGGCTTACATAAACTTACAGCAGAGGAGCTGTCAGGAGTTCAGACGTATTATGAGCCTCAAAAGTTCAAAGGTAGATGGTTTATCCGATATTTGATTGGGTATATCTTTACCTTGAGCAGCAAATTTGGTATGGAGAATGTTGAGATCTTTGCGGACAAGGTGTGCCACAAACCTTTGAAATGGAAGCCCCGCAAGCCTTGCACTACTATCGGGATCTATGATATCTGCATGGCACGGCCTATTGCTAGCTCAAACCTGAGGTCATTGAAAATGACCGTAAACACATGGTATCGGCGCTGGCCAGACGACGCGTTTTCCCAATTGACTTCGTGCTTTCCCCAGCTATCAAGTTTAACATTGGACTTTGAAATGGGAGCTAACGGCTTCCTCGTCTCCTCGAAATTCATAATACCAGGGCTCAAAGAGCTCACACTCTGCTGCAAGAATTGCTACCCGAGGGAATTAACAGACGTCATAAAGCGACATGGAGAGACGTTGGAGCATGTGGCTTTCCAAGATGTCTACTTGGGAAGTCTGCAAGACTGGCTCGTTTTGATGGGAGTCTTATGCAAGAGTCTAAGATGCATGTACACTTTGAGTGGCTGAAGGGGGATGAAGGGATATCGCAGATCGTGCGTTATCCAAACAAATCAGAACTTCAGGCGTCATACAGGGAAGTGTATAATATCGCCGATCTGGAGAATGACGATGACAAGAGGAAAATGCAAGATTTGCTCCGTCAAATTGGCATTCAAGATTTCTGGACATTGATACTTTAGAAAAACCACAGTTCTCCTACCAATCTGTGCATAAATGTATTCCAACAGCTCATGGCTTCTGACAGCTCGTGATCACTTGATTGGCACTTTTGTCTCTACGCCGATCAATCGGGCTCATGTCCGCACGAACGGAGCATGCGTGGTCGACGTCTGTTTCTTTCAATATGCTCCAGGAACCAGAACAAGAAGGTAATATTCGCTGGGAACTCAGATTGTACTAGCCCCCAGCATTTTCAGGCAGCGGCATATTCCCTCCCCTTGTTCCGTTTCAGCATGTGACAATTCCCGAAGCAGGATTCGCATAACAGCTACAAACGCACCAAACAACGCCATCATCCTATGAACTACCTTTTACATAATTAAGCAGCATACTTCACATGTGGAAGCGACGAAGAGAATTCAGAGTTGCATTCCTCGGCGAGCGAAATCCGTGTATCGGCCGATCGCCCGCTTTGGGCCTTAATTGCGATCTTTTAAAGATCTAGAGAGGTCATAGCGCCCCATGGGGAAAGCTGTGCCGGTTTCGACTGGCCGAGAAACGAGGGGAATCCTGGCATTGAGGTTACAACGGCATGCGAAATCGTGGGGAAGTGCAGTTTATCAGGGATCTCTTGGACAAGGAATAGGTTCACATGGCTTCTGATTCATTGAAGGGAATTGAGAATGCCGAGCTCAGGAGGACATGCGTGATTGGGATTGGAATCCCATGTTTATATGTGATTCATTATAGGGGAATTTGTCTATAAATACTGAGGCATCGTCCTCGAAACTGTCAATCAACCATCTCAACACAAACATTCTACAACTCAGTCCTCAGCCATCTGTCAGAAACCACTCTTCAACATGCAGTTCTCTACTTCTTTCCTCGTCGCTGCTCTCTTCAGCACTGCCTTTGCCATGCCCCAGGCCAACCCTACTGATTGTCCCGAGACCTCTGCTATTCCTACCTGCGGTGTAAGTAAATCCTGAAAAGCCGCGGTCTTTCGAATGCTAAAGGTGTTTTACAAGGCTCCCTGCATCACCTCCGCAGCCTCCGCTGTTGGCTGCAGCAACATTGCTTGCCAATGTGCCAGCTCCAGCGCCATCCAGGCTTCAGCCATCAACTGTGTCCTTGACAACTGTGGTTTCCTCGAGGCTTTGCAGGTTCAGGCTTCTGCCGCTGCTGTCTGCACTGCTTGTGCTTAGATGCTGTCCTGAGGATGGTTTATCCCAAATTGTTTTGCAAACTCGTTGCGGAACTAGTCTCCTTCCAAGTATATAGTATCCAATGAGTTAGAAATAGCAAAGAAGAAGATTCGTTTATACGAGACCTGATCGATACTGAATATGACAAGGATATGCCCTTATCTTACCAAAAATGAATGTGACCCTCCAAAGCGGAACATGGGACAAGTCTCAGTGAAATTACAAAAAGCTGTTGCCATAAAGGGATAGCTTAGATTAGAGGCTAATACTTTCTGTATATATATCTTGCTCCCATCATTTGTAACCGCTTACTGACTGTTTAGGGTACTATAATGGTCCTGCTATCGCTACTTCGGAGAGCACCCTCAGTTCCAGCAACTCAACTACTGTCACCGATAACGCTGCTATCAGTCAGATGATCCCCCTGGGTGATATATTTACCGCAGCTGCTTTCGCTCTGTAAACACTGCGGCACATCAGCACAGACATCGAGTTAACAGGCTGTTGATAAAGGATGATAAATGCCTTGGATATTATGAACACGAAGGGTAAAGACCCATGTTTGGCTTTCATTATAGTCATTACTCTATAATAACTTGAAAAGAATTTGGTCGATATCTTATAATCAAGCCTCAAATATAGGATCCAACTCTTGCTTTGTTGTTAAGTCTGCAGTGGCCAGCACGATACAAGTAGGTGTACGAAAAAGACTAAGAGAAAGATGAAAGACAGAGTTTTATCTAGTAAATACAGAAAAGAATTCCAAACTTCGAATATAATGGGAGCCAATGACACTAGAGTTGGCCTTCCCGTGGTGCTAGTAGATAAAACTAAGTTGATCGCCCTGGTCTAGATGACTTTAGGAATGGAGCGGGGAGGGTATGGTACACCAGTCATTCAATCAAATTAAAGACAATTACAACAGTGTGGATTGTACGATCTGGCATGTAGTCAAAGGACATCAGTTAACACGTGGATGGCTTGACAGGACCGACGGATCCGAATAAGGAGGGAGGCATGTTGCAGCAAAGGTGGATGCCACATAGTGATAAAGTTTAACAGACGCAACCACATAGACTATTCGGGTCAAGTATACGAGATCGCCATGTTAAACGGCCATTCTTTGGTCGAATTGTTTACATGCTCCAAATACGCAAAGATGACGGCACAACGAAGCTGAAAGGTGCAGATGAGGACAACTGCCAGGTTCTGTAGTAAACAAACGTCCGATCATGAGATGCCCGATAATATGTGAAGAAAGCTACCACTAAGTTCGATTTGACAAGTTAGCCATGCCACATTAGTACTGTAAACAGACAATAGGGCGAAAGAAGAAAGATCACAATAATCAGTCAAAATCGACCTTGATTATAAACATTTTACTGTCGAAAGCTTGGGGAAGCACGAGAGTGTTGAAGGACTATAGACCCTAAGTTCCTTTGATTAAGCAGATCGTGTCAATATACGGATACATATAGCGGGATGTATCTTCCACCGCGAACTTGTCGGTCGAGTAGGGGTTCAGCCAACATAGTCTGGCGATTAGAACAGGAAGATCCTTCGCGGCAGTCCATATTATTACTGCTCATTTTCAAGAAGAGGCAATGATAAACTCGGATACTCGGCAACGCACTTCAAAAGTTCCATAACTGTGCTTAGCCCCCAAAAGCGCAGAACAAATATAAATAAACCGGTATATTCTATATCCAAGGACTGGTCTTCACAAATATCTCAACATGTCTCGATATCTTCTCCTCATCGCCATTTTCGCTATCGTTCTTTGTAACGCATCAACCATTTCCAACCACTGGGGCTCACATAATTGTGACGGTTCCTACCACCGCTGCTATAACCGCCGAGCAGGGCAGTGTTATGAAAACAGCTCGACCTTCCGCTCCGCCAAGTTTGCCGGTTTGCCTAAAGGCCCGAAGAATTGTGTTACAAGCGACGAAGATCCCCACATTTACTGCGGAGCAGGGCAGAAGGCCATCATAACACAGAAACGTACGACTTGTTTGACCGGTAACGGATTCGCTTGGTCGATCGTGTCTATCTTTTTCGACTGCGACTACGTCCGTCAGCGCATGTGCCTCTCCAATCACGGTCTTGAAGGCAACGGTGAAGCTATGCCTGATAGAGACACGAAGCTGCCTGGATTTAAGTGTAGCTCTTCACATAAGCCCGACGTCGTTGGAGCTCACGGATACGAGTTCTTCGTATAAGGCACTGACTTGGCGAAGAAGTACGGGAAGGTTGCCTTGAATGATGAGGAAACCAAAAAGATCTTGGCACTTCTTGAACACTCCTCATTGGAGGATCTGTTAGCAAAATTCGGGCACAGTGCTGTGAAAGAGGAGGATATCCAAGAGGAGCAAGAGGACTGATTCAGGGGAATGAAAGGCTTTACCCGTGATGGTATTTTATTGAACTTCACATGAGTCTGTATTCTAGGATTAGTTGGCTAGGTGAATCAGAAACAGAGGGTCCCTCAACCATAATTTTATGATGTTTCAGTGCGAGATAAGGGCACGTGGACAGTGACTCAAGACAGAATGTTAGTATATAACCCGAAAGACGCCCAGCAAAAATGAGACAACGAAACAACCATATCCCCGAGGAGCAGAAATAATCAGGAAGGTTTAAGCAAGCTCATAATTGACGCCAATATGTGCAAGAATTTCAGATACATGTACCATTGCGAGAGGTGCCATCATTTTCTTTCTGAGCAGACAGTACTTCAGACTTGTAAGAAGGGAAAGAAAGATGGAAACTGCATACCTACAAACGAGACAGTTGAAAGGAACATAGGGTATTGGCATTGCAACATCTGCTTGGAGAAGGAAAGGAAGAAGAAGGCTAAGGGAAAGACATGAGAGAACTGAGTCAGAAACATTCATACTACAGTTTAGGAGATGAGGGAAGAGGGCACTTAGATGGCTATGTGATTCAGAATCAGAAATACAAGCATCTATAAAGCTGTGAGATCATCCCGTACTTCTTAGCCTGCTCAAGATCCTGCAATCTAAACAAGATTCCAAAACCATATTAAAAAAAATCTAAAGCTATTTGGTTATTTATTGAAAATGTGCTTCACAAGGTACACCGACTTCCGATGCGCAAAATGCAATGAGCGCCTCAGTTGGACCACAAACCACGGGTGTTGCGAGCATCCAGGAGAGCCAAGAAAAGGCTGCAGAATAATCATCCGGAGGACCGACAAATTCTGGCCAAGTGAGGTCTGTCGAAAGTGCAAAGAGAAGAAGAAGAAACAGGCAGAAGGAGGATGTGTCACAAATGCGTGAAGAGCGGTGGATTAGACCTGCACAGAAAGCATGCGATTCAGAGCCAGAATAGTGTATATATGTCTTGACTTTCTGGGATTTCCCAAGTTACCTTATTACTTAAACCCTGAAATTAATCGAACATCTATGAAACCTAAGTTCTCTCTAAGTGCATTCTAACCTCAAAGGAAGGCCATCGACTCCAAAAAGATGTGCTCATTACTGCCCAGATGGTATGCGCGAGGCTCCAGATATCAGCCGAGAAAGAGAGTGGCGTTTTTGGCTCGAATAGAGCCTCTGGTGGGCATATATCGAGAGGCGTAGAAGACTCGAATCTTGGTCTTCGGCTAGGATAAAATGCCGCGCCGAAGTCGACGAGGAGTATCTTTGACTCAGAGAGTGTAAGCTTGTCGCCGCCCTTTGCCGTCCACATGGGCCAGTAGACGTGTTTGGGTACACCGGGTGAAAGAGGTTTCTCGTCTTGTCGGAGAACGGGCTTAGCTTCTGGTGAACCGAGTTTCTCACATATCTGCTTTTCTGAAAGATCGTAGAGAGTGAACGGTAAGCGGAGAAGGAAATTTCCTAGGTGGAGGTCTTGATACGAAGTCAGTATATCCCAAAGATATTGCAGAAATCACCCTCAATACGTACCGCCATGAACCAAGCCGTGACTGTGAATGTATGCTACCGCCATGACCATTTGAGCAGCAATGGACCTTGCAACTGGGAGCTGAAACATGTAGGAGTCAGCAGCTTCTTGTGCGTCCCTAAGACTACACCGCGCAAGGGCTGTGACGAAGCAGGGATGGGTTCCATTCGGCCCTGACGCAAAAATGGTCCAGTATCGGAAGGATGCATTGTTTTCCATGATGATCAGACCCCAGAGACGAATCGTAAAGACTTCTGAAAATGTCTGCTTCCCGTTGATCTGAATGAGCTATGCCAACTTTGACAGCGACATATTTTGATGCCATTTCGTCGCGGGCAAGCCAGATGGTTGAGAAGCTGCCGTAGCCAGGCTTGTGTACAACGCGATATCGGTCGGCGAGATGGTCGCCAATATCAATCGGATGATAGCCACCTGGGCTGTAGGCATACAGGCTTTCAACCTCTTCTACAGGGAGATAGTAAGCTGGAGAAGACAGACAATGTTGTTGTCATTCGGTTGCAGCGTAGACCTGTGCGTGAATGAAAGCTCAAGTGATGTCGCAAGAATGAAGGAGAGAGAGAATATCGCGTTCTCAAATGCCAAAAGAACGTGCCGCGCATGATAAATGCCTTAATCTTGTATCGACATGTCATATGAAAGTGATGAAGATGGCTTTGAAGCGCTCACTGACTGTTGCAAACGAATCGAAAGGCTCTGCTTTGAGCATGTTTAAGTGCTGGTTTCCCCTCCAGGGCACTGACCAACTAGACCTGGCAGCAGTCATCAGTGAAAAGGAGGACCGTCTGGCTGTCAAAAGAAGTCTTCTGAACCAGGGCGTCGAAAGATAGCTAATCAAATAACCATATGAGTTTATTTTAAGATCCGATATCAGTAACTCATGTATCTATTTTTCTCATTTAGGATTGTCAAAGTCCCATGGAAGCTTTCTGTCATTCCGTGGAATGATCACAGAAGAGTTCCATCCAGTGTAGTTACAGGGCAGCAGTCATTTTATAGCGCCTTCACAGCGGGTAGTCACCGTAGCGTGATTCAAGGTTCACTTCCATTCCATTTCAATTCAGCTTGTTCTCGCCTACAACCCACTCACCTTCCCTCAATCAAAACTCGCGATGCGTCAGTCTCTGAGGCGAAAGTCTTGTAGTGCTTGCGCACGCTCCAAACGTCGCTGCAATCTCAGTCTCCCCAGCTGCAGCCGCTGCGCAGCAAAAGGCATGGAATGCTCGTATCCCAGTTTCACAGCTGTGCCGCCTCCACCCCCAAATGCCTCGCTGGGTAGCCCGCTTCTCAGTGACTCAGTTGGCGATGCTTTGCTTTCTCTTCAAACGTGCTTGTTTATCCCCTCGACTGAATCACATGGCATGCATCTCGACTCTTCGGAATATCCTCCCCATATTGCAGAGGATTTTACAGCGCGTGCAGAATTCTTGGCTCATTTGATGTCATTGCAATCCACAGCACTGGCGGAGAAGGGATTCAATGTATTCATTCATTCGTCGCAGACTTTGGCGTCAGATGCGTTACGCGACGCCTTAGCTGGTAGTGCCCTACACGCCATGCGAAATCCTTCTAACGCGCGCTTCGTCGACTCTGAGACTACAAGGCGCGCCTCAATCGTCGTTGAACTCCTGCATCTAGCATCAATAAGTGACGATGCTGTCGACTTGCAAATGCTTCCTTCGGTACAGGCACTTCTTGTCTATCAGTGCATGCGACTGTTCTCACCCGGCAGTATCAGTCAGCAGACACAGGCGGAACGCGATAACATTGTTCTTCAGATTTGGGCATCGCGTTTGCAATTATCATTGGCTTGTGATGACGAGCTCATGGAGGCGAGCTGGGAATTCTGGGTTGAGCAGGAAGCCATTCGTCGCACACTAATATGCATAGAGCTTGCGCAGGGCACCTATACTTACCTTCGAGGAAACTGGCCCCTCGGTGTCCGATGCCATCATGACCTAAGATTTAATGCACAGAAGGCTCTTTGGGAAGCTAAATCAGCTGCAGAATGGCGTCTTGTCTCTGACGACTCCGTGCATCCCTCGCTGCCATGCAATATGCTTCGCTTACATAAAGACATTCTCGACGCAGTGCCCGGTGACTTGGATGATATAGGGATTCTACTGCGTGCTGCGGGTGAAGGGCTTGAGAACATGAATGCCTGGCTTGGTCGCGATAAAGAAGCCTTGCAGCAATGGGGCCAGGTGCGCATCTGACTGTCTTTGGCATGGTAGCAGCTATAAAAGATCCCGCCTCTGGGTCATCTTCAACTACAAACCATGCACACCAATCCGAAGAAACTGGCTATCTCTGTCAAGCTTATCCCTAATCGGTCCACCCTTCAGCTCCTCGACATCCCAAGCTGACCACACAAATCGACCGTGCAAAAAAGCAGCTTCCTCTGAGGCGCACCAGACAGCAAACGCACCCGGAAGACTCACTGCAAACTATCAGGCATGTGTATATCGCAAGGGCGCCTTTCAGGACTTACCATCATCCCAATTCATCGTCGTTTCAATCATTCCTTTCTCTCGAGCTTGGTCTGTAAGGATGGCGCCAGGATGGAAGCTGACGATCTGGGTTTGAGATGGATCTTTTTCGTCTGCGAGTTTCTGGAGGAGCAAGGTCCCGGATGCCTTGGTCAAGGAATACGATGAAAGGTTCTTTGGGCTGCCGAAGTCATGGATGGCACCCGTTGAGACGTTAACGATATGGTACTGTGGCACGAGCTGTTAGCGATATTCTAAGAGAGAGGACGGGACATATACCTTTCTTTTCCCTTGCGCATCTTGCTGGTGCAGTCGATCGCAAAGTTGGTGTAGTGCGCGAGTGTTGACCACGAATTGCTCCCACGCCTTCTCCCAACCTTGATCCGACAACGTACCTTCCACATTTAGAGCAGCATTGAGAACCAAGACGTCTACATGAATACAATTTGCACCCAAGTTGTCAAACATCTGATCAATGCTGCTGGAATCAGACATCTGACAGACTACCGACTCAAACTTTGTGACACTATCGCTGTGATCAAGGGAGAGTCTTGCCATCACCTCATCAAGCTTTCGACATGTTCTGCCAGCGATGATGACTTTATCTGCACCAGCCAAAGCAAAGTTCTTTGCGATGGCGTATCCGATACCAGCAGATCCGCCCGTGATGAGAACAGTCTTCCCGGCTTGGGAAACTTGAGGCTGTGAAGGATGTATAGCGCCATACACCTTTGCGTGCAGATTTTTCGTCAATGGTACGGGCTCATACACAAAGGCGGCAGATTCGGCGTTGTTTGACATGATGGGCAAGGTTTTGAAGATGAATGAAGAAGGCTGGGATGGCATGCTAGGTCAGCAGAATCTAAGACTCAGCGACGTGCGTTCTATAAACGGTTCTCTAACTGGTTATTTGTAAGTATTGTACTAGGCGGGCATCGTGCATGCCATCTGCGGACTATTCTGGATCATGATTGCGGAAGTCCGTTACAGAGAGCGGCCTGTTGTGGATCTGACGACGGAGATCCACACTTGACCGCAGCCGTGTAGATCTTGCTTTGACTGATGTTGGAATCCCAGGACGCAAGCACTATTCGATCCGTCCATCCTTTCGAGCTATGTAGATAGTGATACAGGGAGCGATTATTGTAACTTTTAATCTCGGATATTGCGGAGCCGCCAGTCGTGATTGCTCTGAGAACACGACATGGTTAATCTCAAACATCAACCTCAACATCATCCAGGAGCTCTCTGAGCCCATCAATCTTGGATCAACAACAGCCATACGAACAACCCTCAGAATAGCAATCAACTTAGTCGAGGTGTTGCAGGAGCATGAAGAGTTTGTCTTCGGTCCCAAGCCAGATACAGTTGAATCGACAACCGATCGCGAGATCGCTAAGCATCTATACAGTGTGGAGCAATTCTAAGCTAAGAAGATGGGATGGGGAAATCGTCCTCTGAGGGGGCCAAGCTCGCAATTGGTGGACACCAAGGAGTATCCTACCTGGACTGGCGATGGCGCGCGGACGGGTTTGTTGCAGGCGAGCCAGGCTGCCGAGCGCACTACGCATGCGAGGATCTGTAGATACCCTGAGCCCTTGAATTGACTCATGACTGGGGATATTTGAGTTTGTACTTGTGGGAGGGTCTCGACAGGAGTATATTCAGTAGGGCATTGCGATGCCCTCGTTTTAAGCTATCGAGATTGGTTGGTTGCATGAATCTTTTTGCCACTCGAATAGAAATGTCATTTGCACATGTCACCTTGGATTGATTTCATTGTTATGAGCCTCACATATGAAAGATCGAAATGTGATGAAGTTTTTTTTGGCTATGAGTCTTCTAAAGGATTAATGACAGTCAGTCATTGAACCTCCTTCTTGGCTGGAATACACTCCATCAGCCTAACCTTGTCCCTTCGCAACGCGCCTTCAAGCGAGGTAAAAGGAATGCCGAATTTGTCCTGGATCTGTTTGGCTTGCCCCTCAATAAAGCCAAAAGGCTTCATGTTGGCAAAATACTGAAACATGTGGCCATGAACACTGATACCCAACTTCTCTACCTCTTCAAAAGTGCGCTTCACAACACCAACGTCTCCACCGCTGACCTTGACCAGAATATCACGAACCTGCTCAAAGTCAAGCAGTTCATTTCCAAGATCAATTTCCTGGTTTCGGAACCTGGTGTGATCCTGTAAGGCCGCAGCAGCATACTTTCCCACGTCGTGAGCGTCAGTGTAAGGGAACTTGGCACCGCCGGTGAAGAGATCATCTATTTCCCCTTCTGTAGGGAGACGGGGAAAGTTATTGTAGACGCCTGGAATAAAAAAGTCGTAGTGGATGAGCGCGGGCCGAAGAATAGTGTATGATTCGAATTTCCCTGCACGAACAATACTCTCAACTTCATATTTGGAGGTATAGTAACCATGAAGATGAGGAACAGCCTTTACACCTTCATTTTCCCATATGTCCTTCCTATCCGCACAAATGACGGTAGCGGCAACGAGATTCTTGACGCCAGCTTTCTCACAAGCTTCAACAATTGTCTTAGCCTGAAGAAGCTCGAGACCAGGGAAGGAAACAGTGTTGAGAAAAGCGGCTTCGCAGCCCCGAGCAGCATTGAATACATCATCAAAGTTCTTGCTTTCTCCCTGAAAGAGGGTGATGTTGGAGTCGTTCAGCAGAGTTGGGACCTTTTCGATGTTGCGGACGACGGCGTGGATCTTGTGGCCAGCTTTGAGGAGGTGTTTAATGACCCATTGGCTTTGTTGGCCTGTGGCTTGGGTGACGAGGTAAGTAGACATTTTTAGGAGAGTGAGCAGTGGTGAGAATGCTGATAGGTTTGCAGGTTTGAGATGTTGCTGAGTAGTAGTCCTTTAGAGGAGCTCAACCAGTATATATACACTATATTCATCTTCTAAGAGTCTCAGCCATTACTCTACAGTTATCCCAATCTACGATGATTTCTAATATGTCCTTAGCTGACGAATATCCATGTTCCGGTAGTTCTTTGGAGCCGGACTCTTCACGAGCATCTAAAAAGTCCGATCGTCTTTGAGGCTTAGCGTAGAGAAGAATCCGATCTTTGTTTCGATAAAAGTTGCTTCCAGTGGGGGACATGATGACAGGGGAATGCCCACTAGGTTGATGATTGGTGCTTCTAAACTTAGTGCTGATGACAAATTCCCGGTCTGCTTATCATCTGAGAGACCCCATCACTAGCAACTTTGACCGAGAGATTTAGATCTCACTGCATCCATCTATCAAACGATATCGCTGCCGGAAACGAATCAATCGGTGTTCGGGTTAATACAGCTGAGATGAAACCCCGAAAAAGCTGTTGGACTTGCGCAGGTTAGTGCCAGCAAAGCGGGTTGGGAATTGGTCATCACTAAGCATCGGCATCAGCTCGCAAGATTCAATGTGACGGAGTCCGACCGAATTGTAACAAGTGCAAGCGGTCTCAATTAACATGCCATGGTTATGAAGCTCGTTTATCGTGGCCCCGGAACAATGACAGGAAGCGAGCGATAGTATGCACTACGGCAACGCAAGCGCTTGTATCCTCACGAAAGACGAGCGAGATACCTAGCCGCCTCTTCTTGATCAACACATCATTTCACGATGTCGAGCTACATAACTACATATCATCACAACAACACCAGAAACATGTAACCATATCACCTTCAAGGCAACTAAGGCAGCCCGCGATACATACCAATCAGAATGAACTGTTACAATACTGTGAGAGCTATAGCACATTCACCATGTCCACGTCTTCTGACTCGCATACTAGTCCGTGACTTAGCGCACTTGTCCTTGGTCACACTCGGCACGTCAACTGCCGGAATCCGTGATGCACTCATGACAATGGCCATGATCAACAACAGTCCTTCAGCCTCAGCTCTTCTACACGCTATCCTAGCCTATTCATCCCTTCACCATCACGGCCTAAGCGAAACAGCTCTCAAGTTCAAAGTACAGGCCCTTCATCTGCTATCTACCTCTGCCGAAGGCGGTGAATTGTCCTTAGTGAATGCCTCCCAGCACGTGGCTGCCTCCATGCTGCTTGGGTCATTTGAGGTACGTGATTCCGGAGACCATTGAGGTCCTGCTGACATTTCAGACTTTACGTCCTTCTGAGAGCTCAGGTGAATGGCTGTGGCATATTTGGGGCGCTGTAGATGTCATTCAAGCCACTCAACTCAGCGACCATTCCGGTGAGAGTGAAACATACACTCTCCTTGACTGGGTCAACTATCACCATACGCTCTCACGTTTCAGCACGCAGCATTGGCGACATAAAGCACTGGCTCAAAAGACTTCCATCAGATTGAGCCAACGCTCTCGTCGTGTAACGACCCCGCCATTTTCAATCTACAGACCTGTATGCTTTCTCCGGAACGGACTTAGAGCTTAGTGACTGACCAAATTCTTAGAATCACCCCTCTATAGATCCAACGTATTCGATAATGAGTCTCCTTTTTGAAACGTGCGATATTGTAATCGATCCACAAGATCCCAAAAGTCAGAGCCCAGAATATCGCGACTCACTCCAACGCCTTGAAGCACAAGTCGACGATCTCATCGCTAGCCCAGTTCCGAACGATCTGAATCCCGAAAGCGCATTCGCCTTGGAGTTATACCGCGTAGCGACACGGATATACATCGCACGCGTTTCGCAGAGTCCATGGGAGGCACCCGCAGTGCTGGACTCATTAGTGGATACACTGTTCAACGGGCCAGTCACGACATGCACCTGCATTCACTTCTTCCCGTTGCTCATTCTGGCGTGTGAATCACGGAGGGATGATCAGCGGGTGGCGATTCTCAACTTGATTGATAGGACTCAACGCGATGCGCGGATCAGAAGTATGAAGGCTGTGACAAATGCTATCCAGGCTATTTGGGTGCAGCAAGATCTTCATGCTGATAGTGAGGTGTTGGTGAATTATATGGATCTCCTGAGTGTTGGAATTAGTTCAAGTAGCAGTATTCCATCCTTTGCATAATATTTCCTTGGAGTCAGTAGGAACGAGGTAACAAGATATTGGATGCGATCAGAGAACCTTGGTTCTAAAATTCGATCAAAAACATGGAATCAATAGTCTTATCTTCTTTTGAGAAACTAATGACCATCTCTCCTCGTGCGCCGGACTTTCTATCGACATCGAGTAATGGCCCGGCCCAAATCCTTTGCTGACTGGCGAAGCGATCGTTGCAACATGATTTGCTGATGGTGATATCTGACTATCCTTTATCAGTCAGACTAGACTCGGCAGTGAGACATGCGCCACCTGTTCAAATGTCTTGGGCGAACGTCCCATTGGTTAGCCACCTTCCTAATGCAGACGTCATGGTAACTTAAGATACGACCTTGATGTAGTATTGGGCTTTTCGAAGTGACGAAGTGATCACAAGAGCTTTTTGGGCGCTTGGAAATCTCCGAGCGGGCTTGCCAGGATGATAGCTTCTTCCAAATGCCGGAGGTGATTCATTTCGCTTGGCATTCAAGTGCCTTTGGATCGCTACGTTACTTCTATAACACGATAATTTACCTACTTTACATCTTGATCGGGGGAACAAGGCACAAGGAATAAGAACCTGGGGGCCATAGTTCACTCGCTTGGCTCATATCGAAGGTCACCGGTAGTGCCACCTCACTAGCCCGGTGCCCATATCACGCTCTTGCGAATACTACCTTAGTTTGCAACTACGATTAAAAACACCAGCTCATAGAATAAACTCAGTTTTGGGTTACATCGTCACTACCAGACATAAATCAAGTGACGTGCCCCCAACTACCTTATCTTGTTATTTCTGCTGCTGTCGCCAACCTTATCGGAGAAAGCCTGTTTATCAGACCTACTGTTAAATCAATATCGTGTCCTCATCACCTGTGTTAGCAGCCTAAAGTTTAACCTTAATGGCCAGCAAGTACTTACGTAGCTGTCAAACCAAATGCGACAGTGAATCGCAAGCGACGATATCACCCGACTCTAACTCATGAGCAGATCGCTCCCGAATATTCGGCTTCATTATTTCCGGGAACTGCTTTCGCTATGTGTTCTTGACAGTTGTTATGATCGCCGTAGACGCTGAAACAGATCTGCAACGTTGCAACCGACCATTTATGACCGCTGTCTCTCTATCGGTCGCTACTATAATCACTTTTCCGCAATAATACCAAGTCATCACAGCCTTGCAAAAGTCACTTGAGTATTCTGCACATGTTCTTTCTTCCAACGCTGCAACTCAACATGTCTTTGAAGGCCCTGCTGAGACGAGTCAATGACTTTTGAGAATGACGGATTTTCCGTTATCTACAGAGAGTGTATTGGACGTGATGTTTTTGAGGATGATTTCAGGCATATATAATGCTCTTGAAGAACGGTACTCGACAGACGAAGGATCAATAACAATTCTAACATCAAATACAACTTTACAATATTCCCAAACACTTCCACTAGCTCAACTTCACATTTACAATGGTCGCACTCGATGATATGACTTCTGGCATTCCCGCCCTTGTTGTTCCAGCCAACAACGATGAAATCTCTGAGGAGGCGACGGGCAGCGTCAACGCCGTTTACTTTGTCAACTGGTACGCTTTTCTTCTCACATGCTCTTGATTCATTCACTCATCACATGCAGGGGTATCTATGGGCGTAACTATCAACCCCAGAACCTTCCCGCATCGCAACTGACTCATGTGCTTTATGCTTTCATGAATGTGAGAGCTGATGGAACCGTGTAAGTCTTCCCTTCCGAGAACACTGCCCAACAAGATGTTCATAGCATTTAGTTACACTGGCGATTCATATGCCGATCTTGAGAAGCACTACACTGGCGATTGTAAGCCCATCTGCTTGCCAATACTGAGATAGTATACTGACTCTACACAGCCTGGGCGGAGCCCGGTAACAATGCCTACGGATGCGTCAAGCAGCTCTTTCTCCTCAAGAAGGCCAACCGAAAGCTCAAAGTCATGCTCTCCATCGGCGGCTGGACCTGGTCAACTAATTTTCCAGCTGCTTCTGCCTCAGCTGCTACCCGATCCACCTTCGCTAAGAGCTCCGTTACTCTCATGAAGGACTGGGGCTTCGATGGTATCGACATCGATTGGGAATATCCCGCCAACGCTACCGATGCCAGCAACATGATCCTTCTTCTCCAGGCTGTGCGCAACGAGCTCGATGCCTACTCCAAGCAATATGCCAATGGATATCACTTCCAGCTTTCCATCGCCGCTCCAGCCGGTCCCGATAACTACAACAAGCTCAAGATGAAGGACCTGGGATCGGTCCTCGACCATGTCAACCTGATGGCTTATGACTACGCCGGCTCTTGGAGCGCCTTCTCGGGGCATCAAGCTAACAAATACGCCAACACCAAGATCCCCAACGCTACGCCCTTCAACACTGACCAGGCTGTCAAGGCTTACGTCAACGGTGGCGTCCCTTCCGCTAAGATGGTTCTCGGTATGCCCATCTACGGTCGCGCATTTGAGAACACTGCCGGTCTTGGACAGCCATACTCTGGTGTCGGATCTGGAAGCTGGGAGAACGGTATCTGGGACTACAAGGCTTTGCCCAAGGCTGGAGCTAGTCTTGTTTATGACCGCGATGCTCAGGCCTCCTACAGCTATGACTCCAACACGAAGGAGCTTATCTCTTTCGATACCCCTGGTATGGTCGAGAACAAGGTTCTATACATCAAGAACCGTAAGCTTGGCGGAAGCATGTTCTGGGAGGCGTCTGCTGACAAGACTGGTGCTAATTCGCTGATCGGCACCAGCTCTAAGAAGCTTGGTACGCTTGATAGCACTAACAACTGTTTGACCTACCCCAACTCTCAGTATGCCAACATTGCCAAGGGGCTTTCTTGAAGGATGGTGCCAACACAATTTTGTTCATGAGAACATGCAAGGTATGGGTTGGCTTATACGGACACACACTCGTGATATAGAATCGGATTACTGTGAACATTCGCTTTAGATATCAATAGACATTCGCTTGGCATTACACCTTGACTATTTATGGCTAGATACTGCCACGACTTCACTGTGAACACAGAGGTGTTGCCTTCGATCAGGTTGGCATGAATAAGTAGTCAAAGAGCATGCTAAATATATCTTGACACCAATACCAACCATCGTGAGCTCCTCTTGGTACTTCTTTCACTTAGCATCGATGGTACGCGGCAGTACATTATCCGCCTGTGATATTAGAGAGATTCGCGGCCCGCCCGTCGGATAACGCACTTGATAAGCGGGTATCCTCTCCCTTACTCAACAGCGGGTAGTGTTACGAATGCAAGCATCATATAAATAACAAATCCCTTATCTCACGCCACCTCGTATTGGAACGCCACTTCAAGAATGTTTGCTCTATTTCACAACTAGGCTAGGTCTCCCCCTCCCTTTCCTTCCCGAATCAGCCGCCATGGGTCGACCTATGAAACGCTACTCTACAGCTCAAGAGATGGTTCCAGAGTTATCAGCACAGTTGAAGACTTTCGCAATTAGACCGGATCGGTATGCGTCCTGGATGGATACGGCCACACTATAACTTTAAAGGGGGTTAGTTATCGCACAGAGTACAAGGACCATCGATTGACTCACGTTCCGGCAATGACCATGAAAGATCCAACGAGTACGATAAGAGCATGTGACCAATAGGTCGCCTTCCTAGACGCAGTATCCGTTCTGTAATGCTTGAAATCCTGCATCCAAAGCAGAGCAGGGAAGATCAAACTGAAAGGGGCAAAACAGATAGCTCCGGCAAGACCCAAGAGGTAGTTGAGAATGGGGACAGCCTCGGCAACGATAAAAGCGAGGATTCCGAGAGTAAGATTGCTTCCAATCCAGGTAGTCCAATGAACCATCGTGTTCTCCTGAAGATGGTGAGAGTCTCGCAGGATACGGACGAAGATGTACTTGGCAGCCACATGCTGGTAAATGCCGACGCCGATGATAAGACCCGGAAGTGCGATTCCATACGAGATCTTCTTGAACAGAGGGCCTGCACTTCCAAAAGCAGGGGTTGCGAGCCAGACGCCGCACCATCTGTAGATGACGAGGGAGAAGGACAGGTACATAGCAAGCACGAGGACACCTGTAACAAGCACGGCCTTTCTGAAGTGCTCGGGGCGCTTCATTTCTGACAGGACAGGCAGATACATAGATGAACCACTGTTGCTGATAAAGATGTTGGCTGAAGCGGTGATACCAGCTACAAAGGTTGGGTGAGCGATGGCAGTCCAACCGAGCTCGTAGTCACCAGTCTGAGGGGCCATTGCAGGGCGATCTTGCTGGGTTACAGCAACGACGAAGATGAAGACAGCCACGAAGAATGTGAAGAATCCGATCCATGTAAGCCAGCCGAGGCGGCTGAAGGTTCGCACCGAGGAGAATAATGTGATAGAAATCGCGCCGATGAAGGTGAAGATGACGGTGCATGCGCCGTGGTTGGAGATGGCGTTGAAAGCCGTTGAGATTGAAACGATGCCGGCGGCTGAGATGAGAACTTGAGCAACCAGGATTTGCAGGCCAACGAGTTCTTTGCCAATACGGCCCCAGAGACGACCGCACATATCAGCGAGTGCTATTTACATTGTTAGAGCTAACGGCATAAGCTTCAAATGGGTGTTGGGAACATACTATGGCACTCGGGGTGACGGTTTCGGAATTCTCCCAGAATAACTGCCGTATCTATGCAAGGGTTGTTAGTCAAACTTAACCTCTTTATATCATCGATTGGGCACTTGGCTTACATGTATTCAGAGTATGCCAGCCAACAAGCGACAGACCGCCTCCAACGGCACCAAGCGTCGCAAAAGCACCAGGCACGCTCAGAATGCTCATGGCGAACTGGATCTTGAGAAAGATGATGGTGGCTCGCTGCCAGCTGACGGTTCTGAACTGCACGCCATCATCTGTCTGCTGGAAGACTTCATGAGACTCAAGCGTCTCGCCTTTGATGGAGACAACATCCTCATCGGCCGGTCTGTATGGTGTGACTTTGTCATCGACCACTTGCTGCACTTCTTGGGAAGCCATACTTGCCTCTGTGTTGTGTCTTTGTGGCTATAGGCGTGAAAGGGAAGTCAATGAAGATGAAGAGGAAGAGGAAGTGACTCAGTCTGTCTTCACAATCTCAATGGGCGATCTTCTCCTTATTTCTACTGGATCCGAACTCGGTTGCTACCCCAGGTTATCTACCCCGACTTTATCTTTATGGTCTAGACCAGGGATGCATATCGTGAGCTAGACGGTATCAGATTTGGTCTCGTGGGGTCCTTTATCAAGTGTAAACCATGTCGACCACTGATATTTAGCCGCTTATCAGAACCAACTTTGGCGATATCCCCGTGTAGAGTTGCCCAATTGCAGTGAATACCTTGTCAGCGACAATCGGCTATGGGGCAGCAGAGGTTAGTGATGGAGTGTTCCGCACTTGGAAAGGGAAATTCCGCACTAAGATTTGAACACGTTGAGGCGTCGCGATCTAACCAAACTACCGGGACACATTACTGGCATCGCTTCTATCATGATTGCAGACTTGCATTACTGTTGTATTACTAGCTATCGGGTATGGAGCGAAGGAACACTAATTTGTACAGGAATATCGGCTACCGGGTGGTGAATACTCTTCCTCAATTCAACCAGATGATAGAGAGTTCATGCAACTGCCAAGTCGTATTTTCTCCGGCCTCTTGAGTTCTACGTTATAAGTAAGGCATTTCTACATTTACTAATGCTCGCTCATAGATCCAGTGAAGATTTAATAAGTTTTTGGGCGGTTGTATTATCACAGACGACTGCAGTTCAGGGAGCAATGTCGTGTCATTCTATTATGGCTCGATCCAAAGTCCCATGATGCCAAACCCACTAAGTATAGGTGAGCCTTCTGCCAGCTAGGCCTGCAGATTCACCACTCATCATCAGCCTCACAGACCTGATTTAACTACCGTCTTCTGAAGGCCAATCAATGAGCAGCGTCTCGGACAACGGCATTTATAGATGTGCGGTATGTGGTGACTAGTAATTATAGGCGTTCCCAATACTTGGTCGCGGGCCGCTCAGCGGAAAACGCACGCTCCAGGTGCCCATACCCGCTATCATTTAGTGGGCACAGCCGCTAACACAAGCAAAGTCCGGGGAGATAAGCGCTATCGTTTAGCTCTATCTCGCCAACTCCACCCTCGTATCTGACTCAAGTGATTGTAATCGTTACTAATGACCTCGTGTCTATGACGGGTTGAATGAAGATGTGGACATTGACTCAAATGGCTTCTGTCATGAGATCAGACCATATCATTCCAATGATATCTCGGCAATCCGGATATAGACAACTGAATCAGGATGAGTCTTTGATGCTGCAGTTCGTTGCTTAAGAAGACCGTAATAGCTTCAGTCGGATCCATGATCATAGCTGTAATTCCAACACCAGTTGACCTCAGCAGACCTATTTCTTAAACCACATAACCTTCTACTCGTGCCAGTATACTTCTTCAGCCATGTACGCAGACATCAGCAAGCCACCAGCCCCTCTCCCATCCATCAATCTCAAGGTTTTGAGGCCTGGTCTATCTTTGCTGTACCCACTCTCCAGACGAGGCCACGGTCCCGGTCTCATCATTCTCTCCGCCACTACTGAGGACCCAGTGGCTTTCTACGAAGGTGTCCCTTCCTCATTGGTAAAGTGGGCTGAAGAAGGCTATGCAGTTGTTCAGATTGAAGCTGCTGCATTTGAAGGAAAGGACAGCGGAGTTGTTCTCGGAGAAGCAATCGATGCTTTAAAGCAATGTGAGAAGTGTGACCTCAACGACAAAGTCGGCTTGGTTTGTAAGTCGTGGTTGATGCTTCTCCCTCTTACCATGCCTGCGTTCTAACACGTTCCTAGCATATGAGCCTCAACTATGGAATATCGCTGCTCCGGGAATTGATCAGACCCCAGAGATTGTTGCCAGTGTTCTTTACGCCGACGCAGAGTCGGAAGAGACTCTGACCTCCAGCAAAGAGCCTCTGTTGAAGCATATTGCTGGCCAAGACTTCAAGCTCTCAAGTCAATCGCACTACCCTTACAAGGAGTCTTCAAGCTATGCTTTCGCGACTCCAGGACATCCTCACTTTCACTATACAACCGAGTCGGTATCTCACACGCGTAATCTCCAGTTCTTAAAGCCCAAGTTGAACGGACCTTTCTTTGACCTTGAGGCTATTTGGGATGAACATACCTGGTATGAGTTTAGTGATCGATCCGTGCAGCATACTATGAGCACCATGGTCCAGGAGCCTTATGTGAATCATGTTCCAACGGTTAGTCTTCCTGTGTTGATACGGAACACTTGAGTTGACTAATTCTTTCCAGTTGACCGGCGGCATCGGCCGAAGCAGCCTTACGAAGTTCTACACAGATAACTTCATCTTCAACAACTCCCTCGATACCACACTTGACCTCATTAGTCGCACGATAGGCATTGACCGTGTGATTGACGAGTTCATCTACAAATTCACTCACGATCGTGAGATTGACTGGCTGTAAGATCCTGTTCCCTTAGAACTCATCGCGACTTCTCATGACTAACTACCATGCCATAGCTTACCAGGAATTCCGCCTACCTTCCAAAGAGCAGAGATACCATTCACAGCTGTCGTGAACATCCGTGGCGATCGCTTGTACCATGAACATATCTCTTGGGATCAAGGTACTGCTCTCCGACAGCTTGGACTTATGCCCGAATACTTGCCCTTCCCGTATCCAATTCCGGGTCAGACAGGACATCCTGATGCAGAGTACGAGTACCGAGTTCCTGTGATCGGAATCGAGACAGCCGACAAGATGCGGGATAGGAACTCGGTACCCTCAAACGAGATGTTCAGCTACAAGGTTCGAAAGGCTCGAGATGGCTCCGAAGGCGTTCAGAAACAAGATACTATCAAGCAGGAGGCAGAGGTTATAGGTGTAGTTGTTTAAGCAACGTGCAATTTAAAAGATAAATCATGAATCAAATTGGATGTTCTCTGTGCAAATTCTCTTGGTTGAGGCCTCTGTTATATCGACTTCTTTGCATCATAATATTCCGGATACGTCTGCTTGTAGCCCAGCACAAATCTCCCCCAATAAGCAGCAGTCGTGAGCAAGATTCGACTGACCACCCGACCCAAGAATTCCCAGGGAATTGGAATGACCAACGGAGTATCCGCGCTGTGGAGAAATACAAGGAGCTGAAAAATGCTAGGTGCACTACCCGCAGCTTTACAGTCATCCAAGTACCCGAAGAAGTTCCTAAAGAATTGCTGTTCATTCTCATATGACTCCGGCGTCAGATGAATATCCACGACAAGATCTCGGTCGTGGGTTGCATTTTCGAAGCGGTGAAAGTAGCCGGCCTTTACGGAGGCGGTAGCTTGACCATCTGGGTCGTCGGACAGGACGGCAAAGGGCTTTGGATCAAGGCCGCGATAGAAGTTACCCTTGCCGGACTGGACCCGGAAGAATTCATCTTGGTAGATGTGATAATGAAATGGCGGAGCGATGATGGAAACACCATTTTCTTCGTCTGTTGGTGGGATCCGATGGGTCATGATGTATTTTGAGCCCGGTCCCGAGAAGGTGACAGAAGACTTGCCGCCTTCGTATAAGATTGGGTTGTTTTGGGCATTTTGAGTGCGCGCTGGCCCGGAAGATCTCAAGAATGAAAGCATGGTGCTGGTTGGGTTAATGTGATAAGATGTTGAGACAGCTGGACGGAGCTGAAGCTAGATTATAAGTGCTCTTGGGCACCAAAGAGGAGAATCAGTCAATGCCGAGTGGGGAAGCTGTCGCCAAGACATCCCATAGCCGACCTGCACAACCTGCACAAACCTTTCTTAGGAGATCATTACCTTAGCATTACACTACCCGAAAATTGATCTTTGAGTGCCCTGGTATACGTCATCGCGGAATTACGATTTACTCCAGCAGCCGATCTGATCTGCAAGGGAGCTGCGAGAAACCCTTCAACCGCTGAATGTTCGGTAGTTGTCGCCGTCTTACTCGTACTCACTGACAAGGCGACTAGCGACAACTGAAATTCATTGAGATCGGCCTCATGTCGGACGATACTTTGACGAATCCTACAGAAGAAATTATGGGAAGGCTATAATCGTTTCTTCCCAATAACGGTATTCCAAGTCAGAGGCAAAGCAATTATCAAATGTCTTATCGATACGCTGGTCCATCGTGTTGAATAAATTCAGCACCTATGAGAAAGCCAACACCGTTTCATTCCATGCCTATATCCAAGTGTGCAGTATGCAAGTCTACTATTTCACCGCTTTCAATATTTCCCAGAGAAAGTGCAGTCAATGGTCTTCGCTTCGTCCTGCAATTCCTTCACGAGTCCAAGAAATAGTATCAAAATAAGCATAAGAAAAAGAACAACGTAGGTTGTACTGCATTAGATATTTTATGGAGTCCATGAGTTATCACATCGATATTTCACGTAGAGTTTATGAAACTGATTACAGAAATTAATATCTGCCCCAGCTCATTACCAGCTGATGAACCCTCTGCACGCAAGGCCGGGCAAATCTCTCTGTACTGTTGTCCCATTCGAAGTCTAGCTAGAATACAAATAATATTAAAAACCTGATTATGGATGTACCAAATCTTCACGAGACCCATGTGACTCCCTCGATGTTTCTGGTCTCTCCAAAGACTGCATCTCTAAATCCACCTTGACATAAATCTTCTGACTGGATGTACCCTCAACATCATCAAGCTGCTCCCAATTATCGCCAACTTCGCCTCTATGGGTCCGGCGTGCTGCTGATACTGATTGCGATGTGATAACAGCTCTGCTGGTTCCAGAAAATGGTGTGATGTGAGTCGGAGAGCTACCCGTCGAGGAGTCGAAATGGAAACGAGAGCTGACGAGTTTTCGTAGTGACGGTAATGATCCAGCGATTATTCCAATTCCTGATTCAAGAGTGGACCAGAGGACGATGTTTGCAACGTGATCTGCTTTTGTTAGTATGGCAACAGAAACCGCTTTCGTGGCGAACCAACATAAATAATTTTGAGGATGCGAAAACGCTTTCAAGTAGGGCAGGCGAATAAGAGTACACAGCGAAGCCCTATTGTGAGATTAGACATGTGTCTTCAACTTCGACATTACAACTTACAGTGCAGCCAGTCCAAGGATAATACTGACAGAGATCTTGGTGGCCTTTCTCATGTGGGACTTGTATAACATGAAAATAGGCAGAATAGCACAAATCCAATCTGAGATAACCGCACTGATTGACACGACATAACCCAGGCTCATTATGAATGGCAAAGAGCAGTTTCCGCGATTGTCCCAATTGGAGGAGAGTGGCATACATGCGAAAAAGGTGCCGATGGTGTTGTAGAGCATGGTGACTATGGTGAATATGAGAGTTGCCCAGACAATGATTCGATGAGTTTTAGTGACAGCAATTCGTAGAAGGGTGACGCAGATTGACGATTTAAGAGGCGTCAACGAGAAGCTATAGAGTACTTGGCCAATCCACATCCACTGTGCATTGGTTAGCATGGATGTTGAGTTGATACTCGACACGAATTACCTTTCGACCATCGACTTGCAGGTATGCGTTCAGGTCTTCATCTTTTGTTCCCAGGCCTCCATAAATGGCACGAATACCAACAGCAGTGAATGCAACGTGAAGTATCTGACTCGGTTAGTGTTATGTTTTGTCTCACTGTGATACAAACTCACCCATCCGATAAGCATGAGACCATCATCGATACCAAAGAGACGATACTTTAATCGAACAAAACATCGCAGAACAACAATTATCGCTGTAGGAATCAGAAAAAAGATGGAGACACCAAGCAGAACGCGCGCCAGACCCTTGGGGTCCACCGTCGTCGCGCTCTCATCAAGCATGATGGCGATGAGATGTCGAACCCACACTCACAAGTGCAGAAAACAAATACGAAATCCAGGCAGCGCAGGGTTGGCATTTTGAGCAACCGGCCCTCTCTCTCCTTTTCAACAACGGCCCCAAATGCGTCGGATATTACAGAGTTTGTCCCATTCCCCGCGTTCTAGCTCTCCACCCATCCCATCTTTTTAGTAGCATGGTCTAGTGAACCTTATCGAGGCTCTCGAACCAAGGATATCTCGCGGATAACGCCTAGCCCGGCAAGGGTGCTGACTCGCGAGCTCGATTGACGGATCTGCGCCCAGCGCTTCGAGTGACCGTTTTCAGATGAAGCGTCGATATGGCTTGCTGGGATCACGCCAGTTAATGTTTGTTGAAGGCTTTTTGCCTGGCATGCACAGCCGAATCAGTGCGCAGCCAGTCTTATCTCTTATCTGAATCCCCGCGTAGATCTGAGAACTACTAACTTAAGCGAACATTTGCTTCTTGCTGACGCTAGGCTGCAAAGTTGGTGGCTTGAAGCCCTGCTGCAGACAATGACTCGACCCAGGATCCCGGACGCAGGTAGTCGCATGATTGTCACGCAAAGCCACAGATATACAGGATATTCTGTGGACTCTGTCAGAGCGTATAGTCATCCGTTGCTGATCTTGTACGCCAAGCTCGTTCAAAAGTTCATAATGCTATTTTCCACCATAGACAACGATTAACGTTAGGTACGCGTACTCCATAATGTTCCAGGGAAAACGACAACCTGAAGGGTCTGAGCTTGATCACAGATTCAGGGGTAACGACAGGGGTTATATGCACAGCAGATTAGTGCGATTGCAGGAGGTCCTCGCTTCAGAAATCGGGCCCTATGGCACTATTCCCGAAATCCCGATAGCTTCATTTGCTGAGGAAGCCTTCATACCTGTTCTGGTACTTGTTACCGGTGGATCATTGACCATGCTGGACGAAAAGCCTCCGAGAACCGATCGAGACTTAGTATGGCCAAGCCAATGGTTTTTAGAGCTGGAGTAAGAGCTAGGAAGCTATTCCCATGCATCCGGTACGCTATTGATATGACACGAGTTTTGTGGCTCTGTTTGGAAGAGACAAGACTTGGCCCTGCTTGGATCGATTGGACCCCTGATTATATCGCTAGGAATGATTTCCGGAGACCCTTTGAACGCTACGACGAGACTATTATGTGGCTCTATCTCTAACCAGCCTGTTGCATCCCTGTAACGGTTCGTGGCCTCATGCTTATAATCTGGAACGAACTACTTACTCTTTTCAGCCCAACGAACTGCAGCTAGTTTAACATGAATAATGATCTGGAAGATACACAGACACAGACATCTCATCTTCTTCGTTTTTGGACTATTACCCCATAGTACTGAGTAAGTTACAGTAGCATATCTCTCGGCATTGTTACAACCCGAGCGGGCCATGACTAACACCTTCTTTAATTAGAAAAGATATCACTTGGCTTTTCTTATCCAATTGTGAGACAACAACGGGTCCAGTGATTACACATAATTGTGTATGGAAGTGCTTCTGTTTCTATGAACAGATCAAATCCCGCGGAGTTAAGACTATGCCTCGGGTAAAATTTGAGGTCTTTAAATAAGACCGAGGTGAGCCCCTCCACGGAATCAATTAATTGCCTGCATATCTTGAAGACAAAAGTCTAATAATAAGCGAAGGCTGAACATGTCAATCGAACTGCAGCGCCGTTACTTTCCTCCGACTGTTATCCTTGGCGTCGGTCCGACATTTGCTCAGAACATGGATTCGGTGATTTTGCAGTCGCGTGAGATATAAATGGCCATCGCCGTATTATTTTGTAGTTCCTGTTATCTCTTTGAGCGGCACAAGGCATCAAAGCGGTCAATACAGGGGTAACGAGCCAACCAGAGGAATTAATTCTGCCAATACAGACCAGCTTGTATATAGAAGACTGATAGCCAATAAGGATAGCTTGAGAAAGATAGAAGCCAATAAAATAGGCTTAAAAAAGAGGCTATACTGTAATAGAGGTAGACCAGTTACAGAGAAATACAGCCCTTTTGGAGACAGCCTCACCTATCTTATGTAGACTCGCTGTACGTGGGGTCAAGTGGGGCGATTGACTTCTTTGATGCCTTGTGCCGCTCAAAGAGATAGCGTCTCGTACCCTGTGCCTTTTTCGGTCCATCGCATATCGTGTGAAACGTTGTCAGCTGACACGAGACTTGGTTGTTGGGTATCAAGTAGCCATTTGAACTATCGAATTGACGAGCCTCTATCCACTGTCGGTTACTTTGCATGATATCCTTTGCGTGACATTATATACGAGCCAAAGAAAGAAGTTTTGATATTTGCAGGCGTAAAAGAAAACCCATTCAGCTCCGACACCTCGTACTGACATGTCACGCTTTGGGTTCAGCAATCCAAATGCTGCAACGGCACCTACGCTGACAACCAACGCACGACACATTCATACAAGCCGGTACAAAACAACAATCTGCCATTCCGAATGTAACGAAGTGTAATGAAGTGTCATGCCCGATTGCCGATTTATATTTATTAAATTAAGTGCATGCAATACCCCGCAAATTCGATATTGACATCTCGGTCTAGGCTCATACAGGGTAAGTGGGATACTCATGCACCGCAGGGATCGACGAATCAAGATGGCTGATGACGATAATCGGAAAGGGCGCCGAGGATCGAGTAGAAGCCTTCCAGTCAACATCACAGCGTAGCTTCATACGTAAGCTTACGCATAAGGTTGCGGATCCGTTCCTCCATGATGACTGGCGAAGTATCTGGTTAAAAAAAATTGGCGTCAACATTCGTGAAGCGTGGGTGCGCCTTGGGCTCCGTGATGGACTGCAGTGCATTTCAACTGAAGGTTCTGGTACTGTTTATCCCTCCCTGTCCAGTCTGTTGTGGTATATCACATGCCAGCTTCGCATGAAAGACACCAAGCCCAATGGATCCTGTGTAGGCCTATCAGTGTTACGGTGATGCTAACTGAAATCCCCATTTCCTCCGTGGAGACGGTCGATAAGATTTTAGTTCGACATCACCACCAACTCAGGCCTAACCTCAACTTGCTGCACCAGAGGTTTCCTTTGTTCCGGCTGCAAATGCGCCCAGTGAATAGCCATCTTGAAGTTTTTTGCCCTAGAAAAGTAAAGCAATAGACCTCTCGTGAGTATAGCACCGTTTCTTTGTAGACCCTGAGCTAGCTTTACCGTCCCGTGCCCCGGCTTCACTGATGATGGATCCGTGAGACAGGAATCGATACCCTGTAGATCACCAACTAGCCAAGGTGAGCGGGCGTCTACGACGTTGCACTGCCGCTTTGTTTGGAATGAGCTAAGAATCCCATCGCCCCATGCCGTCATCGACTCATCCACTTCTTAAACTCAACCTTAAACCCTTCCTGATACTTTCAACTCTCTTGACCCATCTATAAAACTACAAAATGACTGAATCACCTGGAGAAACCGTAGCGAAACACTTGTCGGATCCTAGCAAATCGCTACGACCGATACTTACCTCTCTAAATGGTGATAATAGCTGGCTGATGTCCTTCCCCAGGCCTGAGGAGGAGCGGGCTGCTGCAGGGAAGGTCTTCTACCATCTTGCTTTTGAGCCATGGCTTAACGGAGCAGCGCATGTTGGGCATCGATGGATCGTACATCTTGCTCGTGTTGAAAAGGAGGGCATTTCGACATTTGAAGACCTGGAGAATCTCATCAGAGCAATCGAGCAAGCTGCTTCTGCGTATTTGCCGCCAAAAGCTCAAGATCAAGCGGCCCAGCCCGCGCCGACAAGACAACTCGATGCTATCCTGCTTGGCTTCTTCTACTCCGATCATCTTCATCCGCAAACTCTCAAAACGTTTCCTCCCGAGATTCCCGTCATAGTAACACCTCCAGGAGCTGCCATCATCGAGCCATGGAATCACTTCAAGACCATCAAAATCATCAACAACTTCGATCCCTCCGCGACAACTTGGAACTCACCAGACCTTCACCCAGGCGATCCAGTCCCAAGCTGGTTTACACCGCTAATGATCCTCGGCAAAAGCGAACTCAACTTCGTCTTCGCCATAATCTGGTCCCATACCATCAACGGCGAAGAAATCCACGAAGCAATTCTTGACTCTCCCCATGGCGTGCAACTCGATGCCAAACCCCTCGAAGCATTCCTCGTATCAGAGCCCAAGACAAAGAAACTCGCTATGCTTCACGGTCTTAAAGAAAGTCACACCGGCGGTATTCAAACATGTTACGGCGCAAAAGGTGGTCTTGGACTGCATCGAAAGGTTGGAGGTGTAGAGCACTGGGTTTCGACACACTCTGCTGAGCTGAAATATACCGGGATATTCATGAGGCTTGTTTGGACTACCGATACACCAAGGACGATCGAGTGGGCGTTGGAGGAGGAAAAGAAGGAACATCCTGATGAGGAGTTGTCTGGACCGCCGAATTTCATCAAGGTTCCGAATGGTGGGTCGACGGTTTTGACGTGTTAGTGAGAATTCGGCTTTTTACCATTCATAAGGGGGAAAGGATAGCTTGTTTAGCTGGATGATACCATTCGTTTTGTTAAGAAGCGCATTTAAATACTATATCATTCGTTGAGAGAGATTGCAAGTGCGTCCTTGAAAGCCTGGAGTCTACTGTACCTTTGTTCAGGATATAAGTGTAGATCATAGAACGCTGGTGAGAAGCATGGGTCTCCCTGAGACTACCAGTTGAGTGTTGTTGAAGGCTGCCAGTTGAGCAGCTCAGGCGGGTCGGGCTGGGAAACAGCGGAGACCCCACTAAGTTATAGCGGTCCGTTTCACTATCTGACCAACAGCACCTTCATTATGGCCTCACACGAATAAAAAAGGGCTTGGAGATTTGAAAGGGGAATATTATCAGGAGGAGATTGGTTGGACGAAGAGATTCAAGCGCCCCTGTTCAGGCAAAGACAGTCAGTTGACAACCGTTTTTTACGGGCATGCACTTCCCAATCCACGATGCTGACTGAACATGCACTGGAGCACACAATCGATATCTTGTAAACGAGAACCTCTATCAGGAAGATCTGATAGCTCTAAATTTTATAATAAATTCATGCGCGACCGCAGGTTTACAGTGTGTGTATTGACATGTCTCCTCTATGATCCGGCGCATTGTGTTACACCTGATCTGGATTGTCGCTCAACTGATGCATCAACCCTCAGCTCCACCATTGACCAATCCAACATTATAGCAGTTGTCGCAAAAGCCCAACCAAGTTGCCGATGGGGTTATTGAGTCTGCGCGACGCGTTGTCGGGGACAGTCGATGCAGATGCGCTGGGCGTTGACACGGTAGTGCTGTCGCTCGTTGTCGCCTCGGTCGCGGAAGCCTTTTCAGGTTTGGTAGCGGATGTTGTCTCTTCGGCCTCAGTCGTAGGTGCAACAGTCGTCTCAGCGTCGGTGGTAGAGACTTCAGTCGCAGTCGCCACAACAACAGCGGTCTTGGTCGAACCCGTCAATTCAGCAGTTGAGCCCGACGATCTCTTATCACCCTCATTTCCAGGCAACAAGTCCACACCCAGGTTGAACACGCTGTAGGCATCCTCTCCACCACAGGCATCATTCGCGTATCCAGGACAAGGTGTATCACACTTGTCATCGTCTACCAGGGCAGATTTGGCTGGGTAGATATCAGCGCAGATGCATTCCACATCCTTGAGTATCGCTACAGTCTTCTTCAGCTTCTGGCAGTAGTTGGTGCATGTGCCGACGCTGTTGAAGGTGTTGGATCGTCCATCGGCTTTGCTGGGGAGGGAATTGAAGCAGCCCTGTGGTGTGACCTGGCCGAGCACAGGGCTTTTAGCGGGGCTTTGGCTCGCGTCCCTGGCCGCGACCAGCGAAAGAAGAGAGAGTAACGCGACTTTGGTGAATGCCATGGTCGGAATTGTCATGTAACTCTGGGAATGGGTAATGAAGAGCTGACAAGGCGATGTTTATATCCGTGAATTCTCCTCGGTCGGTCGGTGGGGGAGTTAAATTAGATGCTTGGAGTGCCAATCATGGCGACCCGCTATCGTCAATGAAACGCGGAAGGATCGTGTTGTCTTGCTCAGCCTTGTGCAACAGTGTCATAGGCATCACAGTGGTGTCATTATACCAGCTGATCCAGTGGAAGGAAGTCTTGGCTGTATAAAAGAAACACGGCGCACCAGACGCGTTGCTTTTGTCGGCTTGAAGTAGTGAATGCCAATACGGCGAAAGATGATTAAGGGAGATTTCTCGAATCCTTCAATTGAGCTATGACCTCAGCCAAGCAAGAATTTCCCGAAAAGCGGCTTCTAGTGTCCGGAGAGGAGAAGAGCGGGATTCCGATTCACTGGTGACATATCAAATGATTACCCTGGGACTTGGGCGACAGATTGAGCATCCATCTGAGTCTTCAAAGAGCAATAGGGGCACAAGAGTACGTGAGACTCGGGCTTGTAAAGTAAAATGGAAACTCAATTCTTCATCGCTTGATTGATTGGCGGGTTTAGCTCAGTTGGGAGAGCGTCAGACTGAAGTCAAACTTCGGGAATCGTTATCTGAAGGTCATGTGTTCGATCCACATAAACCGCATTCATTTTTCTATTTTTGCGTCCTTTCCCTTTTGGCATGCAAATAATTTTATCTGCCAATACCCCTGGAACTGTAAATGGCGACAATGTTTCATTTTTGTTGTGCGATAGTACATCTGGCTGTACCATGCACGCATTGCCAGCTCTTGACCTTCGTCAGTGACATAGCACCTGACCCTCACTCAGCAGCTTGCGGTGATGAAGAGTTGTGCCGGGATATCCGTGTTGAGTAACTCTAAACTTAAGCATCTTGCAGCTCAATACGAGGTATAAAACAGTCATTGAAGGCTGTAGCTGTGTCGAAGACGACGCGCGTTACACTTCAGACGCATTGACGCCAACTGAGTGTGACCAACACGCACGTTTCAGCTAGAGTCTAGCACCAAAGTCGCGATATAAAGTTCTTCGGAGCATTTTCCCCAAACGACCCGACACAGGAACACAAATGAGATAATGTGTGCCGCGACACTGATACTGTTATCTGCAGTTGAAGCTATGATGAATGGATAATGAAAGATCACAGAGCCATGTAAATGGAACCCGGGAGATAAAGACATGGAACAAACCAAACCCTCGGAGGACGAGCCAATCGATGTAGCCGAAACCAAACCGAAGCTTGACAAGCCACCCGCAGGTCGCCCTGCCGATCAATGCTTACCCCTCTAACGATGAAGTCATGATGAATGGCCCTGTCTGACATTACTACCCAGAACTTCAATTGAGTTCAGCTCACCATGCATAGATAATTCCCAATGGATATCCCGAAGAAGCAAGGGAGACCATGACCATCGACGCTCTCCCCGGGCTTAGTATCCCCGGGCATGCCTTGTAACGTGTAAAGGAAGGGAGCTTCTGATAGCACTGCTTCAGCTCCTCGACAGCTGAAGCTCTTAAATTGTAGGGCTGGCAAGGTACCAAGGCAGTGTCGCCTTGGCTTGAAGCATAACGCCAAGGCGTCGGGAAATACGATGCACCCATCGAGAGGCGATTGGCCAATTGAACTTTCATGGAATGACTACTGCACATGGTGCTTGGCTTGCTTGTCCTCACTTTGAGCTCAACAAATTTGAAGATTCTTGAACTTCCTGATGCCATAAGAATAACAAGACATACTGTTGGCCCAGTGGATCACGAGCACTCGCCAACTTGCTTTGAGGCTGTCTCCGTTACTCGGATGTTCCCTTGCCTGGTCAGCCCTCTGGCCATCCCGATTGGTCTGGATATCTCCAGACTCTGAATCCTCGATCTGAGCCGCTGCAACCTTTGAACCTTGAGCGAATGATAACGTGAGCTGCACGTGCGTACCAGAGTCCTTCCAGCCTCTCAAACGGCGGACATAGCGTAGTGACTCACTCCTGCTCCATTGCTGTCTGTTCTCGGTGTTTCATTGAGCTTCCATCGAGAAGTTCTTACGTATATAAGCTGACATCCCCCCCGTTTTCTTAGCGAGTCTCTGGAAATAACGGAGTCACTTATCGCTGCCTATTTATCAACCTCGAGACCTACCTAGGACTTCAGATCATTCACAAAATACGTCGATACAAGCTTATAACCAAGCTCAAAATGAAGGCTATCTTCCTTTTCACCCCTGCTCTTCTCTCCTCCTCTGTCCTGGCTCAGTATCCTGGATCAACATCTGTTGCACCTGTTGTTCCCGTCCCTCCTGTCGTAAGTTCACATAAATTGAGAAGATTTGATGGAGAAGCTGACATGTGTAGGTCCCTACTGCCCCTCCGGTCGCCACTCCAACTGCACCCGTGACTATTCCCACTACACCTGTTCCCACCCCACCTGTTCCCACTGCTGGTGCCAACTCACTCAACACCGGAATCGCATCTATCGGACTGGCCTGGGCTTCCATAATGTTTTTGTTCGCTCTTATGTAAGGATGTCAATATCAGTGAGCTAAGGTGCCTTGCCTCAAAATTGGTCCTGCATATTGTCAAAGAGCTCATCGGATTGGATGTACGAAATATGATGGTTCTATACGTATATACGCACAATAGTATCAATTTTTGTTATGAGATCTGCTTCTACTTTTAGATCTTGGTCGGATTTGATCTCCAGTCGCCCGGATGCACAATGATGCATATTGGGGTGGCATAAGACTTGAGACTTTGCACAGACCCGGCAAACGACCACCTTCGTCTCAAGTCTTCAGACACCCTTAGAACCAGAATAGATCGCCCTGTTTGTTTGTTTGTTTGTTTTTATTTTTCAGTTTTCGTTTGCTATTTCTCAAGGACGTTCGAGGTATCCATGGCAACCACTGGCCGACACTGTATAGGTAATTAGGCATCTTCATAAACACGACGCAAGCACAGACTTCTTGATGAGTTCAGTGACTCACAGCCTATGAAATGCAGGCTGCGATGTTACACAGACTGAAGAGTGAGGCTGCAGTCACGTGCCTGCGTTGCACAAGTGCACGACTCATAGACTAAGAGTTCTGTTTTGTTTTGATATCGCTCTTCTTTCTTCTCTCTTTACCCATCACTCATCATCAAATCCTTATCATAAACATCCTATTCACTTCTCAACCTCGTCGTAATCATGTCCCAAGCTGATGAGGCAGTAGCTTCATCAGCTCAACCATCTCCAGCCCCAACCGCAAGCATGGCCGCTGACCTCGAAGAGATTGTGATGCCGACCAACTTCACCGACAACCCAAAAGAGATCCACACCGCTCGACGCCACGTTCAACGCATTGAAGCCGTTGTCGGCGAAAAGCCCTGGGAGTGGTTGGCTGAGTTCCCACCAAAGCAATAGAGTCGCCATTTGCTGGGAGACTTGGCCTACCTACTCGATCACGCCAGCCAGAGCCAGAGCTATGACGCAGCTGGGATCAAGGAGTACCTCCGTGAGATTATTCTTGCTCGTCCAGCACGCAGTGGTGAACCGAAGGCGCTTCGTGGGAGCGATGTGAAGGCCGCCAGGGAGCACTTTCATGTACCCAAGGGTAGGCACCTGGGTCGAAGTGCTTCAAAGCCTGCTGCTCGTCGGGAAGATGAGAAGGAGATTGCCTCTGGTGGTGAGGGGAGCGGCGTTCCGAATACCAAGCTTCATCCCGATGCCTCGTCTCAGCAAGAGATTGACGCGACAGATGACGATGATGATACTATCGCCCATGAGCATCCACGTCAAGGGGGACTCACAAAAGTCTTGAGTGCCATCAAGTCCCAGGCGCACTCAGATGCAGCCCTTGAACACAATGAGCCTGGCGCTGTCAGTGTTGAAGCCTCCAGCATCGAAAACACCATCGTGATAGCTGGTCCTACTTCACCCGAGACAGCTCCCACAACACCCTGCCCGCCCCCCCAATCAAATCATAACAAGCGCGACCGTTCTCTCTCCTCGACGCCTGTCAACCCGCCCAACAAACGTGTCTGCAACGCGGTGGTACCATCTCAGCAACCTCTGGAGTTGGCCGCTCAGACATCTCCCGTGGTCATCGATCAGAGCAATGTAAGTCCTCATGCTGTTTCAATAGTAATGACTATACTAACGCAATTACAGAACGACAACTACAACTCCGCGCTCGTCCAGGCCACCGATGCCTACCACCATCACCTTGCACTGCATGTGCAAGATGTCCGGAAGCAACATGGGGACTGCCTCATGTCTGTCCAGACCAAAACGCACCAGATTAATCACGAGCTGCAACTCCACCAGCCCAGTCTCGAGGATCACCGACTCGCCCAAGAGCACTACCCCCAGGTCGAAGCTAAAGTCGAACATCTTCGAAAAGACAAGGAGGAACTCGTGGCTGCAAGAAAGAACCTCGACGACTCAAAAGATGTCTTGATGAGAGTCTCAGCCGAGAACTTCGAGGGCATGGAGAAGAGCTTGGTGGCTCAATGGGCCGCCAACGCCAATGCTCTTCAGGAAGCTGAGAGCGAACTCGGTGCGGCTCAGGTGAGACTCGAACTGACAGAAGACGCTGCCCGCCCTGCTCTGGAGTTCATGAACGAGGCAAAGCCTCAGCTTCAGGAGCAGGAGACAACTGCTGAGAGGCTCGGTCTGTATGTCGCGCACGCCGAGTTTGTTCAACTCGTGGTCCGGACTAGTCCTTCGGCCATTGAATCCCTTGACAAGTATCTCCAGGAGAATGGGTTGTCGCTCCATGAACTTCGTGCGGTAATTGAGCAGGGCTTACAGCCCACTGAGGTGGATGGCCAGCAGCCAGATGCAGCCATGACCTGAGTTTTGAGTCAGCCGGCTGTCACTTTTGGTCAGTGATGAGCCAAACTCGACATCTTGTCAAGGGGTCTGGGGTGAGATACCGATGGGGTTATCGTCTGCGGGAGACTTATGTTGTGTCGTTTTGACGACAGGGAGATGTTCAGTTTCGCATCAACAGCATTGGTTGAGAGCATCTGGCTCTTCCTCTCTGGTGGCATGTATGAGTTATGTATCTGCGTCGCAAAGGCGATCGAGATCTCAGAGGAAGAAATGTTTGATAATCAGGTTGCAGGGCCAAGGTTGGCATATTGGCACCCGCTCGAGTTACTTTCGGCCGCAATGATAGTTTAGCATAGAGAAGCTGGTATGCTTCTGTACAAGTACCATAAAAGATGAACATATTTACGCTAATACGGTACAATACTCTCAGGCCTTCGCCAACTTCTCTACAGATACGTGCATATCTATCCCGCAACCCATTGGAGTGCAAAGATGTCTTCCGTCTAAAGACGTGACGAGGGTGCTCTGTTGGGATCCAACTCCTGCTTGGCCTTCTCCCTCAACTCCCGTCTCAAGATCTTCCCGGACTGAAAGCACAATGTTAGCTAAGCCCCACAGAGCTCGGAGGTCTCACTTACAGGGTTCTTGGGAATCATATCCACGAAAGAAGCACCGCCCTTGAGCCGCTTGTACTTGGCAACTCTAGCCTCCATCCAATCAACAATTTGCTGCTCGGTGAGTTGTGATCCAGGGACCTTGACAAGATACGCGCGAGGAACCTCATCGCCTTCATATGGAACACCGACGACTGCAGCGTCTGCAATCTCAGGATGGTCCAAGAGCACGGCTTCCAGCTCGGCTGGTGCAACTTGGTTGCCCTTGACTTTGATCAACTCCTTGATTCGATCGACGATATGGAAGATGGCTCCGGGTTCGAAGGACTCGACGTATGCAATGTCGCCTGTCTTCAGCCACCTCGTACCATCCTCATCAACGTGAATCGTCGAAGCTGTAGCACTAGGATTCTTCCAGTATCCCTTCATCAACGTAGGTCCTGTGACCCAAAGCTCGCCTCTCTCGCCGGGCTTTGCCACTGGAGTCTTTCCGTCCAAATGCATAATCTTTCCCGAATAATTCGGCGCCAGTTCTCCCACCGCAGCAGAGTTGCACACAACCCGGGGGTCCCAAGTCATACTAGTGCATGTGACTTCAGTCATGCCCCAACCTTGTTTCACATTGACACTTCCATTAGCCCATAGTCTCTCAACACTTGATGCAACTTCTTTACTCAAAGGTGCAGCGCCAGATCCCACTCGCTCGACACTGCTGATGTCGTATTTCTTGACGAGCGGGTGCTTTGATAGGTAGACCAGAATGGGAGGGACGCAGAGAAGGCTTGTGATGCGGAAGCGCTGAATGTGCTGTAGCATTTTCTCAAAGTCAAAGGCGGGCATGACGTATGCGGGGATGTTTAGATGGGGATAGATGGAGATGAAGTATGTTTGCGCGTAGGCGTGGTACATGGGGAGAAAGGCGAGGCCCTTGGTGCGTTTTTGGAGCTCGGGATCAGGCTCTAAGTCTGAAATAAGGACAACACCTAGGCCGTTAGCGACGTATGAGGTATGAGTGATCTCAACGCCTTTGGGAACACCAGTTGTGCCGCTGCTGTAGTTGAGGCAGCAGCCCGCCGTCTCTGGATCTGCAGGTTCGGTCCATTTCCAGGTCCTTGCTTGTTCTTGATTGTCGGCTACAAGATCAGTCCACATGCGAAGACCATCTTTCGTAGTGGACGGTGCAATCGGTGTAGTGCCAACAGGCGGGAGCACAGACGGGTCGATAACAAAGATGTTCTCCTTTGGGAGACCGACTGTCTCAGCAGCCTCTAAAGCGGTAGGTAGTTGGTTCGCAACAACAAACATATGCGTACTCTCAGAGTTTTTGAGCTGATAGGCGAGTTCTCTTGGTGTAAAAGCGGGATTTGCGCCAGTGAACATGGCACCGCTCATCAGAATACCGAGAAAGACGCATGGGAAGTAGATGTTGTTGGAGGAAAACATGAGCACTCTGTTTCCTGGTTGTAGGCCGGCTTTGATGAGACCCAGGGCAACTTGTTTGGAGAGAAGTCGGAATTGCTCCTTTGTGAGGAAGTGTGAGTCCGGACGGTCTGCGTCGATCAGGATGGGCTTATTGCCCTCTTTAATAGGCTCACAGGCTGAACCAAAAACCCATTGCTGAAGGGAGCATTTTGGAATAGGTTTAGACCATCGTGAATGAAGAGCCATGTTGGATAGAGATTTTAGACAGACTTGAGAACAAAGCAACAGATTACACAGTCGTTCAAGGTAGATCAAGCATGTAAAGAGGAGAATTACAGATCGATTACGAGCTATTTAACACATTTCCCCAGCCTGCATCAAGCAGCACAGCAAATCCGGGGTAGGCCAAGCTATTTCGTATACCAAATGATGAATTCCCATGGCAAACCCGTGTGGGGTAGCAACCAATCTTTCCTCCTTTTGGCACTGCAACCCCGCGTTTCGACCCTCGGCTCGCTTGCGACGATCGAGCAGTCGAGAAAAAAGCCGAGGCACGATCTGGTGGACAGATTGAGAGATAGCTTGAAACGGCGACGGGTTCGTTGATCCGAAAAGGTGGGGAGGCTGAATGAGGAGGGTTAGGTTTGCGAGAAGATGTGAGGGTTTGGTGATGCGGTGAATGATTGAGTTTCGATGTTTTCAAATTGATGCAACGTCGTAAGAAAGTCAATCTGAAGGATTTGGTTCTGAGTGGTTGGACAACAAGGTTCACGGCTTAAAGTGGTAATGGATGAAAAGTGTGTATCACGCTGACTCAGGCTTGATCAAGGATTAAATTGACGATCAGTGAGATGTAATACGGATAATCTCACTATTGTTGTTCGCCTATCCTTTAAGACATGGGCCGTCACCACGTCTCGGGAGCCATCCATGCATTCTCTCTCAGCCAAGACTCTCTGCCTCGGCTGTCAACCTACCAAGACTAAGTCGCGAAACGAAAGTCAAGTCTGCATATAAATCAGCAAGTTGTACCATTTCCGGCGGATTTGAACGGAAACTTACCGCTTGTTGCCCTTGTCGGTTGTGGTAGTCCTGTATTGATGCTGCTCCTCTGGTGTCATGGCGTCCCATTTCTTAGCCTTCTGGTTGTTCCTCCATCTGTAATAAAAGAATGTTCCAGGATATTGAACGAGCTGCGAGGATGTGAGTCTAGATTGGAGATTTTGAAGGGAATAGAACGATACTTACACACATCCATACACAAATGACGAGTAAACCTGTATTAGCTTTGAAGTATCGTGGCGAGTCACTCGGCTGATAGACTACGACATGTCAGTGACTGAAATCAAGCGGTGCCATGGGGACTTACTGTTTGCTCCGATCATTCCACTGACTTGAACCCACATATTGTAAAGTCTATACATCGTCAGAAACAATACCTTATAGGAAGTTGAGCAACCTTACGATGCTGAGACAGTTCTGTTCTGCACAGACCCCGCATTTCTGCTCGTCCACGCGACTTGGATGGGATGAGTGCTGGGTGCTGTTAGCGAACCGCGTTCTGTTGAGTAGAAGGATACTGACTATGGAAAAGACAGAAGCACGGTCGAGATGGCAAAGTAAGCCCAAGGCCCGATGGGATCAGGCAGAGCAATCAATGCTATAAAGCATGGAAGCAACCAAGCATCCTCCGCCATCGACACAAAGCTTCGGTTGTTGACAAGCTCACTGAACGCTGTAATGGCAAGCATCGTGATGCAGGAGCCGACGATATATGGAATCGACAGAAGGTTGGTCTCGATGACGTTGAAACCCAGGCCACGGAAGGATAATGTGAGGTATTGGTTGACGGGGTACTTTGGCAGGCCGAAGAGAAGACCGAGAGCGTAGAGAGGCCACATATCGTAGTCTTTGGTGCATTCCCAGATTTGACGCACTGACAACCCTTGTCTGTTGTACATGCCTCCCTTCTGAGGATCGTCGCGGATAACTGTTACGTGTCAGCGCCGAATATCGTCAATAATTGGTAAACGGCTTACCAGAGTTGACAATAATCTTCTGTTCATGCTCGGTGAAGTAGCCCTTCGGGTTCCACCAGCTCTTGGTCTTCGCTGGCGACTGCGGCATCAGGAAGAAGGATGCAACCCCGATTAGGACTGCGATTCCGTTAGCATGGTGAGTTTCACGGATGCGATGTCAACTTGCAAGTGAATGCTCCTTCGATGAGGAAGAGCCATCTCCAACCTTCATATCCAAGCATACCACGCATGGAGAGCATACCGACGGCAGCGAAACCAACTCCAATATCGACTATACAATGTCAGCTGGTGCGATCCCTAAGTTAGTATGGATCTCATCGCCTACCGAGTTGCGACGACATCCAGAACCAGGCTAGTCGAATTGGGAGCTGAAAAGTCTTTCAGTATCGCGTGCGCGTCTCGAGACGAGTCAACATACCCTTGTGCCAGTGTACCAGTAACTAAGATACAAGATAGTGTCCCTACGACTCGTTAGCTTATGCAGCAGCCCACGTCAGATATATGCACTTACGGAATGAAGCCTCCTTGGAATGTAGCACTAAGATGTGAGCAGTTTGTTACCATGACAACTTCAGGAAACCTACATCAAGTATCGTGTAGCAAGAAATGATGCACGACCTTTCAGAAAGAACTGCATCGCGGAGATGAGACTGAAGATACAAAGCTGGATGGGAATCCACATATCGGGCCCAATTCTGCGAGAATGTCAGCACCAAGAGTAGCAAGAACGCTAAGAAACTCACCTCTTCGAGATCAGCTGCGAGGGCAACTCAGCAACGAGGAAGCCAACTCTGGAAATGGTTTGTCCAATATTCTAACTCCAATCAGTATTAAATCTCTCAACTACGAAAGGAGACTCACATAGTCGGCATGCGTAATGCCCAAATCATCAAGCATGTTATCCGATACAGCGTTCTGGATGTTGTTCCTGTCGATGTTCAACGCTGCAAACATGATACACATCCAAACCTGCCAGGGTTAGTCTCCGATGCAAATGCAGGGCTGGCTTTGTTCCTACCATGATCTTCCAGTCGACTTTGTGCCGAACAGCATTCTCTTCGCGCCATGTCCAACGAAAGTTGGGATCAAAGGCCGACCAGTTCTCCCACTGCGGGTGGATATACAGTTCCTTGTATCGTTCGATGTCGGGCGAGTCCCAGATGCTAGGCTGCGTCGCGACCTTTCTTCGAGTCAGCTTCACTCCTCATGAACAATTTCCTCGTCCGTACCGCATCGAGATCGTAGGTGTCGTTCCTTCGAGGTTTTCTTATTCGCAGAAATCGTAGAATCGCATCTCCCATTGCCGCTTCCATGCGCTGCCCCTGCTGAGCAGCCAGGGCTGGTGCGGTTGGAGGCACTGAATCGCTGGGATATCCATCGTTTTCGACTTTGCTTTTGCCTTTGAAGCTGCCAGTGTCAGAGGGAGAATCTGATACTCCCGACGAAGGGACGACGGCAGGCTGCTGATGCGACATATTGCGATCTTTCACAATTTGACCAACTCTTTGGATAATGCAGCACGCACGAACATTACAAAACGCGAGAAAATGGTCACAACACTGCTACTTAAACAACTTCCAATGCTTGAAGCAACCCTGCCAAATATGAGCCCCAAATAATAAATTGGGGGTCAGCCATTGCGAGATCAACGTGCACCATCGCTTCGATAACCAAGTGGTTCTATGGGAGTAATATCAATGTAAAACCTGCCAATGCTAGTCAATAGGAGTCAAACATCCGACATAAAATTGTCGATCTTCCGAGGAAATGCAGGATTTTTAAAGAACCGTTACATCAGGGTCCATCGCCATTGACTTTGTTGCTTGCGACATCGATTGGCAATATGCGGACCCAATGTCGTGATCGTTTCGAAAGAGCCATTGCGACAACTATGGGGCAAGAGACTTGGCTTAAGCTTAGATACAAGTTTAAATGAAATATATATAAGTAGGATCATTAAATGTAATAAATAAACGATAAATCTCCAAGTTACATGATCTTTCTAGGCATTTATCAAATGTTTAAATGTTTATTTTGTCCTTGTTGTTGCTCTTATACATACCTACTCAGTTAACGTACCACTGCAAACAAATAAGACATGGTACTAGAAGCCCCCATCGGCCAACTTTCTAGGCCGGGACTATAGTTCCACCAAGGGTTGTAGTTGACCGATCTGGCAGCCTATTGGCAGCAATGACCATATCTTCGCCGCTGTGAGGCTCTCTGCCTAACAAAAATGGGCTTACTGAGCTGAACCATTCATGAGCTTGTCTGATAAGAATCTGCCCGAGTTGACCGCCAAATATCGTGGGGTTAGTCTTCTCGGTTTGTTTTGAGGCGTTGTAGAAATTTTTAATTAATGCCTTATTCTGGCAGTTCAAAATCGGATTATAGCTAGATCGAGATCGTGTTTCCAACAGGTGGGATATGTGGCAATCCGTGGTGCGGACAAAGAAAGATAGGCTGGACTGGACAAGCCGAGTGATGTCTTTATCACGCAGTATCGTATCATAGATGACCCAGACCGATGGGTTATTGTTTTGGGTGATTATCAAAGATTTGATGCATGGCCATTATCTACATATTACTTCTGGTCATTCTTACTACTCTCTCCCTCCTGCTTATTCCATCCTGGAATCAGTTCATTATCAGCCTCTCCTTCGTCATCGCTCGTATCCCTATTCTTCCTCACTCTCCTGGCTGCTCGTCGTCCTACTACCGGCAGTTTCTCGACACCAAGATCCTTCGCCGACTGCGGTAGCAGCTTTGGATCCAGAAGGCCTGCTTGGACTAACACGCTAGCTTGATCCCAGTAGACATGCTCCTGGTACAGCCTTCCTCCCCTGACTGCGACGATGCTCACCATGAGAATTTCGATCTTCTTGTTTGTAGGTGGAACCCCAGGAAGCATCCATTGGACTTGCTCGGTGTGTTTGAACTGGACATGCATTTCGTCGACAACGCGATCAACGCCGATGGTTCGCGATAAGAGTGTGATCTTTAGTGAGGGTGGGGTTGTGAATGATTCGGAGTAGAAGCGCTTCAGTTCAGCTGCGCCAGTTGCACCTGTTAGAGTCGGCATGTAAGTGACGTGAGGGGTCTTGTGCGTTGTGAACGTTGACAACGCTTGACCAAGATCCTTAGAAAAGAACTTGCCTGTGAAAAGTCAGTTCTGCTCACCAGTCACCAATCGCGAAGTGACCGAGACTTACTCTGCAAGTTATGCTCCAGAACAAGCTCTAGATCGGGATTGATACCAAACACCTTCCTAGCCGCAGCCAAGCTTCGACTCCAGGCCAGCTCCGCTGAAACACCATCATACTCATCCAGATCATGCTCAGCGAAGCCAGGCTCAGCTTCATATGTGTAGCTAGGATATGCAAGGTCAAGCTTTCCGCCAGTACCCATACCGCTCTGAATCTTGGTGCGCCTCACTCGTTTCTTGCCTTGGATGCCCACCATTTGAGATTGCTTGACCACACCAACTTCCTCGCCAGCGGCTAGATGAACAAGGGCGCTAATACTGCTGGGAAATCTTCCGTTGGTGTCTGGGATGCGAGTTGGGTAGTAGGCGATGAGAAGACCAAGCTTGAACTCTGGGTTGTTGTCGAGAATGTGAAAGTGCTCGAGACAAACAGCTGCTGCGTCATCGTAGGCTACTCCTGGTCAACACTCCTCCAATATTATCAGTAGCATGTTCACTTACCGACAATTCCAAACTTCTCACAAGGGCCCAAGTTCTCTCTGCTCAACGACTTGATCTTCTTCAGATATCCATCACCGCAGCTCTCCATTGAGATATACTCAACATCGAACCCCTCATCTCTCCATTCAGCCAGAGTGACCTCGTCAAAATCGTCATTTTCACCGGTTATGTAAAGTTTTGGAGGATTGCGCGGGAAATCGCCTGAGAGAAAGTTCTGGTCTCTGTGATTGGTCCTGTTATCTGATAAGATCTGGACGTTGCGCCCCTCAGCCTCCGGGACGGCGGATTTAATGAGATTTGGAATGTTGATGTTCATATTGACGATTGAACGATATTATAGTTTACAGAGTTTGAGAGGTTAGAGGACGTGAATAACCTGATATATTCTTGTCCACTTCCAACTTCCAAGTTTCAGATCAATCGTTTGACCCTGTTTGAGCGTGATGATGATGTCAGAACAGTGCGTGTTGCAGCTGACTCATCAGATACTGCGTTCTGATTTGGCCATCTTGAGGCCCCACCTACCCTGCAGTTCTTGCAAGATCTTTCGCTGCTTTTCGAGCGTTCGAACTTTCAGAAAAGTACTAGCAATGATTCAGAAATAAATTCCTCTAAAACTACTTATAATTTCCAAACAATCTTATTATTCTCATATATTCGGCTGCTGTATTGCGTTTCAGTACCTCCCGTCTGCAAGAGCTTCATCCTCAGCCCTGGGTACGTGGGCACTCCCCAGCCCAGTAGTTGTTCGTCAATCATTTTTGATAGCCTTGAAATTAGACCTCGACTTGTTCATGTTCAAACAGCCGGTCATGTGGCTATATTGAAATGGTCTGCCGTTCATTTATAATCGATTTAGCTTAATATTGATAGTAAGTCTGCCAACGTAAGCACGATCCGGATAAAGTCACCAGTGCTTAGACAAAAGCTTTGAGACAATATTTCTACACCTATGGCTGTATCGGTGAGACATTGTAAGATGATTATCAAGCAGTAAGATTCTATGTCAGATTTTTAGCATGCCATCGCTCGAACTTGCGTCCCGATTTCAGCCCTGACACTGATACATAAAAAGCCTAACCCAGATCGCAATCCTTGCAGCAGTTTGTCACCAAAGTGAAACTATTCATGAGGAAGATGATCAAATCGAGAGTCTCGCTAAGCAACCAGTGTTCAAATGGCGTTGAAAATGATCAGATCTTAATGCATTGCTTATCTTCTGATAGGCGAATGCGGAGGATAGTGCGAGTGCGAATGCGACGCTGCAAATAACGTAATACTTCGATGCGGCCGTATTACATGGTGTGATGCCCACTGTAATATTGATAGATTACTTTCAGACTACTTAAGAGGCTCTGGAAACCTAGCAACATCGGAAATGGCGCCAAGAATTTGTCGAGAGGTTATGAGTGATCATGGCTGGCACGGTAATGAATCCTCAAGAGTCCATGTCAGTACATCATAACAGTCGTAGAGCCAAGGGTTGCTGACAATAAGTTAGACACGAAGAGAAAACTAAACAGCCGGTCAATGCTTCTGTAGAGACTGAAAGCAAGGAGAAGTCGAATTCGCCGGCGGATCTTGAGGCAGGGGTTCGTCAAAATGAGACTGTTGACGGAGAACCAGCACAGGAGGAAGAGGATACCTACCTTCATGGATTGCCTCTAGTACTAATGACACTTTCACTTATGGTTGGTGTATTGATGATTGCTCTGGACAACAGCATCATTGGCAAGAGTCTCTTTCTCCATTCTTGGCATCCTACTGACTGATTAAAGCTACTGCTATCCCAAAGATCACAAGCAAGTTCGATAGTCTTGGTGACGTTGGTAAGTACACCAGTTCCTCGAAACAAATCCTTCTGCTGATAGTCCCCCATAGCCTGGTATGCATCGGCCTATCTCCTTACCCAAATGTCCTTCCAACCTACCTTCGGCAAGATATACACCTTCTTCAACCTGAAATGGGTGTACTTGATATCTTCAATCATATTTGAAGGGGGTTCTATACTTTGTGCTGCCGCACCGAGTTCACCAGCCTTTATCATCGGGAGGGCCATTTCTGGGCTTGGCGCCGCAGGTATCTTCTGCGGCGCTATGATCATCATTTCCAAGATTGTGGAGATGAGAAAAAGACCATTACTGTTAGCTATAATCTCCAGTATGTATGGCATTGCTTCGGTCATCGGTCCTTCGCTTGGTGGTGTTTTCACTCATTCCAAGCAACTCACTTGGCGATTCTGTTTTTGGATCAACTTGCGTAAGTCTTCCTTTCACAAAATCTCATCTGGGAGTTACTAATCTTTAGCGAAGCATTGGGTGCCATCATGGCTCTCATCATTTGTTTTTACTATCCTCTCTCACTCGGCGAAGCTTCAGATGGCGACCATACCCTCAAGGAAAAGATACTTGGCCTCGGCCTAAAAAGCGCGGCGATTCTTGCAGGAACTCTGATATGTCTCTTCCTGGCTCTACAATGGGGAGGCACCAAACATCCTTGGTCCGATTCACGTGTCTGGGGCTGTCTACTTGGCTTTAGTCTTCTTCTAATGCTTTTCGTCTATATCCAAGTACGACAAGGAGAAGCGTAAGTGCCCTTAATATCTGACGTCGTTGTCGCTGACTCATATAGTGCGTTGATCCGCCCTCGCATCATCTCACAGAGATCTGTCTTCCTTGGATGCCTCTTTTCGGCATTGTATCAAGGAGCTATGACTACGCAAACGTATCATCTCCCGTTCTATTTCCAGGCTGTCAAGGGGGTGGATCCCCAAACATCTGGTGTTGATATTCTACCCCATGGGGTCACCGTCACGGTAGCTACTCTTATCACCGGCTCCATCATTACTTGGCTGGGATACTACGTACCATTTATGTGGGCTGGCTCAGCAATCTTCACAACTGGTGCAGGTCTGTTGTACACGATCTCACAAAACACCCCAATGGCGAGATGGTTTGGCTACGAAGTTCTAGCTGGAGCTGGCTTCGGTATAGCAATCCAGATTCCAATCTTCGCTGTACAAGTCGTCTTGGACGCAGGGGACATTCCCCTGGGAACAGTGCTGATCATCCTATCTCAAGCCCTGGGAGGTTCAGTGGGTCTATCCATCTCCCAAAACGTCTTCCAGAACTCTCTCCGCCAAAGGCTAAAGACAATACCCGATATTGACGTCCAAGCTGTTATCGCTGCAGGCGGGACTGATTTGGAACATGCCGTGTCGGCTGATTCTCTCGCCTACGTCAGAGATGCGTTTAGGTATGGTATCTCGAATGCTTTCCTTGTCTCGACGGCACTTGGCAGCGTCGCCTTTTTGGCCAGTATCGGAATGGAACGAAAAAGGATCAAGTCAAAGAAGGAAGGAGGTGAGTAAACGACCTCGTGGTCAACCCTTGGAGGTGATGAAGAGGGTGTATAGCGACGGCTATATAGCCGAGCGGGGAAGGATAGTATGAGGCCGATGTCAACTATGATGCATAGATAGCACGCATCTCGAGCCTATCTTGATTGAATCACATGTTTCTTCGGCATTTCTATTCTCGAGAGAATAGCATGTTTCGTTTCTCTCACCGTTTTCGGCAGTGAATTAATTCAGCTGATCTTCATCTCCCCCTGTTGGTGGCTCGGATGATATACCCTCTTTGGCTTTATCGACTCCGTCGAGTGGCATTTCCGCGAACCTGATTGGGCAATTAACAACTAAAATCAAGGTTTCGTTCGGAATTCCATGCGCTCTTCACGGCACATTCACACATGACCATATAATTCGGAGATAGTGTACGAATTGGATGCTAGATTCGGTGAAATAAGGTTGATCATATGTTACTAGATACTAGTTGACTTGTATAAGACCGCACGGCCTTTCGATGTTTCTATCTTCTCTAGTCGAGGCTCAATTGATACGAAAATGACTCTCGCTAAGGTTGCTTTCACTCTGGTCAATTTGGTGGCTGTGGGTTCAGCTGCGAAGAATGTGGCGGATGGATTTGTTGCTGCACCATACTACCCAGCTCCTTATGGAGGATGGGATGAATCTTGGGCAGCTAGCTATGCCAGAGCTAAGAAGATGGTTGACTCTATGACGTTGGCTGAAAAGACCAACATCACAGCTGGCACAGGTCTCTTTATGGGTAAGAAAGACAATCTGAGGTGAAATATACTAGCCACTAACAAGAAGCAGGGTACGACTCTTTGTCTCTCACTTGACTACTTATACTGACATAATAGTCCTTGCAACGGTAACACTGGATCGGCTGATCGTGTTGGCTTCCCTCAACTCTGTCTCAATGACGCTGCCAATGGCGTTCGACTAGCCGATAACGTCACCGTCTTCCCAGATGGAATCACAGCAGGTGCAACATTCGACAAGAAACTCATGTATGAGCGCGGTGTGGCAATTGGAAAGGAAGCACGTGGTAAGGGCGTGAATGTCTGGCTCGGTCCTTCAGTTGGGCCTATCGGTCGCAAGCCAAAGGGCGGACGCAACTGGGAAGGCTTTGGGGCGGACCCAGCGCTGCAAGGTATTGGTGCACGAGAGACGATCAAGGGTGTTCAAGAGCAGGGAGTCATTGCTACGGTCAAGCATCTTATTGGTAATGAGCAGGAGATGTATCGACGACAGACTACTGATGTTGTATCTCCTGCATACTCGGCAAACATTGGTGAGATCATTCCTCGTCCCTGATATTGCGTTGCTAACCATAATAGATGACCGAACCATGCATGAGCTGTATCTCTGGCCTTTTGCTGAGGCAGTAAAAGTTGGAGTTGGAGCGACCATGACAGCTTATAACCGAGTTGGTCTATCTAAAGTCTCTCACTCACCATGGCTAACAAAGTCTAGGTCAACGGCACTATATCCAGCGAGCACTCATATCTCATCAACGCCTTGTTGAAAGAAGAGCTCGGCTTCCAAGGCTTCGTCATGACAGATTGGCTCTCTCAAATCACCGGTGTCCAATCAGCCATTGCAGGGATGGACATGAGCATGCCCGGTGATCCTATCATCCCTCTCTTCGGCCGGTCATTATGGATGTACGAACTGACCAGGTCGGCACTCAATGGATCAGTTCCCATGTCGAGACTAAACGACATGGCTACTCGTATCGTGGCAACTTGGTATCAGTTCGAACAAGACAAGGACTTTCCATCTGTCAATTTTGACACCAACACATACGACAGAGTCGGTCCTCTGTATCCAGCAGCATGGCCCAATTCACCCTCAGGAGTCGTCAACCAGTATGTTCAAGTCCAGGACGACCATGACGAGATTGCCCGACAGATCGCCCAAGACGCTATCACTCTCCTCAAGAACGACGACAAACTTCTTCCTCTCAGCACCAAGAGCCCACTAAAGGTATTCGGCACTGGAGCGCAGACCAACCCCGATGGCGCTAACGCCTGCGTCGATCGAAGCTGCAACAAGGGCACATTGGGTCAAGGTTGGGGATCGGGTACAGTCGACTACATGTATCTCGATGACCCCATCGGCGCCATCAAGAAGGAAGCAGGAGACGTCACATTTTACAACACTGACAAGTTTCCATCTGTTCCGAGCCCTTCCGGTGACGATGTTGCAATTGTCTTCGTTACCTCAGATTCGGGTGAGAATCAGTACACGGTTGAGGGTAACAACGGTGATCGGAATGCGGACAAATTGAACGTATGGCATAACGGCGATGCGCTTATTAAAGCTGCCGCGGATAAGTACAAGAATGTTGTCGTTGTCATTCACACTGTCGGGCCTGTTCTCGTTGATCAATGGATTGACCTTCCATCGGTCAAGGCTGTCTTGGTTGCTCATCTTCCCGGACAAGAGGCTGGAAAGTCTCTCACTAATATCCTGTTTGGTGAAGTGTCGCCGAGTGGTCACTTACCCTATTCCATCACGAAGAAGGAAGAGGACATGCCCGAGAGTGTGACCAAGCTCATTGACTCAGGCTTCGTCGATGCGCCGCAAGATACTTACAGTGAGGGATTGTTCATCGACTACCGCTGGCTCAACAAGGAAAAGATTCGACCTCGATATGCATTTGGCCATGGGCTGAGCTACACTAACTTCACCTACACCAACGCGACCATCAAGAGAGGTACCCAGCTAAGCCAGTATCCTCCCAAGCGACCCGCAAAAGGAAAGGTTCTGGACTATTCGCAAGACATTCCAGACTACAAAGAAGCGATTAAACCCAGCAGCTTTAAAACCGTCTGGCGCTACCTATACTCTTGGCTGTCCGAATCCGACGCAAAGTCCGCCGCCGCAAAAGCCGAGACATCCAAATACCCTTACCCAGACGGCTACTCCACCGCGCAGAAGACGGCTCTTCCCAAAGCCGGCGGTGTTTCAGGCGGCAACCCTGCTCTCTGGGACGAAGCTTATACTCTGTCTGTAGTGGTGACTAACGCAGGTTCCAAATTCTCCGGCAAAGCTTCTGTGCAGGCCTACGTCCAATTTCCGAGCGTTGCCGGATACGAGACTCCCACTATTCAGCTGCGCGACTTTGAAAAGACCAAAGTTTTAGAGCCTGGCTCGAGTGAAACCGTGCAATTGACTTTGACCAGGAAGGACTTGAGCGTCTGGGATGTGAAGGCTCAGGACTGGCTTGTCCTTGATGGGGAGTTTAAGATTTGGCTGGGGTCTGCAAGCGACAAGTTGGATGCTGTCTGCTTCACGGATGATTTGGGCTGTGAGCACGACGTTAAGGGACCAGTATCATACGATTCGTAGATATCCCGAAATCAATCTGAGGAGAACCGAGGCTGCAGCTGGGGATTGATGTGATTCTAGGCTTGGGGAATTAGCTCTGATCTGTCAAAACGCCATGGTTGATCATCATATTTTGACCAGGCTGTGCTGCAGCTTAATAGGGGAATTCTTTACGGTTTGACCAATAGCAAATTTTCCTGATAGTCAAATTATGAAAATGCGCATTATGTGCATATCTACCGCCCACTAAACTTTGCACAGAGTTTCAGGTCGGACAAGAAATCTATTTTAGTGGAACACCCTGTCGTCATCGTGTTGCGATAACGAAATATGGAACTTTTTGAAACGCAGATTTCTCGCGCTTAGGTAATTAGAGTCCACAATATCGAAATACCGTCTTCTCGTTGGAAGTAAATTCAGTGGAGTCTGTCTCAAATCTTGGTGCTAATTTGCGGATCAGAAAAGCTGCCTGGCCTGGCGATCGGGAGGGAGTCAAGATTGAGCCCCAGGCGCCACTTGTTTATCGTAAATCGCCCGTAGTGCGGAATTTTTGGTGAACGGGCGGCGCGATATGGAAATTAAGTGGCGGCTACCTCTTCATTTCTGCTACTGTTAGGCACTGTAATTGTCAGTGAAAGACGTCAGATGTAACGTCGACCCTTGTATGATTGTCCTCCATTTTCCCGGAATCCTTGGGCGAATCTTCCCCGCCTTAACCGGCGCGTCGGGGTAACTTTTTTTTTTTTTTTGAGTGAGACAAGAAGAGGGAGGATAAATTCCGCTGACCTTTCACGCTCTCCTCTTGATGAGATCCTCGAGCTAACGAATCAACGGTCTTTTGGGGCACTCGTTAGGCCGATCACCAGAGCCAGGGCCAGGGCCAGGGGTACCTTACAGTGGGGTACGCCATGGGACAATCTTGTCTCGGGCGAGAACGTGCAAGTGTTTGCTTGGCCAGTCTCGTTACCCAAAATAAGCATTCTTTGCGCCACGAGCAGGGTCTATACGAAGCGACTTGCATTCGATCTGCACGTCGCTTCTGTGATTTCATAATATTGCAGCCTCAAGTTGGTTGCAAGAATAAGCACCAGAGGCTGCCCCTCTCGACTAGACACTGCATCGGTGAGGTGAAGGACAGGGGAATATGTATAAGCAAGTCGGTTTAAATCACTCAATCAGTCAGGATCTTTTACTTTTATCCTGCACGTGAGCTCTCTCTTGTCTCACGTCATCTCTTTGCACGCACACGTGTATACGAACCCCTCTGGACATCAGTCATAGTCGCAGCCGCACTCAGGGCCAGACCTAAGTAGACCCGGCCCGGGCAGCCAACACACTAGCTCAAGCGCCTACCCCAACACAATGAATGACGATGTACTTACTTTTGGCCTTGGTGGCTGCATCTTACTGACATTCACTGATTGGCCTCGCCGTTTCAGCTTACAGGGGTCATACTGTACATACGCACATTAGCCTGCAGCAAGTCTTTGCTGTATTCGGGGCTAACGACGGCCAATCTCGTGGTGTGAACTGTTGAGATGGCGATGGCAGCTCGTTACTCATGAAACTAACTTGGTGTGCAGCCGAACAGTTGAGTTTGCTTCTGATTGCCCAAGCGTTGACGCCTCAACTGAACGGGCCAATGTAACTTGCAGTTCCCGGCACCCGATGACTTTTTCCGCCTGTGCGCCTTTGTTCAGCCCGTCCCTTCATAAAAAGTTCAACTCTGTTTTTTTTTTTTTTTTACCGTCCTCTTCCATGTTTAGTAACGCCCGAACAAAAAGAATGGGTGTGCACACTGCATCGGGCTGCATATTGTGCAGGTCTATTGCATGTACCTATTTAGGGGCGTCGTAAATAAAACGAAATCAATAAATATGCATCGTCCGTCTCCTAGCCCTTTCTTCCTCTTCAGCCCACTCGTTCACTCCCGCTCTCGTTTCCTCTCTCTTTTTGCCACTCTTGGTTTAGGCTTGTGACTGTCGCTCATCCCTTCCAAGATGAAGTCTTTCTACACCTTGGCTTTGTGCCTTGGTGCCTTCTTCAATGCAGTCACTGCCATTCCGCCGGAGGAGCAGGGACAACAGCCTGGAAAGTTCGCTGCTGCTCCCCCGGTTGGTTCAAACCCCATTGACCGCAAGGGATGGACTGTCAAGTGTTCCAGCCAGGCTTCAAATTACCCCTGTGGTAGAGCCATTGATGGTGACAAGAACACCTTCTGGCAGACTCCCTATGGCACAACCAATACGCCGCCTCCTCACACCATCACCATTGACATGAAGCAGACTCAGTATGTCAGTGGTCTTCAGATTACACCTCGCCAGGATGGCAACACCCGTAACTGGATTGGTCGCCATGAAGTCTACCTCAGCTCTGATGGCACCAACTGGGGAAAGCCCGTTGCCTTTGGAACCTACTGGGGAGACAAGTACCCCTGGATCACAAATTTTGAGACACAGCCTGCTCGCTATCTTCGTTTTGTTGCCCTTTCCAACGTAAATGACGACTATCCTTGGATTGCTATCGCCGACTTTGTTGTCTACAACGCTCTCAAGTACAGCCCTCCTGCGAAGGGTCTTGGAAAATGGGGTCCTACTCTTGACTTCCCCGTCATTCCCGTCGCTGGCGCCGTTGAGCCTGTCTCTGGAAAGGTAGTCATCTGGTCTGCTTACCGTTATGACGCTTTCCAAGGCACCACTCCCCGTGGTGGCTTCACTCTCACTTCTATCTGGGACCCCAAGACTAACGTCATCTCCAACCGCAATGTTTCCAACAACCATCACGACATGTTCTGCCCTGGTATTTCCATGGATGGCGAGGGACAGATTGTCGTTACTGGCGGCAACGACGCCAAGAAGACTACTATTCTCATGCCTGACGGTAACTGGGTTCCTGGCCCTGACATGCAGATTGCCCGTGGTTACCAATCATCTGCTACTTGCTCTGACGGCCGTGTTTTCACCATCGGTGGTTCATGGAGCGGTCCCCGTGGCGGCAAGAACGGTGAAATCTACGACCCCAAGGCCAAGACCTGGACCTCCCTTCCCAAGTGTCTCGTTGGCCCTATGCTCACCAAGGACAAGGAGGGTGTCTACAAGGCTGACAACCATGCTTGGCTCTTTGGCTGGAAGAAGAACAGTGTTTTCCAGGCTGGTCCCAGCACAGCTATGAACTGGTACTACACCGCGAGGGGAACTCAGGGTGACACCAAGGCTGCTGGCACTCGACGAAAGAATGGCAGAATTGACCCTGACTCCATGAACGGCAATGTTGCCATGTATGACGCCCTCAATGGCAAGATTCTCACCTTTGGCGGTGCTACCAGCTACCAGCAAGCTCCTGCCACCGCCAACGCTCACGTTCTCACCATTGACGAGCCTGGTGCCATCGCCCAAACCGCTCTCGTTGGCAACAACGGCGCTGGCATTCACGCTCGTGTCTTCGCTACCTCTGTCATCCTCCCTGATGGAAACGTCTTCATCACTGGCGGCCAATCCTACTCCGACCCCTTCACCGACACCAACGCTCAGCTCGAGCCTGAGATGTTCATTTCATCCTCCAACACGTTCACCAAGCAACAACCCAACACTATTCCCCGCACGTATCACAGTATGTCTCTGCTGCTGCCGGATGCTACTGTCTTCAACGGTGGCGGTGGTCTTTGCGGTGGCTGCAAGACCAACCACTTTGACGCTCAGATCTTCACCCCTCAGTATCTCCTGGATGGCAACGGTAACCTCGCTACCCGCCCTAAGATCACTGCTGTTTCGGCCACCACTGCCAAGGTCGGCAGCACCATCACCGTCACTGCCAACAGCGCCATCAAGAGCGCTTCGCTCATTCGATATGGAACTGCGACACATGTTGTCAACACTGATCAACGCCGTATCCCTTTGGCCTTGACAGGTGCTGGTACCAACAAGTACTCCTTCAAGATCCCTAATGATTCTGGTATTGCCCTCCCTGGCTACTGGATGCTTTTCGTCCTCAACAACGCTGGTGTTCCCAGCGTTGCCAGCACCATTAAGGTCACTGTTTGATATAATGTCTACATTGCGACAAAAATGATTTCTTTGCATTTATAATACTAGCGAGGATAGTACAAGTATCCTAATTCTTTATGTACATACTTTGATACCAATTGCAATTGGATATATCGACACAGACGTCATGCTACTATCTAATACAGATTTCTTGCATCAATTTCACTGGATGCCTTCCAATGTGACTGCACTTCTCCCAGCTGCAATAACTAATTGCCGAGCTTACACTCATCATCCTGATCATGACGCTAGAGATAGTAGAACCGTATTCAAATGCCGACAAAGTTTACCATCAGATCCATGTTAACCTTCGTGATCGGGTCAAACCGTCATCCGTAGATGCTCATGAATTACGCAATACGAGCCAAGAGAAGTCAAAACTGTCTTAGACCGACGTTTGGCCCATTGCGCTGGGATATCCCGACATATCAAGAACACGGAACCCTTAAGACATTTGCCTGTTCAGTGATACTAGTGGCCATTGAGTTTACACCAACCCGGGAACCAGGTTCATAATGCCGACAATTAGAGTTTTGAGGCTTTACGGGTAAAGGCTGCAGAAGCATTGCACATGACACCATCAGACGACAGAAATAGATACATTGCGTGTCACTGTATGTTGCGACCCTGTGGCTCACCCGAATGCAAGCCATGTTCGGCACGTACGGGAAAGCACTGCGTTCCTGCAGAGACATGCAGATGGCTTAAGCAGGATCGGGATGAAGAGCGCTCGGACGGTGCGTAAGTTATGCAGCTGACTGTCATTCATAAATGTGGCACAGACGTGAAGGAGCTATGTAAGACTGACGACCAGTTAGTCGTGATGGGTGTCAACAGGATGACATGGCTTGTACACGAGGCAACTCTACGACATCTAGCACTGAAACTCTCTAACCAATCTGGGAAATATCCTATTTGTTGAGAATGACTGCGTCATGATTGTTGGCAGCTTCTCAGAGCCGTAACTTTCATGTCTCATATGGAGTCTTCAACAGTTCGACTGCACAGATAACTTCAAATAAATAGAACAATTTAGAACGTCAAATAAATATGAAGCATACAAGGACAACAGCGATTTAAGGAACATTCACCATTTTCTTGCCACGTAGCCCAAGACCGCTTACTCAGTCTTCTTCAACCTCGCCTCCAACATCACAGTACATCCATAAGAAGAAGGGTAGATCTTAACCAACTCCAGACCAGCAGCTTCAAAGATCTCTTCAAAATCGGCCTTCTTCTTCTCCTGGCCCGTCATGGCGAGAAGTGCAAAGTCGAGCCAGTACAGATCTGTGAACTTGTCTTTCTCAACCATGTCAGGAATCAGCTGGTCGCAGATTATCAGGCGAGAATCGGGTCCCATGGCAGATGCGGTGTTCTTGACGAATTCGATACAGACTGGAGTATAAAAGTCGTGGAGGAAGCGTCGCATGAAGTAAATACGGGCGTCTGTGAATAATTAGTCATTGCTGTCAAAAGAAAGGCCTAGATATGATGGGCATATCAACCACATGGCAATACGTACTCTTGACAGGCTGTGGTGTAAAGGCATCATAAGTCATAAGCTCAAAGTCTGGGTATTCCTTGGGGTCCATCGAGTCGATGACACCGGGGAGGTCCTGTAAGATATACTTGGCGTCGAAAGCATCCCCAATATCTTTTCGAATGGCGATGCACGACTGACCACGGCCAGCGCCGATATCCACCAGGAAGGGTCGTTCAGGATCCTGAGCCACTTCGTCCTTGAGCGATGCAAATGGGAACATGCCAACGACAGGCATCAGCTCATCAACAGCAACCATATTGGCATTCCACAGCTCGCGTCGCTCAGGATCAGGATCCATCTCTAGCAGCTCATAGTATGACTTTCCGAGATGCTCCTTGCCAACCGAGTAAACGGCAGGGGACTTGGTAAGGTCGAATACATCCTCAGGTTTGTGAGACTTGAGATATTCAGGAAGATGCATCCAAGCACGACTAAACTCCAATACAATCATGAAGAAAGAGCCGAGGCCCCTGGGGTTCAAAATCCGCGAAAGCTCATTATGAGCATAGGTATCGGGCGCCGTCTCTACAAACACACCATGATTAACAGCAACACGATAAATGCGCTGAATCACAGTAGTAGCCACATTTGTAATGCGAGCCAATTCCTCAGCGGTGATGGGACTGCCATCTTCGGGCATGGCGTGGTATGCCCGAATTCCAAGAATGGTATGGAAAGCGCATCCGAGACTGAATTGCTCCATTAGGTGTGTCATCTGGTCCATGGGATCCTGGAATGCTGAGCGAACTGCTTGTGTCTGCTTGAGGACATTTTGGTGGCTGATGGGATCATCCTCGTATGATTCGAGCTGGGCGACTAGTTTCTTTGCCTCTTCGAGGGCCTTTTCAGCTTTGGGATGAACCATTGTAAATATTTGAGTCTTTGAAGATATTGAGAGGTGGCTTGAAGGATTCAATCACTGGGTCTAGATTTGCGTAGATGGCAAATGTCACCGCATGTTCCGTAGACCATGTGAATAGTATATTCACTTAAGAGTACTTGAGGCGGGGCAGCAGCAACAGCCAAGGAAGAATTCAGATCATATCAGTCCATGAGTGTTTGCTTCCTTACAAGACAGGTTAGTAAGTGGGTATATATCCAGCCGAGGTTGCTTGACCCCCGGGTAAAGTGCCTCAACCATGCAGATCACGACCCAATCAGAATACTATATCCGTAATAAACTGGAGTTTGAACTGCGGCACGGTCCAGGTGATGGAAGGCTTGGTCCGGTGGGAGTTATCGCAGTATCGAGGAGAATTATCACTATGGCGAGTTTGTTTCAATATTTGCTCAAATTCTCCTTTCAACCGTGTCCACTTTGCATGTTTTTGATGCACAAACGATTGTGATACCAACGGTGGTGGTCATGTCATCTCCTCGTGCGCCTGAAGAAGAGGTAATCCAACCTGACACTGTAAGTTTATTTCCTGTAAGGCTGAATCGGACTAAACGTATTTGTCTAGGCTTTGCAGAGTGTCACCGACGATGAGGTTAGTGGGCCCAACGATGCGACTCACCCAAATGTCTCCACCTGCTAACCAACAATGTGGTGAAACATAGGCTTACGACAATGAGAGTGAACGGTCATCTTTGACGTCTCTCACTTCGTCTATCCTTCATGGAAAGGTTGAGGGAGGAAGAACTTATGCCGTTTATGGCAAAGAAGGTTGTCCATCCTGGAAATCTGCCTGGCTAGTACTAATAAGGCTCAGAGTACGGGTTGCCGATGGATGAGGCTGAGCTTGATCGCATCGATATGTGTCATGCTAAATATTGTGCTTTGATCGGAAAAAACCGTTATTTATCGCCTATAGAAAAGCCTCAGAGGATTCTGGATCTTGGTTGCGGGACAGGTTCGTTGAAATTCGCGTTTCCAATGCGAAAGTGCTGGATTGACAGCGATACACTAACTAATATTACCTTGTAGGGATATGGTCGATTGAAATGGCCGAAGAATTTCCTTCTGCAGAGGTTAGGACATGGTCTCACTGGCAACGGTTACATCGGAGGAACAATAACTGACGAGCTCCCAGGTCATTGGTACGGATGTTGCACCGACACAACCTGACTGGTAAGTGATCGATTTGATCACGCCTGTGAAACTGCCCGACACTGATGTTTGACAGGGTACCACCTAATTGTCATTTTGAGGTCGACGATATTGAAAGGGAGTGGACGTGGAGAGAAGACAGCTTTGACTTTGTCTTTGCCCGCGATCTTCTACTAGCAATTCGAGACTGGCCAGCCTTGATTGACCAAACATACACGTAAGCCCTAACTATTTTCTCATACGATCTCAACAACTAATCCCACCAGACATCTCAGAGGGGGAGGCTGGGTCGAGTTCCAAGCCATCGTCGGCGTCCTCGGCTGTGATGACGACTCCATCCCCGAAGACAGCTATCTCCGCAAATTCTCAACAATGATGGAGCAGGGCTCCGCGAAATTCGGTGCCAGTCTGACAGATCCCATGCGATGGAAAGGCTGGCTTGAAGAACGCGGATACCAAAACGTCACAGAACGAGTTTTCAAGCTTCCGTTTAATCCATGGCCTAAGGATCCACGCATGAAACTTCTGGGAGCGTGGGAGATGGAGAATCTTCTCAGTGGACTTGAGGCCATGGTAACGAGGATGTTTCAGAAGGGTCTTGGGTGGACAGATGCTGAAGTCACTGTCTTCCTTGCCTTTTTGAGAAAGGAAATTAAGAATCCCAGGATGCATGGGTACTGGCCTTAGTAAGTTGCCCAAAAGATCTTCGCTTCTCCCAAGGGAGCAAGCTAGTTAGCTCTCTTGATCATTTCTAACATGTCTGTAGCTATGTTGTCTACGCACAGAAGCCAAAGGAGGACTAACGGCAACAAGATTGAAGTCTCTGTCGAGAGTAGATTCGCTACTAGCATCTGAAGATGAGATATAGCAAGTAGAATGACCAGTACTAGGTATTTGACGAGAAACTCAATCGGATCATTGGTATTCTCATTATTTGACTCTCCATTACCCTGTAGATTAGGTTTGTCAACTCATTTGAGGTCAGCGTCACATTTTACGCTCAGACCTTTCCCCTGCTTCTCGCGTGGCGATCAGGGGTAAGTAGAATTAGGACATTGTCTCACAGAGTTATCTTTCTGGAATCTTTCGACGGGTTCTCTGCCATTATCTATCCTTCTGGCTGAGAACAGATTACTCGAAGCAAGGGGGAGATTCCGTGATCATGTAGCCCCATGCCGAAGTATCGTTGATAACTCATTTAACTTCTGCACAACCCTCCTGCTGTAAGACGTCATTTGGTGCCCGACATAGGTGAAGTCGCTCGAGTCTGTGCGTCTTGCGTACATATGTACAACGACTTAGATGCAAAGGGTGACTCAAGATTCCCGTGACAGACATATCATGCGTCTACCCTGAAACCGTTTTGACAGCTGGATGTCATTGCGAAACTAGCATGACCCGATCTGGAATCATGATGAGCCGCACGGCAATACACCAACGCATACAATTCCCATACTCCACAGTAATCTAATATGCTTATTTGAAAGATGTCATATGCTCTTCCACTTCGGACAGCTACCGAGCTATCATAGGATTTAATTCTAAAAAAAATTAAAAAGTTAAAAAATTAAAAAAAAAAAAAGGGAAAAGGAGGTCTGATAAAATGAAAACAAGATTGAAATGAGCGAAGATTCGCTATCTATTGCGATGGTCCTCTTTACAGGGCGCTTTCTTCATGGGCGCTCAAATCTGCCCTCAGCATACGGGTGTAATTAAACGAAACGGATGGTGGATCGGCGTTGCATTGGCGAGTGCTATTCCGAAGATCCCGCGTCATAACATTTTTATTGACACTTACCATCTCAAGCTAATGGCAGTCAATTGAGATTAGTAGTTGTCCCTGGAAGTCTTTAAAAACTTCCATACGTTGGGTTTGCTAAAGGATTCGCTCAATATTCAGTCACAGCTCATAGGAGAAGCTCTCCCCAACTCTCAAGATCCCTGCACCTCGACCTGAGCGATGACACGCCAGAGTGTCATCGACGTCATCCTTCCAGCAACACAAAACGACGATCTCTGGCGGAATCCAACGTTTTGTTTATTGCGATCGACTCGGCAGTTGGCGATGTTTCATCGCTCCACCATCGCGTGTTTCAACACCAACCGTCAAGCCAAACACAGCAGCGATGAACCATTCCCCCAGTCCATCCCAACTGTCGGTTTCACCCGATGTGCAAAACGGCTTGAAGATCTAACTTTCGCTTATGCCGTGTAGTATAGTCTCCTATCAAGGGTCATCATCTATGGCTCAAGATGTATATAAGAAATTCCCAAAGTCAATCGGTTTTGGACATTCACCCAACCATCCACTCTCACTTCTCAACCCAGTCACTCTTTTTTAAGCAAAATCTCACCAAGTCACTCTTTATTCACTTACGTTTTTATTCATCATGAAGTTCAGTCTTTTCTCTCTCGCTGCTCTGGCCGCTTCGGCTATGGCTGCTCCTGCTGCTCACGTTGCTGCTCGTCAGGTTCCAGCTGTCCCAGCTGTTGCTCCTAACGGTGCTATCAGCCAGGTTGAGAGTATCGCTACCTCCGAAACTGTCACCAAGACAGTTACGAAGAAAATCACTGCTGTCAATGTTTCCAACACCGGAGGTGTTGTCAAGGTTCTCACCATTGCTGTTGAGCAGGTCAAGAGCCAGACCAGCACTATCAGTAAGTCATTCACTACTAAGTTACTGCGCACAGATGACTAACAGCTTCTGCAGAGGAGGTCATCACCAAGGTCAAGTCCAATGCTGTCTCCAAGACTGCCGCCATCAAGGTCGTCACCCAGGAGGTCCACTCCCTCAACGTGCTCCTCACTGCCGTTGTCAACCAGCTCAAGGATGTCGTCAGCATTGACATCAACATCCCCGACGTCAAGGTCATTCTCGGTCTCGTCATCAAGCTTCTCCACGAGCTCGTCAGTGTCGCCAAGGAGGTCTTGAGCATCCTTGGTCTTGACAACGTTATCGGCAGCGCCTTTGAGCTCCTCTTCCAAACCGTCGCCACTCTCCTCGGCCTCGTCACCCAGCTCATCGGCGACATCGTTCCCGGCCTCGTTGACATCCTCTCCAACATCCTCGACACCCTTTCGGGCACTCCCCTTGGACCTATTATCCAGCCCGTCTCCAACATCTTCGATGGCCTCACTGGCTACCTCACCCAGGGTACTTCCTAAGCGATACGTTCAAGATATGAGACCAGGGTATGCCGGATATGCCCCTTAGAAGACAAGACAAGCATAGAGGGAGTTTAGACAGTGGATCTGGTTCAAATCACGCATAATCTTAGTTAATTCAATGCTGTATATTAATTCATACGACCTCTTTGCCAAAGGAATGTCCATAACTCCGTCTTATGCTGCCATCATCGTCTTAACAACCATTAGTCCATTATCATCTCTTGGCCATTAATGCATCATCATGTCTTAACTCGTGACTCGTGACAGCTCAGTTGCAAACAGTCTTGTAGCTGCTGAAGTGAGAAGAAGTCTCGCGGCACTGGTCATCCTTGACAGTCTTCTGTCCACGCTTGCAGTTGCTGTCTGTGAAGAGGAGAACTATGCATAGGTTAGTAAGTGTTGTATTTGTATGGGTGAGGTAGTTCTTACGCTTGCATCCCTTGGCGTGCTCATACTGGCTGACCGATTTGACCTTGTCGGTGAACTTGAAGCATTTATTGAGCTCGTCGCGATGCGTGGTCAATTCGCCGAGGTTTCCGCTGTTGTTGTCACCTCCGCAGTCTTTTGAGCTCCAAACGCGGGCAGAAATAACGTTGAAGGGAAGATCCTTAGAGGCAGGCTCAGCAGCGACGCCCATGGCGAGAGCAGCAGTAGCGACAATGGTAGCGAAATGCATGCTGGTGGTTGAAATGTGAAGTGTGTAGTGCGGGGTGATGGATGGCTGTTGAGTGATGATGAGAGTTTGGTCTATTGCGGGAATGGAGTTGACTTTAAATACAATTGAGATAGTCGACGCAACTTTGCATTTTACTAACTAAATTATGGGCCAAGAGAGAAGATCACTACGTCAAGTCTGTGGCTGTAAGTGTCTGATGCTTCTGGAAGTACAGTACAGCTGAGAATTGAAGCCCAATACAGAACCAGCCGCGATACGAGCTGCACTGTCAGCACTAGCAATACAGCAGTGTGAGCCCACTACAGCTCGTATCCTTTTCACCACACGGCCAAACCGATCAAGCAAACGCTTTTTCCAATCATTTTCACAGAGAATTAACTCCGCTGCTATCAGAGTCGATCAGTGGAACTTGAGAAATATGCAGCAGGTATCATGTGTCGGGGACGGACTGTGCCGTGTCAACGCACCATGGCCCTATTGGGACGCTCCATGTGATGCTTGTGATGTCAAATACGAACAATGACTGTAACCCTCTCGAAGATCTCTCTCACTTCACAGCACAACAAGGCAATGCAAATCTCGTGTATGTATCAAACCTCAGCATTTAGAGTATCCAAAAGTCCTATGCTTATTCACCTATGACGCGGCCATTTCCATGCCTCCCAATTGATCGCATCGATACCTAAATTTAGTCGCGGCTAAAAACTCCGACCCCACGCCGAGATACTTACATCATCCTCCCCCGCATTTCCCGCCGATAATCCGGTTATGATGGAATCTCACGATACTTGTGATACGGAAGCCGGTTCATCCGCTGATTCTGCTTCTACGCGTCACATCGTCAAACACGAAGCGTATGCAATGCAACATAGACCAAAGTTCTCGAAAGTTGGTCACGCTTCTGTTCGGGTATCACAATCTTGTCTGCCTTGATCCATAAGGTTCTGGAACTCCGCTTATTCATATAGCCATGTTTGGATAAGCATACGAACTGAACTTGGTGGTTTATTTTTAACCTTACTCTTTTGTTGACGACGGAATCACAACATCCTCCGCCGACTCCGTTTTGAATGGATTTTGTGTCTCGTCTGCTTGCAGGGTTATCAAATGGCACAGACAAGGGCGGCCGATGATGCACTAGCGGTATGCCGTTCTCACTGTTGTTCTGGGAATAGACAATTTTAATACATGGGGTATAGTAATACAAAAGTCTTACAACCGCATCCACATCGTCACCCATTTCTGCAGCAGTTTTGTGGACCAAGCTAACCATTTTATGCGTTGGGGAGAGCGACCTTGAAAGCTGGCATGTTGGGCTTGCACCTCGTACCAACATCTGGAAGAGTGCCGTCAACAAAGTAAGCAGCAATAGCCTCAAGAGTGCAGTTAGAAGCATGCGATGTGACTCCATGCTGTAAAATGTTAGCTTAAGATCCGGTCGAAACGACACAAAGAAGACTTACACCAACTCCCTCATTGATCAATAGTCGACTCTCTCTAAAACGAGAAGACACTTGCCAAGCATGGTTAAGGGAAGTGACAGGATCGTTTGCGTTGTTGACAACGAGAACTGGGAAGCTCGTGTTGACGTTTCGAAGTGTGTTAGTATCAACGCCCTCAGCAGCGTCGAACTTCCAAGCAGCGCAGGCGACATAGTCAGCAGCGATGGCATCTCCGAAGGAGCTTCCAGCCAGGTGAGCTTGGTACATAGAGTAAAGGTCCTCGGGGTTGTTGACACGGAACGAAGACTCGGAGCAAGCAATGCCCTGGAATGCGTTGGTACCAAGGTTCCACTCAGATGTATCCTCCTTGTAGATACTAAGAGCCTTCTTGTAGTCTCCCTCGAAAGCGTAAGAGAGAATCTCCACGACGGAGGGATAATTGAAAGGGCTTGACAGCAAGTTCATAATACCATACTTCAACTGCTTCAAGATAGAGTTGCCGGCGTAGGGGTAGTCCTTGGATGAAAGACCATCAGGCAGAGTCTTCAGATCCTTCAACTTCTGAAAGGTCTGGACCGTAGCATCTCTCAAGTCCTCAACAGTAGTGCTGCTACCAGAGTAGTTCGCCAGTTTGCAATACTTAGTACCAAGCTCAACGCACTCGGTGAATAAATGCACAAGAGACTTCTCAGCGTCATGCGGTCCACCAACACCAGTTGACGTGAGGTAGGCATCAGCCAAAGAGTTCGAGTCAAGAAGAAGACGCCCAATGCGATCAGGGAACATAGCAGCTGCGACTTGGCCGAGGATCGTTCCGTAAGAAATGCCCCAGAAGCGAAGCTTGCCGTCTTCACCGAGAGCATCAACGATCTTCATCATGTCACGAGCAGTGAAAGCTGTGCTGAGGAAGCGGCCGTGCTCCTGCTGAGTTTCGTAGCAGGACTCGGCGATCGCTTGCATGATTTGCCAGCCCTCGTTCTTCACGTACTCCCAGAGATCTGCCTGAGGAAGAGGTTGTAGGCTGCGACGGGTGAGCTCAGCTGAAGCATTCTTGCCACAGGCAAAGGGGATGGTTCGGCCAACGCCTCTGCGCGGTATTAGTGTAGCTCATGAAAGTAGCCTAGTGAGAAGCATACCGAGGGTCAAATGAGATGATGTTGTGATGGCCGCCCATGATGCTAGAAACCGTGTCAGAATACCCTCGATAACACGCCGTAGAATACTTACTCGCGGAAGTCCTGTCCAAGATAAGCGAGAGTCTCGATACCAGAAATTCCCGGACCGCCGGGATTCCAGAGAACGCTGCCCTTGAAGGGTTCCTTGGTAGCATTGTAACGAATCAATTGAAGCTCAACCGTCTTATCCGACTTTTTATCCGTATAATCAAGCGGAACTTCAATAGTCGCACAATCTCCAGCCTTCAACAGCTCCTTAGCAGCATCAGGGAGATCAAGCTTACAAGGCTCCCACTTCAACGACGACTCTGCACGGGCGACCAACGAATCAGCATCGTTTGACGCGGTTGCAAGGCGCGACGCGCCGAGGAGGAGAGGACCCAAAAGAGACTTCATCTTTGCGCCAACGCGTTTCGACTGACTGATAAGAGGAGTTTGAACAAAGTCCATGAGTACGCAGTGCACGGTTGGGAAATCTCAGCGTGATATAAAGTGATGTGAAGTGGAGGCTGCAGGGATGCAGATCCCGGCGGACGGAGACGGAGACGGAGGCGGAAGTATCCGTCGATCATGACCCTTGAGATTTAATTTAACGATTTGATCCTTTTGATAATCAATCGGCTTTTGTCATGTCATCATCGGGCGATACCGAGAAACAAGGTCTTGATCACGCTGTGCAACGCTGACAACCCATTTCTACACAGAGTCACTAACGGCTGGAGGCGTAGAAAGACAATTGACAAAAGAAGCAAACGACAGTTGTTCATTTAGGCACTCGCGAACCAACAACAATCGTTAGTCGAATCTGATAAGGCTCGGCACATCGTCGAACCTGTCAGCAGAGAAAAATGAAGCAGAAGGATCTCTTGGCGTAAGCAAGGCTCCAACAGCCTATCCACTGAGCACGTTGAATTGTCACATTATGTACACAAAGAAATGACAAATGCCGCGGTCTTTTGCTGATTGTCAAATGGGGTTATAGCCTCAAGTAAGCAAACTGTCAGCACGGCTTACCATGAGGACATCCAGGTACCACGTGTCTTAACATCATCGCCACTGCATAGCTACTTGAGTAGCCAGGTCTCCAAAGTACGAAAAATAAACTGGCAACACGTGAGTAGGCGCCTGTGAGATGTCGCAAAGAACTAAAAAAAAAAAAAAAAAAAGGAATGTCTTGCGGTTTGTGTGGATCGAACACACGACCTTCAGATATCGTTTGATATTGATTGAAGTTTTTACTTCAGTCTGACGCTCTCCCAACTGAGCTAAACCCGCTGACTAATGACTGGTGAGACATGAAGCTCGAAAGTATAGCTATCAAAGTAAGATTTGCTGTGTCCCAAGTTAGTTGCTGTTCTTCAACCTGAGGATCCTAGTGTTGCCATGGCGGTTTTCTAATTAAGTTGCCATTGCCTTGATGCAGTCCAACGGTAAGCTAAATCTATAGTATCGGGCCCCTTCAGAAAACTCAATTCAACGCTGCCAACCTTGAAGTTTGTATAAACCTTATCAATATCTCGCAGGGCAGAAATGTCGTCGTGTATTTAAACATAATGATTCCTCTTCCCTTTAAAGATTACCAAGGTACTCCTGACTCCAGAATACCCATATATCCACTGTTCCACGATTGCAAGCCGTCGCAGTCCCTTGTGCCTATGTCTCGAAGTACAAGTCGTAATGTTTCCTGCACCCCGGGTTGAAGCCGGCATCACATCCGGGGCATCGATTGCCGCTCCCAAGATACTCTGCGATGGTAAGTTCAAGGCGACAATTCCCGCACAAGACTCCCAACTCCTGCTGCTCTGATTTGGGCCAGACTTGATTGGGGTGTCCCGCTAACTCTTCATGACAGCTGATACAGCCGTAGTACTCCATGCAGCATTTGTGCCGAATGGCAATAATGTCAAGATCTGAAGACCAGTGGCGGCACTGAAGTTTTGGGCTGATGTTCACTCCATAAACAATTAGCGATCTTTGCGCCACGGATATTGTCGGTTCGTGTTGCGGCATTTAGAGAGATGCGACCGATGTGAATCTTGTCGGAAACGACGGTGTAGAGGTTAAATAATAGACGCGGGTCATGGACAGGACAGTGTTCTCGTCCAACCGAATTTAAAGGTACCGACGAAGAGTCAACGTTGGGCGGTAGTGAGACAGATAACCGAAGTTTGCAAGTCGTTGAGAAGAGCCATTGGTGTTTAGGAGTTGTTAGTGTGGAGATAAGAAGCGGTACAGTCACAACTACAATTATGCCTTTATCTTATAGGCCACTATTTTTGGCCTAACAGCGGCCCGTTGGTGTAGCCGAGGGTACGACCGCTCGAAGTATTCATCAAAGCGAACAAAGAGGTTTTCAATATACCGAGAACATGTTAATAGAAATAGCAAGGAACATAACGATGTTCACGGACTTATTCAAAGAAATACACACAGTTTAGGCATGCCCCTAGGACATTGACCCCAAGCATTGCCTGAGGAATAAAGGACCTCCTGGTTGATCTAATAGTCCTCATGATATCCAAGACAAAGACCTTGCCATGGCAATGCAATCCTAAACAACTGCTTAAAATGTTCAGAGTTGCCCATTACAAGTCTCGCAACATCGAAAGAAAGAGAAGCTGCACAGAAACAAGCTCAACTTACAATGCTCGCAACCCATCACCAACCAAAGACCACCTCATTCAACATGTTTATACCGATATTCATTCTTGGCTTCATATCCATCAATATCCACAACTACCTCAGCACTCCCAACCTGTCATGCGATAGTGTGTGCATGGAACGAAGTCGCCCACCGATCCAAGAATTCAACGAATGGGCACCAAAACTTGACGAGATCAAAACTGATATTCTGAGTATTGCACATGAGTCAAACGATAAAGAGACATCGCGGGCTCTTGAAGGAATCTATATACCTGTAGATATCGCTACCAACCTTCAGCGGGAAAATCAGCAGCTGGGAAAAGATACTAATTACGAGTTCGACGACGAGAAACTTTTACAAATCATGAAGCATACCGGGTCGCTTCCTGCCAGCGATACAAGCTACCCTGACAATCCTTCTTTATGGACTCGGATGACCGTCCCATCCAAAGAGAGCCACTTATTCGTCCGCACGCATAAATTGCTCGGGCGCTTGCAGGAGCTACAAGAGCCCCGAAAGACATCTGGGCCAAGGTCAGCGGTGAGTTTCGTCAAGACCTCAGCAAGATCACCTATAGTATATGCTATGCTTCCGCACAAGTTGAAGATCTTGCGCGAGAAGCCATTGGCAAACCGATGTTGCGACGATTACAAGAGGTAAGTGTTGCCACATACGTGCTTTGCCAAGAGAGTCGTAGCGATGCTCAAAGACTCAACGAGCTTGTCGATCAACTTGGCGCTCGGTTATCACTTGTTGAAACAGCGATACACAAGGCCAACGGTCTTCTTAACATTGTTTCGCAGAAGAATGTGGTGACAGAGCTATGGAAGTACTTGCTGGCCAAAAGTGTGATGACAGAGGCAGAACTTGACAACTACGAGGCCGAAATGACAATGATTGGACGGGCCGCGATCAAGATGTTGGATGGGGGATTTGTTCTACCAAAGCCGGCCTCATTGTGAAGTTGAACTTGGTTGGCCACGGCGGAATGGCTGAAGACTTCCGCGATCCAATCGCGTATCGCTTCAGAGGTGATTTCTTGATCCTGCCAATGACTTTGCGACAAGGTGCGGGGGTACAATATAGTGGTGGTATTGGGTATTATCACGGAGGAAAATAACCGGAAAAGTTTCCATTTATCGTAGCAATTGCACCTATCGTCTAACTTACATTCAACAATGTGAACATGCATGTAAGAACCAACCATCCATTGCGGACTACCTGTTTCCTCATACCCGAAAAGAACGAATACAAGCGAATCAAGCCGATATGCATGTGACTTGATAAGATACGTCATTGGGTATTGCTAATATGTGAGAGTAAAAGCAGCTTGCGCTTTCACTATCTCGCAGGCGCCTTGATAGCCTATCAGAGCATGTGCCAAGCTCTGTTGGTGGGAGACATCGCAATAATCGCCCAGTTGAGTGTTCAGCTCGTAGGCAATGATACGCAAACAATCCACATTATGCAACAACAGACGAGGCTTTTGCTCGAATGGGTAAAACATGCATGGAGTTGATGTTATCGGTATTGAGGAGCCAACAGTTTCATTTGCATGCGCTACGATTATCGGTGAAGTGTATTTGCTTATGAATAGGGAACGTGCATGAAACCATTGCGAATAATGCTAACCCCGCAGATATGAGGCGACTGTGTTGCTTCTTTTGGGCGACGAGAGTGGATATTGGAGGGTGAGCAGTTTCCACGCGCTTGATGGCGAGGGATGACTGGCAGCGGCATAGGATGAACGAACAAAACAGTACTATAACGAATGTATCTCCTTGATGCGCAGGATTTTGAGCTCGAATCGGCGTTCAATTGTCTTAATGAGCGCTGAGAGTCTTAAGCTTCAACTGTTGAACTCCTATAAACCTTCACCGTTGCCTTCACCGCACCATAAGATGACCGAGTTCAATAAACTTGTCCATCTTGTTGGGATACATCAGAGTCACGGTTCTGGGTCATATTAGAGTCCTTAAGCTTGGTAATGATTACAACGCTTCCTTGATGGCTAGTCGGGAGTCGAAAACGCATCACTGATCGTTACACAAAGACCGTTGGTGGAACATGATCACGCCGCATAATGCGTGGTTGCACCCTATATGCACTGAGAGCCACACAGGGTGATCATCTTCAACAGCAAATATGGACGCCACATTGCTGGGGTTATAACCAGTATATATGGTCGATGCAACTCTCTTTACGACATCAGTTGACCAACTTCACTCTCGTCCAGCCAAGTAATTCTAAACCAACAATCATGCTGAACCTCTCAGTTTCCCACGGCCTCATCTTCTTTGGCGCTACTGTACGTAAACTATTACCATCCGTCTAGCACTCCCTTGAACTAATATTACAGTTTGCGTCGTGGATCATTGGCATTGTAATCTACAGGTTGTACTTCCATCCTCTCGCCAAGTTCCCGGGACCCAAGATAGCAGCATGCAGTGAGGTAAAGTCCTTCATCCACCCCTCTTCCCTTCACAGCTAAGACCTTGAACAGTTTTGGTTCATACGCAGTTGGGCCAGTGGGTACTACATTCATTATATCGGTGACCTGCACCGAAAGTACGGCGATGTTGTCCGAACTGCCTCCAACGAACTCAGCTTTAGGTCTCCGGTCGCACTCAGGGACATTTATAATCATGTCTCCAAAGATAGACCTACGTTCTTGAAGAGCGACACCTTCTACACTGTTGATCCCTCTGTCACTCGCCCCGATATTGTGTTCACTAGAGATCCTCAAGATCATCGGCTGCAGCGAAGATCTCTCGCTCATGCATTCAGTGCCAAGGCCCTGAGGGACAATGAAGAGACTGTGCAGTTCCATGTGAATCTACTGCTTGAACGACTTGGTCAGAATGCAGGGCCTGGTACAGGTGGAGTGAACATGTCGGAGGTCTTCAACTGGCTGACCTTCGACGTCATTGGTAAGTCACCTCATCTGCATCCGTCCTCACCAAGGAGACTGATCAATATCACAAGGCGATTTGACATTCGGCGAATCATTCGACTCACTGAACCAGTGGAGGCCCAGTGAATGGGTGACCTGGCTTCTCGGATTCATCTCTTCACTGACCCTTCTCCCGTTCATCAACCGCTTCAAGATCCCAATGGCCCTACTCATGTATCTGATGCCAAGTGATCTCAAGAAAAGGGTAGAAAGTCATAACAGACATACAACTGAGAAGATCAAGAGAAGGATCGAGATGGGAAACACGCGCGACCGTGAAGACTTCTTTGCCTATATCCTCAGAAAAGAGCACGCTAGCCTGGACCTTGTTCATTTGCGTGAGCAGGCAAAGGTTCTCATGATCGCAGGGTCTGAAACGACTGCAAACTTGCTCGCTGCTACTACATATTATCTTCTGAAGAACCCTGACAAGTTGGCCAACCTTCAAGCTGAAGTGCGCTCCACGTTTTCTTCAAGAGACGGCATTACGGGAGATGCAGTAGCTCATCTTCCATATCTGAATGGCGTCATTGAGGAAGGCCTTCGCATCTTCCCTCCAGTTCCCTTTGGTCCCCCGCGCGTCTGCACCGGAGCCACAATCGACGGACAGTACGTTCCCAAAGGTGTTGTTGTATCAGTCGATGGCTTTGCCACTACGCATGATGAACGAAACTTCACTCGGCCAGATGAGTTTCTCCCAGAACGATGGATTGGCGAGGGCTTTGGAGATCGAAAAGAGGCTAGTAAACCCTTTTCACTTGGCCCTCGAGGTTGTCTGGGTATCAACCTTGCATACATGGAAGCGAGGATCGCAATGGCCTCGCTGGTTTGGAAGTTCGATTGGGAGCTTATTAACCAGGATCTTGACTGGCTCGCCGATGTCAAGTTGCATCTGCTTTGGGAGAAGCCGAAGCTCATGGTTCGGTTCCATCCACGAGATGAAGTCGCAACTACTTGAGAGGAAGTACTCCCAACCTGGATTTTAATTAATACCCAATGCCGTGAGGTACTAATGAAAACTTTTGGGCGATACACTGATTCCATAAACTCCTTCCAATCTTCTTAAGCAGCGATATGGGAGAATGAACAACTTGCGCAGGTTATGCACCTGGACGATTACGTTTTATGTATTTCACAACTCTAGTGCAGTTTAAATAGTTTAGTACTTTGACTGCTCCGACTGAGACGTCCGTCCCAATGCTAAATTAGTTCGTCTGCCATTCTTTGCGGCGCACTACTTTCAGCTGATCGGTGATTGTACGAACTTCGGACCATGGAAGGGAAATTTCTTATCGTCAGAGGCGTGTTTAGACTTGGTAGCCTCAACCATTGTCGATGATTCTTGATCTGTCATCGAGGCGATATGCTCTTTACCATTGCGTAGAGGCTTGAGACTTATGGCCACCTCCCCCCTCATTCTTGAACACATACAGGTCACGTATAGAAATGAGAAAAAGATGTATGATCGTATTACAAAACTTAATTATGCAAAAATGGTATCAAAACTCGCTAGTCTATGAAAGCACAGCCTTATCGGCCTTGAGTCTCGCAATCACCGTGGACATATCCACGTCCTGAATATTCACGCCCTGGTCAATGGCAAGGCACGCTGCAGTCGCAGCACCCTGACCCATGACCATGTATGTAGGCTCCATACGGATAGCAGAGTAAGCGATGTGTGTAGCGCTCATTGTGACAGGGTTTAGGAAGTTGGTCGCGTCGCTTGGCTTAGGGAGAAGAGCCTGAAGAGGAATGTTGAAGGGACCGGGAGTAGCAATGTGGACTTTGCCCTCGTCGCGGATCTCTCCGTTGTAGACGATTCGCTCAACCTGGTGAACATCCAGGGAGTAAGCACCCATGCCGATGCTGTGGTTTGGTCGGGATGGGGGGGTTTGGATGTCGCTTTGGCGCATGGTGTAGACACCGTCCATGCGACGTCCCTCTCGGATGTAGATCTCATAAGGCCAGTTGCCATTCTTGGTGTATTCGTCCTTGGCATATCCCCATTCATTGACTCTATCACGCAAAGACTTGGGAATGCGGGGATGGTTGGCCATTGCCCAGAAGAAACCCTGAGTGTAAGATTTGTGCAGAAGGTAGATCTTTCTACGCTGGTCATAAGACCAAAGAGCGTAGTTGCCATCATCGTCGTAGTTAGCACCAATCATATCAGTGCTGACCTGACTCTGAGCATTGGAGTCAGTCTTGATGTTGGGCATGAGCTGTGAGGTGAACGGAGTTCCTGTGTATCCAGACTCGTAGTAACGGAAGAGGAGCTCATAACGAGACTCAACGTAGTCGGCGGGCTTTGTGAAGGGGATTCTGTTGTTTGTCTGCTTGGTGAGAGTCATGCGGAAGTTGTAAGATTGTAGACGATAATCATCGCCCCTGCCCTTGATGGAAACAGCATCCTTGACAACCCGGCCGACACCCTCGATGAGGCCACTGCTTGAATCACCCTTCTTCTTCCAAGGGTCAACCTTTGAGAGTTGATCAGAACCGCCGGGGCGGAAACCAGCGACATCTTCATTGTAGTCGCTGGTGCTCTCACGTCCTGTTCGATAGGAGATGCCAGCGGCCTCCATAAGATCACCTTCGTAGCTAGCGTCGATGAACATCTTTCCCTGGAAGACACTTCCCTTGGTCGTTCTGAAAGAGGTGATTTGACCATTCTTCTTGGTAACACCGCTGCTGGATCGGTCAATGGGCTGGCTGCGGAAGATGGGAACCTTTCCATCTTTCATCCACTTCTCAAGAATGGACTCAGCAACCTTGGGTTCGAAAGTCCATTGAACCTTCTTACTCTCGTCGATAGCAGGACCGGGCTGAGCTCCAATCTTTCGTCCAAGATATCCCGAGCGCGTCTCCTGTGTCCACGCGCTGCTCTTCTGGTAGTAGGTATAGACCTTGCCGTAAAACTCTCTGGCAATGCCACCAATAGAGCTTCCCTTCTTGGAGTCTGTCCATCCAAGACCCGATGATGTCAGGCCACCCAGCGTATTACCGGGGAAGACAATAGCAACACTCTTCTTCATGCGCTTGGTCTGTACAGCTGCTGCTATCGCAGCGACAGTGTTGCCGTAGATGACGACATCATACTGGACGTCTGCTCTTTCGGATGGTGCCGCTGAAGCAGATGTCATGAGGTACGACACCATGAAAATGGTGAAGATGAGAATGAGGAGACGATTCCTCAGTAAAGCTGCCATTTTGGTTAACAAGCGCATATGACCTTGCAGCTTGAAGGTGAAGAAGAGAGTGAAGAGGTAAAGGAGGAGAAAGAAAACAAGGTATTAAGGTAAAATGAGTGGCGTATAAGTTTGATGGCCGTAGAGGGCGTCCACGACCAAACAAGGGAAAGATTCAGATGCCAATGGCTTTATGAGCAGTCGCAGTGACATGAGGTAGCGGGCCAGGGGTTTGAGTAGTCTAATCTTGAGCACAGAATAAGGTAGCGGCATCTCGTATTTCTAGGAAAATAAAAGAGGCCAATTTGGGGACCAACAGATTTAACCTCCGGGGTCTAGACCATAACAGTCTGATGGTCACATTCTAACCAAGACAGCTCTCGCCGTATTACGGCATGCCAGAGGAACAAAAAGAAAAGGCTAGACCTTGGGAAAGGCATATTGTGCAGTGTGAGCGTGGACTGGATAACAAGGGAGAATTGGGCTGTGCAGTTGTAATTCTTGGCCCCTCCCTTACCTCCAAACTATTGGCAACACTATCGACACTGGACAAAAAAAAACGACACTCAACTTACAGTGGCCGAGAAGCTTGAATGGGTGCGCCCAGGCAGTCGAGGGTCTGTATGTCTGAGCTTCTAAATCGAGGTCATACCCTGTAAATTGCCATTCGCGCAACCTTCGTATAAACGACGGAACAGGCATTGTGTGGCTGCCAACCAAGATAGGAAAAGACCGAGACCTTCCAGACTCTCACTCAAAGCCAAGCATTCGCTTATTATTTCGTGAGCAGAGAAAAAAGAGAGTGCAGTGTTGAAGATTTTCTGCCCTTGTTAGAAATGGGGTTAGTTATGAACCCTTGATTAGCGTCATGGTTCAGGGGTTGTCATGCAGAGAAGAGGGGGGGAACGGGTTCCGGACTTTCAACTGTTGCGTAGCGCTATTTTTCTGCGATTTTAGTGCACCCAGTGAACTACGGTTACGGCTAAGGTGCCGTTTTGGCGCTGTTGGATCTGAACTCTGATGCGATTTTACAAGGGTCAATCCTAGTACGTACCCCAAAAACCTCGTAAAACTCAAGGGCCTCATTTTACTTGCATCTTTTCTGCAAACAAGGGAGATTCATGAATTATCATTTAATCAACGGCATCTCCGTTCATGTCTTTCTCTCTGATGACGAGCTAGAACTGTTGGCTCTAGGTGGATCATCATTCAATAGTCTCGCTTTCTCACCATTCACCTCCGTGGCTATCATATCACTAATGTACAAATGTCGATCGCTTAGCTACAACATCAGGTCAGGCAACTTCATGATCTCATCTTCGACAATCTCGACCTGGACCTGGCCGCCCTGGCCCTGTCCCTGAAAGCTATGGTCAGCTCACAGACCCTCCTCCTCTGTCGCGGCAGCCTCGGCACCTGAATGTCACCCAGCTGTGATTGTCACTGCTCAATCGATAGCCTTCAGGTTGACCAATTACAGGGCATTTAGCGCCAAATAGCGCTCTTTTGGTGCAGCTGGGTGTGGTTCAGGCTAACGTAATAGAGGCCGATGGCGCGCACGCGCTCAATATCATATCATCACTCTCGCAGCGGCTGCTCTTACGAAACGCCACGTTTTGGTCGCTCAAATTACAAAATCGTGATGAAATGAGCATGCGATTTTCAATTGTGGATGTGTCGATCAACGCCGCAAACGTTGATCACAACGTCCTCTTCACTTAAACTTTTGTCTATTGACACCGACTCTTCTTGGCAATTGTTCAGCCGCAGCAGTCTTGCACAAAAACCGCACAAGGCTAGCTGTACTCTTTGTCGTCTGCATGTTCAATTGTTCGAGGCCAGTCTTTTGCGCTGGCTTATCAAATAGCCTGATTTCACCTCCCCTGATAGGCCAATGCCCTTTTTGACGTGTACAAATTTGGGTGGCCAATTGGAGAAACCATCACACTTTTACCAGGATTTAGAGCTTGTATTGGCCCCATTCCAGATCCGGCCAAGACCCTCAGGGTGCTTTTGCTCCTGGGAATCTGCACCTGCAAGGCACAGTCTTCAGGGTCGAGATTCCTGGCCGAAAGTGATCGGAGACTCGGTGTAACTATCCTGCGGGTACGGATAAGCTCGACAGGGCCAGCGGACAATAAACCTCCAGATACGAGTTTGCGTCTTGGCGTTGTAAGCTTAAACTGCTTTACCACTTAAACTTGCAGGTCGAGGTCACCTGCTTTTAACACGTCATGCTTAGCTTGTGTGATAAGAACAAGGGAATCATTCGATGCCTGTTATGTAGCATTGTAGGCAGACGGTCCCTTTGTGCATGTCGAGATAAGGTACAAGCGAACTGGCCGAAGCGAATCTGCCAAGAATGATACATCAGCAGATGGATTCACAGCCCTACGCTCCCCAACATTCGGCTGTTTCCTATTACAGTAACATACGTCAGTCGCTTCTACTGTAACCGGAGCATTGTTGCACTGCCATCACCTGCTCCGGAAAGTCAGCACGGCTCAATTCTCCAAAAGCCTTCCTGTTGACAACCATGTGGGAGTCTAAGACGTGGCTGTGTAGTGAAACAACCTCATATCCGTATTCCCAATGACGATTAGGTTAATGGCCTTCGTATATGCATCCTAACGGGTGGCTGAATAAGGTTAAAAATGTTACGCTAGCGGTCTCAGTTCGTAAAGGGCTATATCTTGTTCACCTGAACAACCACTTAATAAGGTAGTCAGACTCAAATTACAAAGATGCAATCAGCCTGTTCGTAAAGGCTCGGTACTACCTCGTTTAAGCAAGCGTCAGGTTATGTCTTCCTTGGTGTCTCTCATCGTGAGTCTAGGGGACTTATGAGGATCCCTGCTGACATATGACTCGATGCATCCAACTTGATGAATTTGGTATATCAACGATTTCAGCTTGATCCAATAACAATAAATGACTGCAAAGAACCTATATTATGACTTTGCAATGAGAGTGATGCCTGTTAAGAACATTAGCATCCACCAAGATTTCCATCAGTGAAGATATGATAGCTTCCATTACATTAGACAAGACCCTAGTAGTGTTATCCTGCTAAGTATTTTCCTAACAATAATTTAACTAGAATAGTTCCATGGCAAGTTTTAGTACGTATAATCGTTTGTATTTAGATTGAGAACATTATTATCTGGAGCCAAACTCAGGGGAGGCAACTACGCACATTCATTGTTCCTCAAATTAGCATTGATAACTGAGAGGCACAATTTGTCTAACACTTTTTTCATGTTTTTATTGTTTTTCTAGAATTTCATCTGCAATTCATGCCATGTATACTGCCCGCAGTATAGCCACTTTCTTCCTTCAATGGACTGCATGTCTTATTGATCATCTCGCCGAGAGTCGCTTCAGACTATCAAAACCCAATCCCAACAGAATCTCAAAAAGGAAAAAAAGAAAAAGGCAATCAATAGAGTAGAAAATCACCAATCACTGTAAGCCTTCGGTGAGTGGCACAACAAAATACCAGTATGGGCCAGGCCAATACGCGGTCCCTGGTGACATCTTCGCAATGAAATGGATCTGACCACCAGGTCGCATAACGTCCTTGAAGAGGTAAAGATAGTTGAGCGTTTGGACACCTACGTCAGATATGAATGTAGACTTATCCTCGAGATAGGAAATCCAAGATTCCTCCCCTTCTTTTCCATTTGGATTCTGGAAATCATATCTTGCCAGGCATGGGACACCTAGGAGTATCAGTGTCTTCAGATTCAGGTGACGCGCCATCTTCTTGGTCTGAAGCCCCAGTTGGACTGAATTGCCCTTATCCACGGTCCCAGTCATATCAAGACAAAGTGTTTCGAGATTCGTGAGTAGTTCCCACTTAGGGCACAACGCAGCGCCCATGATATTAAGTCGATAGCCTCTCAGCCATTTGCTCCATTTGTTTTCGTCTGTTGCGGTTACTAGACCACTTTTGAGCTCTTTAAGGATTTCCGATAGATCGCTCGGAGTGAAGCTTTTGCATCGTATCATAAGATGTTTGATCTTCTCGCATGCCAGCTTTTCATCGTCAGGGCGCAGGCGGTGAGTCAGCGCGGTTTGGTTCATAGTTATGCCGGCGAGATCTCGAACTTGCTCACCATCAATCACAATTGGGATTGTCTCGATGAAACGCCTGTCCAGAAAGGCATATCCAGCATAGCGGAAGTTGAGAAGCTTGTAGGGGTGATAGTAAGGTGGAAGTGCATTTTTATCCAAGTTTAGAAGGTACTCGACGATGTTTTCATCCAGACCAAGGTCAGCTACTACCGTACGCTTGGTGAAATGACTATTCTGGAGCTCAACTGAATAATCGTCCAGAGGGTCAAATGGGAGAGCGGGTGTGTCTGATGCTTGGATCACTCCCGCGACGCAGCGATGCTGCATCGGAAGAACCTCTAGCTTTCCACGGGTGAATGTGCCGTCTTCCTTCCTATCACCACGGGTGTAGATGACCGTGGTATGTTCCTGGAAGCCGTCGCACAGCAGATGGCCTTTCGAAAGATGGTTGACTAGACATACCGGGGCCTCTTCAGACTCTTCGATAATGCGAAGGGTGAGCTCCGGTGGGAGAAGGGGGACGGTTCGACGTGGAGTGTCGCCTGCGAGTTGAGACATGATGAATTACTGGATAAGTTGCTGTTGCTAGTCTGGTGGCGGAAATCTCAGGACCTAAGATTTGGTTAGGGTGGAAATGTTCTAATATGGAGGGGGAAGCTGGACGCCAGTGGAGTACTAATAGATTGGCCAGGTGTAGTGTCAGTAGACTGCTGGATAGTGCAGGAGTAGATAGACAGAATTCTGATGGTTGATGGGCAGAAGACTTACTTATAGAGGAAAATTACTAGTTACTTGCAGGATACCGTTCTCTACTTCACATAGGATCCACAGTGGTGATGTTTGAGTGAGGCGTTGTTCGGCTTGACAACCTGATGAGCGAATGTCGTGACTGAGCGGAAGTTGAGATGAACATACCCTCAACAAAGACATCTGCCAGCACATACGACCATACCCACTGTTGAGAATTCGGGATCCCGTCCGCTCTCCCATAGACAAGCCAGTGAGGGGCGGACTAGTAGTTGGGTCGGTGATGACCAGCGAATACCCGCTGTTGTATGTTTTTTGTTCTTGCGGAAAGATTGAACACGCATAAGGTCTTAATATTTTTGCTGATGTGAAAGTTTACACCAAAGCCTGCTAGAATGGAAGAAAGCTTGTTCGACCAGTTGCCACTGCAACCGGATGTTCGAGGCATGATTCATGAGAAGTAAAGGAAGCCATGCATTGTAACTGGTTGACAATAGTTATTCCTTAAGACAGGCTAGACCAGGCGCGCCTTATTATAGCGGCTGTACAGACGCGAAATCTTATTGCACTTGTTGAGCATGTAATAGTGTTCATTGACATGTTGCTGTTTCTTGGTCGCGATCACTTCAGCCCCCAACGAGGCTTTACATAAGTATACAGCTCTAGATGGAGATGATCCAGACCTTCTGACGGGTGACTTTATTTGACTTAGATTATGAGCTATTTTCATCAGGATAAACTGTATGCTCTCTTGCTTTGGCGTTAGTGCGAGATGTCAAAAAAGTGCAAAAAACAAGGTATAATGGCGGGATTAAACCGCCTAAGATGGACGAACAGGGAATCGAACCCTGGACCACTCCCAGATTATTCGGATGAATTATGCTAAGGGAGTATTATACCACTAAACCATTCGCCCGAAGGATATACTGTCAAGCTGTTATTGAGGCCCAACAAGGAAGCGCGAGCAGATAGTTGACAGCCTCTCCTAGCTGAACAGTGCCTGTATCTAAGCCCGCGATCATCTTGAGCTGTGAACGGTTGAGGGTAAGGCACTGACCCATGCCGAAAAAACAGTTCAGTGGCCCCACAAGCTCGTCTCATATTCACTTTCATGAATACAGCTGTGATTGTCAATAGATAAGAGTCCAAAATGAGTAGGTGGAGATTGCTGAAGGAGCCACGTGATTCTCAGGCAGCAGTGGCTATCCTTAGATGTCTCTCTGCTGACATCCGTTATCTTGTCAGCAATCGCTTTGTAATGCCTACTGGCAACTTATGTCCAGTTAAAGATGCACGGATATCTTTAATTCTTCCGGACTACTACTTGTAAAATGGTCAACTATGGCGTCTCTCGCGCGTGCGAGACATGCAAAAAGCGGCGTAAAAAGGTGCCTTGATTTGACCTTCATCAAGGCAAGCTTGCTAATTATATTGACAGTGCGATGAGGGTCGTCCAGTGAGTACCAAATGGTCATAGCCTGTGGCCCTTGCAGACTTAACACTGGGTTGAACAGGCCTGCCTTCGCTGCGTAAAGTCTCGCAGGCGATGTCCTGGCTATAAAGACGACACCTCACTGTTGTTTCGACACTATCAGCCTTCAATTCCGCCACTGGAGCGTTGGCATCCTAGTACTGACTTTATACTCGAGTCAAGGGCGCTTGATGTCTTTCTTGATAATTTAGTTGTGCGATCCCGAGATCGGAGTTATTCGCGTGGTTTTCTCGATGGCATGCACTACCTTTTTGCTACGTCTGCTCCGACATCAACTTTGATCAGTGCCGCCAAGGTTGTCATTCTGTCATCATTGGCCATTCGATATCGCCGAGACTCGCTAATGAGATTAGTTCGAAGGCATTATGGGCAGCTATTAGTTAACTATACTGCAACTTTGTCGCAGCAAACTGCGAGTTCATCTGTAGAGCATTTCTTCACTGCGGTACTGTTGGGTCTATACGAGGTTAGCTTCCTACCAAGTGTCCGATGGCTGTTCGTTAACTTGTGTTAGCTTGTAGCAAGCGACAATGCTTCTCCTACCAAGCATCTTGTTCATGTTCAAGGGCTGGCTTCTATCTTGGGGAAGGGCATTACATATGCATCATCCGAATCGAAAGTGAGCATTTACTCGCCCGGCATGCGTCTCGTCACAAAAGGCGTAATGGTAAGTATCTTATGAGTCTCATGGATGGGCCAATCCTTACAGAAGCACTTAGACTCATCAACAAGGCACTGGAATTTTGTGCCCTCCCCTTGACGATACCCATCGTCGGTCTCTTGACAACATTATCATCAAGATGTCACCTCTGACAAGCCGAGCGGAGCAGCTACTCGCCCATCCCTATCCTCCCGTGTTGGAACTATTGGAGCTGCAACAAGACTTATTGGCAATTGATGATGAGATTACGTATTGGGCCTATGACCGACCCTCTAGCTGGAGTCCAGAACTCGTCGGTGAAGTCTGGACGGATCCGGCAATATCAGAGGAAGCCAAGTTCTATTGTGTCGGCCCCGTTGAGAAATACTTCGATAGTAAGCTGAAACCCTGACTGCATTGAAGTGAGTTTGTAGCTGATTTTTGCTCCTCAGTGTACGTTGCAACCGCATGGAACTCATGGCGTTCAATCCATGTCATCTATCTTGACCACCTCATACATGTTTCAAATGCCCTCGGACAGGGTGAGCTTACTCCTTTATACAAAGAACGGATCGACGATCTAGCTGTTGGTGTTAAGGCGTCTATTCCCTTCCACCTGTCTCACGACGTTGAGAACTACATCCAGCAAGCAAATTCTGGGACTCCCCTTTTTCAATCAGACCGGTTGGTAGGAGGTCTGTTACTTCTTCATCCCCTGTATGCCCTTGCCAGGTGTACAATTGTGGATGGAGCAACCAGAAAGTACATGTCCGATACTCTGAGATGGATTGGAGATGAGATGGGAATCCGACATGCGACCATTCTTGCTGATGGTCTTCAGCCTGATACGCATGGACCTTCTGCGATGCAGAGCTCCAAAATCTCGTTTCTTGATGCACTTGATGGGCATTTCCTGATCACTGCGAGCATGATGTTGGAGCCTCGGCCGGTCACAAGTGCCGCTTGAGATGAAGTGTCTCAGTGGTACTCTGCAGAAGAGGTCTGCAGAGTCTAACAAAAGGACTGATGTATTCGCCTATAAACTATAGAATTGATGAGAAACGCAGCATTCCTTTACTTGCAACATGGTCATGTCCATCACGGTCCGTGCTGAGACTCACATCCTCCCAACTGCTAGCAAGCTCAAGTTGTTCCTTGCACTTCTGCTCTGTCAACCGCAGTGCGTCACTTCCAAGAATGACTCTCACCGGCTCTGGCCTTCCAGCACTGACACCCTCGAGCTTGACACAGTCCACTATGCGCTCCGACAACTTGTTGATATCACCTGGCATATTCGGTGCAATATCCGAAATGAATACGTCCATCAACTCCGCAAACCCGGGGTTGTACGCATCTATAGCGGGCTTGTACTTCCCGAATCCTTCGACTGAACCTTCACGAGGTTGGCCAAGCTGAGACGGGAAACCGCCAGGCTCGAAGATGATGCAGCGAATGTTGAAGCGGCGTACCTCTTTGGATAGGCCTTCGACAAAGGCGCCAAGGGCAGCTTTTGAAGCAGCGTAGTGGCTCAAGAAGGGCAGAGGGCCCCAGCCTACGCCGGCTCCGATGAAAGCGACAGTTCCGCTCTGTCGAGCCCTGAAGGATGGTAGGATAGCTTGAGTAACATGTAACGTTCCAAAGAGGTTGACATCAAAGATGTTACGAACAAAGTCGTCGCTGCCAAACTATCAATATCTATCATCCAATGCTAGGCTAGGTAACTTACTCTGCCTCCTCAATACTCTTAGGTGCTGAGATGCCTGCGTTGTTCAAGAGAACATCGATATGTCCCCAAACATCCCAGGCTTTCTTTACTTGCTCATCTATCTCAGCTCGAGGCGCAGTAACATCAAGATCGAGAAGAAACACGTCCTCAGACTGCAAATGCTTGAGACGTTCTGTTGCCCCTCGTCCCGTGGCGATAACCTTATCACCTCTCGCGGTGAGGTTCTGCACCACTGCGGCACCGAGACCCGAAGTAGTGGCTGTTACTAGCCAGACTAATTGAGGCATGTTGGCTGGCTTCTGGAAGAAGCTTCGTACAACGCAGATAGCCATAAATGATACTACTTATACTCCAAGCAGACTAACAAGCATCGTCACCGCTCAGCTCGCCATTCAGTACCTGTCCAGCCAAAAGTTCGTCCTTCTTCGGCAAGTGCATTCATGCTATTCAGCCCTGGAGCCCATAAGATGGATCTTAGTCCCGTCCACAAAACCCATATCGCTTGTTCATTGGGTAAGTTGCGATAATTATCAGAACAGCGCAAAGCTAGCTTGTTTCGGACAAAGCGAATCTCTGCTTCCAGACGCTATTATCTGACAAGCATGATTCAAAAATAACTCAACCTATCATTGGCGGGTTGAATGACGACATTCTCATGATTGCGACCTTCTGTGTTCATCCTGAACGGCACGGCTTTTGAGTCCTTGCATATAGACCCTGCCAGCAAGAGCCTTGAACAACGAGCATCGAAACACACTATTGGAAGAGCTGACTGATCTATCCAATTGAGCTAGAGGCCCTAATCCACGCCATTGGCAATCTGCAGGTCACTACATGCACTGAGTAACAAGCAATTGGTTTGAGAAAGCAACACTTTTAATCATGCAGACCATCCATGATGCCGTGATACCTACTCATTTGGCCTCGAAGCCAATCCCCTAATAAGAAGTATAGTATTCTCCTGCGTCATGGAGATCTGCCAAAGATACGAAGACGACACGGAACGCGCTAGGTATCCCAGATTAGGGTCGTTGACGTCAACACCTCATACCAAGACTTCCACTTGTTGAATTTTCATCTTATTATCTATTTGAACAGAGCTTCTCGAATACTTTCCAAGAAAATGAGATCATCTCGAATTTCTTGCACTCTAAGAAGCCTTGATCGGCCCGCAATGACTGTCACAACAGTTCCTTCAACGCATCCCATTGCAAGACGCGGCCCGCTTTCACAGGCAAGCACAGCAGAGTTACACCAGTCCAGCGACCTCCAATACCAACGTCGCGAAGCTCACATTCCCAAAGGGTCAAATGAGGAGGAACAGCACTACATCCTGACACTTCTTACCGACAAGCGACACCATGATGAAATGACAGCGCTGCGAAGACAATGGTTTCCTTCGCGACTGCTCAAGGTTGATGCGCATATCACCCTGTTCCACGCGCTACCTGGCTCAAAACTGTCAGAAGTCAAGGCAGATATCACGAATGTCGCAGCTCGAACAGCGAGGTTCCCAATTGCTGTTGGTAATCAGGACGTTTACGAAATGGGAAAAGGCGTTGGCATCCAGCTCTATGCTGGTCAGAAGAGGGCATTGAGCATACGCAGTGAATTGAGGGGCAAGTGGGAGCCATTTCTCAGCGACCAAGATAGACGAGAGAAATGGAGAGGCCACTACACCGTTATGAACAAGCAGGATGACAAGGAAGAGGTGCAGAAGTGTCTGGAGTACTTGAAGGATGGGCATATAGATAGCAAAGGAACTGTAGAAGGATTGAGTCTTTGGTTGTATGATAGAGGCTGGTGGCAGGAAAACGAGGTCTTCAAATTCTCTGGATAACAATAAAGATAGACTTTAGAATGTAGAATTCAATCGAGGTTTAATGAGAGTGACAGTTGAATCGTCAACGTTTCGGCATCACGGAAGCGACAAGGGCGAAGACGGCATAACCACGACATCACGAAAACGCGAAAATATGTGCAGTTTGTTTGTACCGAGCAAAAGAGTAAGAGGATGAGACAAAAACAAAAAGAAATCGACAACGGCAGGATTCGAACCTACGCGTGCGAACACAATGCCTATGATGTCTCAGAAGAGATAGCAGGGCATCGCCTTAACCACTCGGCCACGTTGTCTTGGTGGGGATCTCGAATTTTGGGCTTATATACGCGACCAAAGCATCAAACCGACAATCTAGAAACTTCATGCAGCAACCTCCCCTGCTTAGCATTTCGCAAAAGTCGCGTCCCCAAGGTAGGGTTCAAACTGATTCGTCGACCGGTTAAAGAGTATAAACTCATCGTTTACCGCCGGGCGACCGTTTAGCTTTGGCTCTGAGACAAAACAACTTGCAGAGAAAATGGTGCCAATTCAAGGAAGCTCAGAGAGACAAAAAGAATAAATGAGCGAAATGGCAAAGAGATATGAAATTGTTCTGCAACAAGGAAAGAACTAGGAGTCTGAGAAAATAAGGTTACAGCAGAGCATCAAACAAACCCAAACCTCATTCGAGGGACAATACTCTGATGTTGCCGTAAACCAGAATTGCCATTACAGGGTAGCGAGGCAAACAGCCAAGGTCAAAAAAATTCTTCAGGTCCAAGCTTATCAGATAAGAGCAGAAGTGGCGTGAGGCAGTGAAGTTTATCTGTTAGCATAAAACATCCATACCCGAGTTTCGTTTCAACTCGAGATGATGGCATTCCAGTTCACAATGCGACTAAAAAAGAGGTCAATTGATCCGAGCAGAGGAAAAAAAGATGAGTGCCTGTATTCACAGGCGGCTGGAACTCTCCCGCCGGGAATTGAACCCGGGTCTCAAGCGTGACAAGCTTGCATACTGACCACTATACTACGGAAGATGATGGCTGTGAGCATCCACTGTAGCGGAGTTCGATGTCACGTGGAGTCTTAATGATGATTATGAAGGCTAGCTAGAGTTTGCAGGTCTTGTTTACTGTGGACATGGTCGACGCCTTCCATGAACTTTGTTTTGTTTGCCAAGCCTCAAGTGCGGGCTGTATCTATGTTGTGTCAACATTGATGAGCACGTTGGAAGAAATGACTCGATCTTAACGAGCGATGCGTCATGCAACTGGGTCGTCTAGAATTGCCGGATGAACTTGGACCACGGAATATTATGGTTGATTGCCGTGTTTTGTCCATCGGGCCATCAAATTACAAAGTTCACCAGCCTTTTAATTGATGTAACTCTGCGGGGTTTCGCTGTTTCATACCTGCAGCTTGACGTGAGCTCACATCTCAGCTCACTGCTGTAAACCCTCACATTCATTCAGCCATTGTTTATTGTTGCACAAGGCTATGCCCTCAAGACCCAAAATAGCGACCAATATTGGAATATTGTACGTGCTATGCATGACGCAGCCTCCCCCGACCGCCTAATTATTGAAAGGTCCCCATTTTTGGGCCTCTTGGTGCGCTGTTACTGCATCGTACGCATAAACACACAAACCTCCGCCACTGATTTGCGATTCGCTGTAGTTGCACCCGATCCCTGCTTGTGCCACCAATCAGCAGCACTGATCAACAGGACCAATTCTTGGCTTTGGGATTGAGATGCACGGTTGATCATCATCTCGGAGGTTGGGATTTGGTTCATAAATATGCTTAATTCTTCCCACCGGTTCTGAACTCTACATTCCAGAGCCACCTCAACTCCAATAGTCTCTTACTTGGATACCTGCACAATGCCTTTTCTCGCCAACACATTCGCTGCGCTGACTTGCCTTTTGGCTGTCTCGAGCGCTGTACCTACAGCACTACCCCGCGCAAGTGGAAACTGCCCCTCCACTGGAAAAACAACCCGCCAGGAGCCATCAGCCCTGTACAGCGTATTCCCCGGCTCGCCCGACGTCGCGAAAAAGTCCGTCGGCTTCAACGTCGCTACGTACAACAACGCATCCCAGATCGAGCAGCTCCTCGTCTTCACGGGTATTCCCGCCGAGGCGAAGAAGTGCACTCTTCGTTGGGCGCAGGGCGAGCAGCCCGAGCGCCTCTTCATCGTCAAGGGTGGAGATGCCTTGACTGAGTTCAAGCAGCTTTCTGGCTTCCCCGGCAAGGCCGTTACGTATAACACCGCGAAGGAGTTTGACACTGCTGGGGAGTCTGTCGGTGCTGCTGATTTCACCAACTGGGATGACTTGCCTGCGCAGACCCATATCGTTGGTAACATTGACTGCGAGAGCACCGTCTACCTCAAGGCTGCGCTGCGAAACCCCAACGGCAACACAAAGGTGTTCCTTGAGCAGAGCGACAAGAATGGTGTGTACATCGAGTACAGCTGCTAAACTGCTCATTGTATTGGATTGGAGACATTATGAACATTTCACTTCTCAATAATACTTTAGGGATACATGGTTTTGTCTGCGTGGGAATTGGACTACGGATATTGGGCAGGGAGAGATTAGACGACGGCTCACTGAAGCCTACGACAAGTTACGACACACAAACTCGATGAGATAGACTTAATCCATTGGAAAGACTCAAATATCAACAAAACTTTACCTAACCAGTGGCTCGCTGATACCAACGATCGCCCATTGTGACAAGGAACATGGTCAGCGTGTCGCTTCAGGCGTAACAGCAGAACGCGCTGGTCTACCAGTGATCGATGTCAATACGTCCCAAAAAACCGTTGAACCACGACAATCTATTGCATTACTGATTGAGCCGCGACATGGCCGGTTTGTCGCTTCATCACAAGCTTCCAGCAAGTGTCGCTCTGGTTCACAGGGCCAAGATCAATTCTCCAGCTTTGGAGGGGCGCGGATGCCGGCCAAGCCCGTCGCATCGGACAAGATTTCAGCTACCATTTCTGGACCATTTCCATTCAACAAGTACCAATTGACTGAGCCAAACTACCAATTCTCGAGTCAAAGCTCCCATTTGACCTCACTTTGCTTTTGCTCTATTTTCAGCGTGGGCGGAATTGACCATGGATCATACGATGTTCCAATTGAGTCAGTGAAAAGTAAGCGTTACCCAATTAGGCCCCGAGGCAACATTCACTCACCCAGAATTGTCGACATTGCAACACTGCCAAAGTCTCAACTCTCACTCTGACTAGATATTGGACCCTTTAGCTCCTCCATCGTAAGTTATTCCCTCTTGTCAGTCGCAGCCATTGGCGAAATACCCAATTACAACCTCCTTTTACCCCCGGTTAAACCCAGACGGTCTAGACGGACGGGATCATCTTGGCTATTTCCGAGATTGTCAAGAAACCAGCGGTGGACCAAAAAGGGATAGAACCGAGATGCTTTCCCCACTGATTTTCTTACCTGGAAAGTTGCCATTGGTTGTGCTATTTCTGATTTAGGGGGGACTTTTCTGTTTCTCACGATTTTAACTCAGGGTCTTGCAAGAACATCCATCGACTGAGGACGGACCCTGAATTTTGGTTGAAGGACTGGTTCCCTATCTGATACGCTACGGTCAACTTTCAACTCTGCTACTTTGTAGCAACATATCACGACATCTTCTGTTTCGGCCCATTGCAACGCTGACATCATGGAGGACACTATCGTCTTCCATCCTCAGCTCACAAAAGCTGATGCGCTGATCCTCGAAGGTCTACGCCAAGACATAAAGGATTCATCATCTGGCAATGCCGAGCACTCAACCTCAACACCCACCAGTTCGTGCAACCTCATGCCTATCTCATTTCCAGCCAATTAACGACTTAGCAGCCCGTGATGAAGAACTGCTTCGTCATCTCCAGGCAATGAACGATCCCAAAGATGCGCACTTTGAACCAAGCGTCACGACCAATTGGGACATTGATCAGATCAAGCTACCACTATTCCTGGAGAAGGCTGTGCTGAGACCTTACATTCGCCTGGCGAGGTCGGTTGTGAGGGTCGAGACTGATGTCATTATGCTTACGCATCTGCTTCTTTACTTCTCAACCACGATCCCCAGTGCCATCTTTTTGTTCACAAATTTCACGTGGATTCATGGTATTCTTCATTTTGTTATGCAGTTCTCTTACATGGGGGCGTATACCTTGTTGATGCATCAGCATATTCACATGAGGGGTGTTTTGGACAAGAAGTTTGCGATCTTTGATCATATTTTTCCTTATATCCTTGATCCTTTGATGGGACATACCTGGAACTCTTACTTCTATCACCACGTCAAGCATCATCACGTTGAGGGCAATGGACCGAATGATCTCTCATCCACAATTCGATATCAGCGAGACAGCCTTCTTCACTTCCTTCACTACGTTGGCCGATTCTTCTTCCTGGTCTGGGCCGATCTTCCCATCTACTTCATCCGAAATGGCAAGGTCATGACTGGCTTGAAGGCTGGATTCTGGGAGTTTTCCAACTACGCTTTCCTTATCACCATGTTTAACCTACACAGAAACGCCACCATCTGTGTCTTCCTCATGCCACTACTTCTTCTTCGTCTCGGTTTGATGGCGGGTAACTGGGGTCAGCATGCTTTTGTTGACGACGTTGATCCCGACTCTGATTACCGATCGAGTATTACACTGATCGACGTTGCTGTAAGTTCGAACTCACATAATCATCAGTAAATGTGTACTGACTATGAAACAGAGCAACCGTTTTTGCTACAACGATGGTTATCATACCTCTCACCACCTCAACCCCCTTCGCCACTGGCGCGAGCACCCTGTTTCTTTCCAGAAGACAAAACATACCTATGCATCACAGCACGCTCTTGTTTTCCATGATATCGACTACATGATGGTCACCGTTCGACTGATGATGAAGGACTACAAGACTCTGGCCAAGTGCTTGGTACCTATGGGAGAGCAGATCGCCATGTCGATGGACGAGCGTGCTTCCATGTTGGAGACGAAGACACGTCGCTTCACAGAGGAAGAGATCCAGAAGAAGTTCAAGAAGCAGTGAATTTGATAGACAGATGACGCATTGTGAGCATTTTGAAGGCGAACGGGCATCGTTGTTGATAGCGCTGCATTCAACGGAGTTGGCGGTTACATATGCCAAGGCGATGGATTAAAAGTAATATTGTTAGTTCAGATACTGCAAGAAAATGATTAAACACTCGGGCCCGAGGGATCCCTTGTCTGTCAATCAGAGGACGTCCTATCTTTCAGAATCTGGATCATAGATTGCTGGGCCAAGGGCTCACCAGTTGTCGAGGGATGCTCTGTATTCCCAAGTCACTAAAACTGGCAGCATGCAATAGAAATTCCTTTATATTCTATTCACTAGTAGGAAGTAAGCCCCTTAAAATTTACACGAGTCATTGTCAATGCTGGATATCTCTTGATGTCGTCAAGATTGCTCAACAGGACGTCATAAGACCATCATAGATTTTTAATTTTGCCCATCAACCACTCTAACTCTACCCAAAGGTGTAAAAATTTTCTTTTCACATGTGTGACTCTGACTGCACGTGTGGCTTTGATCTACCTGTCACTAGCTATCGAATAAGGTTCTCAGATCCAACTTATCAACCAACCTCCTCCCTGGACTCTAAGATGTCAACCTCGAAATGCGTAAAACGAAGCTCAGAAACCATATACGACATCGCCAAAGATGTGATACGACTGCTTAAAGAAGAGAAGGAAACCATCGGCGCCGCCGAGTCCTTAACAGGCGGGAGTATCATGGCCGCCCTCACAGCAGTCGAAGGCGCAAGCTCCGTTTGTCGTGGAGGCATTGTTTCCTACAGCACCGGTATAAAGGTCAATATACTAGGCGTTAGTCAATCTCTCATCACGAAACACGGTGTTGTCAACGGGGAAGTCGCGGAGCAGATGGCTGCTGGCGCTCGCAGCATCACGACGCTCGATACGCCGACGACATGGGGACTTAGCACTACCGGTGTGGCTGGACCAGGAGCAGAAGAAGGAAAGGCTCCTGGGACGGTGCTTATAGGGATTTCGAGGGCCGGTCAAGACAAGTCGTTTGGGCCGTTTTACTTTCCTGGGGATCGGGATGCTGTTCGGAAAGCTACTGTTAAGGAGGCTCTGGAACAGTTGAGAGAACTCCTCCGTGAGCGAGATAATATGGACGAACGACCATGAACAACAAAAGGAAGTTTATCGGCCAGGAAAGTGTACGACCCAGCCGGCTCAAGTACGACAGAGAGGCATAGTTCAAATCGTCGCTAGCCTCCAACGCAGTTCCGACCGGCCAAAACTACTGAGAACTCAATAAATTCCGAGAAAGTGAGAGCATGGCCGAATCTTTACTTTGACAGCCAGATATGTCGTTCTTGTCGTTTCGCCAGCTGTTCTCGATGCATTGGAAACACTGTTCATTAACCGACTAGTCTCTGGATGGATAATTAACGCTTCGAAAATCCCTGGCTGTAGTTCCAAAAAAAATTTCTATTGGCTTTAACACTTTGAAACGCTGCAATAACCTTTTGGGAGCTTGACTACTAGGAAGCTGACTGCCGGACTTTGGACAAAGCAGATTGTCCGACGCTTACAAGATGGACTTAGAAGGACTTAATAGATAGAATACTTGTCATTATAAATCTCTATTAATAATGAACCATGAATTTAAACCTATTCAATTGTAAGCGACACGTCTTTACCCATTCTTTGGTGCTTGACCAACGTGCGAAGCGGATATAAGCGCCCATAGTACTCAGCCGTGGTGGTTCTATCGGAGTTAAAGACCTTGGAGCCCATAGTGCAAGTTGCGATTACTCAGAATGGTGATCTATTCGATTGGGACATTCTATACAATCAATTTACTTGTTCATTCGGATCGTATATATAAGATGTCCTGTCAATAGTTTACCCCGTTGCCAACCCATCGCTGACAGCCAAGCAACAACACTATCATGCATCTCAACTTTGTCGTCCTTATATCGTTGCCAATTCTGGTGAGCGCATGGCCGGCCAGAAAATATGGAGACAACTCATGGGCTGTCAACACCAGCTCTGGCAACTTTGCCCCCTTCTTTGAACCATCTTACCCGAACGTTGCTGCATTTCTTGATATCCCATTTGCGGAGACTCCAGTCGGAGATCTCAGGTTTACGCCACCTGTCGCAAAGAAACATCCCGGAGATAAAATCGTTCAAGCAACGAAACTTCCACGGGGATGTATTCAATACGTGCCTCTCTTGCTCAGAGGTACTGTTGCTGATAGCCTCATTTCTGCTGCCAACTTCCAGCGTGGAGACTACGCGAATACCACTGAAGATTGTCTGAGGCTCTCTTTGTTCGCCCCCAAAAACGCTATCGCCGCAAAGAACGGCGCGAAAGCTGAACGGTTGCCTGTCGTAATCTGGGTTCACGGGGGCGGCTATATGATTGGAGGCACCAACGTCCCATATCAGCTTGCCCAACCCTGGGTTCAGCGAAGCCAGAAACACATCGTTGTACAGATCCAATATCGACTCAATCTCCTCGGACTACCAAATGCCGCTGGCTTTGCAAAAGAAGGAAGGAACCTGAACCTGGCGCTGCTCGACCAACGTCTCGCTGTTGAATGGGTAAGAGATAACATTGCTCGATTCGGCGGCGATCCCAACCGCATCACGCTCTGGGGTGAAAGTGCAGGTGCTTATGCTACAGATGGCTATCTCTTTGCTTGGCCTCGCGACCCAATTGTTAAGGGTGTTATAGCTGATTCTGGGAATGCCCTCGCAATTGAGGGGAGCTTAGGCGATGCCAGAAATCACAGCACTTTTTCTATCGCCGCAAAGCATCTATGTTGCGGCGGCCTGTCACCGGAGAAAGAGCTCCAGTGCATGAGAGGCGTTCCCGAGCACAAACTAAAGGAATATCTTCAAGCAGAACTCGGTCAGGGAGGTGCTGCTGATGACGGCCTTGGGTTCTCACTTATCCCTGATAATGTCACTGCGTTTACCAACTACACCGAGAGAATCACTACAGGCTCGTACAACTTTCCAGCAAAGGTTCCTCTCTTGATTGGGACCAACACGAACGAAGGAGCTGCCGTCATTCCTTACAACTTTCCAGGCTACGAAACAGCTACAGAGATACCGGCCAACCTCAAGCCCATTGCTGATGGGTTTGGTCTCAATCTCCAATGCACTACCCTCAAAGAGAACCGTTTGAGATCTGAAGCAGGTGCCAGGACCTTTCAATATCTTTATGCGGGTAATTTCACGAACATTTCCCCTCTATCCTGGCTGGGCGCGTATCATACTGCTGAATTGCCTCTGATCTTTGGTACTCACGACATTGAGGGCCCATCAACCAAATTCGAGCAAAAAGTTAGTGAGAGAATGCAAGATCTCTATCTCAAGTTCGCCAGTGACCCTGCACATGGATTGGAGAAGGATAGATGGCCGGCAGCGCAGGCACAATCGGGCAGGTCGAAGCTTGTCAAGTGGGCGGGGAATGGCAAGGTTGAGGAGATCGTCGATGCCAAGAAGTTGACCGATGAATGTACCAGGAAAGGATTTGCTGTATAACATCGCTACATAGCCATGAAACCAGGTCCAATCTGATAGCAAATAAGTTGTAGTTAGACTTACTAACCTCCAGCATACGACCATGCGTTTATGGCCATGTTTATCTCTTTGTTTCTGGTAGCGAGGTCGACCTAGATAGCGAAACACGATTTGATGGAGGGTTTCAATGATACACTAAGCTGTTGTTCCACCAATGAACAAGCCCCAACCTGTGACCTTGCCTCTCCTCGCCTGTAATTATTCCGCTTTCTTAGAATAATCCATTCATCGCCTTGGCATTCTGAGACCAAGGCGCGATGCTATCACACCTTCCGTTTACTGAAGTGATCGCCAGTGACTTGTTGGAGAGGGGTTATCGGCTTGTTTCTTTGCTCTTCCTGACTACTAAGTATAGCAGCATTTCTTTTCTTATCATTGGGAGATAAATACTTGACTGTTCAAGAATTTCGACCTCAGAGTTTATTCACATTGCACAATAATGAAACAAGCTACTCTTAAGCTCATCAGCCTCGCAATTAGAGTTGTTTCTCTCAAAACGTTCCGTTGGGCTGGGATTCGATCGCTTCAACATCCTAGCAACCCTCGCAGGGTTTCATCGCTAAAGTGGTCTGAGCAGCATCCTACCCAATCGTTAGCTCCAGAGATGTTTCGAACAGGACAGTCGGATGAAGATACTCCGTGTTGTTTTACAAAAGTGGCCATGTGAGCCGATAGATGAAACCTTTAAATGATAAGGGTCAAGTTGATCAGCGGGAATAATGCAGATTATGGAAGCTGATATAGTAGCGGTATGATATAGACTGAGCTGTGAGGACTATTTAGAGCCTTGAGCATCGACACTTCCATGAGGCCTGCTCATCACCACGGTCTCGAACCTCACAAGCATTCGCCATGCGGTTTTCTACCATGTTCACTGCCCTCGTGGCATGCGTTTCCACCACTTCGGCCGCCATCAACTGGTCCCTAGAGAAAGTTTCCAATCCATCAGCCGATCAAGCCGACGCTTACAGTCGCATCGAGAACGCCATGCGCCTCGCAGCAGCGCGATATAACCGCTTGTCTAGCGCCAGCAAGACCATCCGCGTCTCCTACGTTCCCGGCGTTCCAACCGCCGATGCCAACTTCAATGGCAGTCTTCGCTTCGGTTCCAACAGATCTTATATGAGCGAGCGCACTGCTTTGCATGAGATCTCTCATACCCTTGGAATTGGTCAAACTGCGGCTTTCGATAGAAAGTGTGCTGCGAATGACTGGCGTACTGCGACTCGCCTACTTCAGTCTTGGGATGGTGCTGGTGTTCGTATCAACTGCGGCGGAGGACATATTTGGCCGTATGGACTCAACTATGATAATGAGTGGAGTGAGACGAACGCCAATCGACATGTTCAGCTTGTCAATGCGATGATAGCTGATGGCCTTCAGGGCTGAACTCGTCTTTCGCCCAAGGTCAACTTTTAGGCCTCGTCGGCTGACGGGCTTTGATGGATACGCATGAGATATGAATTTGTTTGCAGTTTGAGTTCACTTCGAGAGAAACATATTACATCGAGCTTGCTATGGTTATCTTGTATGAATGTGAAGAACAATCAGAGACCCCTTCTTGACAATACCCGTATGGTCTATGAGTCTTACGATGGCTGAAGAACTCCGTGCTCGCTCATCCGCATGCCCGGGCAACTTATTAAGAACTTTCTTCACCTGAACTCTCCTTCTGTGGCTGCGTTTTCTGTTCTGAAGATACTCCATCGTATGGTCCTTTAAAACGAAAAGGATGCTCCTCAATAGCTCGTAGCGTAACTCGAATTCGCATCTCAGTTCCCAGGCGATTGGCGCCAAATCCTAGACAAGGATAGAATTTGCCCGTCAAGAAGTTGTGACTTTCAAACGCATTGCCTAATTTTGAGTCAGATTGCTTGCTCTGTCCTACTGCATGGCATGAACTTACCAGAATCAAGGAGGACCCCATTCTTAGTGCGATATCCCTTACCAGTTTCGAAATTCATACCACAGCCTACAACGTCGCCTACTTCGAAGGTCTGGTCACTCTCTCGACTTGTAAGCCATCCATCCTCTACAAACAACCCTCCATCATCTCCGTGATAGGCCCAAGACCCCTCATGCCACCCAGGGAGCGATCTCTGAGGAACGAAAGACTGGCAGAAGCCAAAGACACAGCGTCTTGATTTAAAGAATTAGCACAACGTGAAGTAAAAATGTATGGACAAAAGATAACCAATGGGCTGGGCGAGAGGCATGGGAATAACTTACGTGTGATCGGTAACATGGAGAACCTCTATTTCAAAGTAATAGTACTTCGAATTGGGAGGAATCGCCACTTGAGTGCGAAGATAGCAACCCATCCCCTCTCTTGATGGTGGTGCATTCACGTCTAGTTCAAAATATGTATCAGTACCAAGCCATTGCACAATAGAGAAACCACCAACCTAGGATGAAAGACAAGAATGGCTCTTCTGCGTCACATAGTGATGTCGTAAGTTCTGGTCCCTCATAAACATTAATGAAGGTCGATGGTTCAGAGTACTTGTGTATAGCTAGGTCTCTTGCGGGATTGTCTTTGCGAAGAAGCTCTTCAAGTTCCTTGTGATGGTACCTAGCAGCGGTATCGGCGGGTGTCCAGTTGTCTTCGTCAAGTTCATGAACATTCATACCACTTCGGCGAAGTGATTCAATCCTCTCTTGTCGACCAGCTTCAGCCAGCTTATGAATAGGAAACCGCACCTTATGTTTCGGATCAAGGATGGCGCGCTCCCATTCGTCCCAGAGTTCGAGGTTGCCGACCAAACTTGCATGTTTCTGGACGATCCTTTCCCAGCCGCCCATGAAGAACACTGTAGACTTCGTATGATGATGCAACAACAACGTGGTCAGGCATCTCTGATCCGATCTCTCAAAAGCGAACTCTAAGAGATTAAGACCATCACACTTAGTCGCACCCAGCCCACACGTGATTCTGGGATCGTCAAGCAGCAGTTTCAGAATACCGTGGTTCTTTTCGATCAGAGCGAGATGAAGTGGCGTATAGTTGCTGTATCCTGTTGCTCGCTTGTTGAGGTCGAGCTTGTTTTCAAGTTGGACTGACTTGCTAGTCTCGAGCAATATCTTGACGACCTCGGTACTGTTCCCTTCGCACGCCCACGCCAGGGGTGATTGGTCAAACTTTGCATCCCCTTGGTTGAGGTCAAGCCTGCTATTTTGCTGTCCAGCTATCTCAATGACCATTGAAATGAAGCTCAATGGCCCGCCATGCTGACATGCCCACATGAACGGGGTTAGATGCTCCTTCTCAGTTGTAACTTGAGGGTCAGCGCCGTTCTCTAGGAGAAAGATACTAGCATCTTCCTCGTCTCGTAAAAGCGCCAAAAACAATGCTGTATGTCCATCTTCGTTTTGGTCTCTGATGCAACCAGGTGACCTCTTTAAAACCTTCTCGGCAACTTCTTCTCTCCAGGTGAACGTTGCTTCACCAAGCTGCGGCCAAAGCCCTACTGCATGATGAAGGGCATTGTTGCCTTTGTCATCCTTTGAATCCGGATTGGCTCCTTTCTCCATAAGAATAGAAACGATTGAACTCTTGGAGTTTTGACACGCAACATGTAGCGGCGTACAGCCCCGTTGATCCTCGACGTCGACGCTTTTCATAGCTGACACAAGCCACTTGACGATTTTTTCTCGATCTTCGTCGTTGCAGTTTTTGCACTCAATCACATAGTGCAATGGAGACTTTCCGTCTTTGTCCACATCTTTTGCAGCTTGTTTTTTTATGTCGAGCATGGACTTGACCATTTTCGCTTCGCCACGGGAGCAGGCAAACATCAAGGGAGACTGTTCTTTAGCCGCATTGATGCCTGTTCTCGCGCCAAGTTCCAGCAAACGATCGACAATTTGCTTGTTCTTACGGTTGACTGCCAGGTGCAGCGGGGTTTCGCCTGAGTTGTTGCTGTCATCGATCGTCGATTTATGTTGGTCCTGCAATGTTTCTATCGAGTCTTCGTCTAGGAACTTGATTGCGAGGTGCCAAATAGATTGTCCTTCATTGTCCTTCTTTCGGAAGACTTTTGAGTGAACCTTGAGAAGCAGTCGCCCAACTGATCTTTGCGCGTCGTTCTTGTCGTCAAGGTAGGAGAAGAGCGATTTCCCCTGGATATCGAGAGTGTATGGGTTGAACTTGAGCTTGTCGTTGCAAATCAGCTCTTTGCAACAATCATATTCGCCCTTCGCGACGGCGAGATGAACTGGATTCCGCTTCCAAGAATCTGTCGGTATTTCGAGTTCCTGCAAATGGCCAGTATTCGTGATGACCTCGATGCACTTTGCGTGACCTCCCTGAACAGCAAGGTGTACTGGAGTCATCCCATCTAATCCTTTCGCTTCTAGGCTTGATCGTGCATCTTGATCCGACAGGCTTGCTAGCAGTCTTCCAAGAAAACTATGGTTTCCTGTCAAGCAAGCCACATGAATTGGGCTTCTGTCAAAATTGTCGAGCCACCAGGTCTGTGGGTGACCCTGCTGAAGAAGAGCTTTGAGACAACCAGGAAGGTGATTGTTGCGCATGATGTGATGCTGGCACTCCTCGACGAGCTTGAACTCCTTGCAAGAAGCAGCGTAATGCAGAGCTGTCCAGCCAAATATGTCTCGCTTCTTCCAGTCTTTCCCTAAGTTCTAGTAAGTACGAAAGCTCTCCGTGGCTCTGTGATACAGTGTCTCATACCTTGAAACAGCCGTAGATCGATAGGGGCTATTTTGGAAACATTGTCATGGAGAGACGTGAACCTGATTTGTTTCATCAACGTTTCCTTCTCGTTTCCAACCCCACGCGGACAAGTCTGCTTTACCTCTTCACATCGACTCTCAAGCTCACAGAAGTAGTCTTTCCGTCCTTGAAGTTTGTAAAACACCGAGAGCTTCTTGATAGCGTCAGGGAAGAACAGAGAGAGATGATCCAACAGCTTTTGCAAATCGCCGGAAGGCTGTCGACTAAGAGACTTGGAGTTCGCACTGGAGTCAATCGACTTGGACTCGGAGACCTTATCATCCTCTCGAGGCAAAGCTCTTCCATACGCCATATTTTCATCATCGAGAGCCATTAGGTAGACATAGTCCAGTGTGTGGACTACTGCAACTAAAGAAAGGTAGTCATCGAAACGGCACATAGGATCTTTTGCCATAAACTTGAGGAGAGCCAAGTAAGCTGGTGCGTCTTTGACCCATGCGCTTTGCCCACGAGGGCTTGGTAGATCAAGCTTGAGTGTTGCATCATTAGGAAGGACGTCTCTGAGACTTAAAACGGGGATGAGGCATAGAAAAATATCATCTAGTGTTCCAAGGCCCTCTTTCTCGGCATGAAGCGCGAACCTGGTCAGTTTCGTATGACTCAGCTTTCGGCCTGTACCAAGTTTGCTCGATTCCAAGTCTAATGGTTTAGGTGGTTGAATGCTGACAGAATCATGAATGTTTATGGAGCCTTGGTCAAGAAAGTCCTTTGGAAGTTGATCCAGATCAACAATAGTCCAGATGAAACTTGTAAACAGGTGCTGTGCAGCAATGGTAACCAAACCTGCTGTAGAGTGTTGCACCAGCAGCTTATGCGTATTCTCAGGCCGGAGTGGTCCCATAAAGCCAATGACCATCTTGATGTCCTCGTGCTCTGGATCGTCACAATGGTATGAAGCCTCGCAGGTTGCGAGAGTACGATCTCCGGAATTAGTTGTATGATCTTGCATTTTCTTGGCCATTGTGATTTCAGTAACAGCTGGATTGCCCACCCACCACTTGATGTCGCGCTCCAATACACCACGTTGGTCACTAGGTCCAAGGATCCTGCAGTAGTCAACTCCCAAGGCCACACCAGCTTTTGATCTTTGCCAGTCAGCCTTCTCTTTGTCCTTTGCTTTTGCCGCTTTGGCTACATCCAGATGAGCCATCCACAGTGACAAGATAGCTTCAACCTCGCCAACTTTGATCTTCCAGCCACTGGAGCCTTTCTTTGTGATTTCCAATGTTACGGCAGATCGCATGTCCTTCGAGTCTTTCATAGGAACTTTCCATTCTATTGAGGTCTTGTCGGGTGCAGCAGGCATGAACTCATCCAGAAATCGCTCGATGGAACGAGCTAATGCCAGAGCTGGCTTGAATGCATCCGTCTCCCATTGGACTAGATCGCCCAATCGCTTTCGAACAAGCATGATCCGCTGAGCCTTGTTCATTTGATCAGACTGTGAAGATGCAGATTCTCCCTTACTAGAGCTCGAGACGCTTGGATTTAGACAATTCCCAATACGGAACGAGTATATGCTCTGCAGCCGATGTTTTGCTGTATCAACTCTCCACGTCCAGTCTTGCTTTGAGGGCTTGAAAGACTGGCCAGGGGGCCGTGAACCTGAGGAGTCGACGAGTTGAGTAGCTAGCAGGTCCAACTCATACCGAGACGGCGCGTGGCAATAGCTTGGATCATCTCCTAGTCTTCGACGGACTAGAGCTCGAATTATGGCCATCACGATGATGGCGCCAAGCTGAGCAACAGCGCAAGGCCATGGTAGTCCCCTCAGGCCAATGAACTGAATGGTGAAGCCTGCACCACCAGCAAGGATCGCAGTCATTGCTAAGAAGTCCGCCTCCAATCTCCTGTCTTCATCAGAATCAACCGGTGTGTTTCCCCTTGGTGGGCTGTTAGCTGTGTTGTCATCAATCTGGTCGATTTCGACTCGGCTAGATGTTTTGTTTTCTTTGTCATTCTTCTCCGAGCGAACATCCTCTTGTCGACTTGAAGTTGAGATGAATTGCTTATCTCGCGAGTAGATCAGATAGGAGTTGAAGTCCTGATCACTAACACGCTGCGTGCGTTGTACCCAAAACAAATCCATGCATGGAGTCGGGTTAGTAGAGGACTTCTGTGTTTCATCAGGTTTCCCTGAGCTTGGTCTCCATTTGAACTCTTTCGTACTCCGTTCAATAGCAACAGAGCATGCAAGCATGCCAATGAAAAGAAGGACGGAGCCACCGATGTAACAGGGAAGCCCCCAAGGTTGAGACTCGTAACCCTGCACACGGTAGGGAATGACACCGGCTATAATGAGCAGAGAAGCTTGCAAAATAACCGCAACGACGGCAGCCAGGTGAAGTTCAATGCTTCTCCTTCTTGCTGATATCTTCTCGGTTGCAATGTTCAGCTGTAGATTAGGGGATTTCAAGGACTCCCAGTACTTGGGAAACCTATCGTTCTTTTGCAATGGATTGGCCCTTTTCATCCCAAAGCTAGATAGGTTCAATCCGTTCTCTGCATGCTCCACATCTGGCCTGCGAGTCTCTGTCGTTTTGAAGGACTTTAACCAGTTTCGAGCCGCTAGGTCAAGTTCATCGCTATAGCCTAGCAACAGGTCAATACTATTATCAAATACATGTCTAATGTCTATACTTTACCTTCCTTGTGCAGTATGCCTTCTTGAGATGCAGACTTTAAGGTATGTATACCGTATGATTGATTCTGCGCACCCCTCTTCTCCTTGAGGAGTTCATCAGGGAAAACGATGAACTGAGCAATTTCGGGCTGCCCCATTGTTCGCACGATGCCCCTTCCATTGAACAACTCACCGACTTCGGCTGAAGTGGAAGACATGTACTCAATCTCCGCAGCTGCTTTGTTTTCGCGAGCACGTCCAATAAATGCTTTGAGGAACTTATGCCCTTGTACTCGGATCGCACCGGCGATGGCCGTCATGATTCCCAACGGAACACACGCGAAAATGACATGGTCGTACCAGGTGAAAGTCTCACTGAGGAATTGCCGAGCAAATTGTTCACCGAACAATGCGAGGACGCTGGACAGCTGGGTGAGTTCTCATTGTCGAACATTCGGATGAACAATCAAGCAGAATCTTAGGTGTCGGTGACTTACGGACCAAGGTCGGAGAAGACATTCATAAGAAAATCGGTATCATCATCATCGGCAAGTGTCTCTACGACCAATAGGAGCAGGAGAGCAAAAGAAAGACGAAGAGAGATGTTAGTGCGCATCGTGACATGTTTCACGGACACTCTAGTCGCGAAATTGACACGAAAAACGAGAGACGCTAGAGATCAGTGAGGATGGAAATGCGACAATTAAGGCTGACTTGTTCTAAATTATCATTGAGCCGCATTGCAGCACTACCCATGCCAGAAACCCTGTCATAGTATGCAGTTGGCGACTGAGATTTGCTCGATATGAATTTCCTCGCAGGGGCTAAAAAGCAGGCTCCGGTTATAAAGTGCTGTCAGTGGCTGGTTCTCCTGGCTGTCTCCTCTGTTGCTGACGGGCTGCTTATCCTTCAGGGGTTATTATTGGTGAAGATGTTGAGCGTGATGCGTGAATCAATACCCACGAATAACGTGCGTCGAGATGTTGGGCTTTCAGAATAACCGAGGCCGAATTTTCTCTCGCTACCCTGTATATCAACGTTTTCCGATAAGCATGAAGTAGAGAGTGATAAAACGCGAAAGCTATCTTATTATCCCATGGTCACACAACGAAAGATTAGCATAGGGTAGCCTTGCCGGGTGTCGACTGGATCATGAAGGGGATCGGTAGAGCCTTCAACGGCATGCGTCAAATACGGGGTCATAGATTGATAAGAAAAGTCAGTTTAGCGAGATTAGATGGGTGATGTGAAATAAGCTTCTTTTTCGTCAGATTTCGATGTGGGGTTGGTTGCGGCATATTTTTGTCTCGAATTTTTGTTTACTCCAGCCAATCTTGAGCCTGTATCTGACGTGCTGTTTGCGAACACTTATCACGAAAGCACCACGGTATGGCGAACATTACTCTCCAACCAGCGACGCATGATGAGATCCCCACGATCGTGGACTTCATAACAAAGGCCCGAGCGGACATGTTCCCATTTCTCGACCAATCATCCAGCGATCAAATGGCCCAGAAAGAGCTCGACATTTTCAAGGACAGATATCTTGATCATCCTCACGGCGCTTTCTTAACAGCGTATTCGGAAGGTCGTCTGATAGCGACGATTGGATATGTTGCTTATGATGACCGTTTCTCACATATCACTCTCGAGCCTGAAAATGTTGTCGAGATACTGAGATTATACGTTGAGCCTGAATGGCGTCGCGCAGGAGTAGCTTCCAAATTGTTGGACACGCTAGTCGAGACCGCCCGGCAATCTGGCATCAAGCAACTCTATCTCCATACGCATCCGTTCTTACCGAACGCGATCAATTTCTGGAAACGAAAAGGGTTCTCGATCATTACGGTGGATGAGGATCCAGTATGGCAAACGACGCATATGAAACGGTCGTTCCAGGACTGAATCCACGGTAATAATATATCTTACGCGCATTCTATCCTGGATGATGCTGACCGCGTATCTTTGTTACCAGGTTCTCGAGTCATACTTGGAGATCAAGGGATCGCCTAGTGGGGTTGAGTTCATGACCTGCATATGTAGGGAGAGCAAGTTCACCCACGATTGGGGCCGAGTCGAGATGTACCGAAGAGACTTCTCCAAACTTCTTTGACCAATTAGACACCAGCGCGAGCGAAAATAATCGGATATTGTTCAATGCTTTGGCTTGTCACAGAAAAGTTCGACAAATGAGGATCGTAGGGTATATGTATTCGTGTCTAACGTGAAACGTCGATATTCTTCCGACTCATATTAATTACAACAGATCATGTCTCGTTCTTGAATCCTTCCCAGTGCCATATCGCGGGGCACTTAGTATCGGGTACCACCGTAGCCCTGCTGGCCGTATCCGCCTTGACCTCCGTATCCCTGGCCTCCGTAGCTTTGACCTCCGCCGTAGCCCTGATCTCGGCCACCATATCCACCTCCACCATATGAGCCAGAGCCTCCATGAGAACCGTCTCCATGTCCATGTCGAGAAGAGTTGTCATACTGAGACTTTCCATAGGCTAGGTCATCGTCCTTTCGTCGACGTCGCTCATCACCAGAGTCGGAGTCACTGCTGCTAGTCGAATCGCCGGTGAAAGCTCGAGGGCGTCCGTCGCGGTGATGCTTCCTGTTCTTCTCCTTCTTGTGTTTCTTGAACTTGTGCTCGAGGAAGTTTGCGCCAATGGCACCAGCAGCGGCACTGGCTAGACTGCCGAGAAGGCCGCTTCCAGCTGTGTGAGCGGCCCAGCCGGCTGCACCGCCTCCTGCAAGTGTAGCACCTAGTCCGCGCTCTCCATCCGGACCTCCCGGGCCACCCGGACCGCCGGGACCACCTGCGCCGTCGGGGTATTGGTTGGGTCCGCCGCCGTATTGTCCGCCTTGGTGTTGGCCGTAGGATTGATCACGGTTGTCGTAGCTGGGCTGGTTGGAGCCGTAGTTGGATCCTTGAGAGTATTGTTGCTATTGAAGCTCTGTCAGTGATTGTAGCTGGAGCTCGAAGTTTGGCAGATAGCTCACCTGCTGAGGATAACCCTGTTGTTGTTGGCCATAGCCTTGTTGTTGTCCGTAGCCACCACCTTGCTGTTGCTGCTGGCCGTAGCCACCTCCACCACCGCTGTAGTAATCTTGAGCTGACATGTTGTTTGTGTTGTTTATGTGTATTCGTAAAGTTGTACTGTAATTCTAGCTCTGGGAATGATGTAAAGTGAGGGGTCAAGCTCTACTTAAGTAGACACTGTCGTCATCAAGCCATTCAGCTCCAACAAGGTTTATTGATCTTGGCTGATGTGATCTCACTCTGGGCAAAGGTGGCGCAGTTCCCCGAACCAACATGTTTGCGGCGCGGGTGTCGGCACTCCGGTCACTTGGCAGCCGGATGCATCGGCATACTGTGGCTCGGCGTTCGGACATGCACCAAGTGACCCCGGAGCTGAGCCACCTCGCATCGGAATCGCCGAATCATGTTTGTCATGATGAGCATATGTCTGTGGCTGGTGATCTACTTGGCATTACCTGCAGGACGCGTAAGACGACCCTCTAGGCCAAGACTCCAAAATCCACTCTTTGCTTAGTGTTCAGCGCCGAGGTTTACCTTTATCAGAAGACGAGACTATAAATAACATAATGTCTCAGTGTAGACATCCAAACTGATAAGATCATCTGATATGGTGTTCACGTGCTGCGACTGAGCATCCAAGTGAAGCGATCACGAAACCTCGAGAATCCCGTGACCCCACCATATAATGTCGCCATCGAATACGAGGTGCCACATCAAGAATCATGCATGATTTTGTTCTTTCTGAACTCGGTGGAATGGTATGGTTCGAAAGCGAAGATATTGGAAGAGTAATGCTAGTCTGATGGACAAGCATCGCATAACGATGATGCAGCCAAAGTTCATTTCTCCTCTGGTTGCAGGACTTTTCCATTCGCTATGGTCATGATGATGGTCGGCTTTCTTCCTTCGACAGCATCGCCCACTTCTCGATCAAGGTTCCCAAATTCCATATCGAGCATTCTTGCTCGTCTCCATCAGAGGCGAGGACTTCCTTGACCTCTTCTCGTGGAGGCAAGGCAAAGCTGATTGGCAAGTCCTTTTCAACTGTTTCTTGTGTCCATCCATCGAGATACTGCCGTGCAGGTTCCGGGATAGACTTGTCCATGGCCCAAACGAAGGCCTGAATCGCTTGTAGGAGTACGCCACTAAGTCTAAGGCTGCTAGAAGACAACTGCGCCATCCGACTATTTCTTGTAAAGAGATCTTGTGCCGCGGTGTCATCGATTATGGGGACCAGTGTTTCCATCGATATGTACAGTTGATGTGCTAACATCAGGTTGGCAGGCCATTTCTTGATAAATGACCCAATGATCTCGGTATCATGGCGACAGTGTTGGATGCAGAGGTCCTTAACTGTCGAGTTGTACGGGACACCAAATGGTGTCTCGACAGGCATATCCCGAAAGAGAGTATATAGTATTAGGTTCTCGTCCATTCTATAGTCTTGTTAGTGAATGAACTTCCAGCTAACTGGATTCTTACTTTAAGAAACATGTAACCGGTGTTAAATTCTGCTCCATGACCAACTGGTGAGGCATATCATGTCTAAGCTGTATGAGGCGAGAATAGAATAGCCTTCTAGTATGAATATCCTCCTCACTTCCCCGTCTGACATTGGAGGTCGTGAGATACTGCATGATCTCGTAGAGAAGTTTGGAAAGAGAGCATGCAGCTGCCAATACTCCAGGTGGCCGAGGAACAAGATCAGAGGAATCATTCCATGGCCTGTCAAGAACATCCAAATTTCCTTTGTAGGTGAATGTAAGAATAGACAAAAAAGGCTTAGGAACATGAGGCGGGGGAATAGTAGAGGGCTTGTTGTAGAAATAAGCTGCCCGGCTAAACGCTCCCAGTCAATACAGCCTCTTATGATTGGATTAGCTCGCTCCCACCTCTCTAGTAAGAATATCCCCCAAAGCGTCTTGGATATAAGCATCATGTCATGAGTCTGAGGGGGAACGTTGTTCTTTGCTACCTTATACCTTGCTTCTAAGCGAAGTTGCTTAAGCATTTCATAGGCTGTAAGGCGGTAGACCAGACCAGCTCTGTCTTTCCCCGTGGCTGTCATGGTGAGGTACATCAGGAGTAATCCTTGAACAGTTGGTATCGATGGTCGACCCTGTTCGTTCTCAAAATGACTCTTCACCTCGGCTAAGAAACGTTCTGAGAGGTTTTGGCCTGTCATCACACCGAATTGTTTTGCTCGTTCAGCCATCAGCTACAGTTGCTTAGTATTGGTTCGAGAAAGTCAGCTTGCTGCTTACACATCTTTTGGCGCAAATGGCATTCACCAGCAAAGGGGAACACCATTCCGCTTCCGTACTATCGCTTGCTCTCATCTCATCCACAAAGGTGACCCTATCAAGCACAGGAAACATATATGAGTTATCCCAAGTAAAAAAGTCCGTTATTAGCTCTGACACAATTCCATCGCCGGCAACTGTTGTCCACGGCTTGGCAGGGACTTGTATAATGCTCGATTCAAATGCTTTATGGTCGAAATATGACAGTCCAGGATCATAATCCCATGTACTCGTTGAAGGTCTCGGGAGAAGAACTTCGGCTTGTCTTACGGACTCGAGAACGGTGAGGGGCTGATCCGAACTTCTCAGTCGGTTAAAGATTTCCTGGGCCTCACGCTCGGGTTTCTTATGTATAGCGTCAAATAACTCTCGATATTGCTGGTTTTCGACTAGCAAAATGTCATACTTTTTCTGCACGGCGACAGGAACCGCTGGGGGTTCGTACGAGCATGCTTCGGCTCTGGAGGAGCAACGGCTACAGGTTGGTCTTCTACCATCACACTACAGAAACCCCGTCAGCATTACCTATAACTCATTGAATAAAGGGAGCATTCATACCTTTGCTTTCTTTCGGCGGCATCCTTCACAGGCCACGGCAACCAAAACCCTCTTTCTTAGTCTGTGCGGTGGTGACGAGGGCCCAGGAGAGTGGACTTCCCCGTAGATGTATCCTGAGGTCTGCTGAGCGGGTAGGATCGGGACCAGTCTCCTGGTTTCCTGGGGATCCATTGCCAAAGACCCTTTCAGCTGGAGCGAATGATCAGATAATCTGGATGGGACATAGTGAGACACATAGGGGTGAATAGGTAGGTAGGTATTCTTCTGATAGAGAACAGAGGCAACTTTTGAGTTTGGTGGGCAGAGAAGGATTCAGCCCTGAACGCTAGAAGAGAGTAATGAGCCCACTGCGTCGGTATTAAAGTCCATAATGGTGATGTCTGTGGATTGTTTTCACTACCGTGCCAATCAAACCCGATGGAGCTCTCCCGGTAATTGTATTGGATAGAAGCAGGTTTGACAGCTAATCAAACGTCATTCTGACGTCAGATTGCAGGGTGAAAAAAAGAATCATGCATTTTTCGGTCTGTTTCTATCGTGTCTGCCACCAAGTGAGCATTCAGCTTTTATTCACCATTTGCTTTTAGTGCCACTAATCATAAATTAGAAATGAGACTATTAGATCTCAATAATCCTCCATTTTTGTGGTTTGTACTGTGAGGCATACTAAATACTTAGTGTTTGTGCTCCTCGTCCACTTAAGAATGTCACTATCATCAGTGAGCCATAGACACTCCGCCCTTTTTACATCATGAGCCCCCTGATCTACAGATATCGCATGGAATTAATCTGGCGATGGCATGAATTGACCCTCCAGATGACCTAGTTTCTTTATCATGTTCATCACGCGAGCACGTCCCGCCCTGGCTTAGTTGTCAGGCCACGTAACAAGCCAACGCAGCTGCCGAATCAGTACAGCGCATTCAGTGAGTGGAATAGTCGATGGCGTCACTCAAGGCGGGCGCATATGAGCTTTTTTCGAGTCTTCGAGAATCTTAGACTGAGCCCTCACCAATGCCATCGCCTCCACTGTCGACCTGCAAATCACTTAAGGAAGATAAGTTTCGGACTTGACAAGTTTGGCTACCTATTTGACACCTGAAGCGTGTCCAGTGAGGTGAGCAGCAGGACAAACGCTGGGTGTTTCAGATTCTGAGGGGCAACACATATAATACTCGAAAGGCTTCGAAATTAGTGCGCGTCATCAACAATTTTGACAGTATCCCCGGTGTGACAGCCATGGAATATCACAATTCCCGCTCCCTTTAATGTTATTCTACGCTAATAACCTCCTGTCAAGGATGGAGCGGCTGGATAGATCGATATTTTGGTTGTCATCGACACGAAGACAGTCGTTCGCCTGAGGCATCAGTCTTTCCAAGGTTGGCAGGTCAACTTTCACACCGCCAGGAATCGCGTTAACATATTTCCCAAGGAAATTCCTTTGTATCGTATAAGCTGTGTGACCTCGTATAACGACACCTGTTCGCACGCGCTGATGCGTAGCGCAGCAAGTTCTCTTTACCAACAGACCCCTTGTTATCTTGGCGGAGAGAAGTAAACAGGGAAGAACTGTCATTGGGTTTCAGAAAGGTTGGTCACAAGGCTGTAGGTAGGGTATTAGAGTTTCGAGCGATGTATCGTACAACGGTTTCAGAAACAACTTTGCTTTTCAACAGGCTGAGATCAGCATGACTTCAACCAGATGCATTCATGTTGATCTTGTCAGTTTTAGTTTTGAACCATGAGGTAACATTCGACAAACTGGGCTAGACTACGTAAACAGTTGTCGACAAGGATAAACAATGACTCAGCACGCTAATCGGAGAAATTAGGGGCTATCCCGCCATGTTTCAGCCCACGAAGAGTATCTTCCAATTAATTGACGATTTTGAGGTTGCAAACGCCTCTTGTGATATCAGATCACCCGTCGAAAAGGGAGTCTCCGACGCGTAATGAAATTTTGACTTTGGCACATTCCTGGGTATTAACGAACGGCGTTAAAATGGCTGTTAAGCTTTTGTTGGTTTCACTTGGGCTAACTGTGATTTTTGTGGCTCTCATCCTCTATCTTCGGCGCATCAACCGTCTCTTGAAGGAGACGCCCCATCAGGTCGGACAACTAAGAGGCAAACCTTGGACCCCAGAACTACTGAGACAAACCTACGAAGCTCTCGAAACATCACCAATCAACTTCGATGGGCGTTTACCTCCCAAACTTAACAGACGATACATCGTCACCGGAGGGAACGGTAAGTGTTCTCACCAAGTAGTCAAGTTTTGGTCGGTGCTGATCCATGTGTCAGGGCTCGTGGGTGGATACATAGTTCTCCAGTTGTTGGCGCGTGGAACACCACCCAAGTGCATTCGAATTGTGGATGTTCGAGAGCCCGAGCGAGATGATCTGCGGAAAGGTCTAGCTGCCCAAGTGGACTATGTGCAGACAGATATTACCTCCAAGGCTGCTGTTGGTGATGCTTTCTCTAAGTCGTGGGATCCGAAGATAGAATCTCTGCCGCTCACCGTCTTCCATACGGCTGCTGTCATCATACCCGGAGCCAGGTCCAAGTATCTCTACAAGTTCACCGAAGCTGTCAATATACAAGGGACCAAAAATGTCTTGGCTGCTTCTCGTGCAGTCGGCGCCGATATCTTCAGCTCAACTTCATCAGCCTCGATATCCATTCGACCCGTGGAAGCATTTGTACTACCATGGGCAGAGCCTAAACACTATTGGCAGGTGATGGATACACAAGACTTCGATAAACCATTACGAGAACACGAGGAATACTTTGCAAACTACGCTGTTTCAAAGGCCATTGCGGAACGACTCGTGTGTGCTGAGAATGAACCGTCTTTTCGCACAGGATGTATTCGACCTGGGAACGGTATTTACGGACATCCCTCGGATAACCCCATCGGAAGTCTTCTGGCTAGAGATGTCAATCAAACGTAGGTTTCGCCTAAAATCATCTCCGGTCATTTCTAATGCTCGTATAGCTGGGTCCCGCACATAGTACAGAATTTCGTTCATGGCGCCAACGTGGCTGTCGCGCATCTATATCACGAAGCTGCGCTCACCAAAGAACATTGCACCCACGCTGGCAAGCCGTTCGTGGTCACTGATGTTGGTCCACCAATCACTTTTGGAGACGTTTATACTGCCGTGGAAATCTTATCTGTTCATCCCTTTCGAAATGTTATCGTGCCGCCTTTGGTCATTCTTTTTATGACGCATATGGTCGAATGGTATATCCTACTCCCCTATGGCCTCCCATTCCTTAAAGGACTACTCCCAGAGATCAAAGGTGATCTTAGGACAGTTCAGCCTGGGCTAATCACCATTTGCACACATTTGATAGCATCTGATGCTGAGGCAAGAAAGCCCATCTCTGAGGGTGGCCTCGGGTACAAAGGACTTCTTACAACACTAGAAGGGGTTGTCTCGGTTATCATGGATTGGAACCGAGAACATGCTGGTGAGCAGACAAGAGAAGGAAAGAAAGTTTACCAAGGTTCGTTACGACTGGCCGAGATGTTGGAAGAAGCTGGATCATCTATTCCTCTTTAGGACGACTCTCTTCGAGGAGAGCGAGCCGTTCTAGTATGGTCTCAGCTTGTTACATATAATTTCAAGCTTTATAGAGCAATAGTATTAGCAAGCCCTCGTATCTCGCTTAGAGTCTGAAGCTTGTACAAGTTGCAATAGTTGTATATAAGTCATGGAAGTTAAAAGTCGTCAAACTTGCAGCTCCATTCCTCTTGATTACCTCATCTGCCAACACTTGCTTCCCATTCTTCTGCTCCATCAGTACTTGAAGCGAGGCTGATCAGTACCAGCAGCCCGTCTGTTTCTCCAGACATAGTACCCATGCATAGCGATGCAGCCAACGCTCACGAACAACAGCAGGCCAGCATTTACCCAGTGTCCAGTTGGATAGCCCTTCTTGGCTTCGTTTGCCTTGTAGATCCAAACACCAACGATTTGGCCAGGAGCTCCCATGGAGATGTTGAGCGCAATGGCCAAGCCGATGGCAGCCGTGGAGTGCAGGTTGGATGATAGCCAGCCTAGAAGAGGGGGGATGCAGGCAAAAGAACCGCATGCAGCCACAATGAGACAGCCATAACGAGGCTATAAATTTAGCGATCGCATAGGATCAGAGTTTCAGACAAACTTACACTATAAGAATCGGCGGGAAGAGTTGCAGAGGCAATGAAACCAACGGCGCCTATCAAGGAGAATACAGCCGAGTGAAGAGCGCGGCTGAAAATAAGTAAGCAAATGTCCACGGCAGTGAGATTAGTTCATTACTCACGCATTGTGTCGGTCTGCTGACCATGAAACAAGCAGTGTGACAACGTACGCAGCTGCGTAGGGAGGCACAGTCATCAACTGAGCTCTAAGATCCGCAAACTACATGCTGTCAGTCAATGCCAAGTGTCCAATGGTCTTGCGACATACCCCGAGGCCGGCCGTGATTGAAGGTGTGAAGAGTGACAAACTCGAGAATGGGGCTGAAATACCGAAGTAGATCTTGACGCGGTTAGCAGAAGAGCTTTGCTGTCAGAGGAGAACAATACTTACCAGGTAATGGCACCAGAGCCGCCATTCCAGCAATGTTGACTTAGCATCCTCCCACGTCATGGACTTGCTGTCACCATGTGATCCCTGCTCAGAAAGTCTATATGCTGCGATGTCCTTTTCTTCCGCCGAGAGCCAGCTGGCTGACTCGGGGAAATCTGGGAGCCCGAACCAGACGAAAGCTGAAGAAATCACGGAGGGAATACCCTCAAGGATGAAGAGCCATCGCCAACCGGAAAGTCCATGTACCTGGTTCATATGCCCAACTCCATAAGCGATGGCGCCGCCAAAAGCTCCGGCCAGAGTAGCAGATGCCAAGATAGTAGCCACTCGAACGGAACGCTCCTCAGGCTTGTACCAGAAAGTGAGATAGTACACCAGACCAGGAAACAGGCCGGCCTCAAAGACACCCAGAAGAAATCGCAGAACTGTGACAACAGCATAACTATGAGCAGCACCGAGACAAATGGTGATCGTACCCCATGCAAACATGAGGAACGCAATCCATCTGCTCGGCTTCATCTTCTTGAGGAAGTAGTTGGACGGAACCTCGAAGAGAGCATACGCAATGAGGAAGACCATGAGTGCAATGGTAAAGTCATAGTTGGTCATGTTGGTTTCTGTGAGAAGATCATGACCGGTCGTATGGTTGAGAACCTTGGCGTTGCCAATGTTGGATCGATCTAGATAGCAGAGCAAGTAGATACCTGCAGCCAAGGGAATGATGCGAACATCTTGTTTGCGCACCAGCTTTTTCTCAAGAGCTGGATCAATTGCCGTGGTGCTCTCCAGCCGAGAATCGGAGTTCTGCTAGGGCGTCAGTTGGGGACCTCGTTGGAGAAGGCGGGAGGGATACCTTTTCATCACTAGCCATCTCGGGATTGCTATCAAAGTCGTTTCGCGCCGCCATCTTCATGGAGTCACCTCAAGCTCGAGGATATCTCTTGGCAAAAGTCAGTGAAAACTCTGGCAAAGGAGGAGAAGGGCCAAGAAATAGAAAAATTAAGCGAGGCGAAGGACCGTTGCATCTCATCTCGCGGTGTCCAGCCGGAGGTAAATATCCCCGCATAAATCAAGCCCACATGGTTCCAATTCCATACAAGATCTGCATCGTATTCGCGGGGTTGAGCATCTCGGTTTCGGTGGCCGACACCGAACCCCATGTTTAACGGCGCCGAAAGGTCTGAGCTTTGTACGGATAACCGGCAAAGAATAGATGAATTAACTTGAAAATATGGTCTGGGGAGAAGCTTAGATCGTGTAATGCTTAAGGCTAAATATTGGTTATCCAATCGGTGCGGAGTAGCTTCAGCCCTCCCCAATGCCAAGAGTAGCCACTGATACTCCCGTTGATTACCCCTATTGCCAAGCCCCGGCGTTTTCAGACTCAAGCATGGCCTAGATCAATTTGATACATGTCTCTGTCTCTGCTCTTGTCCATGTTTGCCTTGTTTTCGGACTGCCTCACAGGTGCAGGCAGAAAGGCTAGGCCGTCGTACTCGGGTCCGTTGGTGGATACGCCGGGGGTTTCAAATCTGAACTGTGCCTTTAGTCTGTTGTTCTCTTGTTGAGATATCTTTTGGTTGCCATTGTTCAGCATGTTGCTAGAAAGTGAGCTTCGGTTGCCCATCGCACATAAACACCGGAGCCAATCACTCACATAGTGTCGTAAACAGCTTGGAAGACTAACAGGATTTAGTAGCGCTCTATCTATCAGTGATAGGATAAGCCGACACCTGAATCACCAGGCTCACAAGAGACCTACAGAGATGTTTTGCGATTGTGCTGTTACCATTATGGGTATCCAATACTCTATCGTAAGACGATGCGTACTCCTCATCGCGTTGGATATTAGTTTTACACCCTGAACCTTCAGAAATGCCCTGCTTCTGTTTCCATATAGGTAGGTATACGCGATACACATTAACTCTTAGGTTTATCGATAGAAAACGTAGTAATCATGTTGGATCTGGGCTGAAAGGACTTATGTATTGACGACGAGAAGTCGAGATGGAGGTGGCAGACGCGGCGTTGCCGTTGAAGCTTCGTATGGTAATACATACCATAAAATGCATTGAGCGGGATGATATGGTCGAAATACTTGCATTTGACCAATTCAATGACTCAGAGGGTTCAAAAGATGGCATGTTTGCTCGTTCTGATGCACCGTGCAACGTATCATTTCAACAATGATGGATTACTGTATTATGCTGATGCGGCCCCATCAACATCTATGAAAGGGATTAAAAACACGAGAAAAGTTGCTAGAATATCTCAGTACCTTCTTGGAATGTGATTCCAACAATTATAAATCTTCAAGCCGTCTGCGACATTTTCTTTCCCCCAAACTCCGCCGGGCGACTATCTTTCCATATAACGAACCAATAGCCGTCAAATGCACATACAGCTTGTAGCAAGCAATATATACGAAGTATTATGTGCTTTCTTGCTTCATCAGCAACTGCGACACTGTAGCGTGGGTATCTGAAAAGGGCCAATAACGTGGTGCGTAGGTTGACTGACGCGATCGGAGGGAACGATTAGCACATATATTTGGTCACATGGATCAGCATAACCCCGAATCATGGGAATAATGGTATATCTTCCATCACCAAAACTATACAAGCGAAACTCATAGAACACTTGCAATTAATTTATACTTTGTCGCCTTATACTACGCCATGGCGACACTGAGAAGTCCAGGCTCACAAGGCTACGTGCCCCTGGCCGACGCTTCACCCGAGAGCACCGAGGATCATGTAGTTTTTGAGCCAGTCAAAACATGGAAGGGATACATATGGGATACCTGGGAGCTACCTCAGGATCAGAGGCGTTTATTGTTCAAGGTCGATGCTTTCATCCTGACCTTTGCATCAATAGGTTATTTCCTCAAGAACATCGATCAGACCAACATCAATAACGCTTTCTTAAGCGGCATGGAGGAGGACCTCGAGATGTTTGGAAATCAGCTTGTGACTAGTGAGTGCACACGTGGCTCTTCTTATTGATATCAATTTTCACACTAAAACCAAGGTACTTCGATTTGGACATTTGGCTATGTCATCGGACAGATCCCATCAAATCTACTGCTGACCCGAGTTTCTCCACGGTGGGTTATTCCATCGCTTGAAGTAGGATGGGGTATAGCAACCATCTGTACATCAGCAGTTCAATCATACAGAAGTCTCTACGTACTACGGTTCTTTGTTGGCTTCTTCGAGTATGCAATGTCCCCTCTCCAGACTTTACAGTTTCTCAGCCGCCAAATTTACGACTGACATTACTACTAGATCGGGTTTCTATCCCGGAATTCATTATATGCTCGGTTCCTGGTATACGCCGAGAGAGATTGGGAAGCGAGCCATGCTATTCTGGCTGGCTGGCTCGGTTGGATCTATGTTCAGTGGCTTTCTTCAAGGGGCTGCGTATACAAATCTAAATGGCGTTCACGGACGTGCAGGCTGTAAGTACTGGGTTTCGAAGGTCTCGACCCCTCGTTATGCGAGAACCTTGACCTTGTGATCTGGGTATATCTGACGCTAACCATTGTTCTAGGGCGTTGGCTGTTCATCATCGATGGCCTCATCACCATCCCACTGGCAATCGCCGGTTATTTCTTCTTTCCAAATCTACCACAAGATGGGAAGCGAACTTGGTGGACAACTGAAGAAGAACACATTCTGTCGGTCAAAAGAATGCAGGCAATTGGGCGCGCAGGCAAGCAGCCTTGGACCAAGGACAGGGTAAAGAAGGTTTTGTCCAGTTGGCACACTTACCATCTTCGTACGTCGTGCCTCAGATATATCCTGAGCCTCACAGCTGACCAACAGCGTTGCTGTACATTCTTTGGAACAATGGTAACCCGCAGGCCGCTATGGGTTACTGGCTGAAGAGCTTCAATGACCAGCCTCCCCCGGTTCCCGGGACCTCGTTTACTGTTCCTGAGATCAACAACTGTAAGTCACTCCCTTAGCTATGCCACTTCCATGATTTTTGGTGATTTTTATCTAATTCTTGCGTTATCAGTACCTATTCCTAGCACAGCGATCTTCCTTGTCATGGCACTTTCTTGGGGCTGGCTTTCAGATGGGCCTCTACAGGGAGCTCGCTGGCCGTTTATATATGCCGGAGCCATCCTTATCGTAAGTCGTTACCCTGAACAGAAAGCCTGGGTGAGTATTCTAATACCCGGGTCCCAAACAGATCATCTTCAACATCCTTCTCTTGAACATGCCACTCTACTCCAATGTCGATGGAAGAAAGGTTGTCTACTGGCTCAGTAACATTGGTGTACGTTCCCATTCTTCTGAATAGGTTTTATCTGACCCAGATTTAGCATGGTGCTGGGCCTCTGATCCTCAGTTGGATCAACGAGATTTGTTCTGCCGATACAGAAAAGCGAGCCCTGATTGTGGCCATAGCCAATGACTTGGCTTATGTTGTACAGGCTATTGTGAGTTATTTGCTTGCCTCCGTCTTACTTTGACTGATCCCTCAGGTGCCCATTTTCATGTGGAAAACGACGGATTTTCCGGCTGCGAGGAAGGGATACACGTACTCAACCATTTTACAAGTACTGCTGAGTAGGTACCCCCTCCTCTCCATATCTTCATGAATACTGACGAACGCGTTTAGTTCTGGAGACTGGTTTTATTCAAGTTTTGTTGTGGCGTGATAGGCGAAAACCTGTAAGGTCTCGTGGTGTCGAGTCGCCGCCTCCACTCATATACTCAGATGAAGAAGAGGGCGAAGAGGCCAATAAGCCAGGAGAGCCACATTATTCTCATACTGATTAGACATTGATAGACTACACTACATTGTAGAAGATATAGATGAAGCTTCACGCGGGTTAGTGGACATTGAAGGGTACAACATATAGTTTCTAAATCCAAGAACGTTGCATGTCTAACTCCATTCTTTCTCCGATATCCCTACGCCTGGCTATAAATACTATCTATCCAACAATCTCATTACGCAACGGGGCTTCTAGCGGGAAGCGGCGGTGGGGGACCAAGGGGCGGTGTAATGAAGCTATCGACCGTAGTATACGGCGACTGTGACGATCCATCATACGGCGACCGAAAGTCATCCTCCAGTCGAACATCCTCGTAGATGCTTGACTTGTCGTCATCAAGCTTCTCCGGATGGCTCAAACTCTTATTCTCCGGTGTAGTACTCGTGATAGGTGTAACCAAGACAGGTTCAGTCTGCGTACTAGCTTCAGATGTCGTATATGTCCTGCTCGGTGTTGAGACATAGCTGTCTCGGTTGCTCCTCGTTCCAGTTTCTATACTCCTTCTGTAGAACTTTTTATACGTCGGGCTGTTGGGGCTGGGGCTGTACTCGAATGCTTGGCTTGATGGCCTCGAATGAGTTGCAGCATCGCGGATCTCGAGGCCTTCTTTCTCAAGGGCGAGAACACCATACGGGTCGGGATCTTCTGGATCTGGAATGCCGAAGACTGTTCCTTCGCCAGGAGCCTCCACATCGACATCTCCTGGCGCGGGTTGTCCTTCCAACTCTTCCATCAATTGCTGGTCGACATCTTCTCGACCCTCGGCTGCCTTCAACGTCTCCATCAGCATCTTAATCTCCGGCGGACGACTTGTTTTGCCAGCTAGAATGTCCGCCACTTTGACGCCCTCCTGCCCGTAAAAGCGAGCATTCTCATCTGTTCGTTCGATAATGACTGTTCCATCAACTTGAACACCGGCATAAAACCCTCTTGACTTCAAGTAAGTGAAGACGGGTCTATTGGCTTGTTTCCATTTGCCATCGTTCTCAAGCACTCCGCCTGCTCCGACAGGTCCAGCAACAGCACTGATCTCTCCTCCGAGAGTCGCTCTGATCTTAGTAAATGCATCCAGGGCTTTTCGGTTGTTGATAACAACAACACAATCGTAGATGTCGACTCCAACTAGGAAGCCAAGACCTGCTGTGTGCAGCAGGATTCCAGATGGAGGAGACCATGAGCCGTCCTCCTCGTTTCGGGCTACGAGGACTCCGGATCCGCCGGCTCCAGATACCCAGAGACCGGTTCGCATGGTAGTAAAGATGGCGAGACCGACAGCATTCTGTATCACCTTTTGTGGGATTTTCTTCAAGACACGTTGCTTCTGCTTGGGTCCAGCCTGTTCAGCATCAGCTGGCTTTTCCTCCTCGGTATAGAAGCCATCCTCTGTCATCTGGTCAGTCTACCTCTCATCTCATTCAACTGCATCTTGGGGGACGACTTACTGCAAAAGGATCTCAAAATTCTGGCGGCCTTATCACTCTCTTTGTCCAGGGTCGTAGGCCAGAATGCCTCACTGCCGATACGGTTTGAAAGTCGATTGATTGGTGCACCCAGCTTGTCAGCCCAACCCCACACTTTGTCAAAACCCTTCTTGCTTGTGGTCTTTGTAGTATCCCATGATGGTAATCTGGCTTTGACTTTCTGCATCTCGAGGAGGTAACTATCGGTATTAAAGACGTAAAACAAAAGAGACGCAATATCACGCACGGGATTATCTGGAGTTTCAGCCGAGTTCCATACTGGCTGTTATTTAAACGCGTAGCCTGGCAGACGTCATCCCGCCCCGTTGACCAACGTTTGGCCCCGAACTTCCGCCTGTTCCGGCGCTTGCCACGAGATCTCACTAACCAGACAAAGTCCTGCGGATTGTCCGGCTCGAGATGACTAACATTTCGTTAGTTTGTCAGAAAAGCCTGCGCGGGCTTTTCGGTCGGGGGCGCCGCAGTGTCTTGCGACACCGTGATACCGAGCTGAGAAGCACTTGTTCGTTCGGTGCTTCTCTGGATGCCTGGAGGCTTGGGGGCGCGTAGGGCTTGCTTCAGTGGAGCAAACGATTAACGACGAATCAATAAGGTGTACTGGCGATAAGCTATATTAAGCAGTGGATAGAAGTACATCTTAACAGATAACAAGATACACTAAGCCTGATCAGGTAATTCTGGCCTCGTCAGGACAGCGCTTAGCATCACTCCGTTGGAATTCTCGAGTTCAATCGAGACTCGCCAACCAGAGACAAAACGTAACTCCAACATTTGCTTGGACTTTTTATGCACAATTGTTTGAGCAGAAATAGTTGAGTAATTAGTCATCTGTACAGCCACAATCACCCCTGCTTAATTATTGAATGCAGAGGCTTAGCCTATATCTCCTTCTTATCTAGGGTAAGCAGTCGCACTGCTTCACCTCTTCCATGGTTTGAGGTCTCCATAGAAGGAAGGCGCGTGAGATATTCATCATCTGAGTGAGGGTCAGCTTATGCGCTGGAAAGGCATCCAAAGCCGAAAAAGGTTTCCCGAAATGCGGGAACTTTTGTTGAAATGCGAAAACCGGAATAGATGGCTTTATTAATAATCCTCGTTGTTCAAATACTCCAGTCTTGTTGCTCTTGATCCTCACCCTCCATCCGAGTGAAATTCGCATCAAATACTGGTCAATTGATATAGTTTGGCTTACTATTTTCAATAGTCAGGTTCTTATCGATCAGAGCCACCAAGGTACCGACTGGACTAAAAGCCCAATACTTACAATATCGTCATGGGTGGCGGCCTGGATCTCTCCAAGCGAGCTCGACTCCGTGAGCTCCTCCCTGAGCTCTACTTGGGCAGATGGCGGCCAGGTCATCTGAACTCCATCACCGATGTCCCAGGCGTCCTCGTTCACACCGAGTCAATCCAACCAGACCAGGATGTGAACACAGGAGTCACCACTGTTCTTCCTCGAGCAGATTGGTTCGACCATTCATGCCATGCAGCCATCTTCAAGTTCAATGGCTCTGGGGAGATGACGGGCTCTCACTGGATTGAGGAGTCGGGCACGTTGACATCACCAATTATTCTGACAACAAACTCATCTATCGGAGATGCCTTTCGAGGCGTGTACGATTATGCGACCAAGTATCACGCGACTAAAGAGGGGGATGTGAACCTATTTGCGTTCCCTGTTGTGACTGAGACATACGATGGATACCTCAACAAGCAAACCCGATTTGCGCTTACGCCAGACCATGTTGTCCGAGGTATTCGCAATGCATCTTCTGATGCGGTACCTGAAGGATGCACTGGAGGCGGCACGGGAATGATATGCCACCGCTTCAAAGGCGGAACAGGATCCAGCAGTCGCATTGTACCAGGCTTGGATAGTGAAGGAAACACGAAGGATTACACTATTGGCGTACTTGTTCAAGCCAACTATGGACTCAAGGAAGACCTTCACATTGGCGGTGTTCCGGTCGGAAGAATCCTGATATCAGAGGCTCAAGCGCCTTCTTCATCAGAAACGCCCGCGATTCACGGACCTCACGTGGACGGCAGTATCATTATCATCATAGCTACGGACATTCCTCTGCTCCCAGTTCAGCTTCAACGGCTTGCCAAACGCGCTACTGTTGGACTGTCACGCGTCGGCGGCTATGGCAGCAATGGATCGGGTGACATCTTCCTGGCTTTCTCTACAGCTGCCAAGATTCCTATGCAACGTCTCGAAGGGGGAGATTTGGACCCCTTTAAACCTACGTCTTTCGAGGTTGGGACAGTGCACAATGAGACAATCAATGGCGCGTTCGAGGCTGTTGCTGACGCGACTGAGGAAGCTATTTGCAATGCTCTGTGTATGGCAACGACTATGACTGGATATAAAGGACGCACTGTCGAAGCATTGGATCTCAACAAGGTCAGAGAGATAGTGACAAAGCGACTGTAAAAGGGCACAAAGGTTGGTGTTTGGTTACTCAGCCAGACGCGAACTAAGAAGCGAGTTCATTCGCGACAAAGACATGGTCGCAGAGACTTTACCCGAGACCTGGCGGATTTGGGAAGAAGCTAGCTTTGTGTAGATGCGCTAAGATCTAGACCAACCAAGAATTTCTGCCTTTGTTCCGCCTGAGCTCGAGATCGGAACACGCGACGCGACGCGTCCGTTTGACGTGCTCCCAGAACGCGCAGTATCTGGTTCGTGACGTCAAATGCCCGAATCAAAGAAGAAACTCATGTCAATCTATTCTGTAAACAAGGGCCCTTCGTGATTTGCTTCATGCTTGTGGTAAAGAAGAGTGCAGCGGCCAGAAAATACATGCGCTATGTGTCTCGACGTATCGCACGATTTTCTAGGACCCATGGTACAACGCAACGACGATGATCCATGATGCCGTATATAATATAACAGAATGTTAAGTATATTGACACTGACAATATTTTACAGACTATCTGGTTGTATGAACAGGTGACGCTTCTGATGGCCGGGGCAGTATGATACATATTTGTGACAAAGGAAACTAGGGAGTGGACCAGTACGACTGTGCCTGGTCCTTAGTAAGAGCTTCAACGTTGATGTTATCAAGCTCGAAATCGGTATCATCACCATCATCATCCTTCCAAGATCGCTCGGGCTCGGGCTTGCGTTCTGGTGTCTTATTACCATTCTGAGACACTCTGTTGTTTGAGCGATTCGAGGGACCAACGCTGTTGACGCCCAGGTAAGTTGACTCCTCGATCTCTTCCAGCTCGCGATGTTCCATGGCGCGAGATGATCTAGCAGTCTTGGCTTCATCAAAGGTGTAGTCATCAATCCTCGTGGTACGACCGAGTAGCATTCGGAGGGAGGGGAGACAGGCTGTGATGAGACCGATGTTGACGTCAAGGGAGCTCCATAACTCTGCGAAATGATTAGCTCGGAATAGAAATACGTATCGGGGACCTGACTTACCGATCGTGCTAAAGGAGCGGAACGAGCCGTTGTCTCCGAGCTCCACGTTCAGGAATCGGACTAGAGAGATGGCGATGTCGAGAAGACCGACCAATGACACAAAGTACAGACCAAGCTTAGCTCGTTTGGTCAAATCGAGATCATGAATGACAGTGAATGGAAGAATCAAAACTACAGTGTGTTAGTGAAAGCTTTGACCAAGAGAGGTGAGATGCTGCCAACGTACTGAGAAGACTGCCCAGAAAAGACAAAGCCCAAGAGACCTGAAAGACAATACCCTGCCATCGCCAGTCGCATGCAGTCAAGGGTCGAGTGATGACCCTACCAGACGTCAGTGAATGACCCAAAAGTGAGACATCTTTGTAAGACATACCAGTGCCTCTCAATAGGCATACAAGAGAAGAGCTGCATGCACAGAGTCGCGGCATACGCCAGTCCACAGTAAAACACAGTGATCCAGAGTGTCTTGCGACGCCTTCCCATAAAGGCGGGAAAGATCTGGAAGTACATGGATAGTAGAATTGCTTTAGATAGATATGTTGTCGCGTAGAAGGGGATTTCGCTGGCCCAGGACATCTTGACCTGTGTTAGTCACCATCGCCGTCTGTACGATTGCATGTGTCTTACCTTGTAGATGTACTCGACCTTCTCTTCACCCGGATTGTAGTTCTCAAAACCGACACTGATTCGAGGCCTGAGAACATCGAGGTTGTAAAACACCACATCGAATGCCGCACACGATATAGCAGCGCACAGGGCCAAGATCATGAACCAGTCGCTTGTAGCCAACTTATCCCTCTGGATTCTCAGTCGGTAGAAGAACCTAGTAGTGATGATAACAGCCGCGAAAGAGATAAGGCTGAACGTCGCGCCCTGTGAGACATCAGTAACCAACCTTCACTTACATAGACGAAAGCGATGCAAGTGAGACATGGAACGTACCAGCACGGCTGCACCCGTAGGTGGAGGGAAAGCCTTTGTCAGAGTCATTTTCGATAAAGAACGTATCAACTGCACCGAGAATGAGAGACAAGGTGAGACAGAAATATAATGAAATGAAAACAAAGGCACAAAACGGATCCGTCCTTGTCTTATTGTTCCGTAAGGCCATGACACTAAGTTGGATGCGGACAGGGCCCTGGAATGCGGCGGCGCATCTTGTGGCGATTCGCCCTGACTCTAGCCTTGCTTAGCGTCTACGAATGCAAATCATCCGTGATTTGACAATTGCTAGCCAGGGCGCGGAACCCGTGGAGGCTTGGGGTTAGGTTTTGCTAGACGACATGTGCATTCCTTGTCCAGAGGGTCTGATAGATCGGGAGGGCAGATAAGGTTTGACAGCAAAGGGCCCTTGATCGTCTTTGGTATGGTTCCACCTTTGATCTGGGGCTTTTACTTCGTTGTTATAGGCTCTTTGAACTTTGTTGGAAGCTCCGTGGTAGTCTAGTTGCATCACCCGCATCATGCAGGAACCCGATGCAAGGGCGAGAACACAGGCCAAGACTCTATGCTGGGCTTGTTGGACAGAACAGAAGCCAGTATGCTTAGAGTGAGAGCACAGCTTGACAAACAAGCTGGTTAGTTTGCCCAAGTGACTTTGCTGATTTGAGTATTTCAGTACCTGCTTCACAAGACGTTCCGCACGATTCGTGTACGAGTTTTTTCAGGGCGCCGCCATGGCTCTTGGTCACGCAAAGCCACGCGAAGCCGTCTCTGCCTCCAAAAACGTGATGCCCAGTGATTTCCGATTAACAGGTAGTGGTGACGTACTTCTTCACATACCGCATTCCGCTGAAGATCGGCAGTGATCTTCTCACCACTTTAACTAATCCAGGATCACAGAGCTGAACGGAATGCAACTTCGACGTCAATCAACGTTAGCAAGGTAAGTGGCGGCACTGGGGCCGTTGCGAATGCTGGCCACAATGACATAGCTCGTTGATGGCTCCAGGAAGTTTGTGATATCATCGGAAGAGTGATTTCTTCCGCGTCATATTTACATATGCACTGGTCAAGTGATACAAATTCATCAATCTACCAGAGGAGCTCTTCACAGGTAGTTGGTGACATTAGTGGTGTAACTCATGAGCGTATGTTGTATTTTCCATAATCACTACATTGATCTATCCTGAAGCCGATATGAGGCTACCCAGCCAAAAATCTCCCGAGGGAGAATGCAGTTTACTATGTCTGTTCGGCAATAAGAGTGTCGAAAAGTCCCATTCTGACAGTATCCAGCTCCTCAACATCCTTGATCTCTTGGTCAATGTGATCAAGACATTTCTGCTCGCTGTCCCACTTCGGCCTCCAACCTAACTCGATTCCGTTCGCCGGGTCAAGATCACCACTGAGACTGGTCAGCATGTATATCATATGAAGCTGAAGAGAGACTTACTTGGGCATACACATGGGACGAATGAACTTTCGTGGAAACCCGAGATTATCAGCTGCAACGTCGTAGTTTGGCCAGATCTTTGGTGTCGGATCATCGACAAGACCACGAGCGTAGAGCCCTTCGGCAATCTTGTCCATAATCTTCCACCAGCTTGTGCGATGGGCAACTGAGAAGAAATATCTGTCGTTTCCTACAGCGATGGGCTCCTCTTTCAGGATCTTGTTGAGGATGAGAACGTAGAGATCTGTAAGATCGGAGATGTGCACTGTTCCAGGAGTCTTGGTGTTGAGTTAGGCCTGAATTATTTGATAGATATATCTTGAGAGGGTGTTACCGAGTCTTTGTCGAACTTATGGACTGTCTTCAACTTGATGCTTGTTCGAATCAAGGCGGGGATGTTGACCGAGAGCTTTCTGCACTCGCCAGTTCCACGCCCATCTATGCTAACATTAGTATCATATGACAGATTGTTAAAGGGAAAGGATACTTACAAGTGAGTTGGATCGGGATGTTGAAGGTTTCGACACCTTGAGCCTTGCTTTCATCGGCAAGAACAATGTTTGTCTGCATTCCGTCAGCATGAACAGTCACTTGCAATGTTGGGGTCAAGATCAACCTTCCGGACAGGATTGTCAATGCCAAGCTCCCTCTGCCTATCAATCAGGGGATCGGAGTCTTTGACCTTACCGAAAGGCCATCCGCCTTCCTCGGTGAACATGGATGCAACCGAAGACTTTCGAGTTGTTAGAAAGATTTTGGGTATAATTAGAAGGAACTTGCATGAATCAGGTATGTCTTGTTGCCGGTAGCTCGCCGGCGATCTCCAAGACCACTAAGGATGTTCGATAGCATATCTGGAAAAATGGCCCCAGCGGTATGGATGACGATGTCGACTGAGAGAACTGTTAGATACCATGACTTGAATCATATATGAGAAACCTACTCTCATATTTGGCAATTGCATATTCCACAGCAGCCTTGTCTTGAAGGTCAACTAGGAAGGCATGGACTCTGTCGAGCTTGGATATCTTATCGACCTGATCTTGGCTTCGAGCAGCCGCAAAAATATTCACGGCCCTCAGCGTCTCATCGGTACGAGAAAGAATATCAGCGATGACAGAACCACCACTGTTGACAGTTAGCAAGCGAGAGATCAGTTGAGATGGCTCACTTACATGTAGCCAGCGGCTCCAGTGACAAGAACGTTATGAGGCATAATGCTGAAAAGACAATGTGATGTAATAAATCGAAGGTTGATGTGTATTTCTGAACTGTGTCTGACTTCTGAGTACTTGTTATTCCATGAGAAAAGCATAACCATTTATACTGATTGTCTCTCAACCATAAGACACCTGTCTCCATGCCAAGGGAATCCTTCTGACAGCAAGAGGTGGAATTAGTAAATGTGATTGGCTCGGCTGACTCCACAAATAACCAATACCTGGAAATCCGCGCGTTTCCGGGAGGTTTGTCATCGATAGTCCCCTCCCCAATATCATTATGATGGAGACATTGTCAATGACAAACTTCTACCAACCAAAAATAATCGACATGGAATCCCGCGCATCTCCGACGGACAAGAGAGGCTTCGACCGCCCTGCGATCAGTCGCCGCTCGGTATGGCCACCATACACCATTGTCCAACTGCTGTTCATCGACTGACGTGTTAGTGCGATCAATGTCGAGCGAGAAAGGTACCTTTCATCTACCATATGATTGACGTCTTCTAAAGTTTCTTAGATCGGATGTGATAGATCAACGCCTTGTTCCAACTGCGTATCAGCCCGCGTCGACTGCACTCATAGCAGGATCGCGCCCAAGCTAAGCACTGCTAGGCAGAGAGTCTTGGTCTCTGAACAATAGTATTTAGGGTCTTCTGGCTGTAGGCGTTCTACAACTAATCATTTAAAACAGCGAGCGAAAGATTGATGACATCTCTCGCGATGTCAGCAGCATTAAGTCTCTGTTGGCAGGACTCGACCTGAACAGAGTCGCGTCAGCACAAACGTCACAAGAGCAGCATCATTCGGCTCCTATACCTTCAAGTCCAGCCAAAGCAAATCGTCCGGAGACACTTCGACCCCCTGATACCGCTGCTCCGCTTCCTTGCTGGGATTACTCTGCCCATATCATAGGCTTTGTTCAATCCATTATCCAGGACAGTGGCTCAGTGCAAGCAGACTCTGAATGGAGCAGTACCGTTTCTTCGTTGAAAGTTCTTGCCAATGCTTTGAAAAACACTCAGATGACACGGAGTCATCGGCCAAAACCTCATGAGCCACCAGAAAGTATCCCGACGCCCCCGTTGGAAGCTATCGTGGAAATTCTGCGGTGGGCTAGAGGTATGTTGCCGTGTGCTTCTATGTGCGCCTGCTGACAATTTGTAGCTCATTCCAGAGATCATAGGGTCATTTGGATATGTCGGTTCCTTCCGCTCGATGTCTTCCTAGACATATGCAACAAGGTCTATTTCCGCGTCGAAGATCATTCCGAGGCCGAGTTTATCATCGCGAATAGTTTCTTATCATACGTATTCGCCGAGTATGCGGTCATCCACGGAGATAAGAAGTCACAGGAATACTGTCGCTTTTATCGATCCAAAGTTGGCAGCGGCCTTACTAAACTGCCTCTGTTGGCGACGCCATGCATGGAACTCAGCGCCGCGCTAGCTCTTGGGGTATGTTCACAACAACTGTGGTTCCAGGATGAGAACTAACGTCTTTAAGGCAATTTACTTGGTCGAGGAAAGCCGAGCATCACAGTCGTGGACCTTGATCTCGACTGCAATGACACTATGCCAGACGCTGGGCTATCATCAGCTTGACTCGCCTAAAGACAGCCATGAAGTCATACAGTCCGACTTATTCTGGGTCGTTTACGCATATGAAAAGGGTCTTTCATTGAGGTTAGGGCGTTGCTCCGGTGTTCGCGATTCCGAAATATCTTGCCGCCGCCAGGCAAACCAGCATCGATCCATTCGTCTCGCGCGGATACAGGGAAAGGCATATGATCAGCTATACAGTCCCGAGGGCTTGAGCACATCAAGCACCACGCGTTGCGAGGTAGCTAAGAGCCTTGCACAAGAGCTACAGTCAATCATAGATGAGACCCATCACGAAATCGCAGTACGTGCTACCCCCTTCTACCTTGTTTGAGTGACTAACATGGTATGCAGAAAGCTCTGGCGGAGAGTCGAGATATGAATGATGACCCTATGAAAGTCATATACCTCCATTGCGATCTTGTTTGCCAATCAGCTTTGACGGCCATGGTTCTCAGGGTGTTGCCTGGCTCCCAAGGTATGGAGGTCCATGAAAGCTGTCTCACTGTTGCTCGCAACACCTTGGACCTTCATGATCAGTGCATGAAACTTGTCAACGGATGCAAAGATCCTCTGTTGATCCGGAGATACATAAACTGGTAGATATATTATTCTCCAGCCGCTTTTTCTACCTTCAGCTGACTTCTTGACAGGGCTATCTTGCATACACCCTTCTTTCCATTCAGCATCGTCTTCACTCATGCTGTACGATACTCAATTGAGGAGGACTTTGACCGCCTAGATAGATTCGCAGCCTCATTGAAACCAGAGTCGACCAGTGCAGAGCCCGCAACACATCCGCATCGACTATATGAGCTCCTCAGCAAAGCTGCTCGCCTCAGCGCCAAAGCCCGCCCCGAGCTGTCGCAAACGGCCGAATCTCTATCAAGCTCAAACGACTTTACGATGGTTGATCCCGAAGCAGCGAATGTTACAGATGAAATTGGCGCGACTGATGCTGCAATTGGTGCCGAATACGATGGGTCGTTCCATATCGGGGAGTGGTTTCACAGCAATCAGCAATTTATGCGACTCCTGCACGAAGATGTACCGTATTGAACCGGCTCTATTGCCCTTTTTGCAGATGACGTTATACTTGGTAAGACAGGATGCTGCGTAGTAAGCTTAGGTTTTATTGAGTGACGTGTCAAGCTCTTCATATGATCAGAGTAGCTCATGTCAAGGGAAGCAGACTTCGAAGGCACATGTAGCCAGTTTTGACTCCATAAATACTCTTCACATGGTATTCTAGACTAAGGAAATAAGGTGGGGCCTTCAGATGTAATTAAAAACAAGGTTCTCATGCATAAATGTTCTGGAATCACGACAAGACACGCGGTGTAGGTGCGGATCCCATCACATGCAATTTTCAGGTGTTGTTGGCTTCGCAGCCTAAACCTCACCGGGTAAAGACAACAAAATGATATGCCGTGTCACGGGATGAATGGGAATGCTGATGCATCGGGCTGACTTTCTTGCCGATCATTCCGTGTCAGACTAAATTGCATCGTCAGATCAGCTCATAGCTAAACTCTTATCGTCTATCGGCCCACGCGGATGCCGAGGTTCAGAGATATACCTGTCAACAACCCCAACAGAAATTGCACCTTGGGGCAGCATGTTCTTTAATTACGAAAATCTTTCAGCCTCATTTTTGGAGAAATGTACTAGCTCTGTAAAACATTGCATTGGCGCCTGTCAGCATCATGCAGGCCTCGTCGACGAACCAACACAATAATCAGCCTCTTGCTGCTGCTTTTGGTGGCGTAGCATCAACGCCGTATTCTCTCTTCGAGATCAGGCATGTACCGTGATAAAACAGTATTCTTTTGGCTATTATTGACTCGTTATCAGACTTGAACGGGAATTTGTCGTCTTCTGGGGCAGCCGATATGAATCAACAGACCAACTACTCAAAGGAGTCGTAGTCCTTTGCTTACAATCGCCGCTCAAGCTCGAGGAAGTTAGACTTCGTCTCGATGGTACTGTACGCCATGCATGGCTAAATGATCCCGGCGTGGCCCATAACACCAGCATCATGAAGCACAAATGGCCCTCATTGATGGAAACTGGTGGCAAGAGCGTGACTTTACCAGCGGGCAACTACGAATGGCCTTTCGAACTGATGATGGCGGGAGATACTTCCGAGAGCCTCGAGGGTATCCGGGATGCTTCCATCACGTATGGTTTGAGAGCGACTATCAGTAGAGGCAAACTCGCTCGACATATCAGCTGCACCAAGAAACTTCGAATCATTCGTACATTTGCACCGACTGCTTTGGAATTTATGCACAATATGAGTGTTGAACAGACATGGATCAACAAAGTCGACTACTCAGTGTCTATACCCACGAAGGCCGCTGTATTCGGAGGGTCGATCGTTCTGGAAACAAGATTTACACCACTGGTCAAAGGGCTCGAAATCGAAAGGATCGTCACGACTTTGGTAGAGTTTCAGGAGTTCAGCATGCACAGCAGACACTACATCTATACAAGAGAACACAAAAGCAAGCGCGAGATTTCCCAGTGGGACTTTGAGATGTCAAGAGAGCAATATTGGCAGGACACTATAGAGGAAACGGGCCAAGAGGGATGGGTCATGAAAAAGACGCTGCAACTACCGAAGAGACTCAGCGAATGCATTCAAGACATAGATGCACAAGGGATCAGGATCTACCACAAACTCAAGATACACATACCCATTCGAAACCAGGACGGGCATGTGTCTCATGTAAGTCAACCTTTCAACGTACATGCATGCTCAAATGCTGACTTCTAAGCTTGACTTAGGAATTCCTATCAATATCTTCATCTCACCGTCCATCACTCTTGACGACCAAGGCAACTTGATAGACCAAGCCCCTAGTACACAAGGACCACCAAGTGAACTAATAGGCCCACCAGTGTATGGCGAGCATATTCTCGACCAGCTATATGACAGTCTGGAGGACTGGCAGGTCCCTGGTCAAGGCTCCCACCAAGGTGAGGGAGAGGGATCTGGTACCAGCACTCCTCACCGCACAGACTCGAATGAGACCCAGACATACGAGAGCTCCAACACATTTGAACCTTCGCAATCCAGCCAGATTCACGACCCATCGCGCAGCTCATCCGAAACTGTGTCTACCGACTCAGAAGAACTTGCTGAACTTAGCAAAGTCCCGACATATCGCACAGCGCTCCGGACTCCTTTACAACCGCATACTCAGCAAGGCGGTGCTCTACCTCCTGATTATCGAACAGCGGCGGCGGCAGCGAACGATAGTTGAAATTTTATGAACAAAATAACATGCATTCATCTCGCTATACCATCATGGGGAATTGTATCCTCTGGCCTTAAGAGAGGGGCATTGAAAATACCCAATTATACAAGAGACTGTGCTTAGATTGTCTTATTATCTTATATCAAAATCTTCGCTTGGAGAATCTCAAAGAACAATGGTGCAATACGTAGATTCCACGATTCGAGTGACCTTTGGCCTCAGTTGGTGTTGTCGTGTCACTAACTTAGTAATGACAAGGTCCAAGGTTCTGTTCAACCCGGCACAGCTCCGTAGAATCATAATTTATAATTCAGTTTACCGACTTTTCACGTTTCTTATATTTCCTTCAAGAACGACAGTTTTTTGACGTCGAAAGGGAGGCTGGCTAGGAGCAGACATACGTTGAAGCATTGAGCTAAAACCCCTCAAGATCACAGCAATTTGGATCATTCTTTGACAGCTTCGTGCTGGCTAGAGTTATAAATGCCTGGTTAATAAATGAAAATCAGATTGTATGATTAGCCGTGGTGATGCGAAGAATAGTTCTGCCAAACCATTTCTATTTGCGATCTATCTACCTATTCCGTAGTTCCTTGAACTTCACTTCCATTCTTTCCTTCCTCCTTTTTTATATATCTTTTTCTGTCTCTTTTCGTCCTTTTTCCTCTCTGAAACTCAAAAGGGCCTTTCATCTCTAGTCATCCGCTCCCTAGGAACCTCTACAACTCTTCTCTTTCTCATCTCAGTCTTGGGTTTTCAGTCTTTCACTTACTCTCGGTAAGACTTCTCCTGACGCTCAAACTTGGTCATTCGCCCCTTGGCGTTGACTTTATCAAGCTTCTTCTTCTGATTAGCATAGATCTCCTTCAGCAACCGCTTCCCAGCCTCGACTGACGAAATCTTATCATCATCCCCCCCCCTTCTCCTTCTCCTGCTGTTCAATGAACCGCTGAGTGTCCCCATGCCACCTTCGATACAACTCTCGGTATCTCATGCGGAAATTGCCATAATCCTCTGCAGGTGAAGAACCCTCCATTGTGGCAACAGAATCTAGTTCATTGGCCTTGTACAAACCAGGGTCTTGTTCGACAAGCTCACTCAGCTCGTCACGGCACTCGTCACACTCGAAGGGGCTATAACGAGTGCTAGAAGTTTATCCACATTTCCACTTAAGAACCCATCGCTCAGAGCACTTGCGTTGAATGAAGGCACGCTGGCACTTCTGGAAGGTCTTCTCACCAGTAGCCTTAATCGTACTGCAGTCCTGGCACTTGAGTGCACGGTAGACGGTGTGGCACATACTGAGTAGAGGTTTCGGTGTGTACTTGTGAGTTTGGTGGAGTGTCTTGCTAAAGGTTGGAAGTGGCTTTGCTGTCCTGGTTTGGGGGGTATCGAGATGAGAATGGTTGTGAGTGTGTGTTGATGAGGAGAGAGGAAATTAAATCCTGTAGGAAAGGTGAGCTTATTTATAGTTATTTCTCTAATAACACTTACAGCAATCTATTATTCGTTGTTCTGTGAACTATTCGCTAATTTTCTCTGAACCAAGGCAGATGATATGTACGAACACAGCTGCTGTTCTTGGGTCCTTTTAATTCCATTGTTTGTTCTCGTGTTCTCAATCCATGGACCAGAAGGCCATTCCGACAATGCTTGTGCTTTGGGAAAGAGATTGTATCGGGCTGAGAAACGTTTCTTTGGAGGAAACTTGTCATGAAATAAACGAATGCTAATTAACCTATGTATGCCAGCGCACCTTCGTACCTGGTGGACTTATAGTGAACGTAAAATCGTTGTTAAGTAGAAATCTTGAGATTTATCGTGAATTCATGACTTCCAATACAGTCTCAGCAAGCTTGTCGGGCATGCTCAAGAAAGGGCTATGAGAGGAAGGCAAACGATACTTCTGTACCGCAACTCCTTGTTCCTCCACCTTTTGAATCATACCCTCTTGTAAGAAACTCAACAATCCTTGATCTTCCTCGCAGATGATGTATGTCAGCGGGATTAAACGCCATGCCACTTTCTCACAATTGATAGGAGCGTATTGTGCATCCGTCCCATGAGCGACCATGGTCTCATTCGCCCATTGAGCCTTCTCCTCCGGCAGGTCGTGGTAGAAAAGATGGATGGGATCAGTCGGCATGAGAGTCCCGTCAGATTGAGGGACAAGCACGGGCGGTAGCTTTCCACCGAAGAGGCCAGCCAGTGAATCATTTTCCAAAGGAATAAAGGCGGCGATGAAGATCATGTCAGTAACACCCCCTTCGCTTGACTCTGGCGAAACAGCAAAGCTCGCCAGAGCTGCAGAAGCAAGCATGCCTCCCCATGAATGACTAACGACAGTGAGATGCGTGCCTACAACAACCTCTCTAGAGACGACGTCTCTGATGAAGTCGATATCATCTTCAATTGTTTTGTTTGGCGGCACGGCGTTATTGTTTGTTGGAAGGCGCTCGCAGATGACTCTTGTACCATGGCTCTCCAGCTCCTGAATGAGTTCGTAGTAGTGTTCCGGGACGTGCCAGGCCCCTGTGATCAAGAGGACTGCGTTGAGGCCTACCATTGAAAAGATGATTAACTTCTTGGTTCTGTGAGAAGAGTGTAATGCTTTGGATCTATGTAGGGTTTCTGGTTGATAGAAAGAGATTTATGTATAGTTTCGCCACTTATCGACGAAACTAGTTGGTTGACCTTGGTGTCGCCCATCGCTTGATAAGAAAGAAAGTATGGGCGAGACGTTTATTATCTGCATCTAATTGCACGGTCAAACTTCAAAATCACAGTGGACGATGGCGGATCGATAAGTGAGAAAACAAGAAATATTTGAATACAGGGTAATCTATCAAGAATATGCTTTGAACCAAATGATCGAACATTCGCCTACAATACTCCACCAAGTTTGCCTGCTCAAGGAGCGTTGGGGTCGACACGGATCAAGCATGATCCCATTCCAGGGACCTTACCCCAAGTTTCATGGGGCTCCCGGACGTTCTCCAAATCCCAGACCTTCTTGATCGGTACCTGAACCTTGTCATCAATGAGAAGATTCATGACCGCCTGAAGATCTTCCATGAATGTGGCGCGATCGCGGTCAATGTAATAGAATGATGTGCTTCTCTTGGTAAACAAGCAGCCGTTCTTGGCCAGAAGCTTGGCCATTCCGACATACTGCGATCGCGGTTTGGCGTCATCGCCCTGGAGGATGTTCATGTTACCACCGAAACCGACAAGACGCGAGGGCTCGTCCGTGATGAGAATGTCCCATGAATCATTGTAATGCTCAAAGCCAATGGGATCATAGACGACGTGTGCGCCACCGCGCTGCTTCATTTCGCTGACCCAGTTCTTGTTGGTGTAGGTGAAGGGCGTAACCCCAAGTTGGCGAAGAGACTCGTGGTTGCGCTCTGAAGCGGTGCCGTAGACTTCAGCGCCCTCCAGCAGGCACAGGGTCATTATGGCATAGCCAACAGCTCCACTGATGGAATGAATGAAGACGCGCTGGCCTTTGCCGACCAAATTGGTCGCGCGATGAACAAGACCATAGGCAGTGTTCCAATCAAGAAAAGCGGCGACCGCCTGTTGCATATCAACGCGCTCAGGAATAGCGATCAAGTACTTTTCAAGGATATTGATCTTCTGAGCCTCAGCGTCGTACACGCTAAGAGCGCCAACGAGCTGACCAGGGCGAAATCTGGAGGACTTGTCCCCATTAGTGCTGACGCGACCAACGAAGCAGTAGCCAGGCGTCAAAGGTGCCGCCTGTTGCATGGGGTATGTGCCAAGTCGCATTTGGATGTCGGCGCCAGAGAAGCCTGAGTAGATGACATCGACTTGAACCTCGTTCTTTGCTGGAGGGGGAATCTGAGCTGTGACGACGCTCACATTGGAGGGACCGCCATAGGCAGAATAGACGGCTTTGCGGATGGTGTGAGTAGCCATTGTGTTTGTGATAAAAGGCTTGTAGATGGTGTCAATATGGACTGGATGTGTTGAGTGAATGCTTTGTATACTGTTTGAGTGGTGATGGTCTGGATTTGACTGAGGGTTTGTCCATCATTTATTTATATCAAGTTGATCTTCAATTGAAGGCTTCAACATCGCCTTCGCTGTATTCGCAATCATCATCATCAACTTGAGCCTTGAAGCTCATCTCGCTCGATTCTCGGGACCGTTTAGCCAATCAGCACTGTCCGTTCAAGGACCTCGCGTTTCGCTGGCTCTGTCGCGCGAGACTGATCTTCAGCGAGAGTGTCTCCACAAATGCCCCAAAAACGAGTGGACAAAGTTGCTTTGAAGCTTTGTCTAATCTGGAACAGTCAGCAGCGGATGCCTACCGGACCGGAGCAAATGTTAGCCCGTCTCTCAGAAGCCACAGACAACTCTGGCTCGTGTGTCGCCATGACAGTCCAGTCACTGCTAACGTAAAGACTTGGTAGTAACTGCTTTTACATGGCTTGTTCTTGACTATGGAAGGCATAAGCGAATCGGGTCATTAGGCTAGGCTACAGCTGTTGGCTGTTAGTTGTTGTGTATGCCCAATGCGTGGAGTAGGAAAGTCCATGCGCAGGCCATAAGCGATGATGGAGATGATACCAACGGCCCAATAGTCGTGAAAATAATTTCTCATCACTCTTTATCACTCCTCTCACACAATCTTCCCCAATATATAAAATGCATCGCTACTCGGCTCAAGGGATAGGCGATAAACTCGTTTACACGCGCATTTTCGAGGAGTGGGAAGATACAGACTATAAAGATCAAGATGATGATGAAAAACTTGTCATCAACCCAGAAGTCGCTTAATTGATAGCCTGAATTGACGAATTCGAGGATTCTATACCCACCATGGAAGAAGTACAAGCGAGATATCAGGAAATGTTCGGCAAGCACATAGCAGATAACCGTTCTCACAGAAAGGACATCGAGCGTTTCTGGAAAGACAGACTATTCAATGGCACAGCGGTGAGTCCAACGTCTTCAGAAACTTCGCAATATGGCAATTACCTAGATCATCTGCTGATTTGCTTCGTCGAGCTCAGAAGAGAGATGGTGCCCTTAGGTTTCCAGGCTCTGGTCTCCCCTTGAGTTTCGGGATAGACAATAAGAGGCGCCAGCCTTTCCTCCTTGGCTTGCATGCAAAAGATTGGCAATCGCGAACACTGACGAATCGTGAAGTGTGCATGCCCAAATTGGAAGAGGATATCACGAACAAACACGAATGGTGGGAGAAGGTCCTGAATCCTGATATTGTCTCCAAATGGAAGCAAGAAGCCTTACAAATGCCATGGGCAAGTTATCAGCGCAATGGCGAATTTACCAGCAAAATGGAAGACGTGGTAAGTGCCAACAGGTTCGACTGATGATGCTTTATAACTCACTCTGTGCAGTGCTTCAGGGATCTTGCGGCGAAGGCGAAGATTTACGAACAGAAAAATTTAATTCCTGTCATGGAATCTTCCGATTGTGTTGCCAAGTCCGACACGCTTCTCTCCAACGAACTGACACAGAGGCTCAGAGCTGCGACTGCATTACTCGAAGATATTCCGAAAATCAACGAGACTGGCATCCAGGAAGCGACGAGAAAGTTCTAGACCTTGTTCATCCCTCGCTCTGGCCATTGGTGTTTGGCCGATCTCGCATTCTTTCTGACTTGTACATATCGCTCGACAAGTGCCTTGATCATTACGGCTCAGGAGAAGTCATCCCTGGGCCCAATAGACCACATCTCAGAATACCAGATGGCTGGCGATCTTTTACGGAAGATAACGACAAGAGAGCTTTATCACTACGATACCAATGGCCTCCATGCGATGTTGATCTGGCAAGTGGGCGACCACGAATCAAGAGCTACATCAACAATCTCCACCCTGTCCGATATGCAGCCATATATTCTCTCATTGAAGAGCTTATTTACAAATCTCTTCCCGCCTGGGATGTTGTATGCCGCTCAGCTCGCAAGGAGTTCAAGTTCAAGAGATTCGGAACCGTGCATGAGGTCAAGTGGACTTGCAACGTGCCCGCCATCTGCGCCACGGCGCATGGCTGTCATAAGAGTAATAGACCGCTCGCAGAAGACGAGGAATACGAGAGTGCTTCAGAAACTACTTCCGTCTTTGAAGAGGGTGAGCGGCTGAATAGGGAATGGTGGTCGGAAACTCACAAGATTAACTGTCCAGAACCGCTGGAAGATACAACATACCCCCTCGATGCCTCCCGCTTCAGAAGCGAAGGGTTCTTCAACAAGGCCTCCCAAATCCAAGTCATTGTTAAGATGGCAAACATTCATCTGACCCCTGAGAAATCCAAGTATGATGGTGGCTCGTGGCACGTTGAAGGGCAACTCAATGAACATATCTGTGCCACGGCACTGTTCTACTATGAAAGCGAGAATATCACTGAATCACGTCTTTCTTTCCGTACTCAAGCAGATAGGGATAATCTTAGCGATAGGCTTAGTTATTCGCAAGGAGACTACGATGGGATTGAAGCGATCTTTGCGATTCAAGCTAAAGGAGATAAGATGCAGAATCTCGGAGTGTCATGACGCGAGAAGGGCGAGCCTTGTTTTTCCCTAATGTATATCAGCATCGAGTCGAACCTTTTGAGTTGGCTGATAAGACTCGTCCTGGGCATCGCAAGATCGTCGCTTTGTTCCTTGTTGACACAGTCATCCCGATCATCTTGACAGGCAATGTGCCCCCGCAGCAAAAGCATTGGTGGAAGGATGAGCTCAGAGAAACAGAACCTCTCAGTCTTCTTCCCAGTGAGATTAGGGATACAATAGCCGAGCAAGTGGACTTTCCATATGGAATGGATGAAGCAAAACGGATTCGGGAAGATTTGATAGCAGAGCGTAAGGTTGTAAACAGCCACGACTTCAGAAAACGGGCCCAGAGTTGGAACTTCTGCGAGCACTAACTAAGCTAAAAGATAAATCCGCGTTACTCATGATTAGTTTGACCTGCTTCTCATTTAAAATTCCCTACTTGCTTCCAAACAGTGCCAACCCTCCATATCTGTGTTCAGGGACTTCTGACCGCCTGTTAAGAATGGAGGAGAGGGGAGGAGTATCGACGTGATGGCTGGTGTTGAACCAGCTCATATGTATCAATCACACGACATGCAACTCAAGATGTCAGTGGGACTTCCCAAAGGCGGACGCCGTCGAAGTCGATGCTGGCAAGAAACAGCGATCCCTTCGAGTGATCCTCCCAAGCCACCATTTCGCAGCCCCCCTTACTCGTAACCTTCCCCTGTCCATTCCTCCACTTGCCAGCATTGGGCCCATCTTCTGTTCCACCTCTTGAAAACCTCCACTTGACTTCCTCCTTGAGATCGTAAACTTCGATACTCCAGTCACCAAAGGTCCAAACTGCGAGCTTCCCCCCACGATCGAAAAATCTTACTTCCATCGTCCCAACAAAACCTCTCATCATATCGCGAGACTCCTTGTCCACTGGACAGGCATCAGTAGAGAATAGTCTCTTCTGCAGCAACTTCTTCTCGCCCGCGTCAAGGAGAAGTAGTTCACCGCTGTTTTCTCCACCAACGGCGAGCCACGGCTTAGTTGTGTGCCAAGCAAGAGTCCGTCTCCAGTCATCAGAGCGTTTCCCTTTGTAGACCCAGTGCTGTTCTCCATCAGCCATGGAATAGATCCAGACGTTGCTAGGTCCGTCTGTTGCTGCGAAGTAAGTCGAGTCGGAACTAAAGGCGCCTGCCCAATTCTGTCCCTCGGTCTTGAATTTGTACTTCTGCTGCCCCGTAGTGGCATCCCAAATACGGATGGATTCGTCCCATGACACAGAAGCAAAGAGTGATTCATCAGGGTTCCATCCTGTCCACGTGATTGTATCCGTATGGCCCTTCAGAAGCAAGCCCTTGGAAAGGTCATCCGAGGAAACGATCTGGATATCCCATGGATCGTCACCATTCGAACCGGGAGATTCCCCTGGAAAATAGGACATCCACTTTCCTGAAGGACTGAAGATTTGAGACTCATGAGCTGAGTGTAGTCGACCTTCTATGGTCACTTTACTGGCCGCAATATGCTTAGAGACAGTGCGACTGATAGCAGGTTCGATGGTTTCCTCCAGACGGTGGAGTTCGTCTTTGTTCAGATTGATACCGGCATCCGCCAACCTTTCTGCGGCAGCTGAAAGGGCAGCCTGAGAGGCATTTCGTAGGTGATCGTCACTCAGCCTCGGTGCTGATCGTTCTTCTTCGATGTTCCAAAGAATAATCGTGGGTGGCTCAGTTTGCCCCAGATCGTCGTATACCTGCTCTTCACTCGATACCAGCACATCTGAGCGGCCAGGCCGGAACGAAAGGGTCTCGACTTTGTTTGTATGCCCCCTCAGAATCGCAATAGTGTCCCAGCTCTGGGTATCGAGGACATGGATGACATGATCGATTCCAAGAGCGAGATACTTTCCATTGCTGCTTGCGGAACCAACATGAGGCTGTCTTTTGAAAGTAAGCTTCTTGGTCTCATCATCCCATTGCTGTTTGCCGTTCTCGGCGTATGGGAAGGGGTTTCCTTCAGATGTACTGAAGTCTTGCTTCACGGCGTATCGCCAATCCTTTATGAACTGGTCACTTGAGTAGCAAGGCATGGTCAATTTGAGAATAAAACTTGATATTGAAAGAGTCATTAAATATACAGAGTCTTTAGAGGCGAAGCTGACGTCCATATATATGATACGGCATCTCGCGAGGTTGCTGCCTAAAGTCCTATGAGTCACGTGTAAGGAGCTTGTCCTCGGCCAACAGTGACGAAATAGGTGTTTAACTTATTCTATGGGATGGCATTCGTCCGGCTTATGGTTACTAGAATTGGAGGGCATACTTTGGAGGCACGAATTCTTAAACAGTATTGCTTTGGCAGTGGGGAATCAGCGCTATAAAAGCGTGGGTATCTTTGACTGGCTCACGTAAACGACGGATTGCAGTTGATAGGTCTGCATACTCAGTGAGTTAAACCAAATGCGGAAAAGGCGTATCATGGCTACCCATGTTTGATATAGTATATCTATGAAACTTGGCAGACTAAATGTGCTTTCGTTGTTGACTCACGCTATTACCTATGGCTTGAGCTCGCCCTTGACGTCTGTCTCCACCTCTTGAGGAACGAACACTTTGAGCTTTCTTTGAACATTGCAGGATCAGGTACTGCGATTTTCGTGGAGTAATAAGACGATTCGTGCCTTGGTGGACACCGTTCATAGAAACTGGTCTTCCCTTTATACACTACAAGATGCGTGCTAGCTCTACTCACCATTAGAGTCTAAACATCAAAGCGCATAAATTCCCAAAATGTGTTTTTATGTGGAGCAACTGCCCGTCATCAGCTACTGGGAACTTTTGCTTGGCAGGAGCGATGCCAAAGAAAAAAGTGACACAGCTGGCATTGTTAATATCGACCTAGTCTTCGCACGCAACGAGACAATATCACCCAGCACCTTTAATGCCTGTCATCTTCTCTCACAAAAATACCAAGCCTATACTACTATTCAGTCTTTGGATAACAGATATGGAAATACAGCAACATAAGCGAAATCAGTACCAGCGGATCGACGGATATTGCGTGGGCGAGTTACTCTGACGCCGCCTAATACTGTGAGTATCGCACCCGCATAGATCGGCCCAACATTAGGGCACTTGGCTCCTGTAAGCCCATATTCTCTCAGTAAACTGTTTCGAGGATGGTGGGGATATTGATGGTGCACCAAGAGTTGGAATCAGGAGCAACTCGCGTTAAGGTAGGTTCGTTTTCACGAAGGTTCCTCTTCACAGATCGATCGTATTGAGGCTACCAATGATCAGAACTGTTTTACTCCGGCTGTAATCGTCCTCAACATTACATCCACGCTCAAAATACCTTCCAATAATGATTGGTATGAAGATGAACATTGTCAGACCAGTCCATCCCCGGCCATAACTGCACACAACTGCGCAGGAACGATAAGTTCTGCTCCTACTTCGAGTATTTCCTTACCAATGACTTTATCGGCATACAAGTCTACCAGAATCTCCGATAAAGTTGATTTTCCGTCTGAGGGGAGTTGCGTTTGGTAATTATCTACTGTGTCGTGAACTTGGCTGAGACTTGCCTTGGTAACACTGAGCTACCCATTTTGACCTTCCATGCTCGATTCTTGTCCTACATGTATCACGGATGATTGCTGTCTTCTAATGGACACCTGAACCAGACCTGCCAACTGCCTGGGGACAAGTAACACTGAGATGCGCTTGGTGGGTGTGAAGCCCATCGTCATCGAACGGCAACACTGGCTACAGAGGCTTCAGTCAAAAAAAGACCATTCATCAGAAGCCAACACATATATAGATAGCTCATAGGCATGATTCAATGCTGTTGGAGGAAGGACAAAAATGTGAGAATTTACAAAAGGAACATACAACAGCGGGGATTCGCTGGTCGTCACCGACCCAACTACTAATCCGCCGGTTAGTGGCTTGACTATGGGAGAGCGGACGGGATCCCGTATTTTCCACTACCTTTGGTCGTATGTATCAGTGTTACTGCTGGTCGCAGTATATAAATGTACTGAATTTGCCCTGGCGAAGCATGTTGAAGTTTGAGATCTTAAAGTACGCATGCCTGCACTACCGACATAGTCTACATGGTACAGGAAGCTGATTAGTACATGTTGAGACACTGAGGCTTCCTTAGTCAAGTACGTTTTATCACTCTTATCAACGGTGAATTCTACGATGCAATCTCGTCTTGTTTGACTCGTGCGTGAACCATCGCGTCGCTTCATCGACACACGTGTGCTTATCGCATCCATCTCAATAGTCTAAACAAGCCATCTGCCATAGTCGATCACCACAAACCTTGAATGAAGTTTGAGTTATTGTCCAAACTCAACCTTCGTGGTTGAACTGATGAATTGGATTGGTCGGTGAATAGTCTCATGGTGGAACCACGTGGGATCTAGACCAGCTGTAATACGGCCACCCGGGAACTAGCCGTAGATCAGAAGCCGGCGCATGATCAATTCGGCACTTTGCGGGTATTTTCGCATTGCTCTCGTTAATTCTTATACATCAAGATGTGTCCTCGTCTTACAGAAAATGTTATAGTCATAGCAAGTGTCTATGCTATCCGTGTTTCTTTGCCTCAACTGCAAGAATCATGAATCTCTCAGGCTATTTTTGTAGTCATACTGACAAGGACGATATTGAATATCGACCTCTCCAACCAACCAGCCCGACGAATGAAGATGACTTGAAATCCTATACAACATGCTGTTCTTCGCGAAGAAGACCATGTATAAGAGGCCGGAGGAAATGGCTGAGTCCATTTCTCGCAGCTTTTGCTGGAGCATGTCTAATCCTGTCAGTTCTTATTCAACTGTCCGTCGCATATATGGGCTGACGTCTTGACCAGAATCGCCTTCTTCCTCATGACATTCGTCATCGAGCGCTATGCCGTCTACACCTTCGAAGCTTCCGGTCTTGCCTTGGCCGATCCCGTAGAGAAGTATGGTGATGCTATAGAAAGCGCCAAGAGATGGGTTGAAGTCCTGTCGCCTCAAGTTACTCCAGTGATGGTCCATTCTCATAACGACTACCTGAGGCCACGGCCGTTGTTCTCGGCTTTATCTGTTGGCTGTGCCAGTGTTGAGGCCGACGTTTGGCTGAGCAAGAACGGTAAAGACCTCTTGGTCGGCCATCACTGGTGGAATCTCACACCCGAGAAGACTCTTAACTCTCTCTACATTGAGCCATTACTGGATATTCTCGATTCTTTCAACTCCCCGCAATTCTCGGATGAGCTCGAGGGCCAGGGACACCATGCTGGTGTTTTTGCTAGTCATCCTAACAAGACACTAATCTTGTTCATCGATGTAAAGGACGATCCAGAGAAGACTTGGCCAGTAGTGCTGGAGCACCTGGAGCCTTTGAGACAGAAAGGATATCTTTCATATCACCGAGACACTGGATTGATACCAGCAGACCAGTCGTTTCATTCTGGTCCGCTAACTGTGGTCGGAACGGGCAATATTGGCAAGAGACGAGATGTTAATATCGGTCCTGACCTGGCAAAGTGGCGGCAGCATCACGATGTGTTTCTTGACGCATCTTTAGATCTACTATCTCATCCTGGATATTGCGAGCGAAACGATACTCTTTGTCGCGAAGTGGAGGAGAACGAGTTTTACACAGCTTCCGTATCTCTCTTCAGAGCTATCGGAACTGTCATTCCATACTTCAACAAGTCACAACAGGAGAAGCTGGCTGATCAGATCCAACTTGCAAAGAAGTTGAACTTGAAGTCGAGGTACTGGGAGCTACCAGGCTGGCCTGTATCCCGAAGAAACTACGTTTGGAGGACGCTCACTCACGAGGGAGTTGACTTGATCAACGCTGATGATATAGTCAGTGCAACTACGAAGCAGTGGCACTCGAATTATGCCATAGAAGGCGCATGGGTTCTTGGTATTGCCTCTTGTCTCTTTAGCTTCCTCTTTACCGTCATGTGGTTAGGAAAGAGGATGGTGTTTCGTATGATGACTGTTTAGAGACTAGCTGGTCTTAAGATACCCCTTTCTCCAATCGAAGAGAAATACGATACAAAAACGTCCATTAAATATCGTGAGCTCCAATTGCAATTTACTCCCTTTGGCGGAGTCCAAGTAGTCCGGATTGGAGATCAAGCTATCAGACAGAAACCTCGACGAAGTGGAAACTTCAGGGAAGCTGCGATACGCACTCAACAACTACATTGACTCCCCAACTGCTCAGTTCGAGCGACAATCATATCTGCCTCGCTAGAAGTCTGCCTACCAGACCGCAAGATGCCCATGGAAGCACGGACAGGACCGATGCTGGGCAATTTGCCGCCTTAACCGCTTGGGGGCTTGGCGCATGTCCAGAAGACTGCAAACACCAACAACAAACGAGACTGATACACAACATCTGCATCTGAAACCAAAACTCAGATGTTACAGGCTCGTTGCAAACCAATTACTTGTTCACTGAGGATTTTGAGCAGATGGTGGCAACACTTCATATGCAGCTTTCCATTGGCCATGACGACGCTCGTGTTCTAAAAATACTAATCCCTGCATCTTCATTCGCAACGGCCACCGGTAGTCCAAACGCCAAGACAGCAATGACCAGAGAGAAGAGGGCCAAGCGTCGCTCAAGCCTCCGCAGACAATACGTGGCATCACTCAATCTTCTGAGGCTGTGCTGATGATAATCCACATTTCACAGTCTCAGGCTTTCCGATTGGGTTTGGTCAGGAGGGTTGATGGAGACGTCAACTGTGGCTGGGAAGAGCATCTTTGCCTCCGCCTCGGCAGTTGACATATATAAGCTGCTTCCCGACAGATGAAGCAGAATCCAGTTCTTGGTATTCTAAATATCTTCAATCAAAATGACTTACTACGGCCACAACGTCAACTTTCAGCAGCAGAACCCTGGGTATAACCAGGATGGCAACGGCCAGGGAGGCTATGGCGGTGACGATCAACGCCGCAATGACCAAGGCGGCTATCAGCAAGGCGGTCCTCAACAGTACGGTCAACAGCAGGGAGGCTACCAACAAGGTGGTCCTCAACCAGGAGGTTATCAACAAGACCGCCCAGGTCTCTCACAATCCTACTACTCCGAGTCGTCTCAGTCCTCCCAGTATCCTCCTGGTGGACAATCTGGACCTGGACAATACCAGCAGGGCCCCCCTGCATATAACCAAGGACCTCAAGGCCAATTCGACGGCGGAGATGGTCCCGATGGTGAGCGTGGTGTAATGGGAGCCCTTGCTGGCGGTGCAGCTGGTGCTTTCGGTGGTCATAAGATGGGCGGAGTCACCGGACACAGCAAGACCAGTACCATCGTCGGAGCTTTGGCCGGTGCCTTTGGCGGTCACAAGCTGCAAGACGCCGCTGGAGACTGGAAGGATGAGAGAGACGAGAAGAAGGAAGAGGAGAAGCGACGAAAGGAGGAAGAGAAGCGACGCGAGGAAGAAGAGGAAAGGAGAAGAAAGGAGCGCCGTGATGATGATCGCTATGAGTCTCACCATCATCGTCGTCGAAGCTCCTCTCGTGGCTCTGATCGACGTCGTGGTGGGCATTACGCCGGAAACTTCACTGCCTCGTCTCGAGATATCAGACTTGATGCTCATGGCGACTACGTCCTGCACGCCTCTTGCAAACGCGAGGATGGAGACTATCAGCACACATCCATCTCACTCGACAAAGTCCTCGAAAATGATAGGGGAAGCTTCCGTTGGTCAGCAGGTGGCCATCATGGTAGCTCTTCTTCAGTCACAGTTCAGCAAGGTGATACCCTTCGAGGTATTGCTGCTCGGTTCAACTGCTCCTTTGAGGAGATCGCACGACATAACAACATCAACAATCCTGATCTGATCTATCCTGGACAGACACTCCAGGTGCCTGGTGGTGGTCGTCATGGCGGTGGTGGTTTTGGATCTTCTGCACGACATGTACGTCTTGTTGATGGAGGTCAGAGACTTGAGGGCGAGCTGTCTCGAGATGGAGATTGGGTGCTTAGCTCGATTATCCTTGATGAGAGAATCAGGAACTTTAACGGCACCTTGGAGCTTGTCTAGGTTGGAAACTGAGGGCGTGTAAAATAGCAACTGGAAAGCGCATAATACCAGAAAAGATTGTTTATTCTTGCAAGAGACTTAAATATTGCAGGGCCATAACTAAGTGATAGTATAGCTTGTAAACTATGCAGCAGATCTTGTGACATTGATAGCCCGACATTAATCATCACCTACCCTACTAGATACCGGCCGAAACAAATACCTCTTGCCCGACGATTCCGAAACGCTCACTTCTGCTCGACCTCAGGCTTCCGGCCCCAGACAAATCGGACCCTGAAGTAAGGATGAAGTTTTTTGTTTCGAAGATCCTTTCGCACCTGCATCAGGAAAACCTGATACCCATCGGCTGGCCACTTCAGAACTTCATGCCAAATCATTTGTGAATAGCCTACAGTGTATAGGTCAGTAATCCTGGTCATTTTCGTTAGATCCGAGTGAAGGCTCACCAACAAGATCGGATTCCAGGCTAAGCTTCGCATACTGGCCGATTTCCGCCATCTTGGGATCTTTGGGCCATGAACCGAACGGGATCTGTCCAGGTACGATTGGTTAGTGTGCGTATAATATTGCGCGGCTCTTTACTTGCCTTGTAGAAGGTTTCCTGGATATCCACGAAGCCAGCTTCTTTCATGGCCTTCATCTGGAGATCTTCCGTGAGGACCGACAAAGAGCATCCGGTTGCCTTGCCTCCTTCGATGAACATCTTATCCCAGGTTCCTCCCAGCGCGGTTGATCCGTCATTGGTCACGGTACCATCGTCGCTATGTGTCATGGGCTCGGACTCGCAGGACTCGACCCAACCTCCAGGTTTGACTGCATTGTATGCCTCTTTGAAGAGTGCAGTCCAGTCTCTGATTGCACCAAAAAGGTAACGCATATGCACAAAGTCAAAGGTATTTGTGTCCCAAGTCCAGGGCTTAGTGCAGTCATCGATCTCGAACTTCAGATTGGGGGGTACCCAGTCTGGCTGTACAGCAGACAAGTCTGTACCGATGACAGCAGTATTTGGATGCTCATCAGCATAGTCTCTGGTAGGTAGAGTCAGCGGAGATGGCGCGGGTGATTAGTGTTACTAACATCGCCCAAATTCCTAGAGACGAGACCAATTAGTATCTTGTAGATCCTGTGTTGACTAGACGTGACCTACCTGTCCCTGTCCCAACATCAAGCACTTTCTGTGTTATGGAAAATGTCAGCCCTGTATATCTTCACTTCGGTTATGATCGCGTACCTGAACATCATCCTTGACTGGTGCCAGATACAGCTTATCGTCAGTGAGCAGTGTCAAGAAGTGATGCCTATGTCCAGTCAGTAGCCGCTCTGTGCTAAAGGATTAGAGGCTCCAGGCAATATTTACTCACATGAGATCAAAGTTCTCCAGTGTTTGCTCGTCAGTGGGAATTGGATAGCTACTGTCGTGGTAGGTAGAGTGATACGACCTTCCCTTGAACTTTCGGTACTCTAAGATACTGGAAGCAACGGATGCCGTCGATGAGTCGCTGCCTACGTCAGCCATGGTTCAATGTCAAATCCCCTAAAGAGATCATACACGCCGGCGCTCAAGACAGAATCATCGTCAGCTGCTATTTCCTGTTCAAGCTGGTGGGGAGAAGCCGGCTCAATCGGCTGTTCTGGGGTATTTGCATCTGCAACTGAAGGCGAAGTCTCTTCAGTCGATAAGACTGGTGCAGGCGCTGGAGGAGCGGACATGGGGCCGTGATTATTGACGTAGTACTCTGAAGGGCTTCTTCCTTAGATGAAGGAATAACCAAAGTGAGGAGAACAGCCCAAAATTTGAAAGGGAACAGGCCATATTGGTCGTTGGTCGTACAAATGTTGAAGTTATGCGCCGAGGCTCAAGGCCAGACCATGATTGGGCATATTGTCCGGGGGTGTCGCGTAAAGCATCCGACAACTCAATTAGGCAGTTCGCACGGAGTGTTCTTCATACTAAGCAACTATTGTTAGATAAATGCCCTGTTTTTCATGCAGTCCGGGGCTATTTTGGCAAAACTTGTCTCGTAAAGATAACAGGTAGAACGGTAAGAAGATGCTGATATCCGACTTCATATCATTTACAAGGTGAAACTGAGGTCGCAATGGCGGCGAAGCTCTACAGGCCCCTCATTTGTAACACACTATAATTAATAACACCTTTCAAATTTATTCAGAGTATTCTATCGCAGCATAGCCTGGGTAAAATGTTTATGATTCTTGTTGTCGTGGGTGTTCATAAAGGTCCTGCGGCCAGCGTTCCCAATTCAATCCACGTTCAAATCATCTTGCAGTAATTGATAAGCATTATTATCATTGACTTGAAGCCCAGCAAGATATGTATAAGTAAGAAAATTAAATGCCATCATTGTGTACTTGTTATTCTGTGTTTACAACTATCACAAATAAATATTCTGCTTTTTTAACTAACGCAGGGTAGGAGAGTCACTGGTTTAGGTAGAGTAAGACGACCAGTAGTACAGTCTGACCATGCAGGGCATTCTCAGCAATGATCCCCTGAATTTCCACCACCATTTCAGGGCTTTACCACTAAAAACACAGGCACACAACCACCAACTCTGCTTGTGAACCATGACATCTATGACGTATGCTCACAGAGTCAAGGGAGGAGAGTCAGCAGAGAGACCATGATTGCAAAGCGCCTGTATTGAGGTCTGCGGATACGGAATACGTGAAGATACAAATAATTAATTCATCGCTTCACAACATTCTACAGATTCACTCACTTATCGCACCAGCAATTTGTGATCTCTTGTCAACGATACGAGGGGATTCGGTCGGAAATACCATGATGCGGGATAATCTGATGTCGCATGCAAAGACCTCGTATCGACGTCTAATTTTAACACCAGAGGAATGAGAAACGCACCAATCGTGTAGCTAAACGAGCTCAAGTCTCCGCTTTTGGCGTGTTTCCCCTCGTTAGCTTATTTCTAATTTCCCATGCCAAAACCGTCCCGTCCGTCTTTGTTTCTCCATCCGACAGACTTCAATTATCAACTTCAACCATCACCAATTCTATCAGCTTGATCGCTTCCATCGCTGAAGCATCCTGGGTAGTCTCGGGATAGCTTGGTTGACTGGTGTCCGACACTCTCGTTTCATACTTCCGGACCTGAACGCCATTTGAACATCCCCGCGTCAGCCGAAAGTCTGTCATCTCGCGCATCGTCGAGACATCAACAATGGTTGACAGCGTCGCATTTTACTGTCGCATATAATCCAACAGCTTCTGTTGTAAACTCAACTCGAAGCACGCAGTCGCCTCTCATTCTTAAGTCAATTTCAACGGTTGCCGACCGCATCAATTCACCGCCATCATGAAGCTATTCACTTCATCTCTCATCTTGTTCTCATGGCTCGCCCAATTTCCCGCCGCAATGGCCGACAGGGTTCTCGAGTCAAAATCTCTCAACAGCTGTCAGCAAGGCTCCCTATTGACTGCCAGTCTCTTCCACGTTGTCGTCACACCAAACAACTCACTGGCCACTATCAACGTCAACGCGCTAGCATCCGTTCAAGGCTATGTATACTTCGATGTCACCCTCGAAGTCTATGGACATCAATTCCTTCGCGAGATTGTCGACCCTTGCAGAACCAGCTTCGACCTGCCGAGTCTATGTCCTATGGCACCCGGTGATATCGACATCAAGTTCAACGTCCCGCTTGGTAATGCTTTGGATCAGATTCCTGGTGTCGCGTATGGCATTCCTGATCTAGATGCCACTGTGCGCGCATATGTCAACATGACCTCCACGCGCGAGAGTGTTGCCTGTGTCGAGGCTGATTTCTCCACTGGTAAAACTGTCGAGCAACTCTCAGTCAAATGGGTCACTGCCATCATCATTGGAATCGGCCTCGTCTCCTCAGCACTCATCTCGCTAGCCGGCTACGGTAACGCTGCTGCTCATCTTGCCGCCAACACGCTATCTCTCTTTGCCTACTTCCAGGCCCAGGCTATCATCGGACTTACCGCTATTTCGATGCCACCAATCGTGGATGCCTGGACGCAGAACTTCCAGTGGTCTATGGGTATCATCCGAATGGGCTGGATGCAAGACATCTTCACTTGGTATGACCGCGCTACAGGGGGGAAACCCGCCCGTCTCTTCGATAATCTCGCTACTGCTTCGGTCCAAGTCGTAAAACGGTCCTTGGAAAACATCCCTGGTGCTGCAGCTCTGATCCGTCGTGACTTCGCCTTCTCGAAACGAGGCAACATTGAACTCGAAACCGGCTCATTTTTGGTCTACGGTATCCAGCGCGTGGCGTTCCGCTCCCATATTGAGACAACGAATCTCTTCCTAACCGCCATCGTCTTTTTCGGCATTTTCACTGTCTTTGCCTGCATCCTAGTCTTCCTCTTCAAGCTCGTCCTCGACTTTTGTGCAAAGCAGGCTTGGATCAAGCGTGAGCGCTTCCTAGAATTCCGAACTGAATGGCGCACCATCCTCAAGGGAATTCTCCTCAGACTCACTCTTATGGGCTTTCCTCCGATCACTATTCTTTGCCTTTGGGAGTTCACCCAGGTTGACTCGGCTGCACACGTTGTTCTCGCAGTCTTCTTCTTTTTTACTGTTCTGCTCACACTCACGGTGGCAGCTCTCAAGATCATCACACTAGCGAGACACAACAACCCTGTTGTCACTCTGTACTCGAACTCGCGAATCTTGAACAAGTGGGGATTCTTGTACATCCAGTATCGAGCTACTGGCTACTACTTTATCGTACCTCAGCTTGCTTACATTTTTGTCAAGGGCATGTTTGTTGCCCTGAGCCAGAAGAGCGGCGTTACCCAGGCAGTCGCCCTCATTCTCATCGAAGCCGCTGCCCTCATTGCCACCAGCGTAATGCGCCCCTTTATGGACAAGAGCACAAACTCTTTCAACATTGCCATCTTCGTTCTGAACTTTCTCAACGCCATCTGCCTCTTCATCTTCACCAATGTTCTCGGCATGCCTCGAATGGGTCCCTCTGTCACTGGCCTCGTTCTCTTCGTCGCCAACGCCGCTTTCTCTCTGATCCTGCTACTCATGATCATCGTATCGAGCGCTCTTGTGTTCTGGCGAAAGAATCCCGATGCTCGATATCAGTTCATGGCTGATGACAGAGCTTCGTTCATGAAGTCCAGATCGTCGACACAGATCGACACCATGACGCAGCTCGATGCGTTGGCGGCCACAGCCCGAGGAGACCCAACTGGTCGCTCACCCCCTGTCTCGAGATCATCGTCAGAGCTTGCTGCGCCTACATTCCCCACCGCTGGGCTCAAGCATCCTTCGACTTCTTCCTTATCTTCAAGAAGCCCGCATAAAGATTCACAAATAGATGTCAGAGCAACCGAGCAGTAGAGCGCTTTTAACACAACACGGTGATTCTTCCTCAGGCCGAATAAGATAAATTTATGTTGTTTTATATTGTAATCAACACCTGCGCCTCTGAGGCCAGGGCTCGAATATTCCTTGCAAAATCTAGTTTCAGGAGTTGGGGTTGTATATGCTATTGATTGACAATACTTTACATGGGATAAGATCTTGGTGATTTAGACAACAAATAGTGGTGAATGAATATCTGTTTCACGTCATACAGTAACATAGTCGTTTGCAATGTGTCAAAAGGCAATACAGAGGTTTGCGCTCAGTGGTGGAATAATTATTATCATTAGCCTTATATCTGGTTAGTATGGTTCCATATTCTATCCACGATTATGATATCCCAGCCCATTCCATGATCTCTTTTATCCCATATTCCGCCCATATAAACCTGTATGCATGTCTACCTTGTTTTAGCTGATCCACTCCGGCTTTATGCCCAAATCATTCTCCTGAATCCACATGGCTCTCCTTTTGTCACTCTTCTTCTTCTTCGCCTTCCAGAATGCCTCGTCGTCGTCATCGTCGGTGCTGTCTTCTTCAAGGGCAGCACTAGTACGAGGAACATCAGGACGATTGTTCCCCCAGTTGCTCAGAGACATTGTGTCATCAGTTTTGGTTGCCTTGCTAGATTGCGTTTGGGTCACAGCTTTGGAAACAGGTCTGTAACGACTCGGCAGACCCACGGTGTTCCGCTCTGATGGTGCAACTGAGGCAGCATACCCCCCAGGCTGTTGATAAACAGATCTCGCGTAGTTCGATGTTGCATAGTTTGACTTCGCATAGTTCGAAGGTGCGTAATGGGACGGCGCATACGTCGACCCGACACCGGGAGGTCCCATATTCAAGACCGAGTGTTGAGATGAGTAGGCATCCCAAGGCTGGTTGCTCCTTTGGTTCATGGTCGCCATCGATCTCAGAATCTCAGTCTGAGCCTGCAAGAAGTGGAACATCTCTTGATTGGAAGTAAGTGGGGGCAGCTGAGGGACGGTGACTGGAGTTTGCGGCCTAGAGAAAGCCATCGGTGTCTGTGTCCTAGGCATGCCAAATGAATGCGCCTTTCCGACCGGTTGAGTCGACGCCTGCCCCCAATTGAAGGCCTCGTTGGTATCAGGCAGAGGTTGGAAGCCGGTACTTGGGGGCACACGACGCGCTTTCTTGGCGCCCTCTTCTCTCGCTATCACACCGACCAAGCCACCTGGGATAAGTTGCTGGTTGTTCATGGGCCAGGCCTTGTGGGGAGCTACAGGAAAAATATCTTGCGGAAGACTCCTTGCAAATGCTGGCATTGGTGCCCGTGAATTTTGTCGAATTTTGTTCATCGGTTGGATCTGTGAGATGGATTCTCTCCTTGTTAGACCGAAGTTGACGACGGATGGAGCTTTACCGCCCGACCGCCGCTGAATCTGGAGCAGTGCTAAAGGCACATCCTCATCTTCATCTTCGTTCTCATGCCGTGGGGCAATGTCTTCTGGCAAGCCTTGGAAGGTCTTGAACGATTTCATGGACCATGACGAAGAGATGCGCGAGTGAGAACGCAATGGTGGCAGATCAGGCCCATTTGTACTCTTCATCATCCGCTGTCGATAGTCGCCGTCGAGGTAAACCTGCTGCTTCTTACGTTGCGCCCTCTGTTTGTTCAGAGCTTCCGCATCGTCTATACACTCGTAGTCGACTTTATCGTCTTCCTCTTCTTCACCGCCGTAGAAGCGCCTTTCAGCATCTTCTCGGGCCTTGCGCTTTTGTAGAGCTTCGAACTCAGCCGCTGTCATGACCTTGCCATGGCCGAGACGAGAGGTAGGAGGTGGCCGCGAAGGATGGGCTTCGGCTTCAACGGCTTCAGGTACCGAGTCCAGCGGTGGTGGTACGTATAGATCTGCGAGATCTTCGAGACCTTCGTGGATGTGGTATATTTGACGGGGCCTTGTCGTTGAAACGCGGGAAGATGGAAATAATGGCTCGACATCAATGGAGTCAGGTGTGTTGAGGCTGT